ACATCTTCTTTCTCTCTCCCTCACAGCGCTCTCAGATCCGGCAGCCAAGGAGAACTGCATGATGCACCTCCTGCGCTCCCTGCCTGACCCCAACCTCATGACCTTCCTCACTCTGCTGGAGCACCTCAAACGGTACACACTGACACACACACACTCACAACACATTAACCCTCAGACACAAAGAACACCTGCTTCTCACAGCTCGTCCACCAATCAATAAAAACATCTTCCAAATTTCCTGGATTAGAAATTAAATTAAAATGATCCAGTGGTCCGGTTCAAAAAAACAAAACCAGACCTGGAGATGCTGCTGTAGAGAGGTCAGACACGTTTTTTTTTCAATATGTTTACATGAACTTTAGTATCCTGGTTATGAGCCTTATCCCAGTTGTGATCATGCACACAGATATTCCTGTAAACATGATCAATGCTAGTATCCAAGTTTCTGTTCACTACATCGTGTTTTTATCTCCTACTCTGTGGCTTATTGCGGGCTCAGCACTGGACTTTAAAATAGTTTTAGTATACTATTAAATGCATAACATGCTAATTTGAATGCAGAGCACAGAGAGGAGACACAAAACGCTCCAGTTCTGAACACTCAGATCTGTCTCCTGACTGTGCTGCATTAATAATCTTTAATAAGTGCGGGTTGTTCTCCTCGCCTAGTTTACCTGCAGCATGCTGAGGCATTGATCATATATGAGATTATATCACTGGGATAGCTACAGTTGGCCTACATCTATGTCTACTGTAGTCGTCAGCTGTTAGAAACTGGGATAATGTTTATACATGTCACAGTATCATGAGTTCTCCAGGTCGCAAAACCAGGTATCTAAGTTTTTGTGATTGGAATACAACATCTACATGCACAACAACAGCAAAACAGGATACTTAAAAACCTGATCACAACCAGGGTACTCAAGTCCATATTCACACATTCATTGAGAGACTTTTCTGTACAAATGTCACCATGGTAACCTGACTCTCATTGGCATGGTGTAGGAATAAAGACGTATTTATTAGCAAAAATTCATCTGAAAATCCTCTTACAGCTTTACAATACTAGTCCAGAGGCCTTTAGTTTTGGACAGTGTTCAGTGTGTGTGTGTGTGTGTGTGTGTGTGTGTGTGTGTGTGTGTGTGTGTGTGTGTGTGTGTGTGTGTGTGTGTGTGTGTGTGTGTGTGTGTGATTTGCACAGTTTGTGTCTGATCCTGTGAATAGTGCCTTGTTATGACAGGCCTGTTTCTGTTTGTTCCTGCAGGGTGGCTGAGAAGGAGCCCATCAACAAGATGTCCCTCCACAACCTGGCCACCGTGTTTGGTCCCACTCTGCTCAGACCCTCAGAGTCAGAGAGCACCAAGGGACAGCACATCACCTCAGCCTCTGACATCTGGTCACATGACGTCATGGCACAGGTACATCAGCACTGTCTCTCTGGCTGTCGTCAAACAGTTAAACTGATAGAAAGTGAGCAGACATCACTCTGCTAGCATGTGCAGTTGTGAGTAGACTTGTGCAGAGACACATATTCCCTCGGTTGCTGTGCGTGTTTTCCAGATGAATTTTACTCCCACGTCACTAAGTGACCCGTGTCACTGCAGTCTACTCTCCCAGCTGTATTTAGGCTTCAGGCCATCCATTCATGTCTACTTAGAGACGAGTTTCCTGTGTGCGAATGTCTTTTCCTGGCAGAATAAACAACATCCAGAGTGCATGATCATAAATGTAGCTGCATGAACATGTAGGAGACCCTGTTAGTCCATCACAGTGAATCTGAGAGTTGATATTTTGGCCTTTTTTTAATTCTCAGTGTTTATTGAAAGAGTATACAAAATGTCAAGTGATACAGAAAGATACTTCTGCCTCTTAATGCTGGATATAAGCTCATGAGGGGGAAAACAAGTGGTGAAGCCTTCCTTGGAATATGACAGAGAAAGAGTAAAATTCATGTGAATTTAGATTTCACAAGAATTACTCGTTCCGATAAGCTCCCCCCGCAGCATGAAACCTTTTCCACTATCCAGGTCAATCAAATTAAACTTCCAGACAAATGGCCGACATTTTTGGGACAAAACTGATTAAAGGGGAGATTAGGCTAAATTTGTAGAGCAGTGCAGGAAGAACATTAGACTGATCAACCTGTTTAATAAAGCAGATTTCTGAGACCTATAAAAACAGAGTTATATGACTGCTAGAGTATGTCCTACATATGAATTTGGTCTGTTTAAATGACTTGTTTTAACTGTATTTCACACATAAGGTAGGCAACAATAAAAAACAATTTGCAGAGGGATAAGAGCTGATTCAAACGTTCAGCATAGACTGTTTCGCATTAAGCTGTCTGGACTTTTAACAGCGTCACAACCTGGAATTCAAATTATCTGAGCTTTTTAAGAGTTTAACAACCAAAGCGCAGTGCACAGAGCAGACGTCTGTTGGATGAGCAAATGAACCTGAGGCACTTGCACCTGGTCTCAGTTTGTTTTGTCACAATAAAGAGCTCCAAGCCTTTCACCAATTTAGCTTTAGATAATAAAATCCAGCATGTTGCATCTCTGTCTGTAAACCACAAAGCCCCAAGAAGGAGAGCTGAAAGAAGAGGGAAAAGTCAACATCAGTATTCCTGCACTGTTTAATGCACTATCTTTGATGGAAATGTTCAGTTTTAATGTGAATTTTAACAACTTAACCATCTGCTCACTATACATTATCTTAAAACTATAACACATGGAGACCTTTTTGATTCAAATACAGCATGTACCTTTAATAATAAATGCTCCTTGTGAAGAAATTAGACACATTTAAAGTTTGTTGTTATGTGATTTATCTTGATTTGTATGAAAGTTAAACCTTGAATAGTTTTCTGATCAAGTGAAGGTGTTTCCTCTCCTCTCAGGTTCAGGTGCTGCTCTATTACCTGCAGCATCCCCCCATCTCCTTCGCTGAACTGAAGCGCAACACGCTCTACTTTTCCACCGATGTTTAATCGCCACCACCTCCCTCAGGGAAGAATCTGGAGAGGAGGGAGTGAGAGACTCCAAACAAATCTTGGGCCCCTGCCTCTCGGTCCTCCTGCCTCACCTCTTCTCCCAGCAGGCAGCTCATCTCGACTGTACAGCCCCCACCATCTGCCCCCGTCCTCACCCCCTCACCGCCCCCTGTCCTGAAAAGAGATGGAGCTGAGCACGTTAGGAAAGTGGTGGAGGAGATATTCTGGTCGTCTGTTGATCACACGTCATGTCATGTTTGTAATGTGAGGCGAGCAGTGCCGCCCCCCCAACTCCCAACCACGAGACGACAAGGCATCCTGGGAACACGGTGGGAATGATCGAGGGGAGCTGGGAGCCACAGCCTGGCGCAGTGGCACGGGATCTCACCGTGTGTGTCTTGTCATGTCATCTAGCGACTCCTGTTGGGACACGGGTTCATTGATCAGAGAAACCAGTCCACTGAACCTCCTGCTTCGTTCTCCAGTTTAGAGGCATTCCAGAAAAACGGCATTTACCTGTTTGATAATTATGTTTAACGACTGTTTTGTTGCTTTTTCAGTCTTCTGTCTTTGTGCATGTGCGTGGTGGAGGAGGCTGGGAGTGCATGAGTGACAATGTGGATGTACTTGAGTGGTCGCACAAGTGTGTGAGTGACTGTGTGTGTGTGTGTGTGTGTTTAAGGGACTTTGAGAACTTGTGAGGTTTAGAAGCGGCTGGGAAGCCATCCTCATGAATGGCTGGTTGTGCGTCTCTCTGTGCTGACAAACAAGAGAGAACTTCCCTCCCCAGTGAGTCTCGGCCAAATTAACCCTATTTATTTTGAATATATATAATATGTGTGCCTGTACAGTTCTGTGCAACTAGAGAAATGCTCTAAGAAGTCTGTTTTTTGAAGTTTATTCAGGTAGTGATGTTCTTTTTAGTCTGATTTTGTCATTCACCATGTCCATGGTTGGTAAGCTGTACTGAAAAGATCACCAGAAAATTCTGCCATTTAATTTCAGATCACTTTGTAGAGGAGAAAAGGGCACTCTTTGAAATGAGGGTTGTTGGGGAATAAAAAAACACAATAAATGGAACATTTAGCTTTTTTTCTTGTTGTTTTATTGCAAGCCTGTTCCAAGTGTCTTACTGCACCAGTATAATCTATAGGATGATTTGTGTAGTTGCCCTCATTGCATGTTCAGCTTGTCAATCAAACCAGGCGGGGTAACACAAAGGTAGGTTATCTCTATGAGGCCCACATCTGCTCTGTACAAAGCCAGCCTTTCTGCTATCAAGCCTGTGACATATCTTAAAATACTGCAAGCACTGCTAGATGAGTACTATTTGATATTTTTAATATAAGATTAAAATGAAATAAAAATTGTTGTATTTTACTTCCTTGGAGAAGAATTTCAATATACTGTAATATTGAGGCTAAATGTTAATGTGAACTTTTCCCCTCCTTTTTTAGTAAAATAAAAGTTACCAAAACACTCTCACTCTGTGTCTGTCTGACCTTCATGATCGTGTTTTTATTATCACACTGACTCTCTGCAAACAGTTGGCCGAAAACATGATCACTGATCATGATCAACTGCTGCTGTGTTAGATATTCATCAACATACTCTAAAATAATGATGGCTAAGAGGCGCATGTGTCACAGTAACCCACCATTCACTAAAGAGTGATGATAATGATGATGTGCCATACTAGGAATACAAGCTCTGAATAAAACACTTTGATAGCTACACGTTTTAGACATTGTAATGATTCTGTTGCATGATAGTGAAGACATTTTACCTTGCATTTTTCTTGACAGATCCACTTTATCAAAGCTGTCCTTTTAAAAGAGTCTGTAAATTGTGTAAATTCATGAACTAGTGGCCAAACCTAAAACAAATTACGATCAAAAACATTATAGAGATAGTCAGAACCAGGAGCTGTCTAAGTTGGTGTGGTATTGAGGACAAAAATAAATGTTTATAAGGGCATTTATAGGAGAAATAACATCACAAACAGAAGGTCTTTTATACTTCTCTTTTATTTGCCAATATGCCTTTCATGGTGCATTTTAAGTATCCACAACATCTTCTGCAATTGATGAGGTGATTATGTCTCTGCCTCTCTTTCTTCTCACCTGGACCTGAAAACTTCTGAAGTTTGAGCTTGTTGCACCCCCTGGTGGTCACCCAGCCCCAACGTTTGACCCAGCTGTAAGATTACCTCTCGTGGTTTCTGGTTTAACACAAACACTTTATAAGTTTAAATGTTTGACATATTTATCATTTTAAGGACAGAGCAAACCTGCTTGAAACCACCAAGGAAAACCTTTTATTTTCTTTTTTTTTAAACAAAGAAAATAGTTTCGGGCTACATTTGTTGAAATGTAAATGTGTATCTCCTTTAGAGCTCCAAAACGTGAGCATTTTCGTTCACATGACAGTCTTGTTCAGTTGTCTGTTATTTATAGGCAATTTAAACAACTTGATTTATTGTTAGTATGAGATTTTTCACATGTATGTTTACTTCTGTATTTGAATGCATGTTTGAAATGAGTAATCTGAATCTGTATCCTTTATTATTCAGTCACACAGACAGAGAACCTGTAACCAGATTAAGATTTTTCATGTTAGGATTTTTGTTGCAACCAGAGATCAAGGTGGTATTTTTTTTTTCTGTTTAGTTTTTAAGGACTATTTCTGTCCCTTATATGTATACTTGTCTAATGTTTTTTGCAATTTGTTTTCATTTTTATTCTATATCGTTGCATGTGAATAATATCCATATTTATGTATGCGTGTATTAACGTTCTAAAATTCTGATAAAAATATGATCATTAAAACAATAATTACACAAAACTAGGACTAGAGCAGAGGCAAGATATTTACCCACCATTGATTCCAGCTTCTATGGCTTCTTACAGATGAGTTACAATTATGTATCATGTGCATTTGATAATTTAAAGAAAAAAAACTCCTAAACCCATTGTCAAAGCATCTGTTTTCATAAATAATCCTGATGTAGAGTGGTTGTTAACACATAAGGTTCTAAAACATGAACAGCATTGATTCTAGTCTGGTTAGAGTGTCTGCTACTCAGAACAGTTACGTTGTTAACAACAATTGTAATTCATGTACACATTTTTATTCCCATCATTGTTCCTTAAACAAAGAAGCAGAACACTGCTGAGTTTCTTGAGATTCTCCACAACAAGTCCTTTGGCCCTGCCTGAACTGTCCATAAGACAAAAATAAAGAGATGCTGGCACAAACGATCAAGCCCATTTTGCCATTGCTGCACCCCACTTTGCACCTGTAGGATCCTGTCTCCTTAGCCAAATGTGAAGAGTCCACTGTTGCATCGATCCTCCATCTAAAATCTTAAAATTGGCTTGTCCAGATGTGCATTTATGACGTCTATGTTCATGGGGCGTCTTTTTGTCTTTCACCGCATATAATATTCAATGGCAGCAGAAAATGCAGCAAAGCCTCCACATCCCAGCACTCCTGCTTTTAGACCCGCTACAGAACAAAAGGAAAAGGTGTGAAGAAAAGGAAAACATGAAATTGACATTTTTGAATACATTAAGCAGATTTACATACCACGAAATCCAATGGCTCCTCCAGTTACACAACCGCTGTACACTGCATTCTTCCAGTCAGATTTCCCTCGATGCTAAAAATCAAAAAATTAAAACGGGTAAAGTTTTATTAAGTCAAAGCAGAGGGGAAAAATTTGAAATAATGACAATGACTAATGAATGTTACAAGTTGAAATAAGGGTAGCTGTAAATCATAGCAAGAAGCACAATATCAGTTTGAAAATTCTCGACAAAACACAACTGGCACCAGATGGCACTGTTTAACAGTATTTAAGAGAATCTGTATCCATGGAGACATCCTTAACGTTTCATTTAGGTCAAAATTAGATACTGAAGGATCTTAAGGTAACAAATAAGATTTTTGAATCGAGCTATTAGAAGGGTGTTTGTTTGATAATGTCAGTGTATCAAACTAGATCTGCCAAAATGACACAAATCTGGTACTCCTCTCAAGTCATTTTGATGAACAGTTTAATTAAAATGAGTGTACTGGTATTTGAAATTTGACAAAAGTAACAAAGGTTAGTTTCCTAAAGCAAATAGCCTATTAGGGCACAATTAGTGCAGTATTAAAATAACGTGACAGTAAAACTAACATGAAAGTAGTGATTTTTTTTGTACCAAAGGTAGTGGTGAGTTTATGAGTTTCTCTGCTTCCATTTTACATCAATAGCCAAAATTATGTTTTCTCACTGAGTGAAGGGTGAAATCAAATCATTTTACCTTTTGATTTTATTTAGGTCCTTTTGCTGAACAACCCTCTCACATAATTTGTTACTTTATTATGTAAATGTGACAACATAGTCAATGTGTAGGAACATATCTAAACCATGGTGCTCTTCAGTTTTAGCAGGGTTCAAAGTTTCAAAACAATTCTGGAGCTTTGTGGTATCCATCATCAGTACTTCAACTATCAAAGACCAGCCCTGAATGATGAACCCATGATGAAAATAAGTGATGTGACTAGGGCTTGGCGATAAAACAATAACGATACATGTCGAAAATAAATTTCGATATAAAACATGGTCAATATCCTTTCTGATAGTTGGCATTCTGCCATGTTGGCAGACTATGAGAATAGCCAATGAAAAGGGGAGTTGCTCCAGTTTTGCGTCGCACTGAACCAATTGTGCTGAATTAGAACCAAGTAGCAAACAACTGCGTAGTAGCAGGCTGCAGCTACACGCAACCATAGCACTTTAACACATGAAACTGACTGCATTGATGGTGAGAAAAAAAGAAAAAGGGTGCTACTCCTGGCAGAAATGCAGATGAAGGCTCAACAGACGATGACATTGTCGACAACACTGGCACGAAAATGTCAGTGGTGTGGAGGTTTTTTTTTTTTGGCACCTGTGCAGCCGAAACAGTCCACTTTCTCTAGAGCAACGCCTTATGACAAAATGTCGAAGAGACACAAAGACCTCACAGATGCAGTAGCTTGTTGTATTGCAAAAGACATGCTACTAACAAGCACTGTTAAATTTCAGTTTTATATCAGGATATACATATCAATATCGACTGATCTGAAAAAATATATATCATGATAAACTTTTTCCCTTATTGCCCAGCCCTAGATGTGACCTACCGATTCTATGATGCATTCTGTGCAGGCGAACATGGCGCCCACTATAGCAAAGTTCTTTGCATATGACATCCCCCTTTGGCCCATGTCTTTGAGGACTTCTCGTGCTGTTGGGGTTCTTAAAGGGTCCTTGGGGTCGAAGCCAACATTGGTATCAATGCCAGCTGTAAAAACACCAAAAGCTCCTCCAAGAACGAAACCTGTGAAAAACAAGATTCAAGAAAACAAGCTTGATTTATTCAACCAGAACTTCTTTCTCTGAAGAGGATCACAACAGTGAAATCCAGACACACAAACAGATGATGTTTTTTAGTTATTTCAACACATTTAAAGTCCTGACCCAGCATTGTCAACACTTAGGCCACAATTCTTCAGTTGTAAAACTGTTCCATTTAGTAGTTACACTGGTGATGATCAGATATGAAACTGCTCATGTTGTTTCTCTATGCTGTACTGTTTGTCAGGCTGTTGTTTGATCCTGGGATGTAATAGTAGTTAAGCTTAATGCTCTGACACCAGAATAGGTGCACTACAGCGGAAGTTCGTATTAAAATAAAATCATATATTAGTGGAGACGGGCAAATGGTGTTTTAAGCTTTTATGATCATGTCTTCTTACCTCCCACACATGCCAGCACCGTCTTGAAGCCGCAGCTCTCCATGCCTCTCTCGATCATCTTCTGCTCGTCGCTCTTAACAGGCACAGGCAGTCCGCCCATCACACCGGGGCTCAGCTCCTTAATTTGCCTCTTGTCCCCGATGAGGTGGTCCAGAACCATACTGTACTGAACCGTAGGGTTCTCCATACTTGGACCAGATGAGACAGAACCGTGCAAGTCTGAAGAAGCACCGTCCGCAACACCAGTGGACGCCGCCATGTTTCTCAATGACAGAGCTCCCGGAAATGAAGTCATAAACAATCTGCCGCAGTTTCAACACGGTGGGGGTATCTCTTAAATCTTTAGTACAGGAAAAACGCAGGTATCATCAAATCTTTTCTATTAACAGCATAACTATTTTAATGGTATCATGTGGGGAAAAAAAATTAAGTCACAAAAGGTTCATTCTAATTTATATTGATGCGGATCAGCACATTCGTTACAGTCGGATGCGGCGTACAGTCAATTTATGCATTTGAGTTTCGCAGTTTCGTTACAGTTTAATATTAATATTATTGTTATTGTTTAATTTGTATGTCTGCTATTTTAGCCCTTTTTTCTTAGGATTCACACAATCAATTTAGGCTGAGTCTTGTGAATTATTTCATGGTTTTAAGTTTATCACATGCGTATTCTTATTTGACAAACACTATTTATCCTTAAAAAACAAAACACAGATTCAATTAACCTTTTTTGTTACTGATAGTTTAAAGAATGGATTTCTGAAAGGGGCTTTATGTAGCCTACGTTATTTCAAGCTGAAATGTTGTACACAGTTATAAACATTATCTGATTTAAAAAGCTACTTTGTGTTCTTTTTCAAGCTTTTGAGAAAAATTAACAGTCTTGAATCTTCCAAATTGAAACAGCAAGCCCATCTCTCCTCATCATTTCGGACCATGTTAGTGAAAAGTGATCCTGGTTTGATCTTTCCGTTAATTAATTTTACGCCTACAATTTTACTCAATATACGCAAACCTTTATCTTGGTTTAATGATCCGAGTGGGGTGATCCCTTTCCAAAAAAACAAACAAACAAACAAACAAAAAAACGTTTTGTTACATTCGCATTTTTCTGTTTCTTGCCTTGTTGAGCGCTTTGTATTAGAGATTTTGAAAAAAAAAAACTCATTATTATTATTATTATTATTATTATTATTATTATTATTATTATTATTATTATTATTATTATTATTATTATTATTCGTGTTGGTAAAATTTGTACAGCTTTTTAAGAAAGACTACATTTCCCAGAGTGTCACAGAGCACTGCGCCAAACTCGCTTCACGCGCTCCACCTACCGGCTCGAGCACAGGTCGGTGGTGTCACTTAAATGACTCGCGTGCGTGAGGCGGCGGCATCAGCAGCATCCTGATCAAACAACAGCAGCACTGCCGCAACACTGAGCAGGTAAGCAGAGGCTCGAGGCTAAATATGTTTGTTTCTCCTAACAATTCACAGAATCTGATAAATTTATCCAGTTAAAAGGTGTAAACTTTAGCCTTTCCACTTCTCTGTTTTCGGTGGACGTTAAAGACGCTGTCAGAGAGAGTCGCGCGGGAGCAGTTGGTTCGGCCAGTTGGCAGCAACAGCAAACTGTCTCTGATGGCAGCTTGTTTGTTTTCAGCTTCACAGTAGGCGTCTCGTCTCTGGTCCTTTAAAATAATGACTAAGTCATTCTCAAGCAGACGTGTCTTCTCCGTGTCTCAGAATGAGCTGGAGGACAGGTTGTTTTTACGCTTATTTGGTGTGTCACTGTATGACTGTGATGCTAAGCAGCAGAAAGTCCAATAACCAGGACGCTAACGCCCGGGCTGTTGTTTTCTGTTATACGTGGTTTCAGATATCCATCCTTTAATTTTCTGTTTGCCTGCTCCCATTGTACCATGCAGAATTGCTTAGTTCAACAGGATACTTGCTCGATCTGCTTTTAAAGATAGTTTCAACTCCTCTCCAAACGGTGGTTATAATAAAAGTCTTGAACAGTGGTAGTTTTAGAGTTGCCAACAGATATTTATTAATTTAATGTTTTATATATTTTACATGTACAGCCCTCTGAAAATACATGATGGATTTTTAAATATCTAATCAAAGTTATGCAAATTTTTCAACAAGGCTGTATCAAATATCTATCTATCTATCTATCTATCTATCTATCTATCTATCTATCTATCTATCTATCTGTCTTTATGGAAAGAGAAAGGTCAAAATGCTGCATCAGCTTTCTCCACGCTGCCAGGCAAAGACATCCTATGTTATTTCTTTATCTTCATTAACTTTTACTTTGTCTAAAACAAGTCAAATTCAAAACTGTAACACCACTGAAATCATCTTCAAGATCGCCTGTCATGTGAAAGTTAAAAGACTTTGAAGTACCCACAGCTTGCTAAAAAACCAAAACATCACAAAGAGAACCTTGGTGAGCTCAGTTGGGGCTATCTCTGTATCTAGAATCTTAGAAATTATGTAAGATCATTGCTACAGGGATTTAGATTTTAAAAAGGTTTCTTTTGGGGTTTTAGCAATAACCAGGCGTGGCACAGCACCTGCTCAATTGTGGGAGTTTCATGTTTTTCTTCCAGAGTCATCGTTCATTTCATTAAAGATAGTTTGAGATTAATTTACCAAATGAACTTTATGGTTTTTTCATTCCGAAATAGCATTTCCCTGCCCCGTGGCAAGTTGCCTTTGGAACCACCTCACTGCATCTCAAGGAGTTTTTCCTCACATGATCAGCCTACCATTTGCTCCTCATTAGATCGGTGCCATGTGAAGCAGTCAAACAAGGCCTTACTTTGTTAAGTGTAGCTATTTTTGAAAGTTTGTAGTTGTCCTTGGTGGATAAATGCTTAATTACGACAAGGTATCCTGACTAAGCTCCTGGGTGTAATTCCACTTTCCACATCACATTTACCTGTAAGCTACTTTAACCAAGGGGTCCCAGGGTCATCAGATCACAACGTAGTTATGCTTGAATGGTGAGGTAATGTTTTGTCTGCTTTATTGAATAAATAACCTTTTTATGATAGCATGGGGAGTCTTTATTAGAGAGTTTGGGTTGTTCTCCTGTGTTTACTGGAGAGGCCTGCCTTGCTGTAGAAAAAACTTGTCCTTTAAGAAAAGCCAAATGGGCAACAAATGACAGCTTTCACTTTCCTCTTTCCCTTTTGATTATGCCAGGAGAAAAGAAACTTCAAATAACTGCAGTGCACCAGTCATTTATATGGCAGACACAGTGAGTGCTGTTTGTAGCTAATTACACCCTTTGTTTTCCCCATGGTTTAACAGTAAAAGGGAGAATTTGGTATAAATATGTCTCAGTGCTGTGTTCAGAATATTGGTAGGCTATTCTTGACATAAGAGAAGCATCATGGCATCCGTGTCTGTGACCAATGTGATAAGAAACTGTCTGATTATAGCACTGGGGGGAGTGGATGTAGCTTTTGGTTTCAAAAGTGAGGTCATTAGGGAAGTGCCTTAAAACTGTTGTTCTCTAATGACGAGCAAGGGGCGACTCCACTGACTGAAAAAAATATATATGTAAAATGGAAACGGCAGCTTTGTCTTAATTCAGAAGCTGCATCCTTGAAGAGTGCATGTCAACACTGCATTACACCAGCGCATTCTTCAACGGCTGCCTCTAATGCATTTTAACCCCTAGCAGGCATTACTAATCGACTACTAGTCACCGTAATAGTGAATGTTTTGTAGAGAAATGGAAAAAAGGTCACACCACAACAGTTACAGTAAATGGAGAAGTGATTCATCTTTACATACTGTATGTTACAGAGTTAGGTAACTGTATACAGCAGGGAAAGTTACATAAAGACTCTTAAGGTCCTTTCACACCAGGACCGTTTTTTTGGTGCGATTATTTTGGACGTCATATTTTTTTTCAAACCCGTATCCTGTCAATACAAGCGTTCACATCAGCGACGTTTTCCTGCCCTGCGATATTGCGGCATTTATTTTTTTGGATCATGGTCAATTTTTTAAGTTTTGCATACTGTGTGTCCGAATCTGACCAATCAGGTTGCGCGTTGTTGCAACATCAGATTCACTGGTATATCCAACATGGCTGATCGGCTGATTGTTTATGTGTCAGAGAACAGAGTGCTTTTTGACAAAAGACACAAACATTACAAAGATAACGACCTGAAGGACAACTTGTGAGGAGTCATAGCGTCGGATTTCTCATATGATGATGGTTTGTGAGCTTTAACAGTTTGCTAAAACGGCTTTGTTTTAACTTTCATTTGTGCTAGCTTAAGCTAACGGTTGTTACCATAGTTTCATGTGCTTATCTTGTCGCCTCTGATTGGCTATAAGTCCTGACCGTTTGGCCTGAGCGTGGGATGACGTTTCCAGCTTTTCTATCCCGAGATGCGTCTTTTTCCCCTGGAAAGTTGCAAAATCACATCGGGCTTGATGTGTATAGTCAGGTGCGTCAAAATTCGCCTCTGAATATTTCGTATTTTTGTGTTTTATATTTGTGTTAGCCCCGGTGTGTAAGGACCTTTAAACTTAGAAAGTAAACATTTGAGTGTTGATGCCATGACTCTGATGGAGACCATCTCCAATGGCCCTTTCTGTGGACTTACACTTCACATGTCCTTGAAAAGCCGAGATCAGTGAATCCCCCTCCTTTTTTCTCTCATCCTCTGTTCAAGTCATTATCCAGGCAGTTCCTATCACTGGCTCGCTATAAATAGCCAGGGGTAAGGTGGGGAGCACTGTAGTCTAGTTGCACGGCGTTGGTATGGCTTGTTTTGTGTTTTGACAGAGAATTATAACTGGTGAGCTGTTTAACCATTCTGTTCGATGTGGAGAAATGAAATCACTCAAAATGAAACCTGAGGTCTCCCGTCATGGCAACCCAACCAAGAGTACAAGCTGCTACGAGCACTGCAAGCAAAGGTGTCCTGGATTAACCTTGATGCACAGAGTCTGTGTGTAGAAAACTAGCAGCAGTGATGGCATCTTTTATCCAGATGCTTTCACTGACATATGAAATGAATCAGAGTGGGGGTGGGGTAGAAAGATTTGAAGTGACCTTGTCCAGCTGTCATATGAAGGGTGAAAGAGATACAGCACTGATGAGGTCCTTCAGGTTGTGTTTCAGATGCTAGCTTCTCATCAAAAATACCCTGATGATAAATTGGCTGTCGAGTTACGATATTGACAGGAAAACCACCACAATGGTGATTTGAAGGCTCAGTGTATGTGCAATTAGTTGATCAGTACTGCTCAAAATGTCGCTTCGGTCTTTACACAAACCAGTAGGCATTGGGACCTGACAGTGTTGGAGCTGTTCGTTTGTTTACTAAAAGGGTTTGATCAGTTTCCAGGCAGCTACTCCCCTCTTTGGTTTGATATGTGTGCAGTGTTAACTGCAGCCCTTTCAGCCTCTAGCACTCCAATGTAACAGGCGACAAAGATGCTTTTGAAATGTTAAACAGTTTTGAAGAGAGATAATTACAAGTATGAGGAGGACATCTCTCATTTAGTCATAGGAGCAAAACAAACACTTGGATTTGTATGTTTATCCTACATGTAAAGAGTGTGTTCATCTTTGATTTGTGTGTTGGTTGTTTATGAATCCAGTGTCCAAACTGCAGGAATAAATGTCCGTGGGGGGTGTGAAGACCCTCGTGGTGCAGTCTGACAATGAGCCAGGGGGACTCAAAAGAGAAAGAGGGATGTTTAGCAGGAAACTTTGTTTTGGATTTAGTAATGGGATACCCATCCTAACAAAAAAATGCACTTTGCTTTCAACATTAGTAAACCTGCGGGCTGTCCTCCTCGTGCTGCAGGTGAGCCAATACTAGGGGTGGGAGAAAAAATCGATATAGCATGGTATCGCAATATTTTTGTCTGGTGATATATCGTATCTCATCGATTTTTTCAAATTAATTGCTAACATGGAGTCAAATCTATGATAATGGAAAATTAAAGTCAACTGTTTGTCCAGTGAGGTTGGCAGAGGTGACATCATAGAGCAGGAGAAAGTTAGTACAACAAATATATAAAAGGTTAGCAAGATGTGCTACATGAAAATAAAATACAGTGTAAATAAGACAAACATAAAGGTAAGACAAATGCTAAATTAGCTAACAGTTGAAAAAAATTGTATAAATCGTAATATATATTGTTTGGCAATACTCACTGTATTGTAAAATGTTAAAAATCGCAATAATATCATATCATGGCCCAAGTATCGTGGTATATCGTACAGTGGGGCCACTAGTGATTCCCACCACAAGTCAACACGTGCTGATTAACTGACTAAAGTTATGACCAGTTGTCATCGTGAAACAGTGTAGAGTTGAGTTACGTTAGTTATATTTTGGCAGGTTGGTTTTTTGATGGGTATCTGATCCATGAAAGGGTTTAATTTTGCAAGTGCATCTTATTTTATAACAGTTAGTAGTCACTTACTGACTAAGATGGAATTTACCTTATCTTTAAACAAACTCATGATAAGATAGAGCATTTCCTGCCAGCTGTTTGTCAAAGTCGGGTAATTTAGGTCAATGAGTGTCAGCTGTGAACAGACTGTGTGCTGGCACATGAAGAGAACATTTGGTATAGAGGCTGTCAGATGAAACCATATAGGATGAATGGTTAGATGGTCACGATGTGTTGCTTAAACAAATCAGTTCCAGATGAGGCTCAGCAGGTTATTGCGTGTTTATTCAAAGTGAGTTGTGGATAGGTGACATGCAAATACTGCCCGGGCTGAGGTTTGGTGTTGGGTATGATACCTAAGCAATGGGTAGACTCCATGATTGTTGAGCAACACTATTGTCAGTGGGGACCAGCACAGCAGGGTGGTCCGATAACAATCCAGAAAACAGCTCTTTATTTATAAAGTATATTTACCCAGACTTTTGGGCTAGTCCTCCAAGAATAGTCCAGCTAAGCAATCGTCACCATGTAACTAGATCAGCTCTATCTTACTTCAGAGTGAGGATCCTTGGAAAAACTAATGTGGTCAGACACTCATTTCTCTGCCTGGTGTGCAGAACACCGGACAGCTCACTTTCTCATTCTCAGACACAGGGCTAAGCTCTCAGTGTGAGCTCAGAAGAAAGAGTTGTTATCTGTCCTCAAGAGGCGAGGTCTGGTCTGAATGGCACGTCCTTTTCTGCAGTGGAGGAGACTTTAATTGAGGAGATAAGAGGAGAACGACCGGGTATGAGTACTGGCCTGGTACACAGTCAGTTGATTATGTAGAGGCTCCCTTATTTTAATACAAATTGTGAGGCTGGTGTTCATACAGTGTGAGCAGGTTGCAGCTAATTTTGTGCTTTTATATGAACTCATTACTTAGCTGTGCAGAGCCACAGATGGCTCTAGTCCCTACATCATTGCTAGGCTACTTTCCTTCAGTATTTTCTTCTTGGCAACATCTACCAGAAAGAAGAGCAGTGGAGAAAAATGAACAGCATTGGTGCTGCAGTGATTTCTGAGGTGTGAAGGAGGGTAACTCCTCGCATCATTCTTCCCTCCAGCTCTGAAACGTTCAGGAAACAGACTGCATTCTTGACAGCAGTGGCTGACAGACAGTGGCTCCAAGGAATGCCTGAATTTCTGTAAATGGGTCATCTGGGCCACGTCAGAGGTAAAAAAGCAGAGGTGTTGTCTTTTCATATGAGTGTCAAGCTTCTTTCTCTCTCTCTCTTGAAGCCTGAGAAAGTACAGAGTCTTGTAAATGCGTGATGTGTAAGTCAACAACAAGATAAACTCATATTTTATTAGCCTTATCATCTTGGTGAACAGGAAAATCATGTTTACAATGTGACGTTTTGATGTGCAGGAGGAGTGTCATTAAAATATTTGCTCAATGGCTCAAAAAGATCTGACCCATTGTAATCTCTTTTAGTGTCTCTCTATGAACACGCCCACTGCGCACATCAAATAGTTCTCATGCCTCAAGTCTGTGTACTTTGGCAAACTTAAATGACACAGAAAGGAGGGATTAATCTTTTTAGGCTGAATAGAAATTCTATTCTGTGGCACTATTACTATAATGTCCCATTGTGGAAACTCACTGGGCTATGTCCAGGGTTTGTCTTTGTAATCCCTGGCAGTTCTCATGGATGCTATGCTAGTGTTTCTATGGAAATCCGCCTACTCACTGCTCATGCAGCCAACCAGGCAGATAGGAAATGCGGCTCGGACCGTCTGTTTATCAGATCAGAACTTTGACACCATCAGAGCAGGAAGTTCGGCCCTCGAGGGGGCCCGGCTCTGAGAAAGATGAAACAGAGGATGAAACCGATAAAATATGCATGAGGGCTGTATCTATTTCAGATTCTACTACTGTATGCCTGCTGCAGCCTGGACAGGGCAGTGTTTGGGGAGCTGATGAACGGCTGTGAATGCTGCAGAGGAAAAATGTCAATGCTTGTGTGTTCATTTGTCAAAGAAAAATTTTAACCATTGGAATTATAAACAACAAACTAAATTCACGTTATTTTTAATGCAAAAGCATCAGACTAATTTTTGCCCATCATACATGATTATTTTGTATGTGAAGTGTGTAACAAAGATATTTGCAGAGATCACTTATCAATGGAATAAAACAAAGGCTGTTTTTCTTGGTAATTTGTAGATTAATTGAAAAGATAATGTTTGGATTAATGAATAAATGTCTATTATTTAGGGCTGGGCAATTAACCGCAAATTTACTGATACCAAAATTTACGACAATAACCGCCATTATGTCAATATATTCGGTGTCAAAAAAATAAATAAATAAAAGATGGTTTTGGATGTGTGTAGGTAGGCTATTGTCTCATGTCCCTTTGAGACACTGTCCTACGCTAGAGACGTGACCCCACCCCATCCAATCCGTAACCAATCGTCCATTTATTGTTACCGAGGTGAACTGCCTGATATATCTGATATTGATTTGAGGCCATAGCGCCCAGCCCTACTATTGTTATATGACATGTTGCAGCTAAAAAGAGCTAGTACACTACACCACAACCTCCTGTATGTCATTTACATGATCAGGGAATCACAAAAAAACAAGCAAACAAAGTCAAAGTTACAGATGTCTCGATCAGCCCTGATCCCAATCCAGTTTTTAATATTATCTGCTGTAACATAATCTTGATTTTGATATTTGTATTTTCCTCAGTGAATAGCAGCACAGGGTTTTTGTTATTGTTATCGACATAAAAATGGTTAAAGGAAACAAAAGTAACTAAAAAATGTCCTAAACATATTCCTCTCAATCGAGTTCAGCTAGTACTGCTGTAACTCCTTTCAGTCTCAAGCATTATTTTTCTCCTTTTTTACTTCTATTTTCTCCACGACCTTGATGAAAATATCATCTGACCAGAGTCATCATAATCTGGAAAGTGGGAGAAACAGTCTGATGTGCAAAAGGTTCAGAGCTTAAAAATGCTTACAGCAGCAACATCATGGTTTTTTTTTTTTCTCTGTTCTGTTTTTATTGTGAATTTTATGGTTCACATTTTCAGTCACATATCAATTCACTAATCTCATCCGTTCATCTGTCAATTACAATTGAACTGCACCAAAATACCTCCACCATTCCACTGACAATACAGAGGGATAATTGGTCCTCCCTCAATCACACAAATGACGAAATTAAAAAAATAAAAAAATTGAGAACTTAACTCCTTAGAACGAGAATCCTGGGGTGAGGTTCTGTTTTACTAGCGAGAGAAAAGATATATACTTTTTTTCATAAGGGTTGAAAAAGAAAAACATAGATGAAAAAGGGAAATGGATATAAGACCTGGTACTAGACAAACAATGGATGAATGGGAGTGACAAATCTAATCCATCTTTTCCATCTTTTCAAAAACAGTCCCTGTTTTAGTCTCATGAGCAACATCATGAGTGAAAAGGGAAAAGGGAAGGGAAATTCATTTGTCTGGAATCTCATGAAAAATGTCTCTGGTACAGTTTCATGGTGTCTGAGATGTAGTGTCGAGATGGCAGAACTTACGCACATGGATCCACCAGGATATTCATCCCTTCTGTAAAGTCCAGAGTTTGTTGCTCCAGGGCAGTTGTCTTTTTCTCTGATGCTTTGGGGACTTGTCGTACTCCATTGCATGTCTAGTTTGTCAGGCCCTAGTCTGCTTGAATTTAGAATACAACCCCTACTCCAAAATAGTTTGGGTGCTGTATGAAAAGGTGATGAAAACAGATTTTGATGGTCTGCAAGCATGTAAGGATTTAAATGTATCTAAAAAGTGCTTGAACTTTGCCACCTGTACTGTGTGTGAACTGTAAATATCAGTGAGTCGGGTTTACATGGTAAGCACTTATGTCAAAAGTTTGTGAACTTTCTGTATGTATGCCATAAAGCGAGCTGAACAAACTATTGATCTCTGTTTAGATCAAAGGAGATTAACAGCTCAGCACTTTACCGCTAGCTTTGCTTTCTTCACTCCTTGTTCAAAAATATGCTGATTAGGCATCAGCCCTCATCTTCAGGCGATTTATTATTCAAGTGGTGAGGAGTTTTTTCTGCTTTGGATGAAAAGTAAAATTAAGGTCTGGAAAGGGGTTCTGTTGGACTGTTTCTATCAATGATTTGGTTCAGCCTGGTGAGCAAAACTACACATATCACTTGTGAACTCTTGCGTCCTAGGTGTGGGTTCAGAGTTTTCCATTCCCAGGATTGTAGTAAGAACATAAAAAGTCTGTTCATATTCGGCTGTAGGTCTCTCACACACTCAACTGTGACAAATTTTTACTGACAGCTGAAAATGTGAATGTCACACATTTGCTGCATTGTTATGTGTGAAATGAAGCTGCAACTTCCTCGATACTGCTTTTAGGAAGGAGGTTTTAGCCCTGTTGCGCTTTAGTTTCACATCCCTCCAGACTTAAGGGGAAACCCACAGGGAGAGCAGAGACTGTCTCACAGCATGGAGCACAGATTTATCCCACACTCTTCCTGTTTCACTTTAGCTGAGATAACTACTTTACATGTGCAGTTTCCAAAAGACCCAGGTGCTGTGCAGATGGTTCAGAGCTGCCAACGTGGTCAGGCACAATTAATACATTAATATGTGCATGTTGGCACATAAAGTGTATCCATATTGCACACAGGGTTCCTACACAAGTATGGGAAGTATGGAATCAGATTTGATCAATTTCCAGGTCTTAAAAAGTATGGGCAATGAAAAATAAAGTATGGTAAAATATTTATGTTTCCAGACTATTAATACTGTTTCCAAGAATAATTCTAAAAAGAAGGGTATGTAAAAGTATGGAAATTCCAACTATGTAGGAACCCTCTATATTGCCAATTTTACTTGTTTTTTTTTTTGTTTGTTTGTTTTTTTTTCATTGACTTATTTACTGATTCCTTTCCCTGCCACTCAGCTAGTAGTGGACATCGTTTCAGCAATCAACAAGCTCTTTATGAAATACTCTTTGGCAGCACACTGGACAGTTTATTGGTCAAAATAAACGTATCAACATTTCAATTTATCATCATGATTCATGTTTCCACTGATCGGCTACTCCAAAAACAGTTCTGTGCCACATTTGGTTTTGGTGACGGGACAGAAATATCAACAAAAACAAAAATATTGATGTCCGAAATAATCGCACGACAAAAACGGTCCCAGTGTGTAAGGACCTTAAAAATGCTTCAACATGATATGAAGTGGAGGATCTACACATGGATATTGATTTCCCACCTTTTTGTCATGATCGACTCAAATTAGGTTTGGTACAGGGTAAATGGATGATAATTTTCTTTTCATGATTGTTGTTATTTTGAGTGCAAAATAGGAAGTGTGCTCTTCACTGCTCACCTGACCCCAGGCATACCTGGCAATGATCTGGAAAATAAATCTTGTTGTGTATTTTTATTTATCTATTTATTATCTTGCTTGGCTTGTGTCTCGGCCTGCTCCTCTTCCTGTTTCATATGATTAGGCGCTGAAATGGCAGGATACTCATAACTCTCTAATTCTCTCTACAGTCATAAAAACCATCTGCTTCAAACTAACATGGTAATGTACACTGAAAGCTTTTCTTTTTTATGAGGCAAGCGCTTATCACAGACTCCAGTGACATAATGCTTAAAAAGAAATCAGTACACAGCAGTAGACATCTATGATCTGGTCAAATATGACTGATTTGTTGAAGTTTTTGTGAGCTTTCTCCATTTTTCACCATTGGTTGTGTAATCCAGATATCTGTCTGCACACAGTTGAAAATGTGTTCCTGTCTTGTATGACTGACCTCAAGTTTCAGTTTGTGTGGAGCTGTCAGTTTCGGATGGTGTAATGATAAGGAAACCAGAGTAGATCATGGAAAAGTTGTATTTTAAGCAACGCACTCAGCTGAATCACCATCACGGTACAAGTTGCTCCTTTTTTTCACATGCAGTGTGTCTATGTGTGTCTATGTGGTGAGTCTGACTCACTGCTCTTTCCTGTGGAGGCAGGAAAGGGGAAGAGTTTGAGAGGCAGGCGGCACATCAGAGCTTCAGCGTGCCTGCTCATTGTTTTGTCTGAGAAGTGTGGCATTCAGTGGTCGGTCCACTCGGCCTTTTGTATCAAACAATGACTGACATCCCCTGACCCTACCTCTCAACCATTCAGCCACATAGCTTCTAGTTCCATCATTATTTATTTAAGCTAACGTTTGCTTCTATTTCCTGTTTTCCTTTTACACTTCTGCTTTAAGTGTCGAGTTGTTTTCTCAGCTCAGGATCTTGGCAGTATGGAGTCGTGTTCCAGTTGGAAATTCTTAGATATGTCTTCATACGTAACTGTGCTGTTTTTTTGTCTGGGAAAAGGTCAGTATACTGGTAATTGCTGCTCTCTCATTGTGAGTAAGTAGTAAGTGAGGTGAACATAAAGTGAATGAAGTGGTTCATGGCTTTTTCTCCAAGGTCCTGTTCTATATTGGGGTTATATTGCTTGGCACAGTTGAACCCTTTGTAAAATAGGGACTAATACACTCAGACCTTTCTTTTTCATTTGGTTTCACAGTCATTCAGTCAGCCAGGAATAAAACGGCAATATTTAAGTCTGAGTAAATATCTCTGTGTAGAAAAGATTTTGTGATGTCTCTTTTTCTCAGCTCTCTTCTTCCCTAGGACGTCTGCTCGATGACTAATGCCAACCCAAACAGAAGCCCTGCATACTGGGTACTCATACAACTCGCCAAGACTCTTACATTTTTCTAAGTCACTTGACACTATTACCATTTCTTCTGCTCGGAATCAGTAGTTGCTATAGTGGCAGCCGTATGCATCCATAGTAGCAGCACTTGTGTTGGACACTTTTTAGAGAAGTGAAATAGAATCAGTTTCTGGTCACACAACTTGATTTGATTTAGAAATAAATGAAATAATCACGTCTGTAAAAAGACTGGTGTATCCTCTCATATCCAACCCAACTTTAAGAGTGAATCGCAACTGTGTAGCTGTTTAGTAACAACTCCACTCAGCGACGTTCAACATTTACAACCCCAATGTAAATTATATCCTGTCCAAAATTATTAAAAATGAATTTGATAGTTTGCTAATCATTAAAAATCTCTATATAATTGAAGAAAGTGAAAGTAGGGATGGGCGATAATGGGCTAAAATTGATAACGATAAGATTTGCCATTCTGGTGATAAAGATAAAAGTCGTGATAAAAAATGTTATAATTCCAATCTATGTATTTGACTCATTTTGTCTTGAGGACACCAGTTGGAGTAATCAAAGATACTTAACCACAAGTTTGAGTGGTAGGTTATGGAGAAAACTAACGACATCAAACAAGTCTCAAATGTGAAAACGTTTTCAACATTTGTTGCTAACGAGCTGCTCAGAAACCTCTTCTTCATTACCTTCGGCCATGTTTGTTTGTTATTCTGCTCTGTGTGGGCTATGGCTGCGAGTCCATTGCTTGCACTTACGCCATCAACTTGCATTTATCGTATTTATCATGAGATGGCAAAGATTTATCATGGAGGATTTTTCTGACGATATATTGTGAATAATAACGCCCATCCCAAGTGAGAAGACAATATTTAAACGCTGTGATTGAAAAAAGTTTATTTTTTGTGAAAAATGTTAATTTGAAGTTTGACAACAGCACATCATTTCAGAGAGGTTAAGACAGACAGAGGCGTGTTTACCACTGTGATCTATCACCTCTTTGTTCAACTCGACTGCACACATTTTTTAACCAAACTCACCAGTTTGTGGGGTTTAGAAAATGAAATTTCCACGTATTCTTGCCTGTTAGGATTTCAGCTGCTTGAAACTTTGGTGTCTTTTTTGGTTTTTTTTTATGTTCAGTGATGAGTAAAGTGTTTTAAGTTGATGTAAAGTCAGGACTATGGGCATCCCCAAATCATCACAGATGCTGGCCAGGCTGTGTATCCCTTTTTTTCAGAGCAGAGGACACAGTGTCATCGGCTTCTGAGAGTAAATGTTGAATTTTGATTCACAGGACCATAGTAGGGTTTTTTTAATTTCTTTGTTTTATTTTAAATTAAAGGGTTGAGACGATTTGTAAACCATCAAGATCAGTTTTTATCAGCATGTTTCACAGCCCACGACATTTTTTTAAAATCAAGGTTATTTATATCCTAAAAGATGTATTTATATCAATTTTTTCCCCATAAGATTTGTTTGGGGACTTTTGCCTTAATCTGGACAGTGCAGACATAACCATAGTAGGGAATGGAGGGAGAGAGCTGAGAAGAACATGCTAGAAAGCAGCCATGGGCTGGACACAAACCACAAGGCCAGCAGCACCTCTGTATCCAAAATGTGGTTCTTCTGTTATCATCCCATTACTTTGTATACCTAGCCTAAGGTGCCTTTATATTTGGTGAACTTTCCACAGCTACTCTCCAGGGATGAGTTAGACTACTCCTGTGTTTTATTTTAGGAGGAAGACATTGTTTTGAAAGAGTCCCATCAGGTATATGTGTTCTGCACTGCAGCCATCCATGAAGGAGGGTTAGGACAGAAATAGAAAGCAAGGTCATATATGACCTCTGTTTCTCTACAGATGCCTTATATTCTGCTTTCACAGGGAAAATGTGTAAAAATAGAAGAGTTTTAAGATTTTTTTTTAGCACTTTATTAAAAAGCACAGAGGAAGAGAGTCAGGAAGTATGGGGAGTGAAAACAACAAAGGACAGAGGCCAGGGTTGGAGTGAAACTCGTGGTAATACAGTAAGGACTCTGCCTCTCTGCACAGTCAGTGGGTGTGGTCGGTGATTCTGGGCTACATGAAAATATATCAGTGTGGGCCTTGCTATTTTATTACCGCAAACGTTTGAGCTCCTGTCAGTCATGAGCGTTTAAGGGAAGTCGTCCTAAATTTTTACCCCTGGATAGAAACAAAGTACCTGTATTTCAAAATTTCAACAAATACTCTTTATCATCCACATTATTCTTGGTTTTCTTTCTGTCCTCTGCAACTGTGCAGTGTCGCCAAACTGACACAAATTAATTTCTGGGTCTCTCTCTGGTGAGCATCTATTGTCTGATTTAGAGGCCAGTTGCTGTGAATACAGGGCACGTGTATCCAAGGTTTCATCAGACTGGTGACGTGATTTTGAATGCTTGGTCTTAGTGTGTGATGTGTTCTCATAAAACATGAGAATAATGGTGTGTTTTAATGACATTTAACAAGAGTTAGTGGCTGCCGGCGCCATCATTACCCCGTTAATAGAGAAAAAGAAGTGAAAGACTCCAAAATCAGGCACTCAAATCTGTGTCAGCAGCATCATTATGTGAAACAGCACACAGAGGCTACAAAGCATTCTGAACTGTTTCTCAACTCTATGCAGCGTCCTTTTAAAAAGCAGTTTCTGTGCTGGTGTAGGGGTGTGGTCAGACCAAGTTCCTCAGTCAACCACCCACCACAAACTGAAGCCTGCTTCATGCAGGACTAGAGCGCAGTTCTTTCCCTGCCCACAAACTCCATGGCTGTGGCATGCTCTACGTTGTGGGATCCAAATTAGACTAGAATGGTAGAGCATAAAATGCAGACCCCTCCACAAATGATCCACCCTCACATTAAGAAGTGTTTGTGAGACAAAGACTGGCTTTGTCAGGGTTGGTAACTGTTGTCTGTGTCCAAACAGCCCACAGATCCCTTTGGGAGTGAAGCTCTCAAGACAATGTCATTGATCAATCCTTGTTTTTCTGACTCTTAAGCAGGTCACATGACAGGAATTGGATAGAGTGAGCAAAATTTTCACTGAGACAGCACAGGTACTTGCTTTTCACAGCTGTGGTTAATTCAGAAACACAATGGAGCAGTTGAGTCTCAGCCACAAACCACAAGCACACATGGTCCCAGGTTCCCATTGGAAGCAGTGTCCGAGGATCAAAGTGCAGACACCTGCATTACAGCGGTGTGGGTCCAGGACTATCCACCCATGATACAAATCATTACTCTTATTCTGACAGTGTTTGTTCCAGTGGTTTAAATGCCACATGTTGGAAGATTGTTCCTCCTCCTCCTCCTCCTCCTCTTCCTGGACCACTCTCCCATTCTTGCTGTCTGTTCCTCGTGAGTGAGGGAAAATCTGGAAAAACTGAGAGTGGAGAAAAACATGCTCACAGTTGAGAGTCTGATGCTTCCTTTTAGTGTGTGAGAGTGAAAGAGGCAACAGCACACAGTTGCAGCCTGCAGTACTTCCTCATCCTGAGTGCTGTTTTGAAACAGAAAGCCGTTGATCCTTCTCTTTCGGCCTCAGACTCTGTACAGCTCAGCAAAGGACGAGTATTTTGGTCAGTTGTGCTTGAGGGCTCTCAGGCAGAGGGCAGGCTGTAGGACAGCGTCCAGGACACGTGAGTAAACTGCACCACTGTTTTTTCTTTTGCTCTGACATCAATTTTTCATCACCACATTTCTCATCATGACTCACTTGTGTGAAGAGGAATTGTGATAAGTTGTTTTATATTCAGTCATTGTGTCACAGATTTACAGAGCTTACACTGGATAGAGATGTCACTGGCTGCTGTCAGAAAAAAATAAAAAATTGCAATTGGAAAACAGCTTTTCTTACATCATTACAAAAGAAGAAGTGACAGAGAACATCTATAAACAATATTTTTGTTTTTTATATTTGGGTCAATAACCCAGAGTACACACTATGAAGTGAATGTGACCAAAGCTCATTTTGTAACCTGTGATGCCAGAGTAGTATTTGGCCAACCAGAAGTTTCTGTTGTTAGTCTAATGATATACTTAAAGTATGTTAAGGTGTAAGTTGAGCTTTTTGAAGCAAAGTGCAGATCAATGAGTCAGGCAGGAAAGAACAGAGAGGATATGATGACATACTGAGAAGTGCAGCTTTTATTCTATTTTCTACGTTCTTTCCGGTGCTTTGGACATGCCTCTTATTTGAGTCATACACAGGTGTTGGTTTTTATGCTTGTTTGTAGGTCAGCATAATTCTGTGATACAGTCGGTAAAGTCAAAATTTTGATTGGTGTGGTATAATGGTAAAGAAATACTAACATTCAGCATTGCTAAAAAGGCTTTACTTGGTCATATTTTGTGGTGTTCTGCTGTGTTGGATTTTTGTTTGTTACTCTGTATAGACAGAATTATGAATATTGATTGAGCAAAGCATTGCTGTCACACCTGAGAGCTCTTGGATTAATTAGGAGCCACCATTAACAACGGCTATTGCAGCAATGTCTTCACAGGGCAGCAGTTTCCTCATCTGGTGGATAGTTTTTTTGTTTTCAGTTGCACAGACAGGATGTTTGTTCTTCTGCATGCTTTCTATTGATGGGTTGAGGCATTCAAAGAATTGTTTTTAAAGTGAGGTTGCATGAGGTACTTAGCAAATGCAAGTGCATTATCCACAGAGGAACCTGGTTGGCTCTGTCCCTTTGTTGAGAAACAGCCCAGAGAGAACCAGAAATGAAGCTCGGCTATCAACAGCCACATAGGGAGTTAACTCTAGCATGTAATGAGTTTAGCTAATTTTAAGAAACTCTGGCCCAACACCGACATCGATGTAAGGGTTTGCTGTAAAACAACAGTGATCAGTAAGGTGAGTGATGGATGGTGAGTGATGCAGACTACAGTCATGTCTAAGCCACCAGTATCCTCTGATTCAGAAAGGTCCTGAAGCACTGCTATTACCAAGTCCCACTGATGACGTTAGTAGGTCTCCTGGTTTGTAGGCATGGGCTCACAGTTTACACATCTGCACCACCAGGTAACTTGTCTTGTTCAGTCTCACTCCTCCCCAGTAATCTCTGCTGTGTAAGGTCAACCCTACTGTCTCCACAGTATTTGGCATGTCATACTTTCGGTTGGAATTACTCATCTTTTTAAGTCTTTTCCAAACTTGCAGTGAATGACAGCAGATAGGGCTGGGTGATATGGCCTCAAATCAATGTTACAATATATTGAGCAGTTCACCTTGATAATGATAAATGGACGATAACTACTCCTCAAGCTGCTCGCTCCTCTTTGTTACAGACTAGATGGGGTGGAAACACGTCTCTGACGTAGGACAGTGTCTTAAAGGGATATGAGACTATAGCCTAGTGCGACACATCCGAAACCAACTTTTATTCATTAATTCATTTATTTGACACAGAATATACCGATATGGGAAAAATGACACCGGTTATTGTCGTAAATTTCGGTATCGGTAAATTTTCAGTTTATCACCCAGCCCTAACAGCAGAGTAGAGGAGGTAAAGCTGATTATTTTAACCAAATTTGCACTCAAACTAAAGGTCCTTACACACCTGGGCAGACGCGAATATAGAACGTGAAATTACGGAATATTCTGAGGCGAATTTTAACGGGCCTGACTATTCAAGCCTGATGTGATTTTGCGACTTTCCCGGGGGAAAAAAGACGTGTCCCGGGTGGAAGCGAGAAGACTGACACAACACTAGACTGACTGTTTTTCAGTTCTGATTAGACACTAGTGTTGAGATGGCTGTCTGTCATGATAGCATGTACTGAGTCGGGGCCATGACCAGATAAGCACATTAAACTATAATCCATAAACGTAAGGTAACAACTGAGACTTAATGGTGCTGTGACAGCAACGCGATTGAGTTTGAGACAGTGAAAATACATATGGTATGTCGTATCTGAACAGGTTAGCTTATGAGCTAAAGTTACTTAGCACAGATGAAAGTTAAAACAAAGATGTTTAGCAAACTGTTAAAGCACACAAACTATCATTATATGAGAAATCCGACACTATGACTCTCCACAAGTTATCCCTCAGGTCGTTATCTTTGTAATATTTGTGTTTTTTATCAAAAAGCACTCTGTTCTCCAACACGTAAACAATTAACCGGTCAGCCATGCTGGATATATTGGTGAATCTGACGTCGCAACAACACGCAATCTGATTGGTCAGAAGTGGACACTCAGTATGCGAAACTTTAGAAAAATCAACCATGATCTGAAAAATAAATGCCGCAATATCACAGGACGGGAAAATGCTGCTGATGTGAACGCTTGTATTGACAGGATACAGGTTCGAAAAAAATATTTGCATCCGAAATAATCGCACGACAAAAACGGTCCCAGTGTGAAAGGACCTTAACTCTGATGTTTGGGTCCAGCTGTTTTAAAATGAGCAAAATTATGTCAGCAGCAGCAGTACCATATCGGTGTCAGTTCTCATCAAAGAAGCTGAGCTGACCAAGATCCCTTTTTAGGTTATACACTTACAACTGACAAGTACCTCACGTTTCAACTGTTTAAAACACAAACAGCCAAGCAGAACTTTGGAAGTGTGGGACACTGTTTGTTCAGTAGTGTAACAGGGAAACCTGAACTTGGGGTCAAAAAATGGTCAGGATTGGTTTACTAGGACTTCCCAACATGATCTGAGGAGATTTGTGGTTGTGGCCTCTCGAGTCTGCCAAGCTTCATATTGGTGCGATGAATGTGTATGTAAGATGGTATTTCCTCTGGAACATATAGTGGGTTTGGGTTAGTGAGGAGTAATTATTGGTTTTGCATGAACAGCTGTGCCCACTTTTGCTGGGCAGCAGAACTCCTGCAGGTTGAACCTCGAAATGATTATACATGCGGACCTCTTTGGGTAAAAATAAAGACAAGGCTTATTCATTATACTAAAACTGCTGGATCAGTCTGTCAAACAAAAGGAGAAATATAGGAGGTATATATAGAAGATCTAACTTGAACTGAAACTGCATGTTTCAATCGAAGAACCAGTGTGTACTGGATCGGTACTGGTCTGATGTGAGGAGCTATTCTACATTACATAAGAGTGTTCATCTTCCCTGTGAGATGAACTCACGTTGTCTGCTCCCTCAGGGTTGTATCAGATCAGATGGTGTTAGAGAAACTGTTTCATCCAGGACCAAAGTGATGATAGTTCACTGTGATTCTAAGTTCATTCTTCTTATCTCCTCTCAGCACTCCTCTCCAACAACAACAACCAACGTCTCAGTCTCCTCCTCCACCCTGCCCCATATTCAGACCTTACATTCATCTCCCTGTGTTTGGCAGCGATATAATTACAGAAAATGTTAGCCTATTACTTATAGCTGCGGCGACTACAAATTACATTTGGTTTTTCTTATTTGGCATTTTGCAAAGTAAGATTCATTTTAACTTCATACCAGCCTCATTGACCCGTTTAGGCAAATGTATCGCAGTATCATCATTATACATGTTTTGCCAGACTGTGCTGGTTACAGTGAAGTAAAAACCACAATATTTCTGTCATTATTATTGATATTTGTTTTTAAAGTGTGCAAACTATTTGTCTTTACTCTCCACTTCCTGGAGTTTAGTGTACATTCTGCCTCTCAAAGACATTTGAGTTTCTAACTAGGCCAGAGGGAAGTAAGTGGGACGCTCTCCTGGCTCCTGAGAATCATATCTCTGCAGAGGAATATGGAGAGGTCATGTTAGCAGAATTTAGACCTGCACTGGACTCTAGAAGGTGAAATAAACTGGATTAGGTTAAAACTGCGGAGACTCTTCCTTTACAGGAGATTCGCACTATTAAAGGAAAATCAGCGTTCTTCTCTGTGAGTTTCCTTATTTTTGTTAAAATAGAAACTGATATAATCTCATAGAGGACAATTACATCCTCATTTTGGCATCACTTCTCCATTCAGCCCACGCAGAGGTCAGAGCAGATGGAGAAGCAGGTCAAATGTATGCTTGGCAGTGAATGCCTTGTAAAGTGATCTAAATGGAGGTGAGCCACTGCAGCTGAGACAGTAGATTACCAGACCAGGCAGGAGTAAGTCACAGGATCTTGCCTGGGGAGGACTTGGAGTCATATGATGATACAGCAGAGAGACACAAGTTCTCATGTGAATGGAAAACTTATTTCAGACTGTGTTCTTAATTAGAGAGCTCACTCACTCAGCACCCACAGGCAAGAGTTAGAATATAATCAAGAGTTAGAATATCATGTTACAAACTTGATGTTAGGCCTGGGCGATATGGGCTCAAATCAATATCCCGATATATTGAGCAGTTCACCTCGATAATGATAAATGAACGATAACAACCCCACAACCTGCTCGCCCCCCTCCCACATTAACTTTGTCTACTTCAGCCACCGCTCCTGCCACTACAACTTTTAAACCGTCCTCCATCTCCTCACCTGTCTGTCCCTCTTTGTTACAGACTGGATGGGGTGGAGTCACGTCTCTGACATAGGATAACATCTTAAAGGGATATGAGACCATAGCCTACCTACACACATCCAAAACCAACTTTTACACATCAAATATACCGATATTGGCAAAATGACGTTGGTAATTGTCATAAATTTCAGTATTGGTAAATTTTTGGTTTATCGCCCAGTCCTATTTGAGGTCTTCTGCTTTGAAAACCTTACAGATATTCAACCTTCTCTTGTCCTTATGTCTGTCATGCTTAGTCAGTCATCAAAACATGATTTCTGGGAGTTCAGCTATTGACTATCAGTTATTTTTAGTGCAGCAGCAACAGTTGCATTGCTCTGGGCTGTTGTCTGAACACATGCAACATTTCAGTGATTCCAGCGTACAAAATGAGTGTGGGTAGTTCAGAGCAGAAAGGAAAATAAACAACACTCCCTGATAGCCCAGTCCAGAGTTTACTGGTTTCCTGCTTACAGAGACTGGAGGGTTTACCCGCTAACAGCTCTGTGACTGTCAAACACAGAGGATCAAGTTACCCTAACAACCCTGATCAATGACTTTGTGATTCCTCTGGGAGAGACTGAGCTGTTTACCAGCTCACTCTCTCCTTGGTTAAGTGCACCACCACCTCCCTCCATTTCCTGCAGTTACACTTTTCCAGGATAAGTACATTTCCTTCTGGTCATCAAATGCACACCTTTAACTGTCCCTGTAACCACATCCTTCCTGTTGAAGATGGAAAAGAAAGTGATTGTTGTACCACTTTTGAGCCGCATTTCTTACAGAGGACTGACAGTTATGGCTCTGGCTGTCTACATACCTCCTTCCAGATCTGTGCAGATAACAAAGTGTGGTGGTCAGTCTTGCTGGTTTGAACAAATCAGATAAAATATTTTTCCTCTCTCTCCTCCCTCTGGCAGGAAATATTTCAATTGTGTTGCTACCAGAACAACCTTAGCTGCCCTCAGAGGATCTCTTGGCTTGTATACTTTGGAGCAGCTACAACTTGCCTCTGGACAGCGTTCACATATTCTGATGAAAAGAAGGAAATGTACCACATGTTATTCTTTTTCTCCTCTGACTTTAATCTAGTTTGGGGAAATTGAGGGAGGCTTTTGACCCACAACTACAACTAATATAAAATGTTCCTATTTTTAGTGTATAAAATACTGCAAAAAAAGATTCGATTGCAGTAGGGCTGGGTGATATGGGAAAAAAATTTGTCATGATATATTTTTTCATATCAGTTGATATCAATATATATCACGATATAAAAAATAAAATTTGACAGTGCTTATTGGTAGTATGTCTTTTGCAATACAATAAGCTGCTGCATCTGTGAGGTCTTTGTGTCTCTTTGATGTTTTGTCGTAAAGCGTTGCGCTAGAGAAAGCGGACTGAATGGTCATTTGTTTCAGCTGCACAGGTGCCATGGTCTCCTTGCTCCACTCGGGGTTAGTAACCTTTTGCATTGCGCATGCTCTGCTGCGTGGCACTGCTTCAGGTGCTGAAAATAATTTGAGGTATTCCCTGACTTTGCGTGAACATGTACTCAACATAATTTGCAGTGCACATTACTCTGCTTCATGTCTGACCTCAAAAATACGATAAACCTCCACACCACCGACGTCTTCGTGCCAGTGTTGTTGTCGATGTCATCATCTGTTGAGCCTTCATCTGCATTTCTGCCGAGGGTAGCACTCATTTTCTTTTTCTCTCACCGACAGTGCTGTGGGCCTCATGTGTTAAAGTGCCATGTAGCTGCAGCCTGCTACTACACAGTTGTTTGCTACTTGGTTCTAATTTTAATCCAATCTAATTGATTAGTTCAGCGCAAAGTGGACCTGGAGCAACTCCCCTTTTCATTGGCTATTTGTATAGCCTACCAAAACATGGCAGAATGCCCACTATTGAAAAAGATATTGACTGTGTTTTATATTGGTATAGAGGGAAATTAATTCTCAATATATATCATTATTGCTTTATCGCCCAGCCCTAGATTGCAGAAATATAGTCTGTTTTATATTACTTTGTTATTGTTTTCCATTGGTGGTTGTTTCCCCTTGAGAGTTAATCCTCACAGCAACAAAGTGGACTGATTCAGCTTTAGGCCAAAGTCATCATTTGTGGTCTTTACTGTTCTATCATGACAAAGTATTAATGTGTCAATAAAGTCTATTTATAAAAATGTTTCTGAGTATTCAAGAGTAGGTTTCACACAGTTCCTCTCTTCTTGATCTCAGAGTGATTTTCTAATAAGATCATGTTTTCATTTTTTAGCAGCACTAACTGGCGCCTTTCAGGCTACAAATAATGTGACATTGTGGTTAAAGAGAGCAGTCTTTAGTGAATTATACTGGGCATCTGTTTTGGAAATATCAGCCCACCATCTCCAGGAAAACGCTCTGCTGAACTGTAGTGAATACACAGACACTTACATGCTAGTTTTTGTAAAGGAAAAGTGTTGTTCACTGATTTCCTTTTTTTGTTCCCTATTTTTTTAAGAATCTGTCCAAGTATTCAGTTGACGGTTCTTCCTGACAGAAAACCGTATTTAAACTTTAAACTTATTTTAGCAACAAACAATAGCCACATCAGAGAATAACAGTCCAGTAATATCCCCTCTTCTCTGGGTGTCTCAAAGGTGTAGTTAGTGGAGGCACAACCATGATGAAAACGGGCGCCACCAAGGGGGGGCTGCCCAAGCCAGGACTCCAGGAGCGGACCAAGCAGACCTCCTCGACCCTTTCTTCTTCCTCCACCACCTCCACAGCCATGAAGACCTCAAGATCCTCCAACATGCTGGCGTCAGAGCAGCGCCTCAGCAGAGTGAGTCATAAATACACCACCATAGTCCACATTTACATGAGTAATGATGTTGATAAAATCAAAAGAAAACATTACAAACTGTTCAACATTATGATCAGGATAAACCATGAGTTTTAAAGAAGACCCCCATGTGTCAAAACTGCAGTAACAAGTGTTCCTCGCTGGGTCTAGACAAAACAACAAAAAACGAACAAAACAAGACATTCAATATCACACAATAGACAATTGTTGGTACTAACAGTGGATGTGTTTGTAGCTGAAAAGAGCGAGCAGTGATGATGCATTGACGAAGCCTGCACTGGGGGCTGCTGCCTCTGGTTCCCGGATGAAGAAGACTGTGACCACTGGAGCCATATCAGATCTTCCTGAGGCCCGCCCTCGCAGCCAGTCCGGTAAGTGATGAGCAGTTATCTTCAGATTTCTAATTTTAGCGACTTGTTTTGTTTTTAAAAACTCAGTGTGTTGTCCAAAGACGAGACAAGAGAGATGCTATCTCTACAACTTTTGCAGATGATCTCTAAATGTGTCAGAGTTTGGCCAGATCATTGTTGTGAATACTGTTGAAATACTGTCGTTAACCACTTGTGACCACAAGGGGGCCTCAGCTCACCACCAAAACTGCCTCCACAGCTCTCAGGTGCTTGCTGTGTGTCTGGTTTTCAGAGGGGCTTCCTTTACCCCTCTTCCTTTCTGTCTGGTCTGTTTTTTTCTGGTTTGCTTGGCACCGATGATGTGCAGGTGGCTGGGTACTGTGGTTTCTTAGTCTTTGGTCCAAAATTGGGAGACTGAATGCTTTCATAGTCTGCTCCTCAGACAGCATCTGCTCATCCGTGTGAACAGCAGGCTATGTTTTGGATGACAAATGAGGGAGAAGGGACTTTTGTTTATATCTACAGACAAGTGACAGAAAGATTATTTTGGTGATGTTTTTCTCATTGTCATTTTATTTTTGATGTATGGGTGTGTTTGTGTTTGTTTTAGGGAAAGTCAATGAGGTGTTGATATACCAATGTGTTTGTTTTGATCATAGGAAATGAAGAGTGTAAAAGATTATGTTGAAGCTGATGCTGGCTCATTGAACATCCTATACTGAGTGATTAATCACAGGATCCAGGATTGAGTTAGAGGGTTTATTTTCTCTTGTCTTCAGTGGATGATTTTTTTCTGTCCAGACAATCAAAGACATAGAAACAAGATGTATCAACATAAGATATTTCAATAAAGGGGGACTAATAAAGTTAAATGAATTTGTAAATTTGTTAACTTAGCTTACATCATAGATGCATCCACTTCAGGGCTTTAAATCATCATTACATTTGGGTTTAGTTTGACAGGAATCCAATAAAATAATATTTGAGAATAAACCAAATTAGAAATAATACATATTAGGAGACTCCAACAAAATTTTAGTAAGGCTTTGTCCATTTTCACTCACATTCAGACAACCTTTGTTCTGTGCTGATCTTTGGTCAGGGTGTAAAAGGAAGAGCAGGCCTGAGGGCTGACTTTTATGATGTTGGGGGTGTGGCTTGGCTTTGAGTGACAGGGGGAGTCAGGTATGGTGATGGTGAGTTGAGAACTTGGGATTTAACAAACAGTTTTGTACATAACCCTTTTTTTAAAGTCTTCTGACCACTCAAGGTGCTTTAACATCTCCTGTCACGTTCACCTTTTCACCCCACATTCATACACTGTTGGCAAAGACTTTAAAGCGCCCCTTAGTAATTCTAGGAGTCCTCTGTGATCGATAAGTTCTGAATCACAAGATATCATGTGAAACACAGAGAAAAGGCCCAAAGCTTTGAATGAAGAGAAGTTTTGTGAAAGGAGCTCTGTCATGCCATAAGAAAAAATTGTTTACGCATAAATGATCTCAGCTAAAAGCCCCACCTCTTCTCCTTATCACATACAAATTTGAGAATCTAAATACAAATACTACCTATTTCTTGGTAAACACCTGCATTCAAAATGTTTACAGCCTATTTTGACAAAGCTGTTTTATCTGATTTGTTTTTAAGTGAATACATTACTTCACAAAACTTTCTTTTCATTATCTATTCTTTTCTGTCTTTCGCATAGACTGTATATAGAATGGACAGCGTCTGCCTTCTTGCTGGGTGAAGCCACCCCGAGAACAGCACCCTCTGTTGATGGGCTGCAGTATAGAGCGACCTTTGACAGAACAGTAAAATAAGTACACAAGGGCGCCATCTAGTGACAACATTTAACAGGGGGAAAATCCTGACTTTGATGAAATGAGCCAATACCACATTTGTTGGTTTGTTGACAACGACAGGCGTAAATACAACTCTTCTTCTGAGGTTGTTTTAGCAAAATCAGACAACTCTTTGCATGTCCAAATGCTTCTAATCTGAATAAAGCTTGCTGCATATATACGCACTTCATGACTGGATTATTTGATTTCGCACCCATATAAACAGTGGATTCAGATTATCTGATCCCTCAAATTTTTAATCGGATCAAGAAATTTGGCCCATGTAAACTTGGCTACTGTTTTGACCTAATTTCAATATTGTTTGACTTAGCCTCTTGCCTGTCGATTTGGATACCTCTGCCTGTGCTTTTTTTGGATCCTGGGTACCGACTCTTTTTTGATTAAACGGACTTTGACTTCGCCAGCCTGTGAGTTTGCATCTAGGTCTTCTTTTGGTTCAGGGTCACAGTAATAGTCATTGAAGTCAAGCTCCATCCTGTGAGATTTTTTTTAAAGTCAGCTGTTGGTGGTGACCTGTAAAGGTGTGACAGCTCAAGAACTGCACAGAAAACACACTGTGACACCATGGACACACCTTGATTTTTAGAGCTGTTGTGTTGCATGTGAAAACCAAAGAAGACAAGATGCTTGACTGATTTACACCATTTAGTAATGAACCTCAGAGTAGGGCTGGACGATATGGGCTCAAATCAATATCACAATATATGAAGCAGTTCACCTTGATAACAATAAATGGATGATAACTACTCCACATGCTGCTTAATCCCTCCCACATTAACTTTGTCTACTTCAGCCACTGCTCCAGCTGCTACAACTTTTGAACCGTCCTCCTTTTCCTCACTTGTCTTTCCCTCTTTGTTATGAACTGGGTGAGGTGGAGTCATGTCTTCAACATAGGACAGCGTCTTAAAGGGACATAAGACCATAGCCTAGCTACACACATCCAAAACCAACTTTTGTTTATTCATTTTCTTGACACAGAATGTATTGACATTGGCAAAATGATGTCGGTTATTGTCGTAAATTTCGGTATCAGTAAATTTTCGGTTTATCACCCAGCCCTAGCTCAGAGTGTGATGTTTCTACACACATTGATTATATAAGTCTGCATTCTGCTGTTGTAGATTTGAGGTCCATCATGCCACCCTTGTAATTTTTTAGTATTTGAGTATCGCACACATAATTAGATCAGCTGCCTTAGTCACAGAAAATACTTATCAGCAGAGTTCAGTCATGGTCGACACTTCACAAGAACATTTTCATTATCTGTTACCATCTGTGCTGATATTGTGCTTTGTATGGGCTGAGAATATTACTAGATAAACAGAGCAGCCACAAATAGATACCAAAACAAGTATAACATTACATGTAGGACAAATATGGCTGCATAATGATGGGGATTTGTTTGCAGTAATTAATGTTGTTCACAGCACATCCTTGGAAAATCCTCTGTGTGGGAGAATGCTGTGTTTGTTTATAGTGGCCCATGCGCACAGTGTGTAGATGCTGTGCTCCAGTGAAATTCCTCTTCAAAGAGCTGTTGTGCTGAAGCGATGATAATTGAATCCTACTTGACAAAGGAGTCCAAAGGGGCAGAAAAACCACGGCCAAGTGAGGCTCTCGGTCCTTTCAAACACAATTAGACCATGATCAGCTTTCACTGGAACAGGCTCTAATTAACTAAGGTTTGGATTTTCAGAGTGCTTTCACACCCAAGGAAAAGAGAAGCTTCCCACTTTGTACTCTTTATAATAAATTCATTACACTTCACGTCATTTTCTGGCCTAGTTTTGTTTGCTCATGTCTGGTAGCCAACCAGTGTTGAGGAGACAAATGTGGTTCTTGGTCATAAAACCGTCTTAAAATGAGGCCAAAGCTTTGATGCTGCATCACTGCTCTGCTGTTGCTACAGTTTGCATCAGACACATCCTATTTGTGAAAAACATTTAACCCTTCAGTTTTTGGCTTGTTTTTAAATCTGATGGCTGAATTTAGCAGCATGTCTACAGACTACAGAGGCAACATGGAGTTTTTTTTTAATCTAAAAACAGAGCTAAGCTTACAGTCACTAAATAATTCACACTATGCACCTGGTGAACCATCAATCATTATAGTTCCTGGCACATCTAATGTAATACACTGAAAAGGCAGAAACACCAAGATTTGCTCCTGCTCTACCTGAAATTCCTATCAAGCGCTCCAAATTGTTTTGCATCTGGGCTAGGACTTTGCACCAGTGCACATCTAGAGCTATAGAAAGAGACAAGGAATGGACATGTCAAACAGGTCTCAAAAATTCAGCTAATCAGCAGGCAGAAAATCAAACCTGACACCTGAAAGAGCACTGATGGTTAATCATGCACAGAGGAAGTGGCAATCATCATTTAGCCTGTCACTCTCAATTCTGACCTGAGACTTCAGCTGAAATGGCCACACAGGAGAAATGCCAGGATTTGAATACAGATCAGGGTGGCGATCTTTGGTATTTCAGACTCATCGATGTTGAGAGGTATTGCTCTGAAATGCCATGATTGTTTGCAGTTACTAAAGGGAAAGTGAAGCTTCTGAACTGAGTGAAGTCTGCTTTTGGACAGATAATTTGCTTTATGACATATCATGAAAAGTATATTTACTGGAATGGTCTGGAGCTGTGTCCCCAGACTTGTCTTCATGATAATGTCACCCACATGTGTCGTCAGCTCGGTCATAACAGATGAGCTTCGCTATTCTTGATGTGCGACATTACACACTGACAAGAAGCAATTAGGACTTACTTGGGCTCTAAGGCACACCGCAGCAGAACTGTCATCAAAGACCCGTCAGGCAGTAATTGAGTCTTTTCTCAGAGGCTGACCAAGTACATTTTATGACTCGACCAAGGATGCATGACAGAGTCTTAGAGAGTGTTGAACACATATTTTTATTTGACTGTCATTCAGTCAGACAGATTTGTGAGCAACACACCATCATGTGTAACTCTCAAATGTTGTTCCCTATTTCTGTATAAGAAATACTGTTTATTTAGGTTCAAAACTGCATTTAAATCCACATTCAATCAAGTGAATTACTGCAAACGAAGTGCAGAAAAGGGACTTTCTTCATATGAATCTACATATTTGTATATCAAAGTATTTTTTTTCTTTTTGTGATCAGTTTTTATTGAATTTAACTGAGAAAAGTAGAAAGGTGAAAGTCAGTGTTACAGCAATGAATATATTGAATGAAGATATATATTCACATATACCCATACTTATAAATCTATATAGATACATTAAAAAAAACCTAAAATGATAAATGTATATGTAGAAATAAATAAAACAATAGTAAAACAAATATACAATAGGTTAAATAATAATAAATTACTTGTGCATGGAACAAGATCAAATAAATAAATAAATAAAAATTACTACCCCAAACACAAACCACCCACCACCCCGGATCCTATATTTAAGTATTTTAATGCTACTAGCGTTCTGCCTTTCGACACTATTCCCTTTAAATATCAGCTTTGAGCTTTGAACTACAAATGATAGAGTAGTCCTTGTTTGGACATGATAGGCATTTGCTTGTGTAGAGTAAATAAGACAAGATCCAAGCGCATTAACAGTACTTTTGTCACACTAACATCACAGTGGTTTTGAAGGCTGTCAAACCGCAAGAGTCCCTTGAAAAGATCATTAGACCCACACAAGTTCATGTGACACACACACATGCACAGTGATGGCTTAAAGGGTCAGCTGATCCCGCCCATGCCTGCCCTCACAGCATGATGTACTAATGAGTCAAAACTGTTTTTTTTACTAATGGAGTTTTGTCTATATCCCATTTGGCACTTAACCAGCTTACCGATGCTGTCAGACAATGGGTTAAAACCCAGCCTCATCCTGATGACTTATTTAAAACACTTCATCAATAATTCAGCAAAGCTTTCAGAAGGAGAGGAGTCCCTGTGGAGTGTGCGGCGAGAAGAGACAGAAGGAGATAAGATTGTGGAGCTCTATAAATAACAAGCTAGTAGGGGTGACTGCAGGGCATAACTTTACAAATGACCACTTCACTTATAGGCACTTTCCTTCACCTCTGTTCAGTCAATGCTTTCACATTGATTGTTAAGGTTTGGGTGAGAGAAGGTGAGCTGAACATTAATGTCTCCTCATTGAGTTTCTTAAGATTCACTGAAGTACACTTAACTTTTTCAAACACTTCAAGAGCCCCAGATGCACTGCTTCAGCTTTAATCCAGTTCTACTGGTACTTAAGCCTGTGCTGCATTTTGCAACCACATTTGCAAAATACTCAGAGTTGAAAGGAGTAGTTCACATTTTTAGCATTGCTCTCGCTGCAGATTAGGATGTGTAAATCTAGTGGTGGCTAATGTAATCTTACTGCAAGCCGAAGTGAGGATGGAAAACAGACTACAGACGTCTGGTGAGCCCCTACCTTTTTCTTTTTACAGCTCATGCTCACCAGCCCTAAATGATACCAACCCAAGTGACTACACATGAGATTGTCAATGACTTTGTGCAGCTCACATGAGAGCCTCAAAAAACTTTGTATTCCCGGCACATAATGTCCCCTTGAGTGACATGTGTCAATGCAGCACTGTCACTTCATAAATCTTACTCAGCAAGCAAATGAAAATTAATGATCAAGACATGCTTATCACCAACAAGAGGCATTTTAACGGCGCAGGTTTTACTTTTCTCTTCTTGTTACGTGAAGTTGGGTTTTGATTACTTGATGTTGTTATTCCTTTTCTCTCCTCTCTGCTCATGGTGTTGCATCAAGGTGGTGTTGCATCAATTCCAGTCACAGAAACTTTTTGTGTGCTGGTTCCAGTTCTCAACTAAAATTTTTATTTCTGTTTGACTGACTGATGGTGATTTACCAAAGACGATGTGTGATTTCTGCTGTCATTCCCCTGATATCCACTAACCAAAACACGGTACAGGCTTTTAATTAACCTCCATCCACCTCTACATGGAAGGTCTGCTTTAGTGAGTGATGAAGATAAGGTTTCACTCATGTGAAAGATTTGCAAGCCCTATACCAGATGGCATGACTTTGTACTCTCCATTAATCAGCTCCTAGCTGGTACCATGTCCTCTTGACAAAGGATGAATGTATGATTCAAGTGTGAGGTGGCCTTATTTAACAGTGACAGTGAAAGGTAAGCAGCAAAGAGAGACTGAGGTGGGCTAGGAATATTGTGGCCCCAGACTGTGTATGAGTTTTCACGTGTACGACCTAGACTGTAGAGTCCAGACACCAAGAACATGTGGTCCCAGCAGGCCCCTGTCTGTCTGTGTGTGAGAGAAAGGTTTGGCCCTTGAGCGCCTTATATCTGTCAGATAAATTAATCAAACACGCCCCAGTCCACCGGGACACCTCAGACTGCATAAGCAGTCAGCCATGACAGACGCACACTGACATGAACAGCACAAAGACGAAAGTTCATGTACATTCAGAAGGACACATATATGCACTGAAAATTACCCGCATATTTATGATTTATATCTTCCATACTTCACTACATTATATACAAACCTGCATTAGTTATAAATACAGGTTCAAAGGAATATTGCAAACAGGAATAGCTTCACACCCACTCACCACAGTGCTTCTAGAGGCAAGAATTCACACTGTATCAAAGCCTTTGGTGTCAACTCAGACGCACTTTGGGGTTTTTTAGTTTTTTGACCAAAGATTAGGCATCAAGCTCAAAACTTGCCTGAGAGGCTTGTGACCTCTGCAAGTGCCCTGAAAATACAGAATAGAGAGAAAAGGTCTTGCCAAATCCTGAAGGAGTCCTGTTGGGCCCACAGAGATGGACGTCCTGTGGTGAGGAGAACATTCTTAGCTGGATTAGAGGCATGTTTGTTTACTCAAGTAGATGTGCTGCTCCAACACGAGGAGAAGGGAGAATATCGTGAAAAGAGCAGGAAATGTACCAACTGTTATGCAACATTCATAAGATATGAAAAGGCTTGGAAGCAGCCGTGTACAGTATGCTGCAAAGAGTTGAGTATTCAGCCTGACGTGGGCAGAATCGTGCAGCAAAGCAGACCATCCTCGCAGTTATTGGAGGGTTTTCAAAAGGTTTTTTTTTTTTTTTTTTTTAGACTGGAGTTAAAGAATTTTGTGCCACAAAAATGCAACACAAAGTTAAAATGTACATCCTTTTCTTTATCCTGCTTTTTCACTTGAATTGCCTCATTTCTGTAGGTAGGGTAAAGAAATAAACTAGTAGCTCCGAGCTTATGCAACAAAGAAACTCATCCAACTAAAAATATCTCTGCTTATCTGTGTCATGTATGGCTTTAAAAATTGATGATGCAGTGAGGATAAATTTTAATACAGATTTGTGCGAGTGCCCAACTTTTTTGGACCTGTACAGCACAGTGTACAGTGCCAGAGACTCTCTGATATTGTGAGACACTATAATGCCATTGTTTCTGGACTTTTATGAAGAAACATTAATTATTTATGGGCCATCAAAAGAGGTTTAGGAGGAATCAATGGACATCAGCTTTGATAGAAAACAGCTGGCTGTAGTAAATGATCTATATAAAGCATTAGACTACATCCAACTTCTGTGGAAATAAGAGCATGGTATAAGAGGTATTACAAGACAAAGATTAGGAAGCTACTTGAAAAAATAGGTTCCATTTGGTTAAAATTTTAAATAATGAATCACATTTTTAAAGTGTAACTTATGGTGTGCCACCTGGATCATTACTGGGACCCAAGTTATTTAAAACTTCTTAAAATTATATTCATGGAGTTTCCAATGAGTAGAAATTTTGTTACATTTGCAAATAATTCTAATTTATTTTGTCCTAGGAAGACATAAAAAATACTGAAAACACTGGAGCTGGAGTTAAAATCATAGTTTGTTATAAATAGGTTATACTAATAGATAAAACTAAATTAAAGGTTTTCATTCGTGACAGGGTTAGCTTTGAAATGAAACTTGTTTAAAATGAAGTTTGAATTGAACATTTGAAATACAATTTGTGGGAGTCACTGTAGACCCTAAACTCTGTTTGAAATCACACATGGAAATCTATCTATCCATTTATCCATCTTTCACTTAGAGTAATTTTGAGAATCAGTTGATGAGTTTGCCTGTTGTGTAAAAGAGGAGTTTCTTTTTCCTGTATTTTGCTAAAATAAAAATCCAACAGGGGTTTCCAGGCAGTTGTCACATTAGTTAACAAGTATGTACATAAAAAATAAGAGAGGAAAAAAGCAATCTGTCCTCAAACTCTGTAAAACCCCCAAAAACCTGGCTTAACGCCCACTTTTAAACCCATAGATGTACTCACATTGACTCATAAATGCTGTTGTTCCATACCGAGTGAACTCTGCAGAAACCCTTTTCTGGTAGACAGACATTTTTTGTGGAGACTTTTGTAAGCGATTTTTATTCGTGAAGCTCGGTACAGCACACGAGACTTGGTGTGCAGTCCCAGCCTATAAGTTCTTTTAACAGGCAAGACGAGAGCTGCACTGTCACCCTTTGCCAGAAATACAAATAGTTCCTTTCCTTTCCTCCTGCTCCTCTTTCCTTCCTTTTTTCCTCCACCCACTTTCTTTCTCTCTCTCTTCCATCTCTTCCGGCTCTCTCTCTCTCCTACTCCCAGGCTCATTTCAGTTCCAGTGAGAGGGATGGTTCACACTATTGTTTGCCTGGTACTGGTGAGAGTAAACTGGTTGGTAGTAGTGGGAGGAGGTGTGCTAATGTGTGTGTGTTTGTATGTGTGTGTATGGCCTGGGAAGCCACTCCTCCTCTGAGCTGATTCCAGTCATCAGAGCAATAATGAAGTGCACACAACGCTGCCCGCCCGTCCGCCTGCCAGTGTGACATACTGTCACTGTTCTGGAGGACATGCACTCTCGCACACATTCGCACACACTCGCAGTCTCTCACTGACAGCACAGGCAGCAGCCTGCCTCCTCACACATGCTCACACACACTCACTCAGTCCTTGGAAGGAGTAGGGAAAAGAAGAGAGGACCAGAAGGAGGGAAGAATAAGAGGAATTTGTATGCTTCTTAGGGTTTCCTCTTTATGAGACTGACCGGTGATTGTTGTTGGTACTGAACGGAGACAACAATACAGACACTGACACGCACACACACCTCTCCCCCGCAGCCACGGATTCTTGGATTAGTCCGCCCCGGTGTGGAGAGTGGGAGTCGCGGAGCGGACCAACATGGGGAACCAGGCGGGGAGGCAGGAAGAAACTGAGTCAGGTCTGCTTTTCTTGTTTTGTGGTTTTGTCTCAGCATCACTTATCCCTCTTTGTCTGTCTTTCTCTGTTAATGCGAAAGGAGAAGTCACACGTTTGTTAAACACAATGGATGTGAGCTGATTTTCTGTCATGTCTGTCTGAGTACATCTCAGACACGACAAGTCCTGACTAATGAGTACTGACTAAGATGTGACTGACTGATGAGTCCTGATTACTGTGCCCTGGAGTTAAAGAAGCTGTCCAGACGGGTTTGAAGTCAGCTGTTCTGCTTTGTTCTTGTGCCACTATTTGTGATCGACTGCATGTGTAATTATGAATCTGCTGTCTTGGGTTGATATCCTGTCAGTCTAGCTCCGTAAGTGTGTGTGTGTGTGCTTGCACCTGTGTGTAAATATATTTTGGGAGTCAGGTGGGGGAAAGTGCTGAGTGAGATGAGTCTGACAGTAAGCATGAGGGAACCTGCCAGAGGAGTATGATGGTATCATCAGTCTCACGCTCACATCCCTCCACAGCCTCGAGCTCACTGCGCCTCAGTGAGATTTCCATTTCAAAGTCCTCTCTGAACTGCACTCAGTAGCAACTTCACACTTATCGAGAGACAGCCGAGCTCTTCCATATCTGCATAACCTCATTTTGTTGTTTTATTAGCTAAATGAGCCTTTGCATCTTATTATTGGTGCACTTGTGTGTTGCTCTGGGTGTCTTTGTTTCTGTATACACAGTAAATACACATATTTGGACCTCGTATAATATCTTTATGCTCTTATGTCCTTGTTTCTATCCCTGCAAAAATAAACACTTAACAGACCAGAGGAGGTGGCATGAAAGGGCAAAAGGGATGAACACGCTCTCTCTCTCTATTTCTTTTTTCTCTCTCACACACACACACACACATTAACACACATCGCAGTGAAGTATTTTATCAGCAGTGGGTGTTAAGCTGCATCATTTTATAGCAGGAGCTTGTTTTTCTTGATGACTGAGCACAAAAAGCTCAGATTTTTTGAAGGTAACGGTAGCGAGTTGCTGCATGCTTGAAAAGATTAGCTCCCACTTTCCCTCTGCATGCATGCACGCACTCAAACAAACAGCCCACAGTCCTCGTTAATACAGTATACACAAAAACAAAAGATTGATGAGTGTTGTGACGAAAAAGGAGGAACAATAGAGGCTAACAATACCTTCTTTCACCTCATTAATTATCCTTTTTTGCTCAAAAATACAGGGCTTCTTGTTGAAAAATATGACTCTCGGTGCAAAAATAGTACGGGATTGGTGCACATAGTTGGTACATGGAAGTATGGAGGGTGAAAAATGCGTAAGAGAAAAGTGTTTGCTCAGCCAAAGAAGGAATGTGCCTTCACAGTCATATTGTGTTTAATCAATCACGTTATTCAGGCTATGAAAAGTCTTTAAACTCTGCTTGGTACAGAACTGCATGATCCTTCGTCCAACCTCACACACCGACCTCCATTATGAAATGAAGCAATCAGCTATATTGTTAATTGATTGACCTGTTATTCTTATAAATCATTTCCTTATTTTCCTGAATGAGCCTTTACATGAAATGAGAATCGATCATCGAATGGCTTGATATTTAATTATGGCATGATGCTATAGATCCAAGAGCCCGAGACTAAGGACACACTGACGCCCTTAAATCTAATTTTTGCAGGGTAGAAGTCTTTAGAGGAAGCATAGGTTCAATGTCACCCTTGTTTCGATGAAAAGTGATTTAGTGACGGACAGGAAGAATAAAGCTTACACTCTCCACGTAAGCTGATGGTGAAATTGGCAGCTGAGGATCATCAAACTTTGAGCTAGCATTTCTTGTGCTGGAGGCAAGTAAAAAATGTGGGAACTTGTTCAGATTTGATTGATGGTGTTATCTCCAAAACGACAACGTAAGGAGTAAGCTGTCTGCTGCAGTGATAAGGAGGTCGTTATCACAACCAAATTATTCTGACGGCTACTACACCAAGCGTTCCTGTCTTCCCACTAGCTCAACAGGAGAGCAGCCAAGAGCAGAGTTTGTGGTCAGCATGTTGTCAGCTGTTGATGAATGGTCACTGAAATATTGTTCAATAACAGTGGGTCTATTTTCAGGGCTACAACTCAGCCAGTTGTACCCGTTCTGGACCAGGAACAAAAGACAGACCAAACATGTTTTTACAGTGAGGTAAAACAGGCCAATATCTTGACTTTCACATGGTCAAAGATGGAAGTTTCACACACTGGTGGTTTTTTCCAGAAGTTTGATCAGGATGCTTCAAGGATGGGGTAATGTTTTTGGATGGTGCCAAATACTTTGAAAAGCACAGTGGGTTTTAATAGTAGGGGTAGCTTTCAATGTTGTTAGGGTGTTGTCACTGGAATAACATGGCTCTTTGTTCACACTCAGGTCTCCAGCAGCTCAGTAACAGAAAGTTATTGTATTTGTGGATGCTGATGCAAAAATTCTGCTCTGCTCAGGCACCCATCATAAAATGGATTAAATTTTAACACCATATTTACATAATCAAATGTGAAGTGAAACAACCTGATAAGACTGTGTGAGAATGTACAAACTATACTTAACTGACATCTCCTGACTTTCAGCTTCTAGCCTCAGCTAGGATGTCACAAACGATGTCTTTGTTACTGTGATTAGTTGGTGAAATTGGTGACATGACTCAATTCCCATCATTGTGTCTGCCAACATAAGCCCACTCAGTCTTATCAGGCAGTATCATGTGTGCATGTGCAGGATTTTTTGACTTCTTGCTTGTCAGTGCCTCTTTAGTTGCCAGTAGACAATAGTGCCCGCTGCTCAGTTAGATGAGAATGTATAAAAGAAGTGGATGTAGCTCTGTGGTATTTGAAATTAAAGGAGGTAAAGAAGTGTCTTAAAGTGTCTTATAAGTGTCTTATTCTGTATCATGGTTAGTAGAGGTGACTCCATTGGTTGCAAAAGTAAGTCAGTTCAAAGTCTAAGAGAAATTTATTTTCAGTTCATTCTTTATCTTCAATAAAACACACTGATCCTTTTGGTTCGTTATGAAGTATATCACACACATAGCATGTACTCAAATAACTAGCATAATCCTTTTTTATTTGTTAGGTTGAGCTGTGGTTAAAGTTTGAATTGGCAATTAAACTGGCCTACTGGGCAAGAATCAAAGTATTAAGAGAGCATGTCAGCCTCTGTTGTGGCGGGTGGCGACATGCTCCCTTTCAGCTCATCACTACTTGATTGTCTCCCAGCCGACCTCTTACGTACCAAAACAATCGACAAACATGTTTGCAAGTGGCTAATGGGATGTACTGTACTGACCCTTTTATAGCTCTGTACCTTTTGTTCATGTGGTACAACAGTTTTGTTTTTAGTTAAGCCCTTCGTTCGACTGTTGAGGTTCTGTTTACTGCCTGACTTCATAGCAACTCATTCATGCTTTTTAACTTCCTGGTCAAAACCCAGTGTGCCATCTTTGGAGCATGCACCAAATGCTTAGGACAGTTCCAGTCCAATACAAGTTGTGAGAAGTTAGATTTGGTGTGATTTCAGTCAGACTGATATGTTTAGATCTATGTCCAAGTCCAGTTTCATGCAGTGAATCCATGTTTTGATCAACATGTGTTGATCTGTTATTAATTATTTGTAATGGCGTTAGCCTTTGAAAAAAACAACACCAGTCAAACAGCCTTTGGTTGAGACAGGAGGACATGTTCTTCACTTAAGTATGGTTTAGTTTACTAAAGCTGGTACTTGGTGTACTTCTGTGCTTTTCAAACTAAATTTAGATTGGCCTTAGACAGGAGACAACCGTGTTCCTCTTTTTTCCACATATAGAGGTTGATTGTTAATTACAGAAGAAATGAATTGAAGCATTGAAACGAATTTGCCCATACCAGCCTGTTGCAGTGATTCCGTAATATTGCTGTTGTAGTCCAGCTTAGACATGCTTATTGAGACAGTAAACACTCATCTATGTTGCGGTATATCTGTCATTCAGCACCTGCTTGTTATGCCTGGTGGATATTTCTCTCATTCAGAGCTTGTCACAGTTGTGAGCAACAGGACAAAGAATGTGGAAACACGTAGATTAGACCATCTTAACACTGTATCAGCGCAGACTGACGTAGAGCAGGGATTCAACACGAGGAAGCAAGTTTGTCCAACTTCTGATAGCTGGGACACTGTGAGGAAATTACATCAGTCATACTTTCCATGGCAGTTAGCAGTTGGTACAGTAAACACACCAGCCTTTCCACAGTGTTTTGTGTTTGCTTAAGAAGGTGTGTGCTGAAATGTCCTGTTTGGGTGAAATGGGACCACAGCCAGGTTATTGAAGTTGTTATACTACAGCATTTGAGCTTGAGATCATAAAAATAAGTTATTTATGACTCGAGAACTAAAAATAATGCATAAATCTGACTCACAGGGGTCATATCTGACATGTCAGCCACTGTGATCTGAGTTCAGCGCATGCAAACTGAACTCACCCTGATGATGTTAGTGCCTCTGCTTGTATCTTATTCCAGAGACAGAAAAATGGATGTAGGTTCTGTTTTTATCCAAAGAAAGATCTGGCCTCTCACTTTTTTCTTGGAGTAAGTTTAGGAACAGGGTGTGTCATCTTGTTGGTTCTGTGTCTGTGTAGAGTCACTCTAGAAAGTACAGAGCAAAATTCATGAGGTGGAGGAAGTCTCAGGGGTGGTTGTGTGACACAGCTAGAATGGAAAGTTTATTCTTCTGTATGTAAGGACTCAAGAGGATGTGAATCTATATGTAAGGGTCAATCAAGTGTATTAGAAAGTGCCTGAAATCACATGTAATCCTTGTCTAAACTTTAGCTTTTACAGTAGCAACCAAGCTTTTGTGCAGACTTTGTTGCCTTTTTGTGGTTTATGCCTTAAGCTGTAGTCATTTCAAAAGGAGCCACAGTGTTGCTTGAGATTAAAGACCTGATGTTTATTTTTTGCCCGCTAGCAAATCCCTATTTACAGCATAATCTTTTCTTGGAATATGCATTTCATTTATATTGCCGTTAATCCAGGGCAGTAAATCACAAAACCTTTCATACAGTTCTGGTTTTTTGACATTTATTCTTAAGGTTTAAAGCCTACAAGATCATCAGAGGTTTGAAACTGAGTTTAATAACGCTTATTACAACCTGTTACTCATCACACACTGATCCTGTAAACATGCAATCATGTTAAACGCTATGTTATCATTTCCTTAGTGAGTCCTGGGTTATACAGTTTTCCATTCGGGGCATCAAGAAATCCCCTCTCAATTGGCTGGCTCGTGGTCCCTGCTTTTGGATCCCTCTGCAGGATATTGGCTCCATAAGTATTGTAAAGTAGAGTAGATCAACATGAGGAGGCTGTGTTAAAAGTCCTAGCATGCTGGCCAGTTGAAATGATTCAATCAAAATGATTAAAGGAGCCAAAGGACCCAGGCCAAATGGCCATCTGTGATTTGCCAGCTCTCATGCTGAACCTTCATGCTGTGCTGTAAAGGAGGCTCAGAGCTGTTCACTTTTCAAACATCTCAGCTTACATATATCACAGACTGCATGCTCCCTGTGTTTTTTAAAGCAGTATGAACAGTTTGCCTAGTCTGTTTTAGGTTTGTTTAATGAGCATCCCATCTGATGAAGAGATTGCAATGATCATAAACTGACAGTATTCAGGTGTGTTATGCTGCACATCTGCTCACAGAGGAAGTTGGGGATTCAGCTGGTAGAGAAAAATTTCTTTACTTTTGATTTTTTTCTTTTTTTTTTTGAGTGGGGTTTCAAGAGCCCATATCATCAGCAGTGTGAGCCAGTCAGTACTTATTAACAACCTCTTCAGTCTTTGTTATTTCCATCCTTGCATATTTCTCTTACACAATTTCCAGACCAGCCACAAACCAAACATTGTTTTGCGCAGCTAAGTCTTATTATTATTTTCTGCAGATTATTCACTAATCCTAAAAGAGGCATTATCACATCAGCTAATGAGCATGTGTGCCTCCTTCTTCTCAAACATCCGGCAAAGAATCCAACAGCCGAACTCCATTTGACCTCCATCATTGAAAAACCTCAACTAAAAACTTTTAATTAGGTCCCATGTAACTCTTCATTACACTCAATTAAAGCACTCTTATGCAGCTGAGATTTTGCAGCAATGGGGGAGATTTTACAAAAGGCATGCTGTGACATCTGATGATATTATACAGTTGCACCTCGGGCTGTCTCGATAAAACTTTTTTACTTTTAACACGAGACCGATATTGTAGCCTTCAGTCAGGGTTTTTCCTGGCTCAAATTGAGGCAGAGGTGGCACCTTCCTGACCATGCGCCATGACGTGCATGTATTTGTAAATTCAACTGACTCACTTTCTTTTACAGGCAACATACTTTAAGTTAAGAGTTCAAAAAAAGAGTGTGACCATTATTATGTTAAAGCATTCATTTATTAAAACTATATACATACACAAATCAGCTGGCAACTTTAAATTGAAAGTACACTTCATCCACACATCTCACAACCAGACAGAACATTTCAGCCTCCTCTCTTTCATTCTGTAGAACCTCCTCATGCACTCCTTGTAGTCCAAGGCCTCCTGGTCTGGTCCATCAACGGCCACCTTACAACAGACATCCAAGTGCCTCTCCTTCAGTCTGTTCCGCAGAGGTGTCTTCACCTTAAACAAAACAATTCATCATGCATTAAGTATTTTTGTTTTTATTCTGATACAGACATGAAGAGTGATAGTGTTTTAATCATATATTATATATATGTATACGTTGCAGTGTCCTCCCTAAAAAAACGACAACCAATTATTGCTTAAACTATCTAAACTATGTTATTTTAGTTTTTGTAACTTTATTAGTTGAGTGTTTTTAGGTACTACCATCTTTAATATATTCTCCTTCTCTTCTGCTGCTTTGTGAATGGCTGTCACCTCATGTCTTTTTAATGTGTCCAGCCTGTAGTTGGTTGATGGCTGTCTCACTAAGGAGGCAGCAATTGCCTGCTGTGTTGGGGCACAGTGCTTTTGACATAAATAGCAGTGCATGCCTTCCTCAGTATGCCTGAGCCAGGTAAATTGATTGAGCCATTGCTTGTCAAAGCCACTGGCTCTGTGTTTTTGAGAAGATCTAGACAGAGGAATAAAAACCACGTACACGTTGGTTTTGCGTTGTTATGCTCCTAATTGGAAACTAATTAATTAATTACCCTCGCCTCGCCGACTCGTCCTGTCCTGCATTCTGACCCTCGCGATCACCAGTCCCTTGTGAAGTACTTTCAGACCTGACACAAATTTCCACGTTGTCCCCACCATGAGTTATAGCATTTTAACTGCCTGTTACGTTTTTTCTCTGCTGTGTTTCACCTGGACTCTTGACTTTCCTCCTCGCGAGGTCGCTTTTTAAAGTACTGGCTGATTTTGCCTGTCATATCTGCAACGCTAAAAAAACGGAGGAAACTTTTTTTTTAATAAACACGTCATGCTTGGATGCAAAAAAGACAAGCAGTATTTACCTGTTTGTACCAGCCGCCGGGGAAAATCAGGTCGCCGATAGCACCAACTAGCGGGAAAAAAACTTGAGAAAACATGATTCGATCCGTTTCTTCTTCGGTAGATGCTTCAGGTCTTTCCGGTGCACTGCTGTTGATATAGCGCCTCTATAGTGGCGCAACGCTGCAACTGCAGTTAAAATACGTTGCTGCTGCAGAGGGACATCATACACTCAATCAACACAGCTGGAGCTTTACGCTGTGTTGAGCGAAATCAATCGCTCTGGCTGGGGGCGGCACAAAATTAGGTGGAGGCGGCCGCCACGCAATTTTGAACGCAGGAAAAACCCTGCCTTCAGTATTGGCCGATACAGATATCGATCCAATGTTAGCACAAAATTGTGCATAACAAGTTTTGCACTCAGCTGCAGTGTCTTTTTTGGACTTTAACGAAAAATACTGTCACACAGCCGATATCACTCCTGGGGTCGTTGTTACTGCCACTCTCTTGCCGCTCCAGGAGCTACACGATACATTACCCGCTCTCCTCGCTATACAGACGGTGTATAAGCTTAAACGTTACCCTTCACATTTGTGGAAGAGGGTCTGACAGGATTGACTTTTGACCCCTAACTTTTTTTTAGGTGTGGCGGCTTTTATTTAGCTGTGGCGGTGCGCCACGATCACGAGCATGTAGGGGAAACCCTGAGTCTGGAATGACTGCTTGTACATGAGTGCTGATATTGGAGATTTTAGATGCAGGTCGGTATAATCTTTGTTAATAATAATGATAATATTTGTTTTTTGGCTGATATCGGACCAATACCCGATATCAATATCATATCAGGACAGCCCTAGTTGCACCGTAAAGTATTTTTGAAATGAAAAGTATGTTTAAAAAGTTTTGCAAACAACTCTGACCCAGTTTTTTTTTTACCATTGGTGAAAACTGGTCAAAACAACTTTATAATGAGGAAACATTATACAGTACAATAGAAAAATCTCTTGAATGCATGTGAAGGTTGGAGCATGGTGACTTTTCTTCTGATTATTCTGGGACCTTCAAACTCCTGTGAGGAGGTCTGGCTGGTAAAGGGGCAGACAGATACAAATACTTGATGGTAGAGCTGTCAGTGTAAGCGCAACTCCTAACCCTGAGGCCCAAAAATAACACTTTTGAAAATTATTATGTGCTGGGTTTTTTTTGTCTCTTTTAGCACATCACAGTTAAGCTCCTGCCTCTAATCTGACAGCAAGTGACAACACCGCTGTGCTTTAGCCAGAATAAGCAATCTGAGGCTGTGTCCTACCTCTTATCATGGGTTCAGACCCCAATGGTGAAGCATTTATTTGGACTACAAAAATGTAAAAGTCAAGGTCATAAAATACATTCCAGTGCATTTATTTGATTTCCAAACCAAGAGAGCACTGACACGGTGGATATGAACTTAAAAAACTGTCTGAAATGTAAAGCAGTGGAGTCTGAAACATACAAACAAAAGTGCAGAAATTCAGCGATTAATCCTGATTTAAACATCTATCATTTGACTGGCTTTGCCTTTACATGGCCTACAATAGCAACCAGAATGTCAAGGGGAAGATGTGAAGATTTTCTCCTGTATAGTCTTTTTAAATCTTTGTGTCTGAGGCCACAGAGTCAATGGCAAAGGAATTCAAAGTGAGAAGACCAGAAGTGTCCTTCTTCACTTTGAGAACAGTATGACTGTAAAAAGACATCATGAGGATTTGTCATGGCTCATAAACTTATTTCAGGATTTATAGCAGGTAAAAGATTACAAGAGGTAAGAAATGTTACTTGTTTACAGGTTTCACCAAGATCACAACAAAATAGATGCTCATAGCAGCTCTCAACTTCTTCTTTGTTTCATTTTGGGATCTGTAAAATCGGAATCACTTCAACCCAATTTCAAAGAGCCATTCAAAACATTGGCGTAGTTGGTCAAATTACAGTTGATGTGACAGGTGTGATCTTAAGAGGACGAAACTGTTGTCAGCCTTCAGTAGAACTGTGATAATCTCTGATGATACGCTGTAGCCTGAATCTGGTTACACAGCCAGCTATTACAGATACAGATGCTCATCTTGCAAATTATTGGTGTTGTTTGACTTTGTTCTGTAGTTGCCGTGCTTTTTGTTTTCTCTATATGAGTGTCCATGATATGTCAAGCCTTTTACTGGACACTGTCACATAAATATTTATACTTTCCTCACAAATCAGGTCAAAATCACTTAAGAATCCAAGAAAAGTTGGATTAATGCAGTTGTTTACAGAGAATGAATCACCACCAAGAGGTGCTGTGTTGGATTTCATTGGCACATTGTTGTGATGCAGCTTACCATCACAGCTAATCTGTGCTCAGTCACTGTGTCGTCATGGAGCCGCTGTTCTGTCTATCTCCCTCTCCAGTAAGAGGAAAGGAATGCCTGTGAGTCCGAGGGGCGCCTGTTGGCCCATTTCATGCCCTGTCAGTTGGACAACAGGAAAGCCAGAAATGCAGACAGTGTTTTTTGTCTCTCATCTCCACTTCCACCTTACTGTAAATCTGTCCACCACATTTCCTGTAACACAGAAGGGAAGACAGAGGGTTGGCAGTGAGAGATCCCCATCTAAAACTTGTTTATAATGATGATGACGAAGCTGGTGCGTCATTTCAGGTGTCACCTCTCTGACCACTTGACCACCTGCAGTCATCAATTCATTCTGACTCCATTCCCGTGACCCTCCTGCTCTGTAAATGGAAGAGTCTGTGCACTTGGCTCACTGCGCACTCTGTCACCTCTTGGCTAGCTGGCAGACGGGCTGCAGTTAACTGGCTGGTGCTGGACTGTGTCCAGCCACACGGCTGCGGCTGTGATTTGAAAGCTTATCTTCATTAGCTAGAAAGAAGACAGCACAATGAATTACTGTGATCAAGGAGCTGACTTTCCATGAACTAACCACATGCCTTTAGATTAGTGAAAGTCTGTCAGTGTCATTGATCAGTAAAGTTTGATAATGTAAACAAGGCATTCATATGTCCAGCCTATTTTGTGAAGTTCATGGTGGCCTGCCTGTTTTTAAGCTACTGTCCTAGCGCTGTCATTGTACGAGGCTATTCCTAATCCTAATGACTCTCATTCATTAGAGATGATTCCCCTGACAGTCTCTTTGTCTGGTGTTGGGCAGTATTGCTTTTTCCTATCAATAAGATCTACTTTCCTTATAGACTGCATGAAGATTCATCTCCTGCAGGAGGAGGAAAGCTCCCGGGTGAGCTTTTAACTGCCTTTTCCACTCCTTGTCACAGATATAGTGCCTCTCAGAGGGAGCTCTAAATGGTCCTGGGCTGCAGCCTTTAAAGACAGCACTAAATTAAGACTAAGGTAACTCTGAAACACAAGGGCCTTGAGTATTTCAGCTTTGATTTTTGCAGCAATACATTTCTGTGCCCTCTGCAACAGGGAGAACAAATTCACATTAAAACTGGTTTCACTATAGTATACTGCCCACATCCATACGTCTCATTTTTATAAAGGCTTTATTAACAAAAAGGTCTGGAGAGACTCTCTTTTAGTTTAGCCTTAACATCTACAAAAGCATAAAGAAGAATGACTGATAAATCATAAAGTCAAAGATCAGGGTCATTGTCACCAAAGTCTATTGTACTGTTAAGAGTCCCATGTCTCAGCAATGCCTTTACTTTTTATCTGTTTTAAGAGTCTGAGAGAAAGTCACCACCTCTCATTAACAAGAGGACTGTCTGTATTAAGCTCGACCTGTTATGTATCTGTTAACTATGCCTGTAAGAGGGGTCCACTGACAATAACATCAGACTATAGAAAGAGAGATGCAAAGAAATGCAGTGCTAGAGTCTGTTTCCTCTATTAATACTTGAGTTACCAATTCCTCAGTTACCTCTGAATCTCATATGCTGTTGTTTTATTTAGAGGAAATGTATTCTCTGATATATTAACAAAATACAAACACATCTTTCATTCAGCCCTTAGTTCCTTTGTCATTATTTGTTTTGTATTTATTTAGTTTTATATTTGCTCTTGTTTTTTACATCAGCTCTAAATGTGTTTGTGCACTTTTTTGATTCTTTTAGTCATGCGTGAAAGTCTGTGGGCAATGTTTTTGATGCAATGTGCTGCTATTACACGCTAACGCACTTATCCACATTCTCCCCTGGGAGTCTTTTTCAGGAGCCACTAAGCTGCTCCACAAGAGCAATTGAAGGTTGAGTGTATCTCTCAAGAAAATCTCAACTCCACTTTAGACATTTTTAACCCTCTAATCTGTTCAACATTACCAAAAATTTAGGGTTTTTTGTTTTTTCAAATATGGTAAAGAGACCCTTTTTGGTGTCTAGTTTTTGGTAATCCGATCTCATCTGCTAACATTGTTAGTCATAAGTTTGAGGTGTCAGTGGTGCATTTGATATTTCCTCCCGTTCTCTCAGAGCCAGACAGTCCACTTTAATCTTAACTCCATATACCCTGGCAGATTCTGTCTGACAAATGGTCACCTGATGATGTGAAAATTTAAAAAATCAGGTCCCTGCAGCGGCTGTGTTGGTTTTGGACAAGAGCTGTCAAAGTGAGGTAGTATTTTTTAGTCTCATACTGATTCATGGTCAGTCTTTTTGGCCAGTATCAGCTTTATGAAAAAATATTGTTTTGGATCTGATATTGTTTTAACAGCCAACATTAGGCCAAATGAGGAAATGGCATTTTTATAGCCTTTCTCTCTGGGAGTCTGATACTTAACACTTCTGTCAATAAAATGCAATCAGAGTGTTAGACACAGTTACCTTGAGAAAGCCAGGAGTGCAAAAGTTCAACCTGATCCACACCTGCACTACACTTCCAAACTCTCCAAATGTTGGTGTTTGTTGACTGAGCGTGAATAACTGGCTGGCCCATCAAGCTTCTATGTTTCCTTCAGATCTGTTTTAACTATTTGATTTTCTATTCTTATTGCTATTTCAACTTCTTGAGGATCCTCTTTCTTGTATGTGCTGACTCCTGCCATCTCAACGCTGTCGTTTCTCTGTGCACATTCAGCAGCTGTGGTGATGTCATGGTTAAAGAGGTGGGCGATCGAGAGATGAGTGAGTTCATGTGCTCCATCTGGGTTTTATTCAGTCAAAGGACAGAAGAGAATATGAAGGAACAGCAAATCAAAGGCTGTCCCACAGTCCCACTCCTGGCATCAGTCAGCCTCATAGGAATGGACTGATTTTAATCACATCAGACCGCTCTTCTACTCTCTAACAGGAACCTATTGTCTCTCTTTTATTGCCACCTTTAATGACAGTATTACAAGTGTCCATACAAAAGGTGTGAACTGTGAGGTATCTCCGTCTGTCTGTCTGTCTCTGCCCTGTCTGGACGGTACTTCTTGTGCTGTTTAGTAAATAATCATTTATAACACACAGTGCTGATTTTGTGTTAATGTCTTTCATGTGACAGTACATAATTTTGGATTGCATGCTGTCCTCATTCTGTCAGTCATGGATTCATCCTCTGTGAAGTGCGCACAGAAGTGACTATAGATCTTTAATGGCGTGCTGGGTCTTTTTCAAGTACAGGTCGATCCAGTGGCAAATCTATCTGACTGGCTTGATGGAAGTGCAGTGTTTATTAATGTGAATGTCAGTGATAGCATCCTTTCAATGAGAGCAGGTTTGGGTTCTTTTTAAAGGGTAGCTCTCAGCTGAGAGCCTTATCTCGCAGACATTAAGAGCAGACAGAGCTGTCCCATTTACTTTTTATAGAAGCATTTAAAGAGTTTAAGTTATCATTTTTAAGAGTTTAGTTTAAAATATATTTATTTAAGGTCCCTCATACACTCTGTCATGTCTTCTTTACCTCTCTGCCTAAGGCACTTCACTCTTCCCAACACAGCTGCACACTCTGGGAATGTTAAATGGTTTTGTACCCAGAAATTGTGCCAGTGTTGGCAGCGTCTGCCACAGTTTCTAGTTTATTCAATAAGAGGATAGTCTGTGCAAAGTGCCTATCAATGGCTGAGTACTTAAAGAACCCACAGGGGTATAGGATTTCCATTCCAAACTAGGCCATTTGTTTGTGGATTTTGTGTATGTGTGTGTAAATGTGTGCATGTGTGACTCAGGGTGATGCTCTGTCTATCTCAGCACACAGGCTGCCTGTCTAGTCTCTCCTCTGTGGGTTACTGGGTTTGATGATAGTGTGTGCATGTGAGAGACACAGGGCTGTCTTTGTCCGTGCACTGCTTAAGCTGCTTTGTGCCTGAATGCTCCACGTGCACAGGGACCTTTGTCATCGTGTGAAACAAACAACCTCCTTGTGTCTGCACTGCTGTTTGCTGATGATCTGAAAATAAACAATTAAACGTTGTCAGGCGGCACCCTGCCCTTGCTGGGCATCAGTAAATACTCTTCATATTTGAGAGAGGGCTGGAAAAGGCTCGCGCCTGTGACCCACGCTGATGCCTTTTGAAATGCCACAGCTAAGCTCTGCTGAGCGATGAATGACCACTGACACCAGCAGACAGACTGTGCCAGGCAGATGCTCTGTTGTCCAAACAGAGAACAATACGTGAATAGGGCACAGTGACCAGCAACATGAAACTGCTGAATAATACAAGCATCTGAATGAGCTGCACTGTCTGTTCAATTAGTGTCATTACATGATGTTAACAAATTCATGGACCCAGCATGGCGGTATGCTGATTCCATTAACCTTCCCTTGTCTGTGTTAAGCCTGCTGTGTGGTTTCATCTTTGAGGCTGGGGTTGTTTTTTTACATTTTTGACTGCACATGAAAATCAGGGTTGTATCCTTGCACCATCTCGCTGTTCGAAGGGGATCTTTTGTTAATTTGATCAGTCCTCTTAATTCGACTGGAACTTTAAAGTTGAAACTGAGCCTAGAGTAATCAGTAAAAGTGACTCATAACACAACTTGTATATTCTCAGATTTCTGTTTATTGCTCATTTTGTTTTTGTTAATATAGAGACATTAGATATTTATCTTTTTATTTGATAGACTCTAGAGGAATCTTGTTCAGCATCTTGTTAAGCAAGCAAGCAAGAAAGTAAGAAAGTACATAAGCAAGTAAATAAGTTAGTAAACAAGCAAGTAAGTCAGTAAGTAAGCAAGTAATTAGGTAAGTAATTAGGCAAACAAGTAAGGAAGTACATACGTAAGCAAGCAAGTAATTTGGCAAGTAAGCAAGTTAGCAAGTAAATCAGCAAGCAAGCAACTAAGCAAGTAAGCAAGAGAAGCAAGTAAGCAAGCAAGCAAGTAAGTAAGAAAGTAATCAAGCAAGTAGGTAAGTAAGTAAGTTATCAAGCAAGCATGTAAGTAAGTGAGTAAGTAAGGTAACTTATGTTATTGTTTTAACTGCTCAGTGTGAAATGTGATTCATGGTTAAGGGCGTGCAATATGGCAAAAAGAACATGTAATGATTTTTTGAAGGCAGAATCAAAATCTTGATTTTATCATTATTATTTTTCATATTTTTTTGCAGGACTATTTGAAAGTCACTGATTGGTACAACCAAACAATTTTCTCCATTTGATAAAAACATAGACTTTTGAGCCGAATTAATCTCTGTGTGCAATTTGGCTAAGTATAGCTGATATTAAATAATATTGTGGATGTGGACTCCAAGTATACTCCTTTGCAGATAATTTTGCTTAATAGGCATTTTAAACAGCCTGAAAATGTAAAAACCAACTCTCCTTTGCTCTCTTGCTAAATTACAGTGTATCAGTTTGTGGACCTGAGTTAGTTCCTGAGTTGGCTCTCAGTACACAACTTTCATATCAGTGATAAATGTCAGGTACTTTCTGCATGTTTTTCAGTTTCTGGTCTGATTTAACGAATCATCACTCACATTTCATTTACAGCTAAATGCTATTATCAAAACAGGTAGAAGCTGGTGTGACTCTAATGGAAAAAAAGGGAGTCTTTAATCGAGCTTAAGCTGAAACTTCCACATAAGAATCAAGTGTTTATACTTTACAGGCTGAACCTGCTGTGGTAGTTTAATCAATGTTCTCTGATACTTTGATTCAATTCTGTACAGTTTATTTCTATAAGGATTTCAACACAATCTAAAATCTCTGTCTGAGTCCCTGTCTTTGTATTTGTCATCTTTGCAGTGCACCACATTTTTGTAATCTGACACCAAGACATGGAGTCTGCTACTCCACTAATGAGCAGAAACAGAGCTTATTATAAAACACTAAGAGCTCTCGGGAAAACTAGTATATTCAGTCAGTCTGAATGTTTTTGATTAACTATCTACTTGAACATTGTTTTTCAAAAGTCCTTCTCTGTGTTACAGGAGTACAAACAGCTAAGAAGTCTGGTATCCCAGCTCCCAGAGAAATTCCTTCTACTATAACGAGAGACCGTACCTCTCTGAGGGAGCAGCTAAGGAGCTCCAGCACTAAGAGGATGGTTTCTAGTGCCAGCACTTCCAGCCTTTCAACCCTGGCAAAGCAGACACGTGCATCGACCAAGTCCCGTGGGGATGCAGAGGTCCAGGAAAGGGGCCTTTTGGAGTGCCAGGTGAAAGAGCTTCTGGCTGAGGCCAAGGCGAAGGACTTGGAGATCAGCAATCTCAGGATGGAGTTACAGCGCTGCAGAGGTAAAGCCTCCACTGTATCCCCTTCAGCTTCACCTAGCACTGTCTCATGGCAAGAGCCGTCTGTAGACAGAGAGCAGGGGCAGGTGGCAGAGGCCCTTGTTCTGGTTGGGGAGCTGAGGGAGAAGAACGGGAAGTTTCAGAGAGAGCTAGCAGCACTCAGGGAGGAGAACCAGGTTCTAAAGGAAAAGCTGCTCAGCTTGGATGCCTCTCCTGTCTCTCATACAAACACAAACAGCCCCTCCAAACATTTGGTCAATGGTCTGCCCTCAGACTCCAGCTCCCCCAGCCCACAACAGGACAGTCTCCCTCCAGCTGCCAGCCCTCTCAAAACCTCTGCTTCCTCTGGCTCAGATGTCACCAAGGGCTCGCCATCACCTGACTCCTCTGAATTTGAGAAAATCCCATCCCGATCAGAATCACTGAGCAGTGGTGTTAGTGGAGAAACCAGTACAGTGGGGGCAGTTACCAATTCAGAGGGGAAAGATGTGTCTGTGCAGAGCCTGACTGAACAGATTCACAAGATGGAGGAGAGCCACCACAGCACAGCTGAAGAGCTGCAGGCAACTCTACAGGAGCTGGCTGACCAGCAACAAGTGGTGCAGGAGCTGACGGCCGAGAACGAGCGTCTGGCAGAGGCAAAGCGCCTCCTGCAGGCCTCACTTCAACAGCAGAGAGAGCGAGTGGAGATGATGGCCCAGAAGAATGAGGCTCTGGCTGGAAGACTTGAGGAGCAGGCCCAAGCTCAGGCCCAGAGGGAGGAGGAGCTGGGGAGCCAGGGGCCTCGACTAGCTGAACTGGAGCAGAGGTATGCTGAGCTGATAGAGAGCTCACGATTTGAACGAGAGAAGCTGGTGGACATTCAGCAGCAGCTGACAGGCAGCCTGCGGGCTCTGGAGGAGGAGCACCAGGAGGCCCAGGGTCAGGTGCACTGCCTCAGAGAGGAGATAGACAGGCTGCAGGCCCAGCTGGACAGGGAGCTGGAGGCCCGAGGTCAGGCAACACAGGCAGCAGAGGAGCAGAGGGCAACAGCCGACTGTCTCAGGCTGGAAAACAGTAGACTGAAGGCACAAGTGGACATTGAGAGGCAAAAAGTGGGTGAGCTGAAGGCCATGCAGAGTGCAAGTGACAGTTCTGAGGTGCAGAGCCTGCTGAAGACAGCCCACACTGAGAGAGACCGGCTGGAGACAGAACTGACTGAGCTGAGGCAGGAGCTGCTGCAGGCCCAGGCCGAGACTGAGCATGTGCGAGCCACAATGTCAAAGGTAGGAGGGGGGGCAAGATCACACCTCATTTTTAACTTTCTGATTTAAGTTCGGTGCACTTTCAGGGAGATCTGCTGTTTGAGCAGGAAATGTTTGTAGGATAGGATATAAAATGGAGAGGACACTGGATGTTTTGGGGGAAATGAAACGCAGTATTTGAGGAAAAACATTATTAAGGCGTTCACACTTAATAAAGCATGTTGTGTCTTTGGACGAAAAAGTTGACACTTTTTGTTTCACTAAGATTCAGTCATCCTATTTAAAACTGTACAGTTGTTTGTAGGTTAGAGAAAGTTTGTGCACAGTTCGAACATTTTCCACCTGGTTGCTTCTATTGTGTTGTACTGGGCTGTGTGTGTGTTCAATCCAGGACTTGAAGTATATGTGACTCACTGTGTTCATAAAACTTACTGAGCTCATTAGTCCAGTTGAGACAAAGCTATCAGGAATGCCCAAAAAGAACAATTTCCCTGTCCACATTTACTGTAAACTATGAAAAGGGAAAGGAAGCAGTTCACTCGTCTGGAAAGAGTTCATTTATTTTTGGTCAGATGAAAATTCCTTTTTAGGAGTGGACTTATGAGAAACCAAAATACTATAAAACACTATTTTTAATAAGCATACCATCCTTATACGTGTGTTAAAGGAGCCAATATGACATTAATAATTTTCGACTCTGTCATCTGAGGACCAACATTTTCCACAGTTGTTCAAACATCAGCATTAATCAGGCCTTACAGCTGGTATTGGGTTCCCTTTTCACCACCACAGAACATGAACTCTTGTTCACTTAAAACACTTTCAGATGTTTCTCAGTGGTTGGTTTGGTTTTCCCCTCAAGAACCACAACACTACAGAGGCTGAGGCACTGAGGGGTTGTGGGCATGTTCGTGGTTGTTGGCTCTAAAGCGAGGCGTGTCACCATCATTTAGTTGATGTCGTCATAGTTGGACTGTGATTGCTATGCCATCAGTAGGGTGGTCCACCAGTGTATGACCCACTGAGTCATGCTTCTGTCCTCTGCCATGTTGGTGTGAGGGTGAGGGCGAGTTCATAACTTCACTCATAAACATCCTCATCAATCAGAACCATGTTTTGTTAGTGAGAGAAGTTCAGAGGTTAGAATGATTCGCTGTTCGAGGTACAATGTGTGCACAGAGATCTGCTTCACAGTGCCATCTCCAAGCTCATCAATCATTCATCTTTAGGGCAGTTTAATAGGGTGAGTTAAACCACTGTAATGAAGTTAGCTGAACTTTTGATATCACTATGACGACATGGTCATTGTCAGACCTTGTTAAAGCAAATTTTATATAGCTGTTTTAATTTTATAGCTTTAAGTTATTGCAATGTGTTTAGTTTATCCGTTTCTCATAGTTGCAGTTTTTTAATAAACCAGGTAAAAAGCTGTACATGAGCTGACAGTTCAGAAACACCTTTACAAAACAATGGACGGTATTACGAGAATGAACCAGGGATGTTTCACCTCCACATGGTTTTAATATTTTATTTGGTTTAGTCTTCGTGTTGCTTTGATGAATTTGTTTATTCTCCTCCTGATTTTGGATTCTTTATAAAAGGCCTGGTCTTGTCAGGGACAGTTTGTGTGTGAATTACTTTATGATACAACAGTCAGCATGAGCAGTCAATAACAATAAAATAGTCATAAAACTCTGTATATACAGCACCTCTCGAACTGAATTAACGATTGCTTTACACTAAAAACAATGAACATAAAAAAGAGAATAAGAAAACAAGCAAGCGGTAAAACTAGACACACAATAGCACAAGATCCATCAGAGGATTACAGAGTTCAGGAGTCTACAAAGGCAATAGGTAGATCTGATAAATCGCTTGACAATCTGCTTCAGTAACTTACTGTTGTATAACCAGTAACAGTGAACAAATCACTAGTTAATAAAAGTAACTAACACTTTATTTGACGCCTACCTCTATAACATATCACAAATATATGTATAATGTGTTATAATCACGTTATAGCACTGTATAGCTATACTTATAAACATTCATAGATTGTCACAATGCTTAACAACAATAATCATAACAGGTTACAAAGTATTTTATCATGACTTACTTGGTCAGGTATTATGGTGTGTCATAACTGTTAGCAACTCACTGACAATGCCCATATAGATAATGCATTATACATATGATGTGTTATAATTTGCTTATAAACTTGTAGAACTATCATTATGAACACTCATTAATTATCATAAGGCTTTATAACAATAAGCATAACACATTATAATACCTGACCTTGTAAGTCATGATAAAATGCTTCATAATGTGTTGTGATTATTTCTATAAAGCATTATGATCATTTATGAGTGTTTATAACTATAGTTACACAGTGATAACGTGATTATAACTCATTATACATATATTTATAATGCATTATAGAGATAGGCATCAAGTAAAGTGTTACCAAAACGATTAACTTATTAATAAAGGTAAAATCCCCAACAATACAATCAGACTAATGCATGTTGGTCACTTATCATGTACCATTTCCACAGTTGCATCATTATTCCACAGTTATTCCAGACAAATAAGACCCATTATGGGTACCTTTAATGAAAAATGAATGGGGATTAACTCATCAGACCAAACAGTGTAGCATGTCCAAAAGCACAGGGCTTAGTATTTGTAAATGACATTTTATCATTTTCATTCTCTTTTTATTTATGAAGACCTCAAATCTTTGGGTCTCCATAAATAAAATCTTGACTTTGTTGTGATATTTTAAAACCAGGGGATGAAAAAAAGCATCTTCAAGATTAAATGGAAAACAGCACTACAGCTGTGTCTGAATGACACAATAAATTATCCCTCCTTGAGCCAAAAGCGACTTTAGTGTTTCCATCTAACATGTACAGTGAAGCAATTCAATAAGCAATGCCTCTTATTTTAGAGCCCATTTCTCCTCTCAGCCCATCTTAATCTCGCAAATGTGCGCACACACAGGTGGAGGCCAAATGCCAGCAGGTCCAGGAGTGGGCAGAGAAGAGGGAGCAGGAGCTCGGCTGTAGAGTATCTTCTCTGGAGGAGACAGGGATCCAGGCTGAAAACCAGGTGAAGGAGCTGAAGGAAACCATCTTTGAACTGGAGGACCAGGTGGAGCAGCAAAGGGCCGTCAACTGCCACACCAACCAAGCCGTCCTGGACATGGAGAGTATGTGCTTTTCTTTTGCTGTTCACTGCTCTCTTACTGTGTGGGGTGTTTTGACATACAGCCATTAGGAACATCCACACCAGAGGAATTAAATTACTCAGTTTTCATACAAAAATTCAGACTGTTTATGTAAACGAGTAGCCAAAAAAGCATCCACAATGAGGATTAAGTTGAAACTACAGCTTTTTAAAATGGTCCAATTCATATTAGATTTATTACATCAGTGTAATTCATGACTTACTTAATGGTCTGATATCTGAGTGTGTATGAAAATTATATGCAATATGAAGACAGAGTGATACATCTGTCTCTGACTTGCCATTAATGCAACTGGCAAATGTTATAGGACACTGCTGGATTCATTGTATTTCCACAGGCTGTTATGAATCATGGTGGGTCTGATACTAATATAAGAACAGTGAGGAAACATTACAAGAAACATCTGATACCAACCACAAACAATAGTGCGGTATTCATCATGCTTTAGATCAGCTGCTGTATCCTCACCAAACAGAAAAAAACGTTATTTTATTGATGGATTCTGTGTTGAACTCGTGTAGGCTAAGTCCTGAGTCCACAGTAAGTAAACCTGCAGTTTTTAAAAACCTTGAATTTGTCATTGCAGATCTTGTGAAAAAGCTGGAGGAGCAGAAAGCTGAAGCGGAGCGACAACTGAAAGTCTTGACTCGACAGATAAAGGTAAGACATCTTTAACGTGCAGATCCACAAAGCTTCCTTATATAACTGCTGTGGTTCCCGTTTTTTAGATATAATTAAAGAACTTGAGCTTTTTTTAAATGGAGATGTCTCAGTGACTCACTCAGCTATTTTCATCATGCATCATGTGACTGAGACATCTGGGATCAGGCTTACCTCTGCTGTACCTTCGTTGAATCTTCTCTTTCTTGCTTTGTATTTGAACCTTAAGCCATCATGGAGGAAAAGGTTTGAGATTGAATGAGACACTTTTAACATGGTATTATGGCTTTGACAGGACCAGAACATGACACAGAGAGAGTTTATTTACAGAAGTCATTTACAGTTATATAATGAGTGTTTGAAACAGCAGAGAAGAATCAAATGTTTCATGTGTGGTGATGATCTTATCCTTTCGACTGAAGCCACATTTCCTTGTCTGTAGCCATCTCTCTGAGTAATGAGCTAAAAATAAACTTTTGAGTAACACATTTTTTCCTGATAACTGTCTTCAGAGTCATCTATCCCTGAAATATTTTCTTCTTTCATCCAGTGGACATTCCTCAAAGGCAGCTGTTGGTATTATTTTTTGACGGATTTTGTTTGTTCACCTTGACTCTGTGTTTGTCCTTTGAAATTAACCTACCAAGTGTTTTTCATAATAGATATTAATGTCACCTCCTTGATACTCAGTTTGTCTTACAGTCGTCTCTGTGATCCTGGAAGCCTTTCAAACCTTCTTTCATGTATCTGCTAGACTTTTGATACCTGGACAACCAAACTGTTCTAGTAGCTGAAACCACACTGGAAACTTCAAAACCTAAGCACAACTCAAGAGGCGCCGACCTTTTCCTTTACAAAACTAAAGATAGACCCACATCTCTTTCCTTTTAATTCAGTGCCCAGGGATCTCTATTTTTTATGTCTTTTGCCTGCATCAAACCTGAATGCACCTGTTGTTCTCTTTCCCTTTTGTGCTTCAGATTCAAAGAGTTTTTGTTTCTTTTTCTGCTTGCCTGAAGATATTTTTGAAGTTCTCACCAGGAGTTTTTTTCCCCCTTTATACTTCTGTTACAGAGAGCTGAAACTGTTGTGAAGAAAAAAAGCTATGATATTCAAAAAGATAACCTGTCACTAACTGAGTAGTTGTCCTGAGGGGTCATGTAATTTTTATAACACTTCTCTGAAAACTTAACCTTTGTCGTCTTTAAATGAATTTAAAAGCGATTGTTTCGTTCTGCAGAATTCACATGTCATGTATCAGAATTTGTGGAGCTATTTCTTGTTGACATCCAACCAAATGCAAAATATATATAGAGGTCATTGAGTTATTTCTTTCCATGCTTATCTTAAGTGTATGTCTATAGCTGCAACTACCTGAACAGTATTCAGAATATCTGTATGTTTGTGTCTGTAGGATGAGAAAGAGGAGTGGCGTAGATTTCAGGCGGACCTTCAAACAGCAGTGGTGGTGGCTAACGACATCAAGGTGGAGGCTCAGCAGGAGCTGCGTACACTCAGGAGGCAGCTGCAGGAGGAGCAGGATCGCAGTGCCAAGCTTTCAACAGACCTTGAGGCCCTGCAGGGAGTCAGGTACAGTCTTCACCGTACTCCCTCTTTTCTGTTTTGCCCTCGTCGAAAACCCCTTGACTCCCCCTGTTCAGCACTGGGCTGCAGCTCCTTTCTCTGTGAACACAATGTGGATGATATACCTGCCAGAGTCTTGCCATTTCCTCATCAAGGGTTTTTAAAAATCTCCACTCTATAACTCCAACATCCAAGAATCACTTACTAAGAGGCTTCCAAAATTCCTGTTATCAGCAAAGGTTTTTAGGGATTTTTAGTTTGTAGCGTTTCACAAGATTAAATCTTTAGAGTTCAGAGTTCAAGTTTCTGGGATTTGGCAGACTCTGTTGGTAAATTAGCAGTCTTCTGCAGTATTTCTCTCTGTGTATTCTACTCTTTTAAGCTGCTGCCCTCTCTGTCTCCCTCTACCTCACTGACCATAGCCCTATAGCAACATTCAAAACTCACGTTAAATCATATTGCATAGTTTAGATGATAATATCACATGTTAAGGCAGACAGTCATAAGCAAAGAGGCTGCTTTGATCTAAGTTTTAAAGATGCAACATTGACGCCAGTGTTGCATTGTCCTCACTGCACTCTTCAGCTAAAATATCTCACTCCAATGTATCCTGCTATTTAAGATTTCATGTAGTGTTTCTGCACAGTGTGCAGCATCTTGATTGATGTATCTTTACCATGCCTTGCATTGGTTTGCGTGTGTTTACTGTTTATAAGTGTTTTATGAACGTGCAAATGCTCTGGTGTTTTTCAGTTTGATCCATTACATTATCATGCCAGGTCAGACACTCTCTGTGGCAGTGTTGAGATTAGGGACTGTAAAGCACTTGTTTAGCTTGTGTGCCCAGTCATGGTTTAATCCTTTCAGCAAGAATGATCTGTAAATGATTACTTTTTTACTGTGTACTCTTCAATCACATTACAAACCTTACAAGAGTAGTTTTGTTATGTAAGAAATAGTCATATTTGGTGTAACACCAGATATGACTTGATGAAACTGAATACAGGCTCTGTGGATTTAGAACATTATATAACTGGTTTTAGATTTTGGCTAAATCAGTGAACTTTCCCCAAAGATTAGCTGTTACACTGCGTCCGCTCCCAACCTCCAGCAGCTCCCTGTGATGACTCTGTCAAAGATGTCCCTCTGACACGCCTCTCTTTGTAAAGTCCAGGTAAGTCCCCTGCCCTGTCAGCCCTCTCTGAGCCAGCCTGCCTCTCCCTGCCCTCCCTGTGTGCTGCTGCTGCTGCTGCTGCTGTTCACTGACCTCCTTATCTGTGTTTGGCTTCATGTTGTTGCTTCAGCCTGTCTGATTCTGTCTTTCCATATTGCCTATTGCACATTCAGGACTATCTTTCCTCTTCAGTTTGCTTTGCCTTGTTCTTTGAACCTGATGTTCAAGTAGATGTATCTGGTGCCACCTGCTGTTCTTTGAATGAATAACCCTCCAACTGTTTTGGATGAAAAGCAGGATGGTCTGCACCGCATGACTGGATAAAACTCATGCAATGCATCATCTGCTTCAGATACATTTGCATAGAGTCTTCATCACCGGGTGATTTTAATCAACTAGATTTTAAAAGTGATCTAATTAATCCAATGAGGTATGCATGGATCACGGTTATTAAAAGTCCAGAAGTGCCTGGAAGACTGTGTCATGATAAATTTTGGACAAAATGAAAGCTATGAGTTTGTGCTACAAATGTTCATTGCACTTGTAGTATTAAAACATGTGTTACACTGTTGTTGTTCAAGTGAGAGCTTCAGCCTTCTTTTTTTATTTCTTTCCAGGTTAAGCACCGGAGCCACATTTGATACCAAGACAGCGGTAGAAGGGCACTAGAAGAGTGCCCGCCACCTCAGCACCATGTGAAGACAGTGTTATTGTTGCACTTATCACCTTTCTGTGTCATTTAAAATGTGTCAAACAAGTCTCTTTATAATCCACAGTCACCAGTGTAGATGCAGTACACCCAAATCTTGTGACAGTGTGGATTCTATTTCTGTACAATAATGGTTCTCTGTTTTTATTTCTCAGTGAATGTATTCTGTCTTTGTTCTTTTCTCAACCTCTGTTGAAGAGATGCCATTTGTTGGAAAGACTCTTTCATACTGTGTGAAGCTGATTTGTGCCTTTTGGAGTTGAGTTGACCGTGAGAAATAACGTGTTCGAGGATAGACCGTGACAAAAGCAGGATGAAGTGCTAAAATAATTTGTTATTTTAAGTCAGAGGTAAAGCTGCAACAAAATCCTTGCAAGCTGGAAAACCAGTTTGTGCCATTTCAAGGCAGAAACAATACAGTAGATTTTACCTGCATGATCAGTCTTATAATTAATGACACAGTGAGGAAACAGGAAGACCTTTCTTTATCAATGTGTGTGTGTGTGTGATGGACCTCATTGCTTTTCCTGCAATTACTGCCTTTTTGACCTTGGTTCGCTCACTCAAAACCTCGGGATTCATAAAAGTCCACTTAGAGATTTCGATTTGGGCTTTGGTCCCAGAGTTAGAATTGATGCAGTGTCACATTTAGCCAGTAGGTGGCCTCATAAAACACATAATTTGGATACAGGTGATATACATGTTGGCACGTCTGCTTTTGTACCGTTTGTGTTGTATTTCTGTGGTTACAAAATACCTTTTTATATTTCAGATTGTTAATTCTTTCCACTGGTTAAAAAAAACAGGATAATTTTGATTAAAGCTATTTTAGTTAATCCAGAGCACTGCCAAAATTAGACTGTAGGACTGACACAGACTACTGTACCTCAGAGTAACATTTTACTCTCCTCAAATGTACCAAAAGGTTGATGGTCCAATTTAACACAAAGACTAATACTGTGCCACAGGTTCCTGAATACATTAGTCTCTCATAAAGAACCACTGTGAGATGATGAGTTGGATTAATTTTTGGACTGCATTTCTCAGCAACAGTAGTACTGACAAGTTAATAAAATCAACCACATAGACTCTCAATCAGGGTGTGAAACCAGTTTACGATCAATCCTGAATCACTGCTCAACATTTTCAGAGACGTTTTCAACATCCCTCATAATGTATCAGATCCTGAAACTTTTTGATGTCATTTTTATTTCGTCTTTGAGCCAAACTTACACAATAGTCTGTACCGTTGTAGTGTAAACATGTACATCCAACATATTGTGGAATCTCAGGTTACTCTCAAATTTGTGTTTTTGACAAGATATCAAATTCCTGCATTTTAATTTAAAGCCATATTTGTATACCACGTATTTAGATACTGGTGCATACAATGTCAACATTTGGATACATGTAGAAAAACATGAGATGACAGCAGTATGATAGGTGTTTTTTTTTCTCTCTCGCTTTAGTAAAACCCTTTAATGAACAATACAGTGAATGTGCTGTTAATTTATACTGCAAAGAAAGACTCAAAAGTCTTGTGACTGTTGTTATGCCTGTGAAGGAGTACATTGAAGTGTATTGTATGATTGTTTGACCATTGTTCATTGGAAAAATGAATAAACGAAACTGCACCAGTTCCACTATGGTTGAGTATCTCTTCAAATCGACACTTGGTGGAAATAAACTGTATGCAATGTTTGAGTCAGAAACTCCTGAATCATTCCCTCCTAATCGATTACTGTTAAAGATGATCCAGATCCCTCACTCTGTAGCCTTCAGTCCAAAGTTCATCAGTGGGTTTAAAGTGCTTAAAGTTTTGATAGGTCCTATTTGGTATTACAACATTTAAACCTTATTTTTAATTGAAAGTTTTTAGTGTTCAAACTTTAAAATTAGAACTTAATCAACCTGCCAGATCATCTTTTTAAATAAGCACTAAAGAGAGGGTTTAATGTCTGATCTCCCCTTGGTGTATCTTCTGTATATGTCTCTACACAGCAATCCCTTTCCATTGTGTCTGTCAGGTCCCAAAGTGATGAGCTGAGGGTGGCCGACTCCGATATCAGCCGTCATTGGTGCGGCATCTCCATGATCCCAACCCCACCCACAGATGCCAGCGGGGATACCACCTCAGAGCCCGGAGCTACTGTCAAATCCCTCATAAAGTCCTTTGATACAGGACAGAGTGAGCATCCAGCACCTGAATACACACACACACGCAGACACACATACACATACACAGATGGAAATTCCAGCCCAGCATAATATAACTATAGAGGACAACAGCTGGTGAGATCTACAGCATGGATATCTGTCCATTGTTTGCAGCAAAGTCACGTCTAGTCGTCTAAAGTTATCATGCTTGAGCTGACCGCAGACAGGATGAAGGGTGTATCTGTTTTTTAAATCATTTGATGGCTGTTCATAAATGTATGAGTTGGATAAATGTGTAATTAATGAGGAGATAATTCTCCTTTAATAGTTTTAGTTACAGCAGTTCTGTTGAAGTGTCAGATTTTGTTCATGTTTCATTTTATGTTAAGATAATAGGAAATTAAGCTGGTTTTATACCAGGATCAATACATTACATATCTACTCAAACATTTTATTCATTTATCTATTTATTAGTTAACCAAATTATCTACAAACACCAGAAACACAGACTAGATAACATTCACCTTAAAATTATTGATCCACTGACACACACACACCTCCCTACCAAAAAGGATAAATGATTAAAAGAGAAAAAAATAAATATTTGATTTAGCAAAATTCTAGCTGGCTTTCTGACTGTCTTGTTAGCTGTAAGTACAATTATATACTAAAGTTCTGCCGTAATGTTTATCTGGTCAAAGCTGTAAAATGTTTTTATTTTCTGATATGTTTGCTGCCAAAATCTTAGCTGTGCAGTATCTCACTGGACCGAATTTTCATATGAGGTAGCTACAGTATTTTGAGCTGTGTCCTTCTCATGTAAAGAAGAGGTTTGCAGACTATTAGAATTACCTTTTCATACATTGCATTTCAACACAACATTGTCACTTGAAAATGTAAACCCATATCTTACTCTCTCAACAAAAGCTTGACGAGGAGATTTACTTTATGACATTATACTTACATTACATTGTATAAGAAAGATCAATTACAACACAAAAACAAGACAACACAAATCATCAGATACAGTGTAGTTAGTAATACAACTGTCAAATGATCACCATCAGATTTTAACTTTCAGAAAGTGTTTTTCCACTCTGCTGTTGGCCGAACTATTGTTTGCAATACACTGTCATGTTTCTCTGATCCTGTTTTAAACCTTTGGTCACTTTTCCTACTCCCTGCTTTGTCTTGAGCCGTACTAAAAATACAGCGGAAGTCACTGTCTGTCACCTCTTTGGAACTTCAACCAAATGACACTAAAATAGCTGCTTTCATTATGTTTGTTTTGGAGGAACATTCACTTCCTTTTTCTAAGATAGAGCTGTATTTCATTTCATCCCTGAGGAGTTTATTTTGTCAGTAATCATACTGAAGTCATTACATCGAGTGTCTGTTCACTGATGTATTGATGCTCAGTTCTCAGCGGGTGTCTTATCTGATCTTTCAGATGGACCAGCCCACACAGTTCAAATGCATTCTTCACAAAGAAGCCTACTCAGTGGGATCCCTGTACGCACTGCACCTGCTGCAGCTGTCTCTCCAATCCAGGTATACATCGACTTATTACCCTTCTTTAAATAGCAAGCAGATCAACTGTGAGTCAACCCACGTTCAAAACTCCAGTATGACAAGATTCCTGTGTTGGCTTCTGTCCCTCCAGAGACAGACGTTCATAAAGCCTCTGTCCAAGGCTTTGGAGAAAAGAATCAATCATGGGGAATTCGCTCATCAATATGGTACGACACAGAACTTTTTGAATGGAAATTTGTGGTATTTCGTCTACAACAGGATAAGAGTTATAGATAACAGATGAATGGCTGTTCAAACATATCAGCTTTCACAGTCATACTGAAACAGACCTGCCAAAGTCCCACAATGAGTCAGTATCTTTCAAAATGAGCAAGGCTGGAAATGTCAGAAGTTCCTCACAGAGTTTGATCAATAGATGCTGTTGTTTTATGATTTAGTTCTGACAAAGTAAAGACTGTAAATGCAGTAGCTGAGCTCTTAAACTGTACCCACAGTGAACAGATGTCTCTGCTCCTTCTTTTATGACCTGACCTAAACATAAAGTGACCAGAGCACCTAAACTAGGGAGGTCCAACATTACATATTCCTCATCTAGAAATTCAGCCATTAATCCTGCAATAGATTAATGACTGAATTTCAGATGCTAGTTCCAGTAAATCACATTGAATAAGTGAAATGCTGATATCAGTCTGATTAGCTTCACATGTACGCATGACTCATAGGTGTTGGCTCAATAGTATGTCCATTTTGGCCCAAAGTACATTTTACTTCAAACTTGTCAAAAGAGCTGTCAGTTTTTAGAAAGAAATGTGACCTTCAACAGTATAGTCATTACTGTTGCTGTTTGTCATTAGTTAGCAAGAAGACACTGCAGCTTGACTAAGGTGTGCCAAAAGGGACAAAAAAGGGTGCGATTAACAAACACACATTAGTTTCACTCCTTAATTGCATCAGGATTAATGTACTGACAGCATTGTTTGAAATATTTTCTCGTAATGGTTTTTGTGTGTGACAGTGTAACTCACTAAATCAGATGAAATAATGATTAAAAGCCTCACAGCTCTGATCTCATTTACCTGTTAGCCAACTTATCAGTTCTCCTTAGGTGCATTTTGTCATGGACGGAGGCTACAGCAAAGACTTGTCCAGACAAGATAGAGACAAAGGTCTTTAGGCAGGGTTATATTAAGTCAGAAAAAAGCAAGGCTAAAAAGATGAGGTAACAGACATCTAAAGATATACCTTAGGTCACACATATTAATTTATGAATCAATTAAATTTATTTTGTTTTTATTCCCTTGTCCTGAATATTTTTGACAAACTCATATTTGTGTTATAACCTTACTTCTGCTTTATAGAATTTTGATTCCTCCATCTGTTATCCACTCTTTGCCTTTGCCTCCCCCCTTTTCTCTCTGTCCTTTGCTTTCCCAGACAAACTGTCGGGTTGCGTCGAAGATCTCAAACCCACCGGCCTAATGAGGAAGAGCCCTTCACTGGAGTCTGTAATCAAAACGCCAGCCTCATTTAGCAGCCGCACAGCCCCCTTCAGCTATAACCGAGAAAACAGCAAGCTCAGGTGGGCACACCCTGATTAACAAGTCTGTTTTCTGAGGTATTTGAATATAACTGTGGAGGTGTTTTTGGGAATGGTGTCACAATCTGAACCCCCTCCTTTACTCTAGAATTACAAATACCGTAAATGGTGCACCTGTGTTTACATAATGACTTCTCATTTTACGCCACAATGGTTTTGTTGTATTTGCAGGATATCAAATGGGGGAACAAACTGAATGAAATGACTAAATGAAACCAGGCCTTTTTCTGAGTTTTCATTCTGACACTAATATGCAAATCTTCTCTTACCGATCCAGAAATGTCAACAGACATGTTAATATCTCACTAGTCTCATACTGAATTTTAAGACTTAGTTTATTTCTTGATTAAGAAATTTATTTTACTGGTACTCTAAAATGTTGGTATGATGTGATAGCTACATGTCAGTAGTCATAGTTTGACTTCTGTAAAAAAAAATACTGCTTTTTTTCCTACAGCAGAGAACAGTGGTGTAATCATGACTGTTTTTTTCATCAGCTGTGAAATCTTGTGAATGTACAGCCTCATATGACAGACTTTAAATAGTGGCGGTGTTTTGAGACACAGCACAGTCTCAACACAGTGGGTGGAGTGTTTGCTTATCAGAAAAGAATGAGAGATGGACGTTAAACAAACATGGTTTCACCTTCTGTGATGACTGGCTGTCACTTTACTACAGAAGCCGCTCCTCTCTGTGTTTACTCATAAATAATCACTTCTACTGTATGTCAAGCTTTCAATATCACTCAACTACAACTGCAGCAGGTTACACATGTGATAAATGACTCAGTGTGTTAGTTGACATGTTATCAGAGTGGGACGGTGAGGATGAGGCACTCAAATACTTAGAATCCTACTGGGCAACACACCCGCAGTACCAAGAACACTAGGTTTTGTTTACATTAATACACTGCACTGTCATTGACCTGGGACCTAGAGAACCTGTCTGCCCAGCCTCTTCATCCTATAGTCTCCTGACATGACTAAACTCTCTATTCTTTAGCATCTGTGTTTACAGCATTGTCTATCAGTGTCCCTCTGACTGTTCACTGCTTCACTGTCACTTTAAGACCTTTTGTACATTTAAAATTGCGTATGTTTCACTTTTTCAAACCCGTTCACTGACCTTTTATAGAGTTATAATCTCGCAGCAGTCTCTGCTTTGATTAATGTGTACATTATTTGTTTAGACTGGATCTCACTGCATCCGTGACTCAGACGGAGAAATAATGAATTTAACAGCAGAGCTGCACTGACGTGTGAAATGTTTACCATGCACAGAGCAATGACCGTGTCTCATGGTCTTCCCATGGCCTCAGCTCCAGCACAAACCCCAGGGAGGACTCCCTCTGAATAACACCAATCATTTATCAGACTTGTTATGTTGTGATCAGCATAGTCTTTAGTAACACTTGAGCTGAGCTTATGGAGGTAGACTGACAGACTTATGTAGGGGGCTACGCTGAAGCTTAAGATTTGGCAATTACAGCCAGACTGAATTCTGGGCTTTGTACTGTTGGCTTCACTCCAGAGTAATCCAAAGTGAACTCTGGACTAAAATGAAAACAAACCAAACTTCAAAGATGGTTTGATATCAAAATTATCAGACGAGATCAAGTGTTTCCTTCCTGTGATATCTGAGATATGCTAAAGGATTTGGACATTAGATAAAACTGGAGGATGAATGGAGAGCATCAGAGAAATTTTCCAAAAAGTTTTTTTTAAGAACATTTTTTTTCCCCAGTTTTCCAGAGATGAATTTTCATTCTTTCTTAAAAATGGTGCAGACTTTTGCCAGTGGGTGTAAAGATCCTTTTATGTAAGGATGTCTCTGTGTCTACAGTCTATTTGTTAAGCTTTGGGGTTTTGTAATACAACATCTGTTTTGGATTGGATGCTTCAAACACTTCACAAGTGATAAATTAACCAGTGAGACAATTTTAATGCCTGATGGTTGTTTTCTGTTAACTTGTTTGACTCATATGTGGCATTGAATGGTGTTTGTAGCTCATATCTGGACCGGTTTTCATTTTTTTTGGTCGAGTTAGAAATGCAGTACTTCCACAATAACAAGGATAAAAGGTTAGGGTCCCTCAAGCTCCACTTTCAGACATTTAGACACTTTTTTTATTTATTCCAGAGTAACAGCAGAACTAGTTTTGGACATTTTGAAATCATTTCATGAGGAGGACTTTGTGTCTGGGAAAATGCTAACCTAAGTGAACAGGGCCTTGAACTATGAAGCATCAGAAATCTAACAATTATGCTTATGAAACTTGGGTGCATTGAAGTTTTTTGCAAGGCTAATCAGAGATTAAACTTCCCAAAGTCTGAATGACAAACTCTAACTGCCCTTGTGTCTGTCTCTCTCTGTATGTGATTGCGGTTTGTGTTTCCCTGGTGACAGTGTGGAAAGAAAGGACCCCTTGGCTGCACTGGCGCGGGAGTATGGAGGATCTAAGAGAAACGCTTTACTGAAGTGGTGCCAGAAGAAAACAGAAGGCTATCCGGTAGGGATCAGAGGCCAGAGCCCTCTCTCAAGTACAAGTCAGGCTCAGTCCACTTTCACACCCTGCTTTTCTCTGCATCGTTAAACTGCACTTATGCGTATTGGTTTGGGTTGTCTCTGGGGTTCAGAACCGTTTTTAATATATTTAGCCATCACTGAGGTGTTAGACTGTGGTGGCACATAGCTGTGCTTGCAGACACACCTGTCATCTCCCTGGAAATATGAAGTCACTGTGGTGCTGAGGTAATGGAAACAATGAAGCAAAGCACTCAGCGCTATAGACACACTGGATTTATTCATGTGTGTGTGTGTGTATACAGCTACCTTTGCTTTTGTGCAGGTCCACTTGTTTATTTATTGTTATCGTGTTGTGTCCCCATCTGTTTTCTCTGTTTCCATGGAGCCAAGTGCTGACAATCACCAAGCTTAGCTGCTCCCCTTAATACCCAGTTTAAGGATCCCATTAAACTCAGGAGGATTACTGATTTGCCATGTAATCATCATGTTTATGCGCCAGCATGCCAGCTAATGCTAAAACTCTTACTGCTAAGTAGACTGGTGCCTGCATGCAAACTCTAGTTTTTTTTTTTTTGTAGGAGGAGTCATTCCAGCCCTCTTTTCATTCTGCTAGAAAATTAACAGTAGTCATAAACACAAGTGATGACGTTACTGTGCTGTTTAGTCCAGTTATTAACATGGCTCTGGCATGACTGAGTATGAGAAGTCTCTTCTAAAAATAGAAATAGCTCTCTCTGCAATAAACTGCCTCAATAATTGGATCAACTGTTAGTTTAATAGTTTCTATTTCTCAGGCACAAGAATCTCAGTGTACCCTGAGTCACCCTTCCTTCTCTTGGGGTCAATTGTTTGATGCTTACACTCCCTGTTTGTCAGTAAATCACACATACACAGAAGATCCTCTGTGATGGAAATGTCTGAGAAGATGAGATAAAACTTGTGCTCATCAACAGATAGTCTGCTGACCGGTTTAAAGAGTTTGTTATGTCAGCTCAGTCACCCCCTTCAACAGCTGACATAGTGCATTTTGATAATGCAAACAGTGTTTGTGTTATTATGCAACAAAAACATAGCCAGTAGCTAATTTGAAGATGTGTTTAGCTGTTAAACCTCTGTTAACTGAGGCATTTACTACTCTGAACTCTGGACAGTGAGCCATGCCGAGCATAGCTGTATGTGAGCAGCTGGTGTCCTCTGATTCAGAGAGGATCTTAAATACTTACCCAGTCCTACTCATGACAGAAGCAGTTTTCTTATATTATAGGCATGGACGTACAGTTTAGACATCTGCACCACCAGGTAACTTAGGATCTCTTTTGCTCTCCCAACAGGACAAAAGTTTCTCTTCTTTCTCTCTCGTTGGGTCTGCTGGGTCTCGTTCTTTCTCCTCTGTCCTTCTGTCCTGCTGTGTTTGCAGAAAATGAAAAATCATCATCACTGTCAGAATCAATCAACTTTAAGTTTGGCTGTGTTTTTGCCTTTTTTGAAGCCCATAGACCTAATCGATCAGTGCACCACAGGCAGAGGAACATGTGTGTCACATCAGCAAATCAACTAAGTGGCTTTCTGACGGCCATTTAAAGTATTGAAAATTTCCAGAGTTCACACTTGTACTAACATAGGTATGTAAATAGGAGTTTCTTTAGTGATGCTTCTTACCTCTTGTTGTGCTCCTGTTGTCATTTGACAGTGAAATGTTTCACCCACTGTTAATTAGTGCCATTTAAATGTAAAACAGGCTGTTACTTAAGCCTGCTGATAATCATCTGATCTGACACCGACCCACTCACAGCAGCTTCAGGCATTAACAGTAACAACAGCGAAATGATCAGACTTGTTGCTGGTGGTCTTGTATGCTTTTAAGGGTCATAGAGAGGCATCAGAATCAGATTCAGTCTGTTTCTCAATCAGTTCAATTTGATCTTAATTACCTTTTATTGAACTCATCACAAAAGTCTATGATCTACGTCAGTTTCTCATGTGAAGGGCCAAGCTGACTGACATCCTGTGGGTACAACACCAAATACGGACTAAAACCACACACCACATCAATTAAACGATCCCTTTAAAGTCTTTAACTGCATTTTTTTTCACATTATATGGCATGGGTTTGACTATTTAGACATGACAATTGAAACTTAATGTCTGAAGTTGCATCTTACATAAGGTTTGACATTTCTCCAGAACTGCAGAGTAGATTTAATGCTGCCAAATTAAAAAAAGTTTTTTTTTAATGAATGAATGTAATTAAGGATTATTTATACCCTTTCATTATTGTGTGAGTTTTTCTGTTATTAATCCTCTATGACTGGTCAGATGTAGTTTGAGACATGAATATGCACCATACTTATTTGTTAATCATATACATTTTAGCATTACTCTACCAGAAATACTGTTTTTTAGTACGTATGTAGTTTTGTTTATTCGTGGTACTTGTGTTTGAGCATCCTCAAACGCAAATTACTGTGAATTACGTTATTTCAGTAACTTACACCACTGACTCAGTCTGAAGGTACTCTGGTGAAATAATGACCTTAGAGCGATCACAGATAATCTAGGTTCAGTCTAGGATGATTGAGTCCCTCAACATGCAACCCTCACACGAGCCTCAGCCCCGTTTAACCAGGAACTTATGATCCGCTCTCACAAAGGGCTTAGAAACACAGTGTGATTACTTACAAGTATGAGGAATGCAGTAAGAAGATTTGGCTGTTTGTGTGTTTCAGTCTGTGGCATAATCTGTCTCCTCATGGAGAAACTGTTCCTTGACTGGAGCTCTGGTCCTTCTTGTTGATACAGTTTCTCCACTGATCCTCCCTGTGTGCATTTTCCATTGAAAAGTCATTAATAAGACATCTATGGTCAAGTGGTTGAAAAGTGAAATCTTTCCCAATTTTTTTTAAAGAAGTTGATTAAACATGTATGTTTGCACCACATTTTTACACTTTAATGAATTTCTTTTACAAGACATAACTTTCCACACTTGTTAATTTTCAAATCATATCTATATACAGATAGCAAAAATGAAATGACAGTAACAAGTTTTGTTCCATCAACATTTAATGTGCAAGTGTGCCACTCTTTATTGGGAAACATTGAGATCTTTCCAGATCTTTCACCATCAGAAACCGATCATCTGTCTCAGCATCCAAGAGTCTCTCAGCCTTGGTAATCAGAGCTGCACAGCCAAAGCACCTGCTCATGCCCAGTTTCTTATTTAGCTTTTTCTTAGGGAAACCACTCCCTACATGGTGCTTTCTGGGCTATCTGACTGACCTGTGATTGGATCCATTCTTAAACTCTATTTTCAGCACAATTGTGGCTGTCTTTATGTTATATTGCTTTGGAGAACAATTGTTTATGGTGCACATCTATGTACTGCGTCAACACAGATCTATGAATGAGTAATAACTTTGTATGGCTAAAAGATAAAACAAGCCTTTTTTTACTTGCCCATTGGATCAAATTTCTTGGGAGCATCTCAGGCAAAATAATTTCCGGGATATTCTATACTCTTGTCGTAAAGTTTGGTTTTCCCGCAGAGATCTCTAAGCACATCTGTTGCTTCGCTCTTAAACTTAATTCATTTTCTGTTGAATTCCTCCACCTTCCTCAGGGATTATCCGGGATGCATGGATATGTGCTGTATATTTATGAGGGTGATGTTGCATTTGGAACAGAAACAGCAGCCCAGTTAAGTGTTTCTCTGCTATGTGACCAAATGCCTCTGCTTGAGCTTCATATTGAGCTAAGGAGAAAGGCTTGTTGGGCTTCATATGTCCACTAAAAGGTCAGGCTGTTACAGTGTTATGAGGCCTGTGTCCTCAATGAACCGCTAATTGTGGGCTTTAATGCTTGGACATGACTGATCTGTCACACTGATCGTAGTCCATGACGGCACTGGCACACAAAGTATGGCCATCTCTGCGGTACAACCACTTTCAGCTTGCCTTCTGTGAATCCCTGTCTGCCACTTGTTCTTTTATGATAGGTGAGAAGGTTAATTTCTATCAGTATATCCACATGCACTTTACAGTCCCCTGTGTCTCGGCTGTGGATGTATGTCAGATGGGTTATAAGTCAACACTAATTGGCTCTTTAGTCTAGATTCACCACCCTGTAATATATCTTTAGTCTCTCCAGGCTACATAATTAATGGTCACTTTGAAGAGGCAGCTTTGACAATCCCTGCTCACTTTCCATCCTCCCTCTGTTTTCAAACGCTGGAGTCAGGAAACAAGCTCTTATATCATGCTCATCTGCCAGAACGGAGCCAGAAAAGCCGCTGTGTGAGACGGGGGACAAAGCCGATGGGAGGATCAGCCGTGTGCCAGTTGTTATTACAGTCCTATTGTTGGTGGACCTTTTGGTCAAATAGCAGCCTAATTAAAGTGAAACAGAAAACGGGAGCTATTGTAAGTGTGCAGGCAGATTATTTGATGATCAGGTGCAAATAACTGCTGAGGGCACAGCAAATCTGTGTGATTATAGCTGCACACAAAGCCTGATGTCACAATTAGCCTGTTTACTGTGATCAATAGAGGGGAGGGAGGGAGAGGTGACTGTAATAATTGCCATGAGCAGATGAAATAAGACTGCAGTGACATGGTGTGATTTACTAAATAGGCTTAAATAAAGCCTTTCTCATCTTGGATAAAGAAACACGTTTTTCTGCTATTGTATTTTATTTCCTGACACTATAGCACATATGGTTGATAAGAAGGAAAGCATGGTGATAGCACTAACCATCGCCTACGTGCCTTGAAGCATGCATCAAGTTCAGCTGCAGGTGTATGTCCGTATGATCCTGTGAGTGTGTCGATAAGAGCATGTGTGTGCCATATGTATCTTTTCTCAGGAGACTTTAGAATCACAAACACGACTAAAGGAAAGAAAAAGAAAACACTGTCAATGACATTCAGGCAAAAAAAAACATACACACGAAAGATGACGTGGTTTTATTCATGAGTGTTTACCCACCATCAGACTTCATACCTCAATAAGGCAGAGGTCCTTAGAGCAGTTAAATACCTGACCAGTGCGCAACTCACTAAGAGGATGAGATGTGAGCCCAGACAGGCTCTTTCACACCTCAAATGTCAGATTCTGGGAAGTGCAGATCGATCAGAGAAGACCTTAAGCTGCCTCTGATTGACTCTGCCCTGTGGGAGAAACTGAAGGGGCCTCACAGGAAATTAGAAATCACAGGGGACTGTGTGCACATCAGCACTGGGCTGCACTCAGACTTAAAACACAAGACCACTTTGAAACATCTTCTGTTTATAGTGGTTTCATAGCAATTCACAATTTTCTGAAATGTGATGCTGCACCGCTAAAACTGTATATATTGGTGTATAACATTTTCTGCAGATTTCAGACCATGAGGCATAATGATCACAAGGCTTTTAGTGTTTTTTGTGGAGGATGTTGCAAAATCTCACACCTTTGTGTGTATTTTTTATTGTGTTTGAACCCTTTACTGACAAAGCGAAAACTCGTAACTTATTATGAGAGACTTTGACGATCAGCTCTAGGCTGGGTTCAGATGCTCCTGGTCTGGAACAAGCGCTGACTTGTAAGAAGAAAATCCAGTTTAGGAAAAAAACTGCAGAACTGCACTAAATGCCAACAGAAGACCAGAAAAAGAAAGAAAAAAAAGGTTTGTCTCCTTTCAGTCTATGACTAAAAGACAGCTGCTACTCGACAGAGATGGGTCAATTCTATCCACTTCTGCTCTAAACTGATAAATGATCTGGAAGCAGATTTCAGAGGTGGCTGTTAAAAGATATAGAAAACCTGATTAAATCCAGGCAGGACTGAAGGCCCTAAAGATTCAGGGTAGAATAATGAAGGGGAAAATTCAGTGCGCTTAATTATTCCTAGACTCTTAGACTTCAACAGAGACAGGTTTAACTTATTAAAATAAAAGATTGGTTTGCTGTCATTTAATGCAGCTAATCCAGATATTGAGCTATGTGTGTGCTCATTGATGGGCAGGCCCTCTTCCTTTGTACCACAGGTGCAGACCTCCTTTGGCTGCAGGAGTTGCAAACAACAAAGAGAAGTTTTGACTGAAACTACTTTGAAACTGTAGCTTTGTAGGAGCCATAATGTTCCTTTGCTGATTGGTTATCCTGTGTTCAATTACTTTTGTCTGGTTGCCATTGGTTTCACTAGGTTTCAGGTCACATGGACACTGTGTTTGGTAGCTGTAATTTTTGTTGACCGCGCTTTATGTTCTTTGTTTGCTTTGATACACTTCGCAAAGTGTACACATATAACATCTGATGTGCGCGTGTAAATCATTGGCCACTGTTGAAGCGTTTTTTTCTGTTATTAAAGCTCTAATAACTCGCTGAACTGTGAGTGCTTCTTTGGAACAGCAGCAGTGTGTCACACAAATGTACAGGACCTATTCCCTGCCGCAGGCGACTTTTTTAAGGGACTGGGAAAGCAGCAATAAGCTTTAAGTGTCAATAAGACAAAGAATAACATCTGGTTTGGTGTATAATAATCTGTGTCCAAGACTGGTTTGCACTAGTCTTGCATAAGTTCAAACGTAGCCGAGTTAAAATGTGATTTCTAATTCAGGATGGAGTTAACATTCACGTTTTAGGGTTGCACCGGCTCGAATAGTCATCTAGCGCCTATATATCTAGAATAGATGTTCAGTCCTTATTATTTTTAAAGATAAGATAGAACTCATGATAGATTACATCACTTGAAAATGTGTGATGACGTTCGTCTGTAGTTGACAGATTTAAGGTAATTTTAACTGTTCCTTGAGCTGTTAGCCTGTTTAAAGACAATCAGACATGAGAGCACTCACACTTACACCCAACAGTCAAGATGAAACTAATGGTGAAACCAAACTAAGGAACATATTACAGACTAACTTGTGTCCAGTTGTGGTACAGGATGGACTCTACACCCTAAATTTAGACAGCAACAGGCCATAGGCCACATCAGGTGTTTCAAGAGGGGGAAGCAAAGTACAATCTGTGCAATTTGAGGTGAAAATTAAAGCATATAATAAATAAAAGACCTGTGACTTGTCTCATTGGACTTCCAGCTCTGTGTCACGTTGACTACCAGTGACCTTTTCCTCTGCTACAACTTTGCTTTGCTAATTGTGACAGTTCTCCAAAAGGTCAGTGTTGCAGAGTTTTCACATCCACGAGCTGCTCATTGTAGAAGATAAATAGGACTTTTGCAGTAGGTTAATTTCCTTTCACTTCCAACAAATTTGTATCTTGTATTCAACACTTGTCTGGATTTAGAGATATGATAGATGTTCAGTTATGGATCTGAACTCAGCCTTGAACAGAGTGAACTATTTAAGTGTAGGGGTTAATGAATGACAATGTCTAGACATTTCATTAACTGTATCAACAACTCACATAGCCGTTACCTTCCTGATTAATGCCCAGATGTTACCATAGTGTTCATTCATGGTCATTTTAGCCGCTCTCCTCTTGAAGGTCGGGTCTACTGGAAAAGAGAAAAACCTCAGGGCCTCTGTATATTTATCAGGCACTTTGATGTCTTAATTTAGAACTGCTCTGGACACTTTTTTAAACCTTTTTTTTCCTCAATTAACCAAAGAAGTTAAACAAAAATAAATGTGCTGTTTGTTCAGGATGGGAACAATGAGCAAAGGCTCTGGACATCAGGCTCAGCTGGGTCTGACAGAGCACAGGTCATCCGGCCTCGTCTGGGAAACACACACACAGTCTCTCTCTCTCTCTCTCTCTCTCTCTCTCTCTCTCTCTCTCTCTCTCTCACACACACACACACACACACACACACACACACACACACACACACACACAAAGCCATTAAAGAGAAAGGAATGGCCCCTGTGTGAGTGAGGAATGGAGGTCAGACATCAAGGTGAAGCCGATTATGAGAGTCCAAGAGTAAACAACATTGAAAGCTCTTATAATGTAGAATTAATATCAGTAATAACAAACACCAGAGTTGAATAATAGACTATAAGAGATCAAGAGAGCAGGCTGACTGTAGTTACAAATAAATAGAGACTATTTAAGATTCTTCAAATTATCTACAATAGTGATTAAATGTTCAATATCTAGAGCAAGAACTGATTCAGTTCTGTCTCTAAAAGCTGGGATCATTTTCAAGTCTTGGTCTAGATTTTCAAGAGATAAAAGTACCATGAAACATCACTACCACATACATTTATGAAAACACAGCAAGAGACAATACAGATAAAATACACAGATATCTTATTAGCTTGATCTTTATCCAAACAGTTTAAAAAAAACGATGAAATATCAACTATACTTGATCTGAAATGACAGGATGCGCTCCATGTTAAAGATATATTGAAATGTTTACACCTTTGACCCAAAGTGGACACACAGCTGTATACATATAATATAATATCATACATTGACCTAAAAGATAATAAAAGAAAATTTAAAAAGAAGGAGTATCTGACTGTCTCTGAAATGCTTGGTCATGTTTATGGACTTTACACGGATAAAAAAGAAAAAGCTCAGCAATAAAAATCTCTCTTATATGACCTCACTATTACTCCAGGCTACTTCTTGATATGATTATCTGATAGGTGGACATTTTCAATCAAAGGCTGATCTGACATAAAGCACAGTGATATATACATGTTGTTGTGCCCTCTGTGGTCTGTGTTGTCCTCTCCTCTTTGTGCCCTGTTGAATCTGCAGAGTTGATCCATTAAATGTATATAGAGGCAGTCTGAATCTATAAAGCAGTGCAGCTCCCCGACCTTCCCTGTGCCTTCTCTTTATCTCCTTGGTCCCTCCTGCCTAGGCTTTCAGCCTGTCATTGCTCATGACTATGATTCATTGCACGGTCCATTAAGACTCCCCCCTTCCCTCCCCTATCAGTCTCTCTTGTTCCCGCTGTTTCAAACTTTCTCTTGTCATTTCTGTTGTCCCCTCCTCTCTTCATCTTTTTTCTGTTCATACTGTTTTGTACATGTCTTCCTTTCCTGTCATCCTTTGTCTTTTGTCATCTTGGCCTCCTACCTGCTGGGGTAGAGGGATGCCAGGATAGGAAATATACTGAGACTAGCTCATCAATCTGAAGACTCTTTCAGGCTCCATGTCTCCAGCTTTTCCTCTTAAGACTAATTGCTTTTTAGCAAACTCTGTGTGCATGTGCATGTGTGTATGTGTGTGCGTCTTGGTTGTTATCCATCACATTCAGCTCTGTCTTCTGTGAGTTGCATGTGCTTTGCTTGAGCTCAATATTGCAACGATGGCTTATTGACACCTGGGAGACAAGTGTCACGAAAAGCGCCACAACAGAGGGGCTCACAGTGAGGAGTTCCAGTACTGTTTGTGTGAGGGAGAAGAGAGAAGAGAGCATACACTTACATTTTACTGTTGTATTGCTGCACACACACTGTGAATTTTCTTTCTGTGTGAAGTTTAAAGGCCAGGCTTCCCAGTTCATTGTTTTGCCAGCAACCAATAAATGGTTGTATTATCATTATTTATGATGTATATTTGTCATAGCTGTTCATAGCTGTTCACCAATAAATCTGGTTCTGCTTTCCCTTTAAAACGTTTTATTTATTTATTTATTTATTTATTTTTTGCCCCCGTTGCCAAATGCTCTCAGATGATGGATTCATGCATGGTCCTTCCAAATAATATGCCCAAAAGGATGGTCTAGTCGTTCTCTTTTTGGACTCTTGAAGATTCCTGGTAATCTTTTGCTTTGGTGCCATGTGACTGGAAAAAAACTGTGATTAATAGGCTGAATTGTTCTGGTCATATTTTAAGCAAAATGCTTCAGTTGTTTTTTCCTCCTGATTCTTCTGCTGTGAGAAAGAATAGCTTTTCACTGCTTATATAACTGGAATATTCTGTTTATTTTTAAAGGGACAGTTCAGTTTTTTGTGGGATTGTAGAAATGGGAATATGTAGGAGCCCCCTTGGCCTGACAGTTTTTTGTGCCTCATCTGCAGAGGCTGTGGTCCTTGTTGCAGTAATTGTTGGTTTGACTCCCTGCCACAATCATATGCTGCATGTCTAAACCTGTGCCCCAATCCAGGACTTGCAGCCTTCAAGGACTTGGCTATTGTACAGGTCACATCCAACTGAACTGAGACAGTCTCTATCATAATACTGTTCTTGCTGCTTAGCAACAGGTGGCTACCCTACTGACCAGCTAGCAAAGTTCTCTCAACATCATAACCAATCATCCTATTTGAAAGATCATTTCAAAATTCAGTGCATCTGTCTTCTTGAGTATTTATACAGCAAACTACTGACTTAAAGCCAGTTACTATTATTGCACAGTGTAGTACTCTGAGGGTTGGGAGTCCCCTATCTTGACTGTATTAGTGCTCAAAGAATCCCAGGATACGTGGGGCTGCAAGTGATGCACCTGATGCAGCCTTCATTGCTTAAGTAAAGTAGGACACATTCGTTGGCTGCATTTGGAGGAGCCCTTCGATCCTGTGACGCATTCAGTCCTCAAAGGGCTTCAGCCTCCAATTGAAGGCTGAAGCCCCTGAATTGATACACAGCTCTTATCCACTCTCTCTTTATCCACACACAGTGTTTCCTGTTTCCTTTTCGGTTGTCGTGTCAGTAAGGCCAGAAATGCTCAAATGGATAACTTTAAAAGAAATCGAAGTATTTGACCGTCGTTTGCAGTCAGATGCACTCTGGCTCACCCATCAGAGAAGTAGTGGTCACCACTGTGTCTGATACATGATAAGAATGATCTTCCATCTGTCAAGAGTTTACCATCAAAAATAACTATCAATACAAATTTGATATTAATAACAACACGCTTCTTTGTCAGTTTTTAGTTTCACATGGCCACTCACTATACACAAAAACTTGTTTGTCAGTTCTTTGCAACAGTAGATGTAAAGAGACCACAGTTCAACAAAAACACATATTTTTTTCATCCAGCTGATTATACGCTAAGTTATACATGTTCACGAATATTATAATCAATTTCTACCAAGTCTATTTTGCTGAATGCAACTGAGTTAAACACACTGAATCTGTAATAGTAAATGCAAAACCATTTAGCATGGCTATCGTGTTGAGTGAACCAGTGCTTAAACTGTCAACCTCTGCAAGCTGGATCAACTCTGCCACCCAGTCAAGGTTATTACAAGAAACCCTTTTCTCAAACCCTGATGTCAGTTTGTGCGTACACTATATTTATAAGATTTTTTTGTCATCAGTGCATTTGTTTTTGCACGACCTGATGTGACACATAAGTGTTCCCTCTTACGACGGTCTTGTAAAGCAGTTTAAGGTCAGTTAAAGGATGACCTTTTAATGATAATTTTTCGAAGCATGAACAGTGAGAAAGGTATCAGCCAGAGAACTCCACTTTGATGTATTCCATGATGGTTTACTGCTTTCCTGGTCATTTTTTTTTTATTTTTTTTGTCCGAAGGCAAAACAATTACCAAAGAACAGTTTTTGTGATATTATCACTGTCCAGAATCAGTGCTGTGCATCTCTTTATAAGTTGTTCAGTGTGAGATATGTCTGTCTTTTTTTCATTTGATGAAAATCTGTATCCTCATTTTCACTCATGAGCTAACTATCAGTGTTATCCACGGTGATATCATCTTGCTACTTGGAGGCAAATAGACCCAGATTAACCTGATATGTTCTCTCTCTCCTCTCTCTTTTCAGCCCTCTCTCTGTACAAGCCCCTGCTTCTCTCTCATACTCTCTTTCTCTAAGCACTAAAAAGCGACGGCTCTGCCTTTTGTGCCGAGCGAGACGCTTCCTGTCGCTTGATGCTGTGTTTGCTTTTCTGAGCCGGCTCCCAGAGAGCTGTTGTTGTCCGCTGCTGTTTTTGCATTCTGGGCTCTCCCTCTCTTTTTGAACAAATCCCCCTCCCCCCGACTCTTTTTCTTTTCAACTCCCACCCTGAACTGGAATAAACCCACCTGGCCTAGATTAGGACGTGTGTTCTCCTTAGATCACTCGTGCATGCACAAAATCTCCTCTACAGCCTTCCTTGTCGGCTTTTTGTTAAAGTCTGTTTCGGTTGTCAAAGACTTGGTGGTCTGATTACCTCTTATCACTGCCTCTGTGTTTGCAGATGTATCAAACACATACAGTCCCCTACTGCTGCAGCTGCTGAGTCAGCTAAGAGAGACAGGGAAAGTTATGAGAGGAATGTGAGCTGACATGACCGCACAGGTCCGCCCTCCAGACATAGAGACAGGCAGGCACTGATAAAGAGGAGGCTCATTCATCCTGTGACACTTTCAGCCCCATTTCAGAGCCTACAGATAAAATCAAGTTGCCTGAGTGTTTCCTTCAGACATGTGATCAATCTTTGGAGTGATGTAACTCTTTGCACATTGAACCCAAGCGGTAATTAAAATGTTATATTTTCCTAAAAGATGGTTCTATTTGTCATTTCATCTTAAGTGTTGGTCATAAGTTGCTGTAATTGTTCCTGTGATGATCAATCAAAGATTGATAATGGTTTGTCAAGAATATAGTGAGCGTGAATCAAAGCTCCAGTCTGAGACTTTGCATCCTGTCGAGCTTCAGTGAGATGAGGCAGCTGCTCCTGCAGGTCCCATTGTGAATAAAAATGTTTTCCCTGATGACTCAAGTTGGACATCATCATCCTTTCTCTGTGACTTTTTACATTTTTTGTTAAGTCAAAACCAGAGTCAAGGTACAAACTGCAAGTGTTCACTCACAGGGATGTTTAAATAGAGGCACATGATTTCATTTATTACTGATGGTAATATAGGATTGTGTCTCATAAGAAAGTGTTTGTAGATATGCTATGGTGAAAATTTCAGGGACAATACAGTAAGGTTTGAAAACACCTACTTTTCCATTCTCATTATCTTTGTCTAGTGAGTGAGAAAACAAGTATTGAAATTTTGGACCTTGTGATGCCAGGTCACAGGTTACATTGTGATGTGTGGCCTCTCAATGTGTTTTAGTTTAACAGCCTGAAACGAGATCCAGCAACTTGAAAGCTGAGGTTACCGGCGTTTACTATGAAGCAGTGAAAGATTTCTGCCGTTATTTCCTGTCCATTTAGGTAGTTAATTGTATTTACCAGGCCTTGTGTGTAAGGTTCAGTCTCTTGTTTTATAGATTATATAGATTAATTGAAGAAAAAAACCTACAGGGCTTAGGTCGTCAGAGCTCAGGTCATCAGGGCCAGGTCTGCAACAGTAAACAGATGGAAAGCATGTCCAATCTTTGGCATCTCACTGGAGTTAATGCTGTGTGTACAGACACAAAGATGTACCCAAAGATAGTTCATTGTGTTATTTATCTCTGCTTTTTGCTTGATGGTACAGCAGAGCTTCAGTGGGATATAAAAAAATCCTCATAATCCACTTCCATAAGAAAAACACCAGGTATGAATGTCATACAAAATCAGGCATGTATATTATCCTTGCTGAACACCTTGCCTTATCATGGTGTTCCTGCTGTTTCCTGGCCTCGCCTTCTTAAACTTCCATGTTTAATCTTAAAATGCACATTTCCTACATTTTCAGGACACATACCATGAATATTTCAATACATGGTCAGGTTAAAACATCAGCCTGCTTATTTCCTGTACTTCACATTAAACTGAACATTTCCATCAAAGGTAATGTTGTACAAGGTGAACAAGTTCTTTGCAGGAACATTTATGTTGACATTTCTGTCCTTATTCAGCTCTCTTTCTTCTCTGGGCTGTGCAGCTAAAACACCTTAAAACACAAATGAGGCAAATGGCACAACTTAAAACACTGTTGCCGTTACCATGATCACTTCGGCTTAGGTTAGTTTGTATCCATCACTCAGAGAAAGTCTTATCAGCTGTGTTCATGTAGGACTTGCAGGACATGATTTTGCTCCACGTCTCCTTATTGGCGATGGTTGGGGTCTGGTGGCTCCTCAGGATGCTCTCATGTCAGTGCCAGGTAACTTTCATTATTTCACATTAAGACCAGCCTGGGACAGAAACTAATGTTTTTTCCCACAGGGTCAACAAGCGAAAGTGAAATATGACAGAATTTCTTACTGAAGATTGATTTGATTTGATGTGATTTGTATGATCAGGGTTTCCCCATAGCTGCATTTGTTTTGCTGAGCATTAAAATTAATATTTTACACTGCTACATGATTTGTAAGACAGCCGTTTATTAAGTCATGTTAAACCCCATTTTTATTTATTTTTTTCAATCAACACTTTTTAGTAGATTTTTTAAACACAAAACTCAATATTTCCTTGGGTTGACAAGATCTGTCCTGTGTTATAAAAGGGATTATTTTTTTCCAGATTGCCTTGAGATAAAACAAACATATTAATTGTATGAAGTAAGTGTTTGTTTTTCAGAAGACTCTGTATCAAGGGTTATCAAGGGTTCATTCTGTTATCTACAGTGGCTCCACAAACACTTCATGACCACAAAGAACATTTTATGTAAAGCTAAAATGACCTTTTGCATTTTACAAAACTATTTTATGGTGTGTTATTTTTCTTATTTCATAAATTTTCTTCCATTTTGTATTTTTTTCTTTGTAGTTTAAGTGTTTTTGTTATTATGAGATATTTGTATGTGTTTTGCAATGTTTTTAAATTCAACTAAATGTCTTATTTTTGCTAGATGTTTGGTTTGTTGTATAATATCAATATACTTGAGAAAAAAATGCATTTGCCTATTTTTTAATTTAATGTATGTATTTATTTATTTTTGGCACTTAGCAAAATATCATCTGGTGATGCAGTGGTTATGCAGTTGACCTTCAGGGCCACCATAGTTAGGACCCTATGAGCATTTCCACCTGTTCTCAGTTGGACAGGAACAAATAACTATAATTCTCCTGATTCCAGTGTGTAAATAAAAATATTCATGGGGATGCAGTGGTGGTCTCTGCAGACACACAGAAACATGTCAATGGCTCTAAACTTCATTTCTCAAACTCACAAGAGGGATAAAAGAGGAAGACACCGGAAATAACTTATCTGTCCAGAGGGGAGCCTGTAACACAAAACAATGGTCCAGAGGAAGTCTGTCTTCCGAGTTTTGCTCCTATCACGCACTGAATGCTCTGTACTCAGAGAATGAGGTGGCGATGCTCAGTGAACCACATACACAGCACAAACACAACAAGCTGGACGTGCTGTGATGCACGTTCTGCACCCAGAGGAGAGATCAGAGACAGCCTCACAGGCTTAAATAGGATCAAGAACAAGTTCACCACAACATCCTCTAAAGGAAACACTACCAGGCATTAATGGACTTTGAAAGACCCAGGACAACATATAATAACATTACACTTTAATTGTCATTCAGCTTCCTGTGATTCTGTGACTTAATGGATTTTTTCATGGCCTGTGCATGTTGTCAGGGAGCTTTTAGCTTCCCTACTGAACTTGTGGGCACTCTCAGCTCATTATCATTATGTGATATTGACTCTGGCCGATTTTTTTATTATATGTGGTTGTCCTCATACTTCCCTCTTTTTACCAACAGAATATCGATGTGACCAACTTCAGCAGCAGCTGGAGTGACGGCTTGGCTTTCTGTGCCCTCCTGCACACGTATCTCCCCGCCCACATCCCATACCAGGAACTCATCAGTCAAGATAAGGTAGAGGACTACAGAAAAGCATGCACACCAACACATCTGCACACACAGCTAGTGCAAGAACAAACATCATGTCATCATGCAATCTTGAATCAATAATTAAGACAGGCTAAACAGTAAGTGAAGGGTGAAATCTTCAGAGTATTTAAGGACAAAAATCCATGTTTTCATTGATGTTTTGTTTAAGGAAGGGGTATTTATATCTTCATTTATATCTAAGTGTGATACAGGTTGAATTCCTGTGTAGGATTCTTACACTTACGTAACTTGACAGAGAGTCAGTATTTCAGTCTTTGAGCATAATTCTTAAAGACTTGACAGGAGAGTCCAGTCTTTAGTCCAAAGTCACAATTTAAAGTACTAACACAAGGAAATGTAGCAAAGAAAGTCAACACCAGCCTTCTGAAATACAGTCCAAACATCTGACTTCAACAGGACTCTCGCAGGTGGCACTAGGGATGGCCAATCAGTCGTGCCAATCGTGCCACCCAGGTCGCTCTCCTGAGCACACACCGTGTTGAAGGGACACACAGACAGCACATAGTAGACATGTAACTGTTTAAAGACAGGCTCACTGCCATACTTGGATTTTGTCATCACTGTGTTATGATCAACACATTCTTATATAGTCATATATGAACAGTCCTGTCTATTGTACCTGCAGAATGAAAATACACAGATGTACTCGGTGTGACGTGTTGTGTGGACTCACAGAGACAATCACTCTTCACACTTTCCCTCTCAATGTTTTGTTGTGTTTGAGTTAAAACAAAGGGTGATTTAAAGGAGGTATTTCTCTGTCACGCCTTAAGCTTCTGTTAGAGAATGACACAGAAACTAGAGTACAGCATTAATAAGTATTAATGAGTGAACGATTGCATGACTTAAAAGTGACTGACCTACAGGTTCAAGTCATTATGAAGTAGAAATATGAAATTATTAGCTGAAGAACTTCAGTTTAAGAGATGAGAGCCAGAAGCTGAATGATAGGTTACCTCTGAAGCTGTACTGTGACATAATGTATACAAGTTCAGATATACTTTTGGTGACACTGAGAAATAATCAGCTACTGGTAAAAGTCCTGTATTATCTTTAAAATGAAGTCTAAGGTCTTATAAAAGTGAAGGTTTCACACTGTATTTGACTAAATATTAGGGGCCAGTATAATAAAGAAATGTCTGAACAGAGTTGTTGTCACAGTCCAGCTAAATATAATATTTTGAAATAATCCATTAACTAAAAAATAAAGGACTTTCATCATTTGGACATGCAGCTAATGTTAATCATAACACAAACCGCTCTGCCAGCCTCGTGCCTCCAGAAAAAGCTGCACATAAAGCCTAAAGCCATAAGAAGTTGTTTACAGAGGCATGAAAACTGTGAAAATGGTCTTCTCAGTTTGATGCATGTTTGCCAGCAGTGAACTAAAACATATCTTTGATGCTTTGGAGCCATTTTCCAGAAGTCATATTTTCTAACATTGAGCCAAATATCACAGTCTTCTGTAAGGATACTTTTTATAGCTCTGCTATTGTTTACACGACATTTAATGGCAGCCTGCAGATGAATTACGGCTGTAAGTGATGCGGAGCCAAAAAGCAGCAGGGACTGTATAGCTAAGTGTTGACAGTAATGTAATGCGAGTATGCAGGTGGTATAAACAGTAACAATATGGTTTCTCTCTGGTACTGCGGGTCCTGATATTTAACTTTTGCACAGCTGATGAACACCTTTGACAAAGTCTGACACATCCTACCTGAGAAATGAGTCGTGTGTTTGCACTTGTGTCAGTGTAGATGTGCAACCCTGTTACTGATGACAGAGAAATTGCACAGGTCCTCACAGAATAATTCAATAAACGGGTGTTAGCTAAATAGCTCTTGCTGAGTGACGTTCCCTGAGGCCCAAACACACAGCCGCTTCCCAGTATAACCTCTCCTTCCTAAAAACCCATTAGAGCCCTTGTTTGTGGAGAAGTCCTTTGTTGTGGATGTTTTTAAAAAAACAACTGAGAAGGGTGGATTACATTGAAGTAAATAAGCGGCTGTTGTTATTTTTACAGAAATGTACAGCTGTAGATCTAACCACCAAGAATATGCAGTATGATCTATTAATTCATTTCCCTAGCTAGAGTGATGACTTCAGGAAAGTCAGGTGGAGTTGACTCTTCAATAAAAAGTTTGAATTTCAGGGTGAACCAGGGAAATGGTCCAATTCAGAAGTTACAGAAAAAGCAAAATGCCTTTGAGGGATTTGTTCTCCCCTCGAAAACCATAAATAAATTCTCCTAATTTCATATCAGAGTTTATCAAAATAAGTGACACTGTCATTTTAAAAAGGCTTAATTTTGCCAACTAGCACCTGCAGATTAGGCAACGTTAAGGTGATTATTAACTTTTGAAGTTGTGAAAATCTAACTGATAGAGGATATATCGTGCTTCAGGTGGAAAATCTAAGTCTCTGCCAACAGCTTGTCGTAAAATGTTATATTGAATTGCATGTGTGTTTTGGTTGTTCAAGTTGTCTTGATAGTTAATCTGATTTGCGTGCAAAGGTACAATTATTAGTAGATCATTACATGATCATGATTGTCACTGTTATAGAATGATTTTTTTAATAGATGCCTTATTCCCCTCGGGCTGTTTGCATGTTTGGACACACCTGCCATAACAGTTTTTATCAGTCTGGAGTTACGCAGATCTATATTTATAAAGCAAACACCTGACACAGACCAGTTCACTGCAACATTGACATCAATTTTAATCACATTGAACCAGCATGATCATGATAAGCATATATCCACTCTCCATCTCAGTGAAGGCCTCTATCTTCACTTATAAGAACAAAGTGTATTTCACTCCTTGTGAATGTTTCTCTTCCTCTCTGTGGATATGTGACTATAAGAAACTCTATATTAGGAGAATTGGGTTAAATCTACAGGGATTCAGCTCATAACAGTCAATAAGTCTTCCAGACAGAGATTAAATCCAGTACATTAAACAAATAAACACAAGAGATAACATACCACACTCAGATACTCGCAAAGTCTTTCACACGTTCCAGCTGTCCCCTGGGTGTTTGTCAGGGACCGTCACAGTCTCACAGCGTTTAACGTTTTGTTTTTCTTCAGGTCCGAAATCTGACCTTGGCTTTCCAGGCGGCTGAGAGCGTTGGCATTAAACCCTCTCTGGTGAGTTGGACTGTCACAGACATATCTGCGCGCACTTGAACACACACACACACACACAAAGATGACACAGGGAGACCCCCTGATCAGAGGAATTAGAAACGATAACTTTCTTTTTTTCAGGCAGTGAAATTCAATTACAGAGACGTCTTACAGCTTTTTATGGGACTATTTTGTCCTGGTGGTGCATAACTGCGTCCCATCATTTAGTGGGTACTTTTTGTTAGACCAGATTTAGTGAGCTGCCTTGAGCTGTGGGCTGTAAATCAAGAGAAAAACTCACTGTATAAATAATTCAGATCTAATAGGACTTTGATAAGCTGAGTTATTTGGTTAAAACATGTGCAGTTCTCTTTAGGAATTGGTGCCAAGGACCCAACTGCTCCACTGAAATATTGAGACTTCATGAGCACTTTCAGATATTTTCAGCATTATAATTAAAGGTCTAAAAGGAGCCTAACAGCTCCTAAATAATTCCAGGTTGGCCTTACTTGCTTTAAAAAAGGGGCAGCTGTGGCTCAGTGGTAGAGTCGGTCATCTCCCAATTTTAAGGTTTTAAGGTGCCAATGTGCCCTCGGGTTACTTTGACCCCACCTGCCCCCACTGGTTGGGTCCAGTGGTGTGTGAATGGAATTAGTCAAAGCATGATGGCACTTAGCAGCCTCTTAATCAGTGTGTGAATGTGGCGTGAATGGATGAAAGTGACATGTGATGGAAGAGCGCTTTGAGTGGTCAGAGGACTTTGAGAAAGTCCTTCATAAATATAGTCGATTTACCATTTAAGAGGGATTCTCCATTAGGGTTAGAGCTAAGGCTGCTAAAAACATGGTTTCAAATAAAATGACAAACTTTTCTTTACCATCGAAAAATCATCAATTCAGTAAAAAATTAACCAAAGTTAACAAGATTTGAGTCAGAGTTTTTATAAAAGCTGACAAATCTCTCAGGGTCCATAAAGGGTTTTTATAGTAAAGTGCAAAAGTTTGATGTGATCTTTAGGGTTAAACGGTCATTTTAGTGTGGCTTTAAATGTCACAAAACTGTCAGATTGACTCTTGTGTCTTTTGTAAAACTCTGCATTTCTGCTCACAAATAACTGCCAGTGAGAAAAGAGCCCAAACATTTACATGCTGGCTGGTTCACGTGAATTGTGACCACCCATTTCCAAGGAAAAACATTTTATTCTTAGATTTCCTTTTTTTTTTTTTTTTTGGGAAACTTGCGGTCGTATGGATTATTTTAAGTATCTGAGATCTGCCTGCAGGGTGTATAAGACATGACGGAGGTTATAACAATATGATCTCACTTCCTCCCTGTCCCACGTCTGTGCATGACGTCTCGCCTTTGTTAGTCTGTTCACTGCTGATGACAGCTGTAGGTTTAGGGAATAGAGCGTGGTCGATTATTGTACTTTCATTAACGTCACACAAAAATAACTGCTCGGATTTGACTTGACCAAATAAACAAATGAGTCCAGAGCCAGCTGGAACATGAGCCACAAAAAAGCACCAGGCCTCATTATTTCACTGAGTTCAAAGTTCACATTTCTTTGTGGTATTCATCTTCATTCTTGTGGCCACAAAATTGCATCCTGCAAACTTGTTCCCATGTCGGTGAAGCTACAAAGAAATAAATAGCTGTCACTTCCAGGATCCGCTGAGGGAATTTCATTGCATGTTTTTAAATCTCCCTCTGCTGCATGAACAACATATTCACCCCCAGGACAGACAGAAGCTCATCATCCCCCTTGTAGACACCATGGTGGTGATTGTACTACAGTGTGTGTTTAATGCTGAGCTAAAGAGAGCTTCTGTGACGTGAGCTCGCTGTGGAGTCATGTGAAATCCTGGTTCACCATCTGACTCACCATCAACAGGCAGAGTTTGTCTCTGAGCAGCAGCATACAGCTTCACATCTCTAATGTGAGTTTACACTGGCTGAGAGGTTCACTGTCGTCAATGTGTTTTTAAAAATGATGATGTGGCACCCGAATGCTATTTTTGGAATTTTTTTTATCTCCGTTTCTGAGACCTAGGAAACACTGAGTTTGGATTTCACTCTTCAGGCAGTTTTCTTTGACTAAACTGTTGAATATGAACTCTCACTAGACAGCACTGGAGTAACGAGTTCATTTAACAAACATGTTCATTTCTGTGGACCTAAAATCCCTGTCAGATGTTTTGCCTAAGCTGTAGTGCAGTTGCCAGTCACAGGACCACAATGCCATCATGCTCTTCTATCCAGATGTGAACAGGCACAGATGTTTGACAGTGTTTTACAGTTTTATTTGGGTGGACTTTGTTTTAGGAAATTGAGTTAAAGTTGTTTGTCTGTTGTGTCTGGTTAAACTGACCCAAATTAAATGAAACACTGGACAGGAGAAATGAGAATCCATCACAGGTACGTGGATGTGAACCTGGAGGCTGGTGGTGCTAGCTCTGCTAACATTAGCCACAGTCTGTAAACTAATTTGACATCATTCAGACTCTACGATCTTGTGTTTAACCACATTAGTTAGTCAGTTTGTCGTGCTCAATGTAACTGTTTTCTGAGTGTTTTCTTACTGTTAGACTAGTCTATTGGTCTGAGTTTAAGTTTCTGTTTTGACAAAATGAATCGTTCCCACTTCTGAGAATGTAACAGATAGAAACCAGTGAATACAATTTTTACCATAGCAACATAACTTCTGCAAAAAATCCCTTTTTTTTTGTGGTCTTACTATGAATAATGTACAGTGCAGTCATTTTCATCAGAAGTCTCGGGGCAAAGGAAATTTAATATAAAGGGGTTAGAAATTACAGACAAAAGTTTAAGATGTTAGAAGATGTTTAAGATGTAAATGGCAGAAGGTGACTCACGTGCCAAATCCTCTGCCAAAACTCAGTCAGTTAATGATCATAACTGACTGAGTAAACAGAGAGGCTGTTCTTTTAAATATCTCTACCTTTCATATAAATGTTTGCAAAAGTCTTTATCCAGAGGGACTTAATCCTAAAGCTGCTACCACTCGTGATTGCACTTCTGTGATCACATCCAGGCCTGTCTTTGCAGATCACTTCAGATATTTACTGTAGTAATCAGATAGTCAAACACTATTTGTTCAGTGTTGACAAAACTAGAGGATGCTGCATTCGAGCTGTGCTCTGTTTACTCATTAGCCTGATGGGGGTGCTGTTTATAAAGCAGAAAATGAATCCAAACTCAGGAATACCAAAACTCCCACACATACCTTATAAATCTTTTTCTCCTCCAAACAGGACATGGAGGAGCTGATGAAGACCGACAGGCCGGACTGGCAGAGTGTCATGCAGTACGTCTCCCAGATATACAAGTACTTTGAAACCTGACTGGAGGGGTAAGAGGAGCTGGGGACTGATGGATAGGAGGCACCGCAGTGTTTTCTGGGTACAACAAGAGCAATAGATACACCTTCCAGATGAACTGAGGGCTGCCACCTTAAATCCTCTCCTGCTCACTGCTGGACAAAAGAAACACGATTGAGGATTTCTCTGTTTTTGAAGAATTGAAATCAGTCAGCTCTGCAGAGAGGAGACACATCGAACACGTGCCAAATCCTCTGCCAAAACACAGCTAATTTGAGACTGTCTATGCATGGTTAAAGTGTAACCTTCTGTGTGAGTGCGCTGCGTGACGTCTCCTTTCACTGAACAACACGCAGTCATGAGTGAATCTGTGTGAACCCGACTTTCTAAAAATTTCTTTCGCGTTTGCTGAAAAGAATCAGTCAATCGACAACAGACTGTTTAATCAGAGTGTGATTGTTGACAAGCTGGAGTTTCACTCTACGGAGCTGAAACTATTTTGAGTTGACAGATTTTTTCCACCTCTGACTTTGCACGTCCTTAAAAAACGGAGATATCAAATCTGTCATCTGTGATGCAATACTAAAATAATTTAACACTAAAAGAGTTGCTGAATAGTTTTGTAGGTATATTTTTAATGAAAACTGATCTCTGTGTCTGTGCCGTTTACAGCTGGAAGGACCGGCTGAATCAAACCATTGTTTCGTGCACCCTTGTCACTTTTTAATGTTTTCCAACACAGCTCTCATCTACTTTGGCCCTGCAGCTGCTTTGCAATTTAAAGATCAGTGTATTTGGCATGCCAAGTTCAGCGATGATAGAGAGGATGACTTTCACATGTAACAGCTGAAGGAAAGAACACTTTCTTTGTTGTATGATTTGAACAGATTTGCAGATGCACTTATGTTTCAGAGAATTTAAATTGTAATTTATTTATTTAGAGGAAATGCATCCTGAAAAGTGAGAGTGTGGATGAAAACGTTTGCAGTTTTATAGTTGAAAATGTCAGATTTGAAGGTCTGCTGGAGGAATATTGCTAAATAAAGGATTTGCGAGTTTTATAATCAATCAGTTTCATTTGTTTATTTATTAGTTGATTCAAGCTCCAGCACAATGCTGTTATATTTATATTTAGGCACTTTAAGTGTTGCTGTACACTGGACGTTAAACTGCTTTCCCACTAACTGCTGTCCCCTTTGGCCAGTAAAGCTCTGTGCCAGGGCCGTGTAACTTGGGAGGAAACACTTCTCTCTGGCAGCAGGTAAGGACAAAGTTATATTAACAATAAACAAAATATTTGAAGTATGATGTAATTTGTCCATTTAAGATTAAAATAAAAAGATCCTCAAGGATTGATAAGGAATGAAAAACTTTGTGAAACTCTTCGTGGTCCGATTGATCACCCATCAAGAGCACTTTTGGTGGAACATTTGAAAAAAGAAAAAAAGTTGTTTCAGCAGTGTGATGTTAGTCCTTATCTGGCACTGACCCCTGCCAATGGTCTTAGAAAGTAGAGATAACTATGGACATAGTCACTCTTCTTGTTGAAGGTCTTGGTTATTCTTTTAGGCCACAGAGAGACAGCAAGTAATAATTTCAGTCAGTTTTATGACTGGCTGAAAACTTCTCATGGGTTCTCTAAAGTGAATAAATGTGTGTAATTTTGGAATCCCTTGGCCTCTCTTGTCCTTTACAAACGTCTCGTCCTGCTGTCTTTTACAGTCAAATGTGTCATTTAGTGCGAATATTCTACCTAGAAATTGTAAAAACAGGGCTGTGAATTCAACTGCTTTAATTAGATGATAAAAACTTTTAATCTTATCCCTGATGGTCTTGTTTGCTTTTGTGTGTCATAAAAAGTTATCAATATGAAATTCAGTCTATTTCTCAGAAGTCAGACAATTCCTTACAGGAGCTTTAATGATTAGGTTTAGAGCAGACAGTGGAACCAGAGAGAGTCAATTCATGTGTCAGTGCCCATGTTGGGCCACCAGTAGGGACATGCCACTAATAGAGATTATTGAATAACCATTGAGTTCTAAACTGTGAATCAGATCCCTAAAGAACCAATAAAGGTTGATTAATAAAAGTTCAGGAGATTTATACACTCAATAATTACACAAAAATCGTGTGTGTGCCTTTCTTCCTGAAATTAATACGTTGAGTTTTTGTTCGCTTTACCTCCTGTGAGTTCCTGCTGTGAGCGTGGAAAAAAAATGATTCAAACCACAAGCAGCTGCATGTCTATGAGATGAACAGGCGGGCGCTTATATGTGGACTGTGAACACTAAACAGCATGTACATTAAACCGAAAGCACGTGGGGGCGTCTTCGGGTGCTGATTAATTGGCGCGTAATTACGCACGGCAACTCGTGACGTTCGCTTGGATTCCACTCTTATCAGACTACTTGTAACCGCATAGGAGTGAGCGTGTGTATGTGTGTTTGGGGCGTGGCTTGTGTGTGAAATTGAGTTTTTTTCCACCCTCTTCTTTCTTGCGCTTCTCTCTCACTACTTCAAAACTGCTGCCTGAGTAAGTTGTGTCACAGTCTGCCGGCGCTACAGATTTACGGATGCTACCGAAACGCACCACAGACCGGTCGCTGTAGATGTGAATCCATTCGAACGCGATGCACAGGCTTACAAAGGTGAGTGAAAACATTGTTCTCTGACTTTATAGTGTTTGATTTGTGCGCTCATGCTGCATGCGTGAAGAGACATTGCGTAATTAGGCAGCTCCAACAGTTGTTGTCAACTTTGTGGAACAGGAGGGATTGACTGCTGCTGTTTCTTGGTTTGAACTTAAAAGTCTCATCCTTTGTTTCTACAGATGGCTGGTTGTGCCGCTCACACTTGTGGAATATTCCTGGATTACAGTAGAAAGACTTCTTTACTCCTCTGGGAATAAAGCCGAGTTGTGGGTGACCGTTGTCTGTGTGATCATCCTGCAGGTTTCCAAGTCCTTCAATCACACTTTGCTGAGATGAATCCGGTATACATTGCGATTGAAATAGTAATTGCTGTTCTCTCCATATCCGGCAACGTACTGGTCTGCTGGGCTGTCGCGATTAACACTACTCTGAAGAACGCCACCAACTACTTTCTGGTGTCTCTGGCTGTGGCTGATATTCTGGTCGGTTGCCTCGCCATCCCCTTCGCTATCACCATCAGCATCGGTATAAATCTCGACTTTTATGGATGCCTCTTCTTGGCCTGTTTTGTCCTGGTACTGACACAGAGCTCCATCTTCAGTCTCCTGGCCATTGCCATTGACAGATACCTGGCTGTGAAAATCCCTCTGAGGTGAGCACTACTTTAATCTCTTAAAGTCAAATTATCTTACAACCTTTGGAAGCAGTTTAATCAGATTAAGATTAAAGATAATGCTGAAGAAGAGTAGTCACTCTTTCTCCTCTTTATTAAAGTCTTAGCACTCAGAGACCTTTTGACCCTGTTGGTTCTTGAATTCCAATCTGGAAACCAGCCAGACATCCATCAACAGACTGTTTAATCATTTATTAATATACAATGTGCTAGCTCAGCAGAAAAATATCCCTCTCTTTTTTATCCTGTGTTCAAAAACGAGCTGGAAGTAATACTCAAAGCCCTGAAAATGTTGGCATTTATCCCCCTATAGAAAGTAATTGAATTTTGTGCGGGGAGATCAGCTCTGTGATCTCATGAATTGGTTTCCTGTGGAGCTTAATACCCAGTATAAAAATAGCCTGTTAATATCTTAACATGGAATGTAATCAGATTAAACCTCTAGACAGGATTTCAATCTGTTGGTGACGGACTAAGCAAACATTTAAGAGGTGTTTTTAATCCTGATTCAGTAAACTTAAGTGTATTATCATGTTCTGCTTTTACATCCAGTGAGGTGGTGCACATCATAGAAAAACAAGAAGTCCTTTTTCTCATCTGACACCTTCAGCAGCTTCTAAAGAGGTGCAAAGATCTGTCATGCAGCTGTTTATTGTGGCACAGCAGGAGAAGCTCCAGATCAATACCTGGCCACAGTGCGTCACCTCCACTGATGTTGATGGCAAAGGCCACCAAGCTGCTCTGTGCGGTCTGTGAGCGTGACCGCCTCAGGAAACAGAAATGTGCAGAGGCAGCACAGTGCTGCTTGATATTTCCGTGAATTGAAGAATTAAAGATTTATCACCAGAGGAGGTTGTCTATCTCCAGGTTGTGTCATTTTTGACATTTTACAATGTCAGAGTTGTCTGATTATTTATTTTTAATGCAGAACTCCCAGCAGTGACTGAAGAGAACGCTAGATGTGGTTTGGAGGGCTTTTTATGCTGCAGGGCTGTGATGTGCTGTCATTTCCATTAGACTCATTTGATGGCAAGGAAGGACAGTTTGACACTAGCTCTGGATGAGTCGTCTTGTGGCTTTTAAAATCTCCATTTGTGCCTCTTGTTTTTGACCTGCAGAAACAAAAAACCTTAACACTCCTGATTAGGCCAGCTCGCAGTGAACCTGAAAAGCTTTCAAAGAAGACACACTCCAAACAATGGGAAGAACGTTTTCATCTTGACATTTTATGGTGTCCTCTGAAAGCCTGTAGCCTCCTCTCTTTCAACATATATGTGATAACAAGAGCAGTGTGTGTACATGTTCTGCTCAGATTACAGGTCCTCAGCGGCTGCTGCTTTGTGTGTGTTTGGTCAATGTGCTGGCTTTCAGGGCCCCAGTTCTCCCAGATAAAAGCGTTTTCACAGATGGTTTTTAGTGGATGTTAAAGGCCAGAGCCAGATGTTTGAAACCCCGGGAGATGACTGAGCTGCACACCCACTCAGTGCTCCCTTCAAGCCCCCCGGCTATCCCTGTTTACCCACTAAAAAAGACCCTCTAGCTGTGTGTCCCTGTGCCCTGGTGGGGCTTTTCAAATAACCTTTAACACATCAAGGAAAGGGTCCACACCCACACCAGCAGCACCGCCTCACTGTGGCCAACAAAAGTCAGCATCATCTTACATCAAACTGCTGATTCAACTGATTTCAGCCTCGTCGTTTAGATCTTTTCTTTGTTTTAGCACACGTAAGGGTGTGGTGGGTGTGTCACAGTGCCATTATTTGTTTCATTTCTGCTTCAGATTTTCCCAAATCAGGAAAAAAAAACCCAAGTTAGGTTAGTGTTATGGTTGAAGAACGGTGACTGGCTCTGTTGATGGATGGAGTTTAAACAATTGATCCATATTTATCACTGAAAATTACGGAAACTCTGAATCCATGTGGAAATAAGCTTCAAAATGCAGGAAAAGATGCATCATCCTCAGACTCTGTGAGGAAAACGATTGAAAAAAGTCAGAATCAGAAGTGGAGATGAGAGGACAACAGCCCTGGTACTGCTTTACAAATGTGGTTATTTCTTTATGCTGTAGTTTGACAGAGAGCTCAGGGTGTCACTAACATGCAGTGCAAACATTTTATAAACATTTTCATTTGTTTGATTATTACAAATCTGCAGCCAGAAATCTGTTTGCTTAGCTCACCATTTAAGCGTCATGACAAAACTAGCCTCACTGCAGTAAGAAGTATCAAGTCCCCCCTCCTGTAGGGCTCACATATGAACATGTAGAATGTACTGTTATACTCAAATATAAGACTTTGTGAAATACGGTCTTATAAACTCAAACTAGATACTTAATTACGGCATTTCTTATCTGTAACGCAAGGGGATCCTGCATGACTGAGGCCTGCTACCACTCATAACTCTGCTGTCTGAGGTTTATAAGCTGGGGAGACACAGGGATGGTTTCAAACAAATGACTCAAAAGTTACGTTTTGACAACAGCTGAGATGGAGTTTAGAAATATGGTACCACAAGGTGTCAAATCTGAAGAATCTCTGAAACGCAGAGATTTAGAGAAAACTTGACCATGGTCCTTTAGCGGCTTATTACAGCGGGGCAAAGTTATGTAACCAAGCTCCCATGAGGGAGGAGTTTTCCCTGAATGGTTAAGTGTTTGTAGAAGACAGCAAAAACAAAATTATTACGGCTATCATTGAACTGTCATCTCAGAACAGCAAACAGCTCTGTTTGGCGTGTCTGTTTGGCTGCATGCACTGAATGTGGCACGGTGAAAACATCGGCTTTATGCGCGCGCACATTTGACCACAAAGCATGCACTTTATATTTTCATCTTGTCAATCACACCCTTTTAATACAGTTTATCTTCTCCCAATCACAAGTTTCTCCTCAATACTTCCTCAAAACATCTCAGACTCTGAGCTTCCAGGAGATTGACGGGCGAGTGTGTGAGAGTGTTTGACTGAAAGACAAAGAAAAAATAAAAATAAAAAAACTGTCAATTTTATGAGACTATGTCTGATTGACTTCCTTTTTAAAGCTAAAAATGTTGAGTTATGTGTTAAGCTGTTTCAGGATTGAGGTACAAGGCCTTTATTAGTAATGGGTTGATTTTCAGCTCATAACAGAGCCAAGCCAGGTGATCCCCTCACAACCAGACTGACAGACAGGAGAGCAAAAGAAACCTCTTGATTTAAGCAATCTTCAAACACTAAACTGTAGCTTCCTGTGCAGAAATAATCTGGACTACAATCTGTAGTTTCACTTTTTTTGTTCATGCTGACTAAACTGTAGTCTTAGGAAGTTCTAGTTTACAATGTTTAGTATGGGTGGTACGATTTGTTCTGGTCCACATCCGACGGTGAGGAGCAGCACGCGGTTTATATAAATTCCCTCCTCCAGCATTTATGAAGCCATTGTTCTCTGTATATGGACCTACAGTATGAGCTTTTGTTAGGTGTCTCAGCCCCTCTGTCCTTTAATTTAGTCTGTCTGTGAACTGTAAGATAACAAAGACCCACAATGATCACAGACTGCTGCTCGTATTTGTTTGTATATATAGCCGTGAAACCAAGCTAACCACAGCCTTCATTTACTGAGATGGAAAAACCCATCCAACCTCCTGAGGTTGTTTTCATACCTTACAGATCGAGTTAAAGAGACGTTATAGTAATGAGAAGTACAGATAGAGTTGGATTGTCAGTCTTGTCTATTTACCCTCCTGCTCTCCTGTCAAAACTTTACCAAATTGATTACATCTTCACTGAACTGTGAAACCTTTGCAAGTTCTGTCTTTGTTTTGTTTTTAAACTCCACCTGCCCTTATGACACACATGTTTTTCTAATGTAATCCCACGCAAAATTCATAATGCAAATACAGCCCTGTGCTGCTCGTGTTGTGTGTTTCCATACACTCTGACAGGCTGTGTTGAGTGTAAACCCCCCCCAGTGTTGTCAGTGTGAACAGCCACCTGTTAGATTGTGTTGGAGGCTGGACTGTGGACACTGCCGGACATATAAGCGGATGTTGTGAGTGTATGGAGAGTGTGTGTGGCCTGGCAGAGGTCTGCGGCCCCGGGCGGAAGCTCAGCGACAGACAGAAGAGGAGGTATGTATGGAGAATAGAGCAGGGGAAGAAAGAAAAACAAAGATAGATGTCAGTGTGGTGTCGTCATGCCAGAACTAATCCATTCAGTCGCTCGCCCATTCCCTGCCTACAAACAGGGAGAGTGAGGGAGGTGGGGAGCAGGAGATGGGCCCTCTGGGAATTGGCCCCTGTGTGGTAACTGTACAAATAGAAGGAGAAATGACAGGGAGAGATGGGGAAGATGTGAAGGGTTACAGGTTTAAAGTTTTCCCATTAAAAGTCGAGCGATTTGAATCAGTAGATCCAGAGCAGACTCACATTTGTCAGGCGAATATCTGTATTTTCAGTGTAGCTACGGGGTTGTACACAGAGCAGAGCAGCAGCGACAGCATGTCAGGCTGTAACTTTGTAAACAGCGTCCCAAAATGACTGTAGTGTTGTTGGGGTTTTTATTGGTAGCTGAATTATGAGCAGAGGTCTCCCCCCAACAACACGCAGACTCATTGATTAAAACCTGTAAGGCACGTCAACATCTAATGTACTTTAGCTGCAGTGCTCTGTTAGGGAGTCAGGTTTATGTCAGGAGGGCTGCTGATAGAGCTACCACAAACTTTCACCACCACAATCATCACACACACACACACACTGTGGAAACCCAATTTTATTTGGTGTACAAATATAAAGGTATGAGGTGAGTTTCCACCAATCAAGTCTGGTTTAGTTCTGTGCTCTTTGCTATATTTGTGCACTGTTTGTTTCACTATACTCTGTCTGACTTTCATTTTTACAGCAGGCTGCAGAACGCTGGGTTACAGCTTGATTTTCATTTGGCTCACATATCAGATTAGTCAGATTGCCAGTGTGAGCAGCACATCCCATCTTATACATTCCTCACAAGCATCAGCTTTGTTCACGAGCATTAAAAATATACTGTTGGCTGTTCTTTTTAAAGCAAAAGCCTCATCTGTTTTCTTTCCTACTTATTTTCACATATTACTTTATTATGATGTTGTGTGAAGGAAAATATGAGCATAGCACAGCTCTTTATTCAAAGAAAGAATAAACTTTTAGTTGTCAGAAGATGTCATAAATCACGTTAATTCATTCAGATGCATAAGTTTGCTGATCCAGTTAAACTGGTTAACAGAGATACAATTTGGTACCCACCCCCCTGATAACTGCAGTTCAAGGTCAGATCAGTATGCCTGGTACACTGGCAGAAGGTGCCAAAAAGTAGGACATTGTAGGACATCCTGGCTTTGCATTAGGGTCTTTATCTCACTTTGTAGGTATTCTGTTTCACAGGACTCCCAGTTAACTCTAAGTTACTCACCCAGCTACTGACCACCATTGATCTAAAGACGGTGGTTTTAATAACTTAAAATTATTTTTTTTTACAAGCCAAGATAATAGCCCCTCAGTTTCAACTTTTTATTGCATTTCCATGGCAACAACACTCTTACTAGCTTAGTCACAGGTCAAAATCAGAAACTTTACACTTGTTCATGGTCAAGTGTAAATATTATCCTGCTTTTCTGTTATGAATCATTTTAGTTTAACATTGGCAGAAAAATCACAATAGTGTTTTTCTAATGGTATTTTAACAGGTGCAGAAAATTACAGCAGTACCTGGACAAGGTCTTCTTTTGTCACTTTTCTGTTGGCCTTTTCTTCTCGCTCAGTTGCCAAAACTCACACTGAGTTACAATTTGTGCTTGATTCACATCACTTCTTGTTAATTTCTGTGGTGTTGGACCATTTCTTGTCTTCTTGTCTCTGCTGTTGACTGTTCAGCCATTAACCACCAATGTAAAGTTTTGCACTCTCAAAAAACTGAACATCAAGAGCAACATAAGAAATCCTCCATGTTTTTACCGATGCTATTGGAAGCTAAAATCTTTGTTAGATTGTCTTCACATAGACAGTTCACCAAATGTGCCATAACTCATTACTACCGTTAAGTTTGTTACAGACTAATAATTGACTTTATTTTTGTAATCACAAGAGACCATTGACTGCCAACCTGAGATACACTGGGCCAATGATTAAGAAGTCATGCTTCAGTAACATGAGTTTCATTTGACTGGCAAATTCTCTGCACCTAAAATCTGGACTTTGAAGGAATGAACAGGGAGCCTGTATCATGAAAGTTAGATATAACTAATAAGGGGTTTCACCTGTTTCCTCCTTTTCTTTAATGATCTGTCATAGGACTTTTTATGGTTTTATCTTAACACCCAAAACCAACAGAGAGACTAGGGACATTACACACAGACCTTCATCATGGTTGTACTTGTAGTTCGATCTTGAAAAACTGCAGTTTCACCATTGAATAATGTCAATAACTGTGATTGTTGTCAATAATGTCAATAAGTGATGTTGAACTTTACAAACAACAACAATTTTACACATTTTAAGACTTTTAAAAAAGTGTTGGTGAGTCTGTTATGATTAGGAAACAAATCCATCAGGATGAGGGGCCTCGTCCGCTCTGAAAGGATTCAATGTAGCTGATCAACTTTCTTACTTAACATTATCCGGGTCATTACCTGGCTACAGACTGAAGACATAAACAATCTGTAAATCCTGTAGATGTAAATGTTTTCACGTTAGCCCGCTTAACTGTGATAAAACACTAAAAACTGACATTTTATTTATGTTACAGTCAAAATATCAGAGCCAGACTCATTTCACCCGTAGATTTAATATGATTATGTTATCCCTGGCATTACTCTTGCTGGTCAGAATCAAAAAGTGTTGTTTTGGGTTTTTGAAAAATCAGAATAAAGTATGTAACAAAGCTGAGTGTTTAGTTGGAAACCAGGGCAATGAATAGACATGATGCTAATGTGTCTTCTTAAAAAAGGAAAAGCGACCTCTCTCAGAGGTTACTTACGGCCTCTTGATAATCCGTCTGTCCCTGCAGAAGCTCTTTTGTGCATTTGTCAGAGGACAGCAGCGGCCAGAGGAGCTATGCTTTCAGGATGTCCACCCAGCCATCCCTTTATCTTGAATGCACCATCTCAGAGCCTAAAGGGACTGTCTATAAATGTGGCACAAATGTCTGCTTGGACACTGGGACAAACTGTGGAGATGTTTGTGGTCAAAGCTTGAGCCCACCGTGACGTCAAGTCTGTCGGACTTTTGTGAATGCAGTATCCTGGCAATGCTGGAGAGGGTTGTATTACGTCTATTTAACCATCCAAGACCTGAATCAACAGCAGTCCATGAGTGGATAACCTTCCTCGAGTCTGTTTTTTTTTCTGCCTTTGACACGAAGGGTCTACTGACAATCACATGCTCTGCAGAGAAGCAGTGCCTTCCTTCTGTCAGCATTACGTCTGATTGTAGTGTGTGTTAACATTTTGTCACAGCGTCTGCAGCATTAAAATTCAAACCAGCACACAGAAGACTAGACAGATGAGATGATTACTGTCAGCAGGAAGAGGCTGCATGTTGTGGTGGTGTGGTGTTGTGGTGACTGTGTTCAGGAGGCAAACTAAGACTGAGCGACAAGAGGAAGAAACTTCACTAATACCTGTCATGCATGAATAGTATAGTGTAGTTACCATGACTGTAGGAAAGTCTGACGATGGTTCATAGAGGTTACTTTCTAAATATCCATCCTTTCTGGCTGCACAGGCAGAATTCCTTCACAATTATAGAGTTATAACTTACAGAACTTAAGTTTTACAGCAGTTTTAGTTTAACTTCATAATACACATTCACTGAGATTACTCATCGTCAACATTAGAGCTGACATCCTTAACAGCAACTGTTGACACAACTAGTGATCTCTGAACACATATCTGCATGTGAATACAGGATCTGAAGGAAGGAAGCAGGTTACTAGGTTTCAGACTTATTCTGGTTTCTGAGTCTGAGTACAGTATTAGCTCCACAACTCCACCAGTGTTTAAACAGACTTTGACTGCATGCAGGAAGCTCTGTCTACATCATGCAGGGATACGTTTCTGAAAACTGCACCTAGTCCATCATCAGCTGGTGAAACCTTTTATCCTCTATCCCAGAAGAGGCAGGTCATTAAATGGTAAAGGTCCATGGATTCAGTTTTTGAGTTGTCTGTGCTAAACTTTCTTCAGTTGTTGAATGTCTGTTGTCAAATTGACACTACAGGCATCACTGGTGGTGCCTGTGTATGTGCAGTTACTGCTGCTTTGCATTCATCTTTGTTGTGACAGCTCCTCAGGTGACACAGAGGTTTGTTGTGTTAAAACTTGGGGCCTTTTTGCCCCCTGTCTGAACAGTAGTAGCACATATTTTGCAGGTTGCAACAGTGTCTTTATCCTTTTAATCCATATAGATGTCTCCATTTTTACTGTGTTTAATGGTTCATATATTGCCACCAGTTTGGTTGGAATAAGAGGGCTTGGTAATAAATGAAGGAAAGCATCTTTAAACTGTTGTTTGTAGTGGATGAAACTGTATTGGAATAATACAAATTGAAATATTTCCTCTGTTGGGCGAATAACCTATCGGCTTTTTGCATCTCTAGTTTAAACTAAATATTAAATCTATGATTTGCATGTAATTTATCTACAATTACTCGGTTAATGGCTTACAAATGATAGATCAGATTTTAATTGATGGTAAATCAGCGTATGAAAATGTGAGAAGATGACTGATCATCAATCCAAGGTTGAAATGTGATGTCACATTGATGTTCAGATGTGGTGTGATCATCCAGCATGTAGCTGGATTATTTATGGCACCTCCAGCTGAGACTGCCTCATGTGTGTGCATGCCAGTGAGTCACTACCATGCGGTCTCCCTCCTGATTCACTTTGAGGAAGCAGTTTATACTGCTTTAAGCACGGTTCATGTGATGGGGACAGTCAGGACGACTCCTGCGAGTCAGCTCTGCATCTTGATACGCAGTTTCTGTGGACCTGACCCTGAGAAACATTTTAAACTCATTATTATGATATTCAACATCATCTGCAATCTGCAACCGCATAAAACTGATGTATGAAAAATTGACAATTAAACAAAAAGCCCTCTGTGGTTTTCTTCCACTATCAGGTCTCTCTGCTCGGTCACTTTTCACCTACTTCACACTAGAACAGGGCGTGTGCGTAATTCTATTTGTAGCATGAAATCAAGTGTGAAAAGATGCGAGATCTTGTCAGATAGCAGCAAGCTTTCAGCTTTCAGTTTGCAGCTGATCATGCGCTCAGGGGGGAACATAAAAACTATCCAGTTACACCATTTTTCCACAGAAAGTTCATGGAAAGAAATATGGGATGGAACTATTTAGCTGTCTTTTTTTTGTCTCCTTTTCATATTTCTGGTGGACGGTGTTGTAGTTTCCATCAGCCTGAACCACCTACTCATCCTGTCAGCACGTGTTGGAGAGAGCGCTGAGATGGCACTAGTGCAGAATAGACTTTTACAGTCTGTCGGTCAGGATCGAGAGTGATAAGATGAACAGGCCTCGAAGTAACAGTACATGTAAAAGTCTCTGTGTCTGCATGTCCATGTGCTGATGTGAAGTTCTGCTATGAAGACATCAAAGCCGTTATTAAGAATAACTATTTATCTCTGAAGGGAAATTCAATAGGTAGGTGCTAACTGATGGTGTTAACTTAGTCATCTACTGTGAAACTGAACTTGGCAGATCATCCATTAGTGAGGCTGCTAAACTTTGAAGCCAATTCCTGCTTTAAGTGCTTTATTGATTTTTTTGTGCTTTGTTATGTAATTTAACAAGTATGGAAACTTTGTAGATGGTAAGTCAGTCTGTCGGAAAAATCACAGCAACAAGGAAATGAAGCTGTTGCCATTATATCCCCTCAGGATTAACTGTAATAACTCTGGCAATCCTTTCATTTTTCATCCAGCTCAGTAGTCAACTTTAAGATTATGTTTCTTCAATAGTGACTGTGAACATGCTAGTCTACTGCCATTAGCATTTGGATTAGATTCAGACTACTATATTTACTGCAGTCGCTTATTCAGTTAGGTTTTTGTCATAGTCCTGAAGTTTGTCAGACTCCATTGAAAAGAATGAGCAGGCTGCAGAGTTTAATGCAGTGTTACAAACAGACTGTATGATGTCTTAGTATTGGGTGTGATTTTAAAGACGTATATCCTGCAACAATTGAATGCACCAAATCAAAGCACGACACTGCGTCATTTATATCCTGTGCCAGATTCTGGGCCTCATTATGCTGATGTGCATCCTGGTACAAAGACTGAGAAACATACAGAATATGATGTGACACAAGGCCACACCAACACGCTGCATGAACTAAAGTTGACACTGGTTCACTTCATACGACCAAACACAAGATCATCTTTCAGCTCTTTTTCTGTGCATCGTGTTTTATGACTCAGAGCTTGCAGCAGCCCCCGACTGGAGGAAACATGAGGTTTAGGTGGTCTGACTCATTCTTCTGAATACAACACCTCAGGAAAATGTATCACAAATATCTACATAAACTAAAGCAGTGGTTCTCAAGTCCAGTCCTCAAGCCCCTCCCCCGTCCAGCATGTTTCGGATGTTTCCCTGCTCCAACACACCTGATTCAAATGATCAGCTCGTTATGAAGCCATTACAGAGCTTGATAACGAGCTGATCATTTGAATCAGGTGTGTTGAAGCAGGGAAGCATCCAAAACATGCAGGACAATGGGCCTCGAGGACTGGACTTGAGAACCACTGAACTAAAGGATGAAATGAGTAAATTTGGTGATCAAGGTGAAAATTCATAACCACTGTAATCTCTAAAGTCATTTTCGCTTTACCATAAACATTTAATCCCTAGTCGTAATACGGTTTTCAGTTGAATGAAATGATAAAGAGATTACATTTATTCCCCGTAAATCGAAGGTCATCTTCACTTCGAATGAAATGCAAATATCTGCACAAAACGAAACAGAAAAATGTTGAATCTGTACTCGAGATTTTAAACCTGGGAAGGTTGAGCTTTGCAGTTGTCGTACGTTTACAGCTTGAGCAGAATTGATCAGGTTTTGGTGTGTGCAGAAAAAAACAGTCTGCATGGAGAGCAAAAGCACACTGCTGAAATGACACCCTGGCAGTAATCTAACAAGGATGTTTATATCTCTGAGCAGATATCTTCATACGAGTTCAGATCATCAAATATTTCAACTTGAGACTCAAATCTGCTGCAACTGTGTAGAAAATCCCCAACAGAAGTTAGTTTCCCCACCTATCCTGTATGCATCAGATTTTATTCATCAGTTCTTTACTTTTTATCTTGAGGCCGACCTGACAGAGCAGCACTTTATCATGATGTTGTTAATTAGGCAAACTCATGTTCTTCTCTGTGTTCATACTGCTTAAGTAAGAAGTGCTGTTGAACTCCGACCCATCAGTGCTTGAAACCGATGAACGAGTCCTACTGCAGGAAGGTAATAGACTTAAATTCCAGCATTTACATAGCAGATGTAATTGCAGCATGGGAAAGAAAATATCTGCTTTTCATTCCTGCCAGTTCACACTAAAAGTTGGCATCCGTTCCCACAGGCATGTACTGCCTCTTACAGTCAAACGTTGATAGATGATGAGTGCCAACGGGTTGCAAGATTGAGGACTTAATAGTTAGATTATTGATTTTTTAGGTTATGTGTATTTTTTTTCTGTGGTCATTTGTTTTTTTTTTTCTTCCGCAAAACCTGACATGTCGTGTCATTAACTCTGGGAGAATTTTTATGATGGGTTCACTAAAGAATCCCCAACCATCAAAGACACGCCACTCCCAATCATCTTTTTATTACCCTCCTTATACCGGTCTGCTCATGACAGGAGCTCACAGACAGCAAAGTGCAGATTTTTGGAGTTTCCCTGATGTTTTCCATATTTTCGTATAGATTTTCAGTACAAATGGCTGTCAATTAATAATCAGTCTCATTGCTGATTTTGCAGGTCATAAAAAGTATCAAAATAAAATTGAGACTGTTTGGTAATCAGATAAAATCTCCTAACAGGAGCTTTAAAAGATTAAATAAAAACAGGAATGCTGCATTCTTGAGGTACATAAATGAATGCATTTTTTAAAATCATCGTCAAAAAGGAAAATATTTTTGAGTGCGATGTTTGGTTAAAACCTACTTTCGGGGAAAGTGACCTCTGCTTTGTTTTCTCCAGGTACAAGGAGTTGATGACAGGAAAGACCGCCAGAGAGATCATCGCTATTTTATGGATCCTGTCCTTTGTCATCGGCCTCATCCCCTTCTTTGGATGGAACAACAAACACAAGTGCTTCAGAAACAGCACCAGCACCAGCACCAGCTCTGGAGCAGAGAACACTACAGACTCTAGTTTGATAGAGGGACAGAGGGGAGGTGGGAACTTCTTACAGAGCTGCAGGCTCAAGTGCTTCTTTGAGACTGTGGTGGACATGCACTACATGGTCTACTTTAACTTCTTTGTGTGCGTGCTGCCGCCGCTGCTCATCATGCTGGGCATTTACCTGAAGATCTTCACCGTGGCCAGGAAGCAGCTGAGACAGATTGAGCTGAAGTGTGTGGGAAACGGTGACAGCCATCACCACGGGCTGCTGCAGAAGGAGATCCGTGCTGCCAAATCACTCTCCATCATCGTAGGACTGTTTGCCATTTGCTGGCTGCCCGTCCACATCCTCAACTGCCAGAAACTGTTTTTTGTGACCGATACACCGGTTATTGTCATGAACGTGGCCATCATTCTGTCCCACGCCAACTCTGCCGTCAACCCCATCATCTACGCTTACCGCATCCAGGACTTCAGGAACACCTTCCGCAAAATCCTGACCCGACACCTCCTGTGCCGCAGGGAGGAGCTGTACCTGAGCTCCAACGGCAGCAGACGCAACAGAGACCAGATCCATATGACCATCGACCCTCTGCTATAGAGAGTCAGTCAGTCAAAGGAGTATTACCTGTTGTTTTACTGTCGCAGAGGTTTATAATGTTTACAGAACAAGGGTGTGATACGTGAAGATGAACCGCCTTGAATGTGGACGTTTATTTATGAAATCAGAGGTCAAGTAGTGAAGAGGTAAAGAGTCTTAAAAACCTGTTTTTGTTTTGTATTGTGAAGGATTTTTGATCGAGCTAACTGGATTTGTCAGACTGTGAACAGGATCCAAACTTTGTTTCACTCTGAAACGATATTTATCAGTATGAATCCACCCTGTTACAACTCCAAACACTCCTCTTCTTGCCCTGCTATTTTATATTGTCATCTTCAGTGCCAGTGTTTGTTAATTTATTTATTACAAGACTTAACTGTGAGAATGATCAAAGAAACTTTGTGTGGCTAGATTTGTAGTTGTGAACCTTAAATGGTACAACAGTTGTAGTTTGTATCTGTGGCTGTTTATCCTTTGGAAATGAACTCACACTCATGACCATCACAAGCAAAGAATACAGAGAGAAGTCAAGACTTTGTTTTGTTAATACTTTACCTTCGTAAAGGAGAAATATCAGAGCTGCTGCCAGTGTTTTCAGCTGTTTGTGAGGCTACGCTGATGAATGTGTGTACAGGCGTTGGGACATAAACTACAGAGAGACCAAACAAAAACTCGACCACATATCAGAAAATGTCAACAGCAACATCAGAAGGAAAGGGAAAAATCTGAACATAAACAAAAAGTTTAATTTTCCTATCCCATGAATCATCTCTTGCTGTCACAGGGGTCACAAAATTAGCTTGTGGCCCTCATGGCGGAGAGCCAGTTGGAGGCTGACGCCATGGTCAGAACAGGAACATCTGATGCAGTCACGCAGACCCAGACGTCTGAAGCAGTTTAGCATAAAACACCTGCAGAGCTGCTCCATGTCAACGAAACAAGAGCTCAGGAGGTGGAAACCCGTTTGTACCCTTTTATAGAAATGCAGCATGTCATGAGTAGCAGCTGCTTCGTTTTGACCGTGTAAAGACACGCTGTAACTTAAATCATCAATGTCAAATTTGACCCCTGAAACTTCAGAGATTTATCTGATTTCCTATCACCGAAGCTCCTAGTCTACATGTCTTTGGAGGCTCACACAACATGAAGCTCTGAGTGCTTTGGATTGTTTGGGTGTTTATGGATATCTGTGGTCTTGGGAGTGGAGCTAGTTAGCCCACCCCCTCTCAAAGTATCCCAGCTGGGATGCTGAGGCTCTAATGTGCTCGTTTCATGCTGTTAGTCCTCCACAACCTGCTGTCCAAAATGACTGAAAATGCGACTGGCTGACTCAGTTTGAGAACTACAGCTGAGTTTTCAGGGTACAAACTAAATTCTGTTCAGTGTATGTTTTTATCAAATTTCTAAGAAGCCAAGATTCCACACTCTAACACGCTGGCAAAGATGATAAGAGACGAGCTGAACTTCATTAAAAACTTGAGATTAGTCTCAGTGTAATTTCAGGAATGGTGTGTTTAGGACTGCCCCTTAAAGTTTCAGTCAAGTTGACCCACATTTTGTCAGTAGAACCTTCGCACTTTGTTTCAATGCACAAACAACTCTGTGGCACACCCTACGCTGCAGCCTCTGATTTCCTCAGTAACCTACTATTGTTGATACTTAATACGTTTTTTTTAATAAAGGTCTCCCACTTCCTCAAAACAAAAGGACAAAGTAATTCCTGCCTGTAAGAATAGCACATAAAGCAAATTCCTGTGAAGTATCAGTCTCTCTGGGGATGTACCATGGTCAATGGGCTTCAGGAGGGGCTGCAAGCTGAGCTGCTGTATTAGGCTTCAGAAGACTTCAACACTGACAAAGATCATTTGCAAAGTTTCCCAAAAATCATCAAAAACATTGAATGCTATTTTTCAGCTAACTCAATCAGGACTTAATGTCCCACTCCAATCATTTTTTTACTACTTTAAGTGTTTTCAGTGGTTTTTAAGTTGCAATTATTGTTTTTAGACAAAATCACATTAGCTGTGGCATTTTTGAGAGCTTTTCTTCTGCAGAGCTCCAGTAACTCATTAGCAATTCGCCTCTGAGTCATGGGAAGAGATGCCGCTGCTCTACACACTTCTCTTTACACGAGCTTCTGTAACGCACACGCTTGTTTGGCGATCGTCCTCTCTACTTTTCCGAGTGTGGCCTGCACAGTGAAGCTCCGGGGGCAGAGCTTGAATTTGCTACGTAGAAAATCTCAGTGTCCGAGCCTGTCATTTGGGTCTGCCAGAGAGTCACGGTGATTTGAATGCAGAAATACTCAGAAATGCAACCTCACATTTACCTTTCTCGTAATATGTCCTGTAGCATCAGAAAAATGTCATATAAACATGTAGACAACAAGAAAAACATGATTTTTTCACCGGAGTGGGTCTTTAAATTGCTGCGAGCAGAACAGCTGATTATTTTAGCTGGCGAAAATCAGTTATCTGGTCAAATACTGGACTTCAAAATGATGGGAACATAACTTCTAATACAAAAATAATAAGTAGTAGATAAAGCGTGAGACTGACAGGCTGATAAAGGTGTGGCAGTGAACTGAATTAAAAAAGAAACTAAAATTAAAAGCTAAATTTTGATCCATATCTGATTTGTAGGTTCCTTGAAGCTGCAGCTCTGCTTTTCCATAAATGCAAACAATGCTTCTTGTCTTTGCCTACAGGCATGTGCTGGTAAGCATTGTTGTGTACACTCCTCTTGAGCCCATTAATTTTAAAGCGGGAAAAGTGTTAAATCGCATAAAAGGTCATTGAATTTAATCAGAGCTAAGAGATCGTTCTGGGGGATTGTAATTTATGTGAAAACAGGGTGAATTTTGTCGCCTGTGAGCTGTCACTACAGAAATGAAAACACATTGCACTGATATTTGAGATATTTCCCGTTTGTTGTGCTTCATTGTAAGTGTTGAAACATGCTGTGTTGGTATTATCAAGTGTTTTAAAGCTGAAACTCCGCCTGCTTCTCCACCTCCCTTCATTTGCCATTGTGTCCACTGTACCACCTCTGTATAACTATAAGGGCTAAACACAGGAGTGTGCCAAAGCTTTAGTACATTCCAATGGAGACAAATATACTGTAACTGCACTGTAACGTTGTATTATCGTCTTTGTTGACTGATGTGTGAACATAAGTACTGTAAGTGTCCGGCTTTCTACAAGCTGTGGATTGATGTCAAACTGTTGCCTTCTTTAGCTGTTTTAAAGGTGAGACAGACAACGACCCGTTGATCTGATTCGACATTCCTGCCTTTCATTCCTGCGTATTGATCTGTCAGTGTGCTGCTGTAGTGTCGTCGTAACTAATCAGGAAATCCTCCACTGTGCTCACGCTGATGTTCATCCTTTCCTGACGCCCTGCTTTCTGTATTACACCAACAAAACTACAACCACAAAACTGATACTGCTATTCAACATGATGCAATCTGTATGTATGGTGAATTATTTTAATAAAGGCATTGTTTATATTGTTACACATCTGTCTTTATTGATAGAACTTTTTTAAATGATAAATAATACATATGTACAAATAAAGCAGTGGAAAATTTGTTGGAGAAATGTTTCTTTGGCGTGCCGACCCTCTTCACTTCCCAAATTGATGCAGCTTAAGATGAAAAGGACCTAAAAATAAAGCCGCACATGCTCAAGGAACAGATGTCATTGCCCTGGAAACAGATTAAGAATTCTTCTAAAAGCCAAAATAGATAAAGCAACATCTGGTGTCTTTCAGAGGGAAGTCTAAAGAGCCGATGACATGGTTGTGTACTCATGCTCTTGTCCTCTTTACAGTGACCTTACGTGTCCTTATGAACCACAGTCTCCCATCCTAAAGGGTCCACAAGACTGTGCTGGTACACCTGCAGCACTGAACAGACGAAGGTGTCACAGGATCTCTGTCCCGCTGAGCAGCATGGACATCTGCTGATCAGAAACGCTCTCCTGCTGAGTCACTCCCATGGCCTGACACAGGTACACAGCCAGGATGTGTTTGCACTAGGAGAGGAAAAAAACACACAGACACTGATTTGTGACGTGAACAGAGGCATTGGAGCGATTAATGATGTAGAATCGAAGCTCTGAATACACTCCTGAGGTTTCAATTGAAAGATCTCCTAAATAAAGAAAAAGGAAAAAGCAGCCCGGTTTTCACCTACAGAACATTTTCCTGAATCCAAGAAAACAAACACTGAATATCTCCAATATTTATATAAGGTCTGAAGAGTTCTACAACTGAACAGCACATGTGATTAACAGGGTCGTGTTTGTGTTATTTCCCACATGAATTGTTTGCGTGATGATTAAGATGTAACTCCAGAAGCTGTGCTAAAAGACAAATAGTCCCTTCAGTTCACGTGCGGCTGCACACGTCTCATTATTATCAACATTAGCATGTTAATCATTGACTTGTTTTCGCCCTCAGCTTGTTCCATGCATTATAAATAAGGTTTCCTTCACACTAACAAGGCTGTGATGTAGTGTTGCACATGACCAACGAGTTCAACTCCCTGTTAGAAAAAAAGGGGGGTCTCTCTTTATCAGCTTCTTCTCCCGTCCACTCTGTTTATTAGCACATGTCTGTCTGCTCTGAGTGAGAGAGCTGCTTTATCAGTCCTCTGACCTACTTGTCAGAAAAGTTTGGACCTGTTTTGGCCTTTTCCCGTCATGTTTGAGTCTGCTGAGCCCCTGCACGAACGGACTGGCTCCAGTGGGGGAGGACTACAGACTGCACGGTCAAACTCACACAGTCTCCTGGGTATCATTTTTGACTGAAGAACATGAGATTTATGTCAATCCACCAGGACTGATTTTGCAACTTCTATACATGAAATAACAAAAACATAATATCAGCTCCAGAGTCACGAAGACGGTTTTAAGAGGTGCTGAAGCAGGAAGTACTTTCAACTTTCTGTCTTTTCGTGTGGTTTCGTGATTTCGGTGGAGCTGATGTGCTCAGAGGGAGTCTCTGTGGTCTGTTGCAGCTCTCTTTTTCTCACACTGATTTTAGCAGCAACCTCCAGGGAGACACATCCTCCTGATATTTGGAGTGAGAGCGCAGGCCGAATGCTTGCATATATTTAGATTAAAAAAACAGACAGTGTGGGTGGAGACACCCTCAATGACCAGAGAGGAACAGGAACAGACCACATACGTCTGTTACACATATTTCGCTGTCTCAATTTTGGGCGTCAGTTTTCACCAGGATATACGCCTGACTGACAAGGCACAATCTCTGTGAAACAGCTTTCCTGTCTGTAGGTCTAAATATGCTGCAGTACTTATACTTTTTCCTATCATTTCCATATGATCCCGAGATAGTTTCTTTGCAGAGTTCAGCCTCAGCAGGAGTTTGTGTATGCGCATCTGTGTTTTAGGATTAGGTATTCAATAAAAAAAATCATGAAATTAAATAAAATACTACACTTTTTATTCAATTAAATATTTGTAGAAAAAAAAATATCAGAAGTCAGAAAAAAAACTGAAAAAAAATAAATAAATAAAATAAAATAATAATAATAAAATAAAATCAATGAAAAAAACTACACATCTCATGTTGTGATTATTTAGTCCCAGCCTTTGGTTCTTCATAGTTGTGGTCTCTGCAAAATTAAGCCTGTTATCTCAATGGTGTTATCTGCAGTCTTGAGACTCACCAGTGGGCCCTCATTTCTGCGGAGCACAGTGTGGGCAAAGGCCGGGCACGGGCAGAAGTGACAGGACATGAAGCAGGTGTACAAACGCCCTGATCCTCCCATTACCTGCAGCAGAGTCATGCAAAGTGGATTCAAATATCTGTCACAGCAAGTTGGTATTGACCTTGTTAAAGAGATCACACACAGAGACAAGTGGGAGCTGTTTCTTTATGGGTTTGGAGGGCTCGTAAATCTGCTATGATCACAATGCTGTTTGTATTGGCTGCCAGCTGCTTGTGGTGCAGCTGAGCAGCAGTGGAGACGGTAAAAGCAGGAAAGACAGGAAAGAAAACAAAATCTTTACGGCTTCCCAAACGTCCAGCTACCAGTGCAGACGTGAATCAGTGAGTCAGAGTAGTGAGCTCATAAATATGCTTCCTATCATTCTAGGTTTTTTCATAGTCTTTACATTTTTTTGAACAGTTGATATAAACTTTTTCCTGCATTTTACAACAGCTCAGATTTTTATATTTTATTGCTGTTTAATACTAAATAATGATTTGCAATATAAAAATGTTTGATTTGCAATAAAAAAAGGGGAAATACAAAACTTTTAGGTAACTTTCTGAATTGTTTTGCTATAATTTTAATTATTTCAAATCTATGAAATTCAGAATCATGTTTAACTGCCAAGTGCGTTGACATGTGTGAGGAGTCTTTAACACTTTTTTATGAATAAAAAGGATAAAACAAAAACAGAGGTATATATCCGGTCGATTAACTTAGAAATAATGAAAAAACAATAAAATAAAACACATTGAAAATTATGTACAATATATCACAGTCTAAAGACTGTGCTCCTGGTCTGCCATGATCAGAGAACTGCTGAACCTGCGACGTGGTCCCTATGAGGCAGGCTGGACAACCAAGTCAGATATGATAGAAAGCACAGAACATTTAAGGTTTAATGGAGTCCATGTCCTGTTGGGTTCGGCGGTTTTGAGTGGTGGTACCAATGAAAGATCAGAGTCTTTGCCTCAGGACCTTTTGGTCAGGCTGCAGAAATATGTGAGAAACCATCTTTCTGTGGTTTCAGGCAGGAGGCTGCGGTGCATCAGGACCAAAAAGGGGATAAACTGAAAGAGTATATCAAGGTAGCTAATACCTCAGATTGTTTGAAATATGGATGTAGTCTCATGACATCCCCTGACTGGTTTTCTGAAGAGGTTACAGAGTCAAAAGATGGCAGTCGCACTATTGGAAAGACTGACTTTTAGAGGTAGTACACCACTGAGCATTTTTTGGTCTAAAAGAGGTCTAATAGACGTCTAAATGTAGCCTAAACGACTGGTCCAAAATCAGGCTACCACAGGTCTAAAAATGAAAGTTTTTTTAGACCAAGTTTAGACCAAGTCTAAATCTGGGCTATAGCTATACCTCACTGTATATTGCTCAACAGCTATTATAACTACTTTGGTTAAGTACTTGGAGATCAGTCATGCAACTCACAGTTGCTTTTAAAATAAATAGTTATTGAATAATGGGTTAAAGTGCAACGTCTAAATTCCGTCTAAAAATATACAGAATCTAGAGGGTTGAAATTAGGTCTAAAAAAAAAAAAAAAAAGGAAATCTAATAGCCGTCTATTGCTCAGTGGGACCAGCGGGCGAAGAGGCAGAGTTCAGATCATAGCTACAGCCTCACAAACTGTGAACAACACAACCACCTGTCGGTGGAATCAGCAACAAGCCTTATTGTGTAAGTTTATGCAAAACTCTTAGTCTTGATCTTAAACGGATGGGTTAAAAAAATGAGTCTGGTTTAATTCTAGTGTAAGAGTTTTTTTTTAATATTGGCTCTAACAGGCTTCTTTTGCTTTTGCAGCTGACCAGAGTGGAAACTTAAGAAACAGCATTTTTTCACGTCTGCATTGACGTCATTTTTCAACATTGAGGTTGCTGATTGGCTTAAACTCACTTGGCTGTAAACTCGGATTCTTGTTTTGAGATCAAAACTTTTTGTCCTTAAGTTACACTGCGGAGACGAGACTTGTGATGTCACACAGGGACGAGCCCTGCAGCTGCTCCATGTGTGAAATCAAAATGTTCAACCATTCAGACAGCGGTCATGGTGTTTCACTGGGATGTGTGCACATATTTTACACAGCTGTTTTCCCTCCTGCTTCAACCTAACTTAATTTGGCAGTGTATCTACAAACCAGTGCTGTACCAGCAACTGTCATCAAGGCTTTATATAGTGACTTCTAGTTTGGAGAGTCCTTTAAAAGTAATGAACTCTACAATCATGACTGCGATACTACAACTTAAATTGTGTTTTTGTCACTTTCTAGTTTTTAATGTTTTGTAAAAATGAAGGTTCAAATCAATGCTGCCTCCGTTGACTTTATAATCTTATTTAACTTTTTTAGGAGTAGGTGGGATAGAAGTTTTTTTTTTCTTAAATCTACAGTAACTGTGGTTTCAAATGGCTTTTGTTGTCAGAGCCCCCTGTCCATGATGCAGATGCTCACCTTCAGATAGAGACAGTGATTTAAGTCTAAATGTCTACATGCACATGACGCATGAGGACATTAAGCTGGTGGATTAGCTCGACACTCCACAATAACTAATGCCTCTGAAGAAGCCAGAGCAGACTCCATTATTCTCTACAGAGTCAATAAATTACATCTCACTGTAACCGACTGAGGTAAAAAAAAAAAAAAAAAATTTCCCATTTCTTAAATGTGACACTTCATTATGAATCAGACACAAAAGTACATGGACTAAAGGCCCCTCAATGGTGATGAACAAAAGACCACAAACAGCCAGAGCAGGATAGAAAGACTAAATCTCTGGAAACCAAGCCAAGGACTGCCACGGTTCTCAAAGAGCCAGGTTTATTGAAAACCAGCTCACACTTGGGCTCTTTTTGTGTTCTCTGCAGTCATTACAGTTTATGTGGCTCACACTGCAAATCCAGCAGCAAACACCCTCAACAGACACCACAAACTGTAGACCTCCATCTGTCTGAGATCCATGTCTCCTTAAAATTACACTTTAATCAAAATTTGCTTTTCAGTCGCAGCTAAAGGAAGAGCGAGAGAGCTGAATCTCAAGCTCAGCTCCAGCTCTGATCCTGTGGCTCTCACGGGAATTCACTTCACTGGAAACAGACATGAGTCAGCCGGCCAGTAGCTGGATAGTCCTCCGTCCTCTGTTTCCACACCACAAACAAGACTTCAGGGAAACTTAAAGCTCTGGGAAGTAATTGGGATACAAAACCCTCTGTCAGTATTGGCAGGCGTGGCAGAGAGGAAACTCTTGGCAGTAACCCTCACTGTATATTTGCATCACCTGTTGAGTCTTAGAGCTGATACAGCATCAAAGTACTTTAAGACCGTCATCTGCTTAATGTTCTGATGAACTGTGTCAACTGCTGTGTCAACCCTTTTATGCCACACAGAGCTTCTTTGAAATCGAAGCAATGAAGATTACTTGGTAAACTAACACCATTGGTGAATAAATCAAAACATTTCAGTCACAAATATGTCAAAAACCGATCACAACAGAGGTTGCAGCATGACTCTAAGGCTGCACGATTGATCGATTTTAAATGGTGATTAGGTTATTTGATTATGAGGATTTTTAAAAATTTAAAATGGTCAAATCTTTTTATTCTCTCTATTATGTCTCGAGCCTCCAGGCCACTGTAGGCTCCCCCTTTCCTGCAGGAGCGCTCCCCAGTTCCCACACACACCAGTGTAAAAAAACATGGCATTTGCAAAAGAAAGGATTAATTTACTACTATAGAGAAAGAGAGAGAAATATGCAGAGCTGGTGGAGGAGTGCCGCAAACGGGGGTGGCGTGCACGATGCCTACCGATTGAGGTGGGGGGAAGAGGCTTTGCAGGGAAATCACTCTGCAAGGCCTACAGTCTCCTGGGCATCACAGGGGCACGGAAGAGGAGAGCCATCTCTACAGCCTCTGAGGCTGCAGAGAGAGCCTCGCAATGGCTGTGGATCCAGAGGGATAAGCAGTGGTTGAGTGCTTCTTGGACACGGGCCGGGAACTGATCACCCCGGTCGGGTCACCTGAGTGAGGGGGTCTGAAGTTGAAAGACCCGAAACCCCCGATGAGCTCAGGCACTATCACTGAGGATGTGTCCAAGAAAAGCATCACTAGATGTATGTAAGAACCATGTCATTCTGGCTAGGCCAGTGACGTCCAGGAATAGACTGGTTGACGACCATGAATAGTGTGGTGACAGCTTGGAGAGACAGCAGACAGCACGGAAAGACGGCAACCGGGACAGGAAGGGCCAGCAACCCGACCTGCAACTTCCGTGAGGAAGAACCCAAACTCAGCTACAAAAAGCCCTAAAGAAACATACCCCCAGGGGAGCCCGAGAGGGGGGGAGAATGAGCACCCCGAACGGACGGACAACCAGGCAACGACCAACGCAAACGGACAATCGACAACGAATGCTGTATGTGTATGCGGAAAGAGCTGCAAAAACCCAAAGGGTCTGAAGATCCACCAGACCAAGATGGGCTGTTTGGTGAATAGGCAGCCAGAGCAGCGCTCAAGGATCAACCTCAAAGAGACGCAGGAGGAACTGGGGCGGGAAGAAACCCGCAGCACCCAGAACCCATGTGCTCCAGAGGTCCTTGGTGAGATGCAGGAGGACCCGGGCCAGGAGTCAACCCACAGTGCCCAGAACCTCCGTGCCCTGGAAGCCCAGACGCCAGTCATCCCACAACACCACCGGCGGGTTAAGTGGCCCCCAGCCAGCAAAGGGAGTGAGTGGCAGCAATTCGATGATGACGTGGATGGAATCCTGGAAGCTACCTTGAAAGGAGGGCCAGACGGGAAACTCCAAACAATGGCTACCATGATCATCAGCATCGCCACTGAAAGATTCGGATCAATGGAGAAGCGTGCTACCACAAACCAGTACTACAAGAACCGCAGGGCAGAAAAGATCTCACAGCTACGACAGGAACTCAGAGACCTGAAGAAGCAGTTCAAGGGTGCAAGTGAGGATGAGAAGCCAGGACTGGCAGAACTACGTGGTGTCCTTAGGAGGAGGCTGCTGACCCTCCGCCGAGCAGAGTGGCATAGAAGGCGGGCTAAGGAGAGAGCCAAAAGACGCGCTGCATTCTTAGCGAATCCTATTGGGTTCACCAAACAGCTGCTAGGCCAGAAGCGCAGCGGCCATCTCACATGCTCAAAGGAAGAAGTAGACACCTACCTTCACGACACCTACAGTGATGCAGCCCGGGAGGAGGACCTAGGTGAATGCAGAGCTCTAATCAACCCACCTGTACCAGCCACTGAATTAAACACCAAGGTTCCCAGCTGGAAAGAAGTCCAGACGGTGGTCAAGGCTGCTAGAAACAACTCGGCACCTGGACCCAATGGTGTACCTTACCTAGTGTACAAGAGATGCCCCAAGCTCCTGCACCGTCTGTGGAAGATCCTGAGGGTGATCTGGAGGAGGGGGACAGTTGCCCAACAATGGAGATCTGCAGAAGGGGTATGGGTTCCAAAGGAAGAGAAGGCAACCACCATCGAGCAGTTTAGAACCATCTCACTGCTTAACGTCGAGGGGAAGATATTTTTCAGTATTCTTTCCCACCGGCTGTCAGACTACCTCCTGAAGAACCAGTACATCGACCCCTCGGTGCAAAAAGGGGGAATCCCAGGGGTTCCGGGTTGCCTTGAACACAGTGGCGTGGTGACACAATTGATCAGGGATGCTCGAGAGGGGAAAGGAGACCTAGCTGTACTATGGCTAGACCTAGCCAATGCGTACGGCTCTATACCTCACAAGCTAGTGGAGGTGGCATTGGAGAGGCACCATGTCCCTGGCAACATCAAAGTCCTCATCATGGACTATTACAACAGCTTCAACTTGAGGTTCACCTCCGGCACAGTTACATCTGGACGGCATCGACTGGAGAAAGGGATCATCACTGGATGTACCATTTCAGTGATACTCTTTGCCCTGGCCATGAACATGCTGGTCAAGTCTGCCGAGTCGGAGTGCAGAGGCCCCAAATCCAAGTCCGGAATCCGTCAGCCCCCCATCAGAGCATTTATGGACGACCTGACAGTAACAACAGTGTCAGTCCCAGGATGCAGATGGATCCTCCAGGGCTTGGAGAGGCTGACCACCTGGGCCCGGATGCGCTTCAAGCCTGAAAAATCCAGGTCTCTAGTCCTGAAGAGAGGGAAGGTGACTGACCGGTTCCACTTCTCTCTAGGAGGTACCCACATTCCATCAGTCACAGAGAAGCCCGTGAAGAGCCTCGGAAAAACCTTTGACTGCTCCCTAAAGGATGCCGCTCCCATCAGGGCGACCAACGAACAGCTGGAGAGTTGGCTGACCACAGTCGACAAGTCAGGTCTTCCGGGGAAATTCAAGGCGTGGGTATACCAGCATGGCATCCTGCCTAGGATTCTGTGGCCATTGCTGGTGTATGAGTTTCCCATCTCCACTGTGGAAGGGTTTGAGAGGAGGGTCAGCAGCCGCCTGCGACGATGGTTGGGTCTGCCTAGAAGCCTAAGCAGCATCGCCCTTTACGGCAACAAGAACAAGCTGACTCTCCCCATAAACAGCCTCACCGAAGAGTTCATGGTTGCCAGAGCGAGGGAGGTTCTCCAGTACAGGGAATCCAAGGACCCAAAGGTTTCCCAAGCAGGAATTGAGGTGAGGACAGGCAGAAAGTGGAGAGCAAAGGAGGCTGTGGACCAGGCAGAATCACGGCTGTGCCACAGAGACCTCGTGGGATCGGTGGCTGCCGGCCGTGCAGGACTGGGAACCATTCCAACAACCCGGTACAACAAGCTCAAGGGCAAGGAGAGGCGGGACCAGGTCCAGCTCGAGGTGAGGGCCGGAATTGAAGAGCAGCGTGCAAGCCAGTGGGTGGGATTGAGGCAACAGGGCGCGTGGACCAGATGGGAGGAAGCCACAGACAGAAAAATCTCGTGGAACGAGCTGTGGAGGGCTGAACCCCTCCGCATTAAATTCCTCATTCAGTCTGTCTATGATGTCCTGCCCAGCCCATCGAACCTCTTCTGTTGGGGCAAGGTTGAAACTCCAGCATGTCCCTTGTGCCAAGGAAGAGGAACCCTGGAGCACATCCTCAGCAGCTGTCCTAAAGCACTTGGTGAAGGCCGCTATCGCTGGCGTCATGATCGTGTGCTGAAGGCGGTTGCTGAGTCCATCAACACTGCCATCTTCCAGAGCAAACGCTTACAACCATCAAGGCGTGAAATCTCCTTTGTAAGAGCCGGAGATCAACCACCTCCCCGACCTAAAGCCCAGTCAGGCCTCCTGGGAACAGCAAAGGACTGGCAGCTAAGGGTGGACCTGGGAAAACAACTGAAATTCCCTGAAAACATTGTGGAAACCAGACTTAGGCCAGACATCGTCCTAGTCTCAGAGACATCCAAGCAAGTCATCATGTTGGAGCTAACAGTGCCGTGGGGAAGAGAATGGAAGAAGCAAGTGAGAGAAAGAGAGAGAAATATGCAGAGCTGGTGGAGGAGTGCCGCAAACGGGGGTGGCGTGCACGATGCCTACCGATTGAGGTGGGGGGAAGAGGCTTTGCAGGGAAATCACTCTGCAAGGCCTACAGTCTCCTGGGCATCACAGGGGCACGGAAGAGGAGAGCCATCTCTACAGCCTCTGAGGCTGCAGAGAGAGCCTCGCAATGGCTGTGGATCCAGAGGGATAAGCAGTGGTTGAGTGCTTCTTGGACACGGGCCGGGAACTGATCACCCCGGTCGGGTCACCTGAGTGAGGGGGTCTGAAGTTGAAAGACCCGAAACCCCCGATGAGCTCAGGCACTATCACTGAGGATGTGTCCAAGAAAAGCATCACTAGATGTATGTAAGAACCACGAACTAGCTAAATAGGGCTAGAGCAAGTCAGTTGTGTGGAATTGGTACGGCTTCACAGTTTCGGATGAAGAGCGAACCATCCCCCACTGCGAAGTCTGTCTAAAGGTGGTATCAACCTGTCTACACGGAAACTAATCCAGGAGTAAACGCCAAAGCTTTTGTTGTATCAGCGTTTCATCCACACTGAAACAGTGTTTCAGGTGACTGTAAACTAAACTTTTTGAAAATGGGTCAGAGAGTGCATAAATCCGTAAACGACTACCATTTCAAATTCGAGTGGATGTCTATCTGCATCTCTCAAAACGATTATGTGAAACATATCGTTGCTCTTTTGTGGTGCCTGCGCTTGTCCGGCTAAAACAAACTTTATACACATGCTTTGTACTCTTCCTCTGTCTTTGGTGCATTTCCTCAGCAGCGTTACAGCGCCAATTACTGGCTTGGCATATGCACTTCATCATTTGCAATGGTTTTGTCTTTAGACACAATAGAAAAAATTATTATTAGAGTGCAGTTTGGTGAAGTTGACACAAAACGAAAAAATTGAAATTGAAAAAAGAGTTTACAGAGAAAAAAAAACAGACTTTATTTTTGGCCCAAATCGTGCAGCCCTACATGACCCTCCAAAATTCAAAGTACCTGAAATTTACGTTTTTCAGAAAATAACACCTTTTTTGTCATCAGAAAAATGAGACCATCCTTTAAATCTGCTCAATCAACACATCAGTAAAAATGGAAGGCAAATGTATTTCACTGTTTTGAGACATATTAGAAGATGACACCCGGCAAAGTGGTTGCTTTGCTTCTTGAATGAACTTAACATGTTGCTTCTCAGGTGTTTTTTGGTGTACAGCATGAAAAATGTGACAACTTCTCCTAAACCAAAATCAAGGACAACAATTTCAAACCGCAAAAAAACGGTAATAAATGTAATAAATTAATGCTGCAGTACACCTGGCCTCAACAGCAATCACATTATTTTGTGTAAAAACACATCATGTGTTAAAGTTCATTCAGATGGATTTTCATTACTGTTGAGAATACACTCCTCAGTACTTCTGTCTCCAAACAGATCACCACTGTGACCATGAAAAGGTCACAGAGCAGTATGAATGAGATAAGGGGAACAAATCCAAGTCGTGAAATGCCAGGCTCTCATGAGTTATTCATTACTTTTGATTACACCTTTCAGGAAAGAGGAGAGAGCAAATAACCTAACCAACACAAGAAACTTCGCTGGTTTTTAAAAAGAGGAGTGCTTTAAAATCAGATGAGAGAAAGACACAACTTCTTACTTTCATCATTACAACAGTAAATATTTTCTGATTAAAGTTGACATAAGATGAGAAGATTTACTGCAAACAAGAGCCCTCAAGTGTGCTGTGAATCTCCATCTTTTCTGTCAAATTTGAAGAGTCCTGGGCTAACAATACTCTACACAAAGAGCGTCTACTGTTAAACGACTTCATTCTCCTATAAGGTTTGTGGTCTGATGGTGTCAAGTCTTCAAAACAGCGGTTTTGTCAGTAATGGTCTTATTTAAGATAAAATCTTTGGTACAGGGCTAATTTTTATTGACCAGAATAACCACAGGCACCTCTTAACTCAGAAGGAGACCAACTTTTCACATCTGTCCCGTCATTCTACAAAACTGAGACTGCAACAGCAAAAAGGCCAAACTAAAGTTGATCAATCTCAACTCATTCTTAAATCAGTCTATCCTGGAATCGACTGTCTGAAAAAAAAAGAAAATAAAAGACTTTCTTGTTTGAAATCTTACTGGCAACTTAAGCAGCAGAAACTGAGTAAGTGTTGAGAAACAACATCCAAAAAGAAAAATTAGAAGCTAAATTTATGTGCAGATTAAAGGTGTCAAAATTTTCAATATTTCAATTCTTTTTCATCATGTGTGCTTTTAATCAATTTAATCTGTTTTTTTTTTTCTTTAACATGATATAGTATTAAAATGTGCTGATGCTGGAGAAATGGAGCAACACAGAGATACAGTAAATAAAAAGAGAAAGCGTGGATAATAAAAACAAACTGATTAAAGTAGTGACGCAGAAAATACACAATTATTTATTTGTTAATTGTTAGTCTCTGTTCAGTGACTTTTTCTGAGCCTGAACTTTGCAGTATGATTGTAAAAAACAAAAGCTACTCAATTGTTGGGGCCCAGGAGTTAAGTTTTGTTACCATGAGACTGAAATGCTTCTGTGCAGGTGAGAAGTCTGGTTTGCGAGTGGGCGGGCAGATAGGTGCTGCATCGGCAGTAATGCAGCCACTGTTATGGACTGTCAGGGTGAATGGGGAGCTGAGTTGGCCGGTAATGATTTTGCAATGGTCGTGAGCTCTGGGTGCGGACTGGACGAATGAGATTGCGGATAAAAGTGGCTGTGATGAGATTCCTCTGAGGGGTTATCTAGCTCAGCCTTAGAGACAGGGTCAGGAGCTTTGAGAAAGGAGCAAAGAGTCAAGCCGTTGCTTTCTCACATCCAAAGGAGTCTGTTAAGGTGGTCGGGGCATCTGATAAAGATGCTCCCCTTTGAGCCTCTCTTTGGAGGTGATTAGAGCAAGTGCAACTAAAAGTCCCAGGGTAGACCCAAAGCTCACTGAAGGGATTATATTTCCCATTTAGCATTTGGCCCGGGAGCACCTTTGAATCCTGCAGGCGAAGCTGGAAAATATTGCTGCAGGGGGGAAGGTCTGGGTCATCGTGCTTCAACTGCTGCCTCCACAACCAGACCGCGGTTAGGTGAAGGAAAATGGATGGATGGGTATTGAAACAGGTATGAGTATAATTTAGTTTTTCAGAAGTTTAAAATTCAGGTATCGTGTCAACCGAAATTCAGATACATATTTGATGGGATAGTTAATCATTTCAAGTGGAGCTTTATGAGGTACTTTCAATAGTGACTGACTGTTTTCTACAGGGGATTTCAGACGGCTCGGCCTACTTGTTGAGAAAGTTGCTGAAGTACCAGGATGGAGAGTAGACTGAAACACAAACTGTGCACACAGGTTATTGCTCAGTGCATGACTTTGCTGTGGTTACAGCGCTTAACTTAAATTAAAACATGTGTCTAATGACAGGGATCTAAAAACTCTGCAGAAATATGCTTTGTCATCCTTTCACCACCTCAGCGGACATTTGTAAGGACTGTCAGAATTTGAATGTTAAGTTGTGGTTGGGTGTTTTTTTTTTTTTACAGTCTGTGCCCCTCAAAATGTCATCACTGCCTTTCCTCACTACCAGAGGTTTAACTCACTCTTCTTACTCACAGTAGCTAGTATTTGCTGCCCAAATACAGTCTATCCTGAGGAGAATCATGCAGCCTGAAAGGTCACGTCTGTCATGAGTCAACCTTTGATCCTCAGAGTGCCATCATCACTTCCTGTCCCCCAGGCCCTAGCTTTTATTTTTCAAAAGTCACAGACACACTGGGGTTATAATCTAACAGGAAATCATATCTAAATGTCATGACGGTGATGTCAGGGTTTCAGAAGGAAGAGTTAGGTAGTTAGAAGAGTTAGAAGGTTAGTTTGCACCCTCTGAAGTCCTCATTGACAAATCTGATTTTAAGGAGCAGGATAACCTAAATATTGAGACAGCACAGCTTTGAGACAGACACTGTGTAAACTCAAGCCCCACTTCATGCATCACTTATGGTTCAAACATAAAACAGACCTTCCAAGATAACAGGAACCACACTCGGCGTTACAAAACAAACGCCATCGTCAGAGATTTATCACCAAGAGGAGGAAGAACATCATTACTGCGCTGTTTATGTTGTAAAACTTCCTGGTAAAGTCATGTTGACACTCACAGTCCTTTAAAGAGGAGCTTGTTTTTCAAAGTCAGCCGAAAATTATCAGGAAGTTAGTTTGCACAGTTAGACTTGATGACGATGATTACAGTTTGTATTTTGTAACAGGCTTTCGTAGTTTCAAAGATCTAGTGATCTACACTGCAGGGTAAATTTACAAATCCCCCAATGATCACATGAGGCTGTTATCCTTCATAAGAATGACAAAAATAAGTTGTTTGTAAGAATTTTCCCAAATATTTCATACTTTGTTGTTTCCTATAAAACAAACCACAGTGCTCATGACTCATTCTGCTCTTGGGTGAATTATGTGAAAGGAAAAGTATTGAGCAAGAGATTGTTGGAAAGCTTTTGTTCTGGTTTACAGTTAATCATATACACGATTTAAAAAAGAAAGGAACAAAATTTTAATTTTCAAAGCCCCATGAGAAGCTTCTTGTTGTGAAGTGGTTCTGAATCCGGATGGACTGAATGGTAGATAGCAGAACAGACACTTGACCGCATGATGACTAAACATCTTTTTTCTACTTTCTCACAGACAATATTTACAATAAGAGCAACATTTGACTGAACACAGTCAGCAGGATGTGATTTAATCTCGTAGACATGTGCAGGACAAGATCAGCGAAGAGGACGGAGATTACACTTTGGCCACAGAGAGTGCCAAAAAGGATACAAAGAGGAAGTTCACAGAGTGAATTTTTGTTTAGAAACATTATTTCAACATTATATTGAATCCAAGAATTCATTCAATTGAAAAGGTTAACAATATAGATGGTGTCTCTGCTTAGAAGGACAAGAATGTTTTAGTGTCCCTTATTCTTGTTTATTTTTTCCCAGAAAACATTGATTATTTATTATAGGATACATGTATACTCCATTTGTGAACTGGTTTAAACATTTTACTTCAATATTGAGCTTTCATTCTGATGGTTAAAGGATTCAAAGGTTTTCAAAAAATGATTTGAAAAGTGTTAACTACTTGTAAAAAAATGAGATACCTTTCGATTTTGTTTCTCTTAGGAGGAAAGTTTTTTCCAATTGAATAAGCACATTAACTAAACGATTAAACTGTTGGCATCATTAAACACCTGCATCTGATGACAGCCTACGTTTGTTCAGTGTGTGAGTGATGTTGAAACTGAGGTGTTGCAGAGCAGCAGAAGCTGTCAAGAAAACACAGAGGGGGAAAGTGCAGCCCCACAGATTTGAACATAAATGGTCTGACAAGCAACCTTTGTGCTCAGCTAATTTTCATTTTGTTCTCAGAGTTCAAAGTTTTTCATGAAACTGTAGGTGTCAAATAAATCTTAATCAGAATTTTACAAATTCCCCGAATGACTGATCAATCTTTGAAATAAAGGAGGTTTCGTCGGTAGTGATGAAATCCTGTCAAGACATCTTTCAGCTAAAAGTTTCCTCCTTTGAAAACTTGTTTTGTTCAACAGTTTAACAACATCTTTTGATCAATTCATTATCTCCGCTGCGAGACAGACTGAATGTAACCTCGATTTTATCAGGAGCACAGACTTCAGGGTTTCACTGGTTCATCAGATATCTAATGTACACATATTGACAGGAGAATTGACAAGTTATAAGATGTGAGTAAAATGCTTGTTATGTGTTTTCTGCTAATGCTTATTTTCCAACTCCAAAACAATTAAAAAAAATAGACCACTTTCTCATTAATCTACTGTATGTACTGGATGATTTCAGAATCCACAGTCACAGAAAAAGTCTAGAAACTTAGATCAAGATGACATTTCAAAGAGGGAATCTCCAGAGCAGAAACCAATGAACACTGAGAATTAATTTAATCATCTTCAATACAAGCTGCCTGACCAATGAACCCCAGGCAGCCTTGAGGGAAAAGAAGTGAAACAATAAAATGACCAACAATTGAACTGAAACGTCCAGCAGGGCAGAATCCGTGTCTTTATTTAGCTGCATTGTATTTTTGGTTCCTTTCATAAAATTGTTGTTTTGTTCTTGATGGAGTTTACAGGAAATTTGGGTCACAATGACCACAGTCTCAGCGGACTGCTTCATTTTCCCAAATGCAGGTCAATCTATGTCATAGTGAGACTATTATTTTATTTCATGGACAGGGTCACACTGGGCAGTTTTTTAGAAAAGCACTCTGTCTATGGTCGTTTGGTTTTATGAGCTAAACTCTTTCAGAAGTTCAGGATTATAATAAATATGCGTATTTAAGAGTTCACTGTACTGCTAAATCAATGCAGAGTCACAGCCTTTTATATAAACCAAAGAGGTATTAACACGTATGCTGTAATCTCAGAGTCACTGGATCTACCTCTTAGTGTCTCTGTCATAGATTTATGAGAATTAGATCAGCATCCAATTAAGACACAGGAGTGTATTTATCAGAGTTAGCCATGCCTGGACAGGATTAGGAATTATAAAAAAAAATAGGAATTATGTGAAGCTTGATTCATAGTTTCTTTAGAGATAAAACACACCAGGCTACATTCTCAGACAGTGAGATTAAACTTTGCAGAAAATGCAAAGCCAACTTCTCACTTTCAGTATGTTAAAAAGAAGAAGGTGGTAATCAGCTGACCGTCTCTTCAATCTTGACCAAGAAGAAACATAAACAAACTGTTTAGTTGTGTATCTGATGTTTTCTGGTGATAGAAATCAGCTGCAGTATTTCATTCTGAATTTAAAAGTAATAAAACACAATTGACTGGACTTCTAGGACTCAAAAAAACTGACAGTACTGATGTCCCTGGGTAATTTAGTTGTAAACAGTATTTGCTGTCAAAGGGTGTGGATGATAGAAACCCTAAAACAGTGGCCTGTGTTGTTCATTGCATATATTTTTCCACATGTGTCAAAGACAAATCTCTACCCTAAAAAAAGTTACTCTTTATTCTCTTCCTCCAACAAAATTCACCAGCAACTTATTTTAAGAGATGTTTTCTCTTCCTTTCAATAAAAAAAAATTAAAGGACGTGCCTACAAGCTCTTTCTATGTCGAAACTGATAGTGGTCTGCACTGTGGCCTCCTGGTTTGATCCCTCATCTGGATGGTGGCGTCAGTCTCCAGTTTTGAGAAATGAAGCCAATGCAGAGGTGTTATAAAATGCAGTTCCTTCAGTGTCCATTTGAGGCTGAGTGCAAAAGCATCTGAAACCACAGACACAGCCACTCTTTACTGCCAAAGTGAAATGTTTAAAGCCGGGTACAAAAGTGGTTTTGGTCTGACTGGCTCCACTTACTGGGGGTGAATTTTTTTTTAACATCAGTCAAGTTTTGAAGCATTAGAGGCACAGCTGGGGTAACGTGTTAAGTGTAAAATAGAGTATGGGTGGCCATTTGTCTCAATGTGTCAGCCTTGTGATAAACAGGTGACCTCTAAAGAGTGCACACTGCCTCTTGACCAACAATAGCTTGGATGAGCTACAGCACACTGTGTCCTCTTACAGGATAAGAAGCCCAGACAATGGGTTGATGGATGGAAGGATGAAGGTGAGACAAAAGGTTTCACAGATAATTTGAGTTTTCCTTGGGTCACTGCTGTGAGATACTTCTGCTTATCTTAAGATAAGATATACCAGTGGTTCTCAACTGGTGGGTCCCGACCCATAAGTGGGTTGTGGACACGTTCTGGATGGGTCGCAAACAGCTGGTCAGTAAAGTAAATATGTAATGCGCATCTGATGTTTGACCGGTCTTTTATTTTGAAAAATAACATTCAACACAATTTGATATTTTTTTGATATTTGATACTTTCTGTATATGCAACTTAAATAGTTGTTGTCCTCAATTCATGTGCTCTGAAATGCACTTTATTCAAAAAAATGGGTGTATTTGTGTTAAAGATTTGAGTCTTTCAAGGTTTTTTTAATAAAAAATAAATTTGCTTGGTTTGAATTCTATAAAAGTGGGTCATAACTTCAGGACCATGGGAAAATGTGGGCCCCAGAGTGAGACCAGTTGAGAACCACTAAGGTATACCTTTATTAGTCCCAAAGGGGGTAAATTCCACCTGTTTGAAAAACAGGTGAGTAAAAAAAAAAGGAACATTTGTCATATCAAAAACATGGGCTACAGTTTGTTATGTTACAGAGTCAACTCAAGTTTCACAGACCTGGAATGCTTTGCGTCCACTGGGAGATGACACACAGGTGACTGATCGCTGGTCGACCAGGTCCAAGGCCTGCAGCGCACAAGACCCAAAAACAAACTTCAACCTGAAAGATGTGAGAGAGGAAAAATGAGGGGGGAGTAAAAGATTTGAAACATCCAAAACATGTCGTGTCCACCAATGACGTATCAATCTTTGTCTTTCAGGCAAATAGGTCTGTGCTCTACGTCCTCATGTCACATGACAGTTCCACATTAACTAATTTAATTACATCCAATTTCAGTGTTTTGTGTTTCTTCAACACTTTGATTGAGGGGCTGAATGGAGCTTCTTTACCACAGAAGTTCCTTCTGATCTAAAGCTAATTTTGTTTGCTCTGATTTTGTTGTTGTGAAAGAAATATTTGGTTTATTGGTTGTAAGAAAAGATGATGCTTTCTTTTTTTTTTTTGTAATTGTACTATAAAACTACAATAACATATACAGAACACTTTTCAACAGTCTTTCTAAAAATTGATTAAAAACACACAAATGAATGAAACGTTTTTTCAACCTATTGAGTGATTACCGTTTAATAATCTTGCATCTTTCATTTATTTAATAAATGCCACACTGTCGTCTTTTATCGTGTTCATTGACTCTGTATAGTTTAATCAATATTTCACTAATGCAACGTGTTTTCGTTGTTATTGTGTAACTTTTTAGCTTTAAAGTGACAACTTTAAAAGTTGAATAAGCAATGATCCTTTGCTTAGCATCAAAAAATTGTCAATTTTTAATCAATTTTACTGGCAACAACCAATGTTGAAAGGAGATTATTGTTGAAGAGGCAGAAATCAGTGAAACTGAAGGTTAGCCATCTAATTAAACAGAGTTTCCTGATTGTAATGGAGAGCCTCTAAATCAGAGGCTTCCTGACAAACAGACAGGATGTGGCCACAATGACCCGGGCAACAAGTACCTCTTCACTCTCAGAAAGTCAAAGCACTGTTCCAAGAAGTGTTTCAGTGAAGACACAGAGCAGAATCATGACGCTGTGTCTCAGCCAGCTGCGTCACTTTGGTAAATCCAGACTGTAAAACTGTCATTTTCATCTTCCTCAGTGTGGCTTCTGCTTTTCGTACCCACTTAGATTCAGCCATGTGCCTTCTTTACTTGCATCATGAGTTAGACCAGGAAGGTTTTTTTGTCATTGTTGATGGCGAGCCTTGAGCGTCAAAAACTGTTTGCATGTCTTGAAAATAAGATTTGTACTTACGCAAGAAGCAGGTCATCAGGAACTGCAAGAAAGAAAAATAACATTTCAGAGAGATACAGCAGAGAGACCATTCTTCTTTATGTTTTCATGTTGAGACAAAAAAGGACTTTATGATGCACACACAGACCTCTGTCTCCTCATCTACACTTATTTGAATAATGAGAAAAAAAAGAAGTTCCAAGCAACCAGAGAACTACAGATAAGCACGAGTACTGCTCACATTTCATTGAGCAACACAGTATGACTGTATTTGAAGAGAGAGGCCTGTATGTTCAACCCCAATCTGCTCAAAATTTACTGATTAAATAATTAAAAGCAAGGTTTAAAGAGATAGCTTGTTTTTTTGTTTTCTTAAAGTGAGGTTGAGGTCAATAATGAGTGTATCACCAAAAATGGATTTCGGTCAGCTCAGCCCCTTTGTTGAGAAACCAGCTGAAAAAAAAAAACAGAAGCTAGATTGGGAACTGCTGCAAACAGTATCAGCTCTACCACGAAAAGTAGCTATTTTTAAGAGACTTCAAGCCAAACACCAATGTTAATGTAGGTGTTAGCTTTAATAGAGCAAATAACTTCTTCCCCATTTATTCCAAGTAGCCAAGTTGTCAGGCTGATGGGTAGATAGAAGAAGAGAAAGAAGCTGAAGTTACTGTTACAGTTGATTGGGTTAAAAATAGGCCCTGCCTTTGCATCAATTCCTGAAATCAACAGATATGTACAGTCCTCAGGTGTGACCTAATTATATGAATTAAAATCCTGTTTCTGAGGTGAAGCCAAACTGGTTTTTCAGTCTGATGGTCTAAAAATAACCTGGTACGGTAAAACAGTCCCAGAAAACTGCACGTCCGCCGCTACCGAAATGTGCACAGACAGTATTTTACAATGCATGATATAGCATATTCATGTTATGGCTGGTCATTTAGACAGAGGGCAGAGTTTTGAGAATCACAGTGACAGATATGCTTTTCCCAAAACCACCGTTGGCCCAGATAAGACAGCTCAGCTTCATGTATTTGTGCCAATAAATCCTTTTAGTGAGCCAGCAAACACAACCGGCTTGTTTCACAGCACAGGTGCATGTAAGAAAATAGATCACAGCTGACTTGTATTTATTTCTTGTTTGTAGGCCATGACACAAAAATATCATACAATCCTTTGTGATATTTATAGAACCGCCGGAACTTTCCAACTTAACCAGGTCAACATATTTGCTGTAAACACACCTACAAGAACCCTTGGATTAAATGTTATGTGTTTATAATGGTACATACAATTCTAAAAATGTGTCAGTGATGACAAATGTCTATCTCTGCTAATATTGGGATTTCTTTGTCATCTTTGTAGATGTATAAGATCATTGAGAGAGGGGATGCAACATGTTTGATTCTTGCATTTTCTCCCACTAATGAGAAATGTGTTCTCTCGGTGTTACAGGGCTGTTGACTCTTTTGTAAAAGTCTTGTTTAGCTCCTCCCCATAATCTGTGCTTTACAAACATAGCAAACTACTTACTAGTTTTCTGTTTTTGACTCTTAAAAAATACTACCATCCAGCAGATATGATGTGGCTTGTTTTGGAAGTGTATAAATTGTGTGCTCATGATCTATGAATGACAGAAATATGTTTACCTGCTGGTGTACTGATATAGAGTTGATTATACTGTGCATCCATACAACTGTTGAAGCACATTAAGACCCTTAAAAAGAGAATGAAAAGTAACATTTTTGTATTGTCACAATTTAAAAGAAAAGCCAAAGCCAATGTCTATTAATTTTATCTTACTTTTTTTGTCCTATTCTTTTTCCTCACTGTATTTACGATTTTTTTTTTATTGATTTAAGATATCTATTAAATAATTGTGTGTACGTTCTTAATCAACAAAGAAATAAGACGTTCAAGCAGCGCCACCCACAGCCTACATGCTGAACTGCACTTTTAACACTCACTGAAGCGCAACACGGACTGTATTTATCACTAAATTGTGTGTTTATCATTAAATGTAATATTGAACGTAAACGGTGACACAGCTCGTTTCATCAGTGACGCAGAGACGTCAATCGTTCCTCCCTGAAGAAGCTTACCTCACATTCTGCCTACAGGCGCTGCACCGCCAAAGCAACGTTGAACTTGATAAATTACAGATACAACGTGTCACAGAAATGTATTTCTAACACTTTTTACTCACTTTGAGATGTTTCTTGATATGTTTTCTGAATATCTTTGAAAAGTTGTTCCGCCACCGCGGGTAAAAATGAATACATTTTTTAGACCGTTTTGTTTCCGGACATCATTGCCTCCATCAGCCAATCAAATGCATAGAAATCATAAACACTTCCGGGTTGAAGAAATGTTTCCCTTCAAAATAAAGGACTTGTATTTGACACGTTAATAAAGTTGTTTTTATATGTTCGCCACCTAAACATCTCAGCGTGTGTATTTTTGTAGATATCAGGGGCACTTGCATCTGTGTAGACTTAGTAAAGAGCCCACACTAAGACCCCTTATGACTCTGAAATTAATTTATTTAAGTTCCAATCAGATGCGTTTATGAAACTCTGATGATGGTTTTTCATCTGGTTTGGATGCATGTTAGAATTAATACTGCTGCCTCTCCATGGCTTACAAAGGCAAACGAGACTTTCAGCAGGAAGACTGATCATTTTTTATTCATTAATGCATTAAACCGCAGAGAGATAAGACGTGAGACCAACCACTCAATGGCAGCAACTGAGATAACAGTTATTTCTTTTCAGATTTTCAACTGCAAATATTCACTATCAGTGTCACATTTAACCACTAAACATGAGCAGGATGAGATGTTTTGGCAGAAAATACTGAACTATTCAGACAAAATAAGCAAAATTGTAGGATGTACATCTTTGCCAGTAGGGGGCATCAACACTAACACAAACATAAAGTTTCTTACTGAAGCTGTGAGTCAGAGTTTGATCTGACTAACAGTTTAATTCTGAGCCATTTCTGGTTTGTCACCCACTATTTTGATTTATTGTATAAAACTACCGTTCTCCTGACCTTCCAAGTCCATTTTATTGAATTTGGACAACACTTGCTCAAAATACATGGTCATAATTTATGTCTGTGTATCTGGTAGTGTTACATTGTTTACACCATCTTTGACAAGCCAAATATTTGCCTTAGTAAAGTTTATAGCAGTAGATTATTGCTCTGTGGAAAATTGTGTCGTGTCTAAGTGCCCAACAGGATGTTTACTGAGAACCTCAACAGTTTCACTGCAGTAAGCTTCCTCATACCCATAAATGACTAAATAAGCATTTACTTAAAGCTGCTGTAAGGAGTTTTCTAACCGGATCAAAATGAAGACTGATTTCTCCTTATGAGCTATAAACACAAACCATAACTCTAGCAACAAGACTGATTACTTTTGATACTGTTTTAATAACTGAAACTGATGCAAGGAGTGGAGAAACAATCTCTTTATATTTTCAACAGGGATTCTTTATCATGAGTGACACATTTGGCTGTTTAAAGGAATTGGAGTAAGATTGTTTGTCAGAAGATACTACCTTTCTATGTAAGAAATACACAAGATATGAGAAATGATATGTACATTTCATCCACAGTCCGATGGATATATTAGCCAAAGCTGAAGCTGAAAATGTGCAAAAACCAGCAAATAAGACCCGGGGCCATGACACTACTTTGAACATGAAAGTCCTAGTTAATAATTAGATGGCACACATATTAAGGATCGACACATTGTCAGTGGTGGAGAACTGATCCACTTTATTGATTGGTCTGAACTCTTGTAATAGCCTACTAAGAGACATTGTGCGATACAAACATTGCATTTCAACATCATAGGATACACGGGTTTTCAAGTCTCAATTTCAAAAAGACAAAAAAAAGTCATCACTGTGTGTTTGTTTGATAGAGAGCTGAAAAGATGCTCCAATTCTTTTTCGGCTTCATGTCGGATTTCTTTAAGATTCAAGTTTGTAAACTTTTTTTTGTCATTGCTTTTGTAAACACATAACATCCCAGTTTTAATGGGATGAATGACACAGATGTTGAAAATAACAGGAAATAAAAATCTGAACATGTGCTATGACAAATGATTCAAAAGCAAAATAAAAGAAACAAAGGAAATATCAAGTTAAGAGCTGAATGGATTTGTTAACTGAGCAAGTGAAAGCTGAAAAAGCTGTAATATGGTGTTTTTCACATAGGTAATAAAAGACTAGCAAAGGAACGTTACTGCCATATATGAAGTTGACCTAGTATATAATCCACTTTCAAAGCTTTATGCCTGTTGATTGACACAATGTAAGCAGAGATTAAGTAGTCATGGATTTGAATCACCATGACAGCAAACTCCAAAACATTTAACGGTACCGTACACTCAAAACTGTAACTGTGATGCAAGTGTCACACTGTTTAATCATATACCAGCTACAAGAAAAGACAGGACGTTTGAAAACATCCAGTTTTCTGTGAGTGGTGGGAAAACTTAAAGCACATCTTAATACACTCCTGTGCTGGAGGTTGAATAAGTTACACAGCAGGTAGTATGATTTTTTTTTTTGTTTTTGTCAAAAGCTACAAAGCAAAAAAGTGCAACAATGGTGCAGACCATTCTTTATGTTTGGTTAGTTTTGTCTTTTTGTATAATGGAAAGACAATTTTACAGAGTTCAGATTTTTGTCAGGACAGTATCAAAAAAAAAGGAGGAAAAAAAAAAAGGGACTACAGAAACAAATACGAACATCGAACACCAACGAATATCTCTGAGAAAATTAGTTAAAGCTGCCTTCTTACTCAAGTCACAAGGCATGGCAAAACCTGACTCTTTTTTTGTTGTTTACCATGACAATTTGCAGAGCAGATCATTCTGGACAGGTTGGAAACTGCAGAGAGAGACAGCTACAAGTGACACACCATGGCTCTATTGAAGAAAAAAAAAAAAACATTGGCTCACTTTCATCATTCAGACGGGGTCCAGGAGTAGTCATCAGGATATCTTGTTTCCGGCAAAAATTAAGCTTATATCAGACTTTTCACCTTTCTGCTATGACACCAGTGTTCTCAACTTGTTTTGAAGACATTTCTCTGTCTTGATTGGGGTGAGAAGTTACAATCCATGCATCATCCCCACTGTGTGGTGAAGACAGGCATCCAATACTGATGCTGTTTGAAATGTTAGTCTGTGTTGTGTTTCATCCTCAAACGTCTGCGATGTTCAGGCTCTGGTGGTGCTTGGTGGAGGGCGTGCAGGGCGGCACGATCTCTGCTCCACTTATAGTACAGGTACAAACCAAAGGTCTGGTCTCTCTTCGCGTCGCTATGGTAAAAATATTAAGAGTGGGTGTCTGGTGATGTAGGGTGGGGGTGGACTGGGAGAGACCAACTGTGATATTAAAGATTATACCCCAACTCTTCCCATTTAAAGTGGATCAATTTAAAAGCGACATTAAAATAAGAAATAATCAAGTTAAGAAAAACACTGCAAAAGGTTACTCTATTTACATACAATGATTTTCTTAAAGACAAGGATATCTTTACAGAAATCAAACAAAAAATTCAGAAATAGTCTTTAATGTTGTTTCTTTTTACATATTAAGTTCTTCATCTTCTCTTTAGCTCATGTCGTCCCCTCGGTCGAGTTTTGTTTATTCCCCCCTTGACAGGCCGGGTGAGTGCTTCCAAAAGCAAGTCTGGTTCTGGAGAGCCCTGCCTGTCACAGGCTGCTGCTAGTGCTCTCAGCAAACAGCCAGGGGGCGCCATAGCACCAAAAATAAAATGGACACCACCCCATCTCCTTGTTGCACTCGCCTGTGAACAAGGTTAGTTCTCGGAGTCGGGGGGCGATCAGACAAGCCTCAGCGCGGACCTCTTCTCTGGTTATCGGGGCTTTGGCGGGCAGTGCTCAGTCGTCGCTGTCAGACAGGGTCTCATATTGCTCTGACAGCAGAGACTGCCACACGCGCTGCTGAGCCACCGGGGCTCCAGCTTGAGGCGGCTGCTGCTGCTGTTGCTGCTGCTGGCTCTGTATGGTGGGGGAAGCGATGGAAGTGGGCGGTGTGCTGCTCAGCATGCGCATGGTCAGCGGGTTGTAAGGAAACTGCATGGATCCTGAGCAAAATACAAATAAAAGAAAGTTGTTATTTCATGTTTCAAATTGTGCTTTAAAACACTGTGGTATTACACTTTAAAGCAACTAAATCAATTGAACTTTGACAAATTAAAAGTGGCATCAAGACAAAAACCGAAGAGAAAAAGCATTTCGATCTAAAAATATTTTCTCAGCCTCAAAATTAAATAAAAGATCGAACAAATTGGGGGGAAAGATGGTAAAATTAACAGGTAGACACTGAATTAAAAAAAAAAAAAAAAAACATGGTTGTGGCTTGAAATGTTTTCCTAAAGAAATAATGAAAAAAAAAAGTCTTGAAGTCTTGATTCTTATTTGACTTGGAGACATTTTCTCCAGACTCTACAGCTCACCTGTTGATGAGGGTCGGTCGTCCCAGCTCCATTGGGGTTGGGCTTGGGCTTGTCTGTGATAATCTCCCTCTGAGTGGACGGAGGACACTGAAGATGGGCGCTCCCCTCCAGTGTAGGCCTGACCCAGGTTAGGTGACTTTGATTTGCGGCTGTTGGCTTTGCCTGGCTTCTGCTTCCCTGTGGATTCATAAATGTGTGACTCAGCAACATGTCAAACATTGCACCTCCTCTGTGCGTGTGTTGAGATGTAATTAATACTAACCCATACTCGGTGATGGGTTGGCCTCCTGGCGACTGTCGCCGCCTGGGCCAGGTGCATTGTTGATAGGCCCTACTCCTCCCTGGTGCTCCTCTTGTCTCTCCTCTAAGTTTCCCATCAAGGCTTTGCGGATGATGTCCTCCAGGCCCAGGTTACTGGCTGGATCACTGAAGGAGTGATTCCTGGGGTTGATGCTGCCTATAATGTGACGAAATCACAACAAAGCACTTAATAAGAGTGGAAACACCAATCAAATTGAACTGTGAAGTTATCTGTGTGTCGCTGCTGCTTACTGGAGCTGGTAACAGCTGGCAAGTTGAAAATCTCTGTGCCTGGTTGTGCGTTTCCTGCAAGACAATTATTAAGTCGAAAAATATTAAATGTGTGACAGTAAATGAAGTCCAGACTGGCACCATGAGTCAAAAGCCCTTGCTGGTCTAGGGGCCTTTAAATAGAAGGTGTGAGAAGGTGGGCGAATATCACAGGAGTAATCAACAGTTACAGATACATGTGTTATGAGCTTAATACATAAAGGTAACTAATAAAATCTGCTTTTCCCCTACATATCAATTTTTCTTTGAATGATGCCACATACACTGACCAGATATAACACCAAGAACATGAACCCAACACAACAGCTGTACCATTTTTTTTAAGACTGCAACATTGACATTCAATATTTAACATTTTGTTTTTGAGCTGATGGGATTTTATTCATCCTCTAAACCAAAAAACTTTCTGACGACAGAATGTGCTGAATTTGTACTAACACAGATTTCAGGATTGTCAGAACAGCACAGCAGAGAACAAAGGTATGAATGTAAGTCAGTCTGGAAAGAATTAACCAGATCTCTCAAGGTCCTTGTTGCTGATTGGTTACTCCACATATCATACTGCAACATGGACGCCACAATGTTGATTCCAGCAAACATCATAATTACATTTGATGTTTGTAAGATTAAACAGCGATGTCTCGCATGCACACACATCCAAAAAAAGATTGATCCACCATCTGAATGACGCATGCATGTTAGTCAGGAAGGAGAGGAAAAGAAAAGACCCACTTACCAACATCAGAATCACCGACACCAGAAGTGGAGTTCAACTTACGAAAGATCTCCTGCTTCTTGGATTTCACCATAGGCGAGGTGTTCTCCAGCTTAGTGAAGAAGGAAGGCAGATAGCTCACACTCCCCGGGGACCGAGAGTCACTCCTTCAGAGAGACAAAGGGCAAAGAGTCAAACTGTGAAAATCTGGAAGCGGGACAACAAGGCTCTTTCATTCCCACTGGGATGTCAAATGACTGCTGACAGGAGAGACACTGTGCCTGCTGGCATCTGTACAGGAAAATTGATCTACAGTCTGACACAGTCAGGCATTAAATGTCAGGATGCTAACAGGGAACTAACCTAAACAATGTGTGAATCAAGTGTAGAAAAACTGCTAACCTTTTATCAAATACAGCATTACAGGTACAGACATCTTGAAGAAAATGCTCAATTTCCCCCTCATTTCTCTTTTCTAGTTTTATTGCTTTTCACTATGGTTAAAATGAACCTCACTGTATTTGTCATCTACTATATTCCCTCAGTATTTAGCAAATCCAGATCCTGTTTGTCAGTGTTTTAAAGGCCTGAATACTCCAATATGCAATACACCCAATTCTAAATGTAACCCTTGGTGTACCAGGGCTTTTTTTCAGTGACTTCTCATCAACTACTAGTGCCCTTTTCTCTCCTCAACATTTACGTTTTCCAAGATATTTTGCCACCGGCCCACTATGTGGTGTTGGCATTTATTTGCACGCATCACTTGATGCTTACTGGTCTTGTTCCACTGGAGAGTAACATGAAACTCAAGAATATCTGAAAGTCTCTACAGTGTTTGAAAAATCTGAGGTGAAAAAAGTAAACAATGAGACGTCATTGCTCCTCACAGAACAGCCACAGTATAAAGTTTACGGCCTGATAGAAATCTGGATAGGTGCACAGTGATGCAAAGATGCTGGACTTGCTTTATTCATGTGACATGCGAAGGTAGTTTTTGGAATAAATGAATTTTGTGAAACCCTCATTTTCCTCTGGTATCCTTTATCAACTGTGGATGTTTTGAACTCAAATAAGTTGCTGATGCTTGTGTTCTTGCTCTAAAAGCACTGCTAACTCTGAGCCATGTCTAACTAAATCAACAGATGAACTAGCTTGAGTTGATATCATCTTTACTATGTCCTTTCCAAGAACAAGGAAGCCACTCATCTCGCATTTTTCAAACATAAGGCGTGCAACATTAAACTGACTGAACAGCTAATCAATTCAACAATGATAAATTATCTGAGATGTCTGATAACAAATCTAATGAAACATTTCTTTGTATTAACACACAAAAAAAACACCAAAGAGGATTTTTGAATTTTGCTGTATTTTTCAGATGTTTTCTCCGGGGCTTTTCTTCTCCTTTTCTTCCCTCTAGCCATGTTACACCTTCTCAGCTTGCAAAGCATTTTTTTCTGTCTAAAGGGTTATATTACAACTCCTCAATGTGAACAATCAAAAAGACATCCTAATCAGTTTGAGCTACAAGGGAGGACTCAAGTGCATCAAAACTTTGGAGGTGTTGTACCTAATCTCAGAGTTATCAGCCTCCCTCCTCTGGGGTGGAGGTCCACCAGTCTCCTGTTTATCCATGCCTTGGTAGCTCTGTGGTGGAGAGATGGGCTCATAGTTCTCCATTTGCCTGCCGCCTCGCTCTGGAGACTTGCCAGGCCTGGGTGGGAAGCAGAAAGAGATGAATGTTGAGCAGGTGTTGAGGACTATGCTACATTTATTCCATGGGTGAGTGATTGTTCTGCGTACCTGGGTCTGGGCTTGTCAGGGGCGTTTTCAGGTGAAACCCTGCTAGAGGGTCTCTGATGATGTGGGGCCTGGACCTGATGTTCTGGACTGTAGCGGCTTGGCACCTTGGCACGACCTGAAGAGGAGACATGCGGCCCAATACTCTGGAATGTGGCTGAAGCTGAAGAGGAGACTGGAGGAGGGTCCTGATTGCGGGCAAAGTCCTGGGTTATGATATGCTGCAGGACAGGAAAGTGACCACGAGACCAGGTTAGTCAGATTTGAATGCCTTGTTTTCATAAATTATCCAGTAAATTGCCATCAGATTTTGCAGCATTTCCTACCGAGATGTGGTCTGCCAGAGTCATGACCCGGTGAGTCTTTGGGACCTGGGAGTAGCTGTCAGCCTGGGAGGAGGGGGGCTGCTGTGGGCTGGGCTGTGGTGGCTCCCCTTGCGGCCGGTATCGACCCATGTCATACCCCCGCATAGCAGCTTGAGGGGGTTGAACAGGGACAGTGTTGTTATTTTGGAGGTGAGGTGAGGAGAGATAAGATGAAGAGGAGCTAAAACTCTGTATGCCAACAGTAACTGATCTGCATTAGTATGCCGGTGACAGAAATAACTTTAAGTGCTGTAGGGTGACCAGACGGTTGCAGAGGAATGGTGTCTGACAGTATCGGATTGAAAGGTCAGTGGGTGAAGTAACTCAAGCTATGGTATGTTTACTCCACTTGACTGGTAGCTAAATTTAGCCGTCCGTCACACGCCATCTTTGACCCAGTTGAAGCGAGCACGGAATCAAATGAAACGCCAGTCTCATCCACAGTGAAAAACATCATTAAAAAACATAACTATGAAATGGTCATCATGACATTTTTTTCACTCCTGTGGAGGGGGGGGGGGGGAATCACCCACCCACGCCAATTCTTTTAGCCACCCACGCTGTCTTCTTTCTCCTTCGATGAAGGATTCAAAAAGTCAATTATAAGATTTCTTCTTAAAAGTCAACATCTACTGTCAGATGACGTTAAGTTCTTTTATATCTCTCTTAGAATGATTCTTATGAGTTTTTCAAGAATTGAATGAAGTCATATCACCTTTTTTTGTTTCTATATAAAGCTCTACTGCAATAACAGATCACTGACATCCTTAACTGCAGACACAACCTGAGACCACAGGATGAACATGGTGGCAGCGATTAGAGGGATTAAGGGTCTTTAGTGTTGATGATCAAAATGCAATTATTACTCCTTATCCCAATTTTTCAAGTTCTATCTTGAGGCTTTTATGCCTTCATTCTGAGAGGACAGGAAAGTGGATTGGGCAGAAAACCAGGAGAGAGAGCAGAGAAAGGAGCCACTGGTAGAGGACTACAGCCTCTGTACATGGGACATTTATAGTTCTTGTTCTTGTCGTAATAAACCCTTTAAACAGAATACAACCTGTCTTAAAAAGATTATCATAAGCCTGAGCTGTTGTTATTACCTGCTGCCTGCGGTGGTCCTTCTTCCTGTTTGTCCTGGTGGGACTGGACTGGGGAACTAGCAGGACTGATCACTTCTATGGCTCCTCCACCAGTGTTGTCATATCGACTGGATGACACTGCAAACATGTATAGACAGAGAGTTATAATTTGTGCAAAGGACACAATATTCAAGTTTAGAGTTGATGGTCTAATTTCATTTTTATTTTTTAAAAGGATCAACTTTAGGGTTTAACTTATTCAGCTCTTAGTAAACTGGTTATCACTCTATGTTAAAGACTACTCAAAAGCAGTTTGAAGATCACTGTCTATCTCCAAGGACATTTCAGAGCCACTCACAGCTACTAGAAGAATCAGAGCTCTGAGAGCCTCGCTCTCTCGAGTCTTTGTCTGAGGCTATCTGCCGCGTGATGATGACATCAATGAAGTTAGCAGCTGTAATTGTTGTCTTTCCACGAGTCCGAAGCTCCTCTTCGATGCGGGACTTCGAGGTTTGAGGGCCCTTATCCTTGTCCCCACCTCGAGCACCCTCTGGGTAAGCTGAATGGGGTTTACCCCCCGGCAGAGACATGGCTCCATAAGGAGACTGCATGGATCGCCTTTCTTCTTCCTGCCTCTGCTGTTCAGCGAGAGCTCGCCGGGCTGCAGCACTCGAAGAGATGTCATCATCCCGATCATGTTTGCTCTCTTTCACCTTGCCGACATCTATCTGCGGGGCGGAGGCTGCAGCGTCCACCAGAGCAGCCAGAGCATCAGCTGCTGTGCTGTAGCGAGAGTTACTCTGGGACACTGGTGTGGGTTCTGCGGTGTGAGGCCTAAGAAAATAAAGCGGTGATGGAATTATGCATATTTATAAGACACTTGAGGTTTGTCTGAGTGAGGCAACTTATATTTGAAGATGGGTATAAGATTTGATGACAAACTCTAAGGATTTTAAGTTAGCACATTAAGTCTCACATTAGAGAGGTTATGACACTCTTGCTTGGGAAGATACTCGGCCGCTGCTGGACAACAACATCTTGTGTCCTGAGCGAAGGAGACGGGGAGAGCAGGTAGCCTCGACTCCCGGGCCGACCGGGCTGCTCTGGTCCACCTGACATACACATACACACAAAACAGTTTATTAAAACACTTTTTTCTAGATGTCGAACAGTCCTGAGAGCATAATGATACTTTTAGTGAACATTTCATACGGGTGGTGGAAAACAATATCAATTAGGAGACTGTGTTCCACATTCATGCAGAGCTTTAATAACACTGTTGGTCAGATTTTCTGCTTTAAAATCAAGTTTTGACACGAATCAAATAATTGAAGTGAGATGATCAGACTGACCACTGTTCTCATCAAGTAGAACCAACACCGACCAGGGATTAATTTGAGGATACATTTTTCACTTCTATTACAAAACATTTAAAATCCCCACAATGACAAATGTCTCAATTTTTGTGATAAAATGGTTCCATTAGTGATATTCACACATTAACTCTGTATCCACTTTGAAGTCGAATCTGGTGTTCGATTATTTTTTACCATTTGTCATTTTGTTGTGCAGTACAGATACAGGTGTATGATAAATAATTGTTCTTACGTTGGATAAGAGGAAGAAAAATCTACAGCCCAGAAAACATGAAATTCTAGGATATACTTTGGTTTACAAATGAATCCGAAGAAAGACAAAACCAGCCAGATGTTGACCTGTGAATGCAGCGACTCACCTCCACGCATGTATTCATTGGCTCGCTCCCGGTCACGCTCTCGCTCCCGTTCTCTCATTTCTCGTTCCCTCTCCCGTTCCCGCTCTCGCTCCCTCTCCCGATGCTCTCGTTCTCTTTCTTTCTCTCTCTCCTTCTCCTGCTGTTCCCGGTCACGCTCCCTCTCTCGTTCCCTCTCAGCACTGGCAGCGGCGGCAGCAGCAAGGTGGGCTTGATGACCTAAGGGTGACGATGACAGACATCACACACAAACACACCACAGAATTTAAACACACGTTCCTCCTGAGGTCTGAACCAAAGACTTGCTGACGTGTCCTGGATTTCCTACAGAACAAATGTGGCGATATTCTCAATTGGACCTTGGATACATGTTTACACCCATTTCAAAATACACCCACTTCTGGTAAATGCAAAAGAAATAAAGATTTTTTCCCCTTGACTTTTGTTAAACACATTTTCTTAGTCCACTTTAGGACCCGAAGGGTTCAATGCAGGGGCAAAAGAGGGGGAAAAAATCAGAGTATGAGAGATTAACTTTTTTTTACTCAGCGCAATGGTGGATTAAAGTTGGTTAGTGGTCAGTTACTCACTGATAAATTCCCCTCTGGCTCTGGTGACATAAGACCTCAAAAAAGGTTTATAATAATTTCTACTCTGCTTTTGCAACAATCTCTCGAAATGATGACTACAGTGTCTGAACATTTCCATCCTGGAGGGAGTTTTCCAAACCTCTGTTGTTACTGACCTAAAAAGTAATTTGCAGGAAAACAGAGAAAGCTTTTTTTTTCTGTGGGTTTGTACATGTGAACTTCTGCTGTGGTAAAATTTTATCATAGTTACCAAATAAAACCAAGCAAACAGGATTTCTTACAGTGCTTGAACCGCATAAACATGATATAACCTGAGTTCCTCCTGCCTATTTCAAAATATAACCATGAATTCATGATGATTAAAGACCATGTGAATTCAACAGGGAGTAAAACATCAAATAAATTCACATTTCAGAACAGAATACATTTGCAGATCTATTCACTTACTTGTCATTTTCCTTGACACACCTTTATCGACACTAACTTTGAAAGACAGACTTCATTAAACTGAAGTGTTTAGTTCAGATGGTATGAAAAAGTATAAACAAATGACAGAGATTCAAGGTTTGACAATCCACTGAGACCAAGGAATAAAAAACTGATTTTACATTTCAAAACTTGCTCTGCAGAAAAAAAGAAAACCACTCAGTTATTGAGCAACCACTCGGGCAGTTCTGTGATTCCTCCCAGCATGATTGCAGGAAGACTCAACTCGAACTGACCTCTCACCCTTCGGACAGTGCGGGGCTGCACTCTTACAGAGGTGAGAGGAGAGACGGAGATCGTGGAAGGAAGGTAAGGGAAGACGAGGTGTAGGGGTGGAGGAGGGAGGGGTCCTCACCTGGCGATATGGAGGTTGGGTTGAAAGCCCTAGGAGGGAAAGGGGGCTGAGCTCCGGGGAGGTAGGCGAAGCGTTCCAAAGTGGGAGTACCTGTTCCCCCAGGGTGAGGCAACAGGATAGTTGGAGGCATCTGGGCTAGATCAATTATCCCTTTTACAGACAGAAGCAAAGGGCCAACGGTGAACAACAAAAACTGATCCATCAATTTTTTGAATGTATGAACACCGTATACACTTAGCAGTAACCCATCACCTTCATCTGTTAGAGCTCCCAAATACAGATTGATCAGAAAGCAACAGGGCTGCAAAGGGAATGGTGGAATAGTGGTCAACTTGCAGGAGGCGACCACTCAGCAAATGGAAATTTAGATGACTGAACCCAATCGAGAAATTGAGCAGAAGCCGAATCTTTTGCAGCCCCAATATAAAGAGCAAATCAGCAAAAATTGACTAGGTCATTTGCTTCTGGGCGTCTGGAAAAGGTAGCCACTACTTCACAAGCACACAGACTGCATTCTTCAGCTTCTCCCTCCACCGGGTGTGGCAGGTGAGATAGGGTCAGCTTTAGGGGGGCCATACCTCGAGATCCAGCTGCATAAGGGATTGGGACCGGCTGTTCTCGTGGCGACATGCCTCTGGCCATGTCAGGCCGAGGGATGACTTGCATCTGCTGAGAAGTGATATAATCGTTCAGGATGGTCTGCCGCGTGTTCTCCATGGTGTACAGCTGGTAGGTGTTGTGGTAGCCTGTTGGGGATGGCTGCCTTGGAAACATAAAGGATGCTGTAGAGGACCGGAGCAAAAGAAAAACAAAACCACAAATTAACAGACAGCTTGAAGATACTGATTACAAAAAACTGCTGACGTCAATAGCTGAAAAGGATCCTGGGTGTGTAACTACTATGAGTCAGGCTCTTAAAAAATCAACTCAGTTGGCCTAAAATCCTTTCATGTCTTTTTTGCCATAACGGTGGTAAAAATGAAAACCGTACCAGGATCCAGCACTCTGTGGAAGGCCAGGGTGGGGTCGAGATGTGGAGGTAAGTGAGCTCTGTACACTTCCCCAGGAACAACAGGCCGGTGGTGAGGGTCGAATGGGCTGTGTGAGGCTACGGGGTCACCACCTGACACAGGGGACTTGGCCGGGACACTGTCCCTCTGTGTTGGGGTCATGGCACTCTTTCTTTCATGTGTAGCAGATTTAGAGCTCATAGCACCTGCACAAGAAAGAAACATGCACACACTTATGTTAATTCAGAGGCTACACACCGCAACCACAGAGAAAAAAAAATCCTGCTGCACTAGAAATGGTATTTTTTATGCAAAAGCTTGTAAGAGATCAACGAAGATAGAGTTCATCTAAAATGACTGCCTTAAGTCACTGTTGAGCAAATACAAAGGATGAGGTCATATTTGATTGTTTGATGATTAGAGTTAATGATATAATGGCATATTTTTAATTGTGAATGTCTTGCTTTGTTTTGTTTTGTTGTACCCCTATGAAGAAAAGTTGCTTCTGCAGTGGGAACTCTACATATCGATCGAATATTTTTGATGTTTTAACACACTCTTCTTTAACGGTGCGTTGTACAACTGAATAGTTTCTATAAGCACTGAAGCACACACTTCAATTTGGAAATGGGTGGATTATGTTCATGAAACTTTGTGGACAAAATTATACACAGAAACAAATCAGTCATGGTTCAAATGATCTTGTTTGCTTTTGTTTGGTCACACAAAGACATCAGTATCAATTTTAGTTTGTTTCATAACCAGTAAAAAGACTCCTCACAGGAGCTTTAAGGTTAAACTCAGGACATTTCCTGGTGATAAGCTTTCGTCACACACTCTACATATTGCACTTTGATTGGCTCGTGTGCCTATTTAGGATTTTAAGGGAAAGCACCTTTCAGTGCTTTCTCTTAAAATCCTAAATAGGCACAAAAGCCAGGTATGCATAAGAAACCATAAGAAGCTTGTTTCTCCTTCACTACTGTTAAAAGATAAGCGTGTTTGGGAATAAATAACTCAAGTGATGACGAATAAATGTTCATCTATAACCTCCAGACTGAATGCATGGTGTGTTGTACAACTAAAATGGTTGCTACAGAAAATACGACGATATGGTTAGACGAGATTAACTTGTACTTGACTGTCAAGCAACATCATTGTCACAAAAGTTAATAGATCCTGTAGTGTGTGTATATAATGCTTAGGTAATATACCCTCTGGGCCTCGTCCTAGCATGGGGGATCCTCTGGACACAGGATTGGTACTATAGTTCACAGGGGTCCTGCGAGCGTTGGGGTCCTCGTACATGCCCGGGCTGAGCTGGGATTTTCCAGCCTCCTGGTGGGTGGAGCGTAGGACAGAGGTGGAGTTCACCACTGAGGTGTGGCGTACTCCTTTGCTCTCCTCGTATTTGGCTCGCTCCATGACCTCCAGTGGAGGCATGTTGTGGGGAAGTTTACTGGGACTGGTGATCAGGGACTTGACATTGTGCTTGATGGTGGGCTGGTTCAGAGGATGAATCTAGGAAATGAAAGATTGATAGGTAAGTCATCCATTCATAATTCATGTTCAGCATTTTAGGCTTCATTTCAAGCTAATGTACTTTTGAAGAAAATAACTCCTGTATTTTTTGAACCACAAAAATCCATGTATTACTATTAATGCCATTAATAAGCATTAATATCTACATATCATTACAGAAAACATGTGTTTGTCAAATCATACCACCTCAATATTCATTACAGTTTAACCTTAACTTTGTATGCATCTAGACTGCTGTGGTTTATGTTTGAAATTGTCAAGCTCTGAATCAAATGTGTTTACCCACTCAAGCCAATCAACCTTTGTCTCCTACAATGATAAATTAGATATAAGATCAAAGTTAGACATCTCTATTTAACAGATGATCTCTATCGTATATTTAAATCCCTTAATTTTAAAAACAAGAACATAGATTATGAAGATAAAAATAAGTTGAATTGTCACATCATATCTGCAGTTTTGTTTTTATTTAATAAAAAGATCATTTTCTTAAAACTACAACCAGCCAACTCAGCCTCATTAAGCTTTTTTTTTATACTTTGTTTTCTGTTGCATTTGAATGCAATGAAGATATCTGAAGATAGTAACAATGTTTGAGAAACAAACATTTTTCCACTCCATCCATTTCTTTTCCACAAAAAACAGAAATCAAGGAATACTTTAATGAGATTAAACTCTCAACTTTCTAAGAGCAGTTTTGATTTTGTGATATTCAATGTTAAAAGACCTAAGGTAAGATAAATATATCATCTTGATCACTTACAAGAGTGGCAGTAGCAAAATGCTGTTAACCAAATAACGTATCTTTAAAACTCAAGCTCACCTGAGACATGGCTCCCTCCATAACCCTTCTGTCTGACATGTCAGGGGTCTTGCAGTGATCCTGGCCGGACTGATCTTGCCGGGGGATTTCATGAATGGAGCGTCCCATCTCTTTAATAGTATTGACTCCCTCATAAGGCTTGCCCTTGCCAATTCCCCCTTCAAAGGAGCGGATCGGTGGGCTCTCTCGCTTGATCTGTTTCCCATATTTCATGGCATCATCGTAGGACTCTGCAGCAGTTCTGGGTGTTCCTGGAAAGTGAAGAAGGTACTTGAGCATTTCTTTGATGAGTTGCTTCACTTATTGATTCATGAGAATCTGGCACACTTGTCGGTCAACTACCTTGCATGATGGATCCAGGGATCAGTGGTCTCTCCTTTGAGTCTCCATGCAGACCATCTCTTGGTAAGGCTCTGCTTATCAACCCTGAGAAATAAACAAGCACCGTCACTGTCCTGATGTAGGAGAAACAAACTTGGACAGACACTTTTTATTTATTAACACTTTGTCAATACCTTCAAAAGGAGCTCCTTCCCTGCCAGGGTGTCCTCTGCCCATGGGTCCCTCCATCATGTCATAAGTGCGTTTTAGCTCATGGCCAGTTCTGGGGCTGCGGGTGTTTTCTCTTGGGTTCTTGAGAGCTTTTGCACACAAAAATGTGTGATCAGATTAGTGTGCTAATTAATACTGAAAATACTGAAGACCTGCTGAGTACATTAAAATCAAAAGTACTTACGGTCGTAGGAGAGGATGTGACCAATCTTGCCTTCATAGATGACATGACCTTTAGCCAGCTGTTCTCCCCTGGCCTTGTCCGGGCTGTTCAGGTCCTCTGTGGCCAGCTTTGTGATTGTGCCCTTCAGGAGGTCGGCAGCAATGCTGGACTGGGACAGAGCTGGTGTGCCCTGGTGCAGAAAAGAGCAAAGTTAAACTGTAACATTAGAACCAAAAACTCATTCTCTTAGACGTCATTACTATCTGTTAATCTGTCACTCATCCGGTCAGGTGCTCTGCTATGTGCTCATGCAAAAGAAATAAAAAAACATCTTGCATGAATTTAATACCTGAGTGATAGACCCTCTGACACCCAGACCCTCGCCCATCTTTGCTGGGTTGCCTCTGCTGTCCTGAATTGATGAAACTGCTGCACCTTCAGAAGTACACAAGGAGGGAAAAAAGGGTAAATGAGCTGTAAGTGTGATGTATCTAGTGGTTTTGAACAATAATCTTGACCACAGTAGAAGAGCTGTTGGGGGGGACTTAGTGGCTAAGTCGCACACCCGGTTTAAGCAGGTGGCCCACCAGGTTCCTGACCTGCAGTCCCTTTCTTGCGTGTCATTTCCCACTCTCTCTCTCTCTCCTTGCTCTGTACACTGTCTTTACCTCACTGATAAAAGACTAAAAGCCTGAAAATATTCAAGAATCATAAGAATGAGAAAAACAGATCTGAAATTTTGAACAGTTTCAACATCCAAGATGTTGTCTTTGCAAGGATTTAAGTGACTAGGAAAACATAAACTCCTGATTTTTTTTATCAACATGTTACATTTCTACGATAGGGGTTGTATATAACATTTCAGCTATGGCAGTGGAGAGAAAAAGTCAATACAATCCTGCTTGAAAATTTTCACATGTAGAAAGTTATTCAGATGTTCTTCTCTCTTTTTGTTGATGACGCTGAGCAAATTTACTTTTTCGATAACAAAAAACTGATTAAATAAATGCAGAAGATTTCAACCCATTCACTCAAAACTCATCTCTCTACCTGCACATTAAGCATGGTATGATATAAACACTGTTTAACAATTAGAATTAACAAAGCCTTATTGATCTGTCTCTTTGTTCTCAAAGTCCCTCACAGTGAAATAGTGAGTAATGTAAAGATCTGGATGTCCTACCAGGCTTGTTTGGATCCTGCTGCCGAGGCAGACCCAGAGAGATGGAGCCCACAGAGCTTTTAGTCCCCTCTGGCCCATAGCCAGCGTGAGACGGCAGATATGTGCCTGGTGTTCCCTGGAAAAGCAGCAACAAAGACGATATTTCCGGATCAATCCACTGTGGTGTTAAAGTCGGATTATATACTGAGACATCAAAACACCAATATGATCACCAGCTTATTAATACTGTGAAAACCTCATTTTAAAGACACTGAATATAGCTGCACAATTAAGCTAAACAACAGACAGGACAGAGACAATCGACACAACATCTCGTGTCCTTATTACTTGATTATCAACAAACAACAAATGTTTCTTCGTTTTGCAGATTTCTATTCTGAGGATTTATTCATCCTCCGATTCTATGATCCCTGAGTCATATCAAACACCTGTGTTCCCCAACGACTGACTATTACATCCTCCTTTTTTTTACACCTTTTTGAGACAGAGCTTCTTAGTCATCTTTTTGTTATGCTTATACAATTTTTTACAAACAAAAAAAAAAACTATGAGGGACTGCGTTGGTCCCTCTTATATGCAAAAAATACACTATCCAGGTTCCAATTCAGGTGACAGCCTTACAGAAAACTCTGAGCTTATTCTACCACATCCTTACCTGGGAGATGGAGCCACCATGGATGAAAGAGGGCTTGTCCGTGGGTTTGGTGGTTGGAATGAGCGGAGGAGGAGAGGGAATGTTGGGAGGTCGACTGGATCTGCTGAACGTCACCCGGACTCCATCTGGCATACTCTGGACCAGCTGGTTGGGGGCAGGGTGGAGGACTGGTGGGACAGAAGGAACAGAAAAACAGCATTAAATACAGTCAAGTATTAAAAACTTTCCTCACACGAAGATCCCAGAGTTCCCATCTGCTCACTGAGTAACCCAGATCTGTCCCCTACACGTCTCCTGCCTGCCAGACACCAAAACTCTGACCCACCCAACATGATGGATCCATTAAGTTTTATTTCCCATCAAACACTGTGTGATTAAAAATTCAGCTTCATTCTGACAAACCCCAGCGAGTGGTGAAGTAAGCACCTATGAACTCTGTTAATAGGCTGTCCTCAGCTTGAGGAAACCTTGGCCCAGACCTGCTGTCTGATTTACGGTCTCCTGGGAAAGCTGAGTAGACGAAACGGATCATAACACACAAACACACCCACGCAAGACCGAGAGTAACCTCTCTGCAGGGAGAGCGCCTCATGCTCGGCACTCAACAAAATCAAAAATGCAAATGGCTGTATGAGAGTTCCTCTAACAGGGGAACAGACGTCATCATCCTGCAGGCTCATACGGGGACAGATAAGAAAACAAGACACTCCATGACGAATTTATAAATCCCTGTTGCAGGTGTGTCAAACATTAACATTCATGCTGCGGTTCATCACCAGGGACAACAACCTTTTTTTCATCAGGACAAGATGATATGTTTACACAAAATGACAAACAGGAAAATTTGAAGTTCAAATGTCAAGCACGCAGAAGTTCAGATGTGATCAAAACAAACTAACCAAAAAAAAAAAAAAGATGTTTCACTGAGGATACATTTTGTACTTTGCTCCTTATGCTTAACAGAGCTCTTACTACAACCCTTCAAATACATAATAAACAAAAGGGGCTACAAGATGATGATAAACTTTAATTACCCAGAAAGATAAACATTCAAAAACTTGAACTTACTGCTACTCGCACTGTCATAAACTCTGACCACATTATCATGATCAAGACCTAAAAACTGTCCTTTACTCAAAAATTTCAAGTGAGACAACTCGTGCAAATTTTAAAATGAAACAAGACTGATAACTTCTGTCCAGGACTGAAAACTCACCATATTTTTACCTACTGACGACCTTTATTTACAATTTTCAAATCAAAACTCTGGTGAGCACATCATGAATCAGTGAAAAATGTGACGGTGGATTAGAGGTGGGCGATATGGCCTAAAATTCATCTAATGTTTTTTTTTTTTTTTTCAGGTAACAGTGTATGATCCAGTTTTAGAAAAGGAAAACAGGTCATGCATGTTGACTCTCCACAATACTTCTTTCCAACTCCAACAAGTTCAGTTCTCAATACATTATTTTTTTAAGTGAATTTGAAGTTTTGTATTTCTCCTGTTTCCCTGTTTGTATTTTTTTGAGAGACCGACTGTATTTTGCAGTTTTTATCAAGTTACCTTTAACGTGTTTGTGATCAAACTGAGCATCAAATCAGCATTTGTCAGAACTTACAGTATTTATGGGTTACAATAATACACACTTTTCAAGCAGGTAGACACATAGTATGGCAAATCCTGGCAGTGATGCAATTGCCAGCACCAAACACAGCAAGAAAAGACTGCAAGTTCACCTGACTCACTGCAAACGCTGACACCTGCTTTAATGCCAGAAGGACACCTTTTGGTAAGGGAGCATGGTTCTGCTCTGAAGAGATAATAACCCAGACTCAGTCTACATTGCTGTCAGTCACTCTGCATAATGCCTACAATCTATTTCTCTACTGCTGCATCTGTGTTGTGGGAAGTACCCGTCAGTCGAGTGCACAAACACTACACTGTGCGTGTATAAAAACTAAAATACATGTTTAAACCAGTGTTGAGCGGACAGCAAATCCATAACTTGGCAGAACTTGAGACTGATGATGGTCCTCAGTTACCTTTTTCCCTCTATGAACCCCTGATCATAAAGGTGTCCACACCTGTCCGTAGTAAAAGTCATTTCATCTGTGCAGTCAGAGTCATTCATTGTTTGGTTTGGTTGTATTTATGTGTTGTTGAAGCCTGCATATTTGAACAGCTGATCAAAACCCTGCACGTGGAAGAGCATGTCTACGTTGCGTCCAAAGATCATGGACTTTCTGATGGCAAAATAAAGTGCAGAAAAAAATTATAAGTAGAATAAACACCTAAACCCAGATGAGTGTTCATGTCATAGTTCCTAATATGAGGTAAAGTACAGAAAAAACTGAAGCCAACTTTGCCTCCGAGGAGTCTCTATATAGAGCAGCCAGACTGACCAGCATCAATTATGGCTACTGCACTGACCAGCAACATGTATGCCCAGTTTAAAAATAAGTAAAGTATCTTTTTTAGTGATCATATTTAAGCATGGAAATCTGCATAATACTGGATATGAAAAGCAGAAGATTTCTTTAATACAACAACTGTTTGCTATGAAATGCAAACAATTGAGAATAAAGTAACGTGAAATGCAACTCTTGTATTGATGTATTCTCTGCAGTTATAAAATCACTGACCTTCTCTCTAGCGTGTGATTATACCAGAGAGAGCTGGCTCACGCTGGTCTGACCTTTACTGTACTTGCACACGTGTACAAGTGCACAGTACATTTCTCTTGTGTAGGGATCCGGTTTTAAAAAAAGGGTACTATGCAGAAAATGTTAAACCACCTGAATTAAACTTCTCCAGAAGCATTCACATTTTTCATCTGTTTCTTCATGTAAAGCTCTAGATAGATGTCAAAATGTGTTCCTCGTATCGGCTGAATATTGAGTGAATTCATTCAGTGGACTGCATGACCCCAATGTGAGTTCATGTCACATCATATCCATGTACAAGAGAAAATCCATCCTGACTGAACTTTGTCCAAATGCTATAAAACACAGCCAAGTCCTGACTTATGGCAGGATTAAACGCTCTGCATCTTTGCTCCTCTGCTTCCAGTTTCATTTCAAATGACGACAATCAAGCTGCTCTATTCAGAGATATTAATTTGGTTAACATGGCAGCCTGCAGGAGGGTAAAATGTGGATTAAAGCATGAATTAATTAAATGGGAGATTTAACTAGAGCTGTCTTAATATGAAAATATTGATGTTAACCATCTAAAAAAAATAACTTTTGATATTGGGATATTGGATCATAGCAGGGGGCGAAAATGCTTCATGACACTGGCTGCCCCCCGCTGTTAAATGGAGGGAAAACAGAGAAAAAGCAGCAGAAGAACAAGCCAGCTAGCTGACTGAAGCAGCTCTCTCTTCTATCAACAAAGAAAGGAAGCAGGTAAGGAGGGAGGGGACGAGGTGAAGAGGTGTGCTTTTACCTGTTAGCACATTGTACTAGGACGCATTGGGAGCATTTGGGTCAGGCTGGGGTGAGGCCTTGCTCAGCTCTCTGGGGCTGACAAGAGAAAGCCTCTTAGTCCAGAGCCAGCTTTGAGTCATAAAATGGGGATGGAGTTAGGACAAGGGCTTACCTGTAGTACACAGGCATCAGAATAAAGAGAAAACAACCACTAATGAAACGACAAATCAGCGAGCATCGAGGTGGCCTGCACATCTAACACCGCCAACTGCTCACACACACACACACACACACACACACACACACACACACACACACACACACACTGAAACCTGTGTAATAAATACCTCTGCGTCAAAGCTCAGCAGCTCACTGACAGCTGCTCCGCTCTTCACAGCACTCCAGCTAAAAGGTGCTAAAAGCTTTGCAGAAATCAACCGTAATGCAGTCTGTAAAGTGATTTTTACCACCTCTGCTTTCTGAAGCTAAGTGCCCAAAAGCACAACTGTCCTTCGGTGTCACACTCAAGTCACAAAAAAAAACAAAAAAAAACAGCACAGTCATCCCCTCATCCGAAGAGGAGAAGCCTCTTCTCAGAGTTCAGCTACGAGTCTGCATGATAGAAAAATAGGGTCAGCCAACTTTTTTTCCTTTGACCCAAGCTGAACCACATTATGACAATCTAGATCACCCTCAAACCTTTTCCTTTTTTTGGAACGACACAAAAATGAATGGGGGGGGGGCCTTTAAAAAATGCATCAGCTATATATAGAGCAGCACTAGCAGCGATGGGGAACAAGGCTGATGGAGCGATGAACAGGAGGAGGACAAGAAGAGGGCAGGATGAGGAGAATTTTTTATCCGCTTACCATCTCTGTCCAGTATGGTTGGGCTGCGGGTGTTGAAGTGGGGTCTTCGCTCCACGTCTCCCTGATCCTGCCTCTGCTTCTCCTCTTGGTGCGCTGACTCATGCGCCGCTTTGATCTGGTGCTGCAGCATGGCTAAACCACTGATGGGCACATAAGGACCAGGAACCTACAAAAGTTTGAGGAGGGAGAATAAGGCACCAATGAGTTGGAGTGCAGCATCCGGAAAGACCATGAATAAGTAATAACTTGAGGTGTGAATAGATAGTTTCACATGATACCATAATTCTTTCAACAGCAGCTGGTATCATGTTACAGCTCTGAAATTATTGCATCACATCTACTATAGGCAGAAGTCCACACTCCTAGCTTTTTGATTAATCTGTTAGTTAGCATCTTCTCCTCTGTATCTACATTTCTACAATCATCATTCCTCTGCCTGCACTGCTTCAGCATTTGTACATTTGATCCCCTCCAACATCTCCTCTCTTTCCTGTTTTCCAATAGTTTCTGTTTCAGCAACTGATGTTCAACATTTATCAGGTTCAATTTAACATAATGTTCTCAGATTTTGTTGCACAGAAACGCACAAGAGTCAATGCATTAATATAAATCAGGCTTTAGAGTAACAATGTGGTGATTTTTTCTTTCAAGGCGCCAGGTTAGCTTATCTAACGCTGTAATTGTTGCGGGAGACAGACCACAGAAATGAAAAGACTGATGACAGAAACACCTTCATCCTCTCGTCTCATCACATCACTCATAATGACTGATGTAAAATGTGTGGGCATGCTTTTAGCCTGCTGCCTGTCCACCAGCCAGTCTGAATAGATCAACCTCAAAGTGTGGTGACTAACCATAGGTGGGATGTTCGCTGCCCTCTGGTGCAGTTGCTGGATGTTGAGCTGGGCTTGTTTGGGTGAGGACACCAGCACTGAACCGGGAGGGTTGAGCAACGTCGGCTTTTCCATGGAGAATATTCTGCAGTGACACAAAGTAAAAGGTCAAACTGAGGCCATGTAAAACTTTTTAAGAGCTGTTATATAAACACAGCGTGTGATTACGATAGACACACCTCCTGTCAGGCTCTGCCTCCACATCCTCATCTGCACTGCAAGTGGCGCTGGAATCATTATCTGAGTGAAGCTCCCTCTGCCTCTCCCCATGATCTCCTTTTTCTCCTTTTTCCTTCATCTCAGGCTCCATCTTGACTTGAACCTCGTTGGTCTTCATGTCTACATCCTGGGGTTCGATTTTAGGATGCACTGAGCCTCCATAAGAAGAGGAAACTCTGGACTTCTCCTCCTGAGACCCAGCCTCACTCTCTGGACTCTTCTCCTCCTTGACACAGAGATCTCCATATGAGGGCTCCAGGTTCTTTCCATTACTTGCCTGACCTTTGTCCTGGTCAGAGCAGTGAGCATCTCCTGCAGCGCTGTCTGCCCTCTTGGAGTCCCCAGACTTTGAGGAGTCTGCCTGAGAGGGGGAGGGGGCACTCTCTGTATCTGAGCTATTGTCACCGCCTGAGGAAGAGAGAGAAGGATTCATTAGACAGTGTCCTGGTACTTTTCAAATGATGCATAAAGCCCTAAAAAAAACATAAGAGAAGTAGAGGTTCAACAATCCCACTTAGATTGTCTAGTTCACCCCTGTGGTTTAGTAAGTATTCGAACCACAAAGTGATGCATGATTTTTCATCACGGTGTGAAATAAAATTACTGTCATTTAATACCTGAGTGGGGTTGCAGTTAATGAAACAAGGAACAGTGTCTCGCTCACCCCGAAGGTAACAGCTCACTCAAGAGTGGAAAAGTTATTTCATTTTTTTATTTTTGATCTTTTGGCCTATCCAAAAAATTATCTGTTCTGTGCCTGAAAAATGTAAAAACTGCTCAGTGGGTTTTGTGATTGGATACACCCCTGGAAAAAACTTTGAATGTAATCGCAAATATGGAAGTAAGAGTGAGACCTGCAACAGTGTTCACCTTCTTAAGTGACTTTTCATGGAGAAAGGTTCACCTAATACACAAAAACAGCTACATTATACAGGTGATCGTGTAATGAATAATCCAATAAACAGTGCTACTAATAAATGCCGACAAGTCAGCATCATTCACTCCCCATGTCTAGGTTAGGTTAGAAATAAACATTCACACATTCCTTCCTCCTTTCTCAACTCATCTGGAATTAATCCATCATCACGTTCTTCTGCAGCACAAGCACATTTTATCTAATCTACTGTATGGCTGTTTTTTTAATGATCTTGGTTTGTTTATGTGAGGCCAAGGCCTTAAATATGCATAAAAGCTATAAAAAACGTGTTCCTTTTTTTCTCTTGAGCTTCAGCATCTCTCCAAAAGGTCCATTTCTATTGACATACCTGTGAAAAAGACTATCACCAAACATTTCTTTTGCCCCATCCTGATCATTTTTCAGCTACTTTTGTTGCACCATTTTTGCACTTGTGTTCCCTTTCGTGTCATTTAAAAAGTGTCTCTCAGTATTTATCTTTAATTTTTCTTCATGAATGATAAACGCAATAATCTAAATACATTTATAAGTGTGGACTTTAGTAATGGTTCTTGTGTTTTCTGCATTATCACTGCCCTGCTGAATTGGTAAAGCTTTAACTGTATTCAAGTCCTCCATGTTTGGTTCATATTTAGTCTTATATGACATTTCTGGATTTACTTCAGCTTGGTTTACATGTGTTAAACAATTCAAGTAAACAATTAAAAAGTGGATGAGTGTTTTTATTTTTCCATAAATTTAGATCGTGATCTAAATTGATAGAGACATCAGAACGATGATTAATGACAGTGTCCATGTTACCATGGTTACTTGCCCATATGTGCACTGATAAGAGGACAGAGAGAGCTGCTGTGCTGCTGACTGAGAGCACTTAGTCGCATACATCTCATTATCCTCTACTCATTATTCTGTTAAACAACACACATTGTGCAAATATCAACTGAGGTTCAAACCCCACCAACGTGGTCACGATTTCAGAATCACGTTTTATTAAGTCGCCCACACAACACAAGCTCAGTTTGAAAAAGTTTTAGTTGCCACTCGATTCAGGTGAGCCACCCTTCAGAAAGCTTTTTTATTATGTACCAAAACAAAGAGAGTAAACTATAACGTGGACAGCAACAAGCTGGCAAGTTTCATATCCAGCATGAGACATTGCTTTGTAATCAATGTGTTTAGACTTTATGCTGCTTGTGCACATATGGAAGGGGTGCAGAGCAAAAGCACTGAAGTTTATCAATCATATGAAACAGACAACATTACAACTAAGAAAAGTGCACAAATAGTCAGCAGCACATATGCCTGGGTAGGTAGCAAGCCAACGTATCATCTATGAATGAGAAACACTGCTTATGGTTTGACAAAAGCTGAAAACAAAGCAAATGTAAAGCTCCCATGCAGAACTCCTGCTTAACATTGATTTGTAGTACCCCTTCAGATAGCGTGGTACCTCCTAACTTAGTGCTTTTGTCCTGTACACGTCGTTTAAGTAGCAATTCGTTTGAAACAATAATCCAACTTGCTCATTTAAACAGATATTACAGCCAAAAATTACTCAACATATGTTTTAAGAAAACCGATTCTTTTATCAAATGTGTCGGACTCTGTCTGCTTTCTTTATGTCTACCCCTGCGGTAGTTGCCATGGAGATGATTGTCCAGATGGTATGTTTATGCAAAAAAAATCAATCTGCTTTAAATGTACGAAGCACAATAAAACATCCAAATTACAAATGTGTAAGAGCCTTTCTGATGCATCCTTTGGCTTAAAGCACTGCGTTGTGTGATGAGTATAATTTGAGCTCCACAGGCTGCAGATCACAGGGACCTCTAAAGAACAGTTTGGGTTTCCACGACACAAAGAAAAAGTCAAATAAACATGACGGAAAACCTGGTGAACTCCCGTTGTTGCCACTGCTATCTAGTCCACTGGAGGCTGTTTAAATTATATGTAACTCTTCCAAGAATAAATACCTTACAAGATATTGAGTCATTTTCCTGCATAGAAAACTAAACATTGATTTTTACAAACTAGCTGTAGAGCTTCTTAGACAACATTCAATCTGTTGCTACACTGTATCTTCCTCACAGCTGGGCCCCCCGCACTTGTAAAGATAAGGACCTCTGGAGTGAAGGGAGGCAGACAGGCCTGCTGGATCAAACAAATAGTCCGGCACTTGGTGTTCAAAGAGCAGGCTTTGTTGAGTCTTCAAAGCCAAGAACTATTATGCAACAGGCGCCCATGTATTCAGAATTAGTCCATATCTTTTATCTCCACCTCTCCCTCCCTTTGCTTTTTTTTCATTTGATCCTTTTTTTCATATTCTTACTAAACTACAGTCAGCGGAGAGCGAGCACAGTGTCATCAACACCAATGAAATCCTTACATGACAATTCAGAGGGCATTTCAGATCAGATGTCCCTGCTTTGCATAAAACTTCTCCCTGTGTCCTGCCTCTGTAAAGTCATTGCAAGCTCCTCAACTCATAGGCCAGAACAAAAACTGAAGACAAAAACCCATCAGCAAGCTTTGCATCCTTCACCCCAGAACTTCTTGCACGTGCTTCATATCAGCCACGAGGAGGCCTTTAATGAAGAAAGAGGATAAAAGTACTTTTACACAGAACAGTTTATCTCTCAGACCTTCACTGTCATCTGCGTTGTCCTCGTCGTCATCATCGGGTGATGCTGTGGCAAGACCTTCACCTTGAGATCTATCAGCACGAGCCCGCCGTGAATCCTGGGAAACATAAAGAACCACAGTTGCTTTTTTTGTTTGCCTTAGGGCTTCAAAAGGTTACAACAGTTCACTGGCAGACAACTACAGACAGCGGAGAGAGCAGGAGGATCACCTGTTTATGCTGCTGGAGCAGGTTGTCAAGGTTATGACGCCTCTTGTAGTTAAAGTAGAAGTTCTTGCACTGTGCCACACTTTTGGTGCCCACCATTTTGGCAATGGCTGTCCAGTCTCGCCCATGCTCGACAAGCCCTGACATGAAACAAAAACAGACGATGAGCGGCAGAGATAGAGAGTCTTCATAAACTTAGTGTAGTACAAACATTAAAAAATGAAAAATGAGAGAGTTAAGAATGAGAACATCAGCTCAGGCCCCAAAAACTCAACAATTCAAATCATGAGACAATAAAATCAATTTGATGGAAAAGTCTCTAAATGACCCTAAAAAAGTGCCATGACTTCTAAACACCAGAGTCTCTAAATGTTCACTAGGGGTTCAGTGTGCGGGGAAAAATCCTCTGAAGTGATCACCTCTTTTCACAAAAGCATTAACTAACCTAACCCTAACACTTAAGAAGCATGAGAAAAGAAAAGAAAAACACTAAATGCAGCAGTTTAAAAGGAACTCAAACATATGTCAAAATAACTCTCATCATGGATTGATTTCAGAGGTCACTTATCTGGACGGTTTAGTTTAAATTGCTATTAAAGGCTTTAAAAAGGAGTATAATGTCATGATTGACAGTCCCGTTGACAAATGCCGGCCCCTGAGGCGCTGCCTGCACCAAACTAGCAGAGCACAAGAGGAAATGTAACAAAAATCAAACAAGCCACAGGTTTTTTTCTTCACAGCTGCTCTGCTGTGAACTGTACCGACCTGAGGGATCTTTATTTTATCAGTAGGTTCACGGTGTGTTATGGTTGGCAGAGGGGTCAGGACGTCAGGCCCTCAAGCCAATCCCTACCGTGCCAGCTCTGAAACCAAAAACTTCACCCGCACAATATGTCAGAGCTTGTCTTGAGGTTATTATGTCTTTACTTTTGCACAACAGGAGGAGGTGAAGACATCTTGTCTATCTTCATATAGTCAGCGGGTGCCGCTCAGTATCTCTCTGGTACTTTTAGGTCACGCATTGAAATACGAGTTGCCGCTAACTTTAGCTCTGCTTGTTTGGTAAGTTGAGACGCAGAAGAGTGTTGACTGAAATTTTCATTTGGATAAACGCAAACCTTATTCACGATGGTGCTGTGCCTTAAAGTAAAGGAAAAGTTTTGATTTCTAGCCACCTGGCTGCACTCCTGTAGGATTTTGAGTTTGTTTGACAGGTAAAGACTCAGGTAGGGCTGCTAAGAGAGGAGAAAACAGTCAAAGCTGTGTATCAAACAACTGAATCTGACATGACTGGAAGAAATGTAAGTCAGATACAGCCTTGATGTGGGCTAGTGTTTCAGAAGACAAACAGCAACCATTATTAAAACTCGAACTTAACTACACCCATTAATAGTTGATAAAAGTCAGCCTCAAGAGAAATCTTAATATAGAACCCAACATTGATGTGCTGCATAGGAAGTTGATCATTTTTGCTAATGCTCGACTTTTGTCCCTAGTCAACCATTAACACATACATTGGAACTACATACACAGACATAAACCACAGAGCTCTACTGACATGAAACTTAAATAAAATACACACTGTAATTCAGCTTTACATGGAGTATGTGGACAACAGTGAAATAAAAATCCAAAATACCCCCGGTTGATAAGTACTGCTCTGATTTGCTTTCTTCAGCGATATGTGTTGTGAAAGATTTTGCATCTGGAATCGATAGTATTTATATTCATCATGTTTCACAGCTGGCAGCTCTTTATGGAGAAAACTGATTTAAACGACAACATCATGGGTTTCATTTGCCACATTTATTTCTTTTTATTCTTTTACTGATAAAACAGAGCAGCACTGTAGCACAACGACCAATCCTTCAAAGCCTGATAAAACATAAAGAACCACCTCCAGCATCCTATACATTTAATTACAATTTTTCTAATAATGAATTAATGACTGTACAAACTTTTATTTAGGAAGATGCTTTAAATCAAGTCTTAAAAGTGTCTCTTTCCAATAAAGCTGGTGAAAATTTTCTGATCAGGAGTGAACTTTTGGTCTTACTGGAAAATTAGACTATAGTCCTGGGCTCCCCGTTGCTATGGTTTTCCGTTGGTTTTCCCTCAACCTGATTAACGCTGAGCCGGGCACACAATCAGCTTTAATGGTCTAACTAAACTTTGAAACTACTCTCCCAAGCTGCAGTGAACTGGAAGACAGCCATTTACCTTTGACATCAGGGCGTCTGTTCTCTAAATCCTGTAACCCCCGTGACCTCCCCCCTCCCTCCCAGCCCTGCTGAGATGAGGGACACTGGCAGCTTGACAAATCACCACGGAGCTAAACACAAAGCTCCATTACTGCTCCAGTTAAATGAGGGAATGAGGGCATTGGGACTGCTCAGGGTGTCTCAAATCTGATTGAGTTACTTGCAGACAATCCAGACATGTCAGTCGGGAAGGTCTTGGGTGTTTTGTGACTAACAGTAGAAACCAAGAGACCAACCTTTCTAAACTACATGCTCTGTCAAATCTCAATGCTGCCTCCTTTATTCAACCGCGATGGAAAATTCATCCAGCAGCCAAAGAAGTACACATTAAACCCGCTATGTGTAATGAGGGCTGTCAGCAGGACTCTAAAAAGAGCAAGCGGTGTTTATGTGCTCCGACATGTTTGATAGCAGAGCTTAGCATAGCACACAACACAGTGAACATTAGATGTTTGTCACAAGTTATAGTACATGGACATTTCACCGTCTTAAGATCAGTGTGAGTGTGAGTGTCCTCACAGATACGTTTGTCACATGACAAATGACAATGAACTGCAACTGTGTCTGCTTTTTGTCATTAAACAAATCATCATTATTGTTTGACTATAACCGTTGCTACAGTCTCACCTTTCATGGTGTTTGAACATTATAAAGATATATAGATATTATTCTTTACTTTTAAATTCTTGGTTTGAACACTAGAAATGGAAAATACGACTGCTGTAAATAATGATGCTCAGAGAAAAATACTGACAACGGCAGAAACTGAGCACCATTTTATACACAGGATTAGTGAGTCTGCAGCTGAACCATGTCAAATAGGTGGCACCGGCAGCCTTCAGTTCACCTTGAAGGTTAATGAATTACTCCAGGTGAGTGGTTATCTAACCAGACACAGCCTGCAAACAACTTTATCTCCAATTTCAAAACATTGCCAAAGCATGACGCACTGCAACATGCCACATGTGCTTATTTACATACAGGTAGTAGAGCACTGTAGCACTATGTCAGCAGTCATTAACAAACTTGTCTTACTGAGAAGTAACTCTGGTGCCAATAAGTTAAGGTGGTGACCTTCAACAGTTTGGTCAACTAAACACACAGATTTCTAATTACAATTTACAATGGGATAAACAAGTGGACAGATAGTGGCTAGCTTAATTCTGTGTGCATAAGAACAAATATTAATTGTAGAGATCTTGCTTTAACTTTTTTCCTTTTTTACAATAGTTTAATATATAGACATTCAAGCAAATTAGCAAACTAGTATTTAAATCACTGCTTAATGTACAGAGGCCATTGTTCTTGAAGCATTAAACGTGGGTTCAATTTCCCCCTGGCCTTTTCCTGCATGTCGTTCTTAACTCCCTCTCCCAGTTTCCTACTCAATCCATTGTCTGTTACTCTCAATACAGGCACTAAAGCCTAGAAGGACACTCAAAAATAAAATAAAGCTTTGTACAATTCAAGTTATTGCTACTATTACTGTCAAAATTGTAATAGGGTAGTTGATTCATTTCTATGGTATTTTTCTAACCTCTTTTGCATAACAACTTTGATGACTGTACGCAAATAAAAATCAGACCACAGTATCTGAGCACGCATCTGCATGAAGACAGAGGACCATAAAATAAAAACCAATCATTTTCCAACCTGCTTTACATTTCAGTGTTGGTGGCCAAATCCATTTAAAATGACTGCTTTACCTGAGTTCAGTAAAACTGGAGGTAACTAGAGACTACAACAAGTGACTGTTCTCTCTTTTTTCTCTTGAGGAAGTTCATTTTCCCACCAGGAAAACTTGTGATGTGTAATCCCCACATTAACACTGATCAACAGGTTACAACAATGACTTAGGCTCTGCGTTACCCCTTAAGCCTTAAGATGCTCACTCTGTTTAGTGCTCTTGCATGACCAGCCATGTGTGTCGGCACAGCATAAAAGTGATTTCTGAACGTGCCCCGTCATATGACTTGTGTAGGTCTCCTTTAGGTACACTAATCCACAGACACACTGTATATGCAGCATACAAGTCTGAATACCTGAGGAGATCACAGCAATAAGGGGAGCAAATCTCTAATACCTCACTGAGTTAGTCTTAATAAATCCTCATTAATCCTTTTATTTACTCCCCCAGTCTGTAAATCTTTGCACTCAGGGAAAACCACGCCAAAGCCAACAGAGAAATCTGAGCAAAAAGGGCACGAGAGGGGAATACTTGAATGGCTTATGACTTGAATAATGACTCCAGCTGTGCAGCCTGGGACCAGGCAACAAACATTTGGAAGAATTTACAGAAGCAAACTAACTTTTAAAATCTCTAGACGGCAAAGTTTTGAATGTGAATTATAGATGTGGATCTTTGGGAGGAAGCTGTCATGCTCTGTTGCTTCATGGCTGTCCTTAATAGATCAGTTCTGAGAAACCAGAGGAACAGGGGAGCCAAGAGGGAGAGAAAGAAATCCTTGAAACCCGTTCACGAGGCTCTGACAGCTTCAGCAAAGCAGCAGCACAAGTTTTCTATTTGCGTGAACCCGTGTACACATTCATTCCTGCTAACGTGCATGTGAGAGACAGGCAGGGCGAGGCAACATCAGATAATCAGAGGAGGAAAAAGAAAAGGGGTGGGGGTGGGGGTTGGAGGGTAAGGGAGAAAAGATTATCAGGCAGGAGAAGCCTGAAAAGGGAGACGAAGGATAGAGAGATAAAGGATGAAGAAAAAATTAATTGAAACTACCTTTTTTGGCAACCTCCATCTCCTCCTCGGTCCAGCGAGAAGTTTCTCCGGTTTCCCCAGCACCAGCTAAATCACATGAAAGAAAGACAGAGCCCCATCAGCACTGATAGAAAAGGAAAGAAAGATAGAGCGAGGGAGGGAGACAGACAGAGAGAGTGACAGTCCTCCCTTCAGCCGTCTCCTTCTCATGGCCACTAATCTAATAATCTGTTTACATTCAGGGGCTGCCGAGACCTGCTCCCTCAGTTACACTCTAACTCTAGCTCACTCTCCTCCTCCTTTCGCTCTCCCTGTCTCTCCCCTTCCCCACAGATCAGAACAAACCCTCCTCCTCCTCTCTAATCCACACAGGGGAGGGCCTTGGTCAGCTGATGTAGCGCCAGACAGTGGAGGAGTTGAGAGCCTGCCTCCTGCTTTGGGAAATGGCCTTGGATGGAGACAAATAGACAGATAGAACAGCCAGCCTGAAAAAACCCTCCCACCCCTTCTACTGTGACACTTTGAATCTCACACACACTTATACACACGTACACATTGACACATATACACACACGCACAGTCCTCTTTTTTGCCTCCGCTTGACTGCACAGCTCCATACCCCCTCCCAACCAGAATTCATAGAAGTGTAGGGTTCGTAGTGTGGAAGGGGGGCGAGTAAACTCTAGCCCACTCTCCTCCATGGCACCCACTGACACTGTGTAAACATTCAGACTAATATAGCAGCAGATGTACCCTTGACATTAACAGGAAGCTTGCCCTCCCCCCCAACAAACACACCCACCTTAAAGATGAGGAGATCAACTGTCACTGTTTAGACGGCTCCTACTTAAAGGTCCCTGTCTACACAGCCAGTTACACTTAGTTAACCAATGTCTCTACTTGGTTTCCTCTTCCTGTTGTTACAATCACATGTTCTCCCCGTGACAGCTAAGGCCCCTCTAGCGTGGTCATTAATCTTGTGAGCTTTGAAAACAGAAGCGGTGTCCACCCACAGCGCAGCATCTCGCCTAATGACATACACGCACATGTACACTTTACTCCACGGCTTCAAACAAGATCAAACGCTGTTTGCCCCCACTGAATCAGCAGCTTCCTAAAGCAGCCTGCTGGCCCAAGTCCAACTGGGCAAGACTGACACAGAGCCAGCTTACTTCTAAGAAGCTCCATAGCTGCGGGGGTTACAACAGTACAGGCAAACAGACACATTAAATCCACAATGTAGTCACTAGGGGAGATTACGGTTGACACAGTCCTACGTAAACTATGATACGACCAGAGCAGGGCCACAGAGGTCAGCGGGTTGAGAGGATGGAAGGACACACTGCAGATGGTTAGTTAATCACATTATGGAGCAGACCTTGCATAACTCAGACTGCTGAGAGAGCTCAACAGACAGCAGAGGGAGCAGGTGGCGGCGACGCACGGCACACTTACAGGACACTGAATTAATGATACAGATTAAGCAAAACAAGGGATGTGGATACCTGAAAAAGTGACAGGCTTTTAAGGCTGGAGGCGATAAAGAGCATGAATAGTAACTGTGGCAACAGCTAAAACTATTGCACATTACCATGGTGATGGACAAACTTCATAAGGCTTGCTGAGTTGGTCTGACATTTGGCAAAGACTTCTTTGAAACCGCTGATCAAGCTTGCGGCTTTTAACACCTCCTGAATCACATTTTACCCTGAAGGACACCGGCTGAGCTTCAGGTGTATAAAACCTTGTGGAAGGAGCGCTGTTTATGAGTTTAGGCAGTATTTACCTCAACCAGTTTGTAACAAACAGAAATGAACACCATCCTCGAGCCAGTCAGTGCTGACAGCCAGTAAGTCATAAAAGAGGTCTAAAAATATCTGTTAGTCCACTGTATGATATTTAAGAAGCCTAATGGGATGCCAGAGAATAAGCACTGTTTACGCTAAAATAACTATGCTTTTAAGCTCTGTATTATGTTTTGATCAAGCCATTAAATACATACGTTTATGTGCAATTTCATCTTTTTGTTTTTCAGAAATAAAGTTTTCTTCTATTCAGTGTGAGTACTGCACCGATATCAGGACGATCAGATGCTTCCTTTGTGTGCACAATGGATTAGTCTTGAATTTTTTTCATATAATCGGGTATTTCACAGATATTCATCATTTCTGACAGCTTGATATTTGGACTGATGTAACATTTTCATTCAAAAAATTACTTCTATTATTTTTTATGTCTGTTCTGTCCTACATAAGACACTTTAGGCCTCCTGTCTGTATAAAAGCTTTGATTAGTTATTAGTTAACGTCTACCTAAAGGATTATTCACTGTCAGATACCCATACTGAGCAGGGCCTTCGGGTCAGCATACTATGCTTCAAAAACAAGCAGCAATCTCCAGTGCAGAGAAGTAAAGGCCAAAGCAGAAGTGTTACAACCTTAAGCTTCTCGAATGTCCACTCAAGGCTAGCTGCAGAGGCCTAGCAGGGTCCTTTTTTACAGCAGAAACAGACACGTCTACAGCCTGGTATGACGAAAAAAGCTCAATAACTCTCAATTGCTCATAAATTTATTTGTAGAATAATTTGAGAAGAGTAAGGGCTATAATCTGTAAAGACAATATTACATAAAGCAGTAAAGGGTGTGCGGAGCTGACTGACCAATGGGTGCACAGGAGCTGATTGCCAGAAGGCTAAAAGGTCACTTCAGCCTCACCTCTTTGCCTGGGACTGGTTTGAGTTGTCTTGTGCCAGCATTTCTAATACAGCAACAGCTTCCTAACAGCTCAACGGAGACCAATGGGTGGCATCACTGAGACTACATCCACTTCTTACACATTTTAGGTTCATGAACTTGATCATTTGATCTGCCATGTCTTCAAGTTGAACCTTTTTTCAGTAACTTCCTTCTTGTTGTTTTTTTGGGGGGTTCCATTGGTAAAAAAGGGGATTGAACAGCACTATGTAGGCAATTTTATGGAAGACCTTGAGTTTAGTTTCTCCACTGATCATAAAATAATTATTTTATAGAAAGTAAGAAAAGGAATTGAGTTTGTGCAAGGTTAAGTAATGAGAGCTTCTTAGGAGGAGTGAATTCCAAATAAATTCAATTTTTTAGAGCCTTTAGGGCAATGTGTCAAATACAGTTTCTAGATATAAATGAAGAAACAAAAACTGGATCAGCTTTGGATGTTTTCCTGCTACTAAATGACTGATTTGAGGCTTACACATTCACTTCCATGTAAGATTAAATAATAAGTGGTTTCATGTCTGATAACCCTTTTTTCCCTCGGCTCTGTGTTCACATGTGTGGTCCAGTGTTATAAGAGCATCCCTTCAACAACCTCTGAGAAGTATTTCAAAAGAATTCACCTTTGTTGGCATCCATGGAAGCTGTTGGAGTCTGTGGTTTTGCAGGCTCCTTTAAGGCCTTCTGTGAATCCTGTTTGGAGAGCTGTGGAGGATCAGGCAAGGCGGGCTCAGGGACAGTGGGAGGAGCTTCCTCAGCCGCCACAGACGCAGCTTCATTGGCCATGGAGCGTGTGGTGATCCTTCCCTTACGGCGGCCCTGGCTATTGGCAGTCTTCCTGCCACGCGGCGTGTTTTGCTCCTTCCCGTCCTCTTCCTCCCCACCGTCACACTTGTCTTTGTCCTTGCCAATGTCTCTGTGGTTTTTGAGTGGGAAAACACAGATTTAGAGTTGGTACAGGGAATGTAATTTCCTTTTGACTCAGCAGTTAAAGGCCCTAGATTTTTTATCCTGTCGTTTTATCCACAGCTGGATACAACAGAAAAGTATACCACAGTTAAGTCACAGCCAAGCTGGACAAAATTACTGACAAATTAGCACATTTTCTTATCCCCCTGGCTATGTGCCAAAACAGAAAAAGCTTTGAGCTCATCATCTCCAGACTATGACCTTTATTGACAGCCTGGGGATTAGGCTTTCTGGAAATGAGGAAAAATATATCAAGTGTATTTGGTACATTACCTATGTTTTTAATATACCTTTCCTTTGTGTGAAAGAAATCCCCCCAAAATTGTGTGAGCGGTGTGTGTGACTTAAATGGCGCCTATGATCCAAGTGTAGCGTATACCCTAACTTGACGTTTTTCACCTGAGTGCATCAAAAGGGTGTGAAATGAAGCTATCACACTCTGTGCTCCAAGCTAAACAAAACAAATAGCTGAGTCTAGTGAGAAATCTCTGCCTGTTTTCATGAAATATTCCTTTTTGCCTATTTTGCAATAGGTTTGGTCTTTTGCAACCTTTTTATTACCAACGTTTTTATCATGATATTAATATAGATGCTGCTGTATTGAGCTGCCCTTCGATGGATGAGATTTCTTTTTTTATTTTAACCACAATATATCTTTTGTTATTTTTCTTTCTTAACTGTTTTATAATGCAAGTCCATCAAAGTCTTTTTAATTAAGTATTCTCTTAAGTTCAGCAATTTTATTTTAATTTGTTAGTGTAATTTATGTGATGTATTTTGTGATTTTCTACTTCTATATAAATAGAGAGAGAGAGAGAGAGAGAGTGGATGTGGGCTGACCTGTTCCTTCATAATCAGTTTTGAGAAGTAATATTAAAATGAAAAATTCTTTCATATTACCAAGCACATAAGTACCATTTTTCAAAGCTAAACAACATCTTGTGTGTCATTACAGTTGAAATCCAAGCCAGCTCTTCAATCCTTTCTCTAAGAGTAAAATGAGTACTATTTCTGTTTTTAGGACCACTGTGTCTTAGTAATACAAGTGTAAAAATGATATAATAGCTGCATTAAGTGAAAATAAGCTACACTCAACTGAGAAACCCTGCCTTAGAGTTATCTCAGACCCGTGCCGAGGGTTGATTCGCCTGCAGGGACTAATGACCTAGAGTGACACCGGGACAAGCTGCTATTCACAACTCACCTAGAATCCTCCTTTTCATCTTTCTCTTCCTCGTCCTTCTTTTCCTCGTCCTCTTTTTTCTCAGATTTCTCAGATTTGTCCTCTTCGTTTTTGTCGTCTGACTTGTCTTCTTGTGAGGGACGTGTGATTTGCTGGAGAAAAAAAGGAAAATATTATTCAGCTTTCTCTCCTTAAAACTCAAGGATACTCTATTTGAACACTGGTAACAGTTTCTTAAGAGAGGGCTGTAATAGAAAATACAAGGCAAGGTATACAGTTATGCAAACAGTAATAGAGGCTGCTAGTTTGCACTGTTGCACATTTCAAATGTCATTACAACTACTCCAACTTGCTTTTCATTCAAAATGCACCATACATCGGTGTGATTCTGTTTTACATGACATTGCACCTCCTACTTTATAAAACTTTTTCCTGCCTCAAACCTTAACAGTAACAACTGTCTGACATTTTTACACACTTCATGCTCCAGTTTTCTTGCATGCTATCAAGGAACAGACGTCTTTTAATGGTATCACAGTTCTTGAATTGGCCCTGCGAGCCCAGAGGACCATCTAAAATTGCACAACTGAATATGGGCCAAAATAGTCGGCTTAATTATTCCGTTTGATAGCAGACGGAGCAATGGAGGTGAATAACGGATATGAACACTTAAGACCGGTTGTTAGGAGCACTGCTTATAAGCTGCACACGTACAATAAAAAAGCAAGAAAGATCAATAAAAAGACGAAAATTAAAAACAAAGAAACTGGTTAAAGCAATAAGCTGTTTTATGATCTCCACATTTCCCTGCTGAAGAGACAAAAACACTGTTGACACCTTTACTAATCTGTCACCTTAATAACAAAGTGACAAAGTCTGGACTGTTGCGAGCTCTCATGCCTTGTGTTTTCCCAGGAATGGTTGAACAAAGACACTCATTATGAACTCCATATCACACTGCCACATTTCACAAAGAGACCTAAAGCAGGAAAAAGACGGCTTGGGCATTTAACATTCAAAATGACATGGGGATGGTTGGTTCGGGCAGTAATTGTGTATGTGAGGTTTTGACATCATTGTCAAAAGTGTATTTTCGTTACAGGGCAGATACAGTGATTGAGGACAGAGCAACATTCTTTATCATCAATGCTGGCGCAATAACCACAGAAAGCGTCCTCCTGCCTGCTCCATGAAAGTGCTGTGCTGGAACAAGTCTGGTTATGCCAAGCCAAACATCCCATGCTGGTACCAGATGGGGCCAAGGAATGTGCTCCACTTAATGGTGAAGGCAAAAGATACAGACTGAGGCAAAGAGAGACAAGAAAAGGGCATGAGGAAAAAAAAGGGTTGTGGTTATCTGTCTCTTTTACAACATCGCGGTTCAGCACATGAGGAGTCTGGCTGCCATGTCACACAGTCAAGTTTGATACAGACATGTGGTGAACTCCACAAAGAGAGGCCGAGAGCAGCTGGTGGCTGCTCTGGCTAACTCTTATGAGACAGGCATTAATCGAAGGGATTTTGCCTTCAAGGACTTGAACTGCATGACTTGCAAAATTGAATCAACGGTATTTGGAGGAAAATTGCGTGTGATGCTATCTCAAGTTTACCCCATACATGGCTCAGTACAAAGGCTGTCATTCATAGCCCTCAATTTAGTTTCCCTAGGAACAATCAAACACTGAGAAATCAGATTCATGTATTGACGTCACCAATCACTGGCTACACTTGGAGACTGCTTACAAGTTAGTCCTGCATGTTTTAGACAGACTTTTAGACGTGACGATGTAATCTTCAGCGGTGTGCATCAGAGGACGGTTCAAGTTTTACTAGGAGTACATCTGAGAACTGATAGGGATACTTTTCTAAATGTTGGTGTAACTTATACTTGTAATAATTCATTTCTATACTGTTCAATCAAAAAAAGTGGTCGTGCCCCTTATCACGCCTGACAAGCGGCATACTGTAGCTATTAAGAAGGCAAAAGGCTCATCTTAACTCTGCTTCCTGGTCTCATGCTACGTCTGACCAAAAGTTAGACTGGGTCAGTGTTTCAATAGAGCTACCTCCAGGTGACCAATCAGTAACATCACTCAGACTATTAGTTTTTTTTTTGTATCTATGGCTTTAAATTGCATATAATCATTCAACCAGAAGAGTGTGTAACCAGCACAGGCATAAGGACACTAATCTGCAACAAGGACCCAAGGCTGGTGGTGCTAGGTACGCTTGGCAAACCAGGTTGACATCATTAAGTTGCAGACTGTGGCTCCGTGCTTATCAGTGTGCAAAAAAAACTGAGCTCAATTCTGACAGTTTTGTGAGTCTTTTCTTACCTATAGACAATCTCAAAAATTTGGATTTTACTGAAAGGAACCTGATTACTTCACCATTACTGAACATAATAATGTCAAACATTGAAAAAAAAAGAACATTTAACAAGCCAGGACGGCGCATAGAAAATATGATTGATAAAAAGTGTAAAAGTCACCAGATTACAATTTTTCAGAGATTTTTTGCTCCATTTATAGAACATTAATGAAATTTCTTTAGGAACATTGTTTAGCTCTTTCAAAAAAACAAAAACAAAAAAATCCCTGCAGTATCAGAGCTCTAACTGCCGAATTTTGAATACAGAGAGTACAATTTCAAACTTTTCCTTTTTGACTGGTTTCCTGTCTAAAAAAAGTTTGCAAAGAAAGCTTTAGGGACGCTGTTGCAGAAGAGACGAGTCTGTTTGGGGGTTGTTCTACTTACGTATGTTGTTCAGTGAGATGCTGTTCTGGTAGGGTCGGGGAAAGCAATGAGTGTTTGCTTTGGAGTCAGTCAGAGAGCAGTGGCATTCCTGCCGCTTCTCCCACACTGCGTAAAAAGCCTCCACACAGATGTTCGCCAAAAGTCAATGAGGCCCTGTGGTTCTGTGGTTCTTCAGTGTTTTTTAAATGAAGCTCTTTCCTGACCTGGCTTGAATATTTTAAGAGTTTTAATTTCTCCCCTCTTTTGCTGATTCACGAGTGCTGTTTGATTTAGGAAATGACAGAGCCACAAGTCAATCTTCCTTTTCCTACCACAGAACTGAGGCCAGCAGAAGAATCTCTCACTCCTGCTTCAAGCAGTTTAACTGCATGAAGAGGAAATTAAAAATCTACTAGATTATTGTAATGCTTCGGCTTTTATGTTGAATTTCATTACGATCACTGCTGTTGAGAATTTCACTCTGAAATAAGGTTTCATGACCTATCTTAGCAGAAAGCAGGGTATATAGCTAGCTTTAAATTAAAAAGAAAAAATGCACGATTAAGCTGATGGAGACATTAACTCTGAAAGCTCTTACTGGAGCCATTTTCTGTCAAAAAAAAAAAGCCTGAAAAAAAGGAAAGCTAAATAAAAAGCACTGACCACAGTTACCGTGGTTACTGGGAGCTCTGCAGCAGAATAACAGCCAAACTGATGCTAGAAACCAGTGAAGTCAACTCAGCTGTTTGGTTTAAGTTTACCACCATTCAATAAAAAAAGAGAGCTCTCAACAGCTTACCTTTATGGACGTTGGATGAGCCTACCTATACATGTCCATCTATTTGTGTAAGATAATGTGTCTGCATCATCGTCACCACAAAACATTACCCTTCTCTGGATTATTTTCAACATAACGTGTTACATTTTATAGCCTTACACCTAAGAAATATTAAACTCACTAGTGCATTGTCTGTGTATCCACTATTTTTCTACTGTTACAAACACATCCTCTCAGCTTTAATCAGCTGTCTGCTCTGTTCATGAAAATGTTAACATTGCCCAGCACTCGCTGTTTTTGTGTTTTTTTAAACATCAAATACATCAGACTTCAGGGATCTCTGTGATCATTTATGCAATGACAGCAGTAGAAAAAGAAACAATTTCTGTCCTTTCCTATTCCGGTGACATTCACTTTTTGTTCCATGTTTTTGTTTGGGTCTTCATCATTTATCATTTGGGGATTTATCATTTTATTTACTGACTATTGGCACCGGTGTAGAGCTGGAAAATTAGTCAAGTTTGTAAAGAAATATGGGACGTTATGCTCAGTGATCGGCCAAAGTCCATCGGTCCATCCCTTATTGACAGCTTTAAAAACTAATGATAGTCAAACCTTTTACCTTCACATCACTTTTAATGCTACAATACCATAGTAAAGCCTTGAGTACTTCAAAACAAATTTAGTATAGTATAGTATAGTATAGTATATGTCACAGAGTCACTGGGCAACTGCCTCAGCTACAGTTTTGATGTAATAATCCTAGATTGTATTGTGGCTTACTCTAGGGGACCTGCACTTAAAGAGCTGAGTACAAACACACACAAAAACTGGCATAAAATATGTTAGTAATTATCCTGTGCTGTGAAAAACCTTTGCAGACTTCTGTTTTCCTTAATGGGTGGAGCTTGAAGCTGACAGACACATATGCATGTTGTGGCCAGATACCAGAGAAATATGAGAGAGTGGAGAGACAGGGGGACTTGTAAGGTTTGAAAATATCTATAATAACTCTTTTGCGGAGACGGTGGAGGATGTAGCCTGTGTGAGCTTCCACAGAGTGCACACTGTGAGCACTAAGTTGACTGTTATCTTTATGAGTTTTTCATAAGTGTTTAAAAGCCGAGTCAAATATTCATTTCGTTCAGATTCAGCTGACACTACAGACATGTTTTTCAATGTTTGAAGAAATGCTGTAACTCTGCCGGTGTGTCGGATTCCCCAAACGCTCTGCATAATACATTATATCAAAACTAATTTTTACGTGTCCCATGGCCAAACCCTTGGATTGAGAACATTTATACATGCATTCCACACAGCCGTGGTTTGGCAATAAAATTAAAACCATGTCTGCACATGTCGACAGAAAACTCCAGCTGAGTTTGTATGCTTACAAATCTTCAGTAAAAATTAGGTCTAAGAATCAAAAATCAGAGCAAGACCAAGTATGACGAGCAAAATACGAGTTAAAGGAGAAACAAACCAAGTGAGTGTGGTATCAGCAGCAAAAACTGTAGGAACAGGCTAGCAACATACCTGCAAGCTCATTTGCTGGCCATTAAAACCCGTTTGCTCTGCTGTGAGCCACAGCTTACTGGTGTTGGAAATGTGAGTTTACCCTCCGGTACTTCCATAGCGGTGGTAACGGTAGTAGGAGAGGGGCAGGACAGCACCATAGCAGAGCTCCTTAGAAGGGCTGCCGGGCCACGGCACGGCCGCACATATTCCGGGAAAGCGTGTCATCAGGCCGCTTAAGCCGCCCAAAGAATTGTCCATCTCACATGCACGCACTAATCTATGCAGGGTCACCCAAGGTAATCCCTGCGAGCACTCCTCTTTGATTGGCACTCACAGCAGCACAGTGAGTTTTTTGGGCCTGTCAGATGGCCGGGCTGTACCATCTCAGCTTTTTCAGAGAGGGGGGACTTTTCTATCTCTCTTTCTCTCTCACTCAAGCTCTCAGAGGAGTAGAAGAGAGAGGAAATGGAAAATGAAAAAAAAAAGAAAACAACACACACTCAGCGGATAAGCTGCCAGCGCTGACTCGGTCTCACTGAGGGTTTTTTCACTTAGTTTCACTCGCTCGCCCTACATTCCTCTGCTCTTGCTCTAGCTCACTCAGTCCTCTTCCTTCTCTTTCTCTCTCTCTCTCTCTCTCTCTCTTAGTGACTCACTACAATCTCTCAAACTGCTGTTGTTAAGTTACACCAAGAGCAAGAGATGCAAAGATAAAATTTCTCCTTCCCTTTATCGTGTTAAATACCTGAACTGGCGAATTGAAACAGACACTAGTCTGACAGCACAGCTTTGAAAAATGACAGTTGTATACAACTAGTGCTGCATGGATGTGGCATGATTGTTTTAAGGCCTGGCTCAAGTTAAACCCTTTGTAAACATGAAAAATGAATACAGACAGGGAAGGTTATTGAACTTTCTGTGTCTAGTTAAATCTGAATAATGCAAAAATACAAGAGCAAAGGATTACGAACTACTCTATCAGGACAGTTTTTAATCTGTTAGTCAAGCTGAACGTAAAGCATCAACTGGCGCTGGCTTTCAATCTAAAACCATTTATTCACAGTTTTTACTGGTTTTAACCAAGACTCTTTTTGTCTGGAGGTGAAGGGGACTCTGTGGATAACATGGCTCCCGCTCAAACCTCATAAAACTCACTATGTGTAGGCTACTGTTTACGGGTGGCTATCATAAATTACAGCATGAGTTCGGGGCATCGCCCGGTGCACTGACCGACACCCTGCTCCCACATTTTGGGTCGTATCGAAGGCGTTTTTGATAATGGTATTGTTACTGGAACAACTCTACCAACAGTTTCATGGAAGTCCAATAGACTAATGTGCACAACTCCAACCTGCTCAATTCAAACTCAGAGTTAGCTTCTTTTTATCGACTCCGGTGGTCTTGACAAGGCTCTGGCTTTTAATCAACAAATGTTAAACTCGAAAGGATCATAGAGCCCATTGTACAAAAGTGACAAGTCATTGAAACCTCTCTTTATGTGCTGTGTTTAAACTATTTTGCTTCCAATCCAAAAAGACATTTCCATCACTTACTTGACATTTTGTATCAGAGAAATGAACAAGTCCTCCCTCAACAGCTGATGGCTCCATCTATACTATGAACTCAACTAAACTGGATAACTCACTAGAGCAGAGTCACCCTTGAAGTATTGTACCAGTCACTTTGGAAAGTGAGAAGAACCATCATTGTGTTCAAGATGTAATCATGAACTCTTGTGACCTTCAATTCCTGCTATGTAAAAGAAACAGTCCACAATCAGCCCACTGTGTCCCCCCGCAGATGCATGCAGAGACAGAATGTCCTGTACAGGGACTGTGGCATCAGAGAAGGAGGGTAATGCTCGGTATGATAAAACATCCACTATAATGACTGAAATCAATACTTCATGTCAGCTGTGAGGCTATACATCTTTTAGGAATGGATTTTAGTGATACACAACAATTACAGAAAACACTGACACAATCTGTTCAAGACCAGAATCCATAGCTTTGATTCAGTGGTGGTATGGTATCCATAAAAAGAAAAAAAAATCACATTTCAGGTTTGACAGTGATACCACACTTAAGCCTGTAAAAGAGAGGGAGGCTCCAGCTTGTCTCTATGCTTCAGCCTGTGACAAATACATTTGTGTGGAGCCACGTGCAGTAGATGAAGCAGTGTCATTGTGTCTTAAAAAGTGTCACTTTAGCAGCAATAACACAGTTTTTTTTCTATTCAGCTGAACGGTTTAGGCTCTTTTTCGGTTGTATCTGTTTTAGTATTACACATTCCAAGAGTAGGAAACAAATTAAACCGTTTTTATGAGCTTTGTACACGTATACACTCCATTTGCAAACAGGGTGTGGGTGGGTATGTGTGTGTGTGTGTGTGTGTGTATTTCTCAATGTTCTGAATGTTCCACTTTGCCTTGTCTGACCTTCTGTCTCCAGTGTGAGAGTGAGGATATGCACAATCTTCTCCCAGTGTAACAGTTAACCGTAACTGTGTGGTTTTTAATGGATGTGCGCATGGCTCCTAACGATCATTACATCATGACTTGATTTATCTGCTGATTAATTTTACTCTAAATTTAGAGGCTTTTTGTTTGTAGATTACAAAATAATGAAAAATGCTGTCACAATGTTCAGTAACACATATTACATATTCTATGACCTATGATTGGTGTTGTTTGTGTTCTGATTTTAAAAATCTGTTAAATAATGACTGGTGGTTTATTGGACACAACACTCTCAAAAGACCAATGTGTCCAATTCTATCAAAATGATTCAACCTTCTGTGGCACTCCTTACACTCTGGGTTGTGGAGGGCTTGAACCAATCCCTGCCGCTGATCAGGTAGAGGAAGGGTACTGGACATACAGAGACATATGCCTCATTTACACACACAACTATGAGCAGTTTAGGGTCATCAATCAACCTAACAGGTATGGTTTTTCCAGAGTGAGGAGGCCAGAAAGCCTAAGGCCCGAGGGGAGCCCACAAATGCACAGAGAGAATAAACAAACCCCACACAAAGAGACTGCTGTACCTGGCAAGGGATCGAGCAGATAACCTTCTTGCTGTAAACACTGCTAACCTCTGTGTGGCCTGGCCTGGGCTGGACAGTCAGAGGTCTTATTTATGTACGATGAGTCTGCGTTGTAATAAATTAAATCTCCAACAGACTGAACAGATTTTCATTAAGAAGTATAGCAGATACAACCTGTGTATCTTAAGGAGATATGACAAATAAGCAAATTACACTGAATCAGTAATGGTCTGCTAAAAAGCAAAACTGACCTCACCAAATTTGGAAGACAAGATAACACTGAAACATAACCACTGTACATCAGAAAGCTGATTCATGAAAAGGGAAGATTCCTGCTATGAGAAACACAGCAACTTCAAAATTACATACTTGCTCAATAGCGTGGGAACAGCCTCAATAATGCACAATAAAGATGATGAGAGCATTTCAGCAGTGATAAGCTTCTGCATTCAGCCTTTTTGGTCTCAGCAAACCTTTGTCATAAAAAACGTTGGAGGGCCCTCTACCTCCTATTCCTAGACTCAGTCTAGCCAGTGAATACGGTTAGCAATACAGGGGCAAAATCGTTAGCACTTGATACTATAAAGAGGAGTGGTCCATGTGTGGTACATGTACTAGACATGCATCTGTTACTCAGACTGACCGTGAGACATGAAACGGGTGTGGCAATGGGTGAGACAAACTTGATGCTGCGCGGTCAGCATGTAAACACTCACGCCGAACAGTAACCTGACAGGGATGTTTCCACTGCAAACAGCCTGAGAAAATGTCTATGATGTTACAGAGTTCAGTCAGATTGAAAGTGACACTCAAACCTGAACTTTAGAGCAAATATGAAACAACCAGCATCAACCACAACCTCTGTCAACGACTTCTGTCAACCACAGAGAGAACAAGCAGTCAAAAATGTGTGTAAAGTTTTATCTACCTGGTTGCGTCCTCTTCGTCGCCCATAGTTCCTCCTCACCAGCGTCTTGTAGTTGTGGTTCTTCTTGGTCAAGTAGTAATAGAGGACGCAGTCAGCAACACACTGAAAGAAGAAAAAGGAGGTTATTAAAGTTTAAGAAACTAAAACTGAAGGCAACGTGTTTGAAAATTGACTTTATTCATTATATTTATTTACTCAAACTTCATGCATTTATTAATCTTCTCTCATATTTATTCACGGATCAGTGCCTATAATGTGCTTGAAAAAACTTTTTCTTGACACTTCATTACAGCCTGCAGGTGTAATTTCTTCTGAAAGATTTACTGTAGTTTTTCTGTAGACAAAAACCAGCTTTGATGTGTTAAGTTATGTTCAAGCTTTCTTCCAAAAAGGATGCTTATTCAAAGTGTATTTTGTGCTATTATACCCTATAGATGGTATAGAAAAAGGACAAGGGAAGGTAGGGGGCAACATGTAGCATGGGGCCATGTGTTGGAATTCAATCCAAGCCACCTGTCTGCTTTAAAGGCTGTATCCTCTACCGATATGGATATGGGGCTCCTGATCTGATAAGCCAAACTGGCACCCCCTCAATCCACCCACCTCCCAAATACAGACACATTTATAGATATGAGCAGCACTTTACCTTTCTCTCCAGATACGAGGCAATCAGGCCAAAGTTTTTTGGGTGTTGGACAAACCTGAAAAGAAAAAAAAGTCATACATCAGACAAAATATCAGAGACAAATATAAAAAATCAGTAAGAGTTGAAGCTAAAATCAAGATCAACATCATCCCTTACTTCTCCTTAAAGATCTCCTTTTCATGCTCAGTCCAAACATTCATGAACTGCCGGGATTTGTACACTTTCATTGGGTCATCCATCAGTCCATTCATGTTAATGAACTTCACTCTCCTCTGCTCCGAGTCGTACATCATGGGAGGAATGACAGACAGCTGTCTCATCTGTTTCTCATTGTTCTGTGAAACATAGACAGGAAAAGTGGCCGTTGTTACACGAATACACACTGTCTCTGTTGTTCAATCAATCATTTTCTCTGCTTACAGATCTGCTGTAGGACAGCGTTGATCACATGTGCCTCTTCCCTACAGCTGTTGTCATTCATATCACTGTGTTTAAGATCATACTTACCTCCTGCTCGGAGAGGCCGTCAATGATTTCAGAAATCTCATGCTCGCTTCTTGCAATTGTTGCAGAAAGACCAGTTCCTCTTTGCCCAACCCTGAAAAAAAAACACAGACACAACTTATTAGAAACCTATTACATAACCAACATTAAACTTGTGGGCAGTTCAATGAAACATCAGCTATTTTCCACTCTTTAAAGAGGATATAAAATGTTGAATTTGTATGATTTATGTAGTTTCCAATGAACTCCAGAGTCAAGCTACTAAAATGAGACAATTTTTGGATCATTTGAATCTCTGTGAACAAACAGAATCATTGTACACATTATTACTGAATAAAGAGTCTGCCTGACCACGTATTTCTTGCTTCCTCCTTCACGGTCATGCAGTTTTTATAAACAGTGCTGGCATGCAAACTCCTACTTGGAGATTTCAATGAGAGCACCAAAACACAGCGTCAGGCACGACTAGACACCAGACCCTGATCCTGTCTCCCACCCTTCCCAGAGACACCCATGCAGGCAGTGTGTCTGTCTGAGCAAGCCACTGAATACCTCTCAGCGCCCTTAGTTGGGTGATAACTGACCGAACATCATAAATACTAAAAAGACTATTTTAATATCTGTGCGTTGCTTGCTTATTTAACATTATAAATACTTCAAAAAGCTTCAGTCCTGAGCTGTGGAGTATCAAACAAGTGAAAAAGGCTACTGTTGTGGGAGAGTAGGGCTCTATACTCTTACTCTATACAGAAGAAATAGAGCGATTATTCAGTCAGCCCATTAACCTGTATCACACAGACAATAGAGTTCAGAAGGCTGAGGTCACAGTGTCTTTTAGGATGTGAGGAATGATGCAGTTTAACCATCTCCTAACTTGAAACTAAAGTTTTACCCAAAGTATTTTTTGTTTTTAAAAAAGTAATGAAAAATCCACCTAAAAAATGTTACTGGCAATGATAACCTGTGTTTGAGATTGTGGAGTGCTCAGAAATTTTGAATTACAGATGAGGTTTTTTACCCAAATATTCATCCTGTATTTTGTCGATTTAAAGAATTACAGAAATCAGGAATATCATCTTTTATGTATTTGATCAAATGTTCATTCAAGCTTAGCAACTTTGTAACTCATTTGTCCGTATCTTTTATCAATTGCAAAAACACAAACAAAAAAAACACCAATAAGGTAATGTCATTATATATTGATCATCGGTCACCTGCTCTTTCATTATTAGTAGCTGCCATTGATAAACTGATAACTTTTCCTGTCTAGATTGGTTATTATAATAATTCATCTATGTGTCTGCCTGTTTCCATTTGTTTATATTCATGGGCGGCACACAAGCAATAATCATACTGCTTTGTGGAGTTATGTATATGCAGTTTGTGCTGATGTCTTGAAAGAGACGCAGGTGCAGATATGGTTGTAGGTGTCTGCTCAGTGGGTGGAACTACTGGCGTTAGACTTGGCCCCTTTGTCTTCCTACATGTTTGCTATTTTTTACTTGTTTGCTCATTATTTGATGGTTCTTTCTGATCATAACTGTTTCCACTCCAAAATATGTTTTTTCCCTTAGAATCAAGTTTTATATTTCGTTATTGTTTATTTCTCTTTTCTTGCCAGTTGTCCTGCTTTGCATGTGTCAGGGAATGTTAGGGACTGACCAATGAGAATGCGTACATTGATACGTTTACTTTCATATTCCCTCAGAAAACGTACATATAAACCAGGAGAAAAATGAAATCATGATACATTAAGTTTCCACAGGCATTAAGTAAATCTGTGTCCTTGTGTTGAGACAGTCAATTAGTCTCCCTGCCTTTCACCATACTTAACTGCTGATGATCTACCTTTGCACTCACTGCAAATATGCTGAGTCTTCAAATTGCTAAAGGAAGGAAGGTAATCACACCAGAATGGCACAGAGATGTTTAAAGAATAACAATAGTACCCCAATTTTTTGTAATAATGATAAACAAATACTTTTCTGGTTCATTCTCAGAATCTTGCCAACGTTTGCTGGTAACCCTGACGTTGCTGAGCCTAGCAAAAAAATGGACAAAGAATGTATTTGTGAAAACTGTAATAGATTTTTTGATGAATATCTTCAGCAAAAATGACAAAAGAATCACTGAATCAGCTTCCACAACGTGTACACTTGCTTCTTTTCCTCTTTCTGATGAAAACAAAAATCTCTGTGAGTGACTGGAAGCCAACAAAACTGCCAACAATAATCTTAAGTACTGGTAGTTGCAGACACGTATAAAAACAAAGTCCAACTACTATGTTGGATACGTATACCACTTTATTGGATGGAAAAGAAGAGGGAGCCTGAAAAAAATGAGAGTAATTTGTAACAGTGTGTTTTTGAACAAAGAACAAACCACAACCAATCACAGGTGGCAGCTGTTACCTCTGAAAGCGCTCCTGCTGCTCTCTCTGCTTGCGTATCTCGGGGAATTGCCTTTCATAGTACTCCCGTGTTCTGCTTTCCTTGGCTTTACGTTTGGGGTTATTCTCCATTCGCTCCACCTTCTTCTCCCACGCCTCCATCAGCTGGTCATAGCGCTGGCAGATCTTCTGTTCCTGTGTGCGCAGAATGGAAAATGCTTCAGTAGGAGTGGGCATCCATCACTGCAGTGAAAGCCAAGAGAGCTTCTTGCCAAAATATCCACAAGGCATAAGAGTGTCATGAGAGAGCTGATATTTTCATATGCCTAAATGAAAATCCTACAACACTGGAGAGAGAATTTAGATCCTTTGTTCCTATCAATCACTTGTAGGTTGCTTGAATAAAACAGTATCTCAAACAAAATGAGCAAATCCAAGTGCAAAACTGACATAAAGCTCAATTAGTCGAAGATGTAGGAGATGTAAAATATGGTTCGATCACAGGGCAGAAAACACAAACTAGATGCAAATATAGAAAACTATCATTAAAATCTAACCAATGGGCTGCCAAGTAACAAACGGTGTGACGTGTCTCGCTCCTGCTGTCGCAAGGTGAACACGAGTGCATCATTGCATATTTCATTTCTCCAATAAACCTGTCAGTGCCGCAGTTAATCTCTTGGAGGTTACATGACAACAAATAAAACGCAACATGCTGTAGAAACTTGAAGTGTGAGCAGAGTTGAGAGAGTACACGCTGTTCAGGAACTGGGTGTGTTTGTTGTGGGTTTGCGACTGTCTTTCATGTTGCCTAATTCAGTGTCCCAGCTCGGGCACAGTTTGTACTGATGCAACTATTCTGAATACAAAACACTCTTAAAAGCTCATTACAATTTTGTTGCATAAGCTTACACATCAATCTGCATTTGGATGTACTGTATATGTTTTAAATTAGAATGGTTTACAATTATCCGCTTATTTTGGGCCTACAGGGGAAGAGGTTAAACGATCTGGCTCTGAAACCTAACATGACCCCTGAAATTTGGGAGAATATTCAGATCAAGCTGATTTCCAGAGATTTGGGGGTTAAAATGTTCAGTGAAGATGTGGAGAAAATCCTGTACTGAGAGCACAATACAGCCTGGTTTCCACTCTGCAGTGAGAGACAAACAATTCACCTTCCTCTTGGCACAAAGCCACCTGCACTCTGCCATTGTTCAGGGTCGATGAGGTCTGTCTGACCCCGACAGGGAAAAGGTGGGACTCAGTGATCCGGTGCAATTTAAAAAAATGGAGCTAAGTGACTCAACATGGGGTGACTCTGAAATATTCAACTACTGATAAGAAAGACAGAGAGAGACAGTATTTCTCAGACCTGCTCTTTGATGCTACTCTATTTATTTTATTATACTTCAGACAAAAGCAGCTCTTAGCCTGCACAATACCCCTCAACAAACAGGGGAAACCAAGGCCTTTCCTCCTGTTCTTTAAATACATCAGTGTTATTATAATATCTCTGCTGGCAATGTGGATCAAAAGATGGCAATGTTGGTCATTCAGCTGACCTCCTGGGTTGAGGAAACTGGTGAACGGACTACCATGAAATTTTCTAGATGTTCATGCCCCACGGGGAATTTCTGTCAACTTTGGTGATTTCCTGACTTCCCTGGCATTAACCTGACTTTTGAGGTTTGAGGTAAATTTCTCAACAACCGCTGAACAGATCAGCATGAAATGTGGTTCAGACATTCATGTCCCCTCTCTAAATGACCTCAAGTACCTTTGATGTAAAGCCAAGTGTTACTGCCAGAGCTGCAGATATTTCATAGAAACGCAACAGTTCCCCTCAGACGGAGATAAAATGTCAACATGTGCTGGCACTGGTAAAACAGAGGGGTCCTGTCCCAGAAACGTCACCTCAGTGGTGTTTTAAGTTTACTGCTCTACACCACAGTTGCACCACCGTGTCTCAAGTTTGTAGAAACAAAAAGAAGCAGAATCCCAAACATATTGATCTCAGAAACACACAGTTGAGGAAATGGTGTGTAACACTAGAGGTTGCCTATTGTTTAAAAAGATTTATGAACATACAAATTAAGTTAACTAATTAGCATTTAGTGTGCTTTAAAAACTAAAATAATGTGGACATTCAATCAACCACAGACCTGAACTGAATTTCCCTTCGGGGATTAATAAAGTTCTTCTTATTTTTATTGTTTTGATAAGTATTAAGATGACAGGAAGATTCAGTGCTACAAAGAGCAGTTAGACACGGAAATCACATATTAGTGTTTGCCTTCTTGTGTCTGTCTGTAAAACTTGAAATCCTCTGGACACTACAGGTGAATGGTTTGTTCCTAACTGCATGTATCAAGCTGTACTGTGCTCCAAATATAAGAGTCTCTCCACATCTTCTGAACACATTTTGACCCCGAAACATTCTTTGACTGCTAATAGAATTTTTTTGACTGTAAAAAATTAGAGGACCAGACATATCATGCATCCGTGTCATAATATTTCCATTCCTACACACTGTAATTTTACTGCACTACAGCAGTGACACATGATGTGGCCAACATTTCAAGCCTAAAATAGAGAAGATATTTCAGAACTACCGATAAAAAAATCGTCAATTTGTTTAACCAGAAAGCCTCTTTAGTACAGTTAGAACTAAGAGTGGCAAAATTCAATAGTTTAGTCAACTCAACACACATCCCTAGTTGTGATACATGAAGAGGCCGTACACCAAATTCAAAGGCTTCAACAATTACAACATCACTCCCTGTGCTCAGCAGGGGACATCTGAGTGAAAACATTAAGGATTGTTACAGTGACCACAGCACTGGTTGATGTGGTTGATGTTGTGTCCAGAGTTTGTCCTAACAACAGGGGAGGGACACTTACCCTTTGTTTGCGGGCGTGATTCCTCCTCTTAAAAAACAAAATCAGCTTCTTCCTCATGACTTGGTTCCTAGATGAGAATAAAACTATTAAGTAAAACAGGCATAACAAAGATATTTGTTCTTTAAAAAAAACATGATTGAGGCATTTACCAGGCAGTATAAAAGGTTACATAACATTTGAAACAAGTAATGCCCCCCAGAAACATTCAGTAACAAACACTCAGTGAGACGGGGGAAGTGAGTTTGTTCTTCAGCGGAAACAAGTGTACTTTTATAAATAAAAACATTCTCGAGGGATAGAAACTGACAAAAAGAACAAATCATGAACAGATCATTATTTATCTTTAGCGTGACTGTTACAAAATACTGGGAACTTTTTTGTTTACACATGATGGTGGCTGCAGGCAGAGAAAAGTGAGCGAGGTGACCCTGAGAGTGTGGCCTGTACAGCAGATTCACACAAGGGTGGTCTCTGTCCTGATAACAGACTGAGCCAGATGGGCTGGTCTCATGGTACACACTGATAAAGGCTTGATCCTAGACGGAGTGGCCTCCAACCCCATGACACTACCTGGCTTTAGACACAAGTGTGCTCTTTCACTTCCTTTCTCTCCTTGGTGTCAGTGGGACAGTCTATTCAGGTGACTCAGCAATCAGATTAGACAGATTTATCGGCTTGTTTGTCAGCATTACCTCAAACACTTTCCTAAGCTAAGACCTTACCTATCCTGTTAGCCTGCTGGACACCATATCTGCTGAGAGGCTGCTGCATTTTTACAAAACAAAAAGATGTTCATGAAGCAAATCTATGTAACAAAATGCAGATACTCACGTCTTGATGTTGTCATGGTACACTTTAGTGTCTGAAGGTTGATTGTAGAGGGGCTAAAAAAAGAAACGCAGTGGATCAGTCATTATACATTAGGCAAGCAGTAATCAACAACTAGCTGCTGAGCTTGGAATTACTCTTTCCTAAAGGCTCATTCAAGAACAAAATGCACTATTAACCGTTTAAATCACATACCAGCTCAACCTTAGGACCTAGACCTTCCAGGATTTTGTGCGCTTCTTCTGCTTTTTTCTAAAAGATAAAACAAAAGGATGGGTTTATTAACAAAGTTCACCTAAACAAAAAGGAGGCATAATTTGAGCGGGGAAAAAAACCTCACTTTCCCTACAGATGCCCCTTTTATGTTTACCATTATGTGTACTATTATCATATATAGCAAGTGCTGCTAACTGTAGTGGATACAAACATTATTTTTGTTGGTTCACACATACAACAAAAATACCGGAATCAAAGACCGCAGACAGGCATTGGTTGAAAATACTTTACTCTTAGGGCTGGGCAATATGGGAAAAAGTTTATCACAATATATTTTTTTCATATCAGTCAAAATCGATATATATCACGATATAAAAAATGAAATTTGACAGTACTCATTGGTAGCATGTCTTTTGCAATACAATTAGCTACCGCATATGTGGGGTCTTTGTGTCTCTTCAAGGCGTAGCTCTAATTTCCAGTGCACTTAACTTTGCCTCATGTCTGACCTCAAAAAAAACAAAATACCTCCACACCACTAACGTTTTTGTGCCAGTGTTGTCGACGATGTCATCCTCTGTTGAGCCTTCATCTGCATTCGCACTTGTTAGCACTCATTTCCTTTTTTTCTCACCGACTGCCGGCTTCATGTGTTAAAGTGCTATAGGTAGTAGCAGTCTGCTACTACGCAGTTGTTTGCTACTTGGTTCTAATTCAGCACATGATTGGTTTAGCACGAAGTGGACCCGGAGCAACTCCCCTTTTCATTGGCTATTCTACCAAAGCATGGTATAATGCTGACTATCAAAAAGCATACTGCCCATGTTTTATATTGATATTGAGGGAAATTAATTTTCAATGTATATATCGTTATCGTCTTATCACCCCCCTATATTTTTATATGCTATTTCCTCAAATTGGTTACTAATACTGCTGTGTGTGATCCTAAACAAAGGTAGATAAAATTCTATAACAATGAAGGGTAGAATAAACTACAAATAACCTCTTACAAAAGCCTCAAGCCCTGAGCAGAAAGTAATGAATACTTTTTTTTTTTAAACATTTTAAGATGAAGTTATTCGCCCTCAAACTATGCAACGGATACATTTCATAAGTAAGCAGCTGCACCTGCCTGAGAGGAGCACCCATAATACAAGAAAAAAAAAACTATAAATACATCTTAAGAAAGAATGTACCCGCAGCAGCATAATTAAGAGGGTTAGCAACAGCAGTATTCCTGGATCGGTGCGTGTACAGCTGCCAGACTGAATGCTCTGCACACTGCAGAGGCAGCTCCACGGCCTAAAGGGTTAATGGCTGACTGAGAAGGAAGGCGTGTCTCAGCACTCTCCTACCACAACACTGTCTGTCAGAAATGAACTACAGTGACCTCCATAAACACACACTCGCTCACTTTCTCATTGTTCAGCTGAAATACAGATAATGAGGCCCGCCTCTGCCCTTGACTGTTGGTTTAATGTTTTCTTAATTGATTTTTGGAGAAGACCAACAAAAATAAATGAGGAAATATGTGACAAAAACATAGTTACTGTTTAACATCACATACAAAACATCAATAATGTTTAAAAAAACTGAAGATATTTCACTTACACACTCTGTGTAAGGTAATTTTTGAAAATTCAAACATCCCCTTTCATATGCTGCTATTGATTATACTTGAACCCCTTTCACATGTACAATTCCCTCCTAAAATACTGTCAGAGTGAACAGTAAATGGAAGAATATGCTGGTGATTTGTTAGAGTGGAAATTTATAGTCTGGAACATTTTGCTGGTAGGCAGGCAAGGACATTTTCAATATTGGGCCCATTAGTGCCCTGGTTTATGATATACATTGTTATGGCTGTGAAGAAGTACATGAGGAACAAGTGTGAACTATGACAGCACAATATTTGAACATTGGAATGAATATTCTTTCTATGATCATATTAAAAATTACAGAAAATCAACCCATGAGAATGTGTTGTGTATCTTTACACAAACTTAGAAATTATTCACTGTCCTCTGTACTTTGTGACTTTAAGTTTCCTCAACATAACTCTGGGTTTAATGTCTATGTTTCTTGTGTTTTTCACATTACATGAGTTTCATCTGAATCCCAAATACATCATAAAAACTATACTTCTTTACTGACTCAAATCCAGTTAACATGAGGTTGGCTGAAGCTTCTTTTGACTATATCAAAATGTTGTAAAGTATGGCCACAATATCAAGACCCCCACCTAACAGGGAGATATACATGCTGACCATACCATGATAAGAACTTCAAGCAGGATCTCACAAAGACAGCAGCACTCAAATGCACAAATGGTGCCCCCTCACCACTGTTATGCATCTGTTACTTCTTGTGATGCTGGCTCAGCGGCAGAGTGATTTTACCCCAACATAGTGCCTCCGTGCTTTTACGCTGACAGTGACGCGTAACAGACGTTAAGCCATTACATCCTGAACAGGCAGGGTGAAAGGTGCTACTGAGTTTCTCTACTATGTATTCTTCAGTTTAACCTTTTCTACCGCTGCTTTTGTTTCACAGAAACATATTTATATAGGTTGTTGAGAAATTAACAAAGAAATAGCCACTATTACTAAAGGCTCCCCCTCTTTCTCCCTGCATGAGCTACCCGACAGTCCCAACTCTGTGAGGCGCATGTGTGAGGGATAATTCCAGAAAACATCAGGCCCTGAAGGGGCTGCGTATATCGTGTCATGTGCACCCTTTTTATTGAAGATTTTTACCCTTAAAATACTCGAGCTCATGCTTCTGCTTGTCTCTCTCTCTGCTCAGACATTGCTGTAAGCAATAATGAAGGCAGTCCAAGACTGATAACTCAAACTGGCTCATCATGGGAACCGAAACTCCACCTCCACCTCAGACTCAGTTCAAGGCTAAAAAAGCACAGAGAGCTGAACATGGATATATTTAAAGACACATGTTCAGAAAAAAATTTAAGTGCAGAAAAGCTTAGTATGAGGGGAGAGACAGTAAGTGGTTGGAATAGACTCCATGGTTACCCCCTACTGTGAGGACACAGCAGAGATGCATGTGTCCTCAGCTTGAAATGGCTCCACTTGTTTTAAGGGAGTTAACCCAGGCCAATGGAAAACAAAAGTAACTTCTTCCAGCTTTTATGGTGCATGGAGACGATGGATGAAACAAAAGCTGCCTTTGTGGAGGACACAAACAAAATGTCCAAGGAGAGCTGATGCCTGTTGTTGGTGTGTGTATGTGCGTGTGTGTGCGTGCGCGTGTGTGTTGTTGTGTTTGCATCAGATGACTTACCCTGTTCTCATCATAGATGATCTGGACGATGCTGCGGTGCTTGTGCTCCACTGGGGGAGGGGTCACTGGCTTTTCTGGCTCCACAGGCTTTGCTGCTTCTTCCTCCAGTTGTTGCTAGGAGACAGCAATGACAGAAAACATTTTGACCATTGATACACGAATAAACCGCACACCAATATAAACAGGGACACAATCTTGGCTTACTGTCTTACGTACGTGATGACCCATTTAAACTTTTGTTTTGGTTTTAAACTACATTTGTATTAATATGAGAACATCTGAAAAAACACAGACTCAGACTTGGCACCATGTAGATCTACTCTGAACCCATGATATCTGAGATCCATGCTGGTACCAGATTATCTCTGCAGTCTCGTTCACATATAACAGAACTGCGGGTTGCTGCCATCGAGGCCACTGCTGACGCCGACAGACAAGCTGAACTGAGGACTGTTTGGTTAGCCAATGTTTACGAGTTAAAGGTTATCTCAACTACCAGGTTACAGAGACAAGATTCAAGGTATTCCTGAAATACTTCAAATAAACAAACAAATAAATCTTTGTGAAACGCAGACTGAAACGAAAAAAAAGCCGTACCCTCTGCTAGTCACGCTCGGCCTACATTCCTATCTAATGAGAGGGAATTCAAAAAATGATAACAGAGGAAAACAACCTCAAACTTAATTAAAACAATCGAATAAAAAAGACAGATGAGCTGATGAAAATAAATGAGTTACCACGCAGTTCTGGAGATTTGGTTTTTGAAAGCAGCTTATTAGGAAAAGACAAACTGTTTTTGTGAACACATACTTGGTAATGGGCCATAAACATGTATGTGCAAACAAATCTCAAAGCACATATACAAATTTCTATAAACAGCGCTGTTGCCATCAAAATCTCTAAACCCCACTACAACTGAAGGAGCCTTAAGGACTAAAGCCTGGTTTATATTATTATGATAAATCTACAACAGCCAGAGACCAGCTTCAGCAAAGTGTCCTTCATTCTGAGTTGTGATGTAGGTTAATTGTGAGGGCAGAGCTGCGGTGTGGCTGTCTGCACCATCATAGTGTGCTGTTCCAATCAGTCTTCAGTATTCAAGCACCTTTAACTATGCTGTACCTATACATTTATAGATTTAATACAATATATAAACTTGGCTCCAGCAGGAGCTTCTGCGCTCACAATGACTCTCTCATCACAGAAAGTAGAATAGGTTTCCTCAAGGAGGTAAAATAAGGTCAACAAGACTGTTGAAAGACCACAAAGCATATGGGGGTCACTAAATAACTGAAGTTTGTTCCAAAGTGTCAGTTTAGCCTCACATCCTGCCCAGAGTGTCTATGTCAAAGTGTCTTCATAACAAGTCTTTTTGTACTGTGGTTTGATCAAACTACGAGGAAATGAACACTCAGTAACACCTCACTGACATGCAAGTAAAGTCCTTTTAGTACGTCCACATCTTGTCAAATCACAAGAAATATTAACTACATCTTTACAGCTTTTGTTTCTTTAGCAGCTGTTTCTGTTTAATTTACCCAATAAAGCCCTATTGTTGTTGTTATCATTTCACTCGTCTCTCTGGAGTTATCCATGAAATAGGAAGTAAAGCTGTTTCTAGAGTAGTCGTACAATTTTGAATTTGACACAATACCAGTAATAGTCAATCATGGCACTATCGGTTTTGTTACCAATATTATCTGTTAATTGTAGTTGAGTACAAATATGGAGGGTTCTCCTTAAAATAATGTGGACCCAAGATGAAGTAAATTCTTTGGTTATCATGAAAAAGTACAAATGTGTGATGATTTAGGTGTTTGAGGTCCAGATTGTCTTTGATTACTAACCTGCACATTGATCATTGTAAACAAACAACTGTCTCACATACAGTTAAAACCACTGAAAGGCAAAATCAGATTTTTCCTCATAAAAATGCAGCCAAAATAACACGTTTCATCTGAATGAGGAGGTGTGAGGGACTCTGTGCATGTGCAGAGTGCACTATCCGCTCTAATTTTTGTACCAACTAGGTCACTTAATGAGTTTCCATCTTCATTTTCAAACTTCCTATAAACACTCCAGAGTTTGGACACAATCAAAACAAACAGGAACTATGTGAAACTGCTGTATCTCTGCTTTGCTTGCTCTCTGCCTGCAACAGACATAAATGTTAAGTGTATCTGTTTCGTATGTTATACGAACTTTAGTAGCAGTGTAGTAGCTAGAACGAGGGCAGAGACTCACAGTAAGCAAGGAGATGGAAATATACAAAATCAGACACCTTTCTGCACATTTGATCAAAGCTGAGGGTATATCTATTAATCTTTTTATGGTTCTGGTTCTTTTATTAACTGTGAAACAATTACAGAGTAACAACTTATTTCCCTGTCTGTTCACTGTTTCTTTCCATTTTTGCCACTTGCTCTCTTTATTTTCTGTATCTCATTTGATTATTTTTGTCTCCTTCTTTCACTTCTGCTGCAGCTTTTGGTGAAAAACACCAACATATTGAAAATGTTGGCAACCCAAAGTCATTCACACTTTGTTTGATGTACATTTGGAAACAAAAGATGTTTTCATGAGGTTTCCAACCTGCTTTTTCTTTAGCTTGAAAATCTGCTGCTCCACTTTGGCGATCTCTCTGTCCACTCGGTCCATACTCTGGATCAGCTCTTCCTTGGATAGTTTGGAGGGAGAAGTGTCCTGCTCCTCTCCTATGTGAAGTCCGTGTCCACCTTGAGATGGAGACTCCACTTTGACGGAGAACTGAGACTCCTAAAAAGTAATAATTACAATAATTAAGACTTCTTTAAATCTACAGGACACGATTTTTACAAAAAAAAGAAAAAGAAAAGAAAAAAAAACAGTGATCAAGTCCACTACACAGGGTTATATCCTGCAAACTTCAAAATTCAAAATAGGACCTTTAACTTGGGACTGTGTGTATTTAAAGAAAATACAAACATATACAGGCTTAAGCACCTCGAGGAGACAGAAACTTGTCTTCATTGTGAGGACAGTACTTCTAAAGTTCTGCAAACAGTGACAGCTGACTTAATATCCAAGAGTTTTAACAGACCAGATGGTGAGGAATAAGTCACACCTTTTTGACCTCCACAGTGGCTCTCAGACTGTCCTGTACTGAGTGGGTCATGGGCAGGACGATACCCCCTCCTGTAGGAGGAGTGCGGTTGATGTGAGCCTCAGCAATAGTCTCCATGCGAGGCCTTTTAGCCTCCATGGCCTCGTGCTCCGCCTGGGATGTGATGGAGTGAAACTGCTGTTCGTAACCATGGCGTCTCTCTGGAGGCCTGGAGAACAAAAGTAAACAAGAAATTAGCAGATATGTTAGAGCAAACATCCGCTCGTCTAGATGCATAATTCCCAAACTGTAATCTGAGGACAGCATCCCTGAGGGAGTGCAGAGGGGAAAACAACTCTACTATACAACTCCAAAATATTAAAGAATCTTTATCTTTTTAAAGAATCCTTATCTTTTTTTTTTTTTTTTTTTAATTAGAGGATGCATTTGTTTGTTAGGTGTTCAGGAAGCAGACTGGATAGTTATAATTAAGCTCTTACCTTTCAGTTCCAGGGTGGAATTCAGAGAGTAAAGAGGGTCTCCTTCGACCCTGTGGATCTTGCATGTGAGTCCGATAGTCTGGGACGGTGAAATCCTGAAAGGACAGAGGGACACAGCAAACAACATTGTGAAGTAATGCAGTCAGGTTTGTCTGTGACAGGATGATACTATTTCTCAATTCCTGAAAATGTTGGTCACTGACTGCAACACTATGTACAAACACCCTTACAGCTGTAACACCCACATGAAGGTCAGCAAAAGTTTGGGTTTATACAGAATAAAGTTGTTGTCTTCAGTTGTTTATGATAATGATGCATTTTATTTCTACAGCACTTCATTAGATACTCAAGCCACTTCCTGAGTGCTGGAGAGGTGAGGCTGGCACTGGAGGAGCGGAGACTGTGAGCAGTGCGGCAGTGGAGCAGGTTGTGTCTGCGCACAGTGTCTTGTATTGTTTGTAAAAAGATTTTAAAATGTTTTTATTATCAGGCAGTAGACATTTTATTTCAAAGATGATATTAGACAGAGTTTATGGGCATACCATCATCACATTGCAGCTGCCGGTCTGATAGGTGCAGGAAAGGGAGAAAAAAAATGGACAACTGAGCACCGAATACAACCTCTGCATTCGATTTGGCAGCATCACAGGGTTTGACCAGAAGACAGAGAGAGTCAGCAGATTTTGACAAGGCTGTGCGCAAGATTTACACGGAGATGGTGACGGCTACAGATAGGAACATTTCAAATTTACAGGTCCATCTCAGGATCAATCACCTGTGGACTGCTGCAAAATGCTTCAAAACCCCAGAGTCCAGAAAATAAAGAGCCGCATGCAGATTGTGAGCACCATTTGCAAATTCATACGCATGAGTTGCAGTTTTTGTTTCCTTTCCCCTGACATCTGTGGGTAATGGCACGCTCCTTTGCTCTTGCTCTTTCATCCAAGCTCTTTCGCTCGCTGTCTCTTTCAAAAGTTATTTTAAAGTCATTGAAAGAATAATTAGTTCCTGGTTTTAGGCAGGACTGTATGTAAAGAAACACTCAGTGTGCTTCCAATTTAGAGGATGTTTTTTTTTCCTCTGAAGCCCTACAGCATGATTTTTAATTAGTCATGGCTATACATACACATGGGAAAAATGTGGAGAAGGTTTAACAGTATAGACTCTATCACTAAGAATCATCATTGCCTGATAATGATATGAGTTAAGTAATATTTTAGCCGCTTTAGGGAATGAACTAATGCAGCAGAAAGTCTGAGACAAAATCACAAACACCGTACAATGTTTTAAACGTTGGAACATAAAATCAAGCAAAATCCTCTTAGTATCCAAGTTCCCTTATTGTGACTTCAAGCTAATGAACAAACTCAACTCAGAGAAATTACTCGCAAACTCAAGAAATAGGACCATCAAAAAGAACATAATGAACAGACTTTATAGATGTAGCAGCAACAAATCACACTGACAAAGAGGCGGGGTGTCTACATCGTTCAAATGTGACAGTTATGCCTCCGTTTTGATCGATACGCTCACTCTGCCTTCATTTACTGGAACTTCATCTGTTCCACTGTGAGCTATGGGTGCTGTTAGCATTTATCTGAGGACCATCCTGGTGGCCCAGGGGCTAAAAGTATTGACCATTTTATTGTCATTCCCCCGGTTTGAGTTCAGCCAGGAACCATTTGTTGAACGCCCCCCCTCCCATCCAACATAATTTCCTGTCACCGTACCAAATCTAATAAAGGCCGAATTCGTTAATGAACTCAGCAACTGTCGCTCTGAGTACAAAACAAAGACACAATGTCAGCATTTGGGTGCCTAATTGCTTAAAATTAAAAACTAATTAACTGTGCTCACCCCTCTCTAGCAAGTTTCACACGTTTCTCAGCAAGTTAGGGGAGTCTGGGCAGGATTACCGCGTTGCTCAGAAAAAGAGCAAAATTCCATTAAATGGTGTCAAAACTAAGCAGGAAAACAAGAGTAAACACATTTCATAACACTGAGTGAAACCAGAGCTGGCCAAGAAGTGGGGCGACTTTTTCATCAGTGATTAGTAAATCAAATTACTGTAATCAGCAGCTCTACGCCGACCCATAAACCAGAATACATTTTGTTGATTAAAAAAAGTATCAACACGTTTTAGATGAAAGAAAGCTTTTCACACAAAGTTATTGGGTAAAGATCACATCAACACTATCAGCACAGCGTGACCTCCAGACAAACCTGAACAAGCAAATTGCGGTTACAGGAAACATTTCTCAACTCCAGTCTCTTTTTTTTTTCCAGATCTGAGCAAACAATCCGAATGTCCAGAAGTGGACCCCTGACAGTTTCTTTGAAAGTTAACTTCTAAGAAATACGACATACAAAATGGCCAGCAACATTACTCAACATTCACAACGCTGAAACAATATGCAGCCAGAGAGCTCTGTGGAGGCTTTGTTTTCTAAGAGCTGAGTTTAGGAAATGTTTGGTCAATACTAAGAGAAGAATTGAATGTTTTATCTCAGCTGTGTCTTTTTGACAGTATTCGAGTTTGACGATTAAAACACAAACAAAAGGAGCTCATGCCTCTTAAGGTGAAATAACTCACAAACAAGTGAGTCTTATCATAAATGCCACATCAGCCAGCTTCTGAAAATCAGACAGCTTTTACTGGCAGGTTGTCTAATATTGCAGCTGCAGCTATTTTATGGCAGAAAAAAGTCTTTAAGTTTTATGTTAAACAAATCATTAGCCTCTTATACACAGCAACTCCAAAACAGCGCTACAACAGAGTTCAATCATCACAACACCTTTACACTTACACACCACTAGCCTGGCCGGGCCATCCTGTTGCGTGAATCACTTGATGTTCCTTCCCAACATCAAGTGATTCACGCAACAGGATGGCCCGGCCAGGCTAACACACCACACCCTCAAACAGCATAATATTGGTGCAAAAAATAAGAGAAAAAAACTCCAAGGCACTCTCTTAATAATACTAAAATGCCTTTGCTTTTAAGGTCTACATGATCATGCCATTAAAATAAACTTCGACGCGTTTTGGCATCAAGCCTTCATCAGGAAGTAAAGAAAACAGATTATGGTGGGGCCTTTCAAAGAGGTGCTTCTCCAATTGGAGACTGCCACTTGGCCTTAGAGGTTTGACCTGCATCTGGTGACAATATTAATCATATTGTGATGATATTAAGGCTCCTGACTGTGTTTTCATGTCGCATGAGGCACAGTTTGTAAACACATAGTGGGAGCTCCACACTGACACAGTGCTGTGCTGTTCTGCCCTGCCTGCTCCATCACTTCACACCTCCATCTTACCTCCATCCCGCCTTTGTTACCACTGATCAGTGTAATGTCTCATGATGGGCATTGCTATACCGCCGCGAAACAGCAGTATGGAAAAATCAGTTGTGGGCTGGGCAAAGTCAACATGTGAGTCATTGTTTGCTAAGCTGCTAATCTGCTGCTGCAAAAAAAATTAAATACATAAATAAACAAATAAATAAATAAATTCATAAACCAAAAAGGGTAAATGCAACCTTTTTTTAACTGATAGTCAACATAGGTTAAGGCTGTAAGGCAAATAACAACTTGTCATGATCAAACTTAGCGTCAAATTTCTCCTGTGACTTTGTAATTAATGGGAATGAAACAAAATGTTGACACGGCAACAAATCGCTGTCCTGACCTTTGTGATACAACTATTGATGCACTGTGACTAAATGTCAATTTTTGAACTGAATGAATGCAGCTCTCTGAATACAAAGATTTCCCTCCCTGACTTACTGGGTCACTATTTCATCATGACTCCTCTCGGTGGCGCCAATACCAGGTATCAAGGGAACATGAGTGGCAGTTAATTGGTTGCTTGATACCCAATGAAGACCGTGAAATGTTTTACAAAGGTGAAAAGAAGTTACATGATGGACTCTAAAACTGGAAATCCAGAAGGAGAGAAGTGGTTATTCCAGATTTTTAGGGTGAGACTTGGGGAAAGGTGGAGGACACTCCCCAGTCTGCAGAGAGCGTGATACTCTGTAGGCCTGCACGATATATCGTTTGAGCATCGTCTTTGCGATGTACGTGTGTGCGATAGTCACATCACAGAGCCTGCAATGTCGGAGGTGAATGAACTCAGTTTATTTCAAGGGTAGCTGAGTGAGATACACTCCATGTGACTCTGCATGTGCTGTGCAGCGATCCACCAATCACCTTTGTCCTTTACTCAGTTGCCAATCAGACTCAGTTCTCAGTTGCCAATCAGACTACCCTGCCAGCTGTCAATCAAAATCAGAGAGGAGGAAACCCACCCCTGCACATGTTCTGCACATGGAGGTACTCGCTGGCTGCTGGTGTTGAGCCCAGAAACGCGTGTCCGCTGAGAATTACTTTCGGAACTTTACTGACTGTTTAGCCCAACAAATAAGAACCGTATGGGTTTTAAAATGTATATTTCCGTGGACCACTCTACTATAAGCGGTGCGCGTTTTGCGAGGTGCATGCAATTCTCGGAGGACGTGCGTTTGTCGGCACAACACCGCTAACAACAACAACAACGATTGCAAAATGAGCAACGAACAAGAGAAAACCACCGAAGATGAAGAAAAGGAAAGTCAGTTATCTGGAATTATTTCGGTTAAAAGAAGGATAATGTTGACCAAAACACGTGTTCTGTGTTCATCTGTCGCCACAATAACGTCCCAGCACAATAAAAGCTAAAAATATCTCTGAGACAGACAGAAGCCATTCTAACATTCACAAAAAGAGGTAAGATCAGAGCAGGTTAACTGTCCTCAAGATTTCAGGGGTGCAGCACAACATTAAATGCTATTCAGGACATCTGGTGAAAATTCCTTTATTTTTAATATCGCAATATATATCGCAGGGTTGAAAAAAATCGCAATGTGCAGCCTTAACTGACAGGTGGACTGTATCGACCTCAGAACGCTTCAAGATAACTACTGCCAGTCTTACTAAGGGTAAGTGAGAAATGCATCTCTACATGCAACAAACCAGCATGATGCAGAGGTGCCTCATTGGCAGAAGATTGACTGACGGCTGACTGAATGGAAGCTGACTAAAAAAGGACTTTTCTATACTTACTGACATCACAACTGCAACTATAACATGAACAAAATTACAGGTTGATACAAAAACAAGTTTATATTTTCAAGTTTAGATATAAGATGTGAGGTTAATTTTCACAAGCTGGTTATGTTTGTTCTAGCACTATATGTACTTGTTTTTTCATGTGCCTTTTATTTTTTGCACTAATTTTACAGCTTTTTCAAAAATTCTTTGGACTCAATCAAAGGCTAAAACTATATTCATCTCATTAAAGTACAGCAAATCAATACATTAATCCTGAACCTCGCTTTTTTGGAAGCATTTTATATTCTCTAATTAACTGTAATGTGTTATGAGACTGCATTTCAATATATCATTTATACTGTAGCATAACATCATCATTATTTTGGGCCAGGTGTCTCACATCCCATATCACGTACTGTGCATGATTCCAGATAACTGACCTAAATGTCTTTACAAACCTCTATTCAAGGAATCATCCTTAATATCAAGAAGAAAAATGTTCCTCACTCAAGATTTACCACACAAAACAAAAGTCTTTAATCTAATCAACTACAACATGTCAGGTAATTTCCAAGCCCAAATCTGCTATTAGAACAATCAGACAGTATTTGGCTGGAATCTGAAACTACACAGACACTGCTCTGGATCGGAGACTGCGGTAAATATTTGGTTCTAGGAAGACACACTAAAAGGTCAAACCTGGTTTTACTTTAATTCTTACCTATGATAGAGGAAAGCTCGTCAAACACTGAATAAATTAGTAGCATAAATAAAGGACATACGACGGCGTAACTTGACATTTAAGAATCTAAAACACTGCGTCAATATTTTCTGTGTAAAATATCTTAATAGCGCTTCATATAAATATCTGTAAATAGTGACAGCAGCAAAATGTCACATGCCAAATGCCATATGAGCGCATACCAATAAAACTCTGCTCGTCAATAAGATGTCATGTAGGACTCAGTGTACTGTGAAGTTCACCATGGCAGGTGCACGCTGGAGTGCATCACCTTTCCTCCTGTCTAACCGTAAAGAGCTAGAATACATTTTCCTTCTTTTTGGGGGGGTTTGAGGAATGACGAGCACATCACTTAGCTTCTAATCAAAGCTGTCTGACATCCACTGTCTTCTGTGCAGGTCAAGCTGCTTTATTTATGTCATTAACATCAACACAATGCTTCATGAAGTAGGGATGTGGTGAATCAAACTGATAGGGAAACCTATTTATTGACAACCATTCATTCAAATATATCGCTAATATCATTAGTTTGTCATACCCCTAACACTGTCCATTACAACAATGCAGTAGGAAGGTCTTACCTGTTGGTGGCGTGCGCCAGTGAAGGTGTACTGGACAGAATGGGGCGGGTACCGGCTCTGCTCGCTGCTGAAGCTCCCCTGGCTGGTGGGGTAGCCCGAGCTACTGGACATCTTGGCTCAGTGCAAGCGGGCTGCTGCTGCTTCACAGATCCCAGACCTCAGCTAGACCATGTTCAGAGTCACAAACCACCTGCATCAAAACAGAAAAACCAACCATGTTACAAGTCAACATTAAGGAGAATCAAAACCTGAAATGCCTTCACCTAAAACTCTTAAAAAGTCGTCGCACATCTATATCTCTTAGATTCGAGTGGACTAGACTGATTTAGGTTAATAAGCGTTCCAAACGAAACTTTGTCTAATGTCTCACTACATGCATAACTTTTAATGAAATGTAGGTCCGGATAACACTCCCATCTTCAGTGGTCCTTGTATTTAACATGCTGTAAAATGAATCTAAACTGAAAAATGAAAACAAGCAGTGTAAAAGTAAACCTTATAGAAACAATGCTGTCATGGATGATGTCAGAATGTGCACTTATGGAGAAGCTTATGACTGTACGGTATGCTATCAAGTTCACATAAACTTCTTCACAAAAACATTACACAAGAACATGCCTTAGAATTAAATGGTAATTTTATATGTTCATACAGTTCCTGAATAATTCAGAGTTTATGAGCAGGTGAGTACAGGCTAAGAGCACTATCTCACTGGTATCACCTTTTTTTTCAGTTTTGACCATAACAATAAAGTCTTATCCAAAACACAGCCATCTAATCTCTTATACCCGGAGCATACTGACTGCCAAAGCAGTATGTGCGTAGGGCAACCTCTTGCTTTTCATTATAGTGCTCATGGTAACAGGGCAGTCACACAGCCAGCTCAGGCTTCTCCTTAGAATAGGCCTCAGACCCATTTTTTCCAGCTTCTAGTTTTTTCCTGCATTTACACGGTGAAAATGTTGATCTCTGTTAGGAACCAAATTTGTATCCAGTTTAACAATCCCTACAATTATAAACCAATCAAGTGGGTTGTTTGATACATTTTGGTAAACTATATTGTGCCTCTTTGTTTTCCTACAGTCAATGCCTGATATACTAGTAATATATACGGCTATAGCTCCCTCCCTCACCTCCAGATTCTGAAGTCTTAAGTCAAAATCTGTTTGCAGACATTAAAGAGGACACATGACTTTCTGACACCTGCCGCTGAGCTGACAGATACTCCTTGGTCATTACTGGAGCTGGCAATCATACAACACTAGTTATAAACTCTTGTAGGCCAATCAAAGGCTTTCATGGACGTGCTACTATGAAAGGCATGGGGGTTTACAATAAATTCACAATAAGAAATATGATCAAGACAACTGTCAGCAATGTAGCATATCTAAGAAACACAGAACAAACTATATGACATAAGGAAATCAGAGAGTTCACACCGACTATATACCACTATAGCTGCTAAAAGCAAGAAAGAAAAACTGCTGGTGTGTGTACAGGCAAATCAAAGCTCACTATATCATGGCCGCTCAAGAGGATCAATAATTTGATAAAAGTGACTGTGGATTATTCCCTGAAATCAATTTGTTTCCTGGACTTTCATTTTAGAAATAGCAAACAGACTTTAGCACCCAGGTGATTGAAAGCAGCAGGTATGTAGTGTGTGTGGTTTAGCTCAGCCTCTGTTCCCTCCAGTGTCATCACATTGGTTGTGATGTTGGTCAGATCTTATTATGTAGTCTGCCAGGTACAGTCTCAGCACAAATTTATGACTCTGCTCGTCTAATGTGACACAGTGACCATCGTAACAGACAAAAAGGTCATGTAGTCTGACCTTGGTATGAGTAGGTTTACTCTCTGATTTTTATAAAGTATAACGCATCTCATATATGCATATTTTCATATTTAAAAGATCAGGAAAAACAAAGTGTTTTGTCTCTGAACAACCCAGCTGTCCTTCCATTCGAAATCCACTCAATGAGCTACAGGATCAAGTGAATTGATTGGTCAGTAGGCGTTGTTTTTATACAGGTTGATCTCTTATCCTGAGCATAACCTGCTCCAGAGCAGGTAAGATGCAGTGCAAGCTTGAGGCATGCTGTACCCTGATGGGAACTAAAATTTAATTACCCATTCAATCATTACACAACGTGTTAATGGAGTAAAAAATAACCAACCTAAATATATCATTAACTTTCCACCCTTGCTTATGTAAAGAGCTCTTTAGCTCAAAAACAAGACCAGGTGAAACATCTGAGGCTGGATCATCTAAGGTTTTGTAAACAGCTCTCGCATGGGTTTTGTTTGTTCTTGGAAGCTAAATGTTCATCAGCAATTTTCTTATTAATATTAGTTCTGATAAATGTCTGTAGGAACATGCAACATAAAAATACTTGGACAGTTTACTATGTTTGTGTCAAATAACATAAAAAATGCTTCTGCAAGGACAAATCGCCTGCACACTTCTGTGCTTGACTATTACAGCACTTAACCACTGCCTAGTTTCTCAAAAAGGGTTTGGTGTTTTTCTTGTTTCATTTTCTCACACTTTTACTAAGGTACTGTGCTGTCTCTGTACCATGTGGACATGAGGTGTATCAAGATGCCAAACTTAAGAGGGGCACAAATATAGAATGGTTATTGTTTTCAATGATCTTGGTGTGTTGCTGGTGTTAGTTACGTCTCAGAGTACCATGTTAAGAAGGAGCTTGGTAAGCTACAGGCCTCGTTACTATCTTTCATAAGTTGAGATAGGAAATGTTAACAGAAGAGGTTTCAGGTTGATTTATTTACATACAGGACACTCTAAAAGACTGAATTTCAATCACAATATCTTGGGGGAAAATGCAATAGAGCGGCCTGAACACCGTGGATGATTAGGTATCAAATTCTTCTCTAAATTTTGGAGCAAACTACAGTATTTAGAGCATACATATTTATCAATTGGTCATGCATTTCTATCTCCATGAGAAACAATATACCACCTATCACTGTGATATGCTGGGGTGTTGTTTCATATGAAGAATGTTTTATACATCCTGAATTCCTGGGACTTTCATTAACTGCTATCAGCTGTGGTAAAAAGGGTAAAATCTCAAACCTTACTTGATATGATGTACATATCTACAAATCATCGGTGTTTCAAACTCTGACTGTATTATCCATTACTTCAAAATAAATCCCTGTTGTTATCTAATCTGATCTAAGCTTGTCTCACAATGGAAACAATCTTCTAACTTCATCTACACAAACCTGTTATTAAGGGAGAAAGCAGCAGGTTTATTTCCTAACTAAAAAGGGCATGCACACAAAATTATACTATGAATAACTACATTACTTATAATGCTTTGCAACTGAAAAAAGGGCAGTTTTGTTTGATTTATGGAACTTTTGGGAAGCAAAAACATCCTGCCAAACAAACACTGGGAACTTCTGAGCTCAGTGGTTGAAATAGTATAATACCATTATCGTATTTTTGGCTCTTGGACTCAATTGTCTCAGTGATCTATCTAATGAGTTTGCATTCAGTTGGCTCTCTTGTTTTTAATTTAGTTCGGTAAGATTTACAGCTTGACCAGCATGCCAAGACATTTTGATGCTTCCTTCAGGGTTGGAAAGCTACAACAACCTCCACCATAACCAGGGCGGGAAGCCGTTATGTTATTTTGTTTCAGGCCACAGCTTAGTGCCAACTTCTCTGTTACCAAAATTACATATGACATGTCATGGATATTTTGATAAAGTGCCAGTAGTGTATCTTTCTTTAACTGAAACTAATAAGCTTGGTGAATGAAACAGAGTGTATCTCCAAATAACTGAATTGTGGTATTATTGTCAATGTAAGCTACATGCTGAGTAATTTGTGGCATCATAAGCTACCCTGCCATCCCCACTACAGCTCGGTTGACGCCCTAAACCTCACTTTTTGTTAAGTTTTATGATGTTTCTGTTGAAATTGGAACTGTGAAGTGTTTTTTAACTGAAAAATAAAAGCAAGAACTAGAAACCCTGTATATTTTCTTCGGTGCCCCAATTAAAAACAGAGAGTGGGGTAGGGGTCTTAGACAGGACTTGCCTCCTCACTGTATTAACTCACATTTCCTTTTCTCAGAAACTATTAGGGCACACTAACGTGGTACCCACATGAATGTGCTACTGCAGCCACGCTAAAAGATAAGAGGAACCATAATCCTTCCTTCAGTTTTAACCTGTTTTATTTGCTAGAGCTCCAAAATCATAATCCATTTCAGTGACCTAAACACAGTTCAGTTATCATGCATCCCTGCTTTACTCCTATAACATGGAGCACACATGCAGACAACTGTGGCTGAGACTGCTTTTGCCTCTGGGTGCTCCCCTTTCTCTGCTGTTTCCACTTCCACCAAAGTATCATGATATTTAGCAAAGGGGTTTCAAGCATTTAGATAAAAGTTGAAAATCAAAAACGTGTTGTTTCACTTATATTCCACCATTAGTTTCTGTAGATGTAGTTGTAAAGCACTTGCAGGTCTTTCTGTGGTGATTTCTGAAGAAATCCAGCAGCCGTGGTAAGCTGAAAGGCCTCATGGACATGAACAGTTAGAGATGCTGCAGCTGTTTTGTGTTATTGTTGCCTTTAAACTCCACACTGTCATATAAACGCATTTGGATTTGTAGCTTATCTTGGGGGATGGGACTGTTTCTGCGACCAAGTGCTCTGTAGAAAATGCATCCCAAACGCAACGTGATGAACGTCAACTACAAACTACATGCAGCTTTATCCCTTCTGTGTGCTCAGACAATGTTTAAGATGTTGTTGTTGTTGTCGCTAGCTTGCTAACTCAGCCTGTATTTCACCTTTGAATTCTCAACCACGTCGCCATCTTGCAAGGCAGATTTTCAGCGTAGACCGGGGCGCTAAAATAGCGTGCTAATTAAACATGTTACCTTGCTGTATCCAAGTCATTTGTACTCACCTCATGTTTAGAAAATATACCGACGGGAGAGAAAGGTTTCTCCGGACAGAAATATGTGTCAATTGTTGATTGTAAATCCGCGGGTTGCGAGCTCTGGACGACTAAGCAGACCGAAGGCTGCGCCGCATTTGTCGGACGATATCCTTAAAGGGTGAAAAAACTAATTCTACGTCGCTAATATTCTATGAGTACCAGAAACCTGCAACAAATATTCAAACTAATAAAAAGGTAAAGATAAGATATTGGCTCCCTAATCAGGCGGGTAGAAAATCTTTAAATCAGTTTCTCTGAGATTTATATTTATAAATTTTATGCACCTTTCAGGAAGACAGTGTGTTACATTTAAATCTTCCCCCAAACGCTGTTGTGTTCCTGGTGCGTGTAATTTTCCCCCCTTTAAACACAAATTTGTCCTAATTCAGGAAATTTTCACCTACATTGTCCATTTCCTTATTTATTCACATCAGAAAATAACTGACCATGATATATTTGTATTTGTTCTGTTAGTTAGATCATTTGAACTCAAATGAACATATGTAGCGTTGTGAACGCCTAATGATCAAAATATTTTATCCCGGAGCTTGAATGAGATACCTTGTTGCACTAGACCTAGTTATTATACTAATTAGACTCTTAAAACAAGTCTTCTGCGATATATTGTCACGCCAAATAAAATGTTGGGTTCTTTGCCATATGGAACCATGTGTACATTTATATTTTGTCCTGACACGGAATGAATACTGTAACGGTCAAAATAATGAGTGTTTACCTGATAGTCTTCGTTGTATTATCCTATCTGGTTTTGATAAAATGCCTCTATTATCGGCATCGGCGCTCTTTAATGAAGTCGTTGAGTCATGTAATGGGTGTTTTATCAGACAGGGACACACACGCAGCGGATCTCAGAGCTCTAGTTGTAACTGCCCATCCGGATGATGAGTGCATGTTCTTCGCGCCATCGATCATCCAGCTGCTTGATTTGAATGTGAGCGTCTATCTGCTCTGTTTGTCCGAAGGTAAGGAGATACTGGGCCTTTGTTTGCTTTCATAACGTCAATTGAGGGATATGAAATGGTCTTATTATTCACGTGGCTTGCTGCGACTGAGTTTCAGTTTAGCTCTGTTTACTTTCGCCTTTTTTATATAATAATAATAAACCATTGAAGATGCGCTGTTTTTCCAAAAAGAGACTCGAATTCTTCTGCAAGTTCATGACATGACTCTGTCAAACATTGAGCAAAACACCACACCTACACTCTTATGTTTGTATTTCCATTATGATCGAAATTAGCTGTCGTGACTAAAATCTTTCACATCCATAGTCATTGGTACAAACTGGTTCTGATGTATCTTAAAACATATATTCTTATAACCACATACTTAGATAAGATAAGAAGAACTTCGTTAATCCCCGAAGGGAAATTCAATTGTCTGTTGTCTCACATAATATAATAACTTTATTTATGTAGCACTTTTAAAAACAGAAGTTTACAAAGTGCTTCGACAACAGTTGCAAAGCACAGAACATCAGCACATGAAAATAAAGACAAATAAAAACAAAAGCTCAGTTAAAAACAAGGCCTCCGAATTGAAGGCCAATTTAATTTTTCATAAGAAACCCAGGCAATACAAGAACCCCACAGCGTAAAATGAGACCACAAGGACCAAAATAAAAACATAAAATAGGTAAGAAGAAGAGATGAAAAAGAAGAGGGGGGCAGAAAGCAGGAAACAGGATAGTAAGTATAGAAGAGGATATTAATAATGACAATACAATCATAATAAAATAATGATGGTAATATTAATGATTAAATGGAATAATAAAATTGAGCAGGAAAAAACATTATAATCAATAAAGGACCTGAAAGGTAAAATAAGAAAAGATTATAAGTAAAACAAAGGCTAATGGGATAGTAAGTTGAAATAAGATAGAGGTAAAAGAGATAAAAGAAAACAGAGAAAAGACGACATCACATAAAAGCAAGTCTCTAAAAGTGAGTTTTTAAATTCAACTGTCTCTGCGCGCCTTATCTCCTCTGGTAGGTGGTTCCAAAGTCGAGGAGCTCTGATGGAGAAAGCTCTATCACCTTTAGTTTTGAGCCTCGACTTTGGAACGACCAGGAGGCCTTCGCCAGAGGATCTGAGGCTGCGAGTTGGCTCATAAGGTATTAAAAGCTCTGAAATGTAGCTCGGAGCGAGTCCTTTCAGCGTTTTAAAAGTAATCAATTAAATCTTAAAATCAATTCTAAAACTGACAGGAAGCCAGTGAAGGGAGGCTAAAATTGGAGTGATGTGATGCCGTCTACTAAAACCAGTTAATATGTCTCTAAAAGTTATCTATTATTTACACAAGAGTTTTAAAGTCTAATGGCTGTTGGTGCAAAAGATTTTCTGAATCTTTCTGTCCTGCAACGAAGAGAGGGGAGCCGTCCACCACCATTGGCCCTTTGGTCCATCAAGGTGTTATGAAGTGGGTGATCCATGTTCTTTAGAATAGACTCCACCTTCCTTAGTGTAGAATAAAAAAGTTCGGGGATTAATAAAGTTCTTCTTATCTTATCTTTTCTCATCTTAATAATAAATAAATCAGAATAGTGTTTCAGGATTTGCTTGTGTTTCATTAGAGGCAACTAAATCACTCCTCATGCTCAGTGTACTGAATGCTGTATACAGAGATGCTTCTCCTAGTGATCAAATAAAATCTCTGGAGACAGACTGGGAATTATCTGAAGGCTGAAGCTGGATCATCATTGAGCTGATATTAAGATGACAAAAATGAAGCAACCAGCATTTCTCAAATACAGATGACAGAAAGAAAAGAAGCACTATGTTGAAAGAGATAACTTCAGCATGGACTGTAAAGCTTAAATCCTGAAAATGTCGGTACAGGTGGTCCTTTGTGCATAGCCAGCAACCTACAAACTGTTAAAGCCATACAAAATGTTGAAAGATGGAATCTACTAATCAGTTATTGGAGGAGTGTAAACTCCTGTGATATGACTTTCCAGTTGTGTAAACCTGGTGAAACTTTTAATCTCAATATGATGGTTTTGGCCTGCACAGGTGCAAGTTGTGCTCTCTACAAGAATCTCATCCTGCTCAACAGTCATATGTATCACTCCTGTTATTTATTTATTTGGTTTTTAAAAATGAATTGTTTCAGCATGTAGTCACTCACTTTTTTTCAAACCAAACCACCAAAGTAGTAGTTTAAGACTCTATGACTGTCTTCATATACAGCCTTCATGCTGAGCAGGTCATAAAGGGATTTTTGAGTGTGTTATAGCCAGCTAAAACGTCACACAGGAGCTTTAAGAAAGCGTGCTAAGTCTTTGCAAATTTAGTTTGCAAATATTTCATAACATTACATAAGACTAGGAGAAAGGAAAAAAGATAAAATCAGTGAATGTAGTGAACAGTTTCATTCACAAGGTTTTCAGCTACAGTCAGTTCTGCTCAGGAATGCTTGTCAATATTATTGTTTATATAATAAGACAGAAAGGCTTAAAAAAGGCACTCGTTTTTAGTGATACACTTAGAGCTACATAGAAACTTCAATATCTTGATTCAGTCTTTAAAGTTAAAGCTTTGACCCATGTTGCCCAAAGCTACGAACTCCCACAGTTAAGAGCTTTTTGTAAATAACTTCTTAAAGGACAAAAAAAGAGATTTTAATCCATTCATATTCTGTGCAGCTCTATTTTTTCATCTCAAGCCAGCCTAACAGATTTTTTTCGCTGATTATTTTCACAAAGTGAAATGAAAGATGTATTTTGAAATCACAAAGAAAGTTTCATATTACCCCTGATCTTAATCTACCATCAGGGTTTAGACTTGTTTTTTAGAATGATTTTCAGTACTGTACATCAAAAGATTCATTTGTCTCATTGTAATTCAGGAAACTACTACAATCAAGGGGCTCTGCGTAGACAAGAACTTCTGGACAGCTGTGCCGTGTTGGGGATACCAGACTCCAGAGTCACCGTAATAAACCATAAGTAAGCTGCCGTCTTCACAAGACACTAAGTGTATACATGATAAGTTTAAATATGTGTGCATATAGAGTGGAGAGCACAAATTTAGAGAACATGCACATATCTGAACATGTCCATTCCTGCATTCCTGATGCTTTAGGACCCCCCCCCCCCCCCCCAGAGTCCATCAGAACAAATCGAGAGTTGACCACAGATTACGTCCATTCAGGGTCATTACAAGAGCTGATCAGCCCAGTTGGATGCATGACCTCTGTGTCATAACTTGTGTTCCTGCTGTTAGAGAGAAAGAGCTCCAAAAGAGAGAAAATTCCAGGCTTACATTTATGTGCTCATCCTCCTATCAATACATCTCACTGCAGCACTTCGGTTTATTTCCATTTCTTTGAAGCCTTAGCAAAGCTGTTTTTGATATGTTTTTCATTTTTCATCTAACCTATTTAAAAAAATATATCCTATATTTCATTTCTATTTTAGAAAGAGTAAGAGGATTAGTTCAAAGCAAATTAGTCTCACACTCAAAGTTTGACACAGAAATGTAAAATTTCACGAATGGTAGTTGAACTTTTGTTTTTTGTTTTTTCTTTAAAGAACCAAATTATCACCTACACCAATCGGGTTGTTGATGAAGAAAATTTTGTTTTTTGTGTCGAATGTTTTGGTCACCATTAAATGCTTTAAATGAATTACAGAAACAGCTGTATTTTTTTAGTGTATTAGTAAATTTCGCAAAGTTAAACAGAGTTTGTGGACATTGTCCTTACAAGTTTCAGCATCAAACAAAAAAAGAGCAGAAACTTGTAATTGTACAGACTCTTGTGGAAGTTTCTCCCCTGATTTCTGCTACATTTTGTTTGGTTGTTGATGCAGCTGTAAGACTCTCAGTCTTCTGGCTCTGGCTATTGGCAAGGTCAAGTTACAGAGAAAGTAGTGGTACAAGGTGATGTTTAAAAGGGGGATTTTTTTTTCCTGTGGATCAACCCTGCAGCTTTCCTTGAAAATGTTTAGAGTTTCTAAGAACCGCGGGGCCGCCTACATGTGAGTCCCTACATGTTGGCTCAGCAGGAGAGCTGTATGAACTCTGGTACTAACCTGGAACTCACAGTAATAAGCTGGCAGCCAGCCCAGGTTGTCTGCCCTACAGAACATTATTGTGTGTGTGTGTGTGTGTGTGTGTGTGTGTGTGTGTGTGTGTGTGTGTGTGTGTGTGTGTGTGTGTGTGTGTGTGTGTGTGTGTGTGTGTGCATGCACACTTCCCAGTTTTATCATCTTGTGCACACAGAATTCAGCTGAACTTTGATCTTGGTGCTGTCTGCACTTCTGCTGAACTGGAGTGTAGCCCATTTTCCTTTTCTGTGTATTCTGTTGTTTGCCCAAAACACACACCTAATCAGCACTTTGAGAGCCCCAGCCCCACTCTCACACAACCAGCCTCCCAGCCCCACCCCCCTACACCCCAACCCTCCATCCCCTCTTGTCCATGTCTGCTGAAGCCAACTGCCAAGGACTGTGGGATAAATTTTGGCAATCCTCTGAGTGCAGCTAATGTAGGTCATTCTGAGCTGTTTTTCTCTTTGTGTGTCTGTACATGGCTAACCACACTTTGGCTTTGCTTCTAACTACTCTGCTCAAGTATGTGCAGATGGACACCCTGGGCTTGACCTCTTGTTTTTCTCCCTGACCATTTTATTGTGAACAAAGAAAGTTTCTCACCTCAAGGACTCGAATGAAAGAGAAACAAGAGCCCTGACTGCTGTCGGACATTTAGAGCCCAATCAATACTGATGTAAGGAGGGGGAATTATTGATTTCATACATGATGGTCATTCTTAGTTTCAATAATAATAACAATAAATGTAGACATCTATCTAGTTTGTGCATAGATTTTCTTACTGACATAAAACTGACTTGTTTCTTATCACAACACAACAACCATGTCATAATGAGGCACCGCCTTTGTCATGCTTCCACTCTACAGTGGTTCTATTTGGCATCACAACCCACTCACCATACATCATCTGACTAACTTCCTAACATCTAAATAAAAATACAAAAATTGACACTAAGTTTTGTTCCAGTGATGATATATTGATTTTATAATGGTTAATAGATAAATACAGTTTTCATTTACTTGTCTTAATATATTAGCCTGCTTTGCAGTTTTTATTAAATTACATTAAACTGAAAATGGGACCAGACGCAGCAAAGCACCACACATACAACATGCAGCTGTGTGCTACACAATATATACAGAAGACTAGATACGCCAGCACGCAGTAGCAGCCCGCTAAGCGATGTCCCTACGTGGCAGCCATCTTGGCGGGGGTATCATTCCTATTAAAGGCAGTGCATGTACATTGAAAGTCAATCATATCTTGCTCATTTCTCAACTTATTTTCATGCTGTTTCCTTTATTTTCAACACCAAAACTATTCATTTACTATACATAATAATGTCTGCCCAGCAGGCCTATCTCTCCACGCTCGTTTTAGACCGTGTGAAAAAGTTTTCAAGTTCCTAATAAAGGAAGAAGTTAATGTGTTGGGTTTATTTTGCTGGCTGTACCGGAAATGTACCAAAATGAGACTCCATAAGTGTGATCCAATTTTTTTTGTATAGATACACCCCCATATGCTAATTATCCATAAAATTGAGGAAAATGCAATCTGCAACCATGTAACAAGTTCATAGCTATGCTATATAGTCTTCTTTAAATGTATCACTTAATGAATGGCCAGTGCTGTGATTCATGGGTGAACAAGCTCAGAATCCTGATTTATACTCTTTTTTTTTGTCTTTATTTCCTTACATTGAACCGTTTTGGCTGTAAAACCTGCCAAATCTTTATAGAACCAGGTAACTGTAGAAGTTTGGGGTAAAAATAGGATCAACTGAGTTTGCATATTTTTTCTTCTCCTGTTTTTGCAGCTGTGAAACAGTGCCCTTGTTAGCTTTAGCAGTGTGGGAAACAACTGCTGTATAGACCAACAGAAACAAAATCACTGTTTGTTTGGTTTTTCTACCAACCCATGCCGACTTTAGATGGATAAAGTGTAAGACAATAAAAACTGGAGTTTAGTGCAGCTCAAATAGATCATTTGCTGTGCTGATCTCCAGAGAAATCTCTGGTGTTTTGAAAGCTTTCATTGTAGTCATCAAAGATAACACAAAGCCTAAAACAAGCACAGTAGCTATAAAAATGAGCTCCTTGGCTCAGGAACTGAGATTTTTATGAGATTCTATCAAAGAACCAAACAAAGAGCCAATCCTTAGAGTTTTAAGGCTCAAAATCTTTGCTTTGAGTTTGTATGCCAGGCGGAGTAAGATTGTTATTGTTACCCAAACACAAACCAGGAAGTGTGCAGGGACTTGGGTAGTCAGCGCTGACAGTTGTCGCAACCTACTTAGTGTCCCTTCGGTTTGGTTGTTCGCTTCTTTAACAGTTATGCACAAAAACTCCCTAACATGAGGTTCTGTCTGATAATATTGCTTCTGCTACTGTCTTGATTCATTAGACTGTATGCAATCGTGGAAGCACAATGACAAGCCTGTAAGAAGAAGTAGACGCATGAGATTTGGCCTTGTTTAGGGTAATGAAGCTCTTTCTCTTTAAATTATATTATCAATTAAATGTCCACTGACCCACAGTTGGCAGCATCATGCAAAGATACAGCGCAGAAGAAGAGTGTCAATGGGCAAATGATGCATGAAACCAGTGCTAGGTTTTATATGACTGGAAAGTAGAGTCAGGGGTAATATATTGAATCCTTGAACTCAATGAAAAAGAAAGCGTTTTTGTAAGTTTAGTAAATGTATGAGCAACTTTTGTGATAGTTGTCTTACCAAAGGCTCCATTAAATTGGGATTATCTTAATTCAAGAAGTCTGACATCAAGCTGTCGTTAAATTTGAGCTGTATCAGAAATAGGTAAAATGTGTTAATATCACACTAGATGTGATGTGGAGCTGCATTATTTAAGTGCACGACCATCACTTTTACTATTCAGTGGAATGCACTGGATCCTCTTGACTTTTGTTTTTCAGAGAAAACCTTAAATAGACTAATTTCCAGTGAGAGGTTTAGTCACTCATTACTGTAGCCTGTGAAATAACAGGAATAACACGTGAATTCTGTTTTAAAACAGGATTTTCCCTTTAATGCTCACTGAATAGGACAGCTGTGTTGACAGTATCTGGGGCCCCAGTGCATGTTGGGGCCTTTGTGATCAAGCTCGATCTGAGCACGCTCTGCTGCCTCTCCACTTGCACCGGCCTGACCTCTGTCTGCTCCCTGGACTCCATTAGAGCTGCTCACTGCACAAATCCAACCGTCCCACTTCTTCATCACATTATCCATCAAACTTAACAGTGAACCCCCTCTTCTCCCCTTGAGCACACGCATACACACACACACTCACACCTCCTTTATTGCATACTCTTTATTTCCAGGATATCAAAGTTTGGAAAAAACTTTTTATGCAGAGGCACTGAAGACTTTTTAATTGGCTTAGTTCAAGTTCTCTGCAGGGATGTAAACAGAGAGTTAAGCGCTTCTCTCTGTTCTGTATGACTACACAATGTTTAAATATACATTGATCAGAGGTAAAAATAGCTGCAGCTGATTTATAAGCACATGGCGGGCCGCGGTGAATAGCAGTGAGATGTTCCAGCCTTGTCACTGACCTCTGGCTGTGCTTTTATCTTGGGTACATTTGTCACCAGTGCACACGCACATACATGCACACACACACGCACGCACGCACACACACACACTCTCAGAGCGGCTTTTAGCTTAGTCAAACGGTTGTTTTTCCCATTTACTCCCCCCAACAGAAAGCAGTATTTTGTCACAGTAGATGCTTTTTTTCTGCACTACTCGTTTTGATAACAACACCATAAAGATTCATTTTCAGGATTATTTTCCCAGCTGCTTTTTACTTCAACATGGATGAATATTGGCAAAAACCTCCTACCACTAATATCTTTTAAATGAGTTTGTTACAACATGTGTGCGCTGGTGTTGTTACTGTAGTTGTAGCGGCCCTATTACAGTGGGACACTGTGGGCGTTCTGTCAGTCTGCAGTGGCATCTCAGCCGTTCCCAGCAGGACATATAATCTGACTGTGTGGACAGAAGTCTGGCAGTTTCACAGGCCTGTGGTCCACGTGACCAGACTAAACAAGCCCTCTCTCACACACACACACTCACACACCCGCACAGACGCACATACACACACACAGAATCCCCTTACTGGGCCAAAGTTCAACCACTGCATACAGATGCCTGCAAGCAATTAGACATCCACATGCAAAGCTACAAAGGGGGGAGCTAGGGAGGTTACTCTAGGACATTTTGCACGGTTGCCATAGCGAAGCTGACAGTCAGCCTACATCCTGCCTGAGAAAGGTCAGGTGTCTTGTATCTTTTGTTCATTTTTCTTTTTCCTCACCCCTCCTCTTTATGGGCTTGCTGTGTTTTTGAGCTGTGTGGCAAAAAGTCTGTAATAATAAATGAATAAATGCAACAGTGAGAAGGCAATGCAACGTTAAAAACAGACTTTGCTGCAGTGTGGAAAAGCTTTGACCTCAGAGTGACATTTTCAAACTAAATATTCATACATTCAGGCCCAAGTCTCACAAAAATACTCTTTTTGTTTTCACAGACTGTCAGTCAGACAGAGAGGAGGACATTTAGCTTGTTTTTATTAATGTAAACAGCATATAACAATTAATATGATTCGATGCAGGGTAGGAGTAAAAAAGTGAAGCAAAGGAAAGATAATTCCAGCTGTTTGTATTTGAGGAAACACTTTCATTTGCAGTTATTTCATATCAACAGTTTAAGCTGTTTTCTTTGTTTTAGTGGTTTCTAAAGTAACATTGACTTAATCCTTTTTAGTTGATTTTTGAGCTTTTATTCCTTTATTGAGAGGATAGGACAGTGGATAGCAAAGGAAATTAAGAGAAAGAGCTTCGAATGACCTGTAGAAAAAGGCCACAGGTTAGAACCCAACCTGAACCCCCTGCTTCAAGGACTGTAATCTCTGTACATGGATGGTGTCCGTGATCTAACTGCTAAGCTAAACCAGTGTTTTCAGTTCTACACTGAATCATAAATTTGATGACTTTGAGGTGCCCTAAAACTCATCAAAGTGATCAGGTCTGGATGTAAACTTTGATCGTTTGTGGATTTCACAGAAAACTTTTTTACAAAGTTTCAAAGCACCCCATTCAAATTCATAAAGGATCCTCATACAACCCCCTTCACTTACAAGAGTGAAATTTGGCACAGTAATCATGTTTGGATTTAAACAAAAACAGCTAAGGCACTCTTCCTGACTCTGATCTATTCCAGCTGAAAGTGTACAGGAAAATTCATCACTGTTTGAGGCTTTAATATTTTGTTCTATTTGCTGCAGTAACTTTCGCTTATTTATTATTTCTCTTATCATTATTATGACTATTGTTCATCTCTTTCTTGATTATTTTAGTCTTACTCCTCCATGATTTAATGGAATTTTCCATTGTTGTCCTTTTTCTGTCCTTGTTTTCCATTTCTTTGTCATTAAAGTTGTGTCATTGTGAAGCATTTTAGGCTGAATGTTTGTATGAATAAGAAGAACCTTATAGATAATTCTGAGCCCCAAATTTAAGAATAATGAAAATATGAATAAATGTCCTTTCACACTTTTTCCACCATAGTCCACTCAAACTCCCCCTCTCTCACAGCCCCCATGTGATGTGTTGCTCATATAGTGTCACACTGGTGCATTCACTCCATGACAGACAGTTTTAAACTATCTCTGAACCCCCGACCCCCCCACCCCTTCTCCCTGTGACATACCCGACCCCCTGCCCCAGCACCCCTTACACCAAAGCCTGACCCCCACATCACTGGCAGCCAATAGATTTGTGACCTAATCCATCACTTCCCTCTGCGAGCTCCACTGTCCCGGCTCATTGTTAGAAAGGGAGGGGAGGGGAGCGACTGTTGACACACTAGACTTTCCAACCTCACCTCATGCACTTATATTTATACACACACACTCTCTCTCTCTCTCTCTCTTTTTTACCCCCTGAAATGCACACCAACTTGTCAGTGATGATTCTGCTTGTCTTAATAAATTAAGAATAAGAATAACTTTATTTGATCTCCGAAGGAAAATTCAATTGTCAGTAGTCTCAGTTGTCATGTGTCAAAAAGAAGTATCTATATGTCTATATCTATCTCTTAGAAGCCTCAAGGGTTTTGGTGGTACAGTAAGTTTAGTTTTCCTTCTTGGTTTGATGCTTGGTTTGAATTTCTTTTCCTTCTTCAGATGTACCGTTTCATTGTCAAGTAGGTCCAAACAGAACTCACATTCACAACATGATCTCAAATCTGAGAACAAATTCTCAATTCAACAAAAGGACAGAAAATTGTCACGAAAACCATAACTGACATAAAACAAGTCACATTTGTGAATTGAAGAGTTCATAGCCACAAGACGGCTAGAGTACTTGTCACATTCAAAGACAGCTTGTGAGACAATGACCCAATACAAGTATGTACCAATAAAAAATGGAAAGTTAAGCAGAGAAATGCTTACTATTGAACAAACACTTCAAATGTAACCCTCAGGACTTTGTTTTGAGTGTGAACTTCATGGACCAGCTCGTCTGATTATTTTTAAACTCCTCTCTCTCTCCTTTTATTTTCTGGTTTCATGACCTCAAGGGGAATCTTAGAAAGCCGTGTTTTTATTTTTCAAACCAAGAATAAAAAATCTGCCAAAAAGCGAGAGCATGCATGTTTAGTAGGCCAATTCTTGTGCTGGCCAAAAGTGATATTTGATGTATGCTTCATTCGCTCCATGTTTCCTCCAGGCTGTAGTTTGTGATGAACGTGATGCTGGGGGCCTTGCAACCCTTGACCCTTGGACTTCCCAGCAATCCCTTGTGTTTGCATTCCTCAACAGCCTTTCTTCAAATGCAGGGTTGAATCTACACTTTGCACAATGAGATTACTCTGCCTTAAAAACACTCAGCATCCTTATGTTTGAGCACAATGCTCCTGAGGTTAGCTTACAGTGAGATAATATTACTGTGCTGTAGTTCAGTTAAACACAGCTTTGGTGATAAATTCATGAAACTATCTTCTTCTCTGTTGCTCTGCAGGAAACTTCCAGATGATCCCAAAGCAGAATGGAGCGTCTCATTGGTCTCCTCTCTGATTGTAAACCACATCAGAGATCACTCCTTTAACATGGTATGTTAAGCCATAAAACGATAAGCAGTAACAGTGTAAGACTGAACAACATCACTGTGTTCTCTCTCTGCTCTGAGTTGTTTCCTTTCAAAGCGGTGGCTTTCCTGTCACTTCCTGTTAGATGTTAACACACAAGTTCCCTGCCGCTCTGTGTACAAAAACCATGTTTTGTTGTGTTTTGTTTTTAACCAAATGTTTTGGCACCACAGTCCTCTCGCTCATTATCCCAGTTTCACTGTGGTCTCTGTAATAATCCTGTCAGCCGCAGCCTCTTTCGCTCCAACTCAGACTGTACTCTGAGCCTCCCTGAAATGAGAGGAAATGGCCTCTGCTGCAGAAAAAAGTTTAGATTCAGTTTCGGTGATTACAGGGAGATTCTTATCGTTCTCATAGTGGTTCTAAGCTATTTGCTAATGGGAATGCAGCTAATTTAGAATCAAAGAATTTCCATCTGGTCTATCTCAACGAGGGCAGAAATAGTCCAACGCTTTGGTGAAGACAAGGTGCAGCTGCAAAAGCCAAAGAAACAAAAATACTTTCAGGAAGGGGATTACATGAAGCTGGGTTCTTGAGTACTTTAATAGCTGATCCCTTTTTCTGATCAAAGATGACAAACAAACACGCCGTCTCCTCCCATCCGGTCAGGCTCAGCAGAGGAAAATACCTCCTGACCAAAAACTAGAACAGAGTATCATCTCCTCTCTGGTTTTAGACATGCAGCAAATCATTTAGATAACAAATACGTGAAGCTAAAAAGTACATCACTGCACGGCTGTAACACTAAATAATGTTACCTTGATCTGGAATCATGACATTTAAAAAAAAATAAGTCAAAGTTCTGCATTATCATAAAACAAACTGTAGAGCTGAACAGACCCCAGGGGTGATAAAATACAGCTCATGTGTTTTCTGTAGCTGAAGGCACTGTGCGGAGTTTTCAACAGAGTTTGAAAAAGTTTTTCTCTGATGCTGATGCTTCCTCATGACCTACAGAGTATCAGCAACAAAATCGCTAAAACGCTGAATTTTAGCGCCTGTGTTTGGGTCTGACACTGAAGCAGCATTAGCAAAAGATGTAAGTTTACTGTTGAAGTATTATTTCTCACAGAAAAAAACTCTACAACCAAGACGTTGGTACATTACAGAACAAAATGGCTGCAAAAAAGATGTAATGCTTTTTGGTGTTAAACAAATCCACCTGGTCACCTTTTGTAAGCCAATTAAGGGTAATAAATCAGGGTTTACAACATGTGGTTGATGCTTTACAGTTAATTTCTCGTAGCTACAAATCTATCTGCATACTGCAAAAAGCTGTCTTGAACATAGTTAGTAAGCACTGAAAACAAAGACCTGCATTCCACTCATTTCTTTCCACAACAAATACACACTTTGGCAAGAGTTACATCTGTATGAAAGTGGGTGATGGTGCTCATGGTGCTCATGGGAACTGCAGTCCTCATCCTGGGAAAACACCTCTGATTTTGTCTGGATGAGTCACAAGAATCCACTGAACATGAAACTCTTCACAAGACCTTTTCAGGGATAGCATTGGAGTTAGAAGCTTGTAGCAGTAAAAATAAAAAATAATATTCACAAGTGTGTTATTACCTGAATATAAAAATCTATTTGTTAACTGATATCTACATAAAGGAGCCATTATCTTGCATTGCCACCTTGCATGTTTCTACAGTAGCAGAAAGAATACAAACAATTAAGGGCCAAACAACATGGAAAAAGAAGAGGAAGAGCAGCTGTGTGGTTGTTACGGGTCCAAGAATTTGTATTGATAAAAGTCTTAGATGGTAAAAACGTGACAGTTGGAGGGTCATACTTATCAAGCATCATATTACTGTGTATGCAACATTTACATACATACTGAGCAATAACTCATCAGGAATAACATACAAAAATATGGGGTCAGACAGGTGATCTGAGTGAATAAAAAGATACAAGCAGAATTACATTCATAGAAACATGCATTAAGTTTGTTCTAAGTTTGTTCTTTCCATATATTTTCTATGTTCATATGAAACGAGAAGAAGGAGTTAAAGAGTTCGAATGACTCGAAAGTTACAGTGGTTTAAGATGCAACTTCTGCCTGACTGCACACACACACACACACACACAGTTGTGATCAAGTCTCTTCAGCTCAGAAAATGCCAAGTCTTTATTTCAGCACACTTTCTTTCTCCTTTGACCAGTTCCTTTTTTTCCCTTTTGATTCCTCTAGTGTGCAAGCAGGCACACTGAAAAGGGCTTTTAAATATCAGTTGTCAGCTGCCAAGCAGCTCCATAGTCAGACACAGAAACCTTTCCACTAATCCACAAACATTTTTTGCTTTTTGAGTCTGTGTGTTTAAATTTAATTTTGGATGCCCAGATTGAAGCCTTTCACCCACACTGTGAGGTATTTTGTTGTTCCAGGTGCTGACCTTTGATGGAAGAGGAGTGAGCGGCCATGCCAATCACATAGCCATCTATAAAGCTGTCAGGTATTGATTTGAACTTCTAAAGAATTTGCTTTCAAAAACTAGACTTTCTTTTTTAAATCCTTCAACATAAAGATGCCATCCTCTGGGTTATTATGTGGTGTGAGCATGCACACAAAACAGCCCTTTTCAAAGTAATATAACAGCATCCAAGAATATGCAGAGCGTTTAAACTCACATTAACTTCCATCCTTCCAAATGTTTCCCCACTAAAGCGCGTGCGCACACACAACCACACACACGCACACACACACATAGAGAGCATGTTTTTCAGAATCGGTCTGTTACATAGCTGAGAGGTCATCCAAACAGAGTCCTCAGAGGCACTGGGCTTTGCTCCCAGAGAGCAGCAGTAAATCCTGTCCCTGAAGTGGTGAGGTGGGAGGGCAGATCTGGTTTTGGAGAGGCCAACCAAGCTAGTTGCATCAGACTGTGGCTTTGAAAAAAAAAAGTGTTTTTCACAGTGATGCGTTTACTCTGCTGTCCTCATACCACACTCATGCCTTTATTGTCTGCCATGTTAGTCATGGTGTTTCATGGTCGTCTGTGAGCCTCATCTGTTGATAAGATGAGGCTCACTCCCCAAGGTTCATCCCATGATTCCCATTAGGGTGGAAGCCAGAGGGGTTGTGCACAAGATTCAAAGAGCATCAAGAGTCAAACAGATTGTTTTGGGGTTTTGTATTTTGTCAACATTTTAGCAGGTATTGCATAAAATAAAATACAAGTTTAGTGGAAAATTGACCTGAAGTAGATCAGATACAGTTGAAAAGCAGATAATAAAATCATGGTCTTGCTACTTTAAACAAATCTCTTATAATGAATACAACCTGACCTAAAATACATTCAGTTTATTGGCAGATATTTGACTGTACTTTGGCTGTATTACTTCATAGCCATCTCTGTGGGCGTACAGTCTTCACTTCTTTCCCTTGAGTGTTGTAATCAGTCTAAAAAACCCAAACTCTAAACTCAGCTGCACATTTACAAGAACAAACATAAAACAAAGGCTGACACAAAACCTTTTCAACAAGAAGCATTCTCTGTTTGAAAATAATGTTTGTATCCTTGACATTGTTGTTTTTTTCACTTTCAGCCATCTTGCCTCTACCGGACAAGTCCCCAATGGTAGGTCCCATAAATGATACGTTTAATCCCAAAGGACTGCATGTTAATCTAAACCATCTCAATCTAAAACCCACTCTGGCACTCTCTTCAATGTAAATTGTTATGATGTAGAGAGTAATGCAGTTTAATCTTGCATCTGGCATAAATATTAATCATGTTCTGAAATCTGTAGCATAACTGTAGTGTGTTTGTCCAATTCATGAATTATATAGAAGCCCTCTAAAACATGTTGCAGGCTAGGATAACTATATGCTGTATATTAAATTGTACTGTACATAATATTATGTATTTGTAAATGAATTTTGTTATTCTGTTTCTCATTTTTTTAGTGTTACACTGTTGATATGTGATAAAACATTTAAAAAAAACTGATCAGAGCATTGTATACCAGCCATTTCCAACCTGCTTTCCTTTATCATCATCAGCCATTGTAATACCCGAATTTCCATGGTTGGGCTTTCTTTTTAAATTCAATTTACAGGAATCACAGTCAAATGTGACAGAAAAAAAAAATCCTCAGATGAAAGCACCACATTTCTAGTCTATATTTCACTTTGACAACCCTGGAAAGTACTGAAAACACTGCGTCAGACTATGAAACTGTGTTTTATGAATGCACAGCGCCCTCTTCTGTTGAAAAAGGTGGCATGAGTCATGTCTTTTTAACTTTCTGGGTCTGTTGGTGGAAACTTGAACGCTTACCAGAAACACCAGCTGCGATGCAAAAGTTTCATTTTCAGTTTTGGGGCATTAGGAGTAAGTATGATGATCAGATTTGCAAGTCTGTAGATTATAGAATCAGCGTTTCTCTCTTCTTTACAATGTAGGTCAATCAAACATGTGCCCTTTTTCTCTTTCTCTTTTTTTGATGAGTAAAAAATATGGAAAAAGTGTAAGTCATTGCAAAATAACAAAACAAGAGTAATTCAACAAGACCCTAGATAAGACACAAGAAAAAATAAAAATAAAATACTAATATACCAAAGGCAGAGTCAAGATTTGTATACAGTGGGTATATGTACCTAAATGTGTAACTATTAATGTGTTGTCTTTTCATTTCCATCTATACAGATTTAGTTCTGTACTTTTTGGTTGCTACTGAAGTGTCTTGTAATGACCTTCCTTAAACAGAAGTGAAAGGAAAAGTAGGACAGAGAGGGGGCGACATGTTACAACAGGCTGTGAGCTCATTACTTTGTGAGTTTAGTAAACATAAAAGCCCACAGAGTGCACATCCATTAATGTTTGAATAGAAAATATTACATGAAAGCAGCAAAGCAGGGTCTCTGTTTTTAATCATACATTAGATTTCAGTTGTTGAACAACTGCAACACACTCACTTTATTTAGGACAAAGTGGCTTTGTCCCTGGTTGTCCTCTTTAGCCTGCAGTCAGCCCTCACACAGCAGGTGTGTCATTATCCACACTCCTTGGTTATATATCACCTGGTGTCTACACCTCACCTGTTGGACTGGTCCTGCTGTGGCCTCAAGGAGAGGTGGCAAAGAATTAGGCCCAACGTGATTGTGATAAGCCTCCTCACCTGGCAGTACAGCAAGACTCCACACTCATTACTGACAGCTTTAAGCCTCTTGTGCCTTTCAGACTAATTCTGCATGACTGAAACAGTATGTGCTCTGAAACTTAAATTGGTGCTGCTGCAATAGGATATCTCAGTTTCCTTCCTCTTTCCCTTTTTTGCCTTTATTTTATTCATTGTTTTTATGAACAATGAGGAGAAGAACATTATGTTGTATTCAGGGACACTAAAGATAAATAGTTAAATGAAATAGGCACAGGTACAGTACACAATGTTTTTGAGGCTACTTTAGAGTCTTTAAGACTGTAGCAGCCCCATCATTTAGTATTTATCCTCCAAAACCAAAGAGTCCGTTAAATATCCTCAATACCCAAAAAAGAGTTCATATTGTTCTTCTAATAATAATTTTCTAACTGCTTTTACTGAGATCTTACTGATTTACTCAGTGAGGCCTTCAGGAATTTTTCCAAGATATAAAAAGGAGGAATGATTCATCAAGAATATCCTTCACTTTTCTTACATTGCTAACAAGTATTCCGACTCCAGTCAAGCGGATTCAAAGTCCTAAAAACCTTGCCCTCGATGTCATTGTTTTATGTAACTGACATGAGGTTTCCTTTTTTTTCGCAAGAAGCAGAACAAGCTGAAAGAGTGACCTAGATAACTGTCTGCCCCTGAGGTGAGTGTTTAACATATTAACAGCTAACTGGGTCTCTGCCTGCCCCCTTTAGACTGCTGTTTGCTCTCCCTGACGACCATTGGCCTGTTGAGGAAGTACATCTCCTTCCTGGAGCTTCCCATCAGCTGGCTGCTGCCCTCGTGTCTCAGATGTGTGGTAGACTCACAGGGCTACAAGAAAGCCAGAGTAAGCTTAATTTTTTGATTTAGTCATGGTTTATAAAAGATTGCAAAACTAGTTTAGCATGCAGGAGATAGTTTGCTGATAGAATATGTAACAAAACACAAAAATAGTATTAGTAAACTGCTGGTATGTCAAAGAATAGAATTCTATAAAAAGAATGTCTTCTGTTTAATTTATCTTATGTATGAAACTCCTTGAAATAACTGTATGAAACTGAGTATTGCAAAATGTTCTCTTTTTGTTGGCTGTTTGAAAAACCCTTAAACTACTGTATCACATAATATCAAAATGTCTTAAAAGTAAACAATTTACAAATCTGCAGAGCTTTTTCTAGACATTTTTGTGTCTATAAATTGCCAAAAAGATGTGAGTCTGTTTGTGGATGTTTAGTACAGAAGGAAGAGTTTGTGTTAGTTATAGCATTTATCGTTTTTTTTTTTTGTTTGTTTGTTTGTTTTTTTCTATATGCAGTGCTTGGTGAGGTAACATTTATTTAAAAAAAAAAAAAAAAAACTAACAAACTCCTTAAACTTATTTGCAGTAACATTTTATTTGTAAGTATATGTTTCAGCTTTTACGCTTTTACTGAGAGTAATCGATAGAATTTGATGAAAGGCTAAGAAATGACAAAAGGCCACATGTCAGAATCGAATCCATGCTGCTAAATTTATGGGCCTGTAGCTTTTGTACAAGTAACACACAAAACACTTCTGAGTGATGATGTCTTAATTTGAAATTACGGCCAGATTCCCACATCATTTTCACTGTTTCTTGGCTTTTAGTTGCAGTTTACTTGCCATGTGTTCAATAGCTTCGAAAAGGTAGTGTCAGATTTTTTGAATTTACACAAGCCTGGAACACACCAGCTCCTCTCACCTTTAGCATTAGATGAAATTTTGCCAGCAGCAATAAAAAATGATAAACTAAACTTATTTAGGACAACTGGAACATTGTCTGCCTTTATAAATGAATGATTGTGATGGTAATTTGCAGAGATATGTCTACTTAAAGAAAGCATACATGTATTTAGCACCAACTTAAAAGGACAACGAAAAAATGAGTGATAAAGTTTCCTTTATCAGTCAAAGTAATAAACTTATTAAACATCATGATTAAACCACTGTTACTTGTTGAGTGAGATCTCAAAATACCTTCCTTGTTGATTTAGACTCCTCAAACAATCTCTTTTTTTTTTTTTTTCAGGCGGCCATGTTTTGCCATCGCTCCCAACTCCTGTGGTTCCGTCACCTCTACATCACATTCTCTCGATATATGTACATAAACACTTTCCAAATTATCCCACAAGGACCAAAGAACCTGAAGATCTATTGACACAGCAGACAAAAGGATAGCTGCTAAGTTAAGTTATGAACTGGTTGCTGAACCTCTCTAACTCTGTGATGAATGAATAACTCTGAAAATGTCTGCAAACAGAGATGCACAATTGTACTTTCACTGCATTTTCCTCATGCAGGGCTGAGTATTACTTAAACATTTTTCCAATGAGGACTTCCTATTAATGTGAGGTCAGAAATATAGTCATAGCACTTAAACAATTACCAAAAACATTAAATACCTACTCTGTTAACTCATTCATATGCACTGACTGTTCTACTGTTGTGTGTCCAACTGACCACCTTATTATTCTTATACTGTGACTTTAAAGGGGTGACTGTAGTAGTCACTTTTATATGTTTGTGGTTTTTCTCATAGGGTAACATGGGGCTTCCTTAAAACACTTTAATGGCTAAAGTAGCCTGAATTCATTTTCAGCACCTTCTATGTATCAAGCTCACAGTTACTTTGTTGTAAAAGTAACAAAGTTCCTCCAACTGTTTGCTACGCGAAGTTCTTTATTTTCTCAGTCCTTACACTGTTTACAACAACACTATGGTTTGAACATGTTTTATCTTTCTAGTCTTAAAGTTGAAAGTACTGTACAATATTTCTGATATACTGCTGATTAAAAGGAGTTTGATTCGCATGTCCTGGGTAGTGTTATTTCTTTTCTCCCAGGTCGGCCTCTGCTGGAGGACATGTCATGACAGGTTTAGACATGTCCCTGATTGTCTTGTGAGACTGCATAGTATCTTCCCACTTGACCCCCTCAAACCTCTCTACTGTGATACTGCGAATGGTACCCGGATCCAGACAATGTGGGGCAATGCCTAGAGGGAAAAAAGCAGCATATTATCAAAAACCAGAAAATACAATTGTCCTCCGATTCCCTCTGACATCTGTACGCTTTACTGGATGAAAAGTGAAAAATATCAGGTGGCATAGGTAGTTTGCTAACGTCACTGTTTTGTAATATAGGTCAATCATCATTCATGAAAATGTCACTTCTGTTTTCATGAATACAAAAATATAGGGCATTAAAGGGCAGACTGGGTGGATAATTTTTTGTAAACACAACCAACTCAGTTGAGAGTAAACATGAAAAAATGATGAAATCTGTTTACAACACATGAGGATAGTGTTACCCTCACGTGTCAGCAGTGAGCAGACTCACCATATCCATCAGGGTTGGAGCGTGGAGAGTAGAAACTTTGAACCCAACAGGTTTTACAGAAGGTGTGTTGAGCGATGTGAGTGTTGAACGTATATGTGGTTAGATTATTGGATCCCTGGAAAACATATACATATTTATATTTAGCTATTTACTTGATGCTCTTGAGATTTGAAGGTGGCACTTTAAAAAAATTGTTCCTTGATTTTAGCGTACCTGTAAGATTTTGAAGGAGCTTTTTGGAACAATAAAGTGACGATTTTGTTTCTTTGTACAAATGCTGCAGCTGGAGAAACAGAGCCAAAATAATGTAATCACTTTTGTCCCATAGCAACAAGCACACAGATTCTTGTTCGGATATTAAAATTAACTGTTGATTAAACTTAAAATTGTTGTCTCTTTAAGAATAATTTGTTTGGCAGTTGACTACCATGATCCAAAGTAATACAGGCATATGAGAACCTTCTTTCTTTGTGGTCAAAACCAGGATTCAGGGTGGATGTAAATTTAGAGTACATACTTGCAATCAAAAACAAGGATGTCTGGAGAGCTCCAGACTTCAAATCTAACAGCTCCACAGTGGCAGCCACCTGTATGTTTGACAAGACTCATGCTGTAAGAACAAAAAATAATTAAGGCTGTAAAAACAAAACAAGACACACCATAGTGATGAACATATATGTTGATATTTGTGTGACTGGGAGTGTAAGCCTCACCTCAAAATCACTTAAATTCCAACAAGGAAATGAACATGGGTTGAGTCACTCTTTCAGTAAACAGGTGAAACCAGTGTCACTTGTTGTTGTGTAACTGGTTGACGTGGATCTTATGGTCCGTCTCCAAAACAGCTCTTATGACCCCGCCTGAGAAAACACATCCCAAGTCTAAGTTCACAAGTCCAGGCCAGATAAAAATCACATTAACATGAACAACCTCTCAGGTTTTAATGCCTTTGATGCATGCAGAGCCACATAGAAGTGGTCTTAACAATCAAGATCTGTACCTCTGAGAAAAGTTTGTTTCTTTTCATGAGCTGATTGACTCAGATTCCTCTCCAGCACTATGTAAGGCCTTTGTCTTGGTTGAAAGATTGTTTTTCCTGGATCACTGAGTTAGGCCATTATTATTCCAAGGAAGGGGCAGGGCAAAGTACATCAGACTTGCACAAACACATTCCTTAGAGGCTGAACTAGTTCAGCCAGACGCAGCTCTAAGTTGGAAAGTGCTGGCTGCTGCATCACGGGATGGGTGTCATATGACAGTGAGCTGGAGCAGTGAGGAAAGGGAGGGTTGTGACCCAAATGCATAAATAAGGACTATGAGCTCTATGATATCTGTAACCCCTAAATAGGATCCCAGCTGGTTATGAACCATCATCTGAGCTTTTGCCCTTTGATTCAACTTAGCCAACAGTGCCACAGTGTAATAAAACAGTACTCAGAGCTAAAAGTTGCCAAGTTTTACAAGACAGAAACTTACTGTATATTCTGTAAACCCTGTTTTTTCTCCCACGGAGACCACTGACTCAAATCTCAGCCTGTCCTACTTAGACAACAGTAACATACCTTAAAAATAATGATACCAAATAGAATTAATAAACTGGTCGGTGTTGTTCTACCACTGGACTTCTAGAATTTTCTAACATCACCTGGACGTCAACGTGATGTCTAAGAAAATAGACTCATGCTTACTGGAAGAACAACAAGCCCTTCCCTATGAGATGACATTAAACTGATATCTCGTATCATTATGACATGATAAACTGCTAATTGTGTTACCATGGAAAGATAACATTAGACACTTTTAATCCACAAACCCTATTCAGTCTGACCGATTTAAGAAATGGTTAATGATTGATTTGTGGTTAGTGGTTATCGTTAAGTAACATGTCTACAAGGCTAGTAAATGATCATTTTGAATCATGTAAATGAACAAAATGTCAAGGGACTTTGTGGTGTCATTCAAAATCTTCCCTTAAAATAGTGGTAACTGTAAAACCAGATGGTACATAAAATCAGCTTATTCACTACAGGTCATTGAATGATGGCCTACAGTTAAGCACTTCATCCATAGGCTGACCAAAAATGGTTTCTGAAGGTCTCAACATCAATTCCAACATTGTGGCCATGGCAGTGAGTCCTCCAAGAAAAATCTGCAATTGCTCCTTCTTAAGTCAGCTGATAAGAATCGGTGTCAAATATGGCAATGTTTGGAGAGTATGTTCTTTCTAAAGATAGTGCACATAAAAAGAAGCCTGTGATGAATATGGATTTCAAGAAGTGGGTGAGTGAGGTTGGCAAAGGAGGTCAACATTGTTCCTCCTTTGCTCAAATGTCTACTTAACCCTTCTGTCACAACAGCTGGTCGCACATGTTTACCAAGCACGTTTCCATATGCTACAAACACGTCCAGACTGATCACGACCCCTCTGCATGTCACGAGAACGCATAGGTAATGGGCTAGATGAGCTATTGTGATGTTGCTCAGGATAGAATAATATTGGCTTTTTTAGAGAGTTCTCCATAACATAGCGTAACAGTAAGGAAAGTTACACGGTCATAAAGTTAAAACTGTCATAAAACAACAAGACCTTATGATTAGGTCTTGTATAAGTCACCGAAACCGTCATAACACCATACTCAAACACAGCACAGCTTCCGGGCTCGACTAACTGTACCACGGCAACCAATCGCTGGCCAAACAAACAATTCCTTCAGCCAATCAAAAGCTCCGAAAAGAATCCTGTTGCTACGATGTTCTAGAAAAATCTGGGAGGGACTGCAAAATCTATGTGGTATCATTCCGCCGATGAGGATATGTAAACATTTTTATGTATAAAAATTAATCTGAGACAAACTGTCGTGTTTATGATTGGTACTGTAAATAAACTAGGGTCAAAAAGTGAAGTTTTTTTGTGTAATACTACACTGCGGACCAACAGAACCTACTTTCTGAAGCGGACGGATATTGGGGGTGACGTATGCAGAGACCGGTATATATGCAGAGACTGCGCGTTCCGGGTTATACCGAGCTTCAGCGACAGAGAAGAAGTATCTCGTCTACGACAAGAGCAGAGCATTTAGAGCATTTACTGCGTTGATTAAAAGTAAGTACGGGGTTATTTTTTTAACGTACCTTTCGATCTGATTTTCTGCCATATTTTCAGCCCACTGTCGATAACTTGTTACTAAGGGTTGATCACACGATTGAAGCTCAGCTCTTAGGAAATTACTTTAATGAGTTTAAACAGATGTGGTCAGAAAACGTTGACATTTCGAAGAAAAAGCTTGGGTCGAGTTTTTGTTGGTATTTTATGTGTTGTTTGTAGCCTGATCTTTGAAGGAGTCGTCGTCGTCGTCGTCGTCTTCGACGGAAGCGGCAGTAGCTTGCTAATGTTAGCAGTAGCAATGACTCGACATTTCCAGTAACGTCCATTAGCGGGTGACGTGAGCCGAACAAAAGGAAGGTCAACATAGTCTCAAAATGGCGCTCGCGCTAGAATGGTTGCCTTGTTATTTCAAAACCTTGTCTTCAATACAGGACGAGAGAAAGTAACTATAACTACTGAGAATTAAGATATGTAGTTAACTTCAGCGTATGGTTACGTGGTTAGTTCTAACTGTATAGCTTATTCTTATTCAGCTTTGTGACTCATGACTGTTCTACTTTTCTTTGTCTGTTGTTTAATAGACAGTAGCGGCTGAATTTGTGGTTGGCTTAAAGGGCTTATGACGAAACGCGCACTGCATGTAAATTTGTAAAATATAAGGTTTTGTTTCTCTATTGACAGGAGACAAAATGCAGATCTTCGTGAAGACCCTCACTGGCAAGACCATCACCCTGGAGGTTGAGCCCAGTGACACCATTGAGAATGTGAAAGCCAAGATCCAGGACAAGGAGGGCATTCCCCCAGATCAGCAGAGGCTGATCTTTGCTGGCAAGCAGCTTGAAGATGGCCGCACCCTGTCAGACTACAACATCCAGAAAGAGTCCACCCTCCACCTTGTCCTGCGTCTGAGGGGAGGCATGCAGATCTTTGTGAAGACCCTCACTGGCAAAACTATCACCCTTGAGGTGGAGCCAAGTGACACCATTGAAAACGTCAAGGCCAAGATCCAGGACAAGGAGGGCATCCCCCCAGATCAGCAGAGGCTGATCTTTGCTGGCAAGCAGCTTGAAGATGGCCGCACCCTGTCAGACTACAACATCCAGAAAGAGTCCACCCTTCACCTTGTCCTGCGTCTGAGGGGAGGTATGCAGATCTTCGTGAAGACCCTCACTGGCAAGACCATCACCCTGGAGGTTGAGCCCAGTGACACCATTGAGAATGTGAAAGCCAAGATCCAGGACAAGGAGGGCATTCCCCCAGATCAGCAGAGGCTGATCTTTGCTGGCAAGCAGCTTGAAGATGGCCGCACCCTGTCAGACTACAACATCCAGAAAGAGTCCACCCTCCACCTTGTCCTGCGTCTGAGGGGAGGTATGCAGATCTTCGTGAAGACCCTCACTGGCAAGACCATCACTCTTGAGGTGGAGCCAAGTGACACCATTGAAAACGTCAAGGCCAAAATCCAGGACAAGGAGGGCATCCCCCCAGATCAGCAGAGGCTGATCTTCGCTGGCAAGCAGCTTGAAGATGGCCGCACCCTGTCAGACTACAACATCCAGAAAGAGTCCACCCTCCACCTTGTCCTGCGTCTGAGGGGAGGTATGCAGATCTTCGTGAAGACCCTCACTGGCAAGACCATCACTCTTGAGGTGGAGCCAAGTGACACCATTGAAAATGTCAAGGCCAAAATCCAGGACAAGGAGGGCATTCCCCCAGATCAGCAGAGGCTGATCTTTGCTGGCAAGCAGCTTGAAGATGGCCGCACCCTGTCAGACTACAACATCCAGAAAGAGTCCACCCTCCACCTTGTCCTGCGTCTGAGGGGAGGTATGCAGATCTTCGTGAAGACCCTCACTGGCAAGACCATCACCCTTGAAGTTGAGCCAAGTGACACCATTGAAAACGTCAAGGCCAAAATCCAGGATAAGGAGGGCATTCCCCCAGATCAGCAGAGGCTTATCTTCGCTGGCAAGCAGCTTGAAGATGGCCGCACCCTGTCAGACTACAACATCCAGAAAGAGTCCACCCTCCACCTTGTCCTGCGTCTGAGAGGCGGGCAATAAAGTCGTATATGATTCCATGTTCTCTACCCAATTTCCTTCAAGTTTACGTGCTATGTATGACATGTCTACACCTCATGTTATGAAAATGTTACATAAGAGGTTTTTACCTTGAAATGACCAAAAGTTTAATGCACACTTCAATAAAGGTTTGAACTGAATATTTTGTGTTGTGTATTATGTCTGTAACTCTCTGAAACTAACACAGCAAATTGGCTGTCATGACAAACTTGTGAATGGTTTTGTTAGTATAATTAAAAGCAACACTGATGTAGCAATAATGCAAGCCACTAAAAGAATGAGGTACAGTACATATGAACAAAAGACATTAAACTGTTAAGTGTAGTAGAGGGTGGTATTAAATTAAAATTATAAAATGTTTGGACCAGTACCAATTTATCTGTGAGGATAAAAATTATTACACAGCACCAATATTAACATGTATGTTACCTTAGAACCATACACATCACACATGGCTTCTAGGATTGTGGTTAACTGCTGCCTTTATGTAGGTTTATCCGTAACTGTATTAATGAGGGGATAAAAATAAAATCAGGCCAACATTCTTGACTGATAATTTCCATAACCCTAAACATGGCCCCGGTCATTGCAGGCCTGCAGAGCTCATGAAGGTAAGAGAGAAGGATTGTCAGTGGGGATGTGGCGCCATCTAATGACAATCAACTAGAACGGTGGTCTCCATATGGCGGACCGCGGGCCACTTCCGGACCGAGAAAGAGTCCAATGCGGACCCGAGCGTACAGCAAAAAAATGTACGTTTTTTTTCTCTCTTGCTTTGTGCCTGGTTCAGAAAACTGCACATGGAATTTCGGCAAGGCATTACATAATTTGCTTACTCGCTTGACAGGCCAATCAAATCAGACCTCTTAGCCTGATCGACACACGAAGATACCCGAGCAATCCCGATGTTGAAAACTGTAAGGCGGCAGACTGAGGAGAAAGTTGGAGCAGCAGCTGAACATGTCGGCTTCAAAACCACGTAAGGTAGATAATGAGAACAGGGTGTTTCATGACGAGTGGACCGAGTTATATGCATTTACTTTACCCGCGAGAAGCACACAGCCTGTGTGTCTTTTATGCCACCAGCACGTAGCCGTTGTGAAAAGTTCTAACATTAAACGACACTACGACAAACATCGGACTAGTTTCGAGAGAGATTACCCTCTGAAATCTGCTCTCAGGAGCCAGCATTTACTCGAGTTAAGAGCCCGGTATGATCGATCCCAAAGGATCATGACCAATGCATTTACCGGTCAGCAGCGAGCACTTGAATGTTCCCTCCGTGTTGCCTGGGTTTTGGGCCAAAACAAGAAACCATTCGCTGACTGTGCGGTTGTCAAGAAGTGTGCCCTGGAAATAGTTAAAACATTGACTGACGGCAAACAACAAGAAGAACTGTGTAAAAAAGTGGCAGAAATCCCCATGTCAGCAACAACAGCCACGAGGAGATGTGAGGTTTTAACTGAGGATGTGCTCCAACAGCTGGATGAAGCGGTCAGGGGCGTACCTGTAGGTTTAGCTGTGGATGAGTCGACAGACGTGACTGATAATGCACAACTATTAGTTTATGTTAGGTTTTTCAACAAAGAGAAGAAAGTGTTCTGTGAGGACCTGTTAGGTGTGGCCCCCCTCAAGACCAGCACAAAAGGTGAAGATATATACAAGGCAATCAAAGAGATGCTGACGGAGAGGGGAATAGACATGAAACTAGTGGTGTCCATAACCACAGATGGAGCCCCATCCATGGTAGGACGAGAGAGAGGAGCTGTGGCAAGGATGAAGGAGGACCACGGTGAACTCATCTCATATCACTGCATCATCCACCAGACTGTGCTGTGTGCCCTCCTGAGTGATGAGTACAAGGAGGTAGGCCTACATTTCCACTTTTTCAGTATTTGTATGTTCCTTCTTGTGTCTGTCTGTCTGTCTGTGTGTGTGTGTGTGTATGTGTGGGGGGTAATGTTTGAGTGTGGGTGTGTGTGTCTGTGTCCTGTGTGTGTGTGTTCTGTCTGTCTGTCTGTCTGTGTCCTGTGTGTGTATGTGTGTGTGATAATTCTTGAGCGTGTGTGTGTCTGTTTGTCTGTTTGCCTGTGTCTGTGTCCTGTGTGTGTATGTGTGTGGGGTAATATTTGAGTGTGTGTGTGTGTGTGTGTGTGTGTGTGTGTGTGTGTGTGCATGTGTGTCTGTCTGTGTATGTGTGTGTGTTAATTGTATTGCTAATGTAATTTTATAATAAAGACACCAGTAGCCAATATTACATTGTAAGCTACATTGTTACTGGTCACAAATAAATATGTGTCCAAATAAATATGACTCTCCATCTCTTCTTTTTCATCTTGAGGTGATGGACGTGATGATGAAAATGATAAACTTTCTGCGGGAATCCTCATCCCTCCAGCATCGTCTCCTCAGAGAATACCTCCATGAAGTGGATGCAGAAGCTGATGACCTTCTCCTCCACAACAATGTAAGATGGCTCAGCAAAGGTAGAGTGCTGGAGCGCTTTTGGGCCATCCGGGAGGAGATTGGAGCTTTCTTATCCCAGCTGAGGAGCAACAAGGCAACTCGTTTTTCTTGCTTCTTAGAAGATGATGAGAAAATGGATATTGTAGCTTTTTTAGTTGACATTACATCTCACCTGAATAAACTGAATCTGAAGCTACAGGGCAAGGACAATTCCATCTGTGACCTAATGATGGCTGTAAGTGCCTTCCAGAGGAAACTGGAGGTGTTCAGAGAAGACCTGCAAGGAGAGTGTGCTCACTTCCCTTCAGTACAGCAGCAGGTGCAGGGGCAGAGAGATTTGTCTGCTTTTGTGGACTTTGTTGATCGGCTGACTGAAAACTTCAGCCAACGATTTGACAGCTTCACTCTTGGACAGCAGCTCACCCTGTTTATCCAGGATCCCTTCCTTATCACTGATGTCAGGGGGTTCTCAAAGGAGGTCACACAGCTCTTCAAATGGGCTGAAGCTGGTCCTCTACAGATGGAACTGGTTGATCTTCAGGCAGACGTGGCACTGAAGGAGCAATTTGGAGGAAGTGAATCTGCCACCTTCTGGATGGAGATGGTCCCTGGAAAAGGCTTCACAGGTCTGAGTAAAATAGCTCTGTACACTCTGACCATGTTTGGTTCCACCTACAGCTGCGAAGCAGCTTTTTCGACCATGAACATCGTCAAAGACAAATATCGCAACAGGCTCACTAATGATCATCTCCACATGTGTTTGAGGATGGCCCTGACATCTTTCGAGCCCAGATTCAAAAAGTTGGCTGGAAAAGATGGAGCCCGCTTCTCACGAGCTCCTCTTTCTGAGTGATAAAAAAAGAGTAATCAGGAGGGAGATAAATAGAAAACAATGACGGACCGGATGGTTTGTGAAGATTTTCAGTGGCAAAATGTATTGAGTTAAAAGTTTAACTAGTTTAGTTACTTTGTTTCAGTGAATTTCATGCTACTTTTTTTAAATGCACTTTAATTTCAGATGTGCCTGCCTAAAAAGCCATTTTGTTTCTAATGCAGGTCTTTGAATATCTGTAGTCTTCATGTTATTTAAAAACAAAATGTAAAATGTAACTTTTATACTTTCAATAAATATTGTTGACTTTAAAAAAGGTACTTCACTTTATTTTAATTGAAAATAGGCAGTTATTGACAATACAAATGAAGTGAATATTTCAAAAGAGTAATGCACTGTACAAAAAAAATAAAGGTTCCCGGACCCAGGCCTGCAGGCATTTCATCCCGGTGGACCCATTGAAAATTTATATGAAGACCCCTGAACTAGAAGATAACCTGATAGACGGAAAAGAAAGAAACTGCATGTTTAGAGCTGAGGCTCCAACAATTTTTTTAACGTCACTCATAATGTTAAGCCAAATTAACAAATTATGACAATGTTACACAATTACAAGACAGGTATAAAACTCCTCAGAAGTAAGGCCTCTGTTGCCACCATATTTAGATTATCACTGTAATTTCTTACTGGTGGTGTTAACAGCAATTATAGTTTAATGTTGTTTTAACCAACAACTGCATCAACAGTTGGTGTAGCTTCACCTGCCGTAAGACATGGCATGCATGGGTTTCTTTTTACGATAATTGTCAACCCTTTGTCGTGCATGTTACTTAGTGAAACACATATGGATTATTTTAGGCCTGCAGCACATGATGAAGACAGCTATATAAGTCAGAACAATATTATATTGGGCACTGAACCTGAGTTCAACAGATTTGAATGAAACTGTGTTTTTCTGCTTTTCAGTTCTGTATATGAATTTATTCTTTTTTATATTTTCGATCACTTCGCTCAGATCTCCGTGTGTTGTCACTGATTTCCCCTTGATTTAAACGAAGGTCAAATGAAAACACAACAAACCTAAACATTAAAGAAAGTGGGCTATCCCACAGTATTTAGACAAAACCCCATTTAGGAATGTTAACACAGGGAGAACATCTGGATTTGAATAGAGGGGATGCAGTCACAGTCAAATTTGATTACTGTGTTCAAGATCTGGTCCGGCACATGCAACCTATGAAGAACAGACTCATTATAATGCCAGTGTCATTATGAAAAATAAATAAATTTGATTACCTTATTTCTTTTAAAGTTTGTGTTTTTTCTCTCTTTAACAAAAAGGAGCGTTGGAAACAGTTTTATGTAGCTCAAGGGTACGTGGAATAAATACAGTCATGGAAGAAATATTAGACATCCCCTGTTTTGTTTTGTTTTTTAATTTCTTGTTAATTCTGCCTGGTACAAATTAAAGTGCATTTGTTTGGACAAAAACTGTAGATCAATTTCACTTGGTTAGTTTTAATGGAGCAGGAACTACTTTCAACTGCGGATGAACATTGTTTTATAGTCGTTATCCGTATAATAACCCTGTCACCCTGGCAACCGTACATTCAGAGGGAGGTATCATCGGGGAGAAGTAGGTCACAGGACTCAAGGAAGCTGTAAGTAACATCTAACGTTGTCAGTATTCTTAGTCAAAATAACAAGTCCCTAACCCCTTATGACTTTTGAATTTGTCTTGCTTCAATTTTATCTCACCAATTTGCGGATTTCGTGGTTATAAACTGTTCCCGTTTTCGGAATCAAGTTATAAACAATAATAAGCTAGCTGTCGACATCGCACAGTTGGACTACTGGGTTGGGTCCTGATGGAAATGGGGCAACAATCGAGGGGTTGGTAAATTTTACCGAAGCAACCAGGTCTTATCCTACCAGTGGTACAATATTTCCAGTTATCTTGTCTATTAGCGAGTGACGTTAGCCGAACAAAAAACCCAGCAGCGTATTGTAAAATGGCGCAGTTCCTCGAAACACTCCCCACAGACACTAAACCAGGTCATAGCTTGATAGGACAGAAAACACTCTACATACTAAATTCACCTGACAATTGTTTTGACAATGAATACATTGAAATTCAGACGTCATATAAAATCTGCTTAAATAAATTGAATTTGGATGTCACATGTAATTTGAACAATAAGCGGATCACATTCTAAATTATCGTCGATTGACAAGCTCATTCTATTGTCATTCTCAAGAAAAGACAAGACAATTTCTGCAATATATTCTGGAACAACACGGAAACCTGGTGAAAGGGCTGACACTGGTTTATTAGCCAAAATTCAAAAAAGTATCCAGGGATGGTAACACAATCTGTGATCTTATTTTCACAGGTGTAAACATGCAGATCTTCGTGAAGACCCTTACTGGCAAGACCATCACCCTTGAGGTGGAGCCAAGTGACACCATTGAAAATGTCAAGGCCAAAATCCAGGATAAGGAGGGCATTCCCCCAGATCAGCAGAGGCTTATCTTCGCTGGCAAGCAGCTTGAAGATGGCCGCACCCTGTCAGACTACAACATCCAAAAGGAGTCCACCCTCCACCTTGTCCTGCGTCTGAGGGGAGGTATGCAGATCTTTGTGAAGACCCTCACAGGGAAGACCATCACCCTTGAGGTGGAGCCAAGTGACACCATTGAAAACGTCAAGGCCAAAATCCAGGATAAGGAGGGCATTCCCCCAGATCAGCAGAGGCTGATCTTTGCTGGTAAGCAGCTTGAAGATGGCCGCACCCTCTCTGACTACAACATCCAAAAGGAGTCTACCCTTCATCTTGTCCTGCGTCTGAGAGGAGGCATGCAGATCTTTGTTAAGACCCTTACTGGCAAAACCATCACTCTGGAAGTTGAGCCCAGCGACACCATTGAAAATGTCAAGGCCAAGATCCAGGACAAGGAGGGCATCCCCCCAGATCAGCAGAGGCTGATCTTTGCTGGCAAGCAGCTTGAAGATGGCCGCACCCTGTCAGACTACAACATCCAGAAAGAGTCCACCCTTCACCTTGTCCTGCGTCTGAGAGGCGGTCAATGAATTATTCTTTCATCTTTCTTGAATTAAACAGCAACAACATAACTCAATAAAAGATGAAACATTAAGCTATATGATGTGTGACTTTATTGCCTTCCTGTCAAGAGTGTGAAAGCTTAAAGAGTTGATGGGCTGTCAAATATTGACAATGATACTATTTTATATTTTTAACATTTATATCAGTCATATTCAAAGATTTTATTAGTTGAAATGAACTGGATTGTGATCATTTGGAACCGAGGAAACTGGAACAATGAAAAGTATGAAAACAATCAAATATGCCTTTATGACTGCCCATGGACTGCTTTAAAGCTTTTATTTCTTTAGCAGACTACCAGGGACTGACCATGAATGAAAAAAGTTAGTAAATATCAAAACATTTCATGGCCGCGTAACTGCTCAGAAAAAAATCAACACAGGCTTCAACACATTCAACACACACCTTTAAAGCTTTCTGAAATTGTTCCAAAAAATCAGCCATTTGCGCAACCCAGATAATCTTTCTCCTTGTTGTAACAAGAAGCAGTGTCAGATCTGGAACATAGATGTAACCATAAATGCAACACCTACTGTTCAAGGAATTATATTATTGCTGTTGGTGAACTGCAACCCACACAAAATGAGAGTTAAGTTCTCAGATAAACCACAAGAGGTCACTAGCTTACCAGTTCTCCACCTCATTTATACCCTAAAGCCAGTATTTTATGTTTCATTTTGTGCTGTGTCAGTGTAAATATGTGGTGAGAGTGTTTCAGTCTATTCATTCATTCACATTCTCTCATCTATTCATTTAATTTTATTGTTCAGTGATCAAATACAATTAAAAACATAAATATAGCCATTTGGTGTATTGTACAAGAGTTAGCTGAAGGCCTATTGCTCCCATTTAGGTGTTGGGGGAGGGTATCTTTGAGTAAAGAGGAGGGTGATTCGTTTGAGAAATAATGGACATTCAACCCTGAATGTTTTGAAGACAGTATTGATGGAGGATAGATATCCAACCAGACACCTGCTTCTGACCCCAAAGCTTAAGGATTAATCCTTATCACCTACAAGATCAGAATAGGGTATATAAAGAGTATATCACTCAGACGAACAGACAAATCATTCATTGACTCCATGTCCTGACTTGTGGAGGAGCCCTGTTACAAGACAGCATTTCCAATTAGTGAGCATTGACAAACATGTATGTTGTCAAATGACTGTACTTATCTGTAAAGTAGGGAAAAATGGCTGCGGAGCACAATGATGAAAAGGGAGGGGTATTCTTTCTGGGTGACTGGCTTATGTGATAAATGGCCTGATTAACTGTTCCATGAGAATCAAATGAAATTAGGAAATCATGCAGAGACAGAAGTTTTCTGTTTTATTATACTGAAATCAGAAGGAAACACGAGAATGGCTGTTCAGGGGTGATTAGGTTTAGCTTAAACAAATTAAATGTGGCCATTTATTGTAGATTTCAGCTGTCAATAAAAGTTTTTTTTCCTTCAAAGCTCCTTTTATGGTATTTTGGCATAATCAAAATAAAGTAACAGAAACATTTTTTTAACAATTTCTGTGTGTCCTCCCAATAGTCTGCATACAAACTTTAAATTGAATGCATCCTGAAAAAATTAAGGAAGAATGTATCCTGTCTAAAGCTTCCTCCCAAATCATCTTAGTAAGTTGTTTTCCCAATTCTTTTTCCAATTGGTTTCTTGGAGAGGCCAAGGGTTCTGAATTGTCTGAGTTAAACAACAAATAGATTACCCTAATAGACCTCTTGCAGCTCTTAAAGCTGTAAATATCTAAGGAAATGTGGACAGGGAATATGAAAGCATAATATTACCTTGTCAAAGGATATAAAAGTGTTATCAATAGATAAATCCTTTATGGTGGTATCTCCCCTTTTTACCCAAAGGTCAAAGGTATGGTCCATCCTTGATGGTCTTTCAATCAAATCAAATCAATCAAATCTTTATACTGTTTATAACTGTAACCACTTCGGAGCAGTATTATGGCTTTTAGATTCCTTCCAATAAAACATACACCCTATGTTGTTTTATCCAGTAGTAAAACTGAAAATTTGGAAGAGACAACCCCTCATGTTTAATGTGTAGCTGCGGTATGTTTTTCTGTTTTCTGGGACTTTTTCAATTCCAGATAAATCTGGAAACTTCTTTTTCTAAGGACAAAAAGAAAAGGCTTTGGTAAGGGGATAGGGATGCTATAAAACACATAAAAATCTAGGCAGCACTGGCAGTCAAGAGCATATTTTAACTGTTGATTAGAGTTAAGTGGATTAGTAAACCTAAACATAGATTTTGTCAAAAATTTTCTTAGGGAAATGTCAAAGACAATAATAAGGCTAACCATCATTAGCATCACAAAGCTGACAGTCAATCTGAGTTGCCTGTGGCCAAGTGGCCCTCTGGATAATGTAGGTGCAAGGTGTTGTTAAGGAAGTAGAATGTGAAAAATTATAAAAATGTATATTTATAGTTATATGCAGTAAATCCTGCATCCCATCTCCTTAAAGACAGGATTACTTTACAAATTGAATTTGGCCTTTTCATGACACAGCACAAGGAGGATTCTCTCCCCTTGCCTCTCATCAAAGACTATTTGAGGATGGGTATAAAGCCTCTAAGCTTTTAGCCCATCATTAGCTTTGTTCAGTAGCTGCCTCCCCTACCATTTCTGCCATTAAAATTTCCCCTGGCCCCATTACTTCAGACCACAAGCTTTTTAACAGTGAGTTAAAATGTTTTTATTCAGTCAATCATATTTGTCAGAGAGCCTCTGACTCTTGATTTCTTGATTTATACCGGATCTATTTACTGATTTCTTCAAAGATTGAAGTCTTTCTCAGTTTAATCCAGATAATGTTGCAGTATCTGAGGAGACTGTCACAGGCCATAAAAAACTCAAACTTTTCAATGCAGAGAGAGAAAAGCTGTCAGACTGTTATTTTCTGATATATACATGGAAAAAGTTTTTGTTCATGTTGAAAGGGATTACTTTTTCTTTGCCTCAGAGTGTTCTCACCAAATGTCTGATGTCAGACCAGTTCCACCTAGGTAGGGGCACAAGACAGAGACATTAATCGGGACCTCTGTTGTTTGTGATTGCTGTCAAGCTTCTCTGCATTGCCATAAGACAGAATAATAAAATACAGTAAATTATCCAAGGAGGTCAGGCACATAAAGTCTCTCTTTATGTGTCTGACCTCCTTTCTTATTACAAACTCGGTCACCTCTCTCACATACATCTTTTCCTTGCTCACTGTTTCTGGGGCTATTACTTGTTAAAAGCCTAACTTAAACAAAAGCAAATTTCTCCCCTGAAGTGTCTCTTCCTCCATAAGTGTCCTCCTCTTCACTAAAACAGAGGTGATATAACTGAGCTGGAAGAATGCTGCTCCACCCACCAATAATCACCTTATTCATAATATTATGTCCCATCTCAAGATAAAAAAAAGATAAACCGTTAATAGTGCCCTTAAGAATATTCACAGGACTTACTTGGGTTGGTTTTATTTATTTTGTGAAGCAGTGTGGCTGTACTGGTAAAAATTCCCTTTTATACCTTTCAATTGGTGTTATACTGTATCTGCATCCATAAAAATACATTTTAAAAAGCTGAAAGAAAATAGTGTACATTTATAGTTTGGTTGTTAAGTTTGATCCCCTCATCAAAACATGTGTATTTCTTTTCCAATAATGAAATCCAACAATAAAATGTGAGACCAACAGCAAATCTTCAAGATATGCATGATAAAACTTAGTGTGGAATAATATTTAAATGAATGTTAGACAGGTTACAATTTAATATCTAAAACCTAAAACTGCTACGTATTCACAATGAAACTCCAAGATGAAACAACATTTCTCTTTTTTCATTCACCAGTTCCTGTTTCAGATAGCGTGTGAGCAAGCAGGCCTGCTTAGGAAATCAGCAGCTGTCAATAACTTTTCCACACAGAGGACTTCGTATCTCCTTGACAGTGCTGGTTAAATATTAATCTGTTCCCAGGGCAGCAGAGGACACTAACAGTTTTTTTTAATGTACTTATAAAACTGGATTTACATGATAGGAAGCCTATACAGCAAGTATTATGAGAAACTATTCCATCAGCACAAATGCACCCAAGGAGTGTCCAGGTAACCTGCAGCCTCTGGCATCACTGGATGCTTTGTCTGTCTTTTTAATATAACACTTCTTTTACCATGTAAAGAAATTAAATAGATGCCTGTCATTTGCCGTGGGCCATTAAGTTGTGTGCTCCTCCACAGTTTAAGCTGCGATGCTTCTGAAGGCATGCAGTCTCAACAACAGTCAATGGTGTAAAACTATACATAAAATAATCTTTTGAATCTTATAACAGACTGTGTCTACAGCACATTTAAAAGTTTTAAATTATCATTATTTTATTTTTACCAGGATCCCCAAAATTGTGTAAATGCTTATACTTCTTTTGGTACAAAATAAATAGATGCAGTCTCATAGCTATGTGCTGTCATTAACATCTTTAAGACTGTAATGTATGGGCATGCTACAAATAGCCATGTGCAGAAATGATTTGCATGTTCACCCTCACAAACCCACCACATTTAAAGGCACTGATAGACATGGACATTGTCATTGGGGCTGATCTAAGACTGGCCAGAGTGGACACTCTGTGGTCTTGAGATTAAAAAGTTAGTTAGTTAGTTAGTTAGTTAGTTAGTTAGTTAGTTAGTTAGTTAGTTAGTTAGTTAGTGAGAGAGTTACTTCTGTCATAAGCAGGGCTTTTAAATAACTTTTTCACGTGTCATTTTATTGCAAAAAATACCAGAAGGTAACATTGATTTTTACAACTTAAGTTTCTTGAAAAAAATACATAAGTATGTGACACAAACAAAAACATCAGCACATCTACATCACCTGTGTCATCATCAAGCTCTGTTTTAGTTTGTGTCCTTTTCATGCTTTTGTTATATTATGAACTACCAAGTAAATCTGTAATAGCTAGAACATCCAGAGTATCACAGAAAGAAACTATTATAATTGTAAAGCTAATTTGTGAAGCTCCCAAATTGGAATCAAAGAAAATAGTTGTATACATAACTATAAAGTATAACAGAATCATGCCCTCACGTATAAGAGTTTTATGGTAGGCTGGTGTTTGTTGGTGGTTTACAGCCCCTGGCTCTATGGGTTTGCCTGACAAGTGAAACAGACGTTCACACGAGCTGAGCGCTGCTGCCTCAGTGAGGATCACCGTGCGGGAGAGGAATGGCAGGCTGGGGAGGCTTCTTCGTTTCTCTCCTCAACTACAAGACGGAGAAATATGTCATCGCCGAAAACAGGAAGATAGGAATATTATTCAGACTGTACCAGCTGGCTGTACTGGGATACATAATCGGGTGAGCTGCAGTGTCGTTTTTAGAGTGATTCACAAAGTTAAAAATAGTGTAGCTTGTCTAAGTGGTCACTTTGTTTCTGTTGTTGAGGTGGCCCGCTGTGCCGAAGTATTCGTGTTTTCTTCTTGAAACTGTAAATGTCAGATAGGGTAGATTGTGTTGTTGAATTCATTAATGTCTCAAATTTCTGCAGAGACAGGAAGTTCTGTGTGTGATGTCACTGAAATGATGGGCAGGTGACAGGGACAGTGTGGTGACGTCTGATTGTAACTGGTTTGACCTTTAAAACTTCGTTGAACTCTTTTTACAACACAACACATAATAGATTTAGAGGTAACAGTGGGGGAGTATAAAGGCCAGTCGTGAACTTTGTCTCATCTTTGGCAGGCGGTGATCCTGTTATTGCCATGCCATGTCCGAGACTTCGAGCGTCACTCCACCCACGTTGCACATCTGAGTGCTGTTAAAATATCAGATATTCATATTCATATTCTAACATTAATATAAATATATAAATTTGTCATGTTTTATTTAACTGTGTGCTACACCCCAGTCATGTAAACATGGGGACTTACCTCAAACCTGGGAGAATGGCCTCATCTCTGTCCCCCACATGGCAGATATAGCTATGTAGTACCTTTGCCATTTTAAATAGCAAGTCAGAATTAATGTCAAAAACTATGTACATAATTTGTGTGTATGTGTGTGTGGGTAGGTGTGTGTGTGTGTGTGTGTGTGTGTGTGTGGGGGGGGGGGGGGGGGGTCATATCTGTTTTTTAAGTTTTCAAACCTGATTTTTTTTTATTACAAAGGTAACCCCATATGTATATCACTTAAGGCAACACTGGGTTAAAGCAGCTCCCTCTTTTGTTCTAACACCCTCAGACTTCAAAGAATAAAGTTATCATATTAAGTAGGTAAGACATATAATTGATAATGACTGTATTTCACACTCCAGTATAATGTTGACATACTGTCCTAAAAATGAAATAAACTATGGTAAGAGATAATGTAATCAAAATAATTGGCACAAATTGACATCAAAATAAAACTAGACTAGGCAGGCAGTCGGCTCTTCATAGCAACAGTCGACTATTTACATATGGCAGACTGTTGACATGAAATGCTGGCAATAACCAATAAGAATCATGTACTCAAAATGGCTGAGCAATTAATGGTCAATTGTTTTACTAGTAAAAGAACTGAATTAGAAAAATAGTTCATATGTTTTGGACAATGTGTTATTTTGATGGGCTTTTTATGATATAATCTATGGCAGGCCCTGGAATAATAAATCTTTAAATCAGTTCAAACTATTCGGTACCATATTTTGTGCAGTAAGCAATCTGAGAGACTTTTAACCAGAATACATTCATAAAATTGGTCCTATTTATATATTTGTGAGTACACCTGATGACAGTTTGAATGTGTGTGCATATGTGTGTGTGTGTGTATGTGTGTGTTGTCACCTAAACTGAACCACCAGGCCTCCTATCTCACACGCTGGAGACTGTTTCATTAAACCAACCTGTCCTCGTGTTCTATAAACTATCAAAACTAAGGTTCTTCTTCTTCAGGTGGGTGTTTGTGGTAAAGAAAGGTTACCAGGAGCGAGAGGAGGCTATCCAGACCTCCGTCATCACAAAACTCAAAGGTGTGACACTGACCAACAGCTCAGAGACCGGCCTTCACCTGTGGAGCTCTGAAGATTATGTCATACCTCCTAATGTGAGTGAATCTATCTATCTATCTATCTATCTATCTATCTATCTATCTATCTATCTATCTATCTATCTATCTATCTATCTATCTATCTATCTATCTGTCTGTCTGTCTGTCTTAGCCTATTTGTCAATCTTAACCCCTCATGCATTTCTACTGCTGACACTCATTTCTACCTTTATGTTAACCTTTTTTATGTCAGTCATTATACCAATCTCCATGTCCACCTCATTTCAGTCTTTACCTCTATGTGAACTCTAATCTCTATTTTTATGATAAAATTACATCTTATTTCCTCATTCATCTCAAGATCTATCTCTATATTGATCCTCTAGTTTTCCACTCCAACAATTTTTCACACCTATGCATTTAAATATTTCTGCTACCACCATTACATATTTCCCATAATCTTTGTCTGCCTTTGTCTCCAAACCTGTTTCATCTAATATCTCAACATTTAACCTGATGTAAATCTCTTAAATTTCTTCCACATGTGTGTCATTATCTGTCGGTAAGTCTATCTCAACATTCATCTCTGTCTCAACCTGCATGACTGTATTGACATCAATCTCTTAATCAATTCCTGTGTACATCTCAACATTGTTTGCAACATCTTTATCTTAGTAAATCTGAAAATGTATCTTTATGTCCATCTTTACAACTATCATTATGTCCTTTATTCATCCTTCTGTTTGTTTTTACATCTACCTTTATATCTTTTTAGAATTTAATCTTCAGTCTAGCTCTCAACCCATCTCAAAAATTGTGTCTTCTTATACAGTCATCTATTCATGTCTTCATGAACATCTGTCCATCCATTTCTACATCCATCTCCATTTATATCTTAACAACAATCTTACACTTATCTATGAACCTATATTGTATTTCTACTTTTATCTCTTTTTATTTCATTTTAACCATCTCTTCATCAGTCTCTACATCCTGGCATAATTGTCAACATCTATCTATCTATCTATCTATCTATCTATCTATCTATCTATCTATCTATCTATCTATCTATCTATCTATCTATCTATCCATCCATCCATCCATCCATCCATCCATCCATCCATCCATCCATACATACATATATTTGTTTATCTATCTATCTATCTATCTATCTATCTATCTATCTATCTATCTATCTATCTATCTATCTATCTATCTATCTATCTATCTATCTATCCATCCATCCATCCATCCATCCATCCATCCATCCATCCATCCATCCATACATACATATATTTGTTTAAAATTTCCTTCACCCATCTCAACAATCTATCTATCTATCTTATCTATCTTATCTTTGCTTTTTCCTTTGTGTATCAATATTCGTATGTGTATCTCTGTTTATCTCAACTATCTTTAAATATTCTATATCTTCATTTATTTCTACATTTTTCATATATTCATCCAGGTTTATATCTAAATGCATCCTTAACCTATATATCTCTACAGCTAAGTCTATAAATGACTCTTCATTTATAAACAATATATCTCTATGTTTTCATATGACATATTTCTCTACATATATCCATTTATTTATTTCTGTATTTATCTCAACAGATATTGTTGCATATATTACCTTGTTTTATGTATTGGGAGCTTATTTCTTTATTTATATGTCCATATATTTCTACAGACATCTCTACATATATCTCTAATTTTATGGCTACATCTATCCACATCTGCCCTTACATTCATCTCTCTGTCTAGCACCTTATTTGTGTCCTTGTCTAACTACATAGAAATCCATTTCTTTGTTTTCCTCTTTACCTTTATACTAAAGAGGTTCATTCTGTCTGTTGATGATAAATTTATATACCTATGTTTTGTTGTCTCTTTTAACTATTTCTACATTTATCTCTTTATGTGTAGCTCTTCAGCTAGCCCTGTATTTCCCAGAGTCTATAGCTTTATAGACCTCAACCTTTGTCTCCATCCTTATCTGTCCTTTTTGTTCCTGTTTCTGTATCCATATCTCTACATTTATGTACGCACCATCTTTCCATCTTCTCCTTCATCTGCCTTCTTCAGTCTATCTCCTCATCCATCTATGTTTACCTCTTGCTGTGTCCTTTTAAACCATTCTCAACATCCCCACATTTGTATGTCTGTCTGTCTGTAGGTCAGTGTTGATGTCAAATGCCCTCTGTCAGGAGAAACTAGAGGCTATTGAGTATCAGCTCTAATGAATATCATTAACATCAGCATCTGTCTAAACAGATTAAGGATATTGAACTTCTTTGAAGGCTTAATTTCTTTAACCTTTTGCCTCTCTGGATCTGACAGTCTGGATCTAATTCTATTTTGCAGGGTGAGCAGGTGTTCTTCGTTGTAACAAATTACATTGAGACACCCAATCAGAGGCTGGAATTCTGTGCGGAGGTGAGTGCACACTGGAAGAAGAAACCTTTTATGATGACACTTGATTGTGCTTTTTTTTCCCATCCTTGTAAATGAAGTTGGCAGCCTTGTCATCCTGTAAGGTTTGATCTGTCTCACAGAGTTACAAGGTTCCAGATGGACGATGTCAAAGTGATGATGACTGCCCTGCAGGGGAGGCTGTGATAGCTGGCAATGGTGAGGATATTTCCTCTTATTTTAGTCATGACAAAACCTAGGGTATGTTAACTTTGAATATATGTGCCATTTATTTTCAGACTCATGTGTTACTCAAAATCACTTGTCTTTTATGCCGGCCCCTGACAGTCTACCAATATTCTTCACAGTGATCTTTGTTAGTATATTTTTCCATATCTAATATCGAAGATTAACATATACATGTTTTCCATGAGGGACACATTAATCATAAAGTAAAAATTATATCATGTTTTTTTCAAATTAGTAATCTTGTGATAATTACCTTTTAAGTTAGTAGCCGAGCAATGTCAAACGTAACTCTTAGAGGTTTTCATAATGATAAAATCAAACTTCTCCTCTCTGGGAAAACAAGTTAATCTTGGTTCTTGTATTTGCTGCTTTTAGGTCCAATTAAATGCTTTCTCACATTTCTTTCCCCTAAATGGTTCTCAGGAAATACAAGCTAGCTAGCACTGATGAATCATTAATGGATTTGTGTCTAAATGTTCTTACATTTAGCCCCATTTGCTACTACAAACAATAACCATGAAAAGTTCCTTCCAAGCTTCCTGTTATTGTGGGAAACATGTTAATGGGCAGGTTCAAACAGCACCGTGAAAGCCTTTTCATACAGAAATATAATTTGCATTCAGTTGACTCATCTTTACATGCTTATAGTAAAAATATGTCTGGTTATGAATATTTTGTATTGTATTTGAAGTGGTCTCTCAAGGCTGCACCATGCCAACAGTCTTTGGTCTCTCTCCATCAGGAATAAAGACTGGTGTGTGTCTAAACAGCACAGGGACCTGTGAGATCCACGCGTGGTGTCCTGTCGAATACAGCAAGAGACCCACGTGAGACCGCTTCTCTTACAGAACTCTGGAAATTTGCCATTTTGTGCCACTAGACTGACACTTACTCTGATCCCCGTAGGGACAGAGATATTTCACAGCTTCTATTTATTACTGATGCAGCCTGTCAGCTCCACTCGTCTTGTTTTTTGTTCTTCACACAGCTGCTTGTCTCTTCCACTTGTAGAGAGCCCTTATTAAATGAGGCGGAGAACTTCACCATCTACATCAAGAATTTCATCAGGTTCCCAAAGTTTGAATTCTCAAAGTAAGTGGCTCTAAGTGGAGGAGTGCCGGTTTCAAGGCACCGGGACAGAGCCCACCGCTGAGTGAGCTGAGGGATATGCATGCCCCAGTGGCTGCTTTAAATAACTTTAGGGTGCAGAGAGCCTTCTATTTATACTAACCAGAGCATTGCTCTGAGTGAGACAGTGAAACAGTCATCTGAGACGTCCTTGACAGCAGGCTGTGCCCTGGACAGGTGTCCGATCAGATGGGGGTAGCCCAGAGAGCTGTGCTGCTGCTCTCTCTGTGGCTGAGGGTTCAAGTGCTGCAAGAAAGCAGAGAGATGCCACAAGCTGCTGTTAATTCATTAGTCAGGATATTAACCTGGTTACACAACCATCTCTTCTGCTCTGCTCTAACCTGCATGTGCTTTAGCCTAATGAGAATGTGCCTGTTGTACAAATCCCACCCACTGGATGGTAATGAAAATGGAAACGGCAACACTGCACATCCTACAGTGAGAAGCATCCAGTTACACTTTTCTCTGAGTTACAGGGTGTAGCAGTGTTGATTGACATACACACACTGTATATGTGGCTATAAGTGTTCGAGTGTGGAGAACAGGCTTTCAAGCAGAGATGGAGACCTTTAGAGTAGCTTTAGCTTTAAACCAGGAAAAACCCAAATGAAGTTTATTTTAAATGTATAGAGGCAAATCCTACACATTTAAGTCTCTATTTAAGTATCTACGTATACAAATATAAAAAGTAATACATTATTTAATCTAGTCATTTATTTTGCTCCACTGACACAAGTCCCTCACCAAATGGAGCTGGATTTTTGACAAACAGCACATTGATTTCATGTATTCCTGTGTTTTGGGAAACAGGGTCCCACAGACGAGCAACCTGGTTTGATGTACATTTATCTGTGTGTTTGATAAACAATTTTACTGATTAAATAAGAGTCTGCTGACAGCTTCATATGTGATCCTGAGGTAGTCTATCCCCTAATTTGGATATATTTTACACTTATGGAACAACAGATCACATGGCTGGGAGTAAATGCTTCATAAGACATTGTAAAAGAGCCTAAGGTTATTCATTAATGGTGTCTAAAATGAAGGCTTAAAAGTCAAATCCCAGACAGCAGGTTGAGAAATGTGTGTTTTTTATCAAGGCTGGTTTCAACGGTTCCTGGAAATCAGATGTTTGTTGACAGATGTTTTTCATGTCCTGCTGTTTTAACCCTTTAGGTCCAATGTCCTCGAAACATCTAATGACAGCTACCTGAAAAAATGCTCCTTTGATAGAAATTACAACCCATACTGCCCCATCTTCCGCCTGGGAGACCTGGTCAGCTGGACGGGGAATGACTTTCAGGAAATGGCTACTAAGGTACCAAATGTTATAATGTGCTGAACAAGACCGTGTGCAGCAGTGATGGTGGATCAAACAAATATTCACAATTAACATTTTCTTTGAAAAAGAGGATGTACAATGAAAGATTTTTTTTTTAATTAATCAACTGTTATCCTTAAAATCACATAATGATGTCTAGCCCCATCTTTACTCCTGTACCTCATGAAAATCTTATCTTTTAATGTTTTTTAAACTGATATAAGTTTGGACACAGCTTTAGCTCCACATTCAAACTCTTCTATAGTTTCACTTTACTGACTGACGTTAAAACACTTTCCTCTTTGCATGGACCTTTACAGCATTTTATTTTGACTGTATTAAATAACCAGGGGCTAAAGTGATACGTGTGAGCACTAAAAGACAGAAAGTCTGTGTTTTGGTCTGTCAGGGCGGCTCTGTTGGCATTCTCATCGAGTGGGACTGTGACCTGGACAAGGACGCCTCGCTCTGTAAACCTGAGTACAGCTTCACCCGGTTGGATGTGAATGTGAATAACTCAGTTACATCAGGTTACAACTTCAGGTATGTCCTCTCGGACATTCACAGATTTAAATCTGTCAGCTGACTCTTTCTATTTTCTGGCAAATTTTGTTTTATTTCAATTATCCACATTTTTATACTTACAGATATGCCAGGTACTACAAGAATGAAAGTGGTGAAAGTTATCGGGATTTGTATAAAGTATATGGGATCCGCTTCGATATCATGATCAATGGAAAGGTAGTGGTGATATCGGCAACATTTACTCACAGGGCAGTGCCCGAGTTTAAAACTAGATGCTGAGCTGTTTGTATTTTTTCATTCCAGGCTGGGAAATTCAATATCATTCCCACAATAATCGCTATTGGGTCGGGTGTTGCTCTGCTGGGTGTGGTGGGTAATTTTTGAATTATTACATTAATGTGTCCGTGGAAGATGCTGTGTTGTTATGGAGTTGTTTTGCTTTATTATTGTACCACTAGAGGGTGATAGATGATCACCTGTGAAAAACAAAGACTGACGTTTTCTCTCTTCATAGGGAGCCTTTGTGTGTGACATGATTTTGCTCTACATGATGAACACAAGCTCCCTCTACCGAGAGAGGAAGTTTGAAATCATCAACTTCAAGTATGAATATTCATTAATGGACTATAGTAACTGGTGAAATGCACTTTTTTTTTTCAGTTTCCTTGGCACATTATTCAAACCATTTTTAAAGTTGTCAGCACAAAATGTCTTTCCTGAAAAAGCTGATTGTACAGCAAAATATCACAACTGATCTGGAAATTGGGAGACAGATGATGGTTGTAAAACTTTTTGCGTCAGCACCCATAACTCACTGCCAGTTATATAAAGTACAAAAAAGACCAATTCAGCCATCTGCATGAATATCATAAACCTTGTGATTTGATGTCAAAGACAGGGTTTCCCTTTTGTTACAATACACACTGGAGTAGGTAGTAAAAAATAACCAAAATGTGCAAAAACAGAGACAGCACCATGCTAATGTACATACATGTGATATGTGATTATCCTAAACAAGGTTTACCAAAGTAAAATAACATTTCTACTCTCTCTGCAAGGGACAAAACCCCAAATATACTTTCTCTTTAACTCAGAAGTGTGTGAATGTGTTTGGGAGACATAAACGAGTCTACGCATGCAAACTTTGTTGACAATTTATGTGTATAATTAGTAAATTAGTGATCTATTCTGACAGGCACATATTTGTATAAGTAATAGATGTTTGATAATGACACTGAATTGAGTCTTAGACCTGTTACACAGAGTTGAAAGTAGACAACCCTGAGAGGGTGTGCATTAGTATGGTGCGAATGGTATGAAACCACCAAGTTCAGCATAATGACACCACCACTGGGACAAACAGATGGCCAGACAAACATTCGTTAAAATAGCTGACAGCGCATATCAACAGCCACTCCAAAAAAATGAAACAGAGCAAATCAAAAACAACCTTCAAACTTCAATTCTACTGTTTTCTAATCCCTGATAGTAATATATACTGACACACACTTTTCTCATGTTTTTTTGCATCAGGAAGGAAAAAGACAAACCAAAGGAAGGGAAATCAGGACACAGAGAGAGGAGATCCAGGAAACCACATGCAGAGAAAGATGCTGAAAACTCCATCAAAAAGCTGGAGGAGGAAACATGCTCGCCTGCCGAGAACCAACAGCCTCCGGACAAACGAGGTCCCACCATTCCACGCAACACAGGACAGCGCTACACCATTCTCTCTCCCCAGGGTGCGGAGGCGAGACATCACATCACTTTCTCTTCAGACGCTTAAGTTTCCTGGTAGAACAAATGAGTCACATCACCTGTGGTGGACGTGTTCATGTCTCTGAGGTGGAACCTGTTTGGACTTTTCACCTCACTGCAAAACTGCCTGTAAGCCACTGTTTCAGTGATGCTTATTTTGACTGAAGATTCATTGGTCCAAGAATAGGTTAATGTCTGACACTGTGAGCCAGGATGCTGATGGAGGTTCACTCACAAAAGTGGATTTTAATACCCGCTGGGTGTGGATCCAAAGGAGAGATGTGGAAGATAACAGGTCCATAATAGATTAGAGTACTGTGGTAATGTCAATGAAATTGTAAAAAAAAATGCATTAAAAATAAGTGAAGCAAATGTTAACTTAATGCTAGTATGCTGCTTTCAAATGTTAATATTAAACATATTGTTATTTTATGACATGAAATCATTACTTCAAGCTTTGGTGGCTATTGATCAGACAAAGGAAGCATCATTTTAGATCCAGTTATATGTATTAGGCTGAGGTGTTTATTTTGGCCTTGTGATAGACACAGAACAAAGATTACTTTGCTCACATTTCATGAGATAGGGAAAGAAGTACATCAATAGTTGCAAAGAGACTCCAAAGAACTGTCTGGCTTTTTCACATATTTTTAACACTGCAAAAAGGGTAAATATGATGGATTCTTTCAAATGGAATGAAATTAAGTTGTTTCAGGTTAGGTTAAAAAAAAAAAAAAAAAAAGAGGACTAATCTGATGAATCAGACTGAAAAATACACTTTATCAATATTGTGTGATCAGAGGAATTAAACTGTAAACACAAAGGGAAAATGTTCAAAGATCTGCACTAAGATGAATCACATCATGAAAAAGATGTGAGCGGTTTAAACTGTTGATAGTTTGGCTGAATGCTCCCGTCTTGTGTCAGACGTTTTCTGTCTTCTGCTGTATGCTGAGCTGGCTGTGATGGTGATGGCTTAAACACAATCTTATTCACAATTGAGTTTATCATATTGTGTCACTGTCAGAAGTCCTTTGCTGATGACGCAGCTGATAGTTGATGAATGGTGCTAAATGTTAATGTGCATGGACCCTCTCTCCCATGCTGCTTTTACTGTGTGTTCCTGAAGAAAACAAAACAATTGTCCTGTTGATTCTCCTGTTAGTGCCAAATAACCTGGCAGACAGAGATTAATAACCATTACAAATGTGTTGTTCAGAGGTATTTATTTCAATCAGTATTCAGATTTGTTTTAATTAAATTATAATGAAATGTCATTACACTTTGTTAGGATGTACTTTGATCTATGTTACACTATTACCTTAACTATCCTAACTATGGCTCTTATCCTGGTATGGATTATGGTGATCACAAAGCAGGAGTTACAGGTTAAGTAAGTTCATAATAAAGTGGCGCAGGAAGAAAATAAGTAATTGCTGAACCAGCCTTCATGTAATCAACAGTTTATATCAACAAAAAAAATCATAATTCTTTTACCAAAGGCTTATCTACAGACAGCAGGGCAGACATTGGTTTACATAGCATTAGATTTAATTCAGGTTAGAGTTGTATTATTTTAGTACACATGCACCATTCCATAGAGAAAAGTCCAGAACAGGACGTAAGTGAAAAGACCCCCGACGAGGCCCCCGGTGAAGAGCAGCCGCCGTGATTTGAAGCACTTGTTCCACCGCCGTCCTGCCTTCAGAATGAGCAGGAGAGAGAGAAGAAACGAGGCAAGGAAGTAAAAAATGAAGCCATACAGTCCAGTCAGCCCGAGGATACCGGCTGTTGCTCCGGACAGCGCAGACACAGAGGTGCGGCAGTAGTCCAGCACGGCTGCGTTTCCCCTCACGGCTACTTCGCTGATGAACTGAGGTCCCTCACGCTTGGCTACGACTCCTGCCATCTTAGCTCTGGCCAGCTGTCACAGGAAAGTGCTGCTGTTTCAGAAGGAAATCAAGATGAAAAATAATATAAGGGCTGTTCTTTACAAGTTTCGCTACAAAACAACATTAGATCAATTCTTTGAAGGCTTAGAATAATACAACAGTGTCGGTTATGATGTCATATTGGTTTAATCTTATCGGATCTGTGATGAGTCAGCCCAATCTAGATCTGGAACATTTATATCGTAAAAAATAACTAATCTGATCCAGTGATTTCATGACTTAAGCTAACTAGACATTTAAATTTGAAAAAGTCCTTTCAATCTAAAAACGAAACACACACTGTTCAGAGAAATATACAATAAAAGCAAGAACGTAATAATGCTTTGACTAAAAAACAATAAATCATAACATTATCAACACCTGAGCAATGTAATGCAATCCAGTGAAATGTGTTATTTTAATAAGGTGTTACTTTTATTTGGTATAAACAAATATAAGGGAACAAAGACATAAGGGGTACCTGTCTGACGACGTCAACACAAATCTAAAATGTAGAAGTTATACTAAAGTAGAGCTTTTAAACTGGGTTACATTATCATATCCAAGTGCTCCTAATATTAGACCTGGTTAGAGTATATTAAAAGGATCATATTAGTCAAACAGTCCAACAAATATGACATTTTGTCACACTTATTACTTTGCACAGTTTCTTTAGGGACACTTCACTTAGGTTACAAGGCAAATCCCATTTATTTAAGCCCTGGGGAGAATAGTGTTTTTACACTTGTTTTTTTATTTTATTTTTTAATCAAAACCTCTGAGAAAATGTAGTGATAGAAACTACATATTTTAAAAAGCACAAGTCCATGTTACAACAGGTGCATTAGATGCCACCTCAATATAGCAGTTTCAGCAATGGTATAACAATGACTAATGACAGCTTTGTGAGCTGCTGCTCTACTGATATATAAACACACATAAGTACTAAAATAAATAATAGTGGTGGATTTTTCAAGTTCTCTCTTCAATTCAGTTGTTAAAGGACTAAGATATAATGTCATTAAAGCTCCTGTGTGGATCTCCTGATTAGTGTTGTTTTCATGTCTCCTTTGGACAAAGCAGTCTTTTCTTATCTTGTCTTTTACATGCTAAAATATGTGTTATGACAAAAGAAAATCAGTCATTGTGAATATTTTTTTTTAAAAACAGTAAAAGCAGGTCTGTTGTCTGTTAACCCTTAATGCTGCTTGGCTGACACCTACCCCTGACAACAGTTTCAGGCATTAAATATTTCAATATACAAGCAGTCAGTCTGGCTGCTGGTGGTTTGATTTGCTTTTTCATATCACAACAAAGTATTTTTTATCAATTTCAGTCTGTTGGGAGGTTTAATACTGATAACTATTAAAATGCTGTTTTGTCCACTAAGGTCAGAATGTCCAAAGTCAGCTATTTTGAAAGGAAGTAACTGAAAAGAGAGGAAGGACACTAAATTCAGCATGGGCAATAGAAACCCTTCTCGCTGTACGTCTTAAAAATATGATTAAAAATCTGACAGATTTAGGGTGTTAGCTACTGAGCAATAAAGCAAAGCAGCTTATCACATTTGAAGCTTGCTAACAATGACATTTAACAACTCACAGGTACAAATATCGACACCATCCTGTTATCTTAGCCCAAATGACTACGATTAATCTCCTACTGACCCGCTTTATGACGCTTAAATTCACATTTGACGGATTTATTTCATCATATTCATCACTGACGACGCTACATCATCGGCAGCGCTAAAGCTGTTAGCTCTCTGCTGCTAACTGATGGAGGATTCTCACCTAAAATCACACAGGGACTCGTCGACTCCGCACAGCACGATTATAAACTCATAATCTGTCGGATTTAACTCGCAGACTTCGATATCTCTCTGTTTTCAACAAAAATCAACTGGTAACGCGCAGAGATGGCACATTCATTCTTCATCAGTTGACACTACGAGGAAAAAGTCGGCCATGCTCGCTCCTTCGCGGTGCATTGTGGGTATGGCTGATCGCCAAACTAGAGGCGACGGCGTGGTGCGTTCAAGGCATGTTAAAAAACAGGATAATTAACAACAATGGGGAAATACTCTCACTATTGATCCGCTGTATGAAAGCCTGAAGCGGAGATTTTCATTTAAAATCAGATGAAAGCTTTATACAGGTCAGCTTATATACAGTCTATGGTGTTAACCCAATATATGTAGATATATGTAATTATTATTATTATTATTTATTTTATTTTATTTTAATTTATTTTTTCCATGTTGTGTTGTTACGTTCCTGCTTCTGTTCACATTTATGTATGTTGATCTTTGTGTTGTACTGTTAAAAAAAGCAGTAAAAAATAAATTACAAAAGAGAATAATGGCAATATTCTGATCTTAAAATCATCCATGAGTCATGTTAACACCTGATAAACTAACTTAATCAAACTGACTGAGTAAGAATTAAATAGACATGATAGATTAAATATAGATACAGGTATTGTCTTAATTCTCTGTTTTGTATGTCTGCAATTTTTTTAGTTTTTATATTTTTCTAGAGTTAGTAAGTATCATATTGACATTATTATGTACACTTGTATTTTCCCTGGCTGCCCGGGTTACTAAATATGAATTGTGTTAGATTATTTTCAACTAGGACAGGAGAAATGAGGAAGACACTTTTAGTCTAATATACAAAGTGGTCTAGTAACCTGACTTTGGTAGAGTAAAATAATAGTTTCAAACCAATAGAACTACATGTTGATGCTGATGTTGCATTTATTATAGTAGTCCAGTAATGGCCCACCTTGCTTTGGAAGTGGAGTTGGAATTTCCGATATTTGTCTTGTACATGAATGAAGCATTAAACTTTGACCTGTCATGATGTCGTACAGTTGAATAGTAAACCTCTCTGTGCCATCAGCAGGATGTCTACCTATATTCTGGGTATCGATGTGGGCACCACTTCACTAAAGGCTGTTTTATTGGAAACTGACTCCAGGTCGGTGATTGAGACACAAGCTCTGCCGACAACGTCTGATATAGTCGACAACAGCGGGACAAAGGCGAGTGCTTTCACACACAGACAGCCTTACTTTGACTCTCTGAGCTTGTGTAGCTATCACTGTTCCGTGTGTGTCCATATGCAGTTTGATTCTTTGCTATGCAGGTGAAAGAGCAGGAGCCCAAACGGATCATAGAAGTTCTGGACAGATGCATCGCTCAGCTGCCCAGAGAGAAGCTGCAGAGAGTCAGCAGCATTGGTCTGTCCGGACAAATGCATGGAGTTTTATTCTGGAAAGCTGAGAGCGGTATGATTATTACATGTCTGTCTGTCTGTCTGTCTGTATGCATGCACGATCAGGCTTTTCAAATGGTGTGGTAATTGTGTAACAATGGTTGTGTGAAATGATGACAAACAGAGAAATCTGGTGCCTTTGTATTTTTTTATTTACTTTTTTAAAACATACTTCATTTTAATAACCTATAAAATACACCGTTGTCAATACAAAATGTGGGCAAAGTTTCAGATATTGAAGTAGAAATATGTAATAGCCATGGAGTGAAACTGTAGGCTGCTCTTAACAACATGTTCAAAAGGTCACATAATAACTGGGCAAGATCTACATTAGATATGCTCAAATGGTCATATCACTGGTTGGTGAATCTCCTTAAGGGCAAAGTACAGGTAAAGCTTAGCTGCTCTGTTTTGCTTAGGATTTTTTTTGTCAGATTTGGGGCCCAAAACATATGACCATAGGCATTTTCATAATTCTTTATCTTGAATAGAAAAACACAACTTTGTTACATGGCAATGCTTTGACTTGCATTAGCTGAAATCAAGTGTTTCAGAATTGACATGGACCCTCCTCCTCAACTTTAAATCAGGGTTTTCTAAGACCTGTCCAAAGATGAGTCAGGATATTTTGAGCTGTGGGTCTTCTGTAGATGTAGCACTACTAATGATGCTATCAGTCTCAAGCATTTTTTAGCAAGAAAATTTAGCAGACTAGTCCCTGATGGTCAGGTGGTTTTTGAATGTCATGACCATCTGTATTTGCATTTGAGTCTGTTTCAAGACCTGGAAAAAAAACCTTCACAGGAGCTTTAAGTGTATAACAATGGCAAGAAATGTTAGGAGGTATTATTACCTGGCTTTCTTGCTAATCACCCAACTGTGTTAAATACTTGATTCTGATTGGTCTATACCCAATGACAATCCCTTGACAATGGTGATTAACTCTGCAGTATATCATATTCTTACTTTAAGTTGTTTTAGGGGCACGGGAACCAAAAATTTCAATACAAGAGCAAGATGTGTCAAATAAGATGGAGCGCTTAAGAAAGTGAAACACCTTTGAAATTAAATCAAGCAAATAAGGACTGATTTTTTTTTACTTAGGGAAAGTATGAAGGAAGTTAAATTATGTCTTACACTAAAGCTCTACTGCCTAAGTTAATTTGCAATGCCTCTCTCTAGATCAGCCACAAGAGCACATTTAGATCAACAACAGCAAAAGCAAACAAACAAACAAAAAAAAATACACGTCTAGAAATGGACTTAAAGCTGCCCTCTGCTGGTTGCATCACAGATTACAAATTCTTTGCTTCCAAACAGAGTCATTGATACATATATAACTTAAAAACCTGTATTATCTCATTTTTTTGCCTCTTTTCAGGTTGTGATTGGTCCAACAAGGACTCCTTCACACCTCGAGACACCAGTCAGCTGATCACCTGGCAGGATGGGCGCTGCACCAGCCACTTTCTGTCCTCCCTCCCTAAGCCAGACTCACATCTCAGTGTAGCTACTGGGTTTGGCTGTGCAACAATTTTCTGGTATATGAGACACAGGTAAGATTGGACATTAAAGGACCTTTTTAGAGTCTATTGCACCACGTGCAATATGAGAGTGAATGTTAATTGAGACGTGTGTTTTTGCTGCAGGCCTGAGTTCCTCCAGGACTTCACAGTGGCAGGGACCATCCAGGACTATGTGGTGTCCATGCTGTGTGGTTTGGATGGTTGTGTGATGACTCCTCAGAATGCAGCCAGCTGGGGTTTCTTCAACACCTCCAATAATCAGTGGAACATCGATATGTATGTAAAAGCAGATTTCCTATTTTAGTAACACTCTGGGACTGTGCTGACATTTGAGGAGCATTTTCTCAATATATAACAGTTCAGGTACTAAATGCATGAAAATGTTTTATAGTTTGTGCATGAAGGTGTTAAAAAGAAGCAGCTAGATACTTTGTAGAGTTTCTAACAAGCTTTGAAACTTTGAGCCTGATTACACCTGACTGATCACAACTGCCAGACTTACACACCATTATTAGTCCATAAAAATACAAAAAACAAAGTGTCAATCAGACTTAAACAAGAGGAGAGAGAGAAAACAAGGAAGAGGGAATATGGCTAAAGAACTTTTGCCAAAGCCTCATATTATGCTAAAGTTTTGTGGTTTATAAGTGAAATGTAAAGACTCTACTGCAGACTTGAGTTACTATAAGCAGTTTTTAAAATCCCTGCTGTAAACATTTGACTCCTCGAAAGAAACTTCACTGTCCTTACAGCAGTGCACCTTAAAAATATAAAGAATAGGTCGTAATTTGAGTTTACATATTTTACATAGAAATACAGAATCTTGACATGCAGAACCGGGCTTTGGTTTTGAGTAGTGTTCTGGTTTATGTTCCTGGCATTATGTATTAGCAGACTGTGGTGTGCCTGGTTTGAGGAAGATCTATGTATTTCTACAAACAGATTTACAGATGACCAAGATCAGAATTTTCAACTCTTTATAAATCTGTTTTACAATGTGTCAACAAAACTTTTTTCTGACTGCCTGGGATGCATCAAACATGATAGAGTCAGCCTCCATTCAATAAAACGTGGATATGGATATCAAAAGAGGTTTTCTCCTCCTCTTAAAGACAGAGCTGACAAAGCTTAACTTTTACTCTTTAATAATCTGTACTTTGATGTTGGTTTGGCAAATTTAAGACCTTGTAATTGTGAGCAAACAACAAGAAATTACTTTATATTAGTACTGAAAATGTACTATTTACTGTGAAACTGAGATGAACCAAGACATGATGGTTGTTTATGTCATATGCATACTGGTAGAGGCAGATATTGCTTTTGATCTGTGAACAGTGCGGCACATAAAGGGAAGTCTTACTAACTGCGGACTGGAATCACAAAGAAGTTGGCCATTGCTCCCAGATACATAATGCCACATAAAGGGCTCTAAGATTGTTTAGGAAGAGATCACCCACTTAAGGAACAAACTGCATTGTGTGTAACTAGATTAAGTCAAGGCTCTATTTGCTCAGTACATGCATGAGAGAATATAATGTCTGGACAATTCATACACATTTTCAGAATGAGGACACAAAGCTAAGAGATGTTTCTGACACAACTGAGAAGTATAATAGTAGTGCACAAAATCCTGGAGAACATGACCTGAATGAAACAGTTGTCATTCTGACTTATCCCGTCCTAAAATTGCCCTATCCTTGAAGTTGTCCTCTTGTGATCTGGTCACTCAGGAAACATGCTCATACCAGGTGTAAACAGAGCCTTTTGGTTTTTAAGCCTAACCCACATAACCATCAGTGTATGTTTGTGTGTGTGTGTGCATGCTCCAGTCTGAAGGCTGCTGGCTTCCCTTTGCACCTGCTCCCTCAGTGTGTGTCGTCTGGTGGCTTGGCGGGAAAGACGTGCTCTGACTGGCATGGTATCCCTGCTGGTACACCAGTAGCAGCTGCCCTGGGAGACTTCCAGTGCTCTGTCTACTCCTGCATGAGAGCACGGACAGATGCAGGTGAAGCAGGGAGTGTGGTCATTGATTTTTGATGCAGTGACTGCTTTGACAGCCCACAGACTTATTAAATTATCTAATACTTCTTTATTGTGACATTTTACATCTATTAGATTCTTTCTACATATGATATACTAATCATGCTCCAGTTCACAACTGTGTCTATTTCTACTTTGAAAACCTTTACCTTTTTTAGAGCAGACACAAAAAAAACAAATGTTACCCATCCAGTGATATCCTTCCATCAGTGTCTTTTGCATGTCATGTTCTACTCTCTTGGTTAATCCCCGTTTCATAATATTTATTTATCGTTCGACTTATTTCACAGTTCTTAACATCAGCACTTCTGCACAGCTGACCTTTGCCATGCCAGCTGACTTCAAACCTCCAGATTCTCCTCAGCCCACCTCCTCCATCGCCTACTTTCCCTACTTTAATGGCTCATATTTGGCCGTGGCAGCTTCACTAAATGGGGGAAATGTGCTGGCCACTTTTGTGGAGATGCTTAGAGCCTGGATGAAAGAGCTTGGTATGTATTTGTATGTTATATATATTTTTATACGCTCAAGTGTACGCTAAGATGGCACAATGAAGAACCTCGTTATTTACTTTAACCTGAAAGCCTCATTTTGCATTGAGGCAACTGATCTGAGGAGAAAACAGAAGAACCAAATGTTGCTACTATGTCATGTTTGCTCATCAGCTGCAGCAGGGAAACTTTTCTTTGTTTTCATTTCATAAGAATAAGAGGAATTTTAAAAAAAAAGTGCAGAGCAAATAGAGACAAAGATAATATTTCAAGACACACTCACTTTAAGTCATTTCCTAGCTTTGTAAATCTACATACTGCCGGTCAACGTTGCGGTAATTACCTTCGGAAAGGTAATTATTATATATATTTTGACATTTATTTGTACAAGCCTGCATATTATCTGTATGTTTTTGTTGACTAAGTTCAGTTCCAATGCACATATGGGTTAAAACTTGTAAAAACCCACTGAAATAAAGACAATGTGCTTTTTTTCTTTTATTTAAACTACAACAAAGTTTTCTTTCTTGACCAAATGACCCCCCTGCACCCCCTCATGGGAGCAGCTCTTTCAAAGCCAGTTCTTTGGCAGTGGAAAAACGACGAACTGGTTCCAAATCAGGCACTGGTTCTGAAATAGCACAGGAACCGACTTGGTGTAAAAGGGATTATATGAGTGCTCACGTGTGACCAGCTGTAAAACTTCTCCTTACTGGCTTTGCTTTTGGTTTCCTGGAAAGAGGGTTGCCACTGTCTCAGCTGCACTGCTACTTGCGGTCACAGTAACTGTTGATGATAAAACCCCCAAACAAGAGAATCAGATGCTAGATTTTCTTCTTTTTCAACACCATCCTGTTAGTTGATTACTCTACAGATAGAAAAAGAGAATTTTAGGAAATAACATAACAAAAAAATTTTGTCCACCAAATCTGGACATAACCATTAAAGAGAATAAGCATATAAGAAGGTTGCATAATGACTGATCCCAACGTAGAAGCAAGTGCGCCGCCAAACCTCTGAACTTTTTTTTTTATGTTAAACTGAGGGCAAAGACCAGTGACAGTTCAAAGAGAGCAGTGTTCATTTGAGCAAGAAATTAGATGTGAGTAAGCTCAGTTAGTGACTTTTATGGACTTTCCCTAGAGAGAGTTTGATTATATCTAATTGACCGAACTGATCACAGAGCACTGATGCCAAAATGTTAAAAAGTCAGCGTTGAAGTGATTTAGCTCTTCTTCTTCTTCTTCTTCCCTCTCAGGCACAGAGCTGAGTGATTCATGCTTGTATGAGAAGCTGATCCACTGTGCCCTGAATCAGGAAACAAGTGATCTCAGAGTGAGCCCCACCATCCTGGGAGAGAGACACGACCCACTCTGCCTGGGCCAAGTGACCGACATCTCCACCACCAATCTATCTCTTGGTCATGTGACCAGGGCGCTGTGCCGAGGAGTCATGCACAACATCACCTCCATGATGCCCGTTGAGTGTCTGCAGCAGGCGGGAGTCAGCAGGATTGTGGGCAGTGGGAGCGCCCTCGCCCGCAATGAGGTGCTCAGACAGGAAGTGGAGAAGGTGTTTCCTCAGCCGGTGGTGTACGGACAAAACGCAGACTCTGCTGTGGGCGTGGTCATGGTGCTCTGTGACTTTCTTTGAATGCGATATGAATCCATGAGGTAATCCCAAGCTGTTTACATGATTATAAGAGCATTTGCACCCCGACCTTACAAACACAGTTACCTAATTTCACTGTGTGAAAATTAACAATCAAGCAGACTGAAGTGAGACAATAGATTCTGAGTTCTTTTCCAAGAGGATCAAAAGTCTTAAAAAAAACTTGAAGTTTGTTCACCCTCTGTTTTAGGAGGGAGACTTTTAAGGTTTTTGTGTTTTATTAATCTCTGATTTATAACCATGATTGCTGCTTTTAATTTGCCTTTATTGTCAGTCTTATGGTTCCGATAAAAAGTCTTGGTACCCAAAAAGCTGTTTTTGTTTGTTCATTTAGCCTCAAGTGTCTGGCAGCTTTTGTCTCAAGGAACTTAATTTAATTTTTTTCCCAGCCAGTGGAGTGTCTGTCTTGGTTCTGCAAATCAGGGGCTTTTTTTTTATATGAAGGGGTGGTGAGACAGAAGGATGTGAAAGTAAATGAAAACGTGATTTGTTTGGCTAAGACTGTCCAGATTTGATACTCACTGCTGATACAAATGAAAGAGAAACTTGAAGGATTTTTCACCAGTTCATAACTTTTCTTTAATGATGTGGATTTTTTCTATAATAAAAAACCTTTCTGTGCATGGAAGATGAACTTGTATTTCAGAAGGTGTTTTGTTGAAATGACCCTGGTTTCCTCTGAACACTTCTAATGAATCACAGAAATTTGATTTTATGTTTTTTTATTTAAACACTTATTTACAGAATTTTAAACATGCAACAGAACAGGCTGAAAAGTCAGGAAAATTTATCAAGAGATAGACAACAATTTGTTCATGTCAAAACATGGTAGTAAAAACAGTCTAATAACAGAATAGTATAATACTTGTAACATATAAAAAGCAACTGAAACAAAAACAAAGCCTGCATGAACTAAAGAAACAAGTAAGATGATTATAAGCCAAACCTTACGACAAGTATTCAGACCTGAAAAGGAAACAAATTGTTGAATGATACAGTCAAATTCACAAACACATGTCCATGTTTGTGATGTTTGATTTAGATCGGTGGTCTCCATATGGCGGACCGCGGGCCACTTCCGGACCGAGAAAGAGTCCAATGCGGACCCGAGCGTACAGCAAAAAAATGTACGTTTTTTTTCTCTCTTGCTTTGTGCCTGGTTCAGAAAACTGCACATGGAATTTCGGCAAGGCATTACATAATTTGCTTACTCGCTTGACAGGCCAATCAAATCAGACCTCTTAGCCTGATCGACACACGAAGATACCCGAGCAATCCCGATGTTGAAAACTGTAAGGCGGCAGACTGAGGAGAAAGTTGGAGCAGCAGCTGAACATGTCGGCTTCAAAACCACGTAAGGTAGATAATGAGAACAGGGTGTTTCATGACGAGTGGACCGAGTTATATGCATTTACTTTACCCGCGAGAAGCACACAGCCTGTGTGTCTTTTATGCCACCAGCACGTAGCCGTTGTGAAAAGTTCTAACATTAAACGACACTACGACAAACATCGGACTAGTTTCGAGAGAGATTACCCTCTGAAATCTGCTCTCAGGAGCCAGCATTTACTCGAGTTAAGAGCCCGGTATGATCGATCCCAAAGGATCATGACCAATGCATTTACCGGTCAGCAGCGAGCACTTGAATGTTCCCTCCGTGTTGCCTGGGTTTTGGGCCAAAACAAGAAACCATTCGCTGACTGTGCGGTTGTCAAGAAGTGTGCCCTGGAAATAGTTAAAACATTGACTGACGGCAAACAACAAGAAGAACTGTGTAAAAAAGTGGCAGAAATCCCCATGTCAGCAACAACAGCCACGAGGAGATGTGAGGTTTTAACTGAGGATGTGCTCCAACAGCTGGATGAAGCGGTCAGGGGCGTACCTGTAGGTTTAGCTGTGGATGAGTCGACAGACGTGACTGATAATGCACAACTATTAGTTTATGTTAGGTTTTTCAACAAAGAGAAGAAAGTGTTCTGTGAGGACCTGTTAGGTGTGGCCCCCCTCAAGACCAGCACAAAAGGTGAAGATATATACAAGGCAATCAAAGAGATGCTGACGGAGAGGGGAATAGACATGAAACTAGTGGTGTCCATAACCACAGATGGAGCCCCATCCATGGTAGGACGAGAGAGAGGAGCTGTGGCAAGGATGAAGGAGGACCACGGTGAACTCATCTCATATCACTGCATCATCCACCAGACTGTGCTGTGTGCCCTCCTGAGTGATGAGTACAAGGAGGTAGGCCTACATTTCCACTTTTTCAGTATTTGTATGTTCCTTCTTGTGTCTGTCTGTCTGTCTGTGTGTGTGTGTGTGTATGTGTGGGGGGTAATGTTTGAGTGTGGGTGTGTGTGTCTGTGTCCTGTGTGTGTGTGTTCTGTCTGTCTGTCTGTCTGTGTCCTGTGTGTGTATGTGTGTGTGATAATTCTTGAGCGTGTGTGTGTCTGTTTGTCTGTTTGCCTGTGTCTGTGTCCTGTGTGTGTATGTGTGTGGGGTAATATTTGAGTGTGTGTGTGTGTGTGTGTGTGTGTGTGTGTGTGTGTGTGCATGTGTGTCTGTCTGTGTATGTGTGTGTGTTAATTGTATTGCTAATGTAATTTTATAATAAAGACACCAGTAGCCAATATTACATTGTAAGCTACATTGTTACTGGTCACAAATAAATATGTGTCCAAATAAATATGACTCTCCATCTCTTCTTTTTCATCTTGAGGTGATGGACGTGATGATGAAAATGATAAACTTTCTGCGGGAATCCTCATCCCTCCAGCATCGTCTCCTCAGAGAATACCTCCATGAAGTGGATGCAGAAGCTGATGACCTTCTCCTCCACAACAATGTAAGATGGCTCAGCAAAGGTAGAGTGCTGGAGCGCTTTTGGGCCATCCGGGAGGAGATTGGAGCTTTCTTATCCCAGCTGAGGAGCAACAAGGCAACTCGTTTTTCTTGCTTCTTAGAAGATGATGAGAAAATGGATATTGTAGCTTTTTTAGTTGACATTACATCTCACCTGAATAAACTGAATCTGAAGCTACAGGGCAAGGACAATTCCATCTGTGACCTAATGATGGCTGTAAGTGCCTTCCAGAGGAAACTGGAGGTGTTCAGAGAAGACCTGCAAGGAGAGTGTGCTCACTTCCCTTCAGTACAGCAGCAGGTGCAGGGGCAGAGAGATTTGTCTGCTTTTGTGGACTTTGTTGATCGGCTGACTGAAAACTTCAGCCAACGATTTGACAGCTTCACTCTTGGACAGCAGCTCACCCTGTTTATCCAGGATCCCTTCCTTATCACTGATGTCAGGGGGTTCTCAAAGGAGGTCACACAGCTCTTCAAATGGGCTGAAGCTGGTCCTCTACAGATGGAACTGGTTGATCTTCAGGCAGACGTGGCACTGAAGGAGCAATTTGGAGGAAGTGAATCTGCCACCTTCTGGATGGAGATGGTCCCTGGAAAAGGCTTCACAGGTCTGAGTAAAATAGCTCTGTACACTCTGACCATGTTTGGTTCCACCTACAGCTGCGAAGCAGCTTTTTCGACCATGAACATCGTCAAAGACAAATATCGCAACAGGCTCACTAATGATCATCTCCACATGTGTTTGAGGATGGCCCTGACATCTTTCGAGCCCAGATTCAAAAAGTTGGCTGGAAAAGATGGAGCCCGCTTCTCACGAGCTCCTCTTTCTGAGTGATAAAAAAAGAGTAATCAGGAGGGAGATAAATAGAAAACAATGACGGACCGGATGGTTTGTGAAGATTTTCAGTGGCAAAATGTATTGAGTTAAAAGTTTAACTAGTTTAGTTACTTTGTTTCAGTGAATTTCATGCTACTTTTTTTAAATGCACTTTAATTTCAGATGTGCCTGCCTAAAAAGCCATTTTGTTTCTAATGCAGGTCTTTGAATATCTGTAGTCTTCATGTTATTTAAAAACAAAATGTAAAATGTAACTTTTATACTTTCAATAAATATTGTTGACTTTAAAAAAGGTACTTCACTTTATTTTAATTGAAAATAGGCAGTTATTGACAATACAAATGAAGTGAATATTTCAAAAGAGTAATGCACTGTACAAAAAAAATAAAGGTTCCCGGACCCAGGCCTGCAGGCATTTCATCCCGGTGGACCCATTGAAAATTTATATGAAGACCCCTGATTTAGATCATCAGCAGCTAAACTTCAGGGTTGATATCTACAGTTAATAATGAGTGTTGATGTCCTCTTGCTGATGGTGTGTGCTTTAGGTTAATACTGACTGAATTCAGGAAGTTTTTGAGTTGAGCTTTTCGTTATACACATCTAAATTTAACACTTCGACTGCAGTCAGATTATGTTGGAGTGCTTTGCCTTAGCCTCACTGCTCCAGAGTTTCTTTTATATTCTATTCTTTATTTCTTTAGATTCACCAGATCTTTTTAATCTGTTGTTCAGATTCTAGTTTTGACTGCAGAAAACTATCTGTGACTATGATACAGACATAAACACTGGAAATGCAGCACCGGGCTTTAAAACCTTTCAGACAAAGGTGAGGAAGTGTAGGTGCTGATCGACATTTTAGGAGCTCAGTCATACTGTGCCAGCAGCCACCACCTCTCTGTGTCAGGCCTGAGTGTGGTTTGTGTATGAAAAAAGGAAGTGATCTTCTAAGACGAAATCGTTATATCTGAAGCACACGCTGGTAGGCAGACGCTCTGCAACCACACAGTCACAGGACCACAGCAGCACTGAAAACACACTCATACACACATGCAAATACTCAGTTCAGACAGGAAGCGTATAATGAACTAAAAAAAGAGCCTCATTTAAGAGAGAAATTAAACACAAGTGACAGACACTCCTGTGAAAGAAGAGTTACATCTGAAAGGGTGAGTAATTCATTTTTAACCTACAATTTTCCTCGCTCTCTTGAGGTTTTATTTCATGTCTTTCTTTTTTCAGTAGAATCTTTTTTAATCAAAGTTCTTCATTGGATCAGTTCATATTTTATGTGAAGTAAATGTGTGAAACCCCTCCTCATGGCCTCCTAATGAAACATGTTAATGTTATTGTTGGATAATACTCCAGTACTCAGTGCATACATGTGGATTCCTTTGTGGTCTTTTTTGCTGTGCTGGCTTGAGCATAGATAGTCAATACAGCATCCTGTTAAGCACTCAGAGCTCTGTAATGTGCTCTGATATTCTCCAGGGCGTGTCACTTTATCTCCCCCCAGCTTCTTCCTGCTCATCTCACCCCCTTCATGTTAAACAAGTACATCAGGGCTCAGGACAGTCAGTGCATCTCTGTAGGACTCCCATCTTTGTTATTTTGAATTTGCCCTCTTTTCCTTGGCGGTCAGATTTCATTTTAAAAGAGAAACATCTAGAACAGGAAGACGTCTCTCTGGTGAGTCAAACGGTGTGTTGTGTTTTGTGGTGTGAATTGAGTGGAGAGGAAGACATGTAAAGTGTTTTTTTTGTGCAAAGAGCAAAATTCTCCTTATTAGTACAGATCATTTTTGTAACATTACTCTTGTGAAGTGACATTTAAATAGACAGCAATGCAAACATTTGACTTATGTTGTACACAGCTGGATGGATCACATGGGGAGAAGGAACAGATTGTTTATTTTTTGTGAATAATTGTTCTCTTGCATTTGGAGTATATTAGGAGTGTATTACAGCAGAACTTGTCCAGGTCATCCTAAATCAATAGACTCATGAATAATACAGCAGGACATATTGACGAGGTGTGGAACGTAAACATGGTTTTAAAAGTCTTGCACACCCCGTTTGTCATAAAAAAGAAAACAGTTGAATTCATCAATCAGACTCAAGAAACTGACTGCTCCTGTTGTGAAATCATTTTATCTAAAAATAAGATGTCCACACTTCTGTTTTTTCCAACCTTTGTCTCCTTGTTTGCTGCTCATTCCTCTCGTGATGGCCACAGAGAGTCTTGAGGGCTTCCACTACGTCATTTCAATTCCCCATTTCCAGCCTGAAATGGGGAACATAAAGCCACTGAACATTAGCTTCCTGTTATCCCAAACATGTCTTAAGATCCCACCATCTCGTACTTCTTTTTGAAAAGCTGAATTTAGGAAGTGTAGTTTTTTTATTTCAATGACTCTGTTTGGGATTCTTCTGCAAACTGTACTGTAAATAATCTGATTTTTCTGCTGTGTGTTTTGCTGTCATGGAGATCTTCTTCTAAATACACTCCTTTGTTAGTGACTGAGAGTGAAACATCACATGTCTGAAAATATGTCTGCGCCCCTGAAGGCCTGTGAGGTGATCCCTGTGGTAAACATGTTGCAAACTTAGCTGATACAAACTCAAAGTAGTTTGTTGTAGATAAACTACAGACTCCAGACTTCTTTGTTTGTAACATGTGTCCAATTAGAGAAAAGTCCCTTATACAAGTTTCCTTATGTATAAAAGCTGCTAAGAGTCACAAACTGTTTATACAATATGCATATTACTTTCATTTTTGATGTGCAAAGCCAGCATATAAAGAAAGTGCAGCTTTTTCCTCTTTACTCCTCCCTACTACTCTAAAATACCACAAAGAAAAAATCAACAACAAAATAAATAATTAGTAGATTATTCAATCAAAAGAAAATCCCTGAACTCTGTAGTACTGATGAACCTTTTATGGGATTTTTCAAGCCACAAAAGTGAAGCATTCACATGTTAGAGATCTCTGATAATGTGTTTTTGTCAACAAAAAGTTCTGGGCTGTTTGTCAAAGAGAAACATGGAAATGCCTTTGGACTCTTTATTTCACACCTCTCTTTTTGACAAATGTTAGTTTTTCAAGTAATTATACCATAAATACTACATGCACGAGACAATACAGAGGTTGTAGCATTATGGTCATTGTAGGAAGTAGAGGGCTAGTGATGTTGGTTTTTGATGAACCATTTCTTAACATTTTTAAAACAATTGATAACAATTATTTATTGTATTTATTGAGGTTTTCCCAAGCAGACTGAATGCTTGTTAATCTAATGGGTCTGGTGGTTTTCATGGTTGTAGAGTGTGTGTTGGACAAACTAATGGGACTGTCTGATGTGAGAATTGTGGAGTGTAACTTTAAATCAATGTAGACCTTTAAATCAATGTTGCACAAATATTAAATCATCACCAATGTACATGCTGAACAGAAGTGGGCCCAGTTTGGAGCCTTGGGGGACACCAAATGATTGGTGTGTTTCATGAATCATAGATGTGGGGACCTTTCTCCTCCACACTCTTTTCTTACTTTTGTGGCAGACTCCTAACTCTTTTCAGAAGTTTATTACATTTATATCACCATAAAAAAGTTACCATGTTTTGTTAAAATGTTCGGTTTAATTTCAAAGTGCAAGTTGAATTTTCTAAGGATCCAGATGCGTCATTACAACATTCATTAAATTTGAGAGGGTATAATTTTTATTTTTGCAAGAGTACATGCATAGCTTTTAAACACTCTTTTTGTTGCCAAATTGAATCTGCCTTTACATCTTTGTGTAATTTTTATTTGCCCTTTTTGTATTGCTTGGAGTTACCTCCTGGAATACACTAAATTTATTAGGATTTGTAGATCTAAATTGTTGATCTTAATACTTCACCTCACACACAGATTGAGCTGCACTGGGTCTGTTGCTGCTTGTTTGAACAAAGTGGTCTGTATATTTCTCTGCAGAGACTTGGAGGAAGAGGTGAAGATGAATAAGTCAGAGATGTTTGGCTTTGAGCTGGAGACAGACGACAGGACGGAGGAGGAGAAAGCAAGACAGAAAGCGTCAAAAAAAGGTGGAGTAACGTCTGCTCTGGGTTTTGGCTCAGAGGCGCCCAAGGCTCCCATGGACACTGATTATCAGGAGGAAATGGAGCAGACCAAGCCTAAAATCAGATTCAACCTCAACTTTGACAAGTGAGCTTCTCCATTCACACTTAATGTGGTCTCTGCTGCTCTTAATAACCATTATGGCCCGGTTTCTGTTTGTGATCAAGTCTCACTGAGGAGATTTGAGTGGAGTGTGACGCTGCTTGGCCCTTTGACCTCTGAGTGAATCTTTTCGTGTTCACAGAGGGATACGAGGCGAGGGCGAGAACAGCAGTAAGAGAGACAGTAAAACGTTTAATATCGATAAGCTGTTTGAAGCTGCAGCCAGCGGAGATGTCAAACAGCTGGACGGTCTGCACCTGTACCTGCACCAGAACATGAAGAAGCTCTCTGACTCCTTGTGTGAGTGTGACACCCACAGTGCAACAGCAGCTGACACATATTTTGACCCCAGAGGTAGAAAGTAACAAAAATTGGAAGTTGTAGGACTCAGTAAAGGAGGGTTGATCAGTAATAGTTCTCCTGAAGACTTTTATCTTTAAACGTTAAATTTTAACACAACTATATGTTACTTAGACTTTCTACAAGCTTTTGTGCATTTTGTGCTCTTCTTTTCACCTTCTCTTTATGTGTTGTCGCTCCTGCAGATCAGTCCTATGGTAAAACGGCGCTGATGAAGGCCCTGCTGCACCTCAGAGACGGCAAGAACGAGACAGTAGAGCTGATGATTGACATATCAGAGCAGATAGGCGACATTAAAGAGTTTGTAAATGCAGCCTACACAAACAGCTACTACAAAGGTAAACTCTGTGTGATGAAGACAGCTGTGAGGATAAACTTTACAACAAATGTGACTGTCTTACTGATACACATGTGTGTGTGTGACTGTTGCAGGTCAGACAGCTCTGCATATTGCCATTGAGAGGAGGAGTCTCTCTTATGTGGAGCTATTAGTCAGAAAAGGGGCTGAAGTTCATGTCAGAGCCTGTGGGATATTCTTCCAGCCACACAATGGACCAAACTTCTACTTTGGTGAGTCCAGACTGCTGCAGGGGAAATAGTCCTCAGGTTCAAATATTTCTGTCATTGTCACAGGATCTTAAATGGTGACAGAAATGGAATATGTCACATTATCTAGCCATCAGTTTCTAGACTGGCACGCTCCCTTGATCACCCTTCCTGTTAGTGGAGCTCCAGAAGTACCAAGGACAGGAAACAACTGCTTTTACATTTTTGTACAATCAAAAAAAATTAATAGATAAAATAAAAATAAATAAATAAATAATAATAATAATAATAATTGAAAAAAAGAAATCAGCACAGAAACCACTCTCACTTCTTCTCTGTTTTCAACCTCTGCATTTTTGGTTGCCTCCCACTCATTACAAAAACTGTGTACAACATACTTTTGAGTACTAGCTATATTATTTCCATCAAGTCTGTTGAGCTCCTTAATGCCCCAAACTGTACCTTTAAAACAATGAAGTTATTTAAATATTCTTACAAGAAATAGTCTTAATATATTGTCTTTTCCCTTTTAAATAGAAGTTGATTTTTAACTGATTTAAGACAATAAAAACACAGAACTCAGGTAAAAATGTTGTGATTTCTGAGATACACTGGATCAGTAGTTTGCTGTACGTGTTACTATTTAGACGCATGTTGCTGACAAGTGGTTCCTTTTTGTTGCCATAATACTCCCTGTTAGCATTTTATTTTGGAGAGCTCACATTTCCATTTCTTCCATTTCACTAAATGTGCAAAAACATTTGAAAATTATGAACAAACACGAAAAAAGCTGTTGTGCCCTGTAAACAAACATTTTTGAAAATTCTAATACGTTACAATTTATGAAGACCTCAATTTTTTGACCCCTGCACAGAGAAAACCATGTTACAGACAACTCTGCCCCCTTGTGTCAGAATGTTATACTGCATGTGTACACAGATGTCCTCATGCAGACAGGACATGAGCAGAGATGGTTAAGATTGGAATGTGTCTCAATGACTATGAAGATCAAACATGGTATATAATAAATAACCAATACAAAGATGTAGTCATCAAATCACTAAGCCAGTGTATCGCTAATTCTTAAAAGGTCAAAAAGCATCCCTTCAAAGTTGCTTTGAACATGTCTGGTAACATTTTTCCATGAAAAAATGTGGCTGCATCTAAAAATACCCCCCCCCCCCAAATTAGAATTTAACAACAGCTAACATTAGCATTCAACAGCTACTAAGCTATGATTACCCAATGTTGAAAAATTAAGCAATATCAGACATTATATATCAGATATAAGCGATATTAGACTCCTGTTGATGTTTTGATTCATCACCCTGAACTTGCTGATGTGCTTAAGCAGCCAAAGGTTTATGAAGTTAGTGGAGTTCTTTCTGAGGCAAGAAGTACAGAGTACAGAGTTTGAGGGGATGATGAGGGGGTATGAAAGTAGTAGATTCATCTAGTTTAAGGCGCAGCAGCTGTACCTATCTGGCTCCCCTGAATTTGTGACTACTGGACTAAACTGAGGAGAAGAAATCTTCCTCCTCTTCAGTGCAGTCTGGTTGTTATCTCACACCAACCAAAGGACAGAGAAACAGTTGAATATGTAACTTTACATACTGAACAATATTTCTGTCCAGGCTTGATTTTCTGAGGGAATTTAGCTGGTGAAATTTTCGTTTACAGAGATGAATTTTTTCCTTCCTGGAGTTTTTGTATCTTAAAAACATTGAAAGTTGTACCTGCGCCATAAGAATTTATAATGAAAAGTTATATTTTTAAGCCACTCCATAACAACTAGAAAACATATAAAAAGAGGCTGTATATGAAATTAGCTGTTTTCTGTACTTGGTTGATGGATCATTGAGTTTGGTCAGATTCCCCACAGATTTTAATGGTTATAGTCTCATTATTTGCAGATTAATCAATAAGCTGTGAAATCGTATAATTTAGCAGAATTACACATTTTGTAGGATAAATGGATTGTAAGCCAGCAAAACTGTCCTTCAGCACTAGGTCATGGATAATCAAGGATGTCATTTCTGCCTATTGATATAATATGATGTCCTTTCAAATTACACTGTTTATTATCTTGTTGGTTTCTTTTCTGGAGTTATGATAACAGTCTGTCAGAATCCAAATATTAATATGACTTATATCCAGCTACATGGGAGCAGTATGACATTACCCTTTGGAAAACAAAAAACACATTTAAGCTACCAATTTTTACAGTGAAATCAGAGAAACATGGCCACCCAGGGAATGTAAAAAAACATCATTGAGGATATCAAATGTTTGGATCAGTTAGATTTCTTGATACATTCCTCATTACAAATTTTTGGAAGTAATTTAAACTGTTAAACAGTATTGAATAATTTTAGTGCATCTTTGGTGGGGTTTGGCCGTCTTTAACAGCAAATATCCACACAGAAAATGTCCAGCAGTTGTTGCATCCTTCTAAATTACATACTAGGTTATGATGATTGGCTTGCTTGTGTCAGGCAAAGAAACTTTCCTCACTTTGAAAAAGTGTTTTTGAGTTTAAGTCTGCAAGGGAACTTCTTAGATATCAATGAGGAAAGGGCATTTAAAGTGGAGAGGGACTATAATAGCATGAATTTGTCTGGCATCAGTCTCAAAGGTCTGCTGTAAAAGGTCACACTTGTACTCTGATGGATGTTCTCAAGTTAAACTTTCAGGCCACTTCAATCAGCCGCTGTAGAAGAAAATTCGCTAATATGAGACACTCTTTTTCTGTGTGTGTGTGTGTTGTCCTCAGGTGAGCTTCCTCTGTCTCTGGCCGCCTGCACCAACCAGCCTGATGTGGTTGACTTCCTCATGACAAACGAGTACCAACGAGCAGACGCCAAGATAGCAGACTCTTATGGAAACACAGTGCTGCACGCCCTGGTGGTGGTGGCCGACAACTCAGAAGAAAACACAGAGTTCATCAAAAAAATGTACGACCACATTCTTACGACTGCTGCCAAATTTCACCCAAAGCTGAAGCTGGAGGATATCGAGAACAAGGAGGGGCTCACGCCTCTAAAAATGGCTGCCAAGACTGGAAAGATTGGGGTAAATGCCTGGTCTGTTTTTTTTTTTTATTAGTTAAATCTGGATCAGAGTGATAAGGGTTTGGAAATAACACATTTTACCATCTGGTGTCAGCTCACAAGCAGACAGTGAGGCAGAGTTATGAAATACACTGATATATGGTCTAGTCAAAGACTAACAAGCAGGATATTAAGGATGGGAGGTTGGCAAACATATCGTGGATACAGGTTTGCAAATTGACTCAAAAAGGGGTCTAGAACAAAACTTTCAACAGAGTGTGTCTGAAGGATCACTGCAACATGTTTTGAAAAAAAAAAAAGAAAAGCAGTTTTAAGTGTTTCAGTAGATTCTGACAGTAAACTGCAGAATAAAAGGACTCAGCCACCCTAACCCTTCCACTTTCATTTTTTCTACACAGTTGGACCTCATCTGACCAACAACAAATAAATAAACCACTGAAACAAACAACGAATAAGCAGAACTTCAGCTGTATGAATTAATGGGACCGATTCTCCCTGTCCATACTTTATAGAGCAGTTCCACACATTAGTACAGAATCAGCAATGAAAGAGAGTGTTTTTTGGTGTTAAAATTGTAGTTTTTGTTACTTTGAGTAGTGTTTCTCTGTGGGGTTTCATTGGGTATTAGTTGTAAGATGAATAACAGTCTGTGTGTGGAATATAGGAAGTGGAAAATGAAGCAACTAGGGGTTTTATTTATCTTGATCAACGGACAGAAGTGCAGGTAGTACTGTTCCGGTTGTTTCTCAACCGAGTTCTTGACTATTAAAGTTATAAGTTAATCTTCAAACAACCATCAGAGTTCTGTAAAGAGAATCTTGGCCTGAAAATCCATTAGTGCTTATCCATCTAACCTTCAAGTTCACCAAAAACCCTGACAAAGATGAAGAGTAGGTTTGAAATTATATCCACTCAAAAGTTTATTAGGCACGTTGATAAGGTTTGATTTTAGATTTTTAAAAACCTGTCTTACATTACATCCAAACTTTGATCCAATAAAGATTTGATACTTTTAAATCACTTGATACAAGTAGTGACAACAGAAATCTCCAAGTAGAAGTGCTCAGGGGTCAGGCTTACAACATACTGAGTTTTGCTGGGCCCTGTTAGTGTCTGGATGTGGGTCCTAGTTCCTGCTAGCTTCTACAGAGTCTACAGCAGTATTACAGTTACGCAAATTTGAGGAAATGTTCACAGAAATATCTTTCTCCTACGTTTTCGTTTGTGTCTTTGCAGATTTTCTCACACATCCTAAGAAGAGAATTCCATGAGAGTCATACCAAACATTTGTCCAGGAAATTCACAGAGTGGGTTTACGGGCCTGTCACCTCCTCCCTGTATGACCTGGCCTCTGTGGACTCACATGAAGCCAACTCAGTGATGGACATACTGGTCTACGGCAGCGGCATTCCTGTAAGTCTCAGACTTATGACTCCTGTCCCTGCAGCTAGTCCAAATCTTCTGTACTCACTTTACCAAATCAACACAGGCCTAAACTCTGCAGATGTTAGTCTCAGAATGAAATGCTCAGATCAGGTGTAACATACAGTAAGCCTGCTGTTGTTGTTTGAGGTTTCAGAGAATCTGATACATATTTCTAATCCCAACACCTTTCCCTTGATCAAATCTACGAACTAGTGCTCTGCTTTTTAGGGTTAGAAAACACAATGATACACCGCATGTCTCATCAAAGTAGGACAAAGACTTAGGGCTCTATTTTCGTGTACGCTGGTGAGGCGGCGGAGGGTGGCGGACCCCGCGCAGTTATATTTTCGTCTGGCGGAGCCCGGCGTACAGCCAGTTTGGTATTTTCATGGACTGAAGCGCACGGAGGTGCACCGAAATCCGCCAAGCTGGGTATGGTGGCATGGCAGGGGGAGGTGTCGACAGAATCAGCGGGCGCAGTGACATTTTCGTGCTCGCCAGTGGCGTTGAAGTGCGCTGAAAGCTCGCCGAGTCAAACCTGGTCAGCTTTCAGTGCAGGTGGAGCGCAGCTGGTCTAGTAGTATTTTGGTTAAACCTTGTCGGCGCAGCGGACCTGACTTATGCCGCGCCTGCGGCACGTCTCAGGCGAGGCACGAAAATAGAGCCCTTAATGCTAAGTAGTTAAAAGTTAACATTTGCTATTTTCTTTCAGCCGTCAAATATGTTGTCACTTTTTGAGTTAACCTAGTATCACATTACATGATCCTTTGGTTAACTGTTATCCTGTTGTTATTTGGTTGCTAACCAACAAATAGAAACTTTAAGGTTAAAGTAGCCCTTATTATGTTAGCTTTCACAGATGAATTACACTGTTAGCTTTTGTCTTTTAGTTGCTTACTAAAGTTTTGACACTTTCTAGAGTACTGCTACATTCATCAGCCACATTAAATGCCAACTGTTGTCTTTTGGTTGCCAACAAATCTGCTGGTTCAGTTTCTAGTCAAAGTAATGTCACATACTAGCTATGATATTAATATTCAAACATTAGCTGTCTCATTGTGGTTGGTAAAAGTAGTAGCTGAATTTCAACATTATCCCGCTTCTGCTGGTTGCTGAGAAATGTAACTTTCCATCTCAAAATGTAGCATAATGTTCTTTTCATTTTTTAAAACCTGCAGAAGTAGTACTTGTCTGGTACCTTTGATAATAGGACTCACAACCTGGAAATCAGCAGAATGACTTTCTAACAGCATTTAAGTTTCTCATTCTGGGTGTGACCCCATTGTTAATGTTTTAATTTGTTTTTATGGTCTCAGAACCGTCACGAGATGCTGGAGAAGGAGCCTCTGAGCCGGCTGCTGGAGTCAAAATGGAAGTCATTTGCAGGTGGCATGTTTTTTTTCAACTTCCTCGTCTACCTCCTGTACCTGATCATTTTCACAGTGATTGCCTACAATAAGAAATCTGACTCGAAGGTGAGATTGCAATTTATGCACAGCGTGAACGACTGTGTGATGGTCCCAGACTAACTCATGCTGATGATACTTAAATTATTTTATTCCCTGCTCCACAGCTGCCGTTTCCCATCGAATACAGCATAAAGGGTTACCTGTATGTTTCAGGCCAGTTAGTGACAGCTATAGCAAACTGCTATTTCTTTCTTGTAGGGGTAAGTAAATATGCTTTTGTAGAACATATCCAAGCCATGTTTCAATAACATTATTTATTGTAATTATTTGTTAATCCTCAGATCATAGACATGAGGAGAAAACAGCCGAAGCTGGAGACGTTGCTGATTGATGGTTATTATGAGATTCTGTTGTAAGTACCATAATTAAGTGTAAGCAACCATGTGAAGAGTTAAGTTTCATTTTATTACTTCAAAAAGACTCAGTGTCACAATGCATTACAAACAAATGCACAAAAGCAAAGAAATCAGGATGTTGAATTATCCGGGAAATGAACCAAAACATAAGACAAGGGTGGAGAATTATGAGAGATGTATAGATAAGGTGTGGAAAACCTTTTCAGTCAAAAGATTCAGCATGTCTTTTTGAAAATCAGTCAAACACTTTTGTAGCTCTGTGTCCCACTGTGCATTATGATTTTTTACAATGATAAATTGTGCAAGATCTCAGGCATTTCTTTGCTCTCAAAAGTCTGGTGCAGGGCGCCCTCTACCTGATCGCAGCCGGCCTGTATCTGCTTGGACTGAAGCAGTACCTCGGCTTCCTGGTGCTGTGTCTCGCTCTCAGCTGGGTCAACCTGCTCTACTTCTCCAGGGGCGACAGACACATGGGAATTTATAGCATCATGATTCAGAAGGTAGACAGCCCTCTCTGGTGTCTCTGCATCATCAGAGTGAACATAAAAAGTCTAATCCTAAAGCTTTTTGTCTTTTTTTCCCCCTTGTAGATGATCCTCAGTGACATCCTGCGCTTTCTTTTTGTCTACATGGTCTTCCTGTTTGGCTTTTCAGCAGGTATTTCTCACCTGTTTATTTAAAAGTGGACAGGCGCAGATGTCTGCCAAGTACTTTCTGATATGAAAACAAAGTCCCATCAGAAGAGTTTACTTAACCGTACAAACAAAGGGTATTTTGAGACATAAACAGGAAGAGACTGATATTTTTGACAAGCCTTTAAAAGTATGGTTCAGAAATTTCTATTTTTTTTTTCTATTTTTTGTTGTATGTGGTATGATTTTGTTGCCTTCTGGACCAAGTGGTACATTTGACCTTTTAGGTCATTTTACCCTGTAACTTATAGTTTTCAACCAATAATGAACCTACTGTCTCTTAACAGCCAAATGTTCAAAAATGTACAACCCAATTCCAAAACAGTATAGCCAATGGTAAAATGGTGTTATAATCAGGTCTAAAAATCATTTTAAACACTGTAGTTGATCCAAGATATTGAAAACAAATTATGTATCAAGTATGGTAACTATTGAAGACATTTATCAAGAAAGTTAGTGACAACACAATACTTAAAAAGTTGTGTGATGCTGAAGACAACATGTGGGGGGTAGATCTCCAAACTAATTTGGTCATTTTTTCACACGACTGGGTAACAAAAGGGCGTTCCCGAGAGGCTGAGTCTCTAACAAGTAAAAATAGGAAGAGGTTCATCACTTTGTGAGACACTGCTTGACCAAATATTTAAATAATGTCAGAATAATGATACTCACTGTTAAGTTGCAAATGGTTTTATCATTTACAGTCTGTTATATTATAAAAAAAAAATTAGGAGAATCTGGAATGAACTGTACAAAAGAGACAAGGTCAAAAACCAGGACTGCGTTAAAAACAGATATGACCCTGCAGGGTGAATAAAAGTAAGATTTTGAGCACCTCAAATCACTTCCAAAAATAATATTCTGTTAAAAATGTTTGTTACAACTGTATAATGCAAAGAGAAAATGTGTTAACATGAACACTGGCAGCTTCTGTGTGCCTGAGTCCCTTGAAGACTGAGGCAGAGTGGGAAACTGTGCTGCGGTCTGACAAACCAAAGTTTGAATCTCTTTTCGTCAGAAACCTCGACCATTTAAAGCACAAGAGTTAGGCGTAGAGGTCTCTGGCATTAGAAATAGTTACTTAAACCTAATAAATCTTGTACTGATGGTCTCGACTTTTGTAAGCCATATAGAGACACCAGTATCAACTCCATCCAGTTTCATAACCAAATAAAAACTCCCCACAGGATCTTTGAAATAGACAGCAGTCAACATTGTAGGTTTTTTAAATGCTAGAGTTCTGAAAAAATTAGCTAAACTTCACACTGCTGTGTAAGATTTCTACTGCAGCTTGAATGTCAGCCAACTAAAAACTCCTCACGTAAAAAATTGTTTGTTTACACTATATATCGTATATTTGAGCTGCTCTACCTCAGTGACTTACAGACTTCATCTCAATACAACAGCTCTGTAATCTGGGCTTTTTCACCAAAAAGGTCACAGTAAATGTCACCCTGCTCTGTTAAGTGATTTGGCCTTAACTCAACCATCAGGAAAGCTAAAAAAAGATCAATTATTTGAAAAAATCTCTAACACCCACAGTAGTGTCGTCCATTTCTGTCGGCTCATTTCACTCTGCAAATGTTTTTCCTAAGTGTTCTCTGGTTCATTTAACTTTCCTCTCATCTCCACCCTGAACAGAATTTTGTTAGCTGGTACTTTTTTTTTTAAGAGTCCTCAGTTTGTGTTTCTCAAAAACCCTGTCTACAAGCTTGTACAGGGACTTCCTTGACAGTGAGGTCCTCATACAAACCCACTTCAAAAAGTCCAAATTATCTCTTTCTTTTTACTGAATGAAACCTGCTTCTATCTTCTTCACAGCGGTAGTCACACTGCTCATCGAGCCTCCTGAGAAAAACGAAACCAAGAAGGGGCGCATTTTTGTCCCACTGGATGATGACGAGCTCTGTGTGAAGCCATCCTTCGCCAACATTTCCTTCACTACGCTGCAGCTTTTCAAGTTCACCATTGGCATGGGTGACATGGAGTTCATCCAGCAGTACGAGTACAGAGAGGTCTTCTACGTGCTTCTCATTGGCTACATCATCCTCACCTACATCCTGCTGCTCAACATGCTCATCGCCCTCATGAACCGCACCGTGGAGAAGACCACTATGGAGAGCACCAGCATATGGAAGCTGCAGGTGAGACACCTAGGATGATAAAGGGACGTTTTGGTGTGTGGCTGTGGTTTTGATAACCTAATTTGAATTTTTCAGAGGGCCATTACCATCCTGGACATGGAGAGGAGGCTGCCGCAGTGTCTCAGGGAGAGGTTTCGCTGTGGGGTTGAGAGAAACCTTGGTGTTTATCTTGGAGATGACCGACGCAGATGTTTCAGGTATACTGTCCAAGGTCTAAAGACCCATTAAGATTAGGCAGATCAGCCCAGTTGTAAAAAGGTACCAGAGCTTAATACAGCTTCACAGTTGTTAAAGCACATTCACATTCATTTGACGACTAGTTATGAGAGCTTAAGTGCTAGTTTGGCTCAGTTAAATCTGTCCACCTGAACTTTAAAAAGTCTCATGTTTATGTTTTAAATTTACCCAACAACACCTACAAGTCAACATAAAGACAAGTGATGCATGGTGTTGTTGAAAGAATATCAGTATCTGCAGATAAAAGCTGAATAAGTAGATTATTGATATCTGCAGAAAAGAACATTTCTAGTGATATTTATGGCTAATATGTTGACACAGTGAGCTTGGTTGTTTTGAAAAATTTAAAATGAAAGCAAAATGTCAAAATGCAAAGGTTGTAAGGCACAGGTGATGGGAGGAGGGGCAAAACAGTGCTCCTTTATTACTGCATCTCAAAAACCAACATCCTGACCAGCAACTTGAGTCTTTGAAATTAGGAAACTAAGAATAAACAGTATTGGTGTCTCTGAAAAACCTGCCCTCAGCATCTACTTCTTTCATTCATCAAAAAAATATAGAACAGTGAGCATCCAGAGGTCAATATAGTGGTCCTGGTGTTCAATTACATAAATAGTTTTACGTAGACAATTAATCAATATTTCATAAGACACAGGAAGATGGAATTTGATGCAAAAAATATTTTGTAAAAATATTTCACCAAAACCCAAAAATATTTTACATAAATACATAAAACACAAAAACAAACTCCAAAAACATCAAAATGAAAAAAAAAAATGTGTAATGAAAGTATTTTCCAACCAGAAAGGTATTTTGCTGATTTTATATAATTTTCAGATTTTATTTTTTGGTTTCTAAAATCTATTAAGTGTTCATGTTATGTATAATAATAATAATAATAATAATAATAATAATAATAATAATAATAATAATAATAATAATTATTATTATTATTATAATTATTATTATTATTGTTTAACAAATGTTTTGTATCGTAAGAAATATTAGCTTCCTGAAGTATTTGTGCAATTGAGCTTCAGGGCCACTGTAGTCAAGGAGCTTAACAAGAAAATCATTGACTCCGTTGCTCTCTACATTCTTAATTCTTGGAACCATAGTGAACTGTAACCTTTTAGAGGGGGGTAGGGTTTAGGAAAGATGTTATTAATTCACATTAATGTACCAGTGTAGAAATGAATGCTCAGAGTTAATTAATTGTTTAATTGATAGATTAGCTGGAAAGTTAGCTGGATTTCATCGACATAAATTCATACTTCATATTCATCTATTTACTCAGCCACTCTGAAATGTCAATGTTACCTAAGAATAAAAGCCTTATCACAGTCAAACAGATGATCAAATCCAAACATCGATATGATTAGCATCTAAATAGAAATAGAAAGACATAGTTTCCAGGCTAGTATCCAGTATAGTCATCGACAATGTGTGAAAATACTGTAAATTTACTGTAACTACTATAATTTAATGTCTGAACCTAAAACCTTCTGATCATCAGTGAGCAGCAGGAATCCATCAGACAGCCTAAATATTTATGATATTTTCAATCTACTTAAGTCATGCATCTGATTAGGATCACTTGAGTGTAAAATTTTGAGCCAAATTTGAAGAGAACCTTCTTGTGACCAAATACCTGCAGAACCTATTACCCATCAGCCTTAGTAGCAGTTGGTGTGAACTGCTATTTGGCAAAATCAGCATGCTGACCTGCTTTAACACAATAGCATGTACAGTGTCTCCTTGGACATGACAAGATTAAATTTTGAAGGTGTTGTGTGCAGACTATACCTGATACCTAGAATTTATGGGCAGACATGCTTGGTTCACAGGTGGATGACAAAGAAGAAAAGAGCGTTTGCTGTATGATGAATGAATAAATTTTCATCAGGTTAAGTCAGCAGTGACAGGCAGAGGCAGAATTTATCACCAAATGTGTGGGAAAAGACACTGAATTTGTATGTGTTTTCGTTACCTGTGTTTGTGTGAGGTTTCAAAGTGATGAAAAGGAAGCTGGTTGAGGTAAAGCTCTGATGTTTTAATCAGATCCTCATCTCTGGCTTATATGATTTTTTTGGGGGGACACAACCTCTTCTTTTAGAAGTTTAAGCACTGACGACATGAAACCCCTTACACCAAAACTGTCCCACCTCTCAGAGTGATCCTCAGTGTTCAGCAAATCTCTCAAAAACAGCAGAGACATAGATTTCGTCTTGAAGATTTAACCACAGTTATAACTGTGTGAGCGGCATGGATTGATGCACAGCGCACTCTGTTCTTCACTAATTTGTCTCCTCTGACAGCTGAGTGATGCGTCACATGCAGACAGTAATTGGAGCATGTGTCCTCTTGTCTTCACAGAGTGGAGGAAGTCAACTGGAACAAATGGAACATCAACCTGGGCAAAATCAATGAGGATCCTGGGTGCTGGGACAGGACACAGCAGCCTGCCTCTGACCCAGGCCAGTCCAGACTACACCAAGGTGATAAAACATAAACACACAGTCAGAGTCTCTAGATCTAAAAATGCTTTTCATACATTTTTCTGCGACATTAAAGAAAACCATGTTTAGTCACATTTTCTGGTTTGTCCACAGGGAGGAGCTTTAGAGGCCTTTTCAGAGGGAGTCGGAGGTGGCGGACGACATATCAGGGCACAGAGTTGAACCCTCTGAGCAGCTCACCAGTTTAAAACACGATAAGGTGTTTCACTGTGTCTGCTCTGACAGCTTGATTGGAGCAACGAGGCATTTAAAGACAGTTTTAGTTTCAAACCCCAAAGAAATACAACTGCCAAGATATTTAACTACCTTTTTAAGAGACTGACTGCATTCCCATGTCAGCTTGATTTTAAATTATGCCTTTTAGGCTACCAGTGAGGGAGATTTTGTAGATATTTGTTTGTCTGATAAGCTGAATTAATCAGAGCTGAAAGCTGCATCAGGTGCTGCTTGATTGCCAAGCAAAAAACAAATACATTAAAAATGTAACCTCAGAGCTTCTGCACACACTGTTTCTGCCACCACCAGAACAGGAAGCGCATCCTCTCTGCACAAAGGCCATCACCTGCCGACACCTCTGGCATCGTTCAAAATCCTTCATGGAGGAGCGCTGATCACCGAGGTGCTGATCCTCCTCTCCTGCTGTGTGCCCTTTATACATGTTCCATTTTCATCACAGCCAGACAAGCTAAACCTCCCGCACACAGAAAGTCCTGCAGATTTCACAGCTTGCTTTGTCTACTACACTTCCTGTTTTTATTCAGCAGATGGCTGAATTAATTAAAAGAAAGAAATGATCACCTTCTGCAGCACCTATCATTGTTATAAATAAGGGAAGACTGGGGACGGTTGGTATAGGTTTTATTCCTCTAATCAGAAACCTGCTAGACTGATGGCTTTACACTGCCCATGCTTGGTTACTCCTTCACCATCCACAAAGGCAGTGAAAACATTCAAAATTTGTTTCTCATGATTTATAACTTATAAAGAAATGTTGAAGTCATTGAATATTTGTTACATTGTGTTTGAATACTTAACTTAGTCAAACAGATTAGTCAGAAGAGTGGACTTCTACATTAAATGGATAGCATGAGTTTAATATGTCCAGCTAGAACATTATGTTTTTGCTGAATATGTTGTCTGGACAGAAAACAATGATGACATGAAAATCGCAGATTGTTTTTTGAATATTGTGTTTTTTTAAACATAAATAAAAAACATATTAAATGAAATGTGCTTTTTACTCATTGTAATTAAAGATATATGGTTTTTCCATTTAAAGATCCTATCAGGAACTTTTGGTTTCTGTGATTATTGGTGCCCTCCTGTGGACAAAAAGGGTAAAACCTTTGACTACTTTAAAACTTCAAAGCTTGTAAAGTACAATACCAGTTGTACTTTGTTAATCGGTGATACAGTCTCCTACATTTTGTTTAGGCAGATAGCTAAGGAAAATCTATGTCCCAGTGACTAATATGAGGAACAGGGTGCTTTAAAGATAAAAAATAAAGGCCAAAAAAATATTAAAACACCTTCCTCACTGGACAATAAGTTTGTGTTATAGATGTCAAAAGCCTGCATCCATTGACAACTGATGAAAATAACATCAGGGCAAGTATAAAAATGGAAACAAAAGCCGGGATTACTAGCTGATGTTTTGCAGTATCATGACCTTCATATGCATCAGTAGTTTATTTAGATTTACAAATCTCATTCGTTTTTTTCTTTTGACAGTCAAATAGTCATTTTCAATCTTTGCCATGTAAAATGTGAAAATGGCTTGTTGTTGAGCATGCTTGTCAGACACCTTCCCTCTAGCAGCAGTTTTAGCCATAAAGAATAATTACATGAAGATAATCAATCTTGCACTTGATGGCTTTGTTGGGTTATATATATCATAAAGAAGCTCAAGTAATAACTTCAATCTGTTTCAGCTAAAAAAAAAAACCCACAGGAGCTTTAAAAAAAAACATGTCATGTCATGTGTTTCAGGAGAAAACGGCAAATAAGAGCCAGTGATAAATCTGTATAGTCCTCTCTGACTGTAATAAAAGTGTGCCTTTTTTTCTAACAGCTAAAAGGGCTAACACGTGTTAACAGGATGTCAATGTTTAAGTCTCTGTTTTTTCTTACGAAGGGTGGAAGTTAAAGGTTCTCCAAACAGCAGCTCAGACTCATTTCAAAGCATAAATTAGAACTTTATTTTATTATTACAATATTACAAAAAGAGTAGCACAACTCTCACGCTCTCGCCTCTTTCTCTGTCGTACAGAATGACACAAAAGAAAGGCTTATGGACCTTCTTCCATTTCACAGCAATAGTACAAGAAACAAAGAAAATTTAAATAACAAGCAAATCAAGTATTATAAATAATCACAACTGCAAACCGAAGCTTGGAAACTTGGAAAAAAATGTTACAGCTCAGTAACTACACGTTGCTAAAATATATAATTACAAAATATTACTCCTTTTCTTGCTTTCCAGAATAAAGAATCTCTAAGGAATTGCTCTGTCTATTCAACGAAACTTCATTAAAGTAAAAGACCAGAAAAAAAAAAGAAGAAAAGAAATTGCTGTTTCTGTGTTTCCTTAGCGTCTTCTTTCTCCTTATTATTTGGGGTTTTTATTAAAACCATGCTCATTTTCAAGGGAAGTCCAAGGACCAAACACTTAAGGCTTTTTAAGGGCTGTTAGGGAATTAGGTGAACAAAACATGGGCGTCATTGTGTTTTATACACACACACTTGTACACTTGCACACACACTCATTCTTAATCTACCCACTTCAGCAGGCAACATTCACACACAATCATTAAACTTTAAAGTTACAGTAGTCTAGTAGGTAAGCCAGTGTACAATAAAATAAACAATGCATTTGCTGTTTCACTTTAAACTTAAAGTTCAGTTTTGTTTACCTCCAGGTGATCTTGCAAGTGATCAATTTGGTCTTTTCAAGCACACTTCAGTAGCAACTACACAAACTTGAATCACATTAGTTCCTCCTTCACGACTTCAATAACACTATTATCTCTTCTGCTCCAGAGTTTTTTCCTCATTATACACCCGTCCCCTTCAATACCTGCGAAACAAATAATCTCAACATTCAAGTAATATATTTGTCATGGTAACAAAAACGATCTGAAATGGAAACACAAAATGGCACATCTTTAAAACAGAGTGTCCTTGCTAACCTGACTTAGGCCATTATGAAGGTATGAGAATCAACCTTTCAGGACTTTTCTGCATGACACATTTCACAATTATGTTGCAAAAACCTTGAAATACCTTTTTTAGAGCACCTGAATTCATTGCAGCATTTGCAGCAGGACTGAGCGTTGCCTCTTTTAACATACTTGCTCTCTGGTGGGTCTTGAATATGTACAAACAACCTGATTACATGCATTTGAACTGACAGAGAAATCAACCATGAATAGTCCTATAGTACAAATAAATAATTACATTTAAAAAGAATAAAACCTGTGTACATGTGCACATTGTAAGCTTTTCCAACTACACTCTGATGTCTCTGGAGTCTAAAACAGTAATAGTATGCACAACATCATCACCTTTGTCTCCAAATGATTGTGTTTAATCATTAAGGTATGATAAAATGTGAGAGTTAACACTAAAAGAAAACTAGTAACTAGTCAGAGTCAATCTTTTTAAGACCAAAACATACAACAGTAGATATTGTGGTTTTTCAGGGAGGGAACCTTTTTTCTTCTCTCTGACATGCAGGAGAAAACTTAACAGACAGTTCTGAAGATAAACTGACTCAGGATCAGTTTAGACACAGGCACACATTAGAGGAAGAAGGTGGGAATGATACAAACACAGTGTATACACACAAATATGAGTTCCCTTAAGTGCCAGGTAAAAGCACTCATAAACAAAAATCGAAGTAGCAATTGATCACTTGCAAGATTTTTTTTTTTCAAAGAACCAAAAAACCTACTGTATGTCTTCATTAAATATATTAATTACCCTCTTTAACATTAGCAGTCATTTGTTTTAAGTTATCAATGGAGTTTATTCATGTGTTTCCTTTCTTAAGACTTAACAAAAGGGTTTGATAACTGTTGTAGACAAGGCCATAGCTTATCTGTACCCTGGGTGCTGGATGAGAGCGCTCCTGCCATCCCCGACCTCCGGGCCTACCCTGCTCAGAGGAGGCCTGTGCATCTTGCCCATCAACCCGAGATTCTGATCGCGGAAGTAGGGCGTCTGGAAGTCCCCACCCAAGTAATCTGCTGTTTGCATCAGATTAGTCTGGGCGGAGGAGGTGGAGGTGGAGGAGCTCGTTCCTAGCCTGTAATGGGATGCCCCTGGGGGCCCACAGTCCAGTGTGGTGCAGCCCCCGGGGCCCGCACCGTGGAATGGCATGGCTATGTCCTGAGAGCCGGAGCTGTCACTGTTGGGTGTGGGGAGGATGCTGCTGTTCCACATGTGGGGCTGGAAGTAGTGACCATTAGTGTAGTGGGCCATGGGGCCGGGCATGCCGTTGTTGATGACGGGGGGAGAGGGGGTCGGCCTATCCACGGGAGGTTTCAGTGTGTAAGGCTGACCCACACACACCTCTGCAGGGTAGCCCATGCCCTTAAAAGTGAAGGCAGGGTCCCTGGAGGGCTGCTTGCAGAGGTGCGTCCCACCGTTCTGAATGTGGGGTACATGAGATAACTGCTGTTGATTCCAAGAGCGCATCTTCTGCTGCTGTGCGTTATGTTGTAGTTGTTGCTGCTGCTGATTGGGTTGTTGGTGCTGATGCTGCAGGAGGTGCTGCTGCTTGGGATCAGCGGGATTTGAAGGCAAGTGGTTCATGGCAGCAACAGTGGGTGGGGGGTGAGCACCCACTGGGGCTGTGGCTTTCTCTTGGGGGCCAAGTATGCAGTTGGGTGGGGGGTAGCCGGGGGTGACATGGTTGTTGTGCATGGAAACCCTGGAACAAGCGCTGATGAGCAGGTTGCGGCTAATGGGGCTTGGGTTAGCGATCTGGCCCTCGCACATGGATGTGGCTCCTGCACATTGGGCGCGGGCTTGACAGAACTGATTGATCTGGTGCACAATGGTGCTCAGGTCGGGCTGGCGGCCTTGGTGCAGCCCCGCGGCCATGGAGAGTGGAATGGTTGAGGTAGAGACGGTAACATTTGGTGGGGCGTCGCCATCTGACACCTTCCTGCCCCCCTGCAGGCCCGGGGGTGGCTGTTGCTGCTGAAGGTGCTGCTGCTGCTGAAGCATGATGGTAGGGGGCCCCTGTTGGTGAACAAGGGTTGGGTGCTGACACACAGTCTGGAGTCTAGGTGGGCCCTGAGGATGCTGGGCCATAGGGGGAGGGTGTCTGAGGCTCTGGGTGTGACCCTGCTGCTGAGGGAGGGGCATCTGCAGAGTCTGAGGCGGTTCCTGTTGTTGTAGGGGTAAGTTCTGCTGGAGCCGGGGGAGGTTCTGCAGAGCAGGGTGGTGGTTTAAAGTGCTAGTCGAAGCCACTTGGTAGGGTCCGTTGGGAGGATTCATGATGACTTCAGGGTGCAGACGAGCCCGGCTGCCGTCAAAATCTTTGAGGATTCCTTTGACTGAGGGGGCCCTGACAATGGCGAGGAGGCCTGTCTTGGCACTGGCCTGAGAGGAGGGGTAGGGGCTGTAGCGCTGGCCTGATGTATCCAGTCCGTTGACGGTTCGCCGCACGTGATTTTTCTGAGGGACCTTGACGCTGTTGGGGAAGATCTTGATGGTGAGGGGGTTGTTGGCAACCTTCTTAGCATATGCATCCAATTCTGCAGGGGTCGGAAACGGAGCGGATCTCATCCTTTGTGTGGTGTCCCCTGAGGTGGAGGACAGGATAGGACAGGTCAAAGGTTAGACAGAAGAAAAAGAAAGAGAAGATAAGTCAGAGTTTGAGGACAAAAAGATGAAGGAGAGAGGTAAAATGAAACAGCCAGACCTGGTAGGGGTATACATGGCACAAAAAAGCACATTGGATGAAATCTGAGCAGTTGACAGGAACCTGATTCAGACAGCCACTCATATTCCATACCTCGCTGTTTTCCCCCTAAAAACCTCACAGCCTTAATCTCATGAGGACTCCGAGAAAGATTTCTAATCTCATTCTGGGCTGAATTATTGCAGTCCACACATTTCTAGTCTTAAATCCAATTTTCTGGTTCTGTCTGTGACTCTGAGGTCAGGAGCTTTTAGTGGCCTTAATTGACGTATCAACCGCACAAACAATAAGCACACATCTGAAGGGGGGGCTGTGCTTCTTGCCACTAAATCACAAACTAAACAAAGAATGAGCAAGGCAGGGATGGTCCCCTGTGGCTCCTTTAGGGGGAAGGAAAGAAAGAGATAGACGCAGAGAGCAGAGCTCCATGACAGCAGACAAGTAATCAGACACAGCAGCAGCGTCTCTGATCTGCAGGAACACCTCCCAGGCCTCAGCTCGCAGACATTTGTTACACCTGCTAAGCACCGTGGCTAAATTTAACAATGCCGAACTGACAACGTGAACATGATTATGTGTTTGTGCATGTGTGAGTGCGTGTGGCTGTTTCATTTATGAGCCTGTTTAAAATGTGTGGCAGGATCATGCAGGTGTTGGCTAATATGTCAGTGTCTTGTAGATAATCTGCCAGAGGGGAGATGTGAATGCGTGTTTCATTTTAACATAGTTTGCTCACTTCCACTTTCTGCGCTAACACAATAAAAGTCAGTGATAATCATTTTGGAGGATGACAGGCTCTTCTTTTTCTCCTTTCGTCTCTCTGTTCCCATTACCACAGCCCTGCAAGTCGGACCCACTTATACCGAAACACTTGAACCGGTGGACCTGATGGGAGCTGATCTCCAGGAGAGATCACAAGTCTGATCGCTGGTTGATTTGATTTTCTTTTTCATTTAATCTCTCCATTTAGTGCAGGTAAAATAGATGCTGTTGTTACAGCGCACAGGCTGCTTCTCTCTGTGGTTAAGTGAGCAGTAATTTGAAATGTCTCTATTGTTGGCAGGGGTCTGTGGTTTCATGCGGACGTGGCCATTATGCTCAGGCTCACAGCAGACAGACTGGGCCTGAGGGATGAGGCACCGAGCTGAACTGCGAGCGCTGACACGGCAGCACCAAGAGTTGTGCCAACTGGCTAATTAATTCACGCTTTATTTGTGAGCAGGAAACAATGGGCAGCGATGTGCGGGGCCGGTATGGGGCGGCACACAGGGGGCCGCTATGACTGAGTGTTCAGCCTGCTGATGGCAGCCTCATTAATGCAGGGGTCCGGGCCAAGGAGCCGGAGCTCGACACCCGCCGTCACTGGGGCCTGATGTCTGTTGCTGAGTAGATGCCAGAGTAAGCAAACAGATAAAGGAGACTTACACAAAGCCTGACAGAAATGCTAAAGATGGACTGCACCTGTCACACAGGTAATTCTTTAAGACCTTTTGAATGGTTGCATAGAGGCAGACACAGATTGTCATGTTTGCCCAGGGTACAGCCTCATTCTTTCCTTTTTTGATATAATTTTGGATCATCTGTAATTGCTTCATGTCATTGAAATCTACCAAAACATCATGTAATTTGCTGTAGTTATGAACCCACTATGTTTTCTCTTTGATCAACACTGCACCAAAATTCAGAGGACAGGAGATGATGTTATTTAAGTCTTGCGAGAATCTGGACCATATGTGGAGCACATATTTAGATTTATTCATATGCTCTCTTTCGGGACAAATGCTGAGCAGAATTTTCCTGTAGTGTGAAGATTTACCAAATGTTGCATTCGCATAAAATAAAATACCCAAAATGCCCTCATGCGATATCTTTAATATAGAGAATCAGTGTTTGGCTGCAGTTCTATCTGTGGCATTTCCTCTCTATTTGACAATGAAACATAAAAACACTAAGCTGATGTCAGAAATGTGACATGTGGCATTTAAAATATATCATAAGTCATATTTAAATAAAAAATACTCCACCTCCATAATCTGGGAGTATCAAACTGTGCCCATTCTGGAGAACAGAGATGGTCCAGATATGACTATTTCTGTTCTCCAGAGGACAACATCTTGCACAGATTTCATCATACATGGGTCACAGTTTTGAGTACCTGAACGAAAACATCTAATGCTGTGTTATTTTGCATGAGCATATCAACAGTATTTAATAAGGATCAATCCACTTCAGACAGATCTAAGCTGCCATACACTGCAATATACTGCAATGAGACTGCCTGAAGACCGCCTGTGTCTGAAATGTACAGGGTTAAAAAATGACAGGGTTTTAACTGTTTAAACTTCAATGATAACATAATCTGAGTCTGACTGATAACTCTGATAACTCATATTAGTAGCAGCAGAAGTTCTAAAAGTAAAACCCTTTAATAATTCATTCAGTTTAGAGTAAGTGATATGTGTCTTGAAACGTTTGCATGTCTTGTTTGGCAACAGTTCCTGCCAGGAAGCTGAGGAGATGCCAAGTATCATGCAGCTTGTTTTCAAAGATGTAACAGCAAATACAATTGAGAGCAGTGCAATTTATTGGATATGAGAAAGATCTTTAAAGTAAACTACTTGGACAATTGGACTGTTAATTTTGTTACTATTAACAAGCTAATGGTGATGTTGGCAACAAAAGTGACTCAACCACTGGGTCTGACATTTGGTCAGTTAAAATTCTGATAAAAAACAGGTGAGTTTCAGATATCTTTATATTGAAGTTTATTATAGTCTATAACTGCATGGAGGCATTGTGTCCATTTATGATGAGAAATAAGATGTAAAGTTCTGAGACTTCTCTTATAATTTGAATCTCCAGATACAGCAACCATACATGATCAGTCAGAATCTTATATTATTGCGATGTATTTTCTATGCCTCCAAAAGGTGTCACACAGCGAGTCCTGATTCATTAGGTTAACAGTTTAGATAGAAACAGGGGTACTTCTAATATTCCTTTTAAGATTTAATGTTAACAGTGTGGACCTCACTGGTCTGGAGTCAGGCTTGAACACCAAGAACTCAAAACTAGAGACTCAAGGTTTGTTGACTCAGCTACAACGCTGATAATAGCACATTTCTTTTTCATATATGCTGTAAAAACAACGCTTGAAGTGATTCACTGTGATTTGTATGCCAACACCAAACTTTGAGATACTGTACACCCAGTTTGAAGCTTATGTAGCGGCTGAACAGAAAGTCGCATCTGAGAGTGGTCTTCTAAATATCTTTACTTATTTGTACTGGTGCAAAAATTAGTGCATAATTCAACCTCAACTGGTTATTGCTCAATCTTTCCCCTTTAAATCTGTATACTAACATAGAGTCCCATAACTGTCAGGCTCTTTTCAGCAGTAAAACTTCATGACTTGAACTTGTTTGCTATCAGTATTCAAAAGATATTTAGAGCCTTTTAGATTCTGGCACCGTCTTCCTGGTCTGCAACTGTTGTCAAAACCTCATGTCACTGTATCTGTAAAAAAAGGGTGGTAAGTAGGTGGGAAGAGAGTTCCATCAGCTGTTGCAATGAATAAAACATCTTTCACCATTTCATGGCTGTAAGAGCTTGAGGATGAAACCAGGAATGTGGACAGCATGAAGGAATGTTAAAGACCACAGTGGCTCGTAAGATCAACTTTAAGGGTTTGCTGTGTTTGTGGTGCAGAGTTGCGGTGTGGGGATGTGAGGAGCTCAAACTGAGCTGACAGAGAAGTGAAGTAGGGTTATTAATACAAACTACACCGAATGATCCAAGAGCTTCAAAGGGTTTATAAAGATAACTTTGTAACTGCTCTCGGTTTAGAAGTCATGCTGTACCAAGTCCTGTTTTCAGCTGGTCATGACAAACACTCAAAGTCATTTGTCTTTCACAGAATGATCCAGACACCAGGTGTTGTTTGGCAGAATATACATACTCATTGACACTCCAAATAATGAGGTGTTCACATTATATTTAACACCTAAACTGAATGAGAAACAAACAGCTATTTGCATATGCATTTGACTGTTTTACAGGCAAATTAAAGAGTGTGCAACTTAAAAATAGAGGTGAATACAGCCGTCACTTTGCTTCAGATTGAAAAATATGGTGAGAAAAACTGCAGTGAGCATTAAACTGTGTACACTGTTATTTCCTCGCCACTTGCACCTGTGTAATGAGTTTTATACTGAAGTTGTTAGACTCAGGCAAGTAGCAAAGAAAGCAATGTCAATGTCTGGAAACTGACCAATCCATTAAATTGGAAAAGGGATTATACATTGTTAACAAAGCTTAGGCAGGCATTTTGGGATAGAAAACAGGGGGAAAAAAAACACAGAATGAAGAGTTCAACAGAACTGCTGTAAACCGTGTAATGAAATCGGTAAATTACTGTTTAGAGCAGTTGCCTCTGACAGAGGAAAACATCAACCTCTCGCTGTTTACATCTGTTTAAAGGCTCTGGCAGCTGTTGATTATGTGTTCTAGTAAGCAAGTGTAGCTTATTAGCATTTCAACCTTAACCTGAAACTTGGATTAGTTGTGGAGCTTAAAGCATCAAGGGAGGGTTAATGAGGATATGAGTGAAGTTTGTAGGCGGCTGCGAGCATATCATCTCTCAGATCTCCAGCTAAGCACGTTCCCAGAGAGGGAGCAGGGGGAGAGAGGCCAGTCTGGCCATGCGTTAATTACCCCGCTGCTAGCTAGCTAGCAAGCGGCAACACAAGTGCACAGTCAGCAGGCACTAATTAGGGTTTCTTTTATTCAAACTACTGTTTTTATTGAACAAGGTTTAAGCAGCAGGGGGCAGGGGCTCATGCTGCTGCAAATTGCAATTTTCACACAAGAGCAGGAAATTAAGTCTGAAGCTTTGGCGTCAAATTAGACATGTGAATTTGGTTTCCCACATGATGCCACCTCCTTACATTTTTACAGATTTTCGAGCAGAGCCTCCCATGCTGATAGATCTTTGAAAAGTGAAAAAATTATCAGGAGAGGAAGAGAAGATGGTTTCTTTTGATCTCAGCAGGGACTCAGATGTGAAAATCAGCTGAGTGGCCCAGCGGTACTCACTGTTTGTTCTGCCTGAAAGAACTGAGAACCAAGGGCCACTTTGTGGTGCTTGAGTCATCCTGTCTGGAGTACAAGACCTTTTCTCTGTGACCCACTGTCTCTTTGCCTACCTGATCTACTCCTCCGACAGCCTTTACATTTCACAGCCATCATCTGTTAACAGTCCCTCCCTGATGATAAATAGAGCAGCTGCTCCGGCCTCGCCTCTGACAGCAACCTGCAAGCTCGTAACTTTAAATTACTCTCCTATGCACAGATTTCACCCGCAGGCGAGGAGGCAAAGCGCGGCCAGCCTGGTGATCTGGAGCTCTCCGTGAAAACAGAGGGAGGGGAAAGTGTCAGAGACAATATTCTGTAACGCAAGGCGCAGCATTAGAGCGCACTGAGCAGCTGTAGGGATGGTGCTCAAGGGTAGGAAAATGGGAACACAAATTGGAGCTAATTATGTAAACTCTCCATCTGAGCCTCTTCCTTTCTGTGGGAACTTGTCAGTGTATTGAATAAAGATTCCCAGTGACAACTAGTCTATGAGTTTCACCTTAAAGCAGTCAGGCACATCTCTCATGGAGTTAAGCTGTCAAATGATCTTCCATGTGAGTAAACGATGGGGCTCTGAGGAGACAGCACAGTGTGACTGAAAGGTTTTAAGTTCTGGCTGTTTAACATCACACAAACCACAGACTGAGCCCGAGCGGCACAGGAGTCTTTGAAACTGATATCAAGACCAATTTAAGACACTTGACAGATAAAGACATGGTCTAACTTCATGGATATTTCAGCTGGAATTATAATACTCTTTTAAGCATGTATAGTGCACCAATTGTGCACTAACATGATTGTGTAAAGTCCCTCTGATGATTGCTTTCTAATGAAGCATTACCCCAAAAACTTTAGCAAGATCAACATGTGCTACAGACTAGGGATGGGCGATAAATTATTGTTCATGATATATCGTCAGAAAAATCCTCCATGATAAATATTTGCCATCTCATGATAAATACAATAAATACAAGTTGATGACGTAGGCACAGGTGACGGACTCACAGCTATAGCCCACACAGATTAGAGTAACAAACAAACATGGCTGAAGGTAATGAAGAAGAGGTTTCTGAGCAGCTTGTTACTGAACAAGGCTCCACATGAGAGATTTCCTTCAAGATTGGGGCTTAAATGAGTGCAATTAGGTATGCCTGAGTTTTCAACTAATGTTTTGACATTTGAGACTTGTTTGATGTCATTAGTTTTCTCCACAACCTACCATTCAAAATTGTGGTTGACTATCTTATTTGACTACTGCAACTGGTGCTCTCAAGACAAAATGAGTCAAAAATATAGATGGAATTATAATGTTTCTTATCGGGACTTTAATCGTTATTGCCACAATGGTAAATCTTATTGTGATAAATATTTTTGCCCATATTGCCCATCCCTGTTACAGACAGTGCTGAGAGTGCTGTCAACAATAAAACTGGAGAACATTATGTTTATTTGATAGTGGGGATTCTGGCATCACCAATACCATAAACTAATACCTGACTGGTATGGGGTTATGTATGGATAACAATGCTAATGAAACTTTCCATGACATGTGCACCACCACATTATCAATTTGATTATGTAAATTTACGATAGTGCTGCTTTCTTAAAAAGGAAAAAGAGAAACACATTTCAAAGAAAATTTCTGAATATTTTACTGCATACACCAGTGCAAACAGTCGTCGTTTTTGGACATGAGCTGCAGTATTTTGAATTATGCTATTTGGGCACATACTGCTCCTCTGAGGGCGTAGGTTCTGGTTGTGTTACTCGTCACACTGACCACAGATGAGATCCAGACTATTACAGGAGTTTTGAGAGGAAAAATTAACTGCTTCACGAGATACATTTTTCAGCTGAATTAAACTTTTTATGTGTAAATAATTTAATTTTTCATGATTAGTTAATTTAAATAATTACACAAAAGGCTGATCTTTTAAAGATGTACTTTGACCAAAGAAAATCCACATTTTCATTTTACATAAATAAACCGACTCAGAAAACCTTAAAACTGAGACACTTTATTTATTGGTATTGATACTTAAATTACAGAGGAAATCTTTAAGGTATGTTAACCAGTGAAATAAATTTTTCAGCCTGAACAAAATGTAGCATTTCCTCGACAAAGTGAGCAGTTAACACCAATGTGGCGATGAAGATGGCCATGAAGGGTTCCTGATAAAAATCTATTTGTCCAGAAATAATCTACATCAACATATCTATCTATCCAATCCTTGAACAGAATGTAAATATCATGTTCAATCTGTTCAAACTTGAGTCACATAGCAGCAACTCACAACAAATATTGTCTCAAGATGCTTTACAAACAGCAGGTTTGGACTGTACTCTCTCTTGCACCATGTACTGCAGACAGTGTGGGAAGTATTGTAAACCTTGAGGCCAGATTATTACTAGGGGTGTCCCAATACCACTTTTTGACTTTCAATACGATACAATACTGATATTGTAGCCTTCAATACTGATCAATACCGATACTGATCTGATATTGGCACAAAGTTGTGCATGACAAGTTTTTCATTTAAATGCAACGTCTTTCTTGGAAAAATACTGCCACATGGCCAACATCACTCTTACTCCTTGCTACTTTGTTAGTACCTTAGTACACACTGTTGTTGTGATGTTGTGGGCTCAGCTTGCTGGATCAGGGCGCTGCTAGATAGAGGTGCTGGAGTGGAGTCTGGAATGAACTGCTAGTATCGGAGTGCTGATATCGGAGATTTTAGATGCAGGCCAATATAGTCCGATATTCGCTTTTTTGCTGATACCGGAACAATATCCGATATCAATATCGTATCAAGACAACCCTTATTATATCACATGGCAGTCTATGTTATAGGACAGTTTTAAAATCATCCTTAAGACTTTTGTCTGCCGTACAGTTCTGGTAAAAAAGGTTTTTTAAAAACCTGACACATCAACATAAAAGTATTCGATGACTGATGTCATGATGAGCCTGAGAACATCAAAAAGCCGATACAAAAGTCTGGCTCAAACATGCAGAAGATGATCTGCTGAGACTGGAGACAGTAGGCAGTAAAACCACCTGAGACTGTACAGATTTTTTTAGATCTCTTTTTTTCCCATGGCACTTTGATAAAAATGATTCAGTCTAAATGAAAAACAGCTCCACTGCTTTTGATGTAACGACGCGTCTGTTAATGATACTTTGAAGAGCAGATGAAAAGGAAAAAGCATTATAAGAGAATGACGAGGTGGAAAAAAATAGATTGAAATTACACCACTGAGACCGGCCCGAGCTGTGAGAAGCTCGCTCCATCACCAAAATGGATTACAGTGCTGGGCAGAAAAACAAACTGAACTCCAGTTGTGCCTCCTGCTCTGATGTGTCTCAGTTTGTCACATAAAGGAAGAGCAGAGAGACGGAGGAGCTGATGGCTGCACCATGTCACAAGCCTGCCTGAGTGAAGCAACAGACGTTGGCACTTAGCAGACTCCCTCACGCTCGCTGATCTCCTGGGGGTTGGCTGATTACTGTGATTCTGAAATTACAGTCTTGATGAGCTGGAGCATTTTACAACAAGGAGGAAAAAAAATCTGCTGCAGAAATGGGTCAAGTTGGGGCTGAGTTTTTGTACTGACAGAAACAGGCAGGAGGAAAAAGAGACGTAGACTTTATATGAAAGGATAGATAAAACCGATCAGTGGTGAGAATTGTCTGGGAATAATTAATCTTCAGTTTATCCAGAGAGCTTGTGGTATGAAGGATAAAAAAAACCCTGATCATGCAGCATGTGGACAAAGTGTGACTTGTGCAAGAATCACACATCAGCTCAAAATGTGGATGTATCTACAAAACAACAGATGATCATTAGCACTTTTTAAAACACCAAAATATGCTTTAAAATCTATTTAAGGTAAGCAACATCGCACTTCGTGTTAAAAATCTAATTCCTGCACTCTGGTTTGTTGATCAACGTGGTAAATATGCGATCCGTGGGACTCAAACCTGACCTGTGTGTGGATGGTTTTGAATAGAAGTGAAGTTGTTTCTAAGGATTCAATCACGTATGCGTGGATAAATCAGTGCAGTCTCTTTTATTGTTCTGGTTTGTATCTTTTAATATTCTGGTTGCACTACGGTCCAGTTCTGCTTTCTTCATGTATAGATTTATTATTCAGTTTGTGTTTTATATCTTGAATTTGTTGTTAATTCTTATGCTTAAAAGGTTAAATGGGCAATGTTATATGCACATCACGTAGGTGCAGGGCAATTAAAACAGCAGCAACAAAACTTGACAAGCCCACACACTTACTAAATGCCACAGAAAGTTTCATAATCACAATAGGCCTCATTTACCAACATCTTCTAAAGACTTTCCTCAAAGAAAAGCCCTGAGAAGCAAAACCATGAGCCCGCTCGTACCCCTGCTCCTAAATTGCTGTTTTTAAAGTTTGGCTCACGTGGTGAAAAAGTTTATGGGAGACAATAAGTGTTAGAACAAACAGTGTGTCGCAGTTTGTGTAGCCACAGACTGGTCAGAGTGCTCATGCTAATCCTCTGTTCACTGCTGAAAGCAATGGATGTGTTAACATCAAAACTGGACCGTGGACCAACCATCTGTGGAGCAAAGAAGTCTGATCCATAGAGGTGTCATCTCACAACTCTAAGAACCTAAAGGATCGACTGGTGCAGTCTTGGTGTCAGATACCAGATACTTTCAACGCACCTTTAGGGCTCTGGTGGATTTAATGTCTCGTCAAGTCAGGCTGGGACATGTCCTGCTAAGAGAGGGGCTTACACAATATTGGGTAGGTGGTCATAATGCTATGGCTGATCAGTGTATGATAGTTTCTTAATGAAATAAAGGTGCTACACTAAGACAAACAGTATCCAAAAATTGTTGATCCAACATACCAGTACCCAAGTGAGTCTAATGCTGCGTGCAGTTGTACTCAGAAGTCTGAATTTCCAAGCTCCGAGACGGAAATTCATCTGGAATGCCCCTCTGAAGTTGGATTTCCGACTCACCAACCAAGGCAACGTCATAATCCAAGATGGCAGCGCAGTACATCAACAGTAAAGAGTAACAGTGAAAACTCACGTAATGTATTATTTTTTAGCACTTCTGATTTGTTTTTGTGAAATTAAATAAGTGGTATATGCTGTACTGCCCAATGTCTAACTGTGAACACGGTGCTATGGTGTTTGCAAGAGTAAAATACTGTGTTATGCATTGTTTACAACTGGTATCGCTAGCAACAGCTAACAACAGCTAACAATGGCTAACAGTAGGCGTCCATCTTGGTTTTCTGACTTGTTAACTGGAGCACCGTCAACTTGGGTGTAACATCATTCCCAGCTCCAACTTCCGAGGTAACTGGAATGGAGCATAAGTGTTTCTAAGTGCTCTTAGATTTTGTTCATATAAGAACAAATCCCAGATAAGAAAACTTTAGAGATTACCAGAATCTTTTTGAAAACTGCCAAAGTTAGTTTTAAGATTTATCTTTCCCCTAAGAGCAGTTATAAAATGGCTCATAGTTATGACACAGTTTTATAGAATTAAACTTTAAAAAAAAAAGCCCGTAAGATCACTGATTAGACCCTGAACGTTGTTGCCATTACATTTTTTTCTGCACTGGGTTTCTTGTCGTGTGTTTTAAGGTTTATCTAAATGAATTGCAAATTGGGATTGCAATTAACTGTCTTATTATACAGTCGTCTAATCTTCTCTTTTCCCTTTTTGAATTGTCTTTCTCCGCTTTGATTTTTAATGGTGTGTTTAATGATTTTGAAATGTCCTCTTTTAATGTGTCTCTTTTCTAGTATCTCATGTAAAGCACTTTGAAAAATGCCTTGACGCTGAAATGAGCCACAGAAGTACATTTGCCTTGCCTAAATACTGAAGTGAACAACAGTGGTTTACGTGCTTTTTATATCCTTATACAAATAAAACTCAAATACATATACATTTGTCTGACATTATTCTCCTCTAGTCTCTCTGGTCGGATCCAGTTAGCTTCAGTTCTCACTGCTGACTGCTGACTTTGACACTCCATTTGTGTTGCTGACCCTCACATTGTGTGGAGTCCAAGTTTGTCAGCAGTTGTGAAATTCAAACACATTGAATTAATTGGGCCAGCTCTGACTAGTCCGCCATTAAAACAGGGCAGCAGATTGCATCTCTAATTCACTCACATTGCAGGATCACCAGGGCAAAAGAACTACTCAGCTGAAATCTGTCTGCAAGTCTGACAGTGAGTGACTCCTCCTCGTGGTGAAAAGTAACTGAGACGGTCAAACCCGACACGTGAATGTGGAGATTTAGTGTCTTAGTGCGCAGACAGCCCCATACTCGTGATAGACAGATCTTTTGGGAGGAGAGGAGGGGGGATAGTTCACTGTTCATCAGCAAATTAATGGCGCAGTTCATCCTAATTTCCCTTGAAGACAGATCTGTGGTCCTGGAGCATAAAAATACTCTCCCTCTCTCTTTCTCTGTCGGGTTTTAACACAAAGCTGAAGGAGAGAACCAGGCCAGGGTTGGTATGGGCATCTGACGAGGGGCGGGCAGCAGGATTGTAACAGCTTGGTTTGCTGAGTGGGATGGCGGTGGTGGTTAAAGTGTGTGTGAGTGTGTGTCCTGAGATCTGTACTTACATTTCTGAAGTCCAGTGTTCATCTGCGTGTGGGGGAGAAGCTGGAGGGGGAGGTCACCTGGCCCTGGCAGACAGGCCAGCATTTCACACAGACACTAATGCAACATGGGACACACACTTCTCCTCACACTGCAGAGAGAGAAAGAGAGAGGGAGAGAGAGAGAGAGAGGGAGAGAGGAGGTCAGCAGTCAGACATAACTGCCAGGCAGCACATGGTGCGTGGTGATACAGAGGCTGGGTCCAGACTAATAGAACTCTGCGGCTGATCCCCGGAGGCACAGGGCTGAGGGAGACATAGTTACCTTTCAATTAGAAACCGATTCACACCTGGAGCATCAGGTAAGGTGACATTTGATGCCAATAACAACTTCAATTAAACATCAAACAGCTGAAGTAAAACGGGCAGACTGGGCCTGAGGGGCTGGCTGCTTTCAATCGACTCGGTCCCTCCTCGCCCTGCATGTTAGTCGGTGCTGGATCCTGCTACCTGCGCTTTACCTCTCCACCTCCACCCGACCGTGGCAGAGGAAATTAATGACTCCTGTACACTCCAAAAGGAACACACTCGAGAGGCCCTGCGCTGACAAGTTAGTGAGTCTCTGATCGATACTGCAGTGCTCTACACCTCAAAGAGGCCTTTATTTTAGGGACGTTAAACAATGGAGCCAGCTCGGGATGTGGTGAAAAGAAATGAATAAACTGCGCTACAGCTCCAATAAATGCCTGCCACTTTGTGCAATAACCTGATGTAATAGAGAGGGAGAGAACGTTAGCCATGCTCCGCTTGGCTTACTGCTGTAGTCAAAACACCACAGATGCTTGCTTAATCAGCACTGAAGAACAGTCAGGGAGCAAATTAAGTCTACAGAGTCCGTGCCCTCCCCCCTCTTTTTTTGCTGCGTGGAATCAGAAGAGGGCGGCAAGTGTGCGCAGACAAACAGCGTCTATGAGAGAGGCAATTACCCACAAAACAACCTTGGCGTGCCTGTCTGCCGCAGGGTGAAAGCTTAAAAGTGTCTTCCCCCCCTGCAGGGAGAAGAGACAAGTGGAGGAAAGAGTGACAAAGCGGGAGAGAAAGGTGGAAAGAGAGAAAGACGGGTGGTGGGTTTAAGGTGGTGGCGGGGGGGCTGAACTTGCTTTAAAAAGCTGGAGCTCAAAAAGGTCAGGATGACAGCTCATTTAAATCCTCCCAGCGAGAGGAGAAAAAACCAGCCTTAATGAAGCTGCCAGTCCTACACAGATACCTGAGAGTGTTGCACCTTGGGGTGCGGCAGGGGCAGGGGGTGGAGGAAGCGGGAAAAGGGTAGATAAAGGAGAAGGGAGACAGGTGGGTGGCAGAGCTGCAGTCTTGAGACAGATCTGAGGATTTTAGAGGGTGGTATTGTGCTGGAGATGCTGCGTCACCCTTTTTGATACCCGCCTCCCACTCCCCTCTTCCCCCCAACCTCCCCACCCCCCCCACCCCTCGTCTTTCTGATTTACAGCCCGGACCGCCATATGGCAGCAATCCCTGCCCTCGATTCAGCGTGTCACCATGCATTAACTTTAATTGGCCTGATATGTTATTCTTTTCCCTCGGCCTTGGAAGGATTTTAGGTACATGGCAGCTCCTTGATGTCAGCAGGCAGCATTTCCAGCTCCCTCTCATTTATCGGGGTGCCAAGATTTCACACAAAGATAACAGCAATCTCTTTGACAACAGGCAGGTTTGGGGTGGATGAAAACCAAATATCAAATATAACTCGGTCTTTTCTAAGCGTTTCAAAAAGCAAAACAGTGGCAAGAGAGTGAAAGGATGTGGAAAAAACACCAGCATAAACTGTCAGTTCAGTTGTTATAAGAACACACACACACATCAACGCACTACAGGCAAAAAACAGCCAACAGGCCATCAGCCCACCCCCTCCCTGCCTCCCCCACAGCGCCCCTGAATGTCAGAAAGCTGTGCAGTGGGGAGTGCTGCGGCAAAGGTCAGCCTATGGTAATGCCCCAGCTGACACTCTGCTTTGCAGAGCCGAGCAGGACGAGATGAAACCCAACAGACAGGAAGCCTGACGTCTACTGACTCGCCTATCAGCGCCGCTGCCACTACGACTTCAAATGTACATCACACGCCAAACACAGGCCCTTTTTCACAAAGGCAGCCCACCCCCAACTGAGGCTCTTTACACACACAGACCAGTCATATCAGGGGCAGGGATACCTACACCTGACAGAGTCCAGTCAGACAGGGACTGGCTCAAGTTGGAGGTGCCGCTCCTCAGGTGGTAAATCAACACGTGACTGTACTGACTACTGGATTCTGCTGAGTCCTAATTGCCCTCTGACCCCCCTGCAGGAGGTTAAACCTGGTCTGAAAAAGGGCTTGAATCTCCAGACATCCAACCACATGGCATGCACAATAGGAAATCTGTGATTTGTGACAACAATGTCAGGAATAGAGATGATGACACGATCTGCAATGAATGAATTTTAAGTGTTTATCCAGGCAATTCACAGTTCTTGTGCCTTACCGGTTTACTTAACATGCCATCATGTCTGCAGAATCCCAGATCATTTCAAACAAAGGACCGGTGGATCTTTTTCACTGCAAGCTCTTTATCAACCACACTGATGGTTGAAATCTAACCTTGGCCTTTCCACCAAAGTAACACCTATTATTCACCATGTAGCTGACGGTTAGCTAGGTCTTCATCCTATTTTTACTGTGAATGCAAGGCTTATCTAAGACCTTCAGCTGATCAGTCAAACGTCCACACTGGTGAGCATGTATAAAGCTTGTACATAAGTATCTAATTTGTTTATGTTTCAATACTAGTTTCATTACAAGAGACCAAAGACCAAAAGGGTCCTCTAAACGGAGATATTTTTGCATAAAATCCTCCGAACTCTGTGTGATTAAGAACCACAGATAGAAGATGGACATGTGCAGACAATGGAATTCTGAAGCGATTCTGAGCTCATGCAGGGATTTCCACAACAGAGTCATGTCTGTTTCAAATGGACTGCCTGAGGGTCTTAACATCAAGTTCATCCAGTATTTATAGGTTATTGTTTGAATGTTCATATGAAAGCGTGTGAAAGCAGGACGCTTGTACATGTCCTCATTGTGTGTTTAATGTTTTTATTTTAAACATGTTCTAAATTTTTGTTTGGAAAAAATTATTCCAGTATAGATATCTTATCCATGATCATTCAATCCCTATGTGTGCAGACAACAATGGTTGAAAATTGAAACAACCATGCTTTGGGTGTGTACAGAGTTTTGTGTGTTTTTAAGTAGTGCTGGGCGATAAACTGAAAATTTACTGATTTCAGAATTTACAACAATAACCGACATCATTTTGCCCATGTCAATATATTCGGAGTCAAAAAAATTAATAAAAGTTGTTTTTGGATGTGTGTAGGTAGGCGGTAGGTGGTCTCATGTTCCTTTAAGACACTGTCCTACGTCCTACTCCACCCCATCCAGTCCGTAACAAAGAGGGAAAGACAGGTGAGAAGATGGAGGACGGTTCAAAAGTTGTAGCGGCTGGAGCAGCGGCTGAAGTAGACGAAGTTTATGAGGGAGGGGGTGAGCAGCATGTGGAATGGTTATCATCCATTTATCGTTATCAAGGTGACCTGCATAATATATTGTGATATTGATTTAAGGCCATATCACCCAACCCTATTTTTAAGTCTGTGCTAAACAAAGATCAAGGCTATTCAGTGATGGTTGGTCACTGGCCAAACTTTAACAAGCTCACTAAACATCTTTGCCGTAACTATCCAAAAACCACAACTTTTATCCAAGTCCCTCTAATTTCTTCATGGTAAAGAACAGGAGTTAACAACCAGTGATGGCTGATATCCTCCAAGACTAGACTGACTGCACACCATCTGCTAGCACAGCATTCTTCTTGATCCTCTTAATCATGTCATAATTGATCTGAAATGTTTTGCACTAAGTGCACTGACTGGCGACTCACCAATACTGATACCTCTTTTTAAAGAGATGTAGGTATTTGGTACTGAAACACCTCTGCAGGTTTAATGCAGGTGTTCTCTATAATGTTGATTTATTTTGCAGTCCTACCGCCCTATCAAAGCAAACTGGGGAGGACCACCAAGCATCCTTTGTGATAGTGGAACACAGCCCCTCCTGTCCTGAGTGGAAACAGAATTGCGTCTGTGGAGGCCGAGTCGAGCCAGCTGGGCAGGCTTGTGGAGCAGGGATTGGTTTGGTGGAGTTTAGCCAGGCGTCTCACACTATCAGCCCCATGCAGACAGACACCACAGGGTTCTCAGAGTTTTTTTTGGGGGGGTGGGTGGGTGGGGTGAGTCGGCAAGTCTCCACCAGCTACTTATAGAAGCGTAATAAAAGTGTGCGAATAACTGCGCAGCTTTCATTATAGACAAATAAAGACAAGCAGACAAAGGCAGGACTTGGGAGAGAGTGATGCGCATAGCTTGTGTCATGTGTCAAATTGCTCCCATAAAAGCTGACCTATATTTTCTCTCTATTCCTAGTTGAAAAAGGAGAAAAAGAAATCCATGTGAAAGTAAAAAAAAGTACAAAGGAGAAAGGAACAGGATAGACGGAAGCCATTTAGGAAAGTAGACCACCTGACTGGCTGCATTCGTGCCAAACTTTCTCATGACTGTCCTCATCATTCACTACATGATATATCTGTGTTTGTAAGAATTCAGAAAGTGCATCAGGCCAATTGCATGGGAAATCATGATTAAAATATCAGCAGGAGTGCAGAGAAGGAAACATGCATTACGCACCAAAATAAACTCATTAGAAGGAGATGTGTACAATAATACTACTGGAGAAAAACAATGAGGAAAAAAAACAAGGTGAAAAGTGTGTTTGGCTGCTGGTTGAGTATTACGAGCTTTTCTCTACCAATTAAAAGCAAAAGCAATTAGGAGAACCAAGTCACCATGTTGTACATTGCTTGTGCTAACGGCTGAAGGAGAAGAGGAGTGGAGGAAAAGCCAGGCTGCTGTTATTTTAATTGCATGTTTACCCCCAGGTTATGGGTCTGAAATAGAGCCAAGAAAAAATGTTGCAGCAAGAAATTCAATGCAACTTCAGTGTTGATTCTCTCAGGGACAGAGAGAGGGAAATTACTTTTCTTTGCAAGCTGCGTCTCTGAATAGAAGGTAAAGAAAGAAAAAGGAGCAGGAAGAAGAGAGCGGCTTTTTACCCTTGAATGCAAAGCCGGAGTGTTCTGTGAAAAGAAAAAGGGGAAGAAAAGCCTTGGCTCTTGAGCACGTTACGAAGAAATGACACATCAGTGTGGCCTTCATTAGCCCATCAGACTTTACAAACAACAAAAGGTGGGAAAAGATTTTCTGTTGCTCGCAGGGCCAACAGCATGTGAGGCTGTGACAGCCTCACACAATGGATCCTGATGACTCCAGCACATCCTGGGGCGTTCAGGACAGGCCGTTTGCTTTTTCAATCAGCAGAGACCCCTCATCAACCCAAGCTGTTATCTCACACCAAAAGAGAGAAGGGTGAGAGATTGGGAGACGGCAATGATAACAAGCAGGGAGAGAAGAGGGAAGAAAAAAAAAAAACAAGGGAAAACAACCAACCTAAACCCAACTTGCACACAAATTTGTGAGTCTGTAAAATAGTGGTTTCCAAGTTGTGAGACACAGGATGTCAGGGATAAAACTGTCAAACACAGAAAGTGCTGCGGTAGTGTGGGAGAGGGGAAGACAGCTACTTGAAACTTCTCTTCTTTAGAGGAAGGGAGGGGTCTGTGAAACAACTGGGAGCTGTATGAACGCTCAGTAACTTACTGATGAAAAAGTGACAGTTCCCTGAGGTGAGATGGTGGATATGGAGCGGAGAGAGACAGCATGCCCCCAGAATAATGCATAGTCCACAGCTGGATCAGCTCAGTCTTTGCATAGGCGTCAGATTCAAAAAGTTGATTTCACAGTGAGAACACGGGCTCTTAGAGGAGCCCTGAACCACAGCTACACCAATATGTGCTGACTGATGTGATTGGCCGCTGTGGGCCAAACACACAGACACTAGTGTCAGCACATATATATATATGTGTGTTCAGATTTAGACTGGTATGAAAACTTTTTCTCAATATATAGCCAGTGTACCATGAAATAAATGAATATGATTCTTGATTGTAGCTTGTATTTGTTCTGTTCGGTATCTAATTTTTGGTATTTATCAATGATAAAAGAATTGATTAAAGAAAGCTTCATTTTTTCTGAATTAAGTTACTGTTGTAATAAGTACTGATTATGGTTTTTGGTCTTTCCTGATAAAGAAATGTATCTGGATAGCAGCAGCATAACCTGTATATGTATTAATTACACAGATGTATGTGTGCAGTATGCCCTAAAGTATTCTCACATGGGAAGCCAATCATACACACATTATCTGGGGATGTCAGAAACTTAACCCATTTTGGGAAAATGTACACAACATAATTAAGGCCATCCTAGGTTGTGAAATACCTAAAGTGTGTTATGTACTTTGGGAACTTGAATCGCTATGTCCTGGTCAAAGGCAGATATTTCATAAAAATATTACTGGTCAAAAGGAAAAAAAAAAAAAAACAATAACAAGAAGATGGTACAAACCTGAGCCACCAGCTGTAAATGACTGGTTAGAAATCATTAGAGAAGTCCACAACATGAAGAGAATGACATACCGACTCAGAATAAAGGAAAATGTCTTTTTGACGAAATGGAAGAAGTGAATGCAATGGGACACAGTTGGGAATACTTGAAATATATCTTATTCATATTCTTTTCTCTTGGATCTGTATACAGTGTAATATATGGATTTATATGTAAACTTTGATGTTTACATGTGGAGTTGAAAAATTTCAATACAAATTTAAGTTTCAAAAAAATATATTATTGCACCATTACAGACTCTGGCTTTTGGTCTACGTGCTGTGGACTGTCGTACCCTTTTATAGGGTTCAACCATCAAAATCTGTTTTATTTAACTTTCTGCACAGTGTCCCTTTTTTGTGGAAATCAAGATTGTGTAATTAAGACAAACACAGATTAGAGTGCCTTGATATCTTCACTATGGTGCAAATAAGGTGAAAAACAAATACAGAGGAGGTCTATTTTTGTTCCAGGAAAAAAAAAAAAACAATTTCTGAGACCAATTTTTCATCTTGAATCAGTATTGATAAGAGTTTCAAAAACCTCATATTGGTTGCACTCTACTGGGTACTGTGACACTCAGAAAGGGAAAGCACTTCAAGTTATGAGGCCTCTTCTTATCGGAGTGTTTTGTCTTTCTATCTCAGTGGTCCAGAGCCTGCAGTCCTGCCTTTTGGATGATGTCCATGGCTGCTCACAGTGCAGTAGATGACAGTAATGGTGGTGAGATGAGAGGATGTGAAGATACAGGGCACTGAGTGTTTTGACCGAGCCTGGACATCTTTGCCAGAGCTATGCATTGGATTACCCTTCCACCACGTCAGCAGTGCAGGGACAGCCAGCCAAGGTCCATTCTTCATCCTAGGGTCAGATTCACTAACAGCCACTTAAGCCCACTTGGCTTCCTAAAGAGCTCTACAAAAGTGGAAGGTAGAGCTAAGCGTGCTCAGTCATGTCAAGCCTGGCCAAGGTCAGGTGGGCAGACAGAAAGGGCTGGCAGCGCCCCATATGTGGCGTCATGCATGCCAAAAACGCCAGGGCCCCTGGCCATGCCGTTTGACAGACATGTTTACACCTGATAGAAAATGCAGCACGGATGGCCTGCCAAAACAGAGGGGATCCAAAGTGAGGGGTGCCAGCTTAGTTATTTATTTATCCGCAGCAAATCCATCCAGAGTGCAGCCAGAAGCTGGGCATGCCTCAATGAGAAATAAGCCAGCCTACTCTCAGAGATGACAGTCTTAAACCACTTGAGGGAGGAAAAAAGATCTGATCTGACACGTACAGTAAGAAAAAAAGCAAAGAGCTCATAGAGAGGCTTTAGATTTGATTTCTTCACACCTGAAGACGTTTCACACAAACCAGTGGATAACACAAGAAATCAGTCAGATCGATGGCATGTTGTTCTAAAACCCTATCTTCAATCAGTGCTGTAGGTCAAAGGTCAACAAAACAGGGACTTAGACTAGGACTTATACAAACACTTACAGCACAGTCCAAGCCTATGCTACAGCTTAACTAGATACCAACCCAGAAAAATACAATCCTTACATAAACAACACTAACATGTTTGTGTTATTGGATTCAGCATCCTGATGTGATGTTTTTTTGTAGGGAGTTCAACATACATCTAAGTATTTGACAAACTAGATGTTTGACCTGATGATAGAGCAGCATAAAAAGTTAAGGGCTGATCAAAGTCTTCACAATTCACCCCTAGAGGAGCAATTAATTTCTTAAAAGTGAAAGGAACATTAAAATGAGGGCACCATGCTTGTCTAAGTAAAAGGCTGTTGAGTGTTCTCAGCCAGGACCACAAACTAGGCAGGACATGGACGAAACCTAATGGTTGCAAAAGGTCACTTACTCAGAAATGGAAAACTTAGATTTTATGGACACTAGTAAGAAAACTTAGCAATTGATTTATGAAAGTTAATATTCTCTTTGAGTTTGTGGTCTTAGTTACAGTCAAGTCTACTTTAAAGAAGCATGGTGCTCACTTTTCTAATTATGGTTCCATTTAGAGTAAAAGACCATGAAAAAGTAGTGCACAGAAACCCTGATATTGGAGTGGTGACCAATGCACCAACAAATTCACCAACATCCATCCTCTCTTCTGAATAGCATCACTCTGACCACTCTGGGACAGCCAGAATCATGACACACCCAAGGCTTAAAATTGTGTCCACTGAGTAATTTGTCCCAACCCAACCCAACCAAACAGACAGACAGACAGACAGTAAGTTCCTCCTTGTGCTATTTGGGATGCTACTCTGTGTGTCTGTACAAGACCCAACAGACCATCAGAGGGACATCAAAAATTATTACAAAGTGTGAGTAAAAAATTTAACAACCTGGGATGGTAAGACATTGCCTCAGCCAAAACTGCCACATTACACCTGCCTGGTGGATTGAAAATGCCAAATAAACACAGCAGAGGAAATACCAAGAAGCAAAGGACTGCAGGTAAGCATCAGCACTTTAAAAAGCCCTCTGGGAAACATCAGACCAGTGTGAGCTACACAACTCCTCAGTGATGCCACCACATTGGTGTTAGCTCAACATATAACCATATCATGCCAGACAGCAATGTCGCAGGTCATGTGCTGCTGTGTCAAATGCCAGACTGGGATTGGTGAAACAGGACCAGGATGACATGGTTAAAACAGTGGATATACAGATACCAGACTTCTTCATATCATCTCTGCATGTTTGTGAGAGCGTATGTTTGTGTGTTTTATGTGAAGTGATACAGAAACTCAGATTCAGGTTTTTCAGGCCTCTCTAAATCACATAGTTGTGGAACAAAAAGCAAGATAAAACCCAAACTAACAAGATATGCTGCCCCTGCGTCATCTCACATTTTTGTCAATCCAGTATCTGCACCTCATGCTTTTAAGCCGTGTCACTGCAAACAAAGGGAAAGGAGGGGCGACAGGAGTCGAGGCTGTAATCTTTGCAAAACAAGGCAAGGTTAACAAGGTTTTCATCTGAAGCCAAGTTATCTAAAGGAGTCTCTCTGCCTTCAAACAGCAAACAGGCCTGAAGATTCAAACTGGTAAACAAGCTCAACAGAACAGTTTCATGTTTAAACAGGTTCTCTTTGAATCTCTCTGTCAGTGGACACAGGGGCCGGGAGAGGCTGGAAGCCGAGCTGTGGACGGCTTATTTTGAGGTGCACTGTTTGTTTTTAGGTCAGGTTCCCTTTAAGATTTTAGCTACAGCTGAAATGTCCAGAGTAGTCTGTTCCTTTCTAAAACAAATGCACCTGTTAAAATATGGAATACGCAGTTTCATACAAGAAAAAAGAACAAATTTCCCAGCATGCTTTGATGGGACTTTAGGGGAAGGAAACAGAGCTGAGCTGCTGCAAGGTTTAAAATTATGCTAACGTTTGTTGCATATGCTCCCAAAATTTTTATCAGTGGAAACTCTGAATCTGTTTGTGAGCATTATGCATGTGAAATAATTGATTCTGTGCAACCTTTAAACCTATTAAACAGTTGCTAGTGACCTGTGGTTGATTAGTGATGCTTGCTAACTAGGGCTGTTAAAATTGCTCCAAAATGACGTTCAAATATTCGTTCTAAAAATAACACATAGGTTCGAACACATTTAAATATCTAGCTTATACAGCTTGCATATAATTTTATCTCACTCAGCATTGTTTCCGTCTTCCATGTCTGTCAGAAATCTAAAGAATTTCCAAAAGAGCTTGTATAGTTCGTGGAAGGCCGCACCACTCTCTCCCGAGTTTGGCTCCTAACATCTCGCCGTCTCTCTCTGCATGTGCCATGGACGTTTTTTTGTAGAGTCTCACTGCAGGTGCAGCTCCTGTGACCTGTCCCTGACAGTGTGTTCACTCGCAAAGCAGCCGCTGTTTTTTTTTTTTTTCTCCTACTCAGATTTTTCCCAGTTTCTTCAATTTTTAAATTTTAATTTATTCATATCATTAATCATTAATATTGATATGATTTAACAGTATTATTGTATTATATCATATTATAATATCATTAATATTAATTTCACACTTTTTTTAAAAAAATATTCAAGTACATATTCCAATTTTGAATATTCGTTCACAACCCTACTGCTAACAGGCGCAGTGTTATGACACCGGTCAAAAGCTATGTGCACCTCTTAGCAGGCATTACTAATCAACCTCCGTTCCATCTAATTTAGTGCTTACAAAACCAAGATCTCCAGCTTGACACTCTTAACTTTTCAGTACTGATTTAAGAGTGGTCAATGTTAGCCATCACTATCAGAAGAGTCGAATTGTGAAGATGAACAAAGAGAAGTGAACGACCGCATACAAATCTTTAGCAGCTGGCTAAAGATATGTCAAAGTATTTGTGAATGTACAGCACGTATGGAAACTCTGATTAAGGCTTTAGGCTTTTTTAGGAGACTGGTTTTGCACTTAATTAAAGCAGAAACAAAAATTGCAGTATCGTTTTGATTCAACTTCTTTAATTCAGAGTCAGGGACAGCCCTGTAAACAGCTGAGTCTGTGTTAAACCAGTCTCTCACTGAGATTTTACATGTACAAAGATCCAAATTACTCATTAGCTACACGTCAATCTCTCTTTCAACCAAATTGATAAAAACAGTCCACTTCTGCTGACAAATGAGTTGATGAGTCTGTACAAAATAATTGTTTTGAAATGCACTGTGGCCAAGTGAAAGTGGTGCAGTTATTCTTCTACATTAAATTCCTTTCAGGTGTGGAAGAGAAGCGAGGCGAGCTGCTGATCAGAGGTTTTAAAAGCAGACTTCTGAGCTTGTTCTAACAGTTTGACTGTAAGTCAGCCAGGACGTCTGCCTGGTTAGGGGGAAATAACTCAATGTTCTGAGAGCTAAAGCGCCGCTGCATTGTTCCAGCTGGCGGAAAAAGGGGAAATGAAGATGGAGTGGTTTGATTTCATTTGTTAGCAGGTGCATCCATTTTGTGTTCTTCCCTCACACCCACCTCGCCTCTCTCAGTCAAAGCGCTTATCAGAAATTGGACACCCCAGCGACAAATTGAGCCTACGATTAAAGGGAGAAAGAGGAAAGCTTTGTTAAGTGCTGCTGATTGGGATCCCAAGCCGCCCTCACACATCAGAGGTGTGTGTGCCAAGTGTGTGAGTGTGTTCATGTATGTATGTTTGGTACAGAGCCAATAGCAGAGCTGACACCACCGACACCCCTACTCCCATTTCCCCCTCTCTCCAGGTGTTCCCACGGCTTACATTTCTGCTCCGAGTACTCAGCAAACAAAACCAAATCAATGCAGCTGTTCCCCCATCTCCCTCTCTCTATCTCTCCCTCTCTCTCACACACACACACATACACACTGCACATGCATAAGGAAATTTGCAAGCAAACCTACCCACACACACACACATACACACACACACACACACACACACACCAGCGATTTTCCTCTGCAGGAATAATGACCTCCTCGAGTATTTCCACTGTCTCCTTATTGACATGTGCGCTGTGTTTAACAGAGAAAAAAGTTAAGACTCTGTGCGTTTGTCCCACCCAGACCCATATTATTGACCCAGCATTAACCAGCCTTGGCCTGTTTGCAACGCGGCCAGGCTGATTTAAGAGGAGGAGGGTCAGGGCAGCTCTGCGAGGCAGAACTGTGTGAGCGCTGACTCTCACAAATCATCCTAAAAGGGCTTAACGCACAAAAACAGCTTCCAGTGTTACACCGGCCTGCTGTGAGAGATTTATCCACCGTGCCATTATGCTAACTGGCCTCTTTCCCGTATGAGCTGTATATATTCCAATTCCAACACACACACACACTCACAAAAATACACACAAACAAACACACAAACACTCTCACTAAGCAAAAAAAACCCTAATTAGTCTTATGCCTGGTCCAAATCTGCGGGAGGAATCACACAAACAATGCAACGTTTTACTGGTCTGCGTTAAAATCATAATCTTGTTTACTATTAGTCTTCTTATTTGCTCACATGTTATTGGTTTAATCACCTTAAACTCTTAACCATAACTTGTGATATAATAAAAGTTTAAGGGTTGTCTACATCGGTAAAAATACCATCGAGTTTATGAATTCACATGCTGTTATTATTGGAGAGCGCTGAAACATTTATGATCTGCAGAAGAAAACTCAGCAGAACAGTTTCATCTCAAATAACTGTGTGCTTTTATATAACAGTTTAATTTGTTTTTCTTCATTTATAAAGCTCCTGTGGCTGATTTATTTTAATGCCAGCCACAGAAATGCTCTCATAAGATTCTATGGCAGGACAATGGATGGTTCAGTTTGTAAAAGTGGATTACTGAGATACAAGTCTGCTGATTTTTGGCTTTGAACAGAGGCTGTGTACTGGCAAATATCTGGCAATATCATATTGACTGGTACCATGGAACAAGAGTTACTCAAGTTGTTCCATATCAATGTGAGTCTCAGAAATGTCGCTGACACCAACTCAAACCCTGCAACTGGTGAGTGTGACAGTATAGGCTGATCTGATACCACAATGTATATAGCCTAAGATTAAAACCTCATCAATAATCAATATGTGCCTTTATGTTGTTTAAATAGGGATAAGAAATGCAATGAATACACAAACATGGAAGAGCACACTTTGGCCGTAACTCACAGTCTCTTTATATATCTAACTGCTGCTGTCCATGACTAACTCAATATCTGTTTACAACATGTCCCTCTGAAATCCCAAATAAATCCTAAAAGCTGTTTTTCATTGCTAAATTTGCACCATTAAACCCGGGGTAGCTAAAAGATAGCTTTAGCTCCATCCAACTGAATCATAATGGTGTAAAATCAAAACCATTATACCCAGACAGATAAGAGAAAGCTTTGAATGTTTACATAAAATGACTTTTCTTACTTGTTGTAAAAAGTTCAGACTTTGGGGAAATGTTTGTCGCAAATGCTCATGGAGGAATATTAATGAACTTGAAATTCATAGTGCAGTTTGGTCTCCTATGACCGCTCTTGGACAATGATCATTAAACATTAGCCTGCGTCAGTAAACATTACATTTTTATTTCCGGTTTGCAACTAACTTGACAATCAATACGCTATTTTAAGAACCGCAGCAACAAGTACCACAAGCCACATTACTGTGAGACTGAAGTATGTCGATATTTTTGTATCTGCCCTCCCTAAATCGGTGAGAATGAATTGGTGTGTCTGCATTGAAGTGCAGACACAAAAGCCAAAAACAAATGCCTTCTTGCTGATTTTAGACCCTGCTGCAAACATGTTCGATAAAAGCTGATCCTGTCTGTGCTCGGTGTGTAAGGTCAGCCGCCTCCATGGCAGCTCTGACATTCAGTCTGGCCTCCAGCGAGACGAAATGAGTCCCCCCTCGCATCTACAGAGCAGCTGAGAAATAAAAGAGAACTTTCTGCGCCGGACAGGGTTGTGTGAGCCGTGCTCCTTTAACCCCTGGCGACACAGAGGAGACGTCTGTGGTCTCTCCTTCATCATCTGTGTGTATGTGCGAGCTTCTTTGCCCCCCAGTATCCCTTTCTAGCAGACGGCGGCTCAGAGCTTTGGGCAGCCAGCTGGTAACTCTGTGGAGAGCCGGGCAAACACAGGCCCAGCACAGCAAACATCTCACCTCTGTGTCTGCATGGGAACATCTGTCCCTCCTCAGCTCTCAGGGCTCTCCGTCTGTCTGCCTGTCTGACTGTGAGCCTACACATACTGTCAGTGTGTACTGGTGTTGTCATGGCACCGGGGTTTCACTCCTACACAGGTACTGGTTTAATCTACAAAAACAATCCTTAAAATATCAAAGCAAACAAGCCAAATGTCATGTAGCAATCAAAGCATTTCTATGGTTTTCAAATGACTCATTTAGCAGCTCGCTTGCATCTTTAACACACTTGTTTCAAAAGTTCTCATACGTTAGGATGTCAAGGCAGCAAATCTACAAACTATAGCAACAGGTTATCCTAACCTCTGTTTGTAAACCAGTTCAGCCAGAAGGAGATATCTCCAAGGCCCAGTACTGAAGCTAAGCTCTTTAATAGTTCAGTATCAAAAATCTGTCAAGCACTCAAAGTTAGCATCAAATATACGTTCAGAACTTTTCCTCTGTTTGATCACAGCTTTAAACCAACAGACTGTTTCATCAAGGAACTATTTGTACAAATATTCATGTTAAGAGAGTATTAAAGATTAGTGGTGGGTTGTACCATCTTTCTAGCCTCTTTGAGTTTAGCTCCAACTTGAAAAATTAATTCAATTGCGTCAAAGTTGAATCTCACATGAATCCAAAAACGCTGATGATAGATGTTTGCAGCAACTGAGAAAACCTTGTAAAGGACTGACTTACTTTGTTGCTCAGCCCATTTATCTGTCAAAACTGTGGAGGCATGGCAGATAATGTCTTCACTGATATCTGCCTGTCTCCTAAAACTAAAATATCACAACAGAAAATAAGCATAGAGCAACTTTATAAAGTTTGTTGAGCTATCTGAGTCAGAAGACAAAGCAGAAACCAGAATGCTGAGTCAGAAAAGGTTCACAGGTTGTTGTTGCAAAATGATACAACATGGCCGGTTATCAGGGCGACAATCAGCATTTAGCTGATCATCTGTATCGGCCTTTTGTTTCAGAGATGGTCAATAAACTAATTAAAAGTGCATTACTTTGACTCCACTGAAGGTGTGTCTTTCCTTCTGGGTCTGTTTTCTCGCAACACTCAAACCAACGACACAGTATCTGATTGGCTGGATGTCAACTGTACTGTTAGTGAAACTGATTAATTGGAACTCCTGTATGCTGGAAATTTCAGATATGATTTTCCAAAAGTATTCAAATAAGGTTTTATGTCAGAGTTCGTAATATTAAAAACATTTTGTCAGAAAATTTCATATATACTGTGAGTGCATATTGGTCCAAAATATTGATTATCGGTCTCATAATCCACCAGTAAATGAGTATTGGCCCAGAAAAACCAATATCAGTCCCCTCCTGAATACAACAGAAACCAATACTATACAGTAGGATGAGATATGATACAATACAATAAAACACTGTACAAACCAATACTATACTGTGGGAAAGGGTACAACGAGATAAGCTATGACATGATACAGTACAATACAAACAGGAGAAGACACCATACCACACCACACAATGTGATACAATACACAGAGATGCAATACACTACAAAACATTACAATGCGTATGATGGTATAGGAACGATAGATAGGCTAGGACACAAAACAACAGTATGGTGCAACAGGATGTGATAGGATTCAATAATATTTAATAATGATTAATATTGTACAATATGATATCGTAGTTAAAATGCATTTACTACATTAAGATCACTATGACTGAAAGATGCAACACAAAATAATGTGAAACCATATGATTCACTCTTTGTTCCTGTTGAAAAATGTGTCTTGGACTCGTGTACATACAGTAGCAGTTAGGGGTGGGAATCACTAGAGGACCCACGACACGATATTATCACGATACTTGGGCCACGATATGATATTATTGCAATTTTTAATATTTTGCAATACAGTGAGTATTGCGATACAATATATTGCTATTTATACAATTTTTCAACTGTTTAGCTAATTTAGCATTCGTCTCTTCTTTATGTTTGTATTATTTATGCTGTATTTTATTTTCATGTAACACATCTTGCAAACCTTATGTATATTTGTTGTACTAACTTTCTCCTGCTCTACGATGTCACCTCTGCCAACCTCACTGGACAAACAGTTGATTTTGTTTTTCCATTATCATAGATTTGACTTCATATTTGCAATTAAATTGAAAAACCAATACTTGGTAAATGAGACGATATGATACATCACCAGACAAAATATCGCAATAGTATGCTGTATCCATTTTTTCTCCCACCCCTAGTAGCAGTGTCAGTTAAGAAGCAACAACATCTTCTTTAAACCATGAATAATATTGTACAATGCTAACCAAAGGCTCTGTCGTGTTCCTGTGTGTTATAGTATTACATTATGAAACTAAACTTCCTTATCAACGCTCAGCACCCACTGTCAAAAACAGTCAATTAAAGGCTAAACATCAGCAGTGTTCAATAATCAACAGGGGATGATGCTCAGGCTGGATTTAACAAGTTAAATAACTGCAGGGTGACTTGTCTTATGATTGGTCTGAGCATATCTAAGCCCAGTTCACAATTGACTTTCCCACGAAACGTTTACAGAAACTTGATTATAGCACAACAATATTTCAAATATGGACCAAAAATGACTTTTAATTCTTTTCAGATGCTAACTATTATGTGCATAAGACTCTAATTTACATAGCTAGAGTGTTATTGTGGATTGAGGTTTTCGGCGGATTTGAGGAAAAAGGGTTTTTTGTCCTAAATATTCTCCAAGGAACTTTTTTTTTCTTTCTCAAACTTAGTTCTGGTATTGAACCTGTTACGTAGAACATTTCTAAGAACAGCAAACCCTGGTGGGTTACTTCTGATTGAATCCTGCTCTGGAATTTTAAGAGCTTGATTTCTTAAAACATCATCACTCGGATGATTTTTTTTAGCCATTTTCCGACTCCTATAACAACACAAGCTCAAGAAATTCAACCACTTCTCCTGGCTGTTTCCAGAGAGACTGAGTTCTGAATGATAAAGTTTGTCTGTGTGATAAAAACTCTTTCCTATCGCTCCTTCCTCTCTCCTCTTGCTTTCTTGCATCATGCCGGCTCACACAGATCTCCTGCGGCCGTCCAATGATTCAAGACTGATGAGGCATGCTCAAAGGTCTATGCCATTGAGCACAGCATTAATGCACCCAGCAGCAAATTTTTTGCCATCGACCCCGGTTCCCTGCAATAAGGACAGAGCCATCAATCAGGCCCAGATAGCCGACACCAGACACGGGCTGATGAAGTGGGGGACTTTGGAGCTAATGACAAATGGATCTCTCAGATATGGTCACAGTACACTATGACAGTCTGCTGAGGACACTTGACCTTTCGCTGAATCCTTAGCCAACACAGTGGAATGCAAAAATAAGAAGAATATGCAAACTGCTCTTGTAAAGTGTGGTTATTGTGTGAGAGCTCCTGGGCCCAGTTCAGGGTCTCACTAAGGGAAGAGCTGCTCCTGACCGGCCTGACCCTCTTCTGTTCACTCACCAAAGCTCTGGGAGTGACCTTCAGGAGGTCTGCTAGTCCCACTAATTGGGGTCTCTGCAGAGCACAGCAATGAACCCCCTCCAACACATGAACACACTGCACTTTATGAGGTAGGGGATGATGCAGGCCTGTGCTGGTGGAGAGAAACAGTCAAAGTTTAACCTGTGCTTAACGAGTAAGCTTTAAAATACAAAAAAGAGTGAAAACAATGAAGAGCAGAGGGAGTTAAAATCTGGCTATTGAATATCCAAGGGCAGTCAATAAAAAAAAATCAGTGTGACAAATTGATCTTCTGATGTAGAAATAAATCACAAATTTCCCAGCATTGTAAATTAGATCTCATGCTGTCTGCCTTAAACGGCAAACAGCAATGGTTGATCAGCATAGAGCTGCAGTGAGAAGTGCTGGAAAAATGAACAAAGCAGCAAAATTAGGACATGAGAAGTTATTTTCTGATTATCTCATCAGTCGTTCTCAAAAGACAACTTATCAATCAGTCCACATCCCTGCACAAATGTGCAGCAAGATGTCGAATTTGTTTGTCTATCCTGTGTCTCTCTGCTCCTCCCACCACCACCACGGCCACTACGCTCCACACTTCTCATTTTCAGGTCAGAAAACACTGATGTCTGTGAGGGCTTTTTCTGCACCATAAAAAGTAGCTTAATTTATTTATTTATTTTTTTGCAGTTACAGTGGAACAAGTATCAATATCATTCATTTTTCTGGTACCATATCTAAATGTCTGTGTAGGCTCTCATTCATTCAGGTCATGGTTTTCCAATTCTTTGTTGAAAGGGCAACTGGACTTGCTTGAAACTTCCCTCAAGCAAATCCAGTTGCCCTTTCAATGAAGAATTAGATATCATATCTACAATTCAAAATTTAATTTCCTCTGATCACCTCCAACTTAACTAAGAATAAATTATCATACAGATACTTTATTTCTGTTTTTATCATTAAACAACAACACAACAGAGTTTTGTGACATAAAAATCTACAAATCTCAATACAAAGTAGGTCTAAAAGAGGATATATGTTCAGAATCACGTTGAAAGTACTAACTCTAAATAACTCTGAATGCAAAGAAAGCTTCAAGCTGTCTGTGTTAAAGGTTGATTTGGACATAAGTCTTGCCTCTAACGGGGCAAAAGTGTGTCCAATCAGATTTAAAGGAAGGCCTGTGTCACCCCTGGACACCCCTTTTGGAAACTCCCCTGCTAATGTGTATTTTTAGCTAATAACTTAATCTTCTGCAAAGTCTTGAAAGGTTCAACAGCTCCCTGTGATGTAATCAGACTGCTTTTAGACAAAAACAACCAAAAATCAAATAAGACAACGAAATCAAATGTTCCCTCACAACTAACAGGCTATAACGTGTTAAAAAAGACTTTTAAAAGGGTCAGGAAACTTTGAAAATTCCGCTGGCACAGCTAAATATTTTTAAATAATCCAACCCAATAAATGCGATCAGCTGGCAAGTTTGACCTAATCCCAGATTCTGCTCATGCTCAGTGAGTGTGCAGACAGATTGTGCAAAGGTGGAAAGGAAAGGTCATCCTATCATTTCCACAGTTAACAGTAAGGCTCCCATGCAATGCCAGTTCAAGGAGGGATATTGATGCTCATTGCACCATATCTGTTATATGTAAAAGAAGCTTAAAGGTTCGGGCAAGGTCATGCCAGCTCTGATCTAGATATACCCAAAACAACAAAATGTTGATCATAACCTAGCATTGTATTTACTGCATTGACAGCACCTCCAGGATAACCTTATATCAGCTGTGCATTGGTCCCGCTACGATATTGATATCCGATATTGGTTCAATATTAGCGAAAAATTGAATATCGGATAATATCGGCCTGCATCTGAAAGCTCCAATATCAGCACTCCGATACAAGCAGTTAATTCCAGACTCCTCTCTGGCACCTCTATCTAGCAGCACCCCGATTCAGCATGTAGAGCCCACGTGATCACAACAGCAGTGTGTACTAAGGTACTAACAAAGTACCAAGGAGTAGGAGTGATGTCGGCCATGTAGCAGTATTGTCATGCACAAGTTTGTGCTCATATTGGATCAATATTGGTATTGGCCAATATTGAAGGCTGTAATATTGGTATTGTATCGGAGGTAAAAAAAGTTGTATCGGGACTGACTATATTGGATCTCCTTTTTTCTTAACAGCTGTATCATTAGTGAACATTCAACTGCTCCAACTTCAACCTAGAACACTTAGATTTAGTCGCCATGGTTTCCTGGGCACCAACAAACAACCAGAGACTCCAGAAACTTTTGACGGTGGCGATTAGCCTAGCACAGAAATGCTAGCGTTTAGGCAAAGCAGACACTCTAACACATATATAGGATGTACTGTAGCTATGGCATAGAAGTACGAATCTGGATCAAGAGGGTAAGAAGATGGCAAAACCACACGCAAAGCAGAGCAACGCTATATGTATGTGCAGGTCTGAGTGTGTGCACGCGGAGCTCTGTTTGTGTACATATCACGCCTCTCGTACCTCCATAATGCAACGATGGTGGTAGCAGAACTGTGATTTGTACGCAGCTACGTAGATTAGACCTTTAGCTGATTCTCATCAGAGCATTTGATGGAGCAACCTCTGTGAAAATATTGAGGATTTCAAGATGCACAACAACAAAAAACTATACTAGCTTTAAATGAACTGTTATCTAAACAGATACTGGTACTTTGCTCCTTACTGATTAAACGTTTAAAAGACTGTTCATTTTCTCTGTAGTTAAAACATGAGTGCTGAATATGTGGAAAATTAGAGGCTTTGCTGCCCCATTATGAAGATTAAAACACTGCATCTGCAGAAACAAATAAGGGCTATGGGTTAAAACCGTGCTACAAAAACATATCAGATAAAGACCTTCACATAAGCTTCGAATGAGCAACAACAAAACTGCAGCAGTCAGTCAGTCAGTGTTAGACAGTGGAAAAATACTGAGGATTGTGATGTTCTGAAAGGGCAGCTTGGTCACATAAAAGAGTTTGATCTGTGTCTTAAGGATCAGTGCTCTGATCAGGACCAATGAGGAGACAGTGTCACAGGTGATCCGAAGAAGGCTCAAGTTGGCTGTGGACTCCTAAAATAACATGGGCACAGGACCTTCAGATCACTGTGATCATCACAAAGGATAAAAGGGGAGACGGAGTACAGGGAGTCTTGCTGTAAAAAAAAAAAAAAAAAATACAAGAGAGCAGTCATGTGAGTAAGGGTCAATGAAAGCATTTGGGAGAAAAAGACATTTTTCAGGGAGAATTAAAGGACGCACAGTGAGCCTGCTAACTATTTGAGAGTCGGTTTGTGAAGGATCCAGTGAATGAGACTGTGAGCAAGGATGGCCACGAATAGAAAGGTCTGCATTTAATTTGCTAATCCATCATTCCAATTGTGCTGGGTAACAAAGGGAGAGGAAAGTGGTGGGGCATTCAGAGGCAATGGAGCATGCTGAGGGGTGCGTGTGTGGTTCTCCATGGAGCCAGAGAGGCCGTGGCCCTTGGCCCCTAAAGCCCGGCCAGCGCTGGGGAGAATGGGATCTGATGAGCTCAACGCAGGCAAGACTAATCCCTTCATGTCCAAAGAATTGTTTAACTGTGTTTGACTGATTAACCCAAACCCTCAATTCCACTTACAATCTATTTGTTCAATCGGCTCTCCTGCTCTCATCCTGCTGCAGCGTGTGGGCGGTGAAGAAGAGGGAGGAAAAGAAAGAGAGAAAGAACAAGAGAGAGAAACAAAGGGGGCTGCAGAACAATCATTTTGGAGGACGTGTTCAAAAGTCAAAAGGACAGCTTTTTTTTTTTTTTTTGTATCTCACTAGCAGTTCTCCAAATGCACACAGCACATGAATTCCTCAAACTAGCGTTTGCTAACATTCAAAGGTCAGACGACTCTTGCTTTGAGAGGTTTCATGTGAAAGTCATGGCATGGTGAGGTGTTCTGGTTTAGCACCAGCTTCCTGGGAAAAGGAAATTTAAAAGCACTCTCCCCTGCGTGAAAGAGAGGTTGCCATGAAGATTAACCCAGCTTCCTTTTATAGCCCCTGACAAGAGGTTAAATCACACATTACACAGCCTGAAATGTCTGCGAGTAATTAGATCAAGAATATTACTCTCTCTTCTTCCCCTCGCAGACTGCAGCTGATCAAAGCCTAATGATGGTGTCAGAGCCATTGGCGGTGCTGGCTGGGTAAAATCTCCCCATCGGGATGGCAATCTGTCAGGGCCTCGAGCTCTGCTAAACAGCACAGGACACGAGCACAATGGTGCTTGACACAAAGTAGACTAAATGAAGCGTATCTTTTACCAACAAGCTATCCGTCAGAACAGCCATTAAATTCAGAGTAATGATTATATATCTATTTTTTGTCTAGACTGAGTGTTTATACGTACGCACTAAGCTGCGATGTATACACTGAGAGAAAGAAAAGTTGGTTGTCTCCTCTTAACAGTAAAACCCACCACAGTGGATCTGCTGTCTCTTCACACCGGAGCAGATCTAAGCAACACCTGGTCCCTTGACGAAGCGAGGGGGCTACTAGCTATTAATTACAGAAAGCCGACACGCAGCGCAGGCAAACCCTCGCAATGAGACCCTGGGACGTCAGATATACGCGGCAAGACGAATGCTCCTCTGTCACAGAGCAACATGACCTGCCTCAGGACTCTTTGCACACGAGTACTTTCAAGTATGCCTTTCAAATCGTGGCCCACCCTTCTTCCTCTGCCCCCACCCCGTCTCCCTCTCTATCTCAATCACATTCTGCGGATGTTACACCACTTCAGGGGATACTTTCTGACTAATGCAAAATGCTTGTGCAGTAGCACGATAAAAGTTGACATTTTCCTTTTCTAATTCAGTGCTTCCTTTGTAAACAACCGCGCCTTCTTATGTGTGTGCACATGCACACACATGCCTGCACATGCTGCCGACACATAGCACGTAATGGTCAATTTTTTGTTAGTAACTCTTGAATGCAACGGCTGCAAACAAAAGGGGGAAATGGCAGGAGATATGCCAATCATTTACCGTTGAAAGATGTCTGACAAAAAGAGGCCGCTAAAAAATGTGACAGCTTTTCTTTTCCATGTCAGTCCACGACACAAGCAGTTCCTGAAAAAGGGGCCCTCAGACAACAGACTCCTGCAAGAGGTCTGACCCCAATCTTAACCCCATACAGGTGGCACTGCACTGACACAGGAAGCAGGGAGAAAACGCTGTTCTCTAGCAAAGACCTGCACTCAAAGATCATTTAGACGAGCACAAAGAAAAGCTCAATGCCGGTAAAGTGTATTCTAGCGTGCTGAAAGCAAATCCCCTTGAACACATTAATGGTAAAGACTCTTTCTCAGTGTGGACTAAAAGCATCTGGTGAAGGGGGGTTTGAGAGTCACGATTCGAGATAAAACTCTACAGCTGAATAAAAACATTTTATTATACTGTGAAGGCTGTTAATTTTGAAGAGCTGACAGTAATCTAACAGCTGTTGACAAAGTTGAAGTCTGAAGATGTCACCCTTGGAAATTATGATGTGCATTTTTCACTATACTCTCAAATATTCAGTAATTATCTTAAACTGTAAAGATCATTTGAAGACTGGAGGTAAATAAAAATTCTGGTTTATTGAAGCTCTTGTTACTTTATAGAAACCAGGATTAGAAATGTTTCCAGCAACACCTAAACTGGTCTATCGGCACCTGGAAGAAAGTAGATTTAGAACTACACTTTATCAAAACAGTAACTTAACAGCAGTTAAACAGAGCATTGTATCTATTAGAAACCACTGTGCTAGTGCAGAACAGAAAATTAGCTTTCATTGAACTAGCATGCAACAACAGTAAAATGTTCAGGTACAAATTAGAGATACAGAGTAGAGAAATGGAAAGACTTTGCTAAATCCAGCAGTCAGATTCTTGACTGAAATGCTTCCTCGCTCGCCCCTCCCACTGCAATGGTGAACTTTCAGGACAAGAAGCTCCTGTGATGCAAGACACATGTGATCCTCCACTGGCCGAGCTTTTACTATCAAAAATATCTATCAATACAAACTCGTTCACAACAACCACTCTCCTCTTCAACTCACTGAATACAAAAACTTTCATGTCATTAGTTGTCTTTCCTGTGCTTTTGTAATTTTCACACTATGGTTATCTTACCCTAATTTAATAACTTATATCATATTTGTTTTCTACCAAGTCTTCTTTATTCAATCTTACTAAATATTACTCACACACCTTTGTGGTAGGGCTGGGATGATATGCTTGTCTCACGATTTGATTCTTCAATGATTTTTTTGGATGCTGATTTGATTTAAATTGCGATTCTATGGTATAGTCGATTTTCTCGATCTTTAGTCTGCATTTTTAACACTAGTGAAACAGTTGAATGATAATGACTGTCTACTGACCATTCCAGGAACCCTATTTCCCCAAAAAATACACATTACATGTAAGTTAGTTTTTAAGATTTATTCTTCAATTTGAAAAAAAAAAAAAAATTTTTTTTTGATCATAAAAATCGATTTTAAAATTGTAAAACAAAAAATCGCGATACTTACGCGAATCGATTTTTTCTTCCACCCCTACTTGGTAGGGTAGCTGTGTTTTCCTAATCTGTGTCCCTTCCTGCCCTGTATGATGTGACCTCTACACACATCAACATTATGACCAACAACAACACAAGTGACATACGTAAGTTTACCCCGGACACATAGATTTCTTATGCTAGCCTCGTGCGTTATACTTAGTTTGACAGCTGACTTAAACACAAAAAGTGTGCTAGCGCTCCAGTTCGCAGTGAGAAATTTGACAAGAAATAGAGTCAGAACTGGACTTGTTTCTGTGTGTCAGCAAAAATTAATTCAAGTTAGAATTGTTTAGCATAGATCAATTATAAGTAGAAAGCACCCTTGCCCACCAAACCCTGGGCTGTCTTACTCTCAGGTGTGTATAAACTACTCATTTTATGACCGAAATTTTAAAAAAGGAACATTAATGTGGTTTTATCTGCGTAAGATAGCAGGAGCTGGCTCTTACCTGTCATTGGCTTAAAAAATACACCCCTGTAAATGATAGAGATGATACATCTTTTCATGTTGGTATCTGCAAATACCCAAATCTAGGTAAAGAATCAGAGCGGGGCCAAAGCATGTGTTATTGTGAGACCAACAAGCTTCATAAGAGAAAATCTGTTGAGATACAGCAGAGTAACAGAGATATAAAGTGTTGTCTTCCAGTTCAGGAGGATAACGTGACTCTTGTCCTGATTGCAGCTTAGTCGAGTCCGACCACAGAGATGAACTCTGAACTGTGATTACAGCCAACATCCCCCCGCAGAGCGACAACTGCATCTCTGCACATTCCTGGAAACGCAGCCAGCTGAAGACAGCAAATACGCCAGAGAGGAACACACATAAACAACGTAAGCTAGTTTGAGAGCTGCGCCGATGTTTACTGTCTCACTAAGTGCATTTCATCCCCGCTGCTTTCACAGCAGCGGCGGTATTTCAGCATGCAGCACAGAGGGGCTGCTGATGCCACAGGTCTGTGTACAGAGGGCTCAGTCACAGGCTGCAGAGACTGTTTGGACAATGTAGGTGTCAGACACACTGCCTGTCTGGAATAATGATTCAGTTCAGCTGCTACAAAACACCCTCTGGTCCCCTCCTTTTATAGTAGAGGTTCAATAAAAAACTAACTTGACTGTTTCTGGAGTGTAGCTGTTGAAAAGCTGAGAGGAATTTCTGCCTTGTTTGACTTGGTACATTGCTATCAGGGAGAAAAAGGTCTGCATTTGCTTCAAACAGGCACTGAATGACATGCCAGAGATTAGCCTCTGAAGGTCACAGTCTTAGCCTATCCTTTCAGCCGCTTTTCACAACACAACCCCAGGCCCTTTTGAACAACAGGAAGAATGTCATCTGGTTACTTTTCAAGGCACGGAGATACCATTCACAGTGGCCAACAATGGCTGCAAACAGGACCAGAGGGTTAGGAGGTTATAAAGGGCCCCATTCTGAGCACCGCTCGATCTCCAGTACACTGCACGCACTCAGAGAAAACACACCCACACACCGAGGCCTGGAGAGGTGGTGCGAGCCGAGATAAACTGAGGAGGGTCATGGCAAAGAGCCGCACGCTGACCGGCCGCTCACCTCGGCAGCTCTCTCTCTGCTCTGCCTCCGTCCCTCCCCGGCTCGGCTCTGAACACCCAGACCAAGCCTCCGAGCGTCAACTGCTCTGTCGGGCAATCAGATACACTCACTGCTTTGTCATACTGGAGAGGATTACTGTGTGTTTCCTTCCTTCAGGTTATTGTGTTTTGCCAAAGGTTGCAAAGAGCAAAAATTTTGCATTTCCAATTTTTCTATTTTCCAGCGAGAGAACGAAAAATTGGGATCTTAAATACCTCAAATACATGACACTCAGCGTAACCTTTAGTTTGAAAATGATGTAAGTTTAGAAGGCTAATGAAACAATGTACCAAAAGTAAAATTCTGGTAAACAAAAGCAAACCTCCACTATGAAACCTCTGTTCAAAGGCAAGCCCTCGACCAGATCTATCTGCTTTTATTCAGGTTGCGAAGCTTGTCCCAAAAAGACTCTTGGTCTACAGCCGAAGCTGAAATCCGTCACCAATTTAGTCTCTAATGAACCCTCTGAAATATTAAAAATAAAGCCCAATTAGCCGGCAGCCTTTTACATCTCCTCCCTCTATAATCCTCTGGTAGCTTAGCCTTATCTAATGTCTGCGCCAACTATGACACTTTGAGCTCACTCTCCCTCTCTCCCCCTGCACTTGATATCCCCTCCAGCTTTACTGCTGCTTTGTTGTGGCATCCTTTCTGACCCCACAGACCGGGTCAGAGTCTGAGCTCTTCTTTGGTGGTGGCTAACGATGCCCTGATATGTACAGTTGGCACTGACGTTGGAAAAGTGCAGCAACCACTACAGACATGCAAATGACTTCTATGAGGATTACTAAAGAGCGATATGAGGCTTGCATGGCGACCTCGTACTACACAGGGTTTGGTATTTAGGGGTGTCAGGGGAGGGTCAGAGCTCAGATTAAGGCTGCCTTATCTACTGCAATAAACAGATAACAGTATCTGCACTTGTGCTGTTCCTGCGAGATGGAGGTGGATAAACAGGCCCGTCGTCTCCAGTGCCTCCGACAAGTCTGATCAGACAGATGCTGTCCTAAACCCAGCCTGGTTCCTCCTGCTGCTGCGGCTCCGCTTTATGTCGTGAATGTCACACAGTGGCTTAGATTTCTCCCTGATTGCCCTCAAGCTGAAGACAAAACATTTTAGAGAGCCCCTTGGTCTTCAGTGTTTGTAACATCAAGTCGCAGCTTAAGGCCTCTGGTTTGCTGATTAGGCAAACTAGCCAGAAAGAGCAGTTCTGTTTGCCATAATTGGATCTGCAGGCTAAGGCCAGGCTCAGAGTACAAGAGTTTGGGGCTGATAAAGCCCAATACAGCCCTCTTGACAATCAAAGGGGAAATCTTGTTTAGGGCCTTGGTCAGTACCAGAGTTGGGCCCCGACTGGCTGTTTAGCCTGGGTCCCAGAAAGCTCACAGATGCATCTGTGCTGCCTAAAATATTTAATACCATATAACTTGGTCAGTACTTTTTCAGTTAGACCACATCAGCCAATGACAAAAAAGGCTGTAAGGAGTACGAGACACTGATAGTATTTACTAATGCTAGCTAGAAAATAAATTATTGCTGCATACAAGCAGTTAAAATTTCATTACCAAATGAAGCTGAAGAGCAGGCAAGCCAAAGTTTGATATCCTTTTCAAAAAGTTCTTATCAAGTCTGGCTAAGTCCTCTGATTTTCATTTTTTCTGAATGTACATTAAAACTACAGCAGGTTGTAGTCAGTCCCATTTCTGTTTGAAATTCAAACAGAATTGAGGCAATTCAAGGTCACCCCAGCATTGCCTGCATAAAAAGATATATGAAATAATAGCGTCCCAAAAGTGAAGCCAAAAGATTAGGTGCTCCCTCAACTGAGTAGCTGCAGTACAGGTCATAAAGCCTGCCCTCTCCATGCAGACAGACAGGACATGGATCAAACTTTAAAATCAAATTACACATCAGATATTTTCCTCCTTAATATAGTCTCTGTCAGAAAAGCTAGATCCCATCATGCCTATAAGAACTGTTAACCACATATATCTGACAATTACTGATTAATGAAATTAATTAATCTGTAATTAATTTTCAATTTCTAATCGAATCACTTTAATAAGTGAATACATGATACACAAGCACAAAATGAGGTTACATTTGACACCTCCACTTCAAAAATGTTGAAGTTACTCTGTATTCGGCTAAATAGAAGCATGATTAGTTAAGACATTTAATTTGATTTAATCTGTGATAAATATAATTGATTTTATCATCTTTGTCTTCGCTGGAAAACCAAATGTGTTAAATGTGGGCTCTGCATGATTTTAGGGCCAAACTTAAAAATTTTATTCAATGTAATTCATAAACACTGAGTTTTTTTTTTTTTTATGGATAATCTGCTAAAATTTATAATGTTGATTTAACTGGAAGCAAGCAGTTAAAAATGAGAGAAAGAGGATGAGAGTGGAAGGGGAGATGGATTAAATTCATGACTGACGGAATTAAAGTAAATTATCATTTCCCAAATTCATTCAAGGGCTCATGTGATTAAAAATGTGACTTTTAGCTCCACAAATTCACTAACTGATGATCCACACTACCTGACAAGGACAACAACGGTTATTTATCAATAACTAAACGTCTAACATCTGGATGCTGTAAGTCTGAGCATAACCTGATCTCGCCCAGTCTATGAGTTTACAGTAAGTCACCATGGCGATTGAGCCAGGTTGGATAGAGTCAGCTTCATAAAATGGAAAACCCTGGATCTAGACTAAACAAACTTGGCTAACTCTTTTATTTCCCTTTGTGGTATACCAGCACAAAAGTCAACAGCAGGGGTATTTTAACTTTACTTTTGTACAGTGGGGGGAGGTGGAGATGTATCTCTATCTTAGTAAACAACCCATGGCCCCCAACAACGCAACGTTATTTTTGCAGCGTCTGCATATTTTTCATATGTCTGCAAGATTGAGTTTTACTTTTTCTTCTGCAACCTGATAAAATTCATTTTTCAAATCAGCCAAGATCTTACAAGTTTTGTAGTCTGGCCCTGGCCAAACATGCATTCCGTACAAAATAGAAAAAACAGGAAGACCACAAAAAATGTGGCCAACAAAGACACAAATTGTGTCTTGTAACCAGCCTTTCTGCCTGTAGTAATTTGGCACAACATGAATCAACCCATGTGAACCAAACTAAATACCATGTAACAGCTGACCCACAGTCTGAGCCCTGCAGGTCAGTCCCTTGTTCTCAGAGGTATCCAGAAGTCGCCCATGATGTCCCAAACACCTGATCTGGATGTATCATGTGGCCATCGTTCTTTACTCCCAGTCTGACCTGCATTTGACCCTCACACTGGGTCCCCTGACTTTGCCCACTCACACAAAGGCGACCAAACATCTGCTCCCGCTCTGAAACCGCATTCACACAGCTGAGAAGACATCGGGGTGGCCTCAGAGAGACTCTCTCTGAGTGGTGGGTGGCTGAGTGGGCGAGTGTGGGCTGACAGCTGCCCCGGTGACTGCACAACTGAAAAGGTGGAGCCGGCTGGTACCTGGAAAATCTCTGCACAGGGGAGGCAGCCTCATTTAGCAAATGGATTATATTCAACAAATGCATCTGAAACGACCAGAGCGAGGAAAATAAAAATCAGCCATGCACATAAAATTCACAGACACCTGCAGGAGATTTAACATACACAGACCCCCGCTGGAATATGAAAGAAACAAATGTATTGCATTGGGATAAGCGTGTGGTTACACATTTCCAATTCAAGTACCGTCTCTAAAATTCTACATCAAATGACTGGCTTTGGATAAACCAAAATGAGCCTCAGCCAAGTGGCTCGCTCCAGCACAGAAAATCATTGCATAAAAAAAATACACTGGTTAGCCGAGCTGCTTCACAGTCAACAATCACAGAATCAGGACTGTTACTAATCAATGTATTTTAATGAGCTCCCTGTGAATCCCCCCCCAAAAAACAGCTGAAACATAAAAGCTGCTCAAGTTTTCTGGTTGACTCTTTGTACCTTGTGATCTGTTATTCATAGTCTGGCTCTGAAGTCTCGAAGAAATAAAGCAAGGCTTTGATGTTATCCTCTTATTACTGCTGTCTGAGACGAGCCTAATGTTGGGAATCAGATTGTTTGGATGTCACGTGGAGAATCTTTTTTTACAACACAAAACATCCTGAATTCAGAGAGAGAGCCGCAACCTCTTTAATGCCATTTGCTTACAAGAATAAAGTTTGAGAGTTTAAGTGGAAAACTGCGTGGGTGTCCATATCACATTCACACTGGACTCTACTCACTACTTTAAAGCGTTCCCTTAAGTAAGCCTAAAACCGTAGGTGTCTAACTTCTCCACAATACGTTTGTTTTTTTTCCTGCAATAGTTTAACCTTGTCTACAGGCGAGTCCAGCTTGAGAGGCTACGGCAGTCAAGATGCTACACAAGTATTTTCAAGGAAATTACCTTCCTCTGCCCACAATGTAAATCAATATGTTCCAATAGATTTGTCAGTGGTTGGCTGGGGGGAAAAAAGAAAACAAGGCAAACTTGCTTTTCTGTCAGTCTGCCCTCAGCACAGCCTCAGGGTTTGCAGTGGCAGGTCAAAGAGTCAGCACATGACTCACGGGCAGAGGAGGAGAGACACTTTGAAAAGCCACGCAGAGATCTAATTAACACATGCGTTCAAGTGGTGTTTCAATTTGAGGGAAGGTTGTAATTTTCTACAAAGCTGACCAGCATGACATGAACTAATAAACCAGGCACTCCTGACATTCAGGCTCATCTGCTTCTCTTATAACGAACAGAAAACACACAAATCATTCTCAGATTTGGACAGAAGTTAATAAGCACACAGCCAGAAAGTCAAGCTTTGCCCCCCCTAAAAAAAAACTAAGATTAAAACTCCTGCAAAATCCACAAATATGCTCTCACTGGCATGAAAGTATCTGCTGATTGCTGTCACTACAGTCGACCTGCATTTTACAGATGGGGAGAGGCCTTACAGTCATTTGTTTCCAAGACCTAATTAATCTTCATTGTGCTGGGAAACGTTGCACCCCGATGCAAAAAGGGTTCCTCCTTCTACACGATAATTGCAAAGAGTCTCAGGGCCCGAGTTTCCCAGACAACACGGTCTGAAATTTAATTATCTGCTCTTTGGAAATGTAAGGGGAAGAAAGCTACATTGCTAAACTGCACTTTTGGGCGAGTAGTGTCAGGCTTTTGTTAGAGTAAGCACAGGATATCACTTAGCACATCCTCCCTGCTGTCATGAATGAAAAACAGTCTCAGCATTTATAGCTACAAAACATCCATGAAGAAAGTAAAGACACAACAGACTTGACTCTACAAAAGAGGGCATTTCCATCATCTTACCATGTGCAGAGTTAACCTGGTCACTTCCATAGTCCGGTCAGTCAGTCACATAGGTAGAGTTTTTGAATCATATCCATCCAGCTCCATGACATTAAAGTACCAACATAAAGCCAGACACAGAGCAGCCTAAGACAACAGACACAGGCTGTGGCAACATTAACATTCCTCCGTGTAAAGATCAGGCTTAGAGGGGGGAGAAACATCGATAGGATCCCATTAGTTAAGTGTGCCCTTAGGATACCCGAAATTTGATCAGAGATAAGCCCTTTCCTTCCTTCCAGACACGAACCATTAGACGTTATGGCAAAAGAAGAAAAAGCTCCTCTGAAACTACTCCTCCTCCTCTTCCTCCACCTCCTCCTCAGTGGTCGAGGTTGTGCAGCAGGATCAGGATGAGCCCGGTGACGTCAACCTTTTGTTATCACCTTTAACACTTGCCTTTGCAGGTGGAAACACTTTCCCTCCCTCGTTATATTAGGAGGTGTTATTTGCAGACGGGCTGGGGGAGCAGGGAGGCTGCACAACATCTGTATCACACGTGAAGACGACTGACACTCTAAATATGGATGTATGCATGCATGTCCTAATGAGTATATCAGATGTTAGCAGAGGGAGACAACTCAGTGACAGCTACAGCATACTTTGCAAGCTGGGAATAGCAGGAAATAACCACACTTCCAACTTCATGCGCAGCTTCTTTTTCCCAGGAGAGTAACTTATCATTCCTCTCTGGAGCTGTCTGCATTAAGGTAATGAAAACATAATGGCGAGGAGATTTTGCATACAAATTGAGCTAAAAATAATCCTCGCCGGTTGTTTAATTTTGGCAGAAAACTAGCTCACCAGCCCATCAACACAAACCCAATTTCATTTAGTTATAACAAGCTTTTAACAACAATTCGCGACTCTTTAAGTGCCAAATGAAACAGTTTTCGCCCCTCAAAGGCCGCTGAGCATAGGGGTTTTTAAAGTTGATACACAGTCATCACAGGGAGCCAGTACAGTAGCTTTAAACCTGCATGTTGCCAGTTCAGAGTGCCAGCTGACTGCCCAGGCTCCTGGCTAGCTAACCTAGCCAGTCAGTCTGAAACATACACAGTCCCATTGTTGCCTCCTCCAGCTTTTCTTCATATTTATCCCACAATTTAAGAGGATGTCACGCAGTATCGGGCAGCAGGCGTGTTATTAAGATAGAACTACTTACTCTCCGTTTTCCTCTGCGAAAGGCATCGTTTAGTGCGTCGCCATGGTTTAAAACGGACAGATTTTCTCCCGTTGCCCTGCGCTGCCGAATCACTGCTGCTGCTGCTGTCTGCGGCAGCAACTTCCGGCGCATGCGCACTCGCTGGGACAGTTCCAGACTGAGCTGAGCGCTGCGCAGGAGGAGCCGAGCGATTTAAAGGGACCGGCAGTCTGGGATTTAATTGGACGACTAAATAATTTTGTGATTTTGTTTTACTGTGTGAAAAGGAAAACTAGTTTAATGTGTTAGTGTTGTGTTCTAGCCTTATAATATAGAAATATATACCTTATTTTTTAGCATTTTTAAACAAACTGCATTGGAAGTGAACAGGTAAACCAGGGAATTGTCACTGACAGTAATACTACACTCACCGGCCACTTTATTAGGTACACCTGTCCAACTGCTCGTTAACACTTAATTTCTAATCAGCCAATCACATGGCGGCAACTTAGTGCATTTAGGCATGTAGTCATGGTCAAGACAATCTCCTGCAGTTCAAACCGAGCATCAGTATGAGGAAGAAAGGTGATTTGAGTGACTTTGAACGTGGCATGGTTGTTGGTGCCAGAAGGGCTGGTCTGAGTATTTCAGAAACTGCTGATCTACTGGGATTTTCATGCACAACCATCTCTAGGGTTTACAGAGAATGGTCCGAAAAAGTAAAAATATCCAGTGAGCGGCAGTTCTGTGGGCGGAAATGCCTTGTTGATGCCAGAGGTCAGAGGAGAATGGCCAGACTGGTTCGAGCTGATAGAAAGGCAACAGTGACTCAAATAACCACCCGTTACAACCAAGGTAGGCAGAAGAGCATCTCTGAACACACAGTACGTCGGACTTTGAGGCAGATGGGCTACAGCAGCAGAAGACCACACCGGGTGCCACTCCTTTCAGCTAAGAACAGGAAACTGAGGCTACAATTTGCACAAGCTCATCGAAATTGGACAATAGAAGATTGGAAAAATGTTGCCTGGTCTGATGAGTCTCGATTTCTGCTGCGACATTCGGATGGTAGGGTCAGAATTTGGCGTCAACAACATGAAAGCATGGATCCATCCTGCCTTCTATCAACGGTTCAGGCTGGTGGTGGTGGTGTCATGGTGTGGGGAATATTTTCTTGGCACTCTTTGGGCCCCTTGGTACCAATTGAGCATCGTTGCAACGCCACAGCCTACCTGAGTATTGTTGCTGACCATGTCCATCCCTTTATGACCACAATGTACCCAAATTCTGATGGCTACTTTCAGCAGGATAATGCGCCATGTCATAAAGCTGGAATCATCTCAGACTGGTTTCTTGAACATGACAATGAGTTCACTGTACTCAAATGGCCTCCACAGTCACCAGATCTCAATCCAATAGAGCATCTTTGGGATGTGGTGGAACGGGAGATTCGCATCATGGATGTGCAGCCGACAAATCTGCGGCAACTGTGTGATGCCATCATGTCAATATGGACCAAGCTCTCTGAGGAATGCTTCCAGCACCTTGTTGAATCTATGCCACAAAGAATTGAGGCAGTTCTGAAGGCAAAAGGGGGTCCAGCCCGTTACTAGCATGGTGTACCTAATAAAGTGGCCGGTGAGTGTATATTGATAAAAATGTAAACAAAACAATATGACATGAATTCAAGGTTTTGATTTTGTTCTTGGATTCATGCGAATGACTGAGTTTTGTTTAAATTTATTTCAATAATTAAAAACTTGAGTAGAATAGATGTTTAATGCCATTTTTCTTTTTTGTGCAATACCTCTAGATTTAGCTCTAAAAGAACAGAAAAAGGTATAAAAATGAGCAAGAGCTCAGGAATAGTAGTACCAAGTACCAGGAATAGATAGAATATGCTTGCATTGTATAAATGGTGTATAAATGTAATAACTGATGCACAGGGTCGCAGCCAGATATTTCAGGCTTGATAAAAAATGATCAACGTCTACTTCACTTGAGTATTTTTTTGTCCTTGGGCCCCAGTTAATTTTGGCCCCTAGAATCATCCTGACCTTTCTCCCTCAGGTGCCCCTGTCATTTTAAGCCTTTGTTGATTTGTATAAAGGATTAGAGGTGAATCAGATAGTTAATGTTATTGGGTTTTTTTTTTAACACTTTATTCATGGAAATTTTTAGATTAAATAACACCAGATAAGAGACAAGGGGACAATGGCAAATACATTAACAGTAATAGAGAATAAAATAATAATCCAACAGTGACTTAGACATGTAGTCAATGTTGTTGTCATGAATATAGCTTCACTTGTCACGTTTAAATATTGATTTAGAAAGCACATTGAGTCATGGTAAGGTACGTTTTTTTATCACTGCAGGATAATCTATTGTGTTGTACTTTAAATATATCAGAAAAAGACACTAGAAGAATGCTTACTGTTCAGTGTTTTTGAGAAAATGATTTTCAACAATACTCGCTGCATTGTGCTTTGCTGTGATGCTGAATCTGGTGCTGCATCATGTGATATCATTAAGAGATGCTTAACCAACCAGGTGATAGCGACAATAATCAACAACACACTGAAAAGGAACTGCCATGATGAAATGAATGTGAGGATCAAGCACGAGACCACAACCGAGCTGCTGCCACCAACTAGAACCACTGGACAGCCAAGATGGATGACATGTCATGTGTAACAGTCAGAACTGTTCCATATTGTAGAAGTTTATTGCCATATACTCAGTACAGCAGGAGTTGTTATAATTCTTAATTTGCCTTTGTCCACCACACACAGAGAACGTGTTCCCATTGTTTACCTCTTCTTAATTTATCAAAATCGAATGCTCAAAGGGATAGTTTCTGATGGTTAAAAACATTTAGCCATCACCGGCCATTATGTTCTAGACTGAAAATTTCACCTGCTTTTTGTCAGTAAAGCTAAGGTGGCCTTTGAGGACAAGAAGCTGTTGTGATGCGTGATGTAAATTATGCTCCAATTGTTAAATTTATCAACAGAAAAGCTTGTGACAGCAAATTCTTATGTGCAAGTACAATTACAACCTTACTCAATACAAGATTACATATGAATGTTATTGTAAACAAATGGCAGTGCAAGATGGCAGCCCCCATGAAAGAGGACCCAATCCTTTGTACATAAAGGCTCATTCCAAGTTAAAGGTCCTGTGACAAAACGTTCTGTTCGTGTCGGTTTTGGCGCCTGCGGTGGAAAAGGTAACCTTCGTTTATCTTGTCCTTGACATGTTTGAGTAGTGACTTTGACAAAACATCTCATCCTGCTGACTTTTGACAGTCAAATGTTTCATTTATTGTGAATATTTTACATGATAAGTGTGTAAAATAGGCTAGTCCCCCCTCCCCCCACTGGTTTCATGTTACAATGCCATTTTATTTATCAGACGCTTTTATCCAAAGCAGAAATGACTTTATAGAAATTGCCAATCTTGTCCCTGATGCTCTTGTTTGCTTTTGAATAGCACAAAAAGGAATCATTATACATTTCAGTCTATTTCATAAACCCCTCATGAGGGTTTTGACAAAACCATAGCTATATTTATATCCAGGGGATTATTCACTTATTCAAATACACTTAGGACTATCATATACCATTTATACCCAGTTTAGCTGAATATTGCTTACGTCTTCACACCTTCAAGTCAAATGTTGTGTACACTTTATAGTATAAAAATTTATATAATAACATTATCATACTAAAACAACCTTGATGATATATGTTAATGTTGTTACATGTTTTTTAAAAAAAGGCCATTCTAGATGATAAGGGCATAAAGTTTGGCTACTTTTGATACATTTTGCTTACAATACTTTCATCATGTTAGTTAAGTGTTAGTTTTACTGAACCCCCCAGATAAATAGAGTATTCTGATTCTGATTTAAGGCTACTCCGAAGCACATCTTTTGTACTTTATGACACTTATATTGTGGCTTTGGGACCAGAATCCCTTTTCAAAACCAAATGTACCTAAAATTCAAGGTTGAATCCTCCAAAAAATGAATATATTGTATTTTTTTTTTCACAAGCAGAGATTTTGTTCTCATTGTACCTAATAAAATCAGAAATGATTATTTTCAGTGCTCACTGTGTTCCTCTCATCATTCACTCACAGACATAAAAAAACCCTCATGTATCCCAACCTTTGAAGATGAGAGGGCATGGTAAATTTTGGGGTTGTGATGGAGGGAAAAAAAATGAGCTTTTTTTTTTTTTTTTAATAAAATGGGATTACAAGAAAAGTATCTGAGTGAGGTAACACTCAGTTTGTCATTTATCATTGTTTTCTTGTTCCACATCTTCATTTTACCTTCAAAAATGTTCATGCATTTCCTCCCTAATGTAATAATAACCTGTTACTGCGGCACACAATGTGCCTTCAGCTGTGTCACCCTTACATTTTATATCATTGTGCTCCTCACGGATTGTTTTATGAATCTTTCTGGGGAAGATAAACCCGGTGAGAAGCCTCCACGGTCAATAGTGTCACATGCTTTGTGATTTGATGAAAGGTTCTATTTGTGTAGCCTGATGTGTAGAGCTCCCTAATCAAAGACTTATATTTCTGTGACAACTAAAATAAATTACTCCATTACGACCGCCCACCTGCCCTCTGCACAGTATTGATACCGTTTTATTACCACAGAGAGACGGATGGACGACATTGAGGACTGTGGCAAGTTATGGGAACGTGTGCAAACGTCATGTCAGGTTAGAGGCTGCACAAAAGTAATCAAATAAGATGATTATGGAGGGAAAATTACACATGTTCAGCTCTGCAAACATCTCTGAAATAAAGCATTGTGCAGGGTAACTCCGTGGCCTGCAGGCTTCCAGTACAGGACCCAGCCTTATTACAATACTCCAACCAATTTAGGGCCTGCAAGCTTCACTTCCCCCATCAGCCGGTGAAAGAAGGGGAGAATTCGGTGTGAAAGCCCAATCACACACAACGCTCTGAGTTCAGCAGGTGGGGAAGTAGCAGCAGCAGGCTCCATCAGGCAATAATACAAAGTTAATGATGCAGAATGGTGTCTTTCTCCATACCAAAGAAGACGTCAATACAGGATGTTTAAGGACGCTGCTCCTAATTACGCTTTTTAAATTCACCACTGACGTGATTGATGATTTCAAAGAGGTTGTTATTGATCCACTTCACAGACAAGTCACATCGATTGCAAGTCTAGAATGAATAAAAGTTTTTCTCCCCCTTTATCTCCCCCACTGAGAGAGAGATTGTACAATCAGGGCATCAGTGTGACCTATATGGGTAGTTTGGGAGCTAAATCACCTCTTTTTAAAATGCAGACAGAGCAAGGACGTATGGAGCAGTGATTGCTGCATCCAGGAGACCTTGGGGGACCTTCAGACGTCAGACTCTAACAGTTAAATCTCCCCACTTTCTCATTTATCAAACGTGGAAATTCATCCAGCCGTTCATTAATCTGTGGGATGCTTCACAAATAGCCTGTCTGCGTTGGAGTCCTCAGCGTGAACAAAGTTGAGGAGCGGCTGTTTTATAGACAATCAGCCAGCTGTGCAGCATCACGCCTCTCACTGCAATCAGCGGTGATGGAGTGATGGATGCTCTGACGCTCTGACAGATTGTTTTTCCCCACCTCTGCTCCTTGTTGACATGCCCCATGGCTCATGCTTATTATTCCATGAACTTTGTTATTCCTCATGAGCAGCCAGGTTGTAGTTATAGTGCAGAGGCTGCCAGTTATTGCATGTCTAATTCTAGCAAATCAACAGGGGAGGCTGCCAGAGCAAAGCCTGATGCTGCAGGAAGCCGGTGCCTGAATTCATCTGGTTGCAGCTGCAGAAAAATGTTGCATGTTCAAGGACTCGTTCTCTGTGGATACTCAATATTCTGATTGAATTACAAAAAACTGTCCTCAACAAGAGCACTGCTATTTCGACTGCTCTCTGGTATCACTAAAATAATCAGACCAACATATTTTGTCTGGCAGCTTTGCTTTCATCAGCACGGAGGACCATTTGGGAGCTAGATTTAAAGCTTTCATTAAACAAGAGTTAATTGAATAGGTTATGCCAAAACTTTAGAAAGTTGTGCAGGGCAAAGAGTAAAATCATTCCTTTAATCACTTTTATTGGACAACTTCTCAATTACGTTAATTAGACCTTAAGAACAGAGCATTTCTGTATGCCCTCTACAACGACCTGAGATTAGAGACTTTTGGGAACAGCTCCACAGCCATATGAAGGAAATTACTGAAGACGATGGTTGATTCACTTCTTCTCCTTCTTTTTTAGAGTGTCCCATCAGCTCCCTGTTTTGGGGAGAGGTTTATGGAAAATGGAAGGGTGGTCCCACAAAAAAACAAACAAACAGATGAGATGATTACATCTGAAATACAGAAAATTCCAGAGCTCCAATTTAAAGGGTGAACTGTGGTGTGATTATTTTCTCATCCTTGTATAAAGAGGGCATGCTAGCTTTAAAACCATAGACGGTATATAGAATTGATGCCGTCTGCCTCCTAGCTGGGTGAAGCCAATCCGAGAACAGCACCCTCTGGTGACGGGCTGCAGTATAGGTCATAAATCCCGCCTCCGCCAGCAAAGCTAATGGAGCTGTGGACAAACTTTAAAAATTTATGACACAGAATATATCCCCCCCCCCCCCCCCCCCCCCCTCTTTTTTCTGTACAGCTCCGTTTTTTAAAGTTATCAGGGGGTTCATGTTTTCTATGATTGATGCTTGATACAGCCTATGGGCATACAAAGATTGCGTAACTCAGCTGGGGAATACACAGTTTGAGCTGAGCGTCATCACAGCGACTCTTGGCGACTCTCCCGCCGAAAACGTACAATGCTACTGCGCAAGTGGTGGAGTGCATACAATGCTACTGGGCAATGTTGGTTTCAGAAAATGAAGAGAAGACGTGGAATTACAGGGAGCTTTGTGGCTTCAAATCTGTATACTGGCAGAAGGCGGAACCAAGTTGTCCATAGTTTATACAGTCTATGGTTAAAACCTAACCCAAATGACAACCCAAAAGCTGTAAGTATGATTGGCAACTTGCAGGTGTGAAATTTGTGCAAAAATCAATTATTTGTTCATTTATTTTTTTGTTTGTTTGTCTTTTTAAAGAGACCTGTTTTTTTTTTCCCCTGGTCTCTTTAACTTTCTTTTACAGACCTACATTCAGTATTTACCACAATCAGATATCCATTTTCAACAGTTAACCATAGAAATTCTCTTTAACCTTGTCTACTTTGTTGATGTTTTCCTGTACATTATAAGTACATAAGTAATGTTTCTGGACATAAGAAAAAAATCTCTTCATGCAAAAAAAGTTTGTTTAGGCACCAAGCAGTTAAAGCTCCCTGTTGGGTCTGATGAAGCTAGATAGTTTGTAATAAGGATGCTACAGAAAACATACATGAATGCTCATAAGATATCAGCACTCGATGTTATTGTAATAATTAAAGAAAGAGGCAGAAAACAAAGTGGTATAGAGAATGTGAATTGTGAATTTACCTAACTCTTCAGCACAGCAGTACCTCTTCTGGAAATTTTACAGAAAAAATGTGGAAAAAGCATGGATAAAAATTCAGCCTTTTTTACAATTCATATTTGCAGCTCAACCTGAAAGTTACAATAAATTTTCAGAAGTGAAGTACATATGTGAAAACAGCTAGAGTTTAGTGACAGTGTGGGGAGTGACAGATGCTATGTATGAAAATATTTTAAAGCAGGTTAAATCAAATCAAGGTAAAATCATCATGTCTGTTTTAATATCATAATTAATTACTACTCATGTTACAGCCTAATCTAGCTTTAGTGTAATGTTAATTTTATATGCTTTTGACTGTAATAAATGTACACGTCACAACTTCAAAACTCACAATAAAATACAAACCATAAAACAAGATTTACAGAAAACAAGATCGATTAGGAATCCACGGCACACTGAATTGCAGCAGCAGAGGCCGGTTTTCCATCACACTGTGCTGAATCTCATTGGCAAGTGCACTTCAAGTGGCAAAGTGGGCTACAGCTTATGATTAAATGGTCTGCAGGCGAAGCCTTTTTGTCTTTTTTTTAGACAGAGCGAGAGGAAGAGAGAGAGAGAGAGAAAGAGAGAAGAGGGTGAGGGAGAGAGAAAGAGAGAAAGAGAGAGAGAGAGAGAGAGAGAGAGAGAGAGAGCTCTTTCTGAAGGCCAAAGTTAATGCAGTCATAGAAAGAACTCAGATACACTCCCACGTGAAATGGCCATGTGAGGAAAGCCCGGAGGGAGAAAAGGCCTTGAATGAATTTAAGAGAGAGAGAGAGGGATGGAGAGAGAGAGAGGGGGATGGAGAGAGATAGAAGAGGGTGAGGGAGGGAGAGAGAGAGAGAGAGAGAGTGGGAGGGAGGCACAAAGAGAGAAAGTTCAAACATTACTGATCCTCAAATATCCTTTTTGGTTTCTGGTTCAATTGAAATTCGGCAGTAAGTGTCTGCTAAAAGCTCCATTTTTGTTGCTCTTCCATTGCTGCCGAGCTTTTAGAGTTTGATGATGACAGATTGGGAGCTACCTGATATCCTTCATCATCCTCCCCAGTGGAGGTGTTTGTTCCGCCCTGAGCAAGTCCTCCAGGACTAACAAACAGCCGGCGAGTTTGATGGACTACAGGGAGACATCTGCTGTGCCCGGCTTTGTCGTACAGAAAGAAAACAACCCATTACAGTTATCAATCAGAATGCAAACTGTGTCCTTTTAGTCTGATGATTAACCTTACAGACATCATGCTTATCAACTCATCAAATCAGCTTGTCTTTGTGAATTAGCTCTGAAGAGTTGCAGGGCATGTATATATGCCAGAAAGCAGTGATTTTTTTCCCCCTCAGGTTGGCATATTGCTTAAAGCGCGCATGCTCGATTTATATCCCTCACAACATTGTCACAACTGTGCTCAAGCCCCCTCGGGGATGAGCTCTGTTTTGTGTACTCAGGGGACAAGAGGGAGAGAAAACGTCTGCACAGTGCAATCTGATTTGTGGTTATAGCATCAGCACCCTCACAAAGAGAATATCACCAGAGCCAAAAGATTCTCAGAGCGCTGTCATCCATTTGAAAGTCTGCATTGCTCATGATAGAGGCTGTGTTCGTGCATTGTAATGAGATGATTTGGAAGTTGCCATTGGCTGATCTGAAGGTCTGAATTTTCCACCTACAGCAGACAGGTGGTTCGGAGACTGGGGCCTCAGGGGTCCTCTGGGAGTGACAAAGAATTCAGAATGAGACGCTACATAACAATTATTTCATTCTTTATATTTTTATCTATTCCTATACAATCAAATGTTTTATATATATATATATATATATATAGTATTAAATGGTAATGTTGCTTTTATAGTTTTACAACTTTGCCAACTTTAATGCCGTCTTTATTGTTCTGTCTTTGCTTCCACTCAAAAAAAATTATCATGTATTTCATTTTTTAGCGTTCAGTTCAGTTCTTGTCTTTCCTCCTTGTTTTGTAACTGCTTACTTATATTTCGGCCATTAGGAGTGTGTTTTTGATTTTAAAGCAGCATCGTAATCGTGCTGGTTGTCTTTGACTTTGAGGAGCCACATTGGATAAATGAAAATAAAACCAGATTCTATGATTAGTTAAAACGGTTTGATTAAAATAGGTTGGTATTGACAAAATAAGACCTTTGTGTAAACGGTCATGTAAAGCACAATAAAGATATTTAAATCGGATTTCAGTTACTCTGCTCCAGTACACCACTCACTATCCACTAATGAAGATAACCCTGCAGTAATCACTAAATATTGAAACTTAAACGCTTTCATACGGTAGAATCTATGAAGGAACTGTTGTATTGAATTGTATGCCGGCTGGTCCAAGTGTATTAGCAGATGACTTACAGGTCACTAGGGGGCAGTGTAGTTTCCTAAACCTCAGCAAGGACCCTCTTTAGACCGGAATTGTCACTTTTTGGTCAAATCAATATGGTGTCGCCCTGTAAGCAATGTGAGTGTAAACAGCGGCTCACCTTTGAGACACTGAATAGTATTTTATCGGCTGAAATATAACATCAAACCTTTATTAAATCGTAATGGCTCTCAGAGTTTGTGCTCGGCTCCTCAGAGAGTCCGCTCTCATCTCCTCACGAGCCGCCAGGTCCGCGCGACAGGAAAGTACGTCATGGTTTCTGACGGCAGGTCAGATTTTTCATCTTCTTATTTAATCTTTGTGTTTTAAAGTAAACGCTTTGTTTGGTGATGTAGCACGGAATGATTTAAAAGGAGATACGGCGAATTCAGTGTCGTTTTTAGGGTTGTTATAGTAAAAATCCGGGTACCCCTGAGGAAATGTTTGCTATATGAATAAAACAGGGACCATGAGACATTAATGTGACTGAGTGACCTCTGCAGCAGTTGGGACAGAGGGATTTACACCTCAATATTTGTCTCTTCTTCTACTTCTTTAAGTCTGTCAAGGAAATACACTCACCCATGCTTTGTTTCCTGTGTAAAAGTGCTGTTTGGGTAGTGGGTCCTAAAGGATACATGGACTGATGTGTTGGGCTGATGCTGAGGGAGATGTAGTGAAAAAATCCTTTCATGTAGTCTGTCAAGCACATACACTGATAATGTACGGTGGCCGAGAATTGCCACTGCTGCAATTTAAATAAAAAATAAAAAAGTCAATGGAAGTTACCAATGCAAAAAAAAGAAGCCGAAGCCCACTGCAAATAAAAAAAACACAACAGAAGTAAACGAGGGGGGCGATGAAGAAAAAAAAAGTTACTTATTGTGAAAATAAAAGGATGCAAGGCACCAATAATGATAATGCACCTGTGTTTTGGCCTGAGTCGATACGAAGTTGAACTGGAGGATGCTGGTGTAGTGTTGGCTTTAGTCCAACTTCATATTGACTCAGGCACTACATGGCTCAACTGAATGACACATTGAAAAGCACACGAAGCAAAATTAAACAATAACCTTTCCACTTACTTCTTTGCTTGTCTTCTCGCCGTCATCTTCTGTGCCTAGATCGTAAAACACCAGTGCATCATCATTATTGGTCCCCGGTAGCTCACTTCCGTTGTGGCTTTTTTTATTTGCATTCTTTTATTTTCAAAGTAAGTAAGTTTTTTTTTTTTTGTATCACTTTTTTTTGTTTTGTTTTGCGTCATTAACTTCTGTTTTATTTTTATTTTTATCTGCACTGTTTCTTTTTTTATTTGCAGCAGTGGCGGTTCTCGGCCACCATAGAATTAACTGTATGTGATGAAATTATGAAAGCAGATGGTTTTTCACCGTCTGTGGTTCTGAAATTACAAAAATAAGAAGAGAAAAACTTTCTGAGTGCATCATGAAACAGTCTGAGTGACATTAGCATCCAGATAGATAGAAGTGCTCCAGTACTTTGCAGCCATGTGAGCAGAAAAGTGACATGGTTATTGTTGTCTTTACAGGAAACCCTGCCTGCAGCCGAGGAGGAAGGAGTGGACTTAACTTCACTCCTGCTTGTTTTATTACATCAGAGGCGTTTCTAAACACACTGCTGAAAGGGAAAGAAGGGGAGGCGAGCAGCAGTCTTTACAGAGAACCAGCTTCTGTTCCTCCAGACAGCGGTAATCAGAGCACATCATAACATCCCTACATGCATTGAACTATCCCTGCTCTGGCTCCTTTTTGTCACATATTTACATTTATTTTTACCCTTGTGAATTTTTTTGTGATTTCAGGTGAACAGTTGTCTTTGTTACTGAAAAATCCAGATCAGCCTGAAAATTCAAAGGTTTTAAAAGTGTCTATAATCGGATCTCCAAATGCAGGGAAGTCGACATTGTCCAACCAGCTCCTTGGAAAAAAGGTCTCTGCTCTCTCCGAGTGACTTTACACCTGCACTCTTCAATCTGTCTGTCTCACTCATTTTTGTATCCAATGCTTTTTCTTCTTGAAGGTGTTTGCGGTGTCAAAAAAAGTACATACTACTCGGACACGAGCCCTGGGTGTCCTAACAGAGGATGACACACAGATAGTAAGAGCCCTCTCACTTCTTTTCCCTCAAAATGAAACAACAGAAAGTAGAAGCCAAAAGTCAGTATTGCTTGTGTTCTTTTTGTAGATTTTACTGGATACCCCAGGTCTCACATCTTTGTCAAAAGTCAAAAGGTGCATTATGTTTTTTTTATATATATAATCGTTATTTCAGAAATTTGGTAGCAGTATTTTTGAACAATGTGATAAATATACGGACCATTTGTTTCCACAGACACCACCTAGAGAAGTCTTTGCTTGTGGATCCCTGGAACACAGTCGCAGAAGCTGATCTAGGTATGATTTCAGACTCAGTCTAAGTTTTTTTGTCAGTTCCACTTGGGCCAAAGTTTACTCTCTGCATGTCTGTGTATATTTCATTCACCATTGATTTTTTAAAGGTCCTATAATCTGAACTTTGTCTGCTCTCAGTGGTGGTTTTGGTGGATGTGGCTGACAGATGGGCACGCCACAGACTTGACTTTGAGGTGCTGAAATGCCTCACTCAGCATGCTAATATCCCTGCTATCCTGGTCCTAAACAAGGTAATCACCCTCAAAAAAACATACACATATTAAGATGTAATCAGGTGTCCTTCACACAAACAATATCATGTCATCTTGACTGCATAGTTAGCGCTGATAGATCCTCCCAGAGTCAGACTCACAGGGACTTTTTGTTTGTGCTCTACATATTTGTTATATATTGTCTGTTTTTCAATGAACAATGAGTTTTGACGTATTCAAATAGCTGTTATGGGAGATTTGTTTATGTTGCAGATTATTGCACATCTAGAGCTAGTGACCATTTCAGGATCAGGGGAGTGTATTTGAAACTGAATTGTAATCAACTACAGTGTCCATATTGATCAATTAAGTGATGAAAGAACAGGGTTGTATGGCACAGAGGAACTGGTAAAGCTGGTTTTGACAACACGGGCAGTCCTCTTCAGCAACTGTGTTTTTCTGTTGGTTATGATTCAATCATGGGACATGTAGACGATTAAAGAAAAATTCATCATGAGCAGGCTTTTGCTGCACACCAGACAGGCATAAATGCTCCCCAAAATTAAAGACGAGACACTGAACTTTGTCAGCAATCATGTATAATTGTGAGATACTGGTATAAGCAGTTAGAGAGCTGTTCCTCTGTTTTGTGTCAAGGTGGACATGCTGAAAACCAAGGACAGACTGCTGGATATCACTGCAGAGCTGACATGTGGAATCGTAAATGGACGCAAAATGCGGGTCAGACCTGTGATAAAGCCTCCGCGGGCTGAAAAGAGGCTGCAGAGACATTCAGAGTCTTCGCTTGAGGAGGAAAATTCCGAGCCTGAGGGCAGCTCAGATTCAATCTCTCTGCTGAGCAAAGAGCAGCTGAAGGCGCTGAAGGGTCAGCAGGGCTGGCCTCACTTCAAGGACGTCTTTATGCTTTCGTCTGTGGACAGAGAGGATGTCGACACTCTGAAGGTACACTTTAGATAATACGAACAGTGGATAAAGTGATATTATTTATCATCAATGCATGGTATTGCTATCATCATTCTACATTTATGATGGTACACATATCACACTTGGACAGAAACTGAGTGATTGATTAGAACGAGTCTTCCCGCGTAATAAAAACAAATGAACACTGAACTAAAGATGAATGGTTCTCATAAAAACCTCATCTCTCATCCCTCGCCTAAAATATTTAAAATCCTCGCGATAGACAAGAAAAAAGCAAGTTATCAGCTGGTATTGTTAGAACAAAAATCAAAATAGTAGAGCCAGTTGTTTTTATGTTGAGATATGTTAAAGTAATATGGCAAATGCTATAAAATGAAAATGGGGATGATAAAAAAAAAAGAAATAAATATAAAAAAAGTTTATTGCAGAAAAAAAAGATCATAAGTAATAAATAAGAAGTGAAAAAATGTTTTATTTCTGTTCGCATGCAGCTTTTACACAAAAAAGCTGCATCAGTGTATAATTTATTTTTTCATTCTTCTTTTTTTTGTAAATGTCAGCTTTAGTTTTGTTTAGTTTCTTCTTTTTGGTATTCTATTTTTGTGTTGCTGTTTGTTAAAGTTGTATATCTGATGACAATAATTCAGCTTTCATCTCTCTGTCATAGAGTTACTTTAAGGCAGCAGCAAAGCCCGGCTCGTGGCAGTACCACAGTGAAGTCCTGACTGATCAGAGTCCTGAGGTGATCTGCACCAACATCGTAAGAGAGAAACTTCTGGAGAATCTGCCACAGGAGGTGCCCTACTCAATGACACAGGTGAGGAACAAACTTACAGACAGTCATGTTTGATGAAAGCTGACAGCAAACTGACTCTGCTCATCACATCTCGCTGCACGGTTTCTGCGACTTATTTCAAGTCTTTCATTCTCACTTTCACTTTAAATGCTGACGCAGGCTTTGATGTACATCCCTTTTCCTGTCACCTTCCCCTGCTTCACTCCTGCTTTCTTTCTGTTCACTGTCTGGGCTTCTCTTAAAACATGCCGCTCTACTTTGACATGGTGCTGCAGGTTGTAATGGTGCAAGATTCAAAGAGCTCCATGACCCAACTCTTAAACCACTGTGCAATCAAAACACAACCCTGACGAACTGATGAAACCCTGATGAACTGATCAAAGCTAAAAAAGTAGTTGGAGTGCCAAAACCTGATTAAACTGACTGTGATTTTTGTTTCAAAAAATGGTCCAAGATGGGATGTTTGTGGGCATAAATTCTGCTTTTAGTCCATGAAACAGGATTTTTGGTTCAATCAATCAATCAAACTTACTTTATGAAGCGCTTTTCCTACAAAGAATGTAACGCAAAGTGCTTTACAGTTGATTTAAAACAAAAAGGTAACTTCAAGATTAACTCAGAGGTTTTGGTTCTATGCAGGTAGCTTACTTCTTATGAATTTCTGCTGAACACTGTCGGGTAAGAGATCAATCTAAAGGAAAAATAATGCCTACAGAGGTGCATTTGGTATGGGGGGTGAGGAATGACGTGTTGCATATAGCTGAGGGTGGAACATAAACTCACGGCTGCTCTAATGAGGATTATAGCCTCTGTTTTTAGGGCATGTGCTGTAACTGAGATAAAGTAGGACTCCAAAGTTTGTCTCTGGAAGTCCATAAGTAAAACATCTAGAAAAATAAATCTTTGTTAGGTTTAACGATCAGTGTGGGATCTTCGGAAAATTTAATCATGCAGTTCAGGAAAATAGATCAATAAAAATAACTTTTGAACTTCAGTGTCGCCAGTTTATCCTAATGAGAAACCTCAAAATCCACTTATAGCAATGACAAATACAAAAAAGACAAAGACATCGATGAGGCATCAAGGCTCAGTCCTCTGCAGCTTTAATGTTAAGCTGATATTATGAGATGCTGCGTCCTCCTCTGGGCACCATTCTGTGTTTGTGATTCTCCATCCTGGCTCCATCCTCACAGTAACATGTTATTTTCATGTTAATCTGTACTCACGTCTGCGGAGGAGTTCTTTCACAGGTGCAGAATCACACCTACCAGCTCAACCTGTAACACAGCCTTCATGAAATTCTGACAGAAAATAGAACCATAGAAATGTGCCGCTCAAGATCTCAGTTTGGACACGTGCAATGAATTCTGGGACAAGTTGAAAAGACTATGCCATAAGCCAACAGCTGACATCTCCTCTTTCACATCGACCTCAATTGTCTTGACTTTTACTTACCTTTGAATGTCTCTGTTTTCAGTCGATTGAACTCTGGCAGGATGGAGAGGAGGGTGACCTCAACATTTCTATGAAACTTCATGTGAAGAAAGAATCTCAAATGGTGAGTGCTCTCTGATATTTCATCGTCTTACAGATGAAAGTGAAAGAAAGATTTCTGATTTTTTAACAGCTTTGTCTTCCCCTTCTAAGTGAGGTGTTTCAAGGTCTGAAAATTTCCCAGCAGCCTGTTTGTTTTCACTATCTGGACTTTAAAATCAGCGTTTTTACACTTTTGGTGGTCACTTTTACAGTCATCAGCTGTCAAGTCAAAGCGGCACAAAGAAACAGCTTTAATAAAAAGAATCACTGCCGTCCCACTTCCAGGTTCAGGTCATTTGACTGGTCAAAGTGAAATCTTTCCAGACACCTGTGTCCTCTCTGATGGCTTGTGATATTTATTTACCGCTCCTTGTACCTTCAGATTCCTCTTTCCTTGTCTTTTTAGCTTGTAAATATTTGAGCAGCTTTCTAAAGCATGCATTTTTCATGGCTGGGAATATTCAAAGCTCCATCTGTGCTGAATCACTTCAAGGGCGCTGACCTCTGAGTGGACCAACATCACTCTGTAGCTTTTACCTTCAACTCTGGACGAACTACAGAAATGTAAAAAGAGTACAACTCACAGGGATGATTGGCCAAAGAAATACTCTCTTTTATATATCGCTCCTACTTTCCCTCTGCTTTCATGCCTGATGTTTCTTTGGATAAATCTCAAATGAGGTTTTTATGTAAGATTTAGAGTTTGAAAGCTTATTTCAGTCTTGAACTGGAATGAAAATGAGCCTTTCACAACCTCTCAGTGAGGGCTGAAAGACTTTGAATTATGGAGTTTGTAATGTAAGCAATGACTGAGGTATTATTTGAATGCTTGTATAAAGAATTTAAACTGGTTACGCAACAGACTGAACTAAAAATGGTGTGGATGACCCAAAAAATCAACAAAACAATAAGCACAATCTTTGACTATTTCCTGTACTCCTTTTTAAAGGCCCGTGAGGGGCTCAAACAAAGCACACTTAGGAAACAGCTTTTAAGACACTTTCTGTAGTTTTTGTGCACTTGGACTTTTTTTGTACTTTGACTTCTTCTTGTGTATATTTGAGGAAAACATTTCACTGCTTTTTATGTCGCAAAAAGGTTGCACTCTCCATCAACAGCCTGACTTTAAGCTGATTGGCTCACATCTACACCCCGACAGCCTGATGAGCTAACATGTAGCAGAGGGAAGAACACGCATGTTTGCTCCTAAGTCACAACAACAAGAAATACTCTTGAAAAGTTTGTACATTCACAGCTTTGTGGGTCAACAGTTCATCAGTGAAACGTTGAGTTTAAAATAAACAACGCTCTTATCAACCATAGTCAGTACAAACTGGACAGTTTACAGTGAAGTCTTTGCACAGCAGGCTGTCACGCGCTGCAGGGGGGGACTGTCCGACAGAGTGCCAGGCCAAAAAAAGATGCAAGAAGAAGAACTATGTAACTCCAACCTGATTATGTGTTACGATCGCAAAATGCCCTCACACATAAATGTTCTCATGTTGGTTCTGTTTTAACTGTTATCTTAGGTGTAAATGCTTTTATATAATCTTTATTTATATCATCGATTACAAAGTGCTTTACAAGACAGGAAACCTATAAATCAACCCACGCAGACCATAAAACCAATAACATATTTGAACATAAAATCATGACATTTTAGGTTAAGTAAAATCAGGAAAAACTCTCTGATGAAAGTGAGTTTTAAGAAGTAACTTAAATGAGTGCGCTGAGTCAGCCAACCTAGTATCCTTGGCCAGGTCACTTCAGAGCTCAAAACGTTCTGTCCCCTTTTGTTCCCAGCCCAGTTTCTGATATGGTTAGAAAGCCCTACTCTAAGAATCGTCAAGTGAGTACTGGAGTGTAGGGGATTAAACTTGGGCAGAGACCATGAACAGCTTTAAAAGTTATGAATAAAATCTTGAAATCGATCCTAAAATATACTGGTAGTCCATGTAAAATGCTCATACAGGCACAACATGTTCAATTTTTTTAGTTTTTGATAAAAGCCTGGCAGCTGTGGTCTGTAGTCTGTCCAAGGAAGTTTGATGAAGACATGTAAAAAGACTGTCACAATAATTCAGCTGTGGAGAAATAAAAGCATGTAAAATCAGCTGTGTCTTTAAAACGTAAAAAGGATCGTATCTGTCTGATATTTCTACGATGATTAAAACATGACTGTACAAGTTCAGTGGTGTGGTGTTCAAAATTCAAACTGCTGTCAAAGCAGATGCGAAGGTTCTTTGCAACGGGTTTACGATCCCCCAGGAGCCCAGCAGAAGGCAAGATTTATTTAGCCATCTGATTTTCGGATTTCAGTTTTACTGGCATTTAACGGGAGGGAATTTTCTGACATCCAGTTTTTTATGTCAAGTATACAGTCATGCAGTGCACTCGGTGATCCTGGGTCAGTGTCAGGTACAGTTGTGTACTCAGCAGTTAAAGCCCAGTTTGTGTCGACTTTAGCACCTCCTGTTGACAAAGTAAATCTATCATTTATCCTAAGAGATTTACCTGGAGACTGAATAAACATGGCTGTTTCTTTAGTCGCTCTGCAAACACACACACACACACACACACACACCAGTTTCAGACATTAAAAATTACTGATTACTAATCTTATTCCTGTTGCTTTCAGGTTTTATAAAAAGGCATCAATATGAATTTCAGTCTGTTTCATAAATTTAAAAAACTCCTATTTAAAAAATAATTGACAAAACTTAAAGCTCCTCAAGTAAGCATTAAATAATTATAAATTCAAAAACATCCTTCAAAACAAAGAACCTTTTGGGGATTTTAAATAGACCATCTTTAACTTGACTTCTTAAAACAGATCCTGTGTTGCCTGATCTACCAATATTCTGCCTATGAACATTTTATTCTGCAGGGTCCATTTGAGTCTAACTTTCTGTCCTCAGGACTGAGTCTTACAGCTACACTAATCTGTGATCCTGTAGGCTCTGAAGTAGTTATTGAATTTTCTCTGTTTTTTTTTATCATCTACAGAAAATGGTGATCGGTACAGCCGGTCAGATGGTAGCAAGAATGGCCCGAGAGGCGAGTGAGGACCTGAGCCGTGTATTTTTGAGGGAAGTAAAGCTAAAACTGTCGGTGAAGGTGAAGAAGTGAAGAGGATGAAAGGTGAAAGAAGATGGGAAACTGATCCTCCTGGATTTGAGATGACTCTTTTTCTTTTATTGTATTTTTCTCTACAAAGGACAGACCTGAAGAGCCAAATTCAGAGCTGTGAGGTGGCAAACTGCCAAAGTCCCAGAGCCCCCACTGAGATGTTTCCAGTTTGTTGGAAAGAAATTTGTTCTTCTCTTTGACTCTAAATCCTCTGACTTTATCAGCAGCATCCTTTCATGTAGTCTCTGAAGACATTATAGACTTTTGATGTGAGGATGCAGCTGAAAAGATGTTATTATTGTGAAAACTGTGAGTGATTGGAGCCCCAACTTAAAGAAAAACTTTAATGAAGTCATTAAAATGGAAAAAAATGTTCCAGCTTACGCAAGCAGAGGAATTTAATAAAATGAACTATTGGACGTTATTTCGCATTGATATATTTTAGGAAACAAACATGACACAGACCCTCATCAAACGCATGTTTTGACACAAGTTTGACAGTGTGTTCATGGCTGAGAAGCTTTGGCGAGCTGTGAAAAGGCCGATGGTTTATCTTTGGCTCTCAGAGCTCTGTACTTGGCGGGCGTTTGGCGCCTCGTGGAACCTGCATAGTCATGTTCGCTCAGATGTCCCTGATGTACCATCCGCCCCGTTCCCTCCACTCCTACATCACTTTAGCCTTCTCCGCTGCCTTTGAAGTGTGGCCATCCATCCTTTGCTACTATCACTTTTTGTTCCGCTGCTTTCTTTCCTTTTTCCTCCCCCCTCCCTCTGCGTTTTTGGCTCTTATAAAGCCCTGCTCTGCCCCCGAGGGCTGAATTGTCTCCCTAATGGATGGCAGAATGGAGCACTAACCTGATGCTAAAATGGGTCAGATAATGGTGATTGGATTCATTCCTGCTGCCTGTGAGTTAACTCCACCGTTACTCTATCCGGGGCATCTTGATGAATAACCAGCTCGTGGCCTAAAGCGAGGGTGACGGGAGGGAGGGGGAGGCCTTGAATGTCTCACAGAAGCTGTGTCAGCCCCTCCAGCTCTCCTTGCTCTCTGCGACGGCTGCTTCTCAGTGATTAGACAAGCCAGTTACGCAGCAGAGATCACCACTTAGACAAGCCAACTGCTGCTAGAAAATATTATAGCTGATGTACGTCAGCCAGCACATTAAAGTAATCCTTCAAACGCGAGATATTTAGAGCGCTGACAACCGCTTTAGATGTTTTTTTTTCTTCTGAATAAATGACACACTCATTTGTTGGTGGGCCATGAGCTTTATTTCACATACATCCACATGCACATTTAAAAAAAGAATCACAAGTATCCTCCAGAAGCTCTTAAAAAAACAAGAAAACCAGCTTTCTTTTTAATCCTCCAGGTCCAGATGAGTTTGAGCAAGGGCCATAGAACCCTTACCATTACTGAAACTCAGTAATGGTAACGGTTTGACGGCCCTCCTCAGCAGTGTGTGTGTGTGTGTCTCCGTGTGCAGGTGTCCCTTAGGTCTGAGTGTGTGCTGAAGATGAATGAAACCCTGGATAGTACATCATCTATACTGTAGTGTCACTTTAATAAACTTACAGTATAAGATGATATCCTGTCCAGGGTGCAAGACATCCCAGCTGACAGCGAGCTCCTGCTGGGCTTTTATTCTGAAAGGTGGAGGTAGAGGACTTGTTAGTGATACGCACAGAGAAGGTCAACCAATTAGAATGATTATTATAAAGTGGAGATGCTATTTTCAAAAAGTATAAACATGCATCATTATCAATTCCCCCTTCTGTCTGTCACACACTCACTCTTATGTACAGAGCTGCAGGTCCGTTCTTCATGTCCACAGACACCTTCCGTCACATGTTCATTTTCCGTTAAATGTCCTCGTCTGCTCATAGGTTCCTAACTGCTCTGCACGCTCTACTCCTGCACTTAAAGGCCCCCAGCTCATTAGCATACTGTGATGACATCTGGGTGGACCAGACAACATTTGGGGGGGTCTTATCTGGTCCTGACCTGTTTGCCTCCGTCCAATGATGACCCACACCCTTATTACACCCAGCCAGACTTAAGAGAAAAATGAAACGTGGACGTTTTTCAGTCACTTAAAACTGAAGAGTAACCAAAAAATAATAATTTATTTTTTTAAACTTTATTTTTTACTAGATTTTCATTTTTTTTTAACATAAACAAACAAGCATATAAACAAAGAACCATAAAACAGAAATTAAACGGAGAATACCACTGAACAAACAGGTTAAACTGGTTGACATGGGTCAAAAAATGGTGCTAATTGGAATTATCATTCACACAGTCAATGAGTTACGCATCAAAGACTATGAAGTCCATCTTTCCTAGAACCTTGTGTACTGACCGGTCTGTAGTCTTGAGAAGGTTTTTCCATGCTTTGAATTTCGTTAACGATGGTAGTAACCAAAACTTTTTCAGTCAAATCTTTTTAAATAAAAACTCATTTATTCACAATATTTTAAATTAAAGTGATTCACAGAGGAACTAAACAAAGGATTTGTCTAAAATAAAACTAAACATGTCAGGTTTTTCAATCATTGTTGTACAAAAACTTCAGTAACAGTGAATTTAAACTCACACCTGAGGAAATAAAGCTATACCCCTTTAAAGATGAATTTAACAGGTGCCATTTGTGCTCAGTGGTTGGATGGTTGGGCTGTGTGTCCCATGTGTAGAGGCTTTAACCCCCAGAGGTGGGGGTCCAGGGCTGGCCTTCACTCTCTTCCTTAGTTTCTACTCCATCTACTGTCTTATCTCCTAGTTAAAAGGCATAAAAGCCTAATGACAATAATTGTAAAATATTAGGAAGGGTTTAGAAATGTCAAGATAGATAAAAATTTGCACAGTATCACTAAAATGCACATGAATTAGAGCTGTCGGCATTTCAGTGCAATCAGGATCTAAATTAACAGATCATTTTTCTTTAATTACAGGCTGTTTTTTTCCCTTGTGGCACACCATAGTTAGGCTGCTGCAGCATCTTTCTGCTGCCACGACCAAAAATAACACCCCAGCACTTTTTATTGCCACATTTATTAGAAAATAAAAGAAAAGCTCAGTTTCCAAGTCAAAAGTAATACGCAGACCGTATCAAACGGTGTGAAATATCACTGAAGTACTTTGGTTTGAGCTACCGCCTGTGAGCAAAGCATACAGGTGCAGCTAAGAAGGCTGATGTCAGTGGAAAACCACATCAGAAACACTGACCTGTGGATGACAGGAGCTTCATTGCATTGATTTGTTTCCCAAATCAAGACTCTGGTAATCATTGCTTTACATACTTGATATAGACTTAAATGTTTTGAAATGCAAATAAAGGAAATTCAATCATTATTAGTATTTCTTTTTTGTTACTATTTTAATGATATTACTATTTAATTACTCCTTGGTGTAAAGCAACCTTGGGACCTTTGTTGAATATATGCAGTTTTTTATTATTAGTATTATAATATGATTAACAATGACATAAATGTCTGCTAAAACCCCACTAATTTGCACAACAGCTGTAAATAAAAAAAATTGGAATCATAAACATTAAAGTTAATATGATATTGTAGGCGCTGGCTTGACCCAGTATTTAGGGTGCCCCATGTACAGAGGCTGTAACCCTCGCCCCTGTTGCCTCTGATTTGACCCCTGACTCTTTGTTCAATGTCATCTAGACTCTCCTCATCCCACATTTCCTCTTGATATGGTAGCTGTCTAATCCAAAAAGTCAAAGTGGCCTAAAAAATAACTCAAGAAAGTTTCCATGTGAGTATAACACACAAAAACAATAGTACACTGTAAGACACTTATCATCATCAGTACAATGTTTCTTCAAAGGTACTCTGTGTTTCTCATACTTTTGAAATGTTCTTCATGTCTGAACCTCTTTTACAGGCTCCAGGTGTGACTTTTGAACTCTGGTACATGAACACGTCTGAATAAAAGAACCACATGAGTAACCCCACACTGATCCTCATCAGTCTGAAACCTGCATCCTAATCTCAGAGTGCAGTTATACATCTAACGTGCTTCGTCTCTGCTTCTCACAGCTCAATGATTTATGTGCGATGGTTTCACACGGTTTGAATTTAATATAGCGATATGTCAGCTGATGTCATGTTATCTGACTTATTAAACTCTTTCTCATAGCTCTTGCTCAGCCAGATTCCAGGATACGCAGAGCTGGGACGTGCTTTTTATTGGATGTGTCACACAGACACGGCACGTCAGATTCACGGCTTCAAATTAAGCCGGGGCTGTGATAGAGCAGGTGGTAGTTTGCTGTAGTTTGTCTTTAATACCTGACAGTTTGTCTCAGCCTGACTTTGCTAAGACAAATTGTCCTCATGAGGGGGATTGTGCCCTCTTGCCTGCTGCGGAAAACTTTTTAGGGATTGAATAATAATCCTTAAAAAAAGTTTTTAAAAAATTGCACAAATACACAATATCTGCAGCAAAGAGCCATTAATTTCATGTATTTACCACAGCTTCTTAACAGATGTTGCACACTAACTTTGACATGTTCTTTCAGGAGGTAATGTTAAGGTGGGACTTGCTGTCACCATGGTAACCCTCTCCCGGGTTAGGGTGTGGGAGTCAGTCTGGGGTGTGAGATGTCCTCCTGTAGGCTCAGATAAAGATGGAGGTGGGACTATCAGGGTGGTTTGAGTTTATCTGCAGCAGAAATGCTGCACTTTTTTGACTTATTTTCCATACGCGCTCACAGATAAAGTTATTCACCTCATGAAAGGACAAAATGAGGGACACCTCTCTAATAGCATGAAATCTTCTTTATCCAGAGAGACTAAAGGAGGTGGGATTTGATGAAGGTGTGCGCAGAGACGAGAAATAAAGACGAATTTCCACTAGAGTGTTCTCTAGATTGTCATGTTACTCCTGCACGTGTTACTTGTCCTCCCTCCTGCCCTCCTTCTTTCTCACCCCTTATCCTTGTCCAACTGAATTCACTGTCTCACGTCAGAGCAAGAAAACCGTCAAAATGAGTTTTTAGTGACCTGACTCATCACAAGAAGAAGAAAAAAACGCGAGAATAAACAAAGAGAGACATTGTGACAGAGTCTGACTTTAATCACCCTCAGCGGGAACAAAAGTGTCATGGTTCTATTTTCCATTGTGTATTGAATTTTATTTTTTTAAATGTCATTTACTGCATTTAATGTCATTTTTAAATGTCATTTAGTACACATTGCTGGCATTAAACTTGCCAGAAGTTATGTGAACCATGTTGTTTTTTACATAAACATACTCATGAAGAAATTGTTTTGAGCTGTCACAAACAAAGCTTGACTTTATTGACAAAAACAGCAACATTCATAAAGTTCCTGAACAGTTCTCCTGAGTTTATTTTACTTGAACAGAAGACAGAAATTCAGACACGTAGAAAACTTTCACAACAAAACTTTCAAACATCATGAGAAAGGAGGAAAAAGGATAGATAATAAGAAGGTTTAATAGATGATCAAAAATCTTCTAAGGTCCTGGTTTCATTTTTCCTTTTACAGTACTTCATCTCTGCTTGTAATAAATGACGTTCAAATTTGTTATGAGTGAGTGTCTTTCCTGTTTTTTCTTTCAAAGTGTCCTGATATGAACTGACATTCAAGGAGTTGATGTTTGCACTACCATCTCTGCTACACAATTCTATAAGTCATATTTTTAATATCCACTTTCTTCAGTCTGAATAGTCCTTTTTTTTTTTAGATGAATGTCATTCTTGATTTTTCTGTCAGATGGTTGTATATGTCATAAATATACATTGTAAAAGCCAGGCCCTGATAAGTATGAGGGGAGAAATAATGTCCATTTAATTTTTCCTTTGCTGCAGAAATCATTTGTACATTTGGGACATTTGTGTGTCCCAAATGTAAATGTCATTTACTGCCTGTTTAATACACATTGCTGCCCCTGTTAAGTATATAACAACATATATATCTATATTTAGAGTTATAAATCAATTGGAGCCTCATAGTTTCAATTCTATAAAATTCTCTTTTTTTAAAGTTGTTTTGAAGTGTATAAATGGACTGGTCCCACGAGCGATGTCTCAGATTTTTAAGACAGACAATTGAAAGACAACAACAAGGAGCATAACCGAGCAAAACTGTAAGATTCGAAGATGCAGGACAACATTTGGCCAATCATCCCTCTCAGTACACGGTACACGACTATGAAATTCTCTCCCATCAGAAATTAAATCCCAAACAGAACTAAAGAGGTTTAATGTTAAAGCTAAACATGGGCTTAAGCAGCAGAAATGTGAACATTAACTATTCTCAAGTCACTGTCAATATAGTACTTTCTTAATGTTTAATGCTAAATTAAATTTGTGTAATTGTTTAATCTAAATTTTGTAGCTGTTTATTTATTCATGTCACCTTGCTATTCACTGTACTATCCATGGTATTTGTATTATTGCATTTATAGTATTCAGTGTATTTTGTCCTCCTCTACAGCCTGACCTCCTCTAAAGACTGCAAATTACCTGTACCAAATGTCTTAAATACATAACATTTTCCATTTTTTGTGGCAATGTTGTATGTATTGCCCCTGTTGAATAAACATTAAATAAATAAATAGACTGTAGGCTTTACAGGGACTTATGTGATTGAAGTGCAGAAATAAAAAAAGCTGTTTATCTAAATCAACCTTCACTGATAGAAACTCTGAAACAGACAGACAGCGAGGCCAACATGAAGTGGTGTAACATTTATTATATGGTGGCACACAGAATAACATGAACACATGCTCCAAATGCCATGCTGGATCAGGTCTCCATAGGCCAGTGTTACATGAGAAATCACAAGATTAATCCACAATATACCTTTAATTAGAGATTACAGATTATTTCCATGAGAGACGACAGATGAACATGAATCAGATGAAGACAAGAGTTAAGGCGTAGGTCGATAGTGTTTGGTCTTTAACCTCATTCTCCTCTGAAATGCCACTTGGAGGAACAGCTTCTGATTAGTCAATGCAACTCAAATGAGGAATATCTGTTGGCACACAATATGATGGCCAAAATTATGAATGACAAGGTGTTCAGAGGTCTGGATTTCAAAGGAAAGCTGTTGAACGCTACATCTATAATTATATATTTTATGTAACTTTGATATACACAGTATATATCTGTTCCCTTGTATATCTGAAGTGCAGAAAATTGCGCGAGTAGAAAGAGGAAAACCTAGAGCTGAATATTATCATCATAGAGGTAAAACATCCGGATATTCTACAAGTAAGTCTGCTTCTTAAGTCTTCTTTTATTATCTCATCAGCACCTCCAAGTGTCTGACCATGACAGTCAACAAACTGCATGTTCAAGTGTGAACCATCTGTTCTGTTTTTACCAAAGGCACTGTGTACAGAAAGCTACTTTACTAAATAACAAGAGCATAAAAAGAGTTGAGTCTGAGTTCTTATCTGGATACTTTTATGTAACACACTCTGCAAACAAATACTCGGGTTGGTTGGTTGATTTGGGTGTGATGTGTGAAAGCTATGATCCTATGACTCTTCTACTGTGTCATCTTAAAGGATGATATAAACTAAGTGGACAGACTTTTCTTAAGGAGCATTATAAATGTTCGATTTTGATGTTCGAGTGAGGCCTGAAACTCTCAATCCTGCATGGTGCAGCCAAATTAAAAATGTCACCCACCATGGCCTCTGCAGACCAAACTCAGTGTCACAGATAGAAAATGAGAGATTGTCTGGTGATCATGTGACCTCTGTTCATCTCAACGATTGATATCAACCACTCCTTTTAAAATACTGGCCATCACTTCATGACAAAGAATATCAAAAATCACTGTAGTGCTCGTAGAAAGTCAGGCAGTGCTAACACCAACATTTCCAGCAGGTGAAATAGTTGCAGGAACAGAAACTTGAATCAAAGTGTTAATACACTGTAAGAAAAAAAAAAAAAGAACTGGAGAATTTTTTTAATCAAAACAAACCAGGAGCCTCATGTTTATTTACAGAACTAAAGAAAGAGAGGTACAACTGAATGAACTTCTTAAAACAACGTTCAGGTAAAATGATCATTAAAAGTGGTTTATTATTCATGATGTGATTCACAAAAAGCAAATCACACCATTACATGAAGGCGGCTGCACAAAGGTTCATGTCAGGTTTAAATCTTCACCAGGCAGCCACCTATAAGGCTCATTTAAGGAGTAACTCAGTGTGGATTAAATCGCTCTACGCTGCTGCCATCTAGGGGTCGAAACGTGCTGTCCTCACACAATTACTGTCATCTGGGCCCAGTTAGTCAAAGGTGGTCTGATTGGATTAAAATTTAAGGACTGAATTAAATCAGAAAAAAGACTTTACATGAGAAAAAGGGCATAAGAAATCACATAAGATCAGGTAATACAATCTTGGTTTTTATCGAGATATAAATTCCAGGTTCAGTACTGGTCTGAAACAAATCTGGATTAGTTTGACTTCAGCGGATTACAGGTGCAAAATTATTATTCATTTTCAAAAATAATCTAACATGACATCGTTTTTTAAATAAGGCTGACACTTGAGACATTTCTGTTATAGTTACACTCTTAAAAGGATGAATCACTATTGTGACTTAGAAAACAAGGATAATTTAAGGGAGTAAATAAACAAAGACTTCGTCCCCTTATAAATCAGGGACAAAATGAACCTGGTTTACCTCATCCTCAAGAGTTGAAAGAGGGGATTTCCAAATCTTTTTTTTTTTCAAATCAAACTGTTCAAGTGACCGGGCCCTGGCTTTCTATGATAAAGTTGTAACAAGACCCCATAATTTAGTGACCGAACCAGAGGATTTCTGTAAATATTGTATCATCTGGTAGTCATTGATCAAACTGATCCACATTACGTTTCCCAACTGAAAACCGCTCCAGCACCATCGGTACAGGATGTGCTGCGTTCATGACCCCATCACATGCTCATCTTTCAACCTATCTATGCAATGACTGACTTTTGTAACATTAAATTCCTGCTTTGTCATCACAACTTGAGTGTGACAGCAAGAGTAACTTTCAATCCAAAGAGGTGTAACAGGGGTAACTCTTTAAGGGAATAAAATATGTACAGTTCCTAAAGTGGGCAGTAAAAAAGAAATCAGAGTAAGAAATCTGAGTAGAAACAAAAACATTTAGACTGAGAAGAGAGAGCAGAGAGAAGTGAAAATCTGGATTAAAGCTCTGACCCTGTGCTACATGAGAAAAAAAGAAAGAGTTCATAAAGCCTGGCAGGCCTCCAGGGTGTCTTTAAGGCTAATTTCAGCTAACTATGGCTCTGTGTTATGAGTTTGCTCAGCATTTACATATCTGCTTATGTTTCTACGCACGCCACAAAAGAGAGTAAACTGTACTGTTAGTAAAGGAAGTGTTAGAAGAGCAGATAGCGATATCTAAACACCATCTATCCATATCACAGATACACTCAGACATAAATCCAACTGAGGCCAAACCACACTGCTGAAGGTTTGGGCACTTGAGTGTTGAACAGGCACTGCACATCTGAACGACAAGACAAGCGACGAGACGAAAAACTGCGAGGTAACAGTGAGCGTAAGTGTGATTCAAGGAATCACTGGTATTGTAACGGACTTTCAGCCTTACAATCACAGTGGATGAAGATTTGCTGAGTTTTAAGTGTAATAGAGGTTTTGGTAATCCTAATAGTTCACTGAGTTATTTGACCTAGAGTTAAAAAGCAGAGAGGAGATAAAAGCTGCCAAATCCACGCCGTGCTCAAACTGCTGCACGCTACTTCACTACCTGCACCGAGCAAAAGGCAACACGCTGTTTAACAAAGAGCAGGAGCCGGGACTGTTCGCTCACTAAAAGTAATTTAATGTTAAAACACCTGACAGGTACAAATTAAAATGTATCTCTCAAATATAATTCACTTTTGACTTCATGTTTTCAACTCTTTCTGAAGGCTGCGGTGTTTTTCATTTAATAAACAATCTTCAACGCGCAATTTAAACAAGCCGACTCTGCCGTCAGTCCCTAACTCCCTAACCCGAAATACTCTGCGTTAGGTGGCTAGTCGGACTGAAAAGGATTGCAGCATATAATCCTAGCTAATTAGTGCAGTGTGACAAAAATCAACATCTAAAAATAAAACAACAGAAAATACACACAGTCTGGTCCTTCGGTTTTAAGGCCCCAGCTTGTTTTCCTTTAGAAAATGATAAATCTCTTAAAAATATAAAAAACCTTTTCAGTTGGCGTCAAGTGTTTCTGGTCAAAGGCAGTTTGCATACGGGGTCAGAGGCTGAAAAAAAAACAAAAAAACAAAAAAAACTAAAACGTATTTTCATGCTTGAGGCAGATAACTGTCGAAAGATTCAGAGAAACGAGTCTGTTGACCAAATCATCACATGGCTGTTTGGCACTGTGGGGTCACCATCTTCTGCAGCAGAGGCATCTGAGGGATCAGAGGAGAGGAGGATTAGCTGGTTTTAAAAGAGAGAGATAGAGGCACGAGGGACTGGATCTCAGTGATATCACACAGTCGGAGAAAACAGGTATCTCTGTATCACAGCAGCAACAGAGAGGCTTATAAAAAGCTGCTTTCAGACGTGGACTCTGGAAAATATCAAGAAAAGTTTAAGGACTCTTTAGAGGCTTTTCTCAATCCTTAAAAAAATCTGAACAGCTGCCACATCTGTAATCTGTGACAGGATTTTAACCTCAGAACTTTATTAAAATGTAACTTTCGATCAGGCTCTACCAGTTAGGAAAAGTCATGTATCATAAAAAAGACAAAGATGCAGTAATATTAAATGCAGAACTATAATAAGTCGCTGTACTCATCCTGTTATAACAGTAAATCAAAAATGTTACACCCATGCAAAAAAGTTCCTCTCGTGCATCAAAAAGTATATATGTCTTTAAAATCCTCTAATTACAGAAATTATTTTTTCAAATAGATGAAAATTCAATTTCTCAAAATGTTCAACTCCTCCTATTGACACTGCACCAGGTTAATTTTTATCCACCCTGGTGAGCTACTTTAAAACGATAGATTTCTTTAAAACGATAATTATGTATATATTTATAATGTTGTATTTTCCTACTTTCATTGAAGAGGACAGGACAGTGGATAAAGCAGAACATCAGGAGAGAGACTTGAAAAGACACCAAGAAAGAGCTGCAAGGGGCTCAAACCTCCAACCCTGGCCAGCCGCTTAAGGACTATAGCCTCTGCATATCGACAACATGGCTTAAACACTAGAAAGAACTGTTTCCCCACAATGGCAACTTTTATATTTGGCTGATGTTTGGATGGAAAAGAATTTTCATGTGATTCTACAAGCTGCTTTCAAACGTTTATTTTCTGCAGTTGTTTTGGAAAATCCCTTAAGACTGCATGATAAACAGCAGCATTGAGGCCTTATAAAGTCGCCCTCAGTCAGTTGTTGGGTAAATATTTCCACTGATACTCTTAAAGCCCACAAATGTACACACCTACTGTCCAGTATAGGAGTTTTTCTGTTTAAATTTATTACCTATCATTTACCGTCAGCTGACCCTGAAGATATAACTCCATGTCAAAATAAAGAGGTATCATTCACTTGATGTTGTGATGGAGAACCCTGTCTCTCTCACCTTGGTCAGATCCACTCCTGTGAGGGCGTTGACGGACACGGGGAGCTCAGCTAACAAACGGGTCACCTCTCCAGTCACACGGTTGCCCTCTCCACTCAGGATGACAATCTCATTGGTCCTCGCCAACGGAGCAGCCACTTTGGCGGCAATCTGTTGTAACACAAGTTAAAGCACAACTGTTTGGTATTTCACCAACACACAAGAAAATAATTGACAGTTTTGGGGATAAATTCAAATTGACCAAGTTTGAAAAACAATTACTGGCTTTTCCTCTTCTTCTTACAACATGTTGACATCACTTGAATTAAATGTGGTTTCAATATTTTCTTTATTTTATCGATAGCTCTGATTGATGTGATTACTAATACTTCATTAGTACGCTCAAGAATTTAAAGGGCCAAGCAACACTCTCAGTGTTAGATAATCCATGCCGGTAGCATATGCAAGGTGAGAGGATTGGTTCATCTCCAAAAAACGATTTTTGGGACCTGCGCAACAAGCTTACTATTGCCTTAAATTCTTGTTATTGTGTTTTAATAGTTTGTACAATTCACATGGTTACAATTTAATTTGAAAGAGAGACCAACGCACTCTAAAATGGTTATTTGTTAAAGTTAATAGTTCCTCCTCCTCTACATGTCTTATGAATTAACACAGAGGTTTGGTTTCCAAGAATAAAAAGTCTGTAAACCATGAGGGTGTACTGGTATCATGCCTTTTCTACCCCACAAATGTATCACAGAAGCCCACATTATACACTTCTCTGCTGGTGACTGAGGTGCTGAGGTTTGAGAAAACAAGCACCAGTGAGCTGTCTAAAGAAAACACTGAGAGGACTGTAATGCCAGCCCCTGTGTTTCACAGACTCCCAGTAATCACAGCATAAAACCAAACTTCTCAAAAGTAGGTGTTTCATTCTAAAACCAAATGTATATAAACATAAACCACAGACCTTGGGCAGTGCCTCCAGGACCAGAGCTGTCTTAGCAGCGTCTCCATACTGTTGGTAGGCCTCAGCCTTCATCCTCATCTTCTCAGCCTCTGCTTTTCCAACAGCTTCGATGGAGGCGGCCTCAGCCTCACCAATGAAGCGGATCTTCTCAGCTTCAGCCTGCGCTGTCAGCACTTTCTTTGTCCTGGTGATGGGTTACAGAGGCATTAAAAGGACTGTTCAGTTTGCACAGTTCACTAACAGTCATGTACTGATAATGAAGGTGTATGTCTACACAGATGATATGTAAAATATATGTTTGATTATAACAAAAATGACTTTTTCCAACTAGCTGTATATCTAGAACACATTTTATTTACCCCTCATTTATATCACTGGTGCAAACACACTTAAGGAGTCCTTATATATGTGTGTGTGTGTGTGTGTGTGTGTGTGTGTGTGTGTGTGTGTGTGTGTAGTTGTAGACAGACTTTAAATTTAGAAAGCATGCTTGTTTAAGATGTGTAAATTGTCTACAAGAGTGCTTAGGATTAAGTCTTGAGAAAAATGGTCCCCAGCAAATACGGAGGCGGAAGAACTTTTTTGGACTAATTTCTCTGGGTAGATTAACAGGCGGCTACATTGGTGATGCTGCAGTAGCCACTCATTTTCTACTTTGTGATTAAATATTAAAATTATGTTAACATTTATCGGCTTGATTCGTAGCATAAAGGTTAGCCCATACCACACCGTCTCCCAGATTTTGTGTTTTGTTGCCGCATAGTTCCTCCTGTTTCAGGAACTGTGATTTATTAAATGTTTACACTTAAAAGGACATTTACAAATAAGTGATGAATATTGTTTTGTTCGGGAAAATGAGTCCCCATGTAAGCTATCAATAGTACAGAGACCTTAAAAGTGAAGTGAGGATGGGCTCTGTGTGAAAAACACTCACTTTTGTCCCTCTGCCAGCTGCTGCATCTTGTACGCTTCAGCCTCTGCGGGTCTCTTCACTGTAGCGATGAGCTCCTTGTCAGTTCGATCGATCTCCTTCTCCTCAATGGTGATCTGCTTCTTCCTCTGCACCACCTCGATCTCAATCTCCTCCAGACGGATCTTCTGCTGCTCTTTGGCTGCCTGCAGCTCATAGGCCAGCTGCGCCTCTGCTTTCTAAAAAAAGGAGCACATGAAACTCACGCTTGCATGCTACATGTAATTACTGATAATATATAGTGAATTAAAGACATACAGCTCCATACCTTTGTGTTCACCTCCTGGTTAAAAGCAGCTTTCTGCATCTCCAGCTCTCGTTTGGAGTCGGCCATTTTTGTGTCAGCTAAGAACTTCACATCCATCATTTCTTTCTTACACTCAGCTTCCTGTGAAGAGGACAGAGCAGAAAAATGACGTGAAACGGATGAAGAGTGCTAGTTTCCTAATGCAAGGGTCATTAGTAATCAGGGAATGGATGTTTTATAAAGTGCTTGTCTTACCCTGATGCCAGCATCTCTCTCTGCCTCTGCCACTCCGATGTCTGCATCCCTCTGCACTGCAGCTGTCTGAGTTTTTCCCAGTGAGCTCAGGTACTCCACTTTATCATACACATCCTGTCAGGAAAAGAGAGAGAGAAGTTATTGTTAGTCAGATCAGAAACAGGAAACAGGTTGTGCGACAGATAAATGCAGAGCTACATAAACTTCATTTCCCACACCTTGATGGTGAAGCTGAGGATTTCAATGCCCATACGACCAACGTCTGGTGCTGCCACCTCTCGCACCAGAGTGGCAAATTTATCTCTGTCCTGGTAAATCTGCTCAACAGTCAAGGTACCTGAAAAGAAAGAAAAAGGGTTGATTGCCCTCCTGTTTATGCTCTTGTTTTATTCTTACCTAAATTTAAGCACACTGATGAAGAAAACCAATATGCGAGGGAGCACAGAGGCCAAGTTACCCATAACTCACAATCACCCTCAGCCAACAGCTAATATACAACAGGAGAAGTAGCAGTTCCCACAGTATGAACAACTCCCCCTGCCACAGAGGAAGTTATACATTTCTCCTGGCATAAACAGAAGCAGTAAGCACCATTGTGTTCAATATAATGTCTAATTTGTCTTCAGAGCCGTTCTGCTTCCCTGTGCTCTCCTTCATCAAACTGACCTTTTTGCTCATTTAGCATTTGAGCGAACCCCAGTGTGTTGTTGTTGTTGTGCATGTTGATGACGGTTTATTATTATTACAAAGCTGTTGAGCACAGTCATTCTCAAGTAAACACATTTGACCCGATCAGAAATGAAACAGGAACAACTGCTTCAATTTTCTTGACAAATACTGAATGAGTGTTTTTGTTTTTCAGGGCTTAACGTAAGCCACGTTCACCTGACAAGTCCAGGCAACTGTCTTATATCAAGCTAATGCAGTGAGGCCGTAAGACTCATGAAGAACAAACCACTATGAACCAACCAACACACTATTTTCTAGTTTAACGCTCCTGTAGGGAGTTTTCTGTGAAATAGACTGAAATGAACAGTGACATGTCTCTATAATGTACAAGAGCAAAAGGAAACCATTGCTTACATGATCTAATTTTCAATGCCTGTAACAGTTGTGAAGGGAAAGCTATACTGAAGAAACAGCGTGTTGTTTACTCTTGCTGGAAGTTTCAAGCTTTTCATCGGTCTGTGTCTTAATCCTTCTTTTTTTCTTCTTTTATAAGACTCAAGCATAGATTTAAAAACTTTACAAGATTGCATTGATGAAAAAGATGTACAATACTCATGTGGTTTTGAGGGATCACTCACCAAGAATGGCACGCAGGTGACCCTCGAGGGTCTGCAGGATGACACTCTTGATTTCAACGACAGATTTTCCCAGAAACTGCTCGCAGGCATAACCCAGCAGTTCATTTTCTGTCATCACTTTCACCTGGGGCCAAAGAGGACAAAGATCATCAGCTGAACACACATCTACAAACACAAACACAGGCACACATGGGTGTGGCACACATCAATACATGACAAAACACAACACTGGCTCATCTTACAACTATTCATCATCTGATCAGTGAGCATACTTCACTCTGTTTTAAAGTTAACACCATCAGTAATGTCATCAAAGTACAAAAGAGAGCAAAACATTTACAGAGTGACAAGTGCGATCAGTCTGGTTAGGCCTGCAGTTCATCAGTGACATGGATGCATGAATGTTTGGTTTGTTTTAAGGTGCTGCAGTGTATTAGAGTTTTTCGAACTTCCAATGAGCTTTTTCAGGTATTATCTGAACACACAAAACTGTAAGACTGTAAATACTAATAAAATATTTCAAATCGCACAGCAGGTGCTGGGAACAGACTCGGGACCAGAGGAAAGGCTGATCACTCAAAATGTAATTTTATAGTTATACAGAGCAATAATATGACTGTTTTCATAATGTATGTCAACATCAACATTTAACATTTTTTTACTGTTCTCCTTCCAGTGTTAACTTGAACACTAGAGATGGATGGTTTTATGGTACTGACCCAAAACCCAAAATTATAAATGTTATCAAATACAATAGTCCAAATGTCAAATCAGTTTAAAGTCTATATACTTTCTGTAGTGAATCTATAATACATCACAGCACAAGATGATTTGGACGATATATTCATCACTAAAGAGTGGAGAGTGTTGCCTCTTATAATCTGGTCATTTATTACCAATATTTGTTCTCATGCAATAAAGAAATTTGACCCAGAACCTGCTTCTTTTGGGGCTCCAGTGTCAATCATGGCTTTCTAATGTACTATTATGTTACCAGGTCAAAAACGATGCTTGGGGTAAAATACAATGAAGGAGTTCAATCAGGGAAAAATCATTAGTGGGATAGTTTACAGTAAATCTAAACAGAAGAAAAATCAATGGCAATGATCTGAGGTTTACACAGTAACACAATAACAAACACAAGTCCAGTCAGGGACAGAGACAGAGGTCACTCTGCAGTCCAGAAATTAAAAAAATGGTGTGAGACAGAAGGTTTTGGGTGAAGTTGAACTCCACTGGAGCTGTAAGAAAACAGAGAGTGAGCTGGGTCCTTAGGCGAGAGGTCTGCACATGGTTTGGGTTTTTGCAACATGCACTCATACCACGAAATGAGGGCAACACAAAGTCGGGAAAGATGGTCATCATTCCAAGGAAACACAGGTCTGAAAACAGAGAAGGCTGCAAGCCAGCCACACAAACACACAGGCCAGTCCAGACAGACAGACAGACAGCAGGGGTCGCCAATCTGCGGCCCACACTCCATTAAAAGACGTGTGTGAATGCAATCTTTACTGCTGACCTCCAACCCCCCACACCCCACATTCCCTCTGACACCACCCTTCCTCCTCCTCCTTCTCCTCCAAACCCACAGCTTCTTCAAGAGACACGAAACACAGGAAATTTTAAAAAGAAAGGCACGCAAACTTTGCCTGACAACTATTTCCTCAACATGTGCTTCTGCAAAATGGCCAAAACTTACCCTTTAAAAGAAGACAGATGTGTTTTTGATTTAATGTAGCTTTATAAAAGTTATAGAAGTTTAAACCTTTAAAAGTTCAAACGACAAAAATTTAAATGTGATTGACATGGGAAACTGGGTTTTATTTAATCATTTGCAAGTTAGAACAATATCCTGAATCAAAATCCACTGTGGGTGCTTTCCTCTCTGTCTAAACATATATGTCCCTTAAAGTCAAGAACACATATTTCCTGTTGCCACGGGACACACGCTTCACAATGGTCGGGGCCTAGGTTGGACCAATCAAATGCTGGCATGATGAGCCTCTCTGTGAAGTGAACTGTGTGAGAGTGAGGGGCTGTTCAGCTCCAAACAGTGGGCTCATTGTTGACATGCATGTAGGGAAACACAGAGGAGAGGAAAATTGGCATGGGTGCGGCTAAAATACAAAACTGATAATGAGGCATCATCTCTCAAAAAAAAAAGGAAAAAAACTGGCATGCTGACAAAAAAGGAAATGAGTGAGAGCGGGACATAGAAAGAGACGGTACACTCTGAAGTTCTTTAAGAGAAAAACCACCTTGAATCAACTCTGACTTTTACTACTAATCTCACTCACTGACTATGATGACATTTTTCTTCAAGACAAGACTAGACTGAACTGGATTTATGGTAAAGGGAAGTGGTTTACAACAGGCCTCCACACATACTTACAGTGCAAGTTTTTATTGTTACCTGCTGATCATGCTTAAGAAAATGCTTTGCGTAACGTTCAACTCTATTTTATCCGGTTGCAGATTGCACAAGTGAAAAGGTTCCTATTGTTTGATTACTGAATAATGAGACCTCACATGTACATTCTGTTGACCTTAAATTTGCTGTTAAAGAGCGGGAAACTTTGGCAACAGAGGCGCACATTTTACAAAAATACTGTGTTAATAATTTCCTTAAAGGTAGAATTGGCTGTGACACAACAGGGAAAAAAGCTGCTTAGATTAGATAGTTTTAAAGAAGCTGATTGAGGATTAAATGCAGCTTTTCCTCCTCTGATCTTAGCTGCAAATGAGCTGAGGGTCTATCAACATTGAAGTTTTTACAAATTCAAAGCTTCTGGGATGAACCTTAACTGCAATTTTGGTCACCTTTGAGTACAAAACTACACCTTTTATTTCTTTGATTATCTTTGCTTGTACATATAGAGCTGGGCGATAAACCGAAAATTTACCAATACCAAAATTTATGACAATAACCAACGGAATTTTGGACATGTCAATATTTTTGATGTAAAAAAAAAAAAGAATAAATAAAAGTTGTTTTTGGATGTATGTCGGTAGGCCATGATCTCATGTCCCTTTAAGACGCTGTCCTATGTCAGAGACGTGACTCCACCCCATCCAGTCCATAACAAAGAGGGAAAGACAGGTGAGGAGCAGTGGCTGAAGTAGACAAAGTTAATGTGGGAAGGGGTGAGCAGCTTGTGAAGTAGTTATCGTCCATTTATCGTTATTGAGGTGAACTGCTCAATATATCGTGATATTGATTTGAGGCCAAATCGCCCAGCCCTATGTACAGACATAAATTTATAATATGTCATTTAAAAACACTTTTTATACAACAAAATCAGCAGCTTGGTGTGTACAACATACATGTAGATTTTCTTTGCCAGCTGCTTTACATGCAGTGGTCTGCACTGAGAGCAAAAAAGCAGACACTCTGACCTCTCAGTCTCACTAACATGTTCAGCCTGAGAGCAACAACTGCAGAGGAGTGAAAGGTTGACAATGAGCTTTGCCTCATGTTTCTGCCAAGAGTCTGAATGTTGTTTTCACAACAAACCACCTCCATCAGCAACAAAAACATGTAGGTGAAAACACACACAGCCAAAGAGCAAGTTTTGAGTTCATCTACAAGCGGAAAAATACTGTGAATCAGGAACTTCTGTTTTTAACTGTGCCTTCCTGCTACTGATCACACACATTAATTTGCACACTTAATGAAACAAAAATGGAAACTATAAAGTTTAATTTAAGATTAACTTTTCAGCTTTTTTCATGTTTTCATAGGGTGGACAAGAGAGTACAGTATATGCAGTCAGATGGTGAATTTTTCAAGGTGGATTTTCTTTTTAATACCTCAAAGTTTTCAACTGAAACATTTTATTTAAAAAAGCACAAATCCAACAAACAACACTGACAGACACTGTCACTTGAATGCACATCAGTCCCCTTTCCCTGTCACACTACAACCAAGTTCAGACTGAAAATAACACTTTTTCAGCAAAACACGAGGGGGCAGGGCACAATAATGTGGATGTGCAGGCAGCAGTGGGATGCTGGTGCAAAGACTGTGAGGACCAGTTTGAAAGATTAACAGACACAAAGTTTCTCAGTGACAGAAATGAGGGAAACGTGTGCTACTGTCAGTCTGAATGCAGGTTCAGTTGGTTTTGAATAGGTGTAATGTGCCCAGGTATGAGGGCTCATCATGCAACATCTGTTTCAGTGTCTCGATCAAAAGTAAGGGTGTGCATCTTCTCTTGAGTCCTCTGTATGAACCCCACCTGTGCTGTGATTATGGGGGGATGCCAGAGAAAAAAGGAGGGTGGGTAAGAAAGGGGTGGTGTGTGGGGGTGTTAGTGGAGTCTGAACTGGCATTCCCAGGAAAGTGTGGTGATTTACCTGAGCCACCCCTGTGACAGTAATAGCTACACCCTCCGCTGTCTCTACATCCTCACACTTGGGCTGCAGGGTCATAATCTCAAGCGTTATCCTGTGAAGAATGTGGAAAAAATTATAAAATAAAAATTGACAAAGCAAATGAAGGGAAGGGCCAAGAACAGGACAAAGTGAAACCATTCACCCAAGGACTCCAGATCACTAACAACGGAGCAAAATGAGACGCTACCCAGAATGTAGGTTTTTGTCTTTTTTTGTGTTTCAAATTCAAATTTGTACTTTGCGTACATCCTCAAATCTTATTTTTTTTGCCATTTCAAAAGCCTTCATTTATTGACCCCGTTGCCAATGGTGACTCAGAGTTGAGCTTAATGGCAAAGCCCGAGTGAGAGACAGCTGAGTGTCCCCCTTCTGCTGCCGGAGAAAAAAAGCCATGAAGGTGAGAAAAACAAACAAACACAGACGTTAGCTTGTTAGTCGAACCGTTTCCCTGAGTCTTCCTTTGGTCTCCAGCACCAGCCACTGCTTGCTTTTTCTTTTTTTTAGAGGGGGTCTTTTGGGATGCATTACCTGAGCCACCCCTGTCACATCCAGGGGAACACCCTCCGAGGTTTCGATATTCTCACAGCGACAGAGGATGGTCATAACCTCCAGAGACATTCTACGCAGGCAGGCAGGCAGGCGGGAATAGCAGAGGCAAAACAGTAAGTTGGACAACAGCTGTTAGGAATGTCAGTAACCAAGATTAGAGGAAGAGAGGAGTAGGGGGAAGAGAAGAGGGGCAGAGGGTAAAGGACACAACCTGACCTCTTGCTGTTGGCTCCAAAGGGTGGCCAATGAAATAGACAATATGTGACAGCTCTGCAAAAGTGAAGCCAAAACATCTGGAGCTCCCCCTACAGGGATGTGCCAGTTTAGTCAGCTAAACAGTTCATGCCTGCCACCCTCGGTATACCAGAATTACTAGTGTGCCAATGTACTAGCAGTGCCTGTCATAATGTTCTACCATCTAGATGTAAACAAACACAAATGATTGACGACATCTTAACGTGCCTTTTGAATGTTTTTGATTTAATAAATATAAATAAATATGATTAAGATAAATGAAGAGCAATGCTTAACAAGTGCAGGCGTGTGGAAGTTAACCTGCAGGGGGGGACCAAAGGCTGGTGGTGCTAGCTCTGCTAACATTAGCCACACTTGACAAGTCCATTCACATTATTTACCATTAGACTCTTTTATAGCTGTATCAAGTCAAGTTGTGCTCAGTTTTGACAGTTTTTTAGAGTGCTTTTGGACCTTTAAACCAGTCGGCTGGTCAGAATCAAAATTTAACTTTAAACAGTTGGAAATACCAGTTGCTACAGAACATACCAGGCCATAGAGGTCAAACTCAATGTCAACAGATGGGAGATGGGGTCAAACTATGAAATCAAATAAATGAGTTTTTATTTGAACTTTCTCAAACATGGCCGCCTTTGTCATTATAGTGAGTTCTAATCCTATTTTATGTCTTGGATTTTATTTTCCGAAAAACTTTTAACTGGTCATTTAATGCAACGAAAATGTAGCGCTGAATGAAGAGAAAAAACGTAACAAACACTGAAACAGGAACCATCCAGAACACCAAATATCTGCTTTAAATCCACTAATAAGTAGAACAGGAATCTTTGCTGTTTTACATAAGCTAAATGACAAATGAGTGTTACAGTCAAGTGGCAACCTCCTTTAAAGCCAATGCAAAATTAACCCTGCAATCTTTTGAGAGTCCACTTAGGGCTGGCTTCGATTGCCATGAAGTCCCCTTTAAATCCTATATGAAACCCTGTATTTTGACTTCACTTTTTTCGATGGAAGGCGAAATGTTGCCCATCTTTATATATAGTTAATTCCTATCTAATGTGACACCTTTGAAAGAACAAATGTTCCCACTTTCTCTTGTCTTTGTAAATATCTAGTGGGTCAAAGAGCATGTTCCATAGAAGAGAAGTTAAATCAGTGCTGACAGGATTCCTGTACCATGATTACATTAGTTTGAGATTACACAGGAATGTCCTCCACAAACAATCGCACTCCTCCACATTAGCTCCAGCTGGATAGTTCATGTTTCAGAGCAGATTAAGCAGCCAGATCTGTTTTTTTTAATGAAAAAAAAAAAAAGACTTGAATCCATTGATGTCAGAGTCATGGGACACTGGAGGCTGATTGCAGCAGAAGAGGAGACTCTCTGGCTAACAGCTCCACCTCCAGATGAATCAGATCAATGAGTCACAGGCCTGGACATTAACATGATTACTGCATCACAAGCGGGAAGCCACACAGCCTCCCTCTGTGTCTATTAGGCTGCCCAGCTTCTTGCTCATGCACACAGGGCTTTTAGCTTAAGGGGACGGTACTCAGGAGAGAAGTAAGAACATCTCCTCTTGTTTTATTATCTAGTATTGACCAAACTGCACATGACCAAAGGCTGGGCAAAAATAGACAACAGAGGGTTCCTGAGGTAGCTTGAGTCTCTAAACGAGGATTTATGAGTCCAGCCAAGCAGCTGCTTTATTTGACTGTCCAGGTCTACCGTCGAGGCTGACTGTCCAGGTCTCCTAGCAACTAAAGACAAAGTAGCACTTAATGGGAAGTGGGTAAACCTGGAGGAGACACAGAGGGGCTGAGACGGGGTGAGATCGACACCAGACGAAGCAAAGCAGGTTAGCAACATAGAAAGAGAGAGGCAGGCGGACAGACACATAACAACAAATCAATGAAACAAACTACAGCGACAAGGAACAATAATACAGCTTAGATCAACTTTGTCAGAAGAATTAACTCTATCTTTTGTTATTTAAGCAGAAATGGAAGACAAAGAAATGAATTTCTGGTCAGAGTGTCACTGAAAAGCTGATCACATGGCAGTGTGGACTGTAGATTGTTGCAATGCAAACAAAAGAACACAGTCAAATCAGGTCAAACAAACAGCAAGCAAGGCCATCAAGTGTTTCAGCTGCAGTTTTTATATCTTCACTTCAACTTAATCATGACCGAACAAAAAAATCTAGTTCTGATGTTTTTTATTCTGCCCGAGAAACAAAAACCAAGTATCGGTTGTTTCTCAGCTAATATTATCAACATCAGATGAAAAGTATCCTCTACTTTTTATCTTTTTGCTGGTATATTGTTAAAGATTGACCGTGCTTTGCATCGTTTTGTAAACCTTAAGTTTCTGGCACTGCCGTATACTGTACCATCCGTCCATCTTTACAGCTATTTCTCAGAAGCTGGTTTGTTGGAACGTCTGAAAGCAGCCATCAGTGAAGAGGCGCTATGTTTACATATTGAGTAAACATTCGTTCTTAGGATTTATTTTCATTAATAACTTTTTCATTCTCCACTGACATGTTTAAAATCAGCTTGTGTTAGTAGGCTTTCATTCAAATCAATGGAAAAAAGCTGTCATTTCTGAATATATTAGTTCTAGATACAACTTATCATAAACAAATCTCAAGTCTAAAAACAAAAAAACATCTGTTGGAAATGTTTTCAGCCTTGAACTAATACACATTTGTCCGACAGCATATTTTTAACACCAGGACAATGTCAAGTGAATCCCCTTAAAATAAACTTCAGATTTTCACAAGGCCACTTTTCCATGCATGTTGTGATAAAAATCCTGTTAGTGCCTGTATTATTCTTTAGACAAAGGAACTTCAAATATCTAGACAGAGTTTTCTGATCCGTGAACCTGCAGATACCCTGTTCTTATTAGCTTTCTACTCAAGACAAAGCAGCTCAAGGGGACTCTGAGACACTGTCTGTGGTCTGGAGATGGAGCAGACAGGTCTTACCTCTGGATGTCAGAGATGAGCCACCAGGCCCAGGCCCAGCCTCCCACTACATACGTCTTCTGATCGGAGCCACAGCAGCCACCTGTAGGGCGATAGAGGAGAGGAACAGATGACACATTGTTCGAGTCAAAGTGGAAAAAAAATAGTTGCATGACCCAATAACAGACTGAAATAAACATACAGTTCAAGCCTGCTGCAGCTGCTGCAATCTAAATTAGACTGAAATTAAAAGCTATTCTAAAGGCACTGGGAGGAGGTTTTAGCTGGTGAGAAACAGACTGAAACAGATACTGTAAACAAAACTATCAGCAACAAGGCTGTTGTGATGCCTGAAACTGCTGTTGGGGTCTAGGTTTCAGACCACACGATCAACAGCAGACTGAGGAAAACAGCCTTTCACTAGATACAGTAAATGATACAATTCACTGTTAAAAGACAACAGGATGAGGTGTCAGAAAATACTACTCTTACATAAACAGGAAAAGAGATAAAAGGTAGCGCTTTGTCCACAGGGGGTGCCAGAACTGCCGTAAACTAAAAGTTTCCCACAGCAGCTTTAATACGTTTAAAGTTCCTTTCACACTGGGACCGTTTTTGTTGTGCGATTATTTCAGACGTCAATATATATATTTTTGAAGCCGTATCCTGTCAATACAAGTGTTCACATCAGCAATGTTTTCCCGTCCTGCAATACTGCGGCATTTATTTTTTGGGATCATCGTCCAGTACCAAAGTTTCGCATACTGTGTGTCCACTTCTGACCAACCAGACTGCATGTTGTTGAGACGTCAGATTCACCAGTATATCCAACACGGCCGACCGGCTGATTGTTTATGTGTCAGAGAATAAAAGACACAAACATTACAAAGATAACGACCTGAAGGACAACTTGTGGAGAGTCATAGCGTCGGATTTCTCATATGACGATGGTTTGTGTGCTTTAACAGTTTGCTAAACGTCTTTGTTTTAACTTTCATCCATGCTAAGTAACTTTAGCTCGTAAGCTAACCTGTTCAGATACAACATACCATATGTATTTCTACCGTCTCAAACTCAATCGCGTTGCTGTCACAACACCATTAGGTCTCGGTTGTTACCTTACGTTTATGGATAATAGTTTAATGTGCTTATCTGGTACTGGCCCCGACTCAGTACATGCTATCATGACAGACAGCCATCTCAACACTAGTGTCTAATCAGAACTAAAAAACATCCGGATATTTCGCGTTCTATATTTGCGTCGGCCTATCTCATTAACTTTTCACACAGGCACAAAACTTTAAACTTCCTGAAATTTTTAGAGTGGGGAGCATGTGTGAAAGCAAACAGCTGTGATTTTTATCCCAACTTCATCTAAACTTTTTTTAGAACAGTTTCTCAGTAAAATGTATGTGTGAAGTCAGGGTGAGCCGATGTTAGAACGCAGCAGGGAAAAATGTTAAAAAAGGAAACACTTGAGTATCTTCTTTGCTGGTTACATTATTTTCAAATACAATTTCACTGGAAGTAACATATTTCAAACACAGGATCTGATATGTCACTTCTTAATTGTAGAAGCACAAAGAGACATCTATCAGACAGTGACCCAGTTCTCAGTTCTGCTTATGGTCTAAGATGATCATGTGCTCTTCAGAAACTCATAAAAACAAGCTCCACTCTTCCAACCACAGGACCACAACGTGCTCCTCTGGTGTTACAGATGGAGCTTTCACTGTGTCTGCTTTCCGGTGCCACTTGCAATCTCTAGATGTACTACTCCTCTCTTCCCACTCACTCACACACTGCCAGTTATTGTGATCCGCTGTGTCACTACAGCGAGGCAGTATTTGTTTTCCCTCGTGTCAACAGGGCCAGATGTCTTCCACCTGTGTGTTCTGGGTGCAAATATCTCATCATTACTCACTGATTTTGATGGTTTCCATCTAGAGCATCATCAAGCTTGTTTAATGCGGTCTGCACATGTGGTGCACAAATTGGTACATCAAAATCTGACAGTTCCCATGATTTAGTGTAAACCAGTTATCCGAGTCATAAATCATGACAAAGGATCATCAACTACGGGCATCTTGATAAACATTACAACACATTTGAAGGGTATGCAGTGAAGCAGGATTTGTATTGATTTCCTCTTCAGGGTTACGCCTGGATTTTCAGAGCCACAAAGGTGGTTCTCCTCCAACTAGTGTAGATCAGCAAGGTAACTAACACTGAACATCTAACCTGCAAGTATTGTTCAGGGTAAGAGACTCCTTCACCTACGGACAAATCAATTCATTTGATTGAAGAGCTCTAGAAGTCAAGGTGAGAAGAAGAAGAAAGATCACACTTTGTTGACTTGTGTGATTTCACACATGATAATACTACTAAAGACAGTGACTGTGACATGACGTACACAGTCAACAGAGACGAGTAAAGGTGTGAATCTCTCCCCAACAGGACATACAGATTTAATCCTTGATGGCTACATTTACCGTATTTTTCGCACTACAAGGCCCACCGGATTATAAAGCACACTGGATTATAAAGCACATTAAGCCAAACAAAACAATCAGATAAGTCAAACTTTATTTAACTCATTCAGTAACTCCGCAAGGCTACGGAAGCTGCAGTGCTCCGACAAGCCAAAAGGATTTTAACTGCGCCTTATAGTGCGAAAAATACGGTAAGTTAAAAAACAGGTACTTTTTTCACATGTGGTTACAGAAACTAGTTTTTCAAAATGACAGAGAAAAACAACAATCAGCTGAATCACAGCTTTAAAACTGCTCCATGGACCAGTACATATAACATTTTTACCGATCCAGGGTGTACCAACATGCTCAGATCACAAATGTTACAATCAATAACCTGTTCTGATTGATTAATCTTTACACCATAACTAAAAAGCAAAAATCAGAGATATTAAATATAGATTGAGTTTTTCTGCATGTTTTCCAGTGTTGTTGTCGGACACCATGAATACATTTCCAGGGCTGTTTGTGGTATAAAAAAAAGCTTGTTTCAAGGACACACTAAGAGCTTGCATCCTACAAGAAAACAACCACTGCAGCTTGTCTCACAGATTTCATCTGGTTGGAAACTTTCTGCATATACAAGTAAAGTAGACTCCAGAATATAAAAAAACAAAACAAAAGGATGTTGATTTAAAAAAAAAACTGGGCTCTCCCTTTAATCAAACACAAAACTCAGTGGAAACATCTGAACTCAAAACCCTCTGTGCCTCTGCTTTCCAATCACAGCACTGTAGAAATTCACAGTAACAGTAGTATTATAGTGAGAGCGAGATCCTTCCAGATGAGAAGTTTGGTAAAATAGGCAACACATACAGTCCCTCTCACTGGCCCCAGTCTGATGTTTTAATCTCCAGTGTTTAGTGTGACATTCCCAGCTGTCACACGTTAACTGACAGAGTCAAGGGGAGGAGCCAGGAGGACTATCTTTACTGGCACATTCTCCCACCACCACCAAAAGCTACAGCAGAACTCATCGACCCACATATGACACACACACACACATACACAGTGTTTAACATTTCTATCATCAGGGATACTGGAAAAGACTCTTCTTAGGGTCATTTTGTGTCATTTGAAGTCAAACACATTCTTCCTGGTGTGACTGGACGTTATCCCTCAGGAAATAGCAGCATAACAATACACTGACCAGGAAAGGGACATGGAGTACAACTTGGAAAGAGAGCCATATCCTGTTTGATGACAATTTGTACTACACAATAATTAGGCCTTTACACTGGCAGCTACCTAGCATTGCTAAATGGATATTGATACAAAATACATCTACAAACTTTTTTAACCTCCTTCAAATACATGCTAACAATATAGAATAAAGATATAATCAAACACACTGTTATTACAATCTAATCTAAACAGACTAAAGTGGTTGTTTGAATGTGTGTTTCACAGGCCTTTCCTTTTAAAGTCCACCTGACTCATGCCAAATTTCACTGCCAACTTGAAGCTGCAACAGGCCAAATCTTATGGGCTTACTTGGAGCTACACACCAGTTTAGCCTTCCAGTCCATACCGCCAGCATAATTGGGATTCCTGACCGTATTCACTGCACGGGGGCCTAAAGGAGGGGCTTTGTACAAGTGAATGAGAGTTTACACAAGCAACGAAAGGCCTTGTCCTCAACTTTTTTGAAGCAAGACTTCATTTGAAACTTACAGATGAGGTGTTATTATTTCATGGGATGCCTGTCACGACAGAGGATTGCGACATCACACCTCCCAATACATTTCAACATTCATTTCTTCTCACAATTGTGGAATTACTTAAATCTTGAAATCAAGACATGCAGCTGGCACCCACTCCTCTGTGTCAGGTCAAATGACATACTCTTTCAAGTCTGTTTACAATGGAAAATCCCAGAGCTAGTCCTTTTCTTGATTAGAAAGAAAAAGTGTGCTGGCAGATCTAGTTACAGGAAAGCTTTTATGCAATACACACTTGAAAACTAGGGCAAAAGTTTCCAACACAGAGAAGGCCATAACTTTTAAAAAGAGGCGCCTTAGTTTGTTAAGGATCCACATCAAATTAATGATGAATGTGTGACGAACTGATTTGATTTTACTGTTACTTGACATTCCACGAAATGAGTGACACACTGAGGCTGTTTATCTCAAACTTGTACAGTAGCCCTGCCCAGACATGCATCCATGCAATTTCTTTAGCCCATTTTTCCTCATAAAAACAGTCATTTATATGAGTTTTCTGTGAACCTTGACCTATTTATCCCCTTGAAAGACACCAATGCTGATTTCCTAGTGAAGTCAAACGATCATAAATAGGGGTATAACTATTCATTGGATTGATACAACAATTTCAATTCCTACAGTCCATCAATATCAGTAAGTATCCAACATGCCCAGATCAGAGTTTTACTGACAAGAATCCTGCCCTCACAACAGATCACTCGAAATACAATAATTGTCCTTAATTTATTTCACACACAATGAAATAAAAGGTACTGATGCCATCAATAAGGAACAACGCTGCAATCTCAAGAAAAAATATACAAAAACTTCAACAGTTGGATACAAAATGAACTTGTTTCACAGGGAAACAGAGTCAATAATATTCGTAGATGCATAACCTCAGGTTTCCATACATTTTACACTTAGTTTTTAGCTGTTTGTTGAAATATACACACATATATCAGTGTAAGAACACTTCTGGGGTTTAGTACCATATATTTTGAACAAAACAGCCTGTGATTTTGTTTTTTGTTTTTACAGGAGGCGCATGTCTGTGTGCCAGGGTGGACTCGTGTGCTGGTCAGTGGTACACCAGCAGAACGGTCTGTCATGGACTCTCTAATCTAATTAAATTTGCTGTAGTCCTTCTGCAGCAGAGATCCACCTTTTCATGTACCAGCCCAAACCAAGAAGAAGAAGAAACACTAAATTTCATCAACCAACCTGCTCTACATTTCAGCTCGTATGGTGGGCTTTATAACTATTTTAAAGAAAACCCACGTTTTCAAAATCCTTTGAACCACAAAACAAGTTTAGGCAAGCATCTCAGTAGACTATCTATCTATCTATCTATCTATGTAGAATATAGATATACATAAATATAATAAATACATGGAAAAATGATAGTACGGCTTTTATCCTTTCGATTCCCATCCACCTAATATTTGGCGCATGTTCTGCTCATCAAAACATAAAGATATGGTATAAATTAGTCCTTTTTTTCTGTCAAATTACGGGAATTCTCACTGCATGGGTACATCAAATGTTAAGGTTGTTTAACACATGTTATACAATGTTAAACATCATTTGACATAGGTAAAAGCTAAAACTATGATTGAAATAGCTCAAAACGTTAAACCATCTCCAGTCTCCCCTCTATGGTCCCTCCATAGAGCCTCAAGAGCCAGGAAGGAGCTCGACAACTAGAAACACATCGTCAAAAACGCGCTAACGTTACCTGAAACCACAAGGGCCTCGTTTGGTCCAACGGTGTGGCAGTTTCCCATTTTACCGAAAGAAAAAACACCTATCCAAACCGACACGACGCATAAAAAGTAATTTGGCCACAAAAATACTATTTTCCAACGATTTTTCTCTAAGCAACTCTCCGTAATCGATGATTTTTTTCAACCGGGAGTCGAATGACGGCAGCGTCAGGTTAGTTTGAACGTTAAGAATAACTTCCTCTTTTTACTTTCAAAATAAAAGTCAAGGAAGTTGAAAAAAAATTCCCCTCTTGCAATATAGTATTGCGCAAAAACGACGCAAAGATTTCAGAGCTGTTTCATGACATAAAATGTCTCTCTCTCACACACACACACACACACACACACACACACACACACACACACACACACACACACACACACACAAACAAACACACATATTTATATTAATATGTATGAGTGTGTGTATGTCCATTAAATGGTGAATTTATACTCACCATTTGATCATTTGATGTACGTATATATGTGTTTGTAAAGAAAAAAAGAAAAAAAAACAGTAGTGGAATGCCCTTTGCAAATTTGTGCAGCACTTTTAAATCCACTTTAATTTTAGATTTGCTAATATAAACGTGTAATGTGTTTAAATTATCATCCCATGCCACTTGCTCCTCTGCAGGAAATTTATTTAAACTAGTTCAGATTTTATTTTGTAGATCCGGTGGCTTACTTTTGATTCTTATCATGAGTAGCTTGACTCAGTTTATCACGTACCCCTCCCCTTCATTGTGCTCCTCCTCCGCACCAGTGGGATACGATATCAGAAAAAAAACAATGGGCGTGGCTGTTTAAATTTCCTCTCACGCATGGTACCTTAACAAAAATCCCAGTAATTTTCATAACAGGTCGGTTGGTGCTCGGCCTTTGTTGAATGGGCTGGCTATGTTTGTTTGCGTCCATTACCACTACTAGATTACTGTGATGGCAACAGCCTATCACCACTATGACATATAGCTCTTAGGAGTTGGAGGGGCACAGTGAATGCAAATGCAAGCTGCTTGCAATTTTGTAATTGACAGCTTTTGTCCTTTTGTGGATTACTAAAATATCAGCTTCTCTCAGATTTCTAGACTGTTTTATTGCAGCAAATAGCTTTGGTCCTCTGTCTGTATTTTCATAACTACAACTGACTAATACAACCCAGGGAATGGTTTTGTATGTTATTATTGATTCATTCAGCTGAGTGGTGGCATTGACCTACAAAGCAAGTTGCACCAATTGCCTGCTTATCAAATGTGTGTTTTCAAGAGAGTATAGCCTACTAGCACATTGACAATTTATTTTTTTTTACCTTAAAGGACAACACAGGATTTAAGGGACAGTACACAAAAGGCGTGGCACATCCTGTACTCAGCATTTCATCATCACTATAATCAGACTACAGACCTACTTCTTTTAAGAGAATGACTCTAATAACACCTTACAGTGGTCTCTGTATACTTAGTGAACCAGCTGATTAGGTCAAGGGTGTGGAGTGGTTGTAGCACCTGGCCTGCTGGGACTTCTGAATAAACAGTCACAGTATGCTAAAGCTGTGTTCGTGCTCCATTTGTGGTTGTAACTTAAAACAAAAACATTGCTTCTGCCATTAAGAAACCTCAAAAAAGTTCCTTCAGATGAAATTATGAGGTGAAAATTCTAGTTTATCTTCTTTAACTTTAATACTGTCAGCAGTTTGTTAGTCGTGTCATGATTTCCATGTGGCTTGCAGATGGACATGAGTGGTACAGTACCAAAGGACAAGACATGCTCCAGGGCAGAAGTCGACCAGGGACCTGCCCCAGCCCTCCACTACCAGCATGTGAATACTATATGTAACAGTAACCAGTTAAAGCTGCATACACAAACATCTCTGGTGTGGTAAACCATGAGATCCTGCTGCTCTCTGCTGGGCTGTGCGTGTACTGTTGGGACTTAGATTTGGAGCATCTGGGTAACTCACATGAAACAACCCAAGAAATATAAAACATTGGAGTTATGTAAACGTCTTTATTCATCATTTACAACTCTGCCTTCACTGCAGTTACTTACAGTGTGTTCAGCCTATCACTGAAGTATAATTTCACTCTTTTTCACTATAACAAGTAGCAGTCTGAAGTAACTGCAGCACTGTAACTGTAATGAAAATACATTTTATTTATAATGCACTTCACTTTAAGAGTAAATCTAAAAGGGTCACAGACAAGGTACAATAACAGTACATCATAAAAGCATACCTAAAAATTAAATAAGTCTATAAGAACAAGCTGATCTTAAAACATGTGCTTATAAATAACAAATAGGTTCTTCAAAAGACAGAAGTTTTAAGTAACCTAAGTACCTGCTCAATCCAGCAGGTGGCTCACATACACAAAACACCAAAACAGACAGAATGGTCTGCATGTCACACGATCTGACTGAAAGAAAAGCTTATCTGTTTTTTCTATCTGGCATGTTGACTTCCTTGAACAGGTTACAGCATAAGCAGGCACCTTAAGTTCCCTTCTATTGTTTGATCTGAGAACCCACCAGGAGGCATCAGCTCCCTACAAAAGTCCACATCTGTAGAAAAGATGACTTGGAGACCTGAAAAAAGTACATTATGTTGGTATTTTGAAAAGCAAACCTTAGATGTATTTTGGTGTAACAAGAAACAGCTTTGTGGGTAACTGAACTTCAACATGGCCTTCAGTAGTTTAAATAGCTCACCAAAACAGCTTCACCCTGAGCTCCAGCACCACAGTGAGAAATCTTGAAGTTATCCTTCCCTGGGACATGCCAGGTCAGGTGCAGTCAAAGTTTATTTACAGTATATGGCACATTTAAAATAACTGCAGTTGACAAAAGTGCTGCACAAGCTCAAAAACATACACTTAAGAAGACTTTTAAAAACAAGTGTATGTCCTCAAAAGACCAAATTAAACTTTCTATAACAGATCTATAAAAAAAAAAAGAGTACATCCTGTTCCAGAAAGATGCAGTGACTAGTTTGTGGGCTAATTACACTTTGGCTGAGTTGTTATTTTCTATCATAACAGATGAGGACCAAAACAAAAAATCTATAAATATTGTTCCAGGAAATGGGTCTAATTATAAAGTTCAATTATGAGATTGAACAATAGGCTGATTGATGAAAGCTCTTCAGAAAGCTATTGTGTGGTTTTACTTGCCTCCTGGTTACATATTCTAAGAACTCTTTGTCGTATCTCTCTTTATGATAATTGTGGGTAATGTAATGTATTTGACCACAATGACCCCGCTTTGAATGGATGTTACGGCATGTGCTGCTTGTTACATGTGTGACAAACTGCATGCATCAGTCATAGTGAGTCTCTTTATTTTCTTACCTCAGAGAGGGGCTTTAGATTGTTTTGGATGTCAGGATTTTGGCGCCGGCAAAAATTTTTGAAATATGTATTTATCTTGAATAGCCACAGATTTCTAAAATTTTTTAATTAATGGTAAATTTTGTTCTCTTTTTATGTGACTGATCTTAACAACAAAGATAACAGTTCAACACCATCCATTTCTAAAAAGATATCTAAAGAAAAAAAAGAGTTTTGTTAAAAACATCTCATTTGGCCTTCAACAAAATCAGTATTGTTGATTGATTAAATGGTGAAAGATTGCTTCATTGCTCGGCCAAATACAGTAGGTAATGAGGTCTAATCAGCTTTTCAAAAAAAGGAAAAAGAAAACCTTCCTGGAATCAGATGAGCTTTATAACTCAGACAAACTTCTCCTCGCGTGAGCCTCGGAGCCTTGGAGCTGCCACATGCTGGAGTGTTTCTGCTAAGCTAATCATTAAAGATAATAAAAAGCAAGGTTATATCACCCACTGTCACTTAAATCCTAGCAAACCATCCCATGGAGTCAGGGCCCAGACGAACGACAGTGGTGACACGAGGGATAGCCATGGATCCGCAGCAGCTCAGCAGACCAACATGGAGCAGGCAGATAGAGTTCACACTGGCTGGCATTGGCTGTGCAGTGGGTCTGGGCAACGTTTGGAGGTTCCCTTATCTCTGCTACAGGAGTGGAGGAGGTGAGAGAGAGAGAAAAAAAACTCACATTTTAACCTCTAACTGTGTTATGAAAATAGACCACTCTCTGTGGGTACACTCAAGCCCCTCTTGTGGGTACAAAGGTTAACAAACTCTGTAGTCAGTGAGTGAGCACTCTGTTCTGTAGTGATACTGATTATGTGGTTAAATGTACAGATCACTCTGGAAAGATATCAGACGGCATCTATTTCACGAGAGATTTACTTAGAACTTGAAAAGTCTGCCTTTAGATTTGGTGTTGAATCATTTACATCACACTCTCAAGATTGTCATTCTCATTTTTCTTGGACAATTTAAGACCATAACCTCAAACCACTACACCCAAGGGTGCACTGATTGTCACTGAGCACTGCTTTTTTATTTGTTTTGTGTGTGCGCCTCTATTCTAGCTCAACATCAATGTACAGGAGGAACATTTTTTTTAACTTTCAAGGCTTAAAAGGGTTTAAAATAAAAGCAATCGTTTGGTGCCAAAGGTCTTTTTCAAAAATGAATTTGGAATTTCCTAAACATCTGTTTAAATGATAAGGAAAGAATCACAAGGTCAGGATGACATGATTCTCAATAAAGATTAAGAGAAGAACTTGCCAAAAAAATTATACCAAGCCTCTTCGATTAGATAATATAGTGTGAGAGTTTGCCATGACTTTCTGCCAGGTGCTTTCCTGGTGCCATACCTGCTGATGTTGATGGTGTTGGGGATCCCTCTGCTCTACATGGAGCTGACAGTGGGTCAGTACACTCGTAGAGGACCTGTCCATGCCCTGGCTATCGTGTGCCCACTCTTAAAAGGTACTCTCTCTTGCTTGGATACAATTTCAATCATCCAAAAGGTGTCTCGACTGTAGTGTGACTATATTTTTGTTAATATTTAGGTGTGGGTTTAGCATCAGTGGCCATCTCCTTCATAATGTGCACCTACTACAACATTGTCATCACCTGGGCCCTCTATTACCTCTTCAGCTCCTTCCAGGCACCGCTGCCCTGGGAGAACTGCAACAACACCTGGAACACCCCAAACTGTACGAACCACGCCACTAATAGCAGCTACTCCTCCACAGCCAGCCAGGAGTTCTTCAGGTACTTAAAACTACCAGTGAGAAACAGGCACTAAGTCTCAGAAAAATAAGCCGCACATAATTCAAATGTAGCTGGAATTTTACAAACCGGTGGATTGTTTAATCTGCCGTGTTTTATCTGAGATGAAAATTAAACAATAATAGTGTTGATACTTTACATAAAATGGAATTTAAATGATATCTTATCATAGTCATGTGAGAGATATCGGTCAAAGTGAAGGCAAATGATAAGAGCAGCTCCGTTCCAAGAAAGTAAATAAAGTGTGAAGTCAGTTCTGCCACTAAAATCTAATATTGTATGAAAAACAGCTGGTTCTCCAAGAATTGCATTTTATAAGTTATAAGTTCTCTTGAATAAAAAAATAAAATGAAAACAGTCTTACTGAAGACATTTTTTGCACAGTCAGTGGTGCATAACCTCACGTTTTCCTTCTGGTTTATTCATTAACTTTTAAACTGCAGTTACAGGCTGGAATGGAGTTTAAGGTCAAATTAGTTAAAGCCATTTTTACGGTTTCTGCCAAGAACGTAATAGTTAAAAGTGCAGTGTGTAGAAATAATCCCTCCTATCAGATAAGTCCCTCAAGAAGACAATCTTGTAGGAGCTTCTTGTCCTCAGAGTCAATATACTGCCAAATGACTCTGCATTTTGATACTCTGTCAGCTGTGCTTGTTTACACCTGGGTAGAAGAGCATGAAAGCAGTAGCAGAGATATAACCTGAGTTAGTGGTTGGGTGGCTGTGTCTCAGCATAACCCAACATGTGATCAGTATTTCAGGCTCATAGTAATAAACATATCAAACTATGACACAGCTGATTTGTTCGAGTATTAGTTTAAAGGTGAAGATGTTATGCCAGTGGAAAGATTTCAAGATACCATGCAGTGGTGCTTGAGCAGAAATATGACTTGTTCAGGATAACTTGAGGTGTTGTGGTTTCATCAAAATAAGTCTCCTGGGAACCATGCAATACTCAAAAGTAAGGTATATGGTATAAGCAAGAAAATTAGAGAGTCACAAAGTTTTAGATTTCATCCTCCAAGACCAAACATTTCTGTACAAAGTTTCAAAAAAAGAGTCTAGATCTTGAAGTCTAACACTTTTATCCCTTGGAAGCCAATCCTTATTAAATCCTCTTTCTTCTGTAGTGGAATAGCTGGCTTAGACTGTCATATTCTGGTAGGCAATCAAACAAAGCCTTGATTGTATTTATTTAACAGAAATGGTCAAAGCACAATTGTGTTTCGATCAGAAGAGGACAATTCTGAAATATGTATGACTTCATAAACATAAAGAGCCCTAAAGCAGAGCCCTGTGGGACACCAGATGTCACTGTCTGAGGTTTTCATGAATCCATTATCAGCTGCTGTTTGTCTTTTGCTGCCATCTATAAAGATACAAGATGCTGGAGCAGACCAGTGGAGTGGACGAAACAGGAGGGATTCGTTGGGAGCTTTTCCTCATTCTTATTTTGGCTTGGGTCTTGATTTACCTTTGCATTTTTAAAGGTGTGAAATCAACAGGCAAGGTGAGTGAAAACAGAAGGTTCTTACTGAAAGAGGAGAGAAAGGTTGGATGGTACATAAATAACAGCCTGTTTGTTTCTGTCCTCAGGTGGTGTACTTCACAGCTCTCTTCCCGTATGTTATCCTGATTGCACTCCTGATCAATAATGCCCAGCTTCCCGGAGCTATTGATGGAATAAAGTTCTTCATCGTGCCTGAGTGGGGGAAGCTGCTCTCAGTGGAGGTAAAAGACAGAAAGAAAATAGAGGAGAAAAGGACTGGGCTGTTTCTCATTGAGTCACATGAACTTTGGTTTGCTGTCTGATTCTGGTTGTGATTTGTGATGTTCTGATAATCTGTATTGTAGGTGTGGGTGAATGCTGCAGCTCAGATCTTTAACTCCATTGGGATTGGTTTCGGCTCCCTTCTAGCCATGTCCAGCTACAACGCCTTCAACAATAATATTCTAAAGTAATGAACCAAATTCTCATCCACTCACTGTGATAATAACATCTTTAGGCTTGAAGATTTAATACAGACATTTCTTCTCCCTGCAGGGACACTCTGACCATCGCCATCATCAACTCCCTCACCAGTATCCTGGCAGGTTTCGTCATTTTCTCTGCTTTTGGATACATGTCTTATCTGCAGGGCATTCCTGTCGAACATTTAGCTGTGGATGGTAAGGACAATTCATTTTTTAAATTCATTCTATTGAAATTCAACCTTTTTGAACCAAGGTTTAGACTGTAACCTTTCTTCTTATTTAACCTCTGCCCCTGTCAGTTATGCAGGTCATTGCTAAGCTTGGCATGCAGGGAGGAAAAATTATAAAACAGGTCATTGTAGGTGTTGGGTAACTTTTTTTCACTGAACCAAAACTAAAGCTTAGGGCAAAGGATATAATTTCGCTGTAAAAACGATACAAAGGTTAAAAGGAGCTCATCGAGCCAAACTGAAACGACTTTAACCTCCTTTCTGGTCGCGTTATCATTAACTAAAAATAAACCCAACATTTACATTCTGAATAAGTTACACAAAAAGGTCCAACTGATTCATTTTTTTTTGTTTTCAATATGAAAGATGCCAGTAATTTTTTTTAAAAAATTTTATCAACTCTAAAACTGTCTTCAAAATGTGATGTTACTTATTTTCTATTTTGGGATGATGATATTCAGTTCAAACCCTGAAGTAACATGCTATGTCTCTCTCTTCCTCTCTATCCAGGTCCAGGATTAGTTTTTGTTGTCTACCCACAAGCCTTTGCCAACATGCCAGTGGCTCAGCTCTGGGCTGTGATGTTTTTCTTCATGCTGCTTTGCCTGGGATTGGACAGTGAGGTAGTGAAAGGGGAAATATTTTCATCCAAAAATTATGAATTTGAGCTGATCCTGCACAGGAACAGTACAACTTTTTTGTTGTTCTCATTTATGGTTAGTTTGCGATGGTGGAGGTGATGGTGACCAGTCTCATGGATGAATTCTATCATAGTCTGATTCATATTTTCAAGAGGAAGGAGCTGTTTGTGTTGGCTGTTTGTTGTGCAGCTTGTCTTCTGGGAATCCCTTGTGTCATGCAGGTACTGACATAAATATACTGGGTTAAAATGTGACCAAACATTGGGATCTTTAGCTCCTTCTTTAAACAGTTTGTCTCTGTTCAGGTGGGTATCTACGTTTTCCAGCTGATGGACCATTACACTGCCATAGTGTCCATCATGTTTCTTGCATTCTTTGAGGTTCTGGCTATCTGCTGGTTATATGGTGAGAAAAATATGTTGGATTTCTCTTAATGTGTCTGTGCTCTGAAGTGTGTTAATCTATCCTCTATACTATAACAGGTAATTTTAAGCAACGTCACACTAAAGGGGTATTACCCCACAATATGATAATTTGAGCAATTGCGAACATGTCACACATCTCAGGTATATTGATATGAATCCACTGCCACCCTAAAACCTTGAACAATTCCTTTCTGCTATCTTCAAACTTTACCAGCTCTAAGCTTCTTTTCTCTGAATGTTTGGGCTGTGCTAGTAAGTAGTTAAATACCTGGGCACTTAACGGCGTTTCCAACGTGCCCTCTTTTCCACAGCCTCGAACGGCTGCAAGATTTTGCATGTGTAGGGGGTGATGGATTATCTTATTTTCTTCATTAGCTCCTAATCATAGGCAGCTTAGTAAAGCTCAGTGTGTCGAATGTTGGCTGTTTTATATCCATTTAGCATTAGCAGCTAATGCTATGTTTGGGTGGACGCCAGTTAGGTGAGCCCTCATGAGCCTCATATTCTCTGAGCATCTCTAAATTAAAAAAGGTGACTATAAGTTTATTACTAGTAAACTATGTACATTGATAGTATATATATGAGTGCACTTGTATACTTTTGTAAACCTCAAGTGAACTTATAGAGTATACTTAAAGTATACTTTTATAAACTAAGAATGTTCCAATTTAGTCAGAAGAACTGTTACTTAGTGTATACTTTGTAGTACACTAAAAGTATATGGTCGGTAGTACACTTGATATACTTATACTCAAGCATACTTAATAAAAAGAACCTAAAGTATACTACTTTTTGCTAAGGGTGCAGAGAATAGAAATAATATTGTGCAAAATCCATCACACTTGACCGCACATAATAGTTAAATATTTCTAGAAACTATTGCTTTTTTGTGTCCTGCAAAATATTGCCATAATATGCTCTAGCCTATCAAACTGTCTGGTTGAATGAAGTTTGCCAAGACAAAGACTTTGACTCTGAAGTGGAGTATCACACTTCTATCTATCTATCTATCTATCTATCTATCTATCTATCTATCTATCTATCTATCTTTCTATCATGGCTGTATACTAAAGTAGATTTCCGTGTTTAGGAGTGAATCGTCTGTCCAATAATATCAAAGAAATGAATGGACACAGAGCAAACGTCTACTTCATGGTATGCTGGCTGATCATTGCTCCAGTGCTCATCACTGTAAGTGATCTTTATTTTTCCATAAACATAATGTAAGATTTAAGAATTCAACAATTTGGGTCTAAATATCTTTTTTTTTTTTTTTGCAGGTTATCCTGATTTTTGCAATCATCCAGTTCCAACCAGCTCGCTATGAGGACTATGTCTTCCCCGCCTGGGCTCAGGGAGTCGGCTGGGCCATTGCCATGGCCTCCATCATCTGGATACCTTTAGGTGCTGTGCATACATTGTGGGTGCTGCCTGGCTCATTACTGCAGGTAACATTGACCACTTGTGGTTTAATCAGCGAAGACATGGTTAAAACATGGTAGCAATGTAAGTGTGTAACCATGTCCCGTTAACAAAAAGTTTAACTGTATTATAAAGTCATTTGTATCTTCTGTCTGCAGAAACTGAAGCTTTCCATCACACCTTACGCGCTGAATGAAAAGCAAAAGATGCCGTATTATGAGAGAGGAGGAATTTACGGAAACCCATCCATTTCCATCATCAGCTCCGGTGCCAGTATTATTATAAAACCTCCTGCAGAGACAAACTTCTGATACCTCATAATATACACTCAGAATTTTCAGTTAGCTCAAGTTAATCACAAATTACGTCTTGCTAGCAGCTTCAAATCTTAAAATTTTATAAGAGAAATTATTCACATGATTGAGAAAATGCATCGCTGCATATCTGCCATGCAGATATTTTAAATTGGCCATTTTTGTGAGCCTGTAAATTTGATCTCTGAGATTTTGTGGAGCTTCTGCTGAAAGTTTTGTCCACTTTTTTAAGCTATAAATGTTTAGGAATGACATTGTTAGAAACTGTTTTTATGTTGCACATGTTGAATATCTATTATTTGTAACATAATTCTGGTGCTTCTCATACATTTCCCTGTGTCTGTCTGTGGATTTTACTTTGGAAATGGTGCCATCTTTTGGTCATCTCTGTTTATACAATAACATATTTCACCTGATCAACTGATAGGGAGGCAATGTGTGACCATTTAGGTTGTACATGTGAACTCAGGGGAAAAAAACACCAAGCACAACCATTATTCATTATATATGACTGAACTTTGATGTTTAACCACCTCTTTAAAAAAAAATCATTAACCACCGAGGACCATCTCATGGTAGCTGACTCATTTATTAGGTCAAATGTAACAAGGCACTGCTGATAAAAAATTATACACAAGGGTTGTTAAAAAAGGAGTACCTGAGGATTTAGACCCTGAATCATGTCATGTAAGGTGCAATAAATACCTGTCCCAAAGTCCACAGCTTGAGTCTGTTTCCTGTAACAATGAGCTGACTGATCCCAGTCTCTCTGGTGAACATAAAACAAACCATCATTTTCTTTTGGGCATACTTTTTATTTATTTAAGGAGACATTTCCGCTGAAAAGGTACACATTTCTCAGGTATACATGTGCATGGAGTTAGTTTTCTTCCCCCTACATACGTTGCCAGTGTTAAACCTCCTTGTGACTCTTCCTAAATGAATCCAAAGTGCAGAATGACTGAATGTACACGGGCAGAATCTGTTGATACTTTTCCTGACATCTTTCACAGGGGTTGAAAACTGGGTGACTGAATATGTTCTGGAAAGTAAACTGTGCGTTACAGTGGCAGGATGGACTAACTGAGGGCTAAATTAGTTACAGTGAGTACGGTGTAGTGTTGTATGGTTAGCGAGTATGAGACCACATCTAGCTATGATCAAAGTTAAAATATTTATAAAAATCTGAAACAAAAGAAAACGGTCATTTGTCATGAACAGCAATTAATCTTTTAATGTAATTTAAAAAAAGATATGTCGTATGACCTACAAAGACAGAACAAAAACATGTGCAATCAATGGCATTCTGTTCCCTCTGTAGTGATGGTCGTGCAGATGACCATGGAGCACAGCAGCAGCTCCCTCCTCTTGTGTTTGTTCCGGCTGTAGTTTGGAGTTTCAGCTCAGTTCAGGACCATGCCTTTACAAAAAACAGCATTCAGTAGTATTCTCGTAGTGGTTTCACAAAGTCCACACCCTTCATTTCCTCTGCACAGCCTCCTCAAGGCTCCAGCCCCTCTTCGACCACATCCCTGCAGATCCAACACAGCTGTAGTTGATTTGTTTTGTCCCCCCACCCTTCTTCCCTCGCCCAGCAGAGGTCACTGAGGAGTTGCCGTGGCTGCCGTCTGTCTGCTACTCCTGTCTGCAGCTTCCTGTTTCACTGCTATGACACCTGCTCCACTGGCCTCATCTGCACATCTCCGATCTGATGGAACAAACAAGGAGAAATCAATCCAGAAACTGAACATTACACCCTGATTCATTTAATGGTAGGAAGTCCTGAGAGAGGTACCTGGACATGAGGAGGGGCACTGAGGACAAATGTGACTGCACTGGCGATGTCTTCTGCTTTCAGACACTGAGTGGATCAGAAAAAATGTGTTTCTGATATATAAGTACACAAGTGAACATACCTGTCGACGCTCAGTACAAGTCACTCTCTTACTTTTATACTCTCGTACACTGCAGCTGCTCTCTCTGGATCGCTGTTGTGGTGCCGGAAGGCAAATTCAGTCTCTACCAATCCAGGAGATATACACTGCAGAGGAGGAGAGCCAATGAAACAGTGAAACACTAACTGAGCTGTGTGTGAAAAAAATACACTCAAGACAAACCAAGTCCCACTAAGAAATGGTCCTCAATTTTATTACAGTCAATTATTACCTTTTTATGTCAAAGCAGTGATGCAAAAAGTTGTGGTTAATAATTTTAACATTTTAGAGATATAATCTGCCGGCATTTAGCAATAAGGGTGAAAAGATTGAACATTCAGTGTAGCTTGAAATACTTCTATTTACTTCACACACCAACAGTCTGAAAATAAACAGAGTAACAAACTGGATGGCCTGAATGCCCCCTAGTGTAAGCCAAAACATTTACAGGACCCCTTTGTGACTGTCACAAACTCTGTTTCCTCCACATTAAGAGATTGGGCATGAGTCAAACTTTGAAAACCAAAATACATGTCCAAGGAAATTTTCTCAAACCTGGTTTCTGGTATTAAAAGTTAGTTCTCATCATTATGATTTATGTCCTAGTGTTCATATTTCTGAAGTTTAGTGTTAATTTGATGTGTGATGCTCAGCTCCTGCTGTGCCGTGCACCTGCTCTGCTGTAGACTGAATTAATAGGTTCATTTAAATGCAAAAGTTTAGTAAGAAAAAAGTGTGTGTGAAGTCAATCTTGTGGCCTCTTGACAACATAAAGAACGGAGAAAATCATCATTGTCCTTTGTGAGCTGTGAGGCAAAAAACCTGCTTCGATGGGCGCCAACATTTGGTGGAACCAAAGTAGGCGCAGGAGTGACCTGGCTGGTAGCACTGTGGGACCCACACAACACCCATGACACTAACCGAAACACACAATAAACCCACGGCTAAAACACTGAAGATCCCTCAGGTGGGTTCAGTTTGCAGCAGAACAGATTCCAGAGTGGGTTTGAAGCACACACTTAGTTCGTGTTTGTTATACTGTATGTTACCGTCCAGAAGCCAGTTTGCCCGTGAACAGACTGGGGCATAATTACATTGCCAGTGCGGTATTTTAGCGGCTGTCACAGAGGTAATTTGGCTTTGTTTTTTGATGGATGTCTTGATGGAAAACATGTCATCCATCTTTATGTCAAAGTATTACAATAAAGATGATAAATGAGGTGGCTCTTTGGTTGTTACATCGTTGACAAGTGGTCTTGCACATGAGATATTTCATTTGTTACTCTATTTGGTTAGATGAGGAACCTCTGCCGTAGAAATGTACTGCCATGTGTTTGCTTACAGTGGTACACTTTTCAAGGGAACTCTTTATTTAATTCTATTTAAGTGATTTAATATACAAATGACTCACATTAATAGAAAAACAAACTTACTGTGGCTCTGATGTGGGTGTTTGCTTCTCGCAGCTCTTGCCGCAAGCCCTCAGTCAAAGCCGTCACAGCATATTTCGTGGCACAGTAGAAGTGTGAAGCAGCACTTGGTAGCACTCGATGTCCACTCATACTGTAACAGAGAAAAGAGGAGTTAGATATGCAAAAAGTTCTCTTACATCAGCTTTTACTTGTTTTCATCAAGTGATTACTTGTGATTTCCCTGCTGCAGACCACTTCTCATGTCGGACAGAATCACAGTCCTGCAGATGTCATAAAGCTCTGTCTTTAAAAAGTCTTGACTTGTGTAGAGTTTCAGGTAAAGTCACATGTTTCAGTCATTTGAAGTTTTTTAGACGAATCCAATGCAAGAACTTACATCAAATGATGTTGACACTGTGTGTATAGAAAGAGGAAATAACTCATTCCCAGCATGCTTGCTCTTGATGTGAACCCGGCAAACATTTAGGACCTGATAACTCAAACAACTGCACACACCAGAGCAGCTGTGGATGAAAATTGTTTCAGTGTCAGCTCAAGTGTTTGTTTTTTCTCATTGTAAACAAGCATCAGGAGTCAGACTGGGAAAACTCTCAACAGGACGCTAGTTCTAGTCTTGTAAATACTATAGTGACCCTGCAGACATTCAGCCACTGCAAGATGCTTATCAGTGACAGGGGTATCTTTAAGTGTGAGCAAGAGTTTTCAAGGTTAAATTTATCTTTATAGGAAAACATTGCATACAATTTTATCAGAACACTCAACAGAAGACCTCAAATTAGTTTATGGGTCTGGGAAAATGGATAATAAACGGTCATGATATCAATGCGAAACAAAGAAAATACAAGTTACATATCAGCTCTTAACATTTTCTGCATGGTGTTTATAGATTTTATCCGAAAATGCATAGATGCTATTATTTGGGGTCTTTGTTTGGGAAAGTGTTTCTAGTCTATGTTTGCAGTATATCTGACACAATCTGATAACTGTTCATTCACCTGTGAAAACTGATCTCTGTATGCAGGTGCAGCTAACACTCTGTTTCTATGTCAAAGATTTCAATCTTGTGGCAAATTGGCTCGATGCTGTGCTGGGGAAGCCAGTCAGCGAATGGAATTCCTGATTTCCTACGGCGCATCAGAAACGATCCACCTAACCCCTGTTTAACAAAGAAACTTTTTGGTAACCCTTTATTTGACGTCTATCTCAATAACGCATTATAAATACATGTATAATGCGTCATAATCACGTTATAGCACTGTATAACTATAGTTATAAACACTGGTCAGGTATTGTAATGTGTTGTAACTGTTAATAACAGTTGCATTGCATTATCTATGTGGGCATTATCAGTGAGTCGTTAACAGTTATAACACATTATAATACCTGACCTTGTAAGTCATGGTAAAAGACTTTATAATGTGCTATGATTATTGTTATAAAGCATTATGATCATTTATGAGTGTTTATAACTATAGTTATACAGTGCAATAACGTGATTATGACGCATTATACATATACAGTACAGGCCAAAAGTTTGGACACACCCTCTCATTCAATGCATTTTCTTTATTCTCAATACTATTTAAATTGTAGATTCTCAGTGAAGGCATCAAAACTATGAATGAACACATGTGGAATCATGTGCTTAAGAAAAAAGTGTGAAATAACTGAAAACATGTTTTATATTTTAGATTCCTCAGAATAGCGACCCTTTGCTTTTTTGATAGCGCTGCAAACTTTTGCTGTTCTCTCAATGAGCTTCATGAGGTAGTCACCTGCAATGGTTTTTACTTCACAGGTGTGCCTTGTCAGGGTTACTTTGTGACGTCACTAAGTATATCTGTCATCAAGAGCAAAGAGTGGCTATTTTAAAGAAACTAGAATATAAAACATGTTTTCAGTTATTTTACACTTTTTTTTTAAGTACAAAATTCCACGTGTTCATTCATAGTTTTGATGCCTTCAGTGATAATCTACAATGTAAATAGTCATATAAAAAAATAAAGAGAAGACACTGAATGAGAAGGTGTGTCCAAACTTTTGGCCTGTACTGTATTTATCATGCGTCATAGAGATAGGTGTCAAGTAAAGTGTTACCTTTTTAAAGGTCATATTCTTCTCTACTTGATTTTTACAAATCTGCACCACGAGGTTTTTATTTGAGCAAACACAGGACATGTTAAGTGAAAGTAAATCATATTGCAACATCACAACACTGAAACTGAGATCTACCAGAAACAGATGAACAAATCTTACTCAGAGGGATGAAATGGATAAAGAGTGAGGGTTTGTTCTGAAGACACATCTGTGGGAATGCTTCACTTTCAATCTGGTCACACAGTTGCCTCTAATTTGCGTCAGACAATAGCCAAGGAAAGGTCTCAGTAAAGAAACTGGCGGATGCATTTTCCGATCAATCCAATCTTTTGCTCTTAAAGGTTACCTGTTTATATTGATGATGTGGCCATCATCCACGTTCCTTTCCTTCATTGATTTGTAGGCTTCTCGGGTGCAGATGGACAAGGCTAAGACATTCACCTGCAGAGGACGAGTAGACGGACATTTTAACCAACTGTGTATGAATCTTTTAGCTTACCAATCTCTCTACACCTATGAAGGCAAATCCATGCTGTCATAAACACTTAGTTGATATCATATCTGTGATTTACTGCTGAGTCACAGGTAGGAATATTATATGATGGCTCTGTATATGTAGCTGACGGATGTCCAGTGGGTCACTGTTTGGGACCATCTGAACCTGCTGTTTGTGTCCTTCGTCAGCCTCTTCACCGAGCTGCTCCTGTGAGGACACTGAGTTATGGCAGGTTGAGGCCAACTCAGCGGCAAGAAAGGGGCAAGTGACCAAACAAGGTCAGCGCACAGATTAAACACAGGCTAAAAATACACTGCTGTAGACATTTACATGGGCTGCCATGACAACAGATGGGCGAGCGTTATGAATGCAGGACCACAGAGATGGAGACTTTAGAGCCGGGGGTCTGCAGTGGTCAAGAGCCCGATGAATCAGAGTGTCCTAACAAGAGAAATAGTGCTGGCTTTCATTAGCGGGCCTCTGCTGTGCCTGCCAGAGCCTCTCCCCGGAGCCAATGAAGCGGCCTCTGTGAGGGGAGGGGATCAGTTTGTGTGTTTGTGTGTGTTTTTGTCTCTTTGTGTGTGTGCACGGATCCACACATTTCTCTTTTAAATCTTTTTCTTTGCACAACACAAGCTCGACAAACACAGGATTTCCACTCCCTCTAGGCAACCATTCAGCTCATCTCTCCGATTCTCTGTTTGACCATAAAATCAATAAAGCGTAGCCATAAAGAGGTGATTCTCATCATACCCTTTCTATATAAATGCTAACCGTTTTACCTGTTTGTTTCAGTAAAAACATGTTTGTGTGTGTGTATGATCCACCTACATCGATCATGTTCCTCCAGCCCTCTGTCTTTCCGCTGAGGAGGGGCTCGTTGTGGGCTAGTCCAGCATTATTGATGCACACATCCACGCCCTTGTGCTGAGTCTTGATGGCCGAAAACATGGACAGGATCTCCTCCTCATTAGAAAGGTCACACTTGTAAGGGATGAGTGTGCCGCTATAGCCTGCGCTCTGACACTCTGCCGCAAGTTTCTAAAAAATAAAAATAAGACATATCCTTAAAAACACGATTCTTTGAGGAGGAGGAGGAGGATAGAAACAATATTTTAAGACTTGAATTCAGCCATATAAAGTGGGCGTAAGCTTATTATCCGACAAGGACACAGCTGAGTATGAACTGGTAATGATTAACCTGCAGCTCCACTGTAAAGATAGCCTGCCATGGAAAACACCCTACCTACTCAGACACTGAGGAAGCAGTGAGAGCGTGCAACCATAAAACCAACAGCACATCAGTTGAGGGCCAGATATAACCTGTCCGCACCAGAGTAGCCAAACTCACCCCAGTTTGAGCACACTTTGAAGCAGACCCACCAAAATCCTGCAAAAAATAACACAACCTGTACAGGAAGAAGCAAGCTTTGCACTGATTGGACACCTCTCTCCTGAGGACACAGCGGTGCTGAGCCTGCTGCAGGCGGAGCAGGCTGCACTCCAACCAGGTCAGCTGGCTCTCTACCGCTGTGGGGTTTTATGCAAACTGACACAGATCCCCCTGCCAGGCACAGCTGCACCAGTCACCTGATGTCTCCCTCTGGGTGCCAGTCAGACAGGAGGGGCATGAGGGTGATAAGGGTGAGGCTGGTGGTGGATAGACATGATGCACAGCACTCTGTAACACCGCCTGTTAAGAGTATGAGTGAGTGCTTTACCCAGTTTGAGATACCTATTTGAAATGTTTTTTTCTTTACATCTCAGAGATAAATATTCAAATTAATATTATATAAGTTCAAGCAAACAGTTCCAACCATTTACTCAGTCATTGCTTTGAGCATTTTACATGAACAGCACTGTATACTATTTCAGATAGACATCCATCATTACTGGAAAGCTTTCGTGGAGAATTTTACCTGGTTAGCACTTACTGTGTATTTTTTTGAACAGTCCTTTCTCTCTGAAGCTGATCTTTTCCAACTTTGGTTTTTCACAACTTCAACTGGCTCATTATCTTAAGACAGCTATATAGTTTAATAACTCATCCCCTTTACCAAACAGTTTCAACTTTAATTCTCAACCATTCTTTTAATCTATGACCTCATTACTTTTAACAGACTATTTTTTAAACAGTTTTTTTTAGATTTTTTTAAAAAGCTGTAGCTTACCATAGCATCTCTCTGTTATCAATTTAGCTGTTTCAACTTTTCACTACTTCAGATCAGAGTTAAATGTTGTATTTATTCTGTTATCAGCTTGAGCAATTACATCTGTTTATTCCTACATTTCAGCTGACGTTTTCAAACTGCTTATTTTGGCACTGAAATCAGTTAAAGCTCTAAGTTAGTTTTATAAATTCACCCTGAGAAAAAGTTAGCCTATTGCACCTGATGAAAGCTGTAGGGCAGCTTACTAATTACAGTAAATATACTGAATACCAGCATCACTTTATTTTGTTGTCCAGTCCCTTGGTGTCTTTCCCTTGTTGGATTAAATGAGTGTTTATATTTTTAATGACTGTCTTTGCTCTTAGGTTAGCTGATTAAAGTTTTAGTTGAGCTTTCTAACTTTCCCTCTTTCAACCGCAGAGGTACCTTATAGATATAAGGGACATCCTCCCACTGATCCTAACTATCAACAATAGTTGTTGGTTTACGAGTTGCACTCATAAAAAAAGCACTGCAAGCCTTTTCTCAAATGTATCATTGTGTAACTATCATACAACTTCTTCTTAGTGCTGTGAGAGTGCTCAAAGTGAAATCACAAAGCATGTTGTATAGACAGTGAGTATATCATACAAGCGACAGATGTTGTTGAGACAATTCCAAAGAAAAAAGATGATGACTTTCTCCTTCATATCTGCTTCAACTTTACCGACAGCCTGCCTATGAATAAACAAAGCAGCAGTGGCTTTGTTATTATCGTGTGTTAGAGTAGATTGATGTGGGTATGTTGAATTTGTTGAATGGCTCACACCAGAATATAACAAGTACATGAGTATATCTTGGGTGGTGTTAGCCACTAAAGCCATCTTTTGGGAAAAATAAGCTTGTAAAGCCTGCTTTTCATAACCAAGATGAAATTGGATTGAGGGATCATTTTGACTAATTTCTTACAAAAGATGTACTACAGTGAATGCATCTTATCTCACACTTGAAGTGTGCAGATTCCCTACTCTTCTTCTAAGCTCTTTAACTGGGATTATCTAGAGAGACGGCATTACCTGAAGAAAGCTGTCAAAATCTTAAAACCCTCAAAACATGTCTCATTTCTGACTACAAACCAAGTCCTCGGCTGCTGTAGACGGGTGAACTGCTCTATTTTGTCCATTACCTCAAATGTGAGGTTGCGATCAGCTGCAGTAATGCCTATTAAGTTAAGTATGTGAGCCTCATTTAGACCAATGATCTTACTTCACACTCGTCTGAATCCCAGTTGGACCGGCCCTCGGGCACGAAGGAGCTGGCAGGCAGACTTTATTCAGAAAGGAGGTTAACGTAAAGGGGAAGCCAGGCCACTCTTTTGTAAGAGGGGGAGAATTAGTTATGTGACTGCTGTTAAAGAGGGAGCCTCAGAGCTAACAAGCTGTGACCATCGTCCAACTACAGGAAGTCTCAGGCTGTGAATCTTTCTGGTCTCTGTGTGTGTGTGTGTGTGTGTGTGTGTGTGTGTGTGTGTGTGTGTGTGTGTGTGTGTGCGTGTGAGTGGGTGGGTGAGTTCTGGCACCAGCTGTACTGCCAGAGCCAGGACCAGCCCACATGCTGACCACGCCTACAGCAATGACACTGCGGCCCTCTGTCCCACAGACAATAAATCAGACCGGAAAATGCCGCAGCAGCAGCAGCAGCAGTATAGCTGACAGGTGAACCCTACTCATGATTCATTCATCACATCAATTCATCACATACTGTAAATCTGCCGGATAAGCTCGTTACACCTCTAGAGAAGATAGCAATGCTGCTTGACGACTCTCAATGAATGTAAACATAAATGTAAGTTAATTATGATGATAAGGGGAAGGCGTGATGGATGGTATCAGACTGGGCTTGACGTGGCAAGTTACTCTGAAGCAAAATATCACATGCGGATAGAGATGGCGGAGAAGTTTATCCCCAGTACTACAATTCTTTCTAACAGCCAGGAAATTAAAAAAAAGACATCTCTGTACTTGCCTGGTAGTTACTCCAACTTCATGTAATAAACTCAAAGAAGATAGACAAGTACAACATTAAAAACTGATGTCATGCTAAAACTAAATTTCCACATATTCCAGCTTTTACCCTCGCACATACGATACCTGGGCAGACTATCCGAGTTCATCTTCACATCCCTCAAAGGTTTCCATCTGCTAACAAGGAACCAGAAAAGCTTACTGCCCCTCTTGTCCAACACATCAGCACCTGAAACATGCTCTGCTGCAAATTACCAGAGAAAGGTCCAGAGGTCCCTCCTGTCGCAGTTCTTGAAATGCATCATCTCCATGTTGAGCCTTCTCATACTTCCGTTTAATGGTCATGTTCAGCAGGCTGCTGCTGTAATTATGTACGAACTACAGATGCATCCATCTGATCATCGTTTTGAGTGTCGGTCCGACACTGACTCAAACAGCTAGATCTGATGTTGGTGATAGGGATGGGCGATATGGGCTAAAAAATTATTACGTTAAGAGTTGCCATTCTGGCGATAATGATAATTCCAGTCTATAATTTTGACTCGTTCTGTCTTGAGAACACCAGTTGGAGTAGTCAAATAAGATACTTAACCACGAGTTTGAGTGGTAGGTTATGGAGAAAACTAACGACATCAAACAAGTCTCAAATGTGAAAACATTTTCAACATTTGTTGAAAACTCTTATTGCACAGAGTGAACAGCAGCAGCAGATCAACTGTTCAATGTCAGGAAGACCTGATTGCACTCATCTAAACCCCAATCTTGAAGGAAATCCCTCATGCGGAGCCTCATTCAGTAACGAGCTGCTCAGAAACCTCTTCTTTATTACCTTCGGCCATGTTTGTTTGTTATTCTGCTCTGTGTTGGCTATGGCTGCCAGTCCATTGCTCGTGCTTACATTATCAATTTGCATTTATCGTAATTAGCATGAGATGGCAAATATTTATCATGGAGGATATTTTTGACGATATAGCTTGAATGATAATTTATCGCCAATCCCTAGGTGGTGACAAAGAGATTCTTTGGGTCATAAAATATTTTACACTTGCACACACTCTGTTTAATCTCTACTTTAAGCCTCCTTCATGTAATCCTGTTCTATAAGCTCTATAGAAGACAGCACATGCATTCAAAGTGACAAGGAGCTGTGTAAAACAAACTGAAGCCATTCTTTGACATGATCTAAGACAGTCACAGTAAGATCAATACTGACAGATAAGAATGGACATGAATGTTAAGAATGTTACAACAGGTCAAAAGACCTTTACGTGTTTCAGTAATGGCTGCACTTAGAGCCACACAGCACTCACACACATATGTATGCATGCCAACATAGCAACATCCACGGTCTCTAACCCCTGCAGGGGGCTGTTACATAAGATCCGCAACGTATGGGACATCATTGTCCCACACCACGTTTTATTGTTCACCCACTCATGTGGAACTGCTGCAAATGGACCAACAAAACAACCGGCTAGAAAATGGAAAGGAGATAAAAATAAAGATGCCAAAGTGCTGAAGGCAGATGCGCTTTAAGTGGTGAGCCAGATCAATAACAGCAGGCAGCAGCCATAAGCGCACAGAGATGAGGAATTAGATTTGTCTCAGGTTGACGGTCTCACAGACAAAAAGAGAGATTGTGTTTTGGACCACTGTGTCAACTCTTTCTCTCTGAACACACTGGATGTACCTCCTCCCCTCACAACCCTTTCTGTCTGCTGTCTTAAGTACCTGTGACACACAGAAATTTTTGCCTGTCATGAAACATTTTCATCCTCATTACTGAGCCCGTTGTCCAGCAATCAGAAAAAAAAAGTCTGCAGATGGAGAGAGGCAGGGAGGGAGGGTTGGCAGCTAGGGAATGAAACAGTGGGAGAGTGAGAACAAAAAAAAAACAAGCAGACTGAATTAAAACTAATCGAAATTCACTTGCATTTCACTTTGTTTATCAGTTAGAAGCAGGAGAACAGCTGCATGGTATGGGTGGTGCAAGCATGACTGAGGAGGAATATCTACTCAATAGTTTAAACTTGTTTATTGCTACTAAGTGTAACCTCCAGACACGTGGGAAATACCTCCCCCTTACATATTCATCACAGCAAAAAGCATGTCTGGAAATACTAAAACATTTTGCAAACAGATACTTCGACCAAATCACAGATCTTGACTCTATCCTCGATTTGCTGTCTGAACACAAACTGACAAGATATTTCAAATAGTAAAACACACTTTGTTCTGCTGAGATCCTAGCACTCATTATCCAGCTGAACTACAATTGTAAGACATAAAAATAGATCCTTTCAAGTGTCGGGGTTAAAGGTGACAGCAGGCTGTATAATAGGATTGCAGCAGTGGTGTATATGGGACGTTTGTGTGATTATCTCGTCTTCACTCTGAGAGACCGCCATCCAAAGGTCTAAAGGTTCAACAGGGTGGTTTTTATAACACGACTTTCAGAACAGACTCATCAGGAGAAGCAGATAAGAAGAATAATTACAACCTTTGTTTGCAGCTACAATCATTGACAGAAGTTAAGGCTTTTTGGGGAGTTCCAGTCGATAAACACAGGCAGGCCCATTCATCTCTGAAATAACTTTGCAGGTATTTGCCCCTTGCGTATATAACTTTCGATCTGGATACACAGTTGGCTGATGAATGAATTAAAAAAACATTCTCCGGGCATGATAGTGATGTTTGGTACCTGGTATAAATAAAAAGGGCTTTCATAACCCTGATAGAGTAAAGACAGAGCAGGCAGCCAGGTATTGTGTAACAGACTGGTGCAACCAGTGCGTCGGCATTTTATTTCCCAAAACAAAGTGATAAAACCCAGGAACAGGCAGCAGCAGGTCTTTCTTCCAAATAAGATGGTGAATAGAGCAAGTCTGAGCAACGCTTGACTATTAGAGAGAGAGACAGCTGCTTGTATGAGTATGCTCAGAGTGATCACATCATGTGATCAGGAGAACTGTCTCTCCAGCTCGCATTTGCTGCTGAAACTTGCTGAGGGGTGAAGCGTCTTTTAAGTGAACCGGCAAGCATCATGTGCCTGCTCCTCATCATATGATGCGTTATTGCTGCACCTGATGCCAACCTAAGGCCTGAAGAATACAACAGGACCAAATCAGGACTTTCAAGACCTGCATAAACACCGACTTCAAAGGGAAAGTGTTCACTTTTAATCAACATAGCAAGTTATTTTCAGCTGGTATGAAAATATTGTCCATCTTTTGACAGATTGGTTGACCAATTTTGTCTCCAAAAATAGAGGTGTCCCAATACAACTTTTTTACTTCCGATACGATACCGATATTGTAGCCTTCAATATCGGCCGATACTGATATTGATCCAATATTGGCACAAACTTGTGCATGACAAGTTTTGCACTCAGCTGCAATGTCTTTTTTAGACTTTAATGAAAAATACTGCCACACAAGCCGACATCACTCCTACTCCTTGCTACTTTGTTAGTATCTTAGTACACACTGCTGTTGTGATTACGTGGGCTCTGCATGCTGGATCCGGGGGCTGCTAGCTTGAGGTGCCAGAGTGGAGTCTGGAATGGACTGCTTGTATCAGAGTGCTGATATCGGAGATTTTAGATGCAGGCCGATATAATCTGATATTTGTTTTTTAACTGATATCGGACCGATATCTGATATCAATATCGTATCGGGACAGCCCTACTCTAAAGTACTTTGTTGGCAGAAAATCAACATTGAACACTGACAGTATAGTGTGTAGTATGGAGCTGAAATCAGCAGGACCGACTTGGTGGAAAAGTACTATGATATTCATGACTATGTTGAAATCGGTGAAATTAACACCTTTCTTTGAAAACAGCTGTGTTGTTGTTAACTTAGAATAAGTCTTTTGCATCTACATAGGAGCCCATGAGGCTACCATTATAACACAGAACTAACATGCGAGTAACAAACCTGTTTTTACACCTTGTGAGTGGTGGTCATGTGAAATGCACCATTAAAGAGATGAAGGAGAGGAGAGCTGCTGCTGTGCTCAAAGGAATCTGTGTTCACAGGTAAAAACTTGACAAAAGGAGGATCTTACATACAATCAGAGGAATGCCTCATACTTGAAGACTACCATCTTTATATCATCCAAAAATCTTTTTCTGAAAATCTTTATCCTTCACTGTATAATTTCTGATACTGAGTTACTAAGGATATTCTACAGTGACTCATTTCTTTGTTGTTTAAACAGACATAATTTTAACTATCTGACTAGTCTGAAGGAGGGAAAACACATGGAAAACAGTTAAAATTATGTGCGACATTTTTAACTCTGAATCACAGGTTCTATGAATAAACAGTCAAATTGATCTGGCTATGATTATCAGAGGTAGCACCAGCAGCCAGCAGGCATCCTGTGCTGGTTACATGTTTTTCCATTCAAGTTGTAATATGCCCTTTTAACCACAGCTTATTCCACTTTATCTTCATTTTATATTTATGAATATAAAATATAATCTAATTTTTATTTTAATTATAGTGCAATCATTCAGTTAGAACATCCCTGGGTATTGTTAAAACAACAACATGCTGATACGACGAAATATCTGTGATGGGCCAACACTGATAACAAGAGATATGTCAGTCAATCCCGTTGATGAACCACATCATGCATGCTAAGTTTACAGACACTAAAGCACAGACAACAAAATCAGACTCAGAATAGTCTCATGGAGACAGTGTTGATCTGATGTGTCCAAAAAGGAAACCTTTCAAACCGAGCCAGCCTTAGCCCATTCTATTCAGCGTGTAAGCTTGGAGTAGCCATAAAATGTGTCCAATATCAAACACCCAGCAACTAATCCAATTAGGCAGCTATTGAAGTAAAAACAATCCACTTTGCATTCTTTTCATCAAGCTCCCACCCCTCCAAAATCTTTTAGAAACCCTGAACTTGCTGAACTCATAATGTCTCTGTTTGTGCTTCATCACAAAGTGCTTTCTATCACAGTCCGCTTGCTTTGCTACAAATGTATGTTCAATTACGAGCGTGAGCCTGCTTTCACAGTGGCACTTAATGTTTATGAGGTATTCCCCTCTGTGCACGTCAGGGCTTTCGCATAAAAACACACAAACAATCTCAAAGAGGGCACATGCAAAGCTTTCCAGCAAGTCTTCAACAGGACTAGACAGGACGGGAAGCGCCCCACCTACCAAAGCAAGAGGCCCAGGAAGGGAATGTCAGTGCCAGTAAAGCTTACACCTTGGGAGATGATAAGGGCAGCACAGTGGTGGTGCAGGGGGAGCAGCCCATGGGGTCGGGGATCTGCCCAGACCAATCAGACTATTGGCTGTATGAGACTTTAGTCAGCTTGCTTTATGAGTAACAAAAACACAATCCCTCAGTAGGAGATTTAAATGACTAATAAAGAACTCTGAGAAGACAAAAGACTGGTTTATGTTTTTTCATTTAAATGCAGTAATAGAAGATTCATTCAACAATCACAATAAAGCTTCAATATGACATCAAAAGAAAACAAGCATGAGAACAATTTTTGCTTATGAAATGTAGGGTGTTTCTCTACAGATTTAAGCAGAGGCTACAGCCAAGCTAAATAGTATAGAAATGGAATGTGAGTATGAGTGGGCCTGGTTTTAAGATCCTTCAATCTCCTCCCACTTGGTAATTCTACACTCAAGTATCCAAGCCTACAGACGGCAAGAAAAAGCTAGGGAAGAATCTGAAAAATATTATCATGCTAAAAATGCTCAGAATTAGTTGAGAGGACTCCTCCAAAATACCCAATTCCAGCTATAGACACTTCCTTTGTGCTGATGTCTGGACCAATCCAACTGCTGGGAGTTGAGTGAGTTTTTTGACAAACTGGGAGAAAGGGTATCCTCATCCTTTTTAATAATGTACAAATACGATACCATCAATGCTTCATTTACAGAAGGTTTATTCCATTTCAGTGTGACAACTTAGTTTGAAAGAAATTTGGTGTTTATTTCATCATCACCATAGTTAGTTTTGAAGTGTTTTCCACATAAAAATAAACAGTCTTTTTCAAAAAATTGATACTGAACAGGGGAGCTGTCTTATAAGTGGAGGTGAGAGAAAAGATCGATACAGCTTAGTATCGCAATATTTTGTCTGGTGATATAGCATATTGTCTCATCCACTGAGTATTGATTTTTTCAAATTAACTGCTAATATGAAGGCAAATCTATGATACTGGGGAAAAAATTTTTTAATTTGTCCAGCGAGGGCTGCAGAGGTGACATGATAAAGCAGGAGTAAGTTAGTGCAACAAACATGGCAGCACCTGGGGAAGGACAGTAGGGATGAGACACAAATGAGATAGACATGAGATATAAGGTTTGCAAAAAGTGCTACATGAAAATAAATTGTACCAATCGCAATTTATGGTATCACAATACTCATTGAAATTGCGATAATATTGAATCGTGGCCTAAGTATCGTGATCATATCATATCATATCATATCATATTGTATCATATCACAGGGTCACTAGAGACTTCCACCCCTGCTTATAATCAGGTGGTCCAATAACTGGACCATATATATTTACTTTTAGATGGACCCAATTATGTCCGGGAGGTTTGCATAACTATGGACCAATGGAGCCACAACCCTGTTTCTGTAATTTTGCCACCCAAAGCAATGACAAATGTTGCTTTTTGAAAAAGTGACTACTTGACTGCTTAGTAGATTACATAAAGACCTAACAGACGAAGCACTGCAATGTCCCCCATAATGAAATGATGTGTGTCAGAGAGTCCCATCAATGGCAGTAGCATTAGGTACATTTATCTGCAACTTCTTTTTCATCATGTGAAAACTGTATTATATTGTTCTATTCTGCACAAGCCGACTAAGATGATGCTCTTGAGGTTTGAGATAATCCTGAAAGTCTGTTTCAAATTTTCAACTGTTTTTGAACCTGTTATTATGAGGATGCAGGCTTTCATTTTCTGTGCAGACTGTAAAGCCCCCGAAGGCATAAGGTGGTTTTGGACTATACAAAGACAAATTCACAAGACTGGTGTTTACACTTAGGACTATTATATAAATGACAAAGACTGATTCTTCCAATTATCACCCACTCCTTTTTATAAATCTGTGTCTACACACCCGGGACTGGTACTCCAGGAGGACTCCTGCAGGAGGAAATGCTCTTGTTAGTTGTGTTGGTGAGAGCGTCTCTTGGGGTCAGAATCCATGGAAACATGATGGGTTATTAGTCAGGTATGAGACTGTGTCAGCTACCGGCTCAAGTGGAAATGGTGCAGTCAGTGGAAAACATTTTTGCATGAGTAAGAGAAAATCTTGAACCGGAGAAGCTGTGAAGTAACTAGATGAGCTCAGGAGAAAACTGACACAGGAGACCCTGAACTGTGCAGGTAGAGAGGGCAGTGCTGTGATTTTTCTTACAGCCGATGACAAGAGGTGCAGAAGCTCAGACAATGCCAAATACAATGGTGAGACAATTCTACACCATTATGCAAGACTATGTTGTGCACATTACACATACACAAATACAAGGGGGGCTGGTTCCTATGTTGAAGAGTCCAGCATAGTTAGACAAGGTGTTCCTTACTCAGGGAAATTTGAGCATGTAGGTTTTTTTTTACTGTATTCTAAAGACTGTTTCTGCACCAATTTTTGATGACGTTCGTTTGTACGTAAGCACAAAACAAACTGATTCATTATCAGTTACATAACTAACATTTCATTTCTGCATGTTTTTGTGCTTGAATGAATACTGGCCATTTATATTTGTAGACCCATAATTCACATACCTTGTGCAAGAGCCTAAAAACTTAATAATCTAAGATTTTGGACATTATTGGGACTTATCTAATGCTTTGTTCACAAAAAAGGACCGAGTTGACAAACTATAATCATTTCCATGGGAATTCTCATCCCCAGTTTATGAACTTTCTCTCTTTGCCTCAGTAAGTGGTATTTTGGAAATACAGAGATTGCTTCTTGTTTACATACATTGGTTATTATCTTGTCTAAGTCCATTAAACTCTCTGCAAAGTTAAGTATGTCAGATCCTTTCTTATGAGAGTTTGGGGGAGGAAGGTGTATCATTGAACGAGTCTGTAGCTCTATCTATAGATGCAGGGGCTCTTGATGTTCATTTGAAGAGACAGTGAAGCTGTAAACACTGTAAACATGTCCCACTGGAGTTTCAAATGCACTACTAGAGCCACAAATGATGCCTATATTTCTAGAAAAAACATTGCAGAGGACATTTCAGTATAGGTGCTGAATATCTGAAAGGAACTCTGTGACCTTGCCAAATGAACAAAACAACAAAGAGACTGAAAAACAGATCGAAAAAAGAGGAAGAAATATGACTGGGAGCAAAAGACTGATAGAAACCCTAAGTGATGCAGAGAGGGTATGATACAAAGAGGGTAAAGCTGTCTGACCTGACCCACTTCAAATCCTTTCTGAGGTGAAATCTATTCAGAGTGAAACAACAGGACGGGCCATCCAGACACAGCCTACAGGAGGTGGCTGAGACAGCTTCAGATGTGCTGACAGGCCGACACTGATCGAATTTTATTGTGTCACCTCGGCTTTTGAAGCATGACTGAGCACTTTTTACCTCCTCCAGACTGGGCACCGAATCAAAGCTGGTCAGCCAAGTGCTTAAATTAACCTGCTGCCTCACCTGCCAAAGACTGAGCGGCTGAATTAGGGCCTTAAATAGAAGATACTTAAGCTAGTTGAAAAAGTGTAAGAGGCTTCAGCTTTGTGCAGAGTGGTATGAAAGGCAACTATTCAAGAGTCTTTTTGACACAAGCCAGACGAAACAAAGACCAGAAACTGGACATGTGGACCCTTACCAATGAGTTCAGGAGACGTGATCTCAAAAGGGCTGTCAGCCTGACTTTGAATATTGAAAAATAACATCAGCAACAAAATCTATCTGCCTCCTATGACCCCGCTTTGAGTTATGTAACTCCAGACTGATTTTATTTATTGCTGAGCACAATGGTACAACAGATTCATCTCCTTTGCTCATACTTCATACTGAATCATTCTCCAATCTTTCGCTAACACAGGCTCTGTGCATGCCAACCGCAAATCCATGTAGCATTTAAAACCCACAAATTATGTTGGCTAAATTTATCTGATCTAAAATTGCAGCAGCCGGAGCTTTGTGTTTTGACAGATGATTCCACTGTGGGTGGCCTCAAAGCACCCGTGAAATGACAGTGTCATCGTTTCAGAAACAGCTTACAATAAAAACTGATTTATTTATTATCTGGAGGCAAATGTTCTTTCTGCATTCAGCCAAGGTTTGAACAAAGGTCACGATCACTGTAGTGAAGATGGAAAATAATGAAGCCTTGTAAAGAGGATGCTGTTTAATAAGGTTGTGCAAAAACATTCAGAGCCAAGCCAAATATACACTAAGGCACGTGATTTTACTGACTAGTAAGCAAACAACATGTCCCCTCCCTTCTGGGTGTCTTTAAAAAAAGTGACTTCCCATTTCTTGATGAATCACTTTACAGCTAAAGTTTGCCGCTATATTCACAAACGCAAAGTAAAGAATAAACTGCAATTCCCAGGAGTCACTGTGGATGCACAGGCGACTGATTGGCTGATTGATTATCTGACAGACCCCAGCCTAGTTCGCCCTCTGCCTCCACTGGAGCAACAGCAGCCCTGACACTAATCGCCTGTAGATCAGCCCTGAACTGCAGATAATGAGAAATATATTCAAGAATGCCCTTTTAGTCAGTTTATACTTAAGGGGTCTCAAAATGTGTTCAATATCATCAGCAAACCTTTCCAATCCTATCTTATCCTGGAAGATATCAGGCAGCAGATTTTCTTTAATATATTGAGACCATTCAAATCTAACCCTAAAATCTAGTCTTAACCAAAAACCTAAATTCAAGGTTTTCTCAATTTGTTGCAACAGTTACAGCAAAAAGGGCAATGTTTATCAAACGATGACTTTTTAAAATTCTGCTTTCACACAGAATTTCAAGTTATTTTTGATCAACAGCATTTTTTTTATCACATGTTCTATTATTGTGCTTATAACAACAATGTTCAAGTCTATTCTGATAATGCAAATCAAATATTACAGGTGTGTTGATTTGGAAATGAAATGAATGCAATGAAAAGTACTCTATGATCTTAGCTTGAAGATTTATTGTTTAAAGTAATATTGCACTGCTTCACCAGTGTGGTCTGAAACCATGACCTGGAGGCAGGAGACAGCTTTAGTTTGTTTGTTTTTGAGGGGAAAACACTGTTACACAAAGAAACATGCTGGAGTGCAGAGTGCATGTACAACATCTCTAATCAATGTCAATATGGTGTGCAGTTATTGTAGTTTTAGATACTTGGGATAGTTTTGATTAGTTACCAATGTCCAGTAATTCTCGGTTAATGCTACGGCATGTGCCCTTTTCAGGAGCTCCAGTTTGGTTGCTTCCTCTTTGACATACAGGTCCTGTATGTGTGTAACTATTGTTCCCTATGATGGTAAAGCATGATGGTCACAACATACCAATCAGAGGACATTCCTTAGATCTGAGCCACACGTCTGTCAGCAGCGATTTTCACACTCCAAAACAGAGCTCTGCTGCCTATTATGATGCAGTTTTTGGACCTTCGACACTAAAATTTAATATATTAGTGCTGACGGTCCTAAATGCAATAGTGCATTTTGTAGATAGCTGTCATAATCTAAACAAGATACTACTTTAAGAATAAAATGTTTGTAAAAAAAATTTTTGTGTTTTTCATTTTCACAGTTCCATGTGTTTTCCAGACCTAACACTGTCCAATAGTGTCGAAATACTTTTTTTGTTTAAAAAATCATCAGTTAACTTCTTTGTGATTTGTTTGTTTGATATAAAAGCTATTTTGCTTTCACGTGATTTATACCAAAGGTGTATCATGGGTCAAGTAGACCTCATTGACTTTGAGCAGGTATTTGGATCCTTTAACCAACAACAAAAATGTTTTGTGTGTTTTGCAAAAGCTGATTTTGAATCAAAACTGCCCTTTTTATTACATAATGTCAGTCTAAACATTTGATATCCATCAACATAGACATGGAATTACCTGTTCACTTCTTATTATGAAAGTATAGTGTTGTAAAATTTTCCTGGTTTAGAAGTACTACATAACTGCACAGCTATCAAGATGACACTTGAGCTACACACACAACTATATTCTGAAGTAGATCTTGGATATAAACACTTGTAAATTTATTCAAATGTAAAACAGAAGCTGCCCTTGCAGAATCACTGAAGAAAAGCAGACTATTGTCCCCGGTGGAGGTCTACACTCTCAGGGGGACCTTCTCGACTTGGTTTTGCTGATTATCAAGTGAAGCTCACACTCCCAGAACAGTGTATTTATGACTGCATCACAATGTGCTGGGTAGGCAAGTATGACAACATGTGGGCTATGTGGGCTGGAGTGCTTTAGAGCTAACACATTGTCTTCTTCTGAGTCAGATATGAGCTCAGACTAAAATCATTCTGGTATGACATCAACTCCACAATCATTAAAGAAGACTGTTCTGTTACGCTCCTCAAGAAGTTCTTCTTAATGGTGGTCTGAACACTGAAATCACTTTCTGCAGTAGTTGGTAGTATGAAGGTTATATGATGTGCACACACTCCACACACTTGGACTGCAAGGTATATAGACAGAGGCCCAGCTGAACCGTTAAAACCTTAAATAACACTGTGTGCGCACTGTGGAGAGATTTGTCTTCCAGCCGAATAAAAGCCTCTCCCACTGGACCTAACAGGTTTCACAACAGTTAATGAGAAGCTGTGCTGCTGCCACTTGGATCACTTCTGTCGTCTCCATTCCTGCACAGAGCCCATGGTGACCACACGTCCCTCTGCAGCTCCCAGCTCCCTCACTGCCTACACTATAGTGTCACACAGCACAACAATACTGCTGCCACAACTCTGCACAGTGAGTACTCCTCATATGTTTGGACAGAAAAACTAGTGACATGAAACACTATTTTCTTTATCATTACTGTTTGATCTAGCTGAATAAAAATGGGTTCTTTAAGAAACACTCTGGTTGTAAAAGCTTTATTTTCTTGTACATAAATAAAGATCAAAAGGGAAGCGAGGAACAATTGCTTAGTAACGGACACTTACATCCCCCAACAGCAGCATGCCAGGTTTGGCACAACTACAGCAAGAACCCCGTCAACATAGGAGAGAGGGGACAATACTGGCTTTGTCCCTCAGCTCATACAGACAGCTCTCAAAGGTCTAGTGCAAGTGATGAAATCTGTCACAGACTGGGAGAAATGAAAACCTGTTGCTTCATCCAAATGCTCATGTATGTCCTGTTTGTCTAAATCTTTACTTCAATGAATCCAAGCTGTAGTTTAAAGCATCAAAATGTAAAACAAAGGAGAGTTCAGATTGCTGCTTGTGATGCATTCAGCTCTTTAATCCCTACTAATGCGTGTATAATGTTTAAGTACAATTAAGGTTTTAAAGACATGACCTCATTTTCATCCAGCACAAGTCACGAGTGCGGGCTGTCACTGTTAACGATTGACAGAGGGTACCATGTGACTGGAGTATGAATGAAGGGCGGAAGGGTGTTGCACAATTCACACTCACTGCATGTGTGTATGGGAAGCGGTGTGTGTGTTTGTGTGTGCAGTAAAAGTAAATTATGCCTGTATTAAAAAACAGGCCTCGATTAAAATAACAAATAAACCAAAATGAATGTTTTAAAGGTCCTGAGCAGAACTTTCAGGGTGTGGTGGTATTGTCAGGTGCATGTGTAAGGAGTTGTAAAAACAGTTTTTTATTTGAAATCCCACCTCTCTTTAAGTAAGCAGTCAAATACATAGGGGTGGGAATCACTAGTGGCCCCACAATACGATATTATCACGATACTTGGGCCACAATACGATATTATTGCGATTTTTAACATTTTGCAATACAGTGAGTATTCCAATACAATATATTGCGATTCATACAATTTTTTCAACTGTTAAGCTAATTTAGCATTTGACTTCCCTATATGTTTGCCTTATTTACGCTGTGTGTTATTTTCATGTCGTACATCTTGCAAACCTGATATGTTTGTTGTACTAACTTTCTCCTGCTCTATGATGTCACCTCTGCCAACCTAAATGACAAACAGTTGATTTTATTTTTCCATGATCATAGATTTGACCTCACATTAGGAATTAATTAGAAAAATTGACACTTGGTAAATGAGAAGATACGATATATCACCAGACAAAATATCGCAATACTATGCCCAATTTTTCTCCCACCCCGACAAATTTATGACCTGTGGTTAATTTTTACCAAGATAAAGTATAAGAAGTTGTCTATAAAATATGATGTGAACCAGCTAAAACTGGTACCCAATTCCAACAATCCCCCAATCCTACCAGTTTAAGACATTAAAAATTAGTGTTGAGAAAATATTGGTCTTGGTACTGTTTGTTTTGTTAGCTTTAGTAGGTCACTGGAGCAGACTATTTATCCAAATTTAATTCATTTTTAGTTTAAAGCTACTCAAAATTTCCTTAGTATTTGCCAATTTGATTTCTCCACTTAAGTTATCCTCCTCTAACACTTGGCTATAACAGGTTTATAATACAGGTCTGCCTGATGTCCTTTTTAAAGATTGGAAATAAAATAAAATTACAGTTACATGAAGAGATTTTTAAAATGTCACTGCAGCCTTGTTTTTCCACACAGTCTTATAAACTAAAGCTAAAAGAAAAAATCAGGTGTTCACATTTATAATATCTACATTTCTATGTTTCTTAAAATCTTTTCCATATAAGCAGAATATGCCCATTTATGCTGTTGTGTGCTTCAAGCTTAACGGAAAATGGCCCAAGTCTGTAAACACAATAATTTCCATAGTCTCTGTTTCTTTTTCCATTGTTATTCTACTACTTAAATTTAACTCCATACTTTTCCATTCCGTTTAGGAATCCCAGGAAATGGTTTCCATGCATACTTGAAATCCATGCTTTTAAGCTAAGCTCCTCCTGCTAATGTTCCTCCAATACTCCCACCTAACCATAAAAGTGCAACTGTAAGCAACACCACCCAAAAACAGATGTGACCGTCCCAATAGCCATGCTTTACTGTCTGCAGCTAAACTTACAGGCAGATAAATGTAATTTGAAGTGGAAAGAGAAGGCCTTCTGCAGCCCAGAGCAGGAAGCTAGGACAGGTGTGGGTTGTGGAGAGTGTGGCTTAATTATTGGCTGACAAGATAAGCAAGGTGCAGCAGCCTTATGGCTTATGGTCTGGTGAGAGTCAGTGGGGAGGGGCGCTGACACCTGCCCTGGTGGAGGTGTCAGCCACAGTGTGCCAGAATGTGTGTCAAAGACATTACAACCATAGCTTTTGACAGGAAGCTTTGCCTCACACATTCCCCTTCCGCACAAATTTAATCACAGCCACAAATCCATTGATTCAATATGCCTTTGTTAAATTCCCATACAGTTCAAACATAATCACTGCTGGCACTAATTACTTTCAGAGTCACGATGAGAGCAGGGCTTAAATACTGATTGGACTTTTAGTGTCATAGTGGGTGTGATTTAATCTCTCAGTTATACGGCCAATTGAACACTGACCTAAAAAAATGTGACGTGTGTCATGCTTGTCCCGACACACACCAACAGAGGGAGGAAAATGACATGGTTTCAACAGTTTGTAAATTGAGATTGAAAAGGTATGACTCCCTGATCAGCCTTTATACACTAAATTTGGGACATTTTTACATGAATCTTTTTCTATATCTGTCTTATTGTGAGCAAGATATGATACATAGACATGTAATAAGGATAATTTTTACATTATGGACAAATTAGTTAATCAGCACACACATTACAGATAGACCATTTTGATTGTTTGAGCTGATACATCAGGCTGATTAATGGCATTTTGGAATAATCTGCATTAGCTGATCTCTGGGCTCAGGCGGTTGATTAAAAATAGAAACAAATTATGTCTGCAGACACTGCAGGCCGTGTGCCAAGCAATGATAATGTCCCTTCAAGCAATAACATGTTTTTTGTTTTTTAAATGACAGAAGATCTAAGCTAGCAGAAGATCACTGACAAGTGTTTAATATTCTTTGATCGTGTATAGAATAATAAAGTTTAATATTGCTTCTGACATAAATATGACACAGTCTGAAATCTACAGCTTGGCTTAATGTATTTTTCTATTCCATTTCATTAAATTAGAAATCCATCTGAAACAAATTTCTGGCTAAGACAAAGTATGGCATATGAGATTGTAGCAAGCATGCAATAATGGCTTCTTCTTCTTCTTCTTCTTCTTCTTCTTCTTATTATTATTATTATTATTATTATTATTATTATTATCACATTTGATTAAATACAAAAAGAAACAATGTCACACTGGGATTATATGTTGGCCATCAGCTTACCTGTTTTGTTGTCACTGGCATTAGTATCTACTGTTGAAAAACTGGTATGGGTTGACCACTGACACATGTAGCACATATATGTTTTAACTTTCAGAGACCCCCCCCCCCCCTCATGCCAGATATGGTCCACTCACACTCACATTAATACATAGATCATGTGGGCTGCAATGTCCTTGCCTGAGGAGATTTCTACATGCAAACTCAAGAAGCCTTGGATTAATCCACACTAATTCACAGCAGGTGGATCACACACTTCCGAGGTCCCACTATGTCTAAAAAGCCATGACACTCCAAAGAGACCCCCGCTAGCATCCACTGACACCTCTTTGGAAACAGGTGAGGTGGTTTGACTTTACCTGAACAGACAGTTTATTACTACAACACTGGCAGCAAATCGAGGATGGCAGGGTGACTCACTACTACCTGTCAGCTGTTTGCAGATTCCTTCAAGTGTTATTTCACATAACAAGAAAGAAGACACAGAGACGGCGCTCTGTTAATGCTGGTCAGCTGCTGACCCTGACTTCTGACCTCACAGGATAAGGTCAGCCGATAGAGAATTATTTTTCAAGCTAGGATTAATGATAAAATATTTATAACGGAGATTACAACAGATTATGGGTGTGGCTGATATCTAGAGTGTTTCTGGTTTAGGAGCATCAGTTTGCCTCAGCTGGTTGTTGATGACTTACAGTAAGCTTGCACAGTCTCTCAAATGGAAAAAGAGGATTTAAGTACAGAAGAATTCATTAGATATTAACATGGGCAATCAAAACAGCTCATGTGGATTCAGCCTGGGTTTATCCCTCACTGTGCTGCTGTACCAATTGTCAGATTTCTTCAATTGTTTAAATATAGTGTAATATGTTACAAATGTAATACTACAAGGGCAGTTTATCTTCAAAGAATATAGCATACTTGCATAAAACCACACCTGACTTGAAACCAACAGAGCTACATGAGCTGCATTGAAGTTAACTACTTTTCACAAATGGACATGACCTATAATCTGGACAACTAAATGCAAACATTGGAGAAATGTCTATCTTGCTATTAATTTGGGCAAATACCACATAAATAATGCTATATATTAGAGGACAGTTACCCCCCTCCATTACTGCCTGTGTACATGTGATCCAACTTTCTACCCAAAGTCATTGAAATGTATGGGGAAAATAGAGGCCAGACTTCCATCAACTTCCTGGTCCTTTTTCTAAAGTCAATACTAAAACTACTACTAATAATAATTTAATCTGCACAGCATGTTAAAACAGGGTTGGATATGGAAACAAAATATCTCAAACAAGAAAATAACTCAAAACTAAAGCAAACCAGATCGAGATGGGATATAACACTGATACAGCAATAAACTATTTTCCTGACTTGTACGATGCAGTGATCATATTTCTAACGCCACATATAAATATGTCAATCAAAAAATGGTTGGAGGCTGTAAACAGATTTCCATTACAGTTGAACTCTGTGCTACTGTGTCTTGACTCCTTGTGGTGACCCCAATGACATTTATGAATGCTCTAATTTTGTTTACTCTTCAGTCAAATTATCAGTTATGGCAAAATCTGTGCATCATCATTTTATCAGAAAAGTATCTAGTATCCTCAAGTATGATCATGAGCCACCATGTAATTCTATCCCCTGAGCTCAAACATCATAAGAACTCAGGATCAAAAACCCAAACAGCAGCTCCTGTGTTCCCATGATAATTCTCTTGTAGTCTGTGTTAGCTGTTTAAATTCACTATTTCTGCTCCCATTGTATAACTCAGTCCAGTTTATTAATGCCACCATAGATTAGGTTTGTAGTCAACTGTGATAACATCGTATTACCTCTACAACACTGGTGTCTAGAGTCTAACCTTCATGTCCGAATATTATCCTCTTTCATACATGGTTTTAAATGAAGAAAAAAAAATCACAAATAGCTATCACCCTCATTAGCTTTACTGTTGGAGCTGTGGGTTTCTGCTTCAAGTTTTAAAGCTAATGTTAGCAAGCAGTTATTATATTTAAATATATATCATCAGCAGTCTATCATTGTTGTTTAAATTACATCCTTATTTTTAACATTTACATACTGTCCTGGTTTGCAAATTTCCTTTCGTTAAATACAGATTAAAAGAAAAATCAGGAATATTGCCCACTGAACGCCGGGGCTAAAGGTTTCTACCTGAAGTTATGAAGCTAATGTTAGCTAACAGTTAACGTTGGTTAGCCCGTTTGTTGCTGCTTTGACACAGCTAGCTTCTTCTGTTAGTCGGACAATCTTATTTAGCAGTGGTAAAACACATATAATTTTACAGCCCACCTCTATTTTGTCGACACTTCTGGCACAGCCGACAACCCTCATGCCTTGCTGGACCAGTGCCCGGGCTACAGCCGCTCCAATCCCCACAGAAGCTCCGGTCACCAGGGCCACTCTCCCCTTCCACCGCTCCATCTCCACCGCACTGCCTTCACCGGTAAATTACAACCAACAAACCGCACCTGTGCTCTGTCTCTATCTGCCTAGTTTAACCCGTCACTAATATAGCAATAACTATGAATCACTGTGTGAGAAAACTGAAGGATGCAGCAGCCTCCTGTCTCTATCTGTGCAGCATCCAGGACAGCGGCGGACGGTGTGCCTGGTCTCGGATCCATGCGCTCCTCTGGACGAAATATGAACAGCTCTGTGGAGAGTAAATGTTTGTTTCACATCACCTCCTACTTTCTTTTTCAGCCCTGAGGACTGCACTGCTGTGTGCTATTATTTAACGCCACCTGCTGGAATTAAGTAAAACATTTTCTAGAGCCTGTGATCTGGAGCTTTCTCCTTAAAATATTAACATAAAACCCAACTTGATAATTAACTATAAAACTAAAACTAACTTTAAGAAAAACAGAATGAATCAAATATATGGATGATGCATACCTGCTCTGGGCTCCCATATATGGTAATATCTCTAGAATTGGTTTCAAGCACAATTGAGAAAACTTTTGTCTTCTTTTCAGTAATTATTACCTAACTGTTGAATATTTTAAGGAACATTAAACAACGAAAAAACCTGGTCCATATCTGTTGCAGTTTTTAAAAATAAATCTTTTGTGTCTGTTTCTTTCTTTTATGAAGAATGTCATTATTCGAGGTAACTTTGAGGCCTATTCAAGGATGTCCCAATTTGGTGGTAAAAATATTTCAATTGCAGATATTTGAGTTGTGTACATGTGCACATCTAATAACTGATAAAATATCAATACGAGCATCAATTAACAAGAAAACCTGTTTGTAACTAAAGCCAATATTTATGAGTATTTGATCATTTCAAAGTTCAAAAAACCATGCAACTTCGAAGAATAAATGTGTAATTTCCATATATCACAGTTTCAGTACAGTATAACTATAGTTAGAGGTTAAAAACAAGCAATGACTGTTGTAAGGTGTAAAAAAAAACAAACAAACATTAATGCATATTAATAAATACTCTTTATTTAGTAAATTTTGCACATTGCGCTCTTGACATTACACCCAGATTCTCATTACAAATGGATGTTTATTCTCTGTAAAATCTCTATGTTTAGAATTTCTGTACACATTTAATGGTACAACCTTTACCACTACATTGAAGTGTCACCAAAGAGAAACAAAAATAGAAAAAACAAGAATACATAAAATAAGACTCCTAAAATGTATCCCTAACATCACAGCTTGCAAAGCTTGATTAGATTCCACTGTGCTCTTACCCAATGACCCTACAAAAGACCAACGACACAGAGCTAGGCTTGGTCAAAGAGAACAATCACGACGTGATGACGTGGCCAAGAAATGAGATGAAAAAGTGTGTTTGTGTACAAGTGCAAAAGGGAGAGAGAGCAACAGAAAGTCAGAATCACATTTGCATTAAAAAAAAGAGAAATGACTGAACCATACACCGAATGTACTTAGTTATCTTTCGTAAAGACGTTGCAGCAGTGGTCACGAGTGTTTTTCCCAGGAGGGTTGCTGTTAGTGCAGTTAGTTGACACTAGTGGTGGCAAACCACTTTCCACAGACGGGTTTACTTGGCTCATTGGAGCGACAGTAGTTGGTGAATTTCTCTTTCAGGAGCTGTCGGTACCGGTGGCGGTTGTTGTAGAAGGACTGGTTTCTTTCTAAAAATGCCTGAATTTCATCCTGTGTCAGACAGTTCTCTTCATCTGAAGCCACTTCTGAGTCATCCTGTAGAAATAAGAACAAAGGGAAAGAGAGAAAGGTTAAGACCAATTAAAAAAGTAGACACCATGCTGTATTGAAAAAGTCTTGACCCCAGTGTCTGACAGCAAACTGCAGAAGGAAATGTTTTCTGAGGAACTAAATGAAGGAAGAAGTACTCTCATTTCCTCATCTAGTGCCACACTGATATTTGGTCTTTTTGAATAAGATTTATTATTTATGTACTTAAAACTGAATAAAAAAAACAAATGTTTCTTAATGTGTAAGTCAATTTGAAATGGGGAGGCAGCCTGGATGATTAATTGATAACAGAGAAGGGGTGGGAATTAAAAGTATTACATATTCCCACTTCAATTCAGGTGAATAAACTGAATAAAATAAAATTTACTTTGATGTTTAAAATCAACTTTTGCATTGTTTGAATACTTTTCAAAATATCTGTCACCTTTTCGGTAGTTTTTTCAATATGCTCAAAATGCACAATGAGAACACGAGGCTGAGTACAGTTGAACCAGTTGAGAAAGAAAGGATTGCAGGTCTCAGGGACAACACTAAAACTTTTGTTATAAAACCAAGGGGATAAATAACTAAGAACTAATTTTCAAGTTCAGGGCCTTGCCATTATGGGCTTTCACGCACAGTTAATGACTCAACAGCACAACTTGGACAGCGTCTGTTATACTCAATACTTACAGCCGTACTTCTCCCATCATAACAAGTTAAATGGTCTTCTGTATTTAATTGAAATTGAATATCTGACTAACCAGAAGTTCCACCAGACTGATGTTAGCTTCTGCAGGGCTCCCATTAAGGCTGAGGTTCTTCTGATGGGCTGTCCACGGTAATCGTAGTGCAATGCTGGCAAGTTTATCACCACACAAGGAGGAGAAGATTTCTTTGGTTCGGCAAGAGTGTGATGGTGGACTGTGGCTTGTTGTGTTCCTGCCTGGCATGCAACCTTCAGCTTTAAGTCCCTGTAGAAAACAGCACGTTTCAATCTGAACAAACCTTTAAATATTTAGCATACAGCTTTTGATCTCTATAGATAGACACTCCTCTTACCTGATTGTTGCATAAACCCTTGCCCTTCCTTTTCTTCTTTTTACTCTTGCATTGTGAGTTTTCATCAGAGAGTGGCCAACAGTCCACACAACTGTCTATTGCATCCTCCTCTTTGTCTTCAGCACCATGATGGGTGTTTGAGTCATCAGCTGCCGAGGGTTAAAAAAAAAAAAAACAGTGAAAAAAGCTCCAAAAGATCACAAGAATATTTAAAACAAATAGTTACAAATAGTGACTATTTGAAATCATAGCATCTTAAAGCCATCTAAAGCAGACCTGCTATATCATGGTTGCATATTCCCTCAGAGCAGGCGACATCAGAACCTTCTCGTGATCCTATCTCACTGCTCTCAGTATTTGAGGAGTAGCCACAGTCACTGCCAATGCTGCGTGGGGACAAATCTGCAGAAAAACAGCCAAAAATGCACATTCTGTAAAGCTTGATGTTTTATTTTTTAACAGTAGTTTTTCCTTAAATGAAGCTGCCTCCACAAGGAAACCTGTTTGAGGGTTTTTGGTGATATCTTTGTTAGGCTTGTCACTATTTGCACAAGTGTGGCTAGATTTAAATTATGGTACATGAATAACATTTTTAGTCAGTTGGTGTACATTTAAACTGTGACAATAGTTGTCCAAGTGCATTTCCCTTACTCTGTTTGGTGTTGTCTGGGCAGTTACAAGATGTGCTGCTGTTGGCAGCTGCCTCGTCACACCCGGCATCCTCCTCCTCCTCATCTTGGCTGCCGCAGACTTTGCACGTGCCCTCCACAGACTCAAGAGAGCCCTGAAACAGACACAGGTCAGAGTTATATATGATCTAAGGGATGTGTTGCTCTCTTGCACAATACTCAATGTCAAACGCTGACTGATAGGAGGATTACCTCATCTGTTTTCTCCTTGTCGTCCACGTCCTGTTCAGACATGTCAAAGCTGCACTTGTTTTTCCGCCGATTTTTTCGCTTTTGCCTTTTTTTCTCCTGCTTCAGCTCTTTGGCTCTCTCCTCTTCAGACAGCTCCTCCACAAACTGCTCCAGCCGACTGATCCCCTGCATCTTCTCTACAGCCATCTAAAGGGCATGGTAACAGATGGATTACCAAGTGTCATAATGTGCTAATTATCTTAAAAAAATAGGTTTGAATTTTTACGTTGTTTACCTCAAAGCTTTTGCGTAGTGCATCAACTCCTAAATGGAACAGTATCTGCCAGGTCTGCTCCTCTGCCCGTAGCTTCTGCCAGATCCTGTGCAGCCGCTCATACAGATGAATACCCAGACAAGTCAGGACTTCTTCCTGTGCAATGTCAATGGTCTTGGCATGTCGCTCTCTGCGTCTACAAAACAAACAAAATATATATCATATACTGCGTGTGTAAATGGAAAAAGAGAGGACCATGGCATGAAATTCAACTTCATCAGTGGTGAAAGTGAGCACTGCAACCTTCACTGCTGAGGACTTTACTTACTCATAACCTCCTGCAAACTCCGGCTCTGCCCGGCCAAGGAGGTGAGCGATGAAGTCAGTCTCACAGCACACGTGGATGTGGCGCTCATGGGGGCAGCAGCATAGCCCTTCATACAAGGCAGCACAGTAGCCCTTCTCTTTACTGCAGTCCAGCTCTCCCACCAGGATGTTATATGCCCTCAGAACTTTGTTCTTACAGTCGGTGCAAAACCTGTGGACAACGCAGTAATAAGCTTTAATGCAGTTCCTTCTAAACCTACATAGCCTTAAAGAGAATAGAACTAGAATATTTTGAATGAGGCTACAATGGTCACACATTACCTGTGTTTACGCAAATATGTCTCCAGGGTCTCTAAAAGACAGGCGCTGTCAATGAGGACCACCTCATCTCTACACTCCTGAGACATGAGCTCCCAAACATCCATCCAGCTTCCCCTGTAAGCAAACAAACAGATGAAATTAGACTTGAATCATCTCTTTTACCTTCAGAAACTTCATAGGCCACTCAGGAGGGGCAAATAATCTGCATGAGTAACGCTGACAAACTTGGTGAGCTGGTAAGGTGACATTTTTTGAAAGTTTGCAAGGATGCATCCACAACTCTTTTTTCCCTCCATATAGTAAATTTAAGTCAACTCTTCTATCTGTTAACTCTTGGGTTTGTTTCCACCGACTCCTCAGTAAAATACCTAGAATATTAGATGCCATGAGCTCCAATATGTTCATTTCACTTAAATTGTACCGATGTTAAACAATGAACAACATCCACATCCTGACTTGAGAGCAGACACCCACTTCTGCATTTCCCCTCACAACACAATGTAAAAGCATTTCAAATGCAAAGGTGTGCACAAACATTAAAGCAAAGGTCGCACTGGTAGATATTTGCTTGGTTAATATAACAGATTAATTATAAGTTTGAGGAGAACTGATGTCACCTGTTTTTTTTCTTCCCTGAACTTGAAACCAAATTAGAACTACCATCTGATGAAAAGTCAATGTTTATTTAAACCAACAGCAAAGTTACTCAAATGTTTTTTAACAGCAGGACTGATAGAATCATGTGAGTGTCTTCTACAAGTTAGTTAATATTTTGATATTTAGATTTATTTAAATTCATAATTGTGAGTGATGGTGTTAGTTTTCATGTGCTGTACTTCCTACAAAACATGGTCCTTCGTGAAATACACCCACAGGCTGTTCACGTCTTCACACATTAACAAGACTTAGAAAATAAACCCTAAGTGCTTCAACGCTACCTCTGTAGGCTAGACAGAGATTGAGCTTAACTGCTTTTTTCATGTGTCACTAACAATTTAAGAGGGAGAAGATTAAGCTAGCCAATCTAGTATTAACATGACATGCTGTAACATAGTTTGCCGCACATACACTATCTATTAATCCCCTCTTTAATGCTGTTTAGAGACAAACAACTCTGCGTAAAACATTATTGAAGACAACAGTTACAACAGTTGCATTACTCACCCCAGAGGTTTAGGCTTGTGTGTGTCTAAGGAGTGTAGCTGGCAGCGTTTGTTCTTTTTACTTTTGGGAATGGCATCGATCATGTCATTCAACTTTGACCTGCAATTATGATACAGACAACCAGAATGTTAACGTTATACTACAGCGCTAGTACAAGTTTCTCTTCTGCTTTATGGTTCTCAACAAAGCAAGACGCTGAAGCAGCATTATAAAGCAGTGAAAATGAAGACCCATCTCTCTGTAGCTCACCCATGGACGTAGAAGAGAGTGTAGAGCTTCTTCACGTCAGATAAACAGGCTTTGGTGACTGAGAGCATGCCTGTAGGTTTCACTGTGAGGGGCTCCAGGGCCGGGTTCCCTGATTCTACTAAATGGGAGAAGAGACGCTCCACGCTCCGTCTGCAGCCTACACATGGCACCAGCTGAGACAGGGCACTGTATACCTCCCTGGACGTCACCATCAGGGCCATATTCAAGTCCTGCTGCTTCAGCTTAGAGTAATGCTAAAGGCAAAACAATGGTAAATCTATTATTACACTGTTGACATTGTTCAAGACAAACCATTTGCTTTTTGCATCTGCTCATGTAAATATCGTAAAAAGGAATAATGTGCATGCCTCCATACATTATAACAGGAGCTACACTGTGAAACTACAACTACTCACCTCAGAAAATTGCTTCCAGTGAGATGCATTTATTTCATTGCTGTCAACGTCTATGACACTGTCAGAAAACTCCATCACCATCTGTCATGAAAAGATAAGGAGAACAGTAAACGCCTATTAGAGCAATATCCACCACCACAAATCAGCTGGTTTGATCAACCATACAGGCCATAATCTCAATTCTGAAAATGTCTGGCACTGTTGGTATTAATAATGTGTCACAGTCAAAGTCACTGTTAAAGGGCAAAAATACAGGCTGACCTTTTAGCATGTCCAAAAAAATATGACATTTGTTGTAATTTGAGGAAAAATGCATTCAGGATAGAAGTCATTGAAATAAATATACCAGGTAGAATAGGGACAAATTAAGAATATAGTAATAATACAATTAGTGCACAATGGTGCTATTTCACGTCATTTTTGTTTAAACCTAACGCATAACTTCATCTAGATTTCCATTCACTGCATCACTACTTCATGACTTTACACGCCAATGCAGATCACATTAATCCTTCAGTTAACCATAAAACTATTTGTTAAAGACGTTGTCATGTTTTGCAGAATTTTTGCAGAATTGCTGAACCATGTTTTCTCTGGTATTATGGTGCATATGAGTTACCCTGTGATCCCAGCATCTGATGTCAAGTCACACTATAATATCTTGAGTGTCATCACAACCACCATCAGTTAATGCACCTTTAGCAGGGTTATTTCCAAAATATGCATTGTGATATTTACAGTTACATGACACTGAACAGCATCTTTTGTGCCATCACAGTTCAGCCTTCACAATAAAGTTATGGAAACTACAACCTGTTCCAAAACCACTGTATCTGGACTAGCCAGATCTAGACTATACAATTAAAAACTGTCAACCGACTTCTTCAAACACAGTTTAAGGGGTGTGAAACCTTTATTCTATTTGTGTAGATGCAAAAGGGGCAATTTTACTGATTTTTCCATACCTAGTTTCATATCTATATCCTGATCAAAGACCCCAAAGCTATGACTTTTCAAATCTAGACTAGACCGCCAACAGACTTTTTCAAACAGTTTAATATCTGTGAAACCTTTATTTTAGTTTCAAAAAAGGAAAAAAGTGGGGACCTATTGCTCCTTCTGATTATAGATTTTTACCATTAACAATCATAATCATAATAATAATAATAATAATACTTATTTTTCAGCAACAGAATAAAGGGTTACAAAAATCTAAAAGTCTATAGGCCCTCTAGGATAATGTCGTCTTGATCTGCCAAGTCAAACTGTAGTGGATCTGGATGAGGACCTGGTAGCAGCGATCTCACACTTTTACACTGTTACAGGTAGAATGACAGGATCACAAATCTCGATGTGTGTTTTAAAGATTCTGCACTTTCCAGGTAAAGTGGCTCTGGGGTAGGAGGACCTATTTTCCTAAACCCTCTTCTTTATTGCAGATTGTGATAATGCCATCAGATCAGATGCTGACTTCAGGGTCATATCATATACCAACTAGCAATAATAACATTCAGGGTAAATGCAAAGTGATACAAAAACTCTGCCATGAATTTGTATTTTATGAAGCTTCCATATTTCAGTTTGTGCTGACATGGTCAGACAGGCGATAATGGGTCAATTGTTTTGGGTGATGGTGTTGTACTGGAGTGCATTAAACTGACCGGTGTTCCTAATATTTTACTCTCATTGGGTTTGATAATGAGCTAAATACACTACCAGCACCCACTACATATTCAATAATAAGTACACAGTACAAAAATCACCTGTCTGATTATGTCAAGAAACATTCAGAAGCAAATTGAAGTTTGAGCTTGATCTGCTGGGTTGTATTAGATTCCCCAGGTTTTGACGGTAAAATGCATTATATTAGAGGGCTCAAAATGGTGATAATAATCAGTGTTTCATAACTTAAACAACCTGTTTGGAGTGAAATAAATCCCTCTGGGAGCTCATGAAGAGTGCAAGGAGAAAACACAAAGAGGCTTATGAATGAGTTAGCCTCTTCATGGGCCATGCAGAAAGGAAAGGTTACTCACCGTCAGACTGTCGTCGATGTACAAGGGGATCTGTCTTGAGAGGAACGGGTAGTCCTCTTCCCCTTCCCTGCAGATTGCTACCAACCGTGCCATGACTCCTTCCAGTTTGGCCGCAGCGCAGGTGGCCTTTAGATGACACAGAGGAGATCAGACTGACCACACTGACAGCAGCACCGGCTACACCATGCTAATGCTAATCTCCTGCAGGTCAAAGCGAGCTATCTGCCTACAATCAGCTTTCGCACATACTTTACAGTTAAAAATGAAGAAAATGACGACCTTTCATTAGCACGGACAACACCTGATCAGACGTCGCCAAAAACTATTGCAACAGTCAGATTTGTCTTGACCCAGATTTAACCGGCTAACTTCAGATAGCACAACAACCTGAGGAGCGGGGCTAGGGGGGAGGGGAGGGTAAAATGACAAAGTATGTCAAATCAACTTTTATTTGGACTGATTAACAAAGATTAACTTGAAAAGAAAAGTTTTTAAAGCTGGTATCTCTTTAAAAGACACGAAAAAACGACCACTAGTAGCTAGCAACCTAAGGCTAGCCTGCTAGCTACTTTGAACAGCATACCTCTCATGGAAACTCAGGAAGCCAGTCACTGTCTATTACTATTTATAACGCTAGCGACTGTTTTACACAACAGGTAATAAAACCTCACATAAAAGAAGTATTTGACATTTGTGATTATAATATGTCTACTCTGTCGATGCCAGCAAACTCACCGCCCCCCGAAGCTAACGCTAGCTCGAGCAGAGCTAATACAAAGTTAAAGGAACTACTTTAGCGGCTTCGCTTTCCGCTGCTTCTCTGCCATTACGGGTGAAATCATGGCTGCTGCCTGTGACCTTCACAGAACAAGGGTGTATGTAACTACAGCAGAAAATATCGGTTTACTTACCAGCGTCTGAATTTAACACTTAAAAGATAAACAAGTACGACAGTGAGTGGAGCTGCCGCGGTGGCGGTGTTATGGCGCAAGTGGTTCCTTCGTCTAAACTGGTTTCCGTGACCCAGCTGGTGTATTTACCTAGCGGCGGGAGTCGGCCTTTTTTTGGTCACAACATTCGTCAAACCAAATTTGGAGCTGGCCCACCCAAGTTTTTTTTTTTTCTTAAATTAGCACCCAAAAGGAGAGAACGAGTCTGCCTTATTGACTTTTTTCTTTAGGTTTATTTTTGAGACAGGGTGTGGTCCTCCTATCACTTGGGCCCGAATCTCTGTCATTAGCCTATAAATGACATACAAACTAAAAAAATCACCCGTGGCGTGTTCCCCTCCACGACATAAACGGTGTATTTTAATTGTGTTCAATAAGTTAGATCGTCGCTGCTTAAATTCTATACTATATATTGTATAAGCACACGGAAAAGCAGTTGTTTTAGAGGAGCAAAACCCAGAATAGTACCTGGGTTTGGTTGGAGTTAATTAATGCGAGCTCAGGCTAACAGGGACAGAGTTATCAGGTGATCATCTGTTGCTCTTTTACGATTGAATCTAATACTTTCCCCCCAAAGCTTTACTTTTACACATTCAGTTACTCTCGTTAGTGAGTGTGATACACTACTCACTTATCAAGCTCTTTTGCTGTAGTAAATGTGAAAAGAGACCGGAAACTGCTGCCAATATGTTCGTGAATGTGTGACGAATGTTGTGTGAGCTCCTGCTGCTAGGTAAACACAACAACAGATGGCACACGCAAGCCAGTTCGCACAGCAACCAGTTGAGCAATAACATCTACGATAGCGCCGGAATCTTCCTCACTAATTTGACCTTTGCCCTCTGCACGTAGTTGCAGACGTCGTAATGAAAAGAGGTCTGCAGGGGGCGCTGTGTGGCACCTTTTCAGGAGGAGAATGGTCATTCACAAATGAAGGACATTTCTTATGGATTTGTTGTGAACAATAAAGAACTTTAATTAACATTGCCACGATTTAGAGGTAATACTGCTGATACAAACATACAAGATAACAGGTTTTGTACATTTTCAATGGGTTCTCTCCTATACAAAGGCCCTTCGAGTCATGGAAAATGCATGGAAAAATGTCTAAACATTGTAGAAGTAAACAATTTCTAAGAAATGCCCCAACCTTTTAAGTTGTTGGTATTATTTCAGTTTTCTATCATTTTGTCCTTAACGTCAGTTTTTGCACCCATGTTTCATGTTTCACAGAACAGTGTAATGTTGTTTATGTGTGACTTAAAAATACATTTTGAAGAAATAAATAAAAAAGTTTCTTAAAGATAGATGAGCCTGTTGGAGACAATAATTGCCCGAAACTTATCTTTAACTTTTAGGTTTTACATTTGTGTCAAATACTTTTAAATGCTGGTTTAATTTAGTTCATTTACGTATCTTTTGAAAATGTTAGATTTTCTGTGCTTTATTATTATTATTATTTTTTGCATGTAACATGGGAGACTTGTCAGGAGCAAGACCCACAGGAACAGCAAAAAAGGATAATAAAATGATAACAAAATTCCTGTGTGAAATAGTCAAAAATGTTTTAGAGGATTTTCATTGTTTTTGCTCCTGCTTATAATTTTTAATTTAACTTCTTTTTTATTCACCTCATTACCTGTTATCATTTTGAGGATCAAAAACTTTGCTAGCGCTTGCTTTGGGTTGATAGTCTCTATCCTGTGAAGTCTGATACTACTCAAAACGAACTTTCATTTAAGCAGTTTAGGATTAAGTCCAGTAGGATTATAACCTATGGAATTTATGCCTAATAACTTAAACAAAGACCTTTTAGATTGTTTTTATCAGATTAAATTGTATGCTGTAGTCTAAAACCGGCAGGGCAATGTTTAAAATGTACTAAAAACAGTATTTGATGGTCTGCAAATCATTTGAACACTGTAATCTATTAATACTACAATATATTTTATGAAATATACATGCTTACTTTGAATTTGAACATGTTTACTGTTGTGCTGCATCATCTTGTTTGTTACTTCAGTTATTTATCTATTTTTTTACACTACAGAACCATACTGTTGTACATTAAGCAGAAATTGCTTTGACCAGAAACGAGATTGTCTGAAATGCTGCACATGTTACTCCAAAACCTGTATATATTGTTCAGCATTAATGGTCCTTTCCCAAATGTGTATCACCTATCCTTAGTGTGGACCCTCATACATCCCCATACCATCCCTCCAACCAATGCAGATGCTTATCTTTGGACTGTGTACTAGTAAGCTGAGTGGTTTCTTCCCTCTGTAGAACACTGGATTCAGAGTCTATCATTTCTAATGAGAATGCCAGAACTTGACTCGTCACACCACCACTGGACACTTTTCTTCTTTGCCTCAGTCAATCTTAGATGGGCTCAGACCAGAGAAGTCACTAATGTTTCAAGACCAGGGTAATTCTTGATTTCCTCTTTGGGTGGTATCATGTTAATCTGCAACTGTGGATGACATGGGTTTACAGGCAATAGGTGATTTTGAGCCCATGCAGTGATTTCCACAACAGAGTCATTTCTATTTTGAGTGCAGCGGCATCTGACAGCACAAACGCGACAGCCATTAAATATTGAGTTTTGGTCTAGTTTTTTTTAAATAAGAGATTTCTCCGTTTTCTCTGAATCTTTTAATGTTACCATGTACTGCAGAAAATGAACTTTACAATTAGCACCATTACTTTAAAATTGTTCAACTATTTGCTCACACATTCTCTCACATGGAGACTCGGCCTCTCTGAAGTGCTGTTTCACACACAGTCATGTAACTCATCTGTTGTAAATTAGCTTTATCTGGGTGATAATTCTTTTCATATTTTTCTCCAGATATAACATTTGACGTATTTTCTTTGGACTACTTCAATAAAATTTAGGGTAATGGATTTCAAGACCATCAGTGTTTATTTTTGGGCAGAATCTAAGTGAGAAACTTATACGGCACAACATAGTAAGTAATAAAAGTGTGTTTATTCCCAACAAAAAAGTATATACAGTAGTGTATTAATTGATACAGATCATTTTCATATTTTACAGGTTCTCAATTTTCAAATATTTCCTTACATGATGAGAGTTATTAAGGCCTTTTAACAATAATCAAGCAACACAGTAATCTTATGGTTTTGCAGGTACAAATTCACCAGAATTTTAAAGTGATTTCACAAACATGTAAAAGATAAATAATAAAGCTATTCATGAACATGTACAGCAGCAAAACACACACTGAAAACAAACTGCTACTGCTAAGTGTGTCCACTACAGAGTTGGTCAATCCTGTCATGACATTTGCAAGCAGGAAAAATAACAACTGATTCCTGCTGACAGCTTGAACAAGGCAGAGTCCCTCCATTTCTTCAGTCTTTTTCTCAGAGTCCGACTGTTTTTTATCCAAATTCCAGGATGAGGGAACAAGATGACAGCCTGATGTTTTTTTGGAAAACAGCAAAACCATATCAGCAATACCGATGCAGGAAAGAAAAAACAAAGACTGGGCAACACTCCAGATAAAGAAAGGTAAATTAGCCATGCAGCGAGACACTGGCTCTACAAGGGTCTGACATGTCCACAAGGCAGCGAACAGGACAGAGCATGCAAGCAACAGGTTGAAGAAAACTTTCAGCCACTGTCTAACCTGTGATCTAGGCTGCATGACATAGAGTCCAACCTGAACTCCTGCCATGTAGATGGCTACATATCCCACAACAGAGAAGATGCCCTCCTTGTTAGCATGCAGAAAGTCTTTTTCTCTGTCATTGTTGTAAAGAATGAAGGCTTTCAGCTCTGATGTCTCCAGAACAAACTGATAAAACCCACTGATCAGAACTGCATAGACCCATGAGTGACAGGCTGGCAAAACAGCCAAAAGCAAAGATACCACAACTCTGACGATGGCAAGTGTGAAGAAAAAGTTCCAGTGGACCCCGTACTCTTTCACATGCTCATGGTAGCCGGTCATTTTCAAGCTAACAAGCCTTCCCATACCAAGAACAACCAGCGGCCACACAGACAGGAGCTGCTTTTTTATATGATTAATCCTGGATCCTGAGAAGTTTTTCCCTCGTGCCTCTGGACAGACAAGAGCATTCGCAAAAATATATGCCCCAACACCAAAGTCCATCACACCTGTCCCATAGGTTTCAGTTTTAGCATATCGTCTTGGGAAAATGTCAAAGTCTACTGCAAGAATGCTGATGGATGTTTTCACATTTACTAACACTCTGAATATGGTCACAAAGGGCACCTGCTTAAACTGAACATGACTCTGAAGAAAACTGCTGACTGTGTTCTGTGGGCGCTTGTTTTTACAATAGATATAGCAAATCAGACAAAGTGTAACAAGGCTGAGGCCGATGATGACTTGGTGGAGGATGCTGCTCATGACGGTGCATGACAGCACGAGGGGGAGGATAAGCGCTAAAAAGTCAAGTAGTAGGTGAGAGATCAGTGAAAGTGGCAGAGGAAGAGTCTTTCTGGCTTGATAGTAGAGGATTAAAATGAGTCCTCTGTTGATGAGGCACACTGGAGCGAGGATGGAGCCCAGGGCCACCTCCTGCAGACTGGTCCCATTTAGGTTACTGACAAATGCTTCCTTCAATTCCTTCTGAGACATGGCCTGTAAACATAATATGTATTTTACAACATGATATACATGATTGCAGAAAAAGTCAAATATGTCATGGAAAACTTAACACCATACAGGTTATCAAGGCATCCCCCACAGTGAATTTAGAGGAATCTATGTAGTTACAGTGGTTTGAAGAAGTGTACGGGGTGTCTCTTGAGTGCATACATTTCCTTTCGATGTATTTATTTTAAGCTGAATCGGCCATGCTGTCTTAGAATTGGCTTAACATTAAAACAGTTACTGCAGAACTTCCATTCATAATCATGTTTGCCTTTTTAAGACTGGTTATTTCACGAATACAGTCAAATAGGTGCCTCACCTATACTACGATGTCATACTATCTGACTGCGGCATCTGTTTGTCAAGATTTCCATACTTACTTTTTACCAAGTCGTGTTCAATGCAGCGTTGAAAATGCCGTTCCTCAAAAATACCTGTTCTGCAGCATACTTATTCACAGTTGCTTTAGGTTCCTGTTCTAGCCGAGCCATCATGCTCATCACAGCGCCTACGCCTACTTCCGCGTTCGACGACATGCTGCGTTCAAAGTAGCTCAGATTTCTGTAAATCTTTAGTTCGCTGGGAAACATTCAAGAAATTGGTATGAAATATGATGAAACAAGACAGCATATGATCTTGTCATCTGTACTAAATCAATGTCGACAAAATTGCTACCTCTCCTTTTTAGCTGCAATGCCATCACCAATCTAAAAATGCCCGACATTCATTTGTAAAGTTTTAGTGAACAGTAATACATTTTTTTCATCTTACAGAGGTTGTATTATTATTATTATTATTATTATTATTATTATTATTATTATTATTATTATTATTATTATTATTATTGTGGAGGAATTGTGGAGGAATCTTACTTTGAAATTCTTGTGAAATATGCAGTACATCCTTGTAGTGTTTTTTGGTTTTGTTTGTATTGTTGTCAATACCTTTTCGGAAGATTTTCAGTTCTGGTCAGCTTTTATTTTCCAGTCTTTACCCTTGCCCCAAATTAAAGAAATGTATGCTTGATGTATGTGGTAAAGGAGCTTTGGAACTTTTGTTGTACACTAAAATTCATGTAAGAATGGCAAAGACTTTTAAAAATAGGTCAAAGAATATAAACTTACCTCAACAAAAACCAAGGTCTTGTTTTCTCTTTCACGTTTCCCTTTTTATGCCGTTTCCTTCATTCCCTTTCAGTATTTCACATCAACCTTATTTTTCTAAAATTTGCACACACACTTTTTGATGATACAGGTAAGGAGTGTGCACTTACTTATTTTTGTTAAAACTTTGTAATGCCAGGTCAAATTTTGACTAGCTTATAAAAAATACTACAAAATGAGTATTTTTACAATATAGCTGGATGTAACTGTGATAGAACCACATTTAATGCTTATTTTGTCAAACAACTAATATTTTTAATATGTCGATTAATGTCAGGGTGTTGACATAAGCAAACAACAAAAAAGCTGCAAGACCCTAAAAGTATAAAGCTATATTTTAAAGCAACGATGAAAAATATATTTGCTTTGTGTTGATTTTGGTGCCCAAGGTGGTCTTTGCTGATTTTGTCTTTTGTAATTAATAACTTCCTGACAACAACATTAACAAAACAACACAAAAAATAATAATAAAATAAACACTGTGCTCTATTTTTATAGTCAAATTAATCCTGAGTGTCTCTTTTGTGAATTGGGAAAAGGCTATGTCAGCAGGATACAGTTTGTTTCAGTCATTGATCATAAAACCCATGACAACTGTGTAGAAATACTTCTTGTTGATGGTCTGCTGCGTTTGAGTTCTCTCGGAAGTCAGATGTCGGAGCTGAAAACGACGTCACACTCGAGTTACCAGCGTTTCAGTTACCAAGTCGGAAAAAAAAAACAAAATCAGAGGTGCAAACAAGATGGCTACATCTACGAAAGTTATTTCAGTGCTTCTCTGTCTGAATATGACAAAGACGAGGCAAGCACTAAAATAATTTTCGTAGATGTAGCCATGTTGTTTCCGCTTCCGATTTTGCTTTTTTCCGACTTGGTAACTGAAACGCTGGTAACTTGGGTGTGACGTCATTTTCAGCTCCGACATCGTACTTCTGAGGTAACACAGAATAAGAAGAGCTTTATTGATCCCTGGAGGAAAATTCAATAAAATTCTTCTTATCCTAAGTTACCTCAGAAGTCAGATGTCGGAGCTGAAAATGATGTCACACCTGTGTGTTTTTTCCGACTTGGTAACTGAAACGCTGGTAACTCGGGTGTGACGTCATTTTCAGCTCTGACATCTGACTTCCAAGGTAACCCAAACGCAGCATTATTTTTTGCTTTTTATGTCATAAAAAGACATCAACATAAATCTGGCCAAAACCCCCTTACGGTAGCTTTAAATTCCAGTAAATTGGCAGTACAATAAGTCATAAAAGTCTCACCGTCTCAATGCTAGAGAGAATATAGCTTTCTGAAGAAAAAGGTGTTGGGGATGTGTCCTTGTCCCTCAATCAGCGCTGGACAGTCCAGCCAAGCTCAGGAAGGATCAGTTAGAGGAGGAGGAGGAGGAAGAGGAGGAGGGCGGGAAGCCTGCAGTTTGTGGGGTCAGAGAGGCAGTCGTTCAGCCAGCTTCCATGCCGTCATGCAACGCACACGGGAAGTTGTCCTTGAGGAATGTCTGACAGGAATGGAAAACTCTGAGGTTCAGGACAGTAAAGTCAAATAACCAGAAATCAACTTGAGAATTATTTAGACGAAGAGTGTCGAAGTTTATTTCAGCTGACTGTTTGAAGACGGACCCGGAGTTAACAGTTTAATCAATGAATTCTGCGAACAACGGACGAAACGTTGGAGTAGGACACAGACATGGAGGGGGGACGGTAAGCTAAGAGACACAGGAAAGACCCGACACATTAGTTTTTCACTGTTCGGTCAAAACTTTGAAGTTTCCGTCGAGTTTGAGAAAAGAAGTAGCCCCAAGAGTTATGCTAAAGCTGGTGTAGTTTTATGAAGCTGTGACGGTTCTCACTTTTGATTGGTTGCCTCGTGTTCAAACTGGTTGTAAACGGTATAATTAAGACATTCATTGGACGTGATTACAGTACTGTTACAATGAGCCTGGGTGGTAAAATGACACTACAACAGGTGGAATACTCCATTAAAAAAGGTCGGCAACTTGTTTTCTTACCAGTTTTTCCCTCACATCACAGAAAAAAGGTAAGAAAAGAAACAGGGTTAAAACTATCTGTGTGACAAATGTTTTCTAAAACAGCCTCCATTTTATTATATTTTCTTTTTTTACACGCGGCGATATTCACTAAATTCATAGATATTTACTTGAGTTTGGTGTGCGAGTAACAGCGTCAAAGGACTCTGAACAGCTGTTTTTGAATGCTGGTGTGTTTCTTTAACCAAAAACCCATTTGAACCCTTAGTTCTTAAAAATATCGCTATATGACCTTTTGTTCAGGACAGTAACAAGCATTTTAATGTTCTGTTTGTGTTGTCTAATGGTCATTTGAATTAACTCGTTAAAATGAATGTGAACTCCGGACGTTATTTGTACAGCACCCGGTATTAATTAAATTGAATTAAGGCTATTTATAGGCTCTGAAACGTCCTTACGGAATAATGGGATGAAGAGTACTTGTCATTGGATTAATCGCGTCTGCACAAATTTAGTACGTCAGACTGTTGACAGCAGTCAGGCAGGCTGTAGATCCAGGCCATGTGAGCCACCGTAGAGCAGGCTCTGTTTACCGGTCTGAGGTAATTGTGACTGAATGAATAACACATTTACATATTTATTTGCACTTCCTGTTGTTATTTTTTAAATATGGATATTGTTATAGATATTATTTTATATGCCCTTTTTGTATGACGCCTTATACCTCTCCTAAAGCCTCAGAGAGAAAGTGTGATTGCTTTATTGCATACAGATAGCTTGGGTCCCCTATAGCTTTGAAAAGTCAGACTGATTGTGCAGTTGGAGATAAAATGGAAGCACAAAACAAGATCTATCTTTGCCGTGCTGTTGTGAAGGAGCTATGAAGTGTGTTATACTTATTTAGACATCAGTGAAAATGTAATTTTTTGTTTTGACGGTCTTTCTTAATATCTGAACCACATGTTTATCCTTTGTATTTTTGCCTCATTATGTTGTCTGACTCAAACAGGTGAAAGCTTTCATTCAGAAAGTGCAATCTCATCAACCATCCCTGAAAGAATCGTTGAATGGAGAGATTCAGGCCTTCCTCACTGATGAAGACCAACTCCACACATATGACGACCTCACCAAAGTCAACCCGGTGACGCCAACAACAGGTAATAAATGAAGCTAGTTGTCCCTTCATTAGTATCAGTGATGATGACTGCTGAGGATTTTTGCCCACTTGAGCAACATGCCATATGAGTCATTTAATCTCCAGTTGCAGGTATTCTTATCCAACAAAGAGGCCTTTAAATAACATGATGGCACAAGCCCTGAAACCTTAACTGATGCATGTCAACGAGGGCTCATTGTTTGATATGCAATGTAGACTTTGCCTTTATTTGCAAACACACAACCAGTGTCTGTGTGTGTGCAATCGAGTTTGCAGGTCACCTTGAATCAGTGCCTTCGCGGCACGTTATTTAACCATGCTGGGAAGAAATCAGAAGGGATGATTAAACAACATCTTAATCCATGACAGACTGCTGTGCTATCATATAAACAACAATAAGGATGTGGTTTTAAGAAAGAGAACCAAGATTGGAATTTAATTTGTTGGCAGACATAATTTTTGTCATTGATTTTATTGCACAAACAAAACAAAATATTATTGCTCAGTTACAAGAGCCAGGACAACAGACACTTGAGAGGGAAATCCAGCTTGGCTCAGCAAAGAAAATGCAAGAGGAGCGAAAAACCCATGAGGGCTAGTTGGGTGGCTGTCATAATGAGAAACATTCACCATAAGACAAAGTGTTAACAATGTACAGACAAGTGCATCATACAATTTGACGATAGATAAGGGTGATAAAGACAGATTATTAGCTGTGCCATCCATCATTTCTCCTTTTCCATTGTCTGTATTCCGAAGTAATTAAACTGTCATTGATGTTATGTAAGACAAAGACAGGGTTTGTCATTGATATGTTTGAGTTTGTATGTCAGGTTGAGTTAAATCCGGTTAAAGAGCATCAAAAAACAGTAAAGAATATCAACAGCAAAGGTCAAAGAGACAGCTCTGTATTAGTAATCTGTTTTATTACGCTTTTGTTCTGATATATATTTAATGATCATGATTAAATATTTACCGAGAATAAAAAAGAAATAGAGCTGCAAGCAGCTGCACTAAACTGGCTCCTGCACCTGTGTGCCTGTTGGGGTTTGGCCCCTGACAGGGCAAGTTGCATGTCATGCATAGTGTGGTGCAGTTGTGATGTGTTGCCACTCTTTATGCTTGAGTTAGCGAAAATTTTGATGCACAGAGAGACATCAGACAGTGACAAACTACCTTTGCCACACCCTTTACGTTTTGTAGATAAGCTCAGGAGCATTTGTGTCTTTTTTCATGCCTTCTCTGGCAATGAAAAAAATCAAAAGTATATCAAAAAGTCCCAAAGGCAGGCGAATCCCAGGGCAACCCCAGAAAATGGCTAAAAGAAATCGCTGTTTTTACGATATCAGGATTTGACCAGCTGACATGGAATTGAACAGAAAGAGCTGAGGAACTCTTTCTGTTTAAGATCTCTTCTAGTGCTTCATCGCCTTTGAATTGGATGGATTAACCTCTGAAAGAAAGTTAGTTTTAGTAAGACCCCTGGAAACGGCTGAAAACTGGATCGTATTTACAAACAAAGAATCAACTTGCTTTGGGTTTTATAACGTGGGTTTGAGAAACATTTTTTTAGGTCTAGACATCACATCAACCCTCAATTTTCCATAGTCTTAGGTAAAATGTATTGGAATGTGGACTTCCAACCTCTGGTGGGTAGTTGGATAAAAGTCTATCAAATTTGGCAACCTGGATTGGATTTGTGTATGATTGTATGAGAGCAGTAGTGTGTTGCCACCAGGTGGGGCTGTAACTTTTGAGAAAAAAAAATCATATTTCAGTAAAGTTTGTGCTCCTTCTCTCGGTTCCTCTTTTTCTTGTCATTAATGGTGATTATCGGTAACACGTTACCCTGCCTATTTTTTGTTGTTGTTCTAGTTAATATATAATGAGTTTTATGTGTTTCTTTGTTAATGTCTAATGAGATTCGATGTATTTCTGTCTTAGTGCTGCAATGCCTACAGGCCAGGTACAGTGTGAAGGTGTTTTACACCCACGCGGGCTGCACCTTGGTGGCCCTCAACCCCTTCCAGCCGATCCCAGACCTGTACACTCTAGATGTGATGAAGGAGTACCACTCCGCTCCTCAGCCTCAGGTGAAGGGTTTGACAGTTTGGTGTGGCCATAATAAGAGATTTTCTCTTTGTTTCCTTTTTTGAAGTTGTCTGTTTCCTGGTCTAACTAAAGTAAACTATTCACTTATTAAGACCTGTAGACGTATGGCCAAAGATGTTTGTGAACAAGTCAACATCTAAAACAACGAACACAGTTCAAACAGTTCATCTGATCTTAGCCAGTGTTTCAGAAGTTTTTGAGCATCAATCATTCTGCTTTATTTTCTCAAACTAAAATTCCTCTGGTTCATTGTTCGATGCCTTTTGATAAGAACAGCTCTTGAAATAAACTCGGCAAACTATAGGATCTGAGAAATTGGACACCTGAAAATGACCAGCATCGTAATGGATCTGTGTGCTTTTGTCAACAGGAGTTCAAGCCACACATATTTATTGTGGCAGAGGAAGCCTACAGGAACGTTAAGGGCCAACTGGAGCCAGTCAATCAGTCGCTGGTGGTCAGTGGTGAGAGCGGCGCAGGAAAGGTAAACCCACACAGCAGGAATTATAAATATGAGTTTGGTTAACTTACTATACTTACAGTATAGCTAACCTGTTTCAATAATTTTAAGCCAGTGTGTTGTGTGTGCCCTTGTTCATTATTTCTGCATTTTTTCATGCTAAAAGTAATCATTTCCCATCTGTTGTTTTATTTAGCCAGTACTACAGAGTTTATCAGACATAAAAATACAACACTGTAGAACTATAACACTGTGATGAGACATTTTAAACAACCCACAGACACTTAACAATAATAAGACTGAGAGTAAATTGCAACCTTTCTGTAAAAGTGTAACATATAGTATACTTTTTTTTTACAGACATGGACATCTCGCTGCCTGATGAAATACTATGCCACAGTGGCGGCCTCCTCTTCTGTGATGAAGAGCCAGGACACGGTGGAGAGGATAGAGAGGAGGGTGCTGGACTCCAACCCTATCATGGAGGCTTTTGGTGAGACAGCTGATTGCCAGTGTGCTGTTTATTAACAATTACTCCTATAGATTGATGGCTGCTCAGTCAACTCTTCCCCCTCTATGTAGGAAACGCCTGTACACTACGCAACAACAACAGCAGCCGCTTCGGAAAATACATCCAGCTGCAACTAGACAGGTACTTACTGCTGAGTCTGCTGCATCAACTTTATCATTATTTGTGATCACACTAGCTCAGCTTCTTGAAACTAACCATTACACAAGTTCTTGGTTTAAATCATCCAGCGTATTATTTACATTTTCAGGGGCCAGCTGTTAGTGGGAGCGTCTGTGCAGACTTACTTGCTAGAGAAGACCCGAGTAGCCTGCCAGCCTGCTAATGAGAGGAACTTCCACATCTTTTACCAGGTGAGTTAACAGCTTTGCATCTATCCTCATATTCTCTGGTGATGTGTGAGTTCAATGCCAAGAAAGTATGTTATGCAGAAGTGAATACAGTGAGTGTACTGCTCTTTTAGATGATGAAAGGGGCCACAGTAGAGCAGAGAAGAGAGTGGAAGATGAACCACGGACAACGTTTTGCATGGCTACCTCATTCTGAAAAAACTCTTGAGGGTAGGTTTTCATCATTTCTTGTGTTTATGCAGAGACTTTTTTTTGTCCTCCATTGCTGTACTAGTAACTGCTGTTTATTTCATGTCTGACAGAGGATTGTTTTCATGAGACTGTGAGGGCCATGGTTCACCTGGGCATTAATGCGGATCGGCAGAGACAAATATTCAGGGTAAGGACTTCATCATTAACGTCTTAGTTTTCATGTTGTATTGACAGGGTACAGTTGTTGTAAAAGCAGAAAATGGAACACAGATCTTCTTTTCAAAACTGCTTTTCTTTGTTCAAGACATTGTTTTGTCAGATATATAGAGATGAGGTAACGTGTTGATTTGTGGCTTTGAGAAGTTATTAAGTGTAACCCAGCAATGACAAAACTGAACTGTTAGTTATCTTAAAAAAGGGGACCAGACTCATTGGTTTAACGTAAGCTGTGCAGCCCCGGTGTCAGTTGTGTGCCATGGTGTCTGAATGAATGCCAGGATAATGTAAATATGCACACAGCTCCACTCTTTTGTTCTCAAAGAGCATTCACACACCAGCGTAAACTTTAAATCCTGAGTAGAGCCCTGGTTGTAGAGTTTCTACTTCTAACACAGTATACATGGTTTTGCTAACCCTGCTTTCCTATCAGCCATGAGTACAAAACCTTTCACAAAAAGAAAGTTATCCAAAGAAAACTGAAAATCCCTCTGCTGACTAACTTCCTTCCCACGGCCAAACTTAAGCATCAGAATTCCAAACACAGATACTTGTGGTTTCATGACAAATGTGGACCGGGCTTCTTTTAGCTTGGTGGAAAATCTGACTGGGACACACCAATATTGTTGCCGAGTGTCTATTATACTCTGTAGGCCATAAAGATGCATGATCCCAGTGCCACAAAGCTTTTACTTAGAAAGCACAGACTTCATCGTCAAATATGACTTATTTGGTGAAATGTATTTTATTTTTTATCTCTTATTATCTTTGTGTTACACCAGTGTCCGTATCTGGGTACACAGAGGAGGAGTAATAATTGTGTGCCAATACAGCATTAAATACTCCTCTTTTCTATATTTTAAGTACTTAAAAACTGTTCAGGCAATGTTTACATAACAGCCAGCTGTGAGGTTCAAGTGGAGGATTAAGGGATTTAAGTGTTGCATAATTATCAATGCACATGCAATGCACCATGATCTCCAGTCATCTATAACCAAAGCACATTATTTCTCTTTGTGTTTAAAATCCATTACAGGTATTAGCAGGGATTCTGCAGTTGGGGAATTTGAGTTTCTCTTCTGCAGTGGATGAAACACAACCCTGTAACCTGGAAGAACCGACCAAAGGTACTGAGTGAGGTTTTATTTGGAATATTAAACCAACTCTATCAAGCGCTTTTAGTAACTTAGCCTGCAAATGATCTTTTTGTTTACAAACTCAAAATTAACATTAGAAAACCCTAAGATGCTGAAATCCCTAAGAAAATTCTCACGCTAGTTACCATATCACCCCATGCTCCTCAATAACAAGCATTCATAAATGTGAGATCTGTGTTTCAGACTTCTTGCAGAAGGCTGCTGAGCTGCTTCGTGTCCCTCCTGTGGAGCTTCAGATGTGTTTAAGAGTGAGGACTTTAAAGGCAGGGAAACAGAGTGTGCTCAAGCCGTGCTCTCAGGCAGAGTGCAGCATGAGGAGAGACTGTCTGGCAAAGGTCATCTATGCACAGTAAGAAAAGATTTCATTATTAAACTTGGAAATGTCTGAATGTGATGATGATGTTATGTGGAAGAATCTGCAGGCTTCAGTATGTTTCCATGACTCAAACTTTATTTGTTATCAGAAAGCTTTCAACCAAACACCCAGGAGTGAAACCATCATTGTCTTTTATTGACAGTAAATAGTGAAGAGTTTCTGTTAATCTGGTTTTATTAATACAGGCTGGTATGTTTTTGCAGTAAGTGTATTATGTTTTCCAACAGATTGTTTGAATGGCTGGTTATGTTCATAAACAACAGCATTTGTGCAGATGAATCCACATGGTGCAACTTCATCGGTAAATGCATTAGTATCGCCTACGCCATCAAATACACATCAGTTTGTACATTTTGCATCAACTGTCTTTCCATGAACTCACTCACTTCTCTTTGTGATCTCCAGGAGTTTTAGACGTGTACGGGTTTGAGTGTTTCTACACCAACAACCTTGAGCAGCTCTGCATTAACTATGCAAATGAGAAGCTGCAGCAGCACTTTGTGGCCCATTATCTCCGAGCTCAGCAGGTAGATCTGAAGAGTTTTCTTTTTCCAAGCAGAGAAATCTGCATAATGTGAAGAACAGCAGAATAATTTTTCATATTTTGTGCAATTGAATAAAGATATTTTGTTCTGTATCAAATCTTTTTTTCAGGAGGAATATGTGACAGAGGGGCTGCAGTGGTCGTTTATCAAATACCAAGACAACCAGAGCTGTTTGGATCTTATAGAGGGAAGCCCAATCAGTGTGTTTTCGCTTCTAAATGAGGTATGAAGGTGATTCTCTCGTCTTAATTAGAATTTAAACACGTATCTTTGTCAGTTAACGGAACAAAGACACAGCTTGAATGACATATAAAACATTGAAACCCCAATAAGAAGAATGTATTCTCGGTTTAAACAGTAAAAAGGGGAAAACCAAACACAAATTTGAAGCTAGAGACAATCCATAGTTAGCTGGTGGCTGTGTAAAATAGAATCTTGTAGAGTACAGTAAGCAGGAAGAAGTGGAATCATAAAGAGTGTACTCAATGTGCCGTATCTCTGTTCTGCAGACTGATCTGATATGATGTGTGAACAGGTTGTTCCTAGTTGCCTTTGTTATTCAGAATGAACAGCTGTTGTCAAGGAGTTTTGACCAATCAGAATCAAATGTACAATGATTTCAGGGGTGGGGGGGATTGCCTCACATCAGACCGGCAATTCCTCAATCCTACCCATTTGAATTGAGTGGAAAAGTACAAAAGTGGAGATTGAAATGCTGTTTTAAAATGTTAACGGGCCAGTTTGGGAACTTGCAAACCTGCTGAATTGTTTACTGTTACGAGGTATATAATTACAGCAAGGGATGCGTTTGTCAGTCCTGGTTAGCAAGTCATGTAGCTAAGCTTAGTGAGATGATATAATGGTACGTCATTATTTTGGTTGTCTTCAATCACCAGGAGCAGTTTGTGAGCTCATACTCAAAGGAGGAAAAAACAACTTAAACTATCTCTGTATTCCCATCAACAAAGCAGTGACCTGACCACAAAACCAACCTGAGAAGAATTCTTCAACTTCCATTCTGCCATTAAGAACATTTTTTCAAACTTTTTGGGGGATTTTTTGATGAAAATACTCCCAAAAATTCCTCACACACTAAAAGAAGAGTTTTCAGGGTAGTGATAGCTCAAACGTCTTATTTAGTGGAGTGGTACAGTTAGTGACTTGCCCTAGTGATTAATTTGTTCATTTGAACTGTGTTAATAATAAATGATTTAATAGATTTTCTTCTGACCTATTGTTTATAGGGATTGTTTAGTATAGCAAGTATCTTGGTAAGATAATTACATCTTCACATACTTGCCCTATAGGAGAGTCGTCTCAATCGGACTTCTGATGCTCGTACATTGAGACTGCGTCTAGAGAAGGAGCTTCATGATAACTCCAACATCAGCTGGGACAAGTTCAGCAAGGAGCCTCACTTCACTGTGTCTCACTACGCTGGCAAAGTAAACTACCAGCTACAAGGCATGGTGGAGAAAAACAAGGTAGGAAAGTAAAACTTTGAGACTGGGTTCAGAAAGTTGACCGCAAGCCCACGTCCACTTACTGTCATCTGCTGGATCTTGTGCTTTAGGATCCTGTACCACCAGAGCTCATTAAACTGCTTCAGAAGTCTGAAGACCCGCTGCTTCGTCAGGTCTTCACCGACAAGGAAACTGAGAGCCCGAACTCGAAAGGGCTCAATAAAGTCACCGTGGTCTCCAAGTTCAAGGTGAGAGTCTTGATCACCGTGGTTACATAAGCTTGTCCTCTACCCAAAGATTAGTGATGACGTTCTTGTCTGATTATAGAACTCTCTGGAGAGCCTGATGAAGATCCTTCACACCACAACTCCCCACTACACACGCTGCATCAAACCCAACCCAGACTGCAAGCCACTCACCTTCAAAAAGGAGGAGGTAGATTTTCCAAACATACACATTTAAAACTGTTTTCTGCTTCAGCAGAGCCTTTAAAACAAGAGGAGGCCCTTTGTGTACCGTTCAAACTGTCTTTGCAAAAAAAAAGGTTTCAGTGTTTTTTTCCTGTCTGCCTTCAGGTTATCATGCAGCTGGAGGCCTGTGGGATTGTAGAAACTATTCACATTAGTGCTGCTGGATTTCCAATACGGTAAAATGATCATCCTGTCAACTATGTGCTTTGCTCTCTTTGTCTTTGATTATGCATGACAGGCTGTTTCTCTTCTTCAGAATTCTTTACAAAAACTTCCTGCAACGTTACGGACTGATCTCGAGACATATAAACTCCAAGTTTAGGTTCCATCATGTTGGTAAGTGGAGTTTGTTGTGGAACACTTTCACCTTCACTTTTGACTTTGTCAATATGGGAGAAAAAAATAGTGATTTGTTTCCTCTCTTTAGGTCTGCGGGTTTTTCCCCCCTGTCCTTTATTAGCTCTCTTAGTAAGCTTGACCCTCAGTTATCTTTGGGAATTACTTTTTCTTTAAAAAGGACTTCCTAACAACATTTGCTACTTTTCAGGTAAATGCATGCACCTCTGACTATCAGAGCATGCTTTGCATGTCAAGCAGCTTCATTGAGCCATTGTCATAACTGAAGACTTTAATTGCACAAATCTCCACTTCTGCTCATGTAATATCATCAGGTGTAAAAGGTGTGAATCTTTGATGTGAATGAATGTGGAGAGTGTGCTGCTAACTCTGCTGATAGCTTTCCCTACTTTAACTCCTACTCAACACTTCTCCCATCACCGAGTGACATAAGTTCAAACCAGCACTACTTTTAAACTGGATCCACACATAGCTGGAACCCTGCTCTGATCTCACCTTCAATTAATTATCCAACTTCACGCTGTAATTGTACTTCCTCTCTGCCTCAGATGCGGAGGTTGACGGCAACGTCATTCTTCAGCAAGAGGTGGAGAAGCTCCTGCGTGCGGCGTTACAACACAAGGTGTTTGACCCCTTGCATAAGCTTGAGAGTGAGAAGCACAATTCATGGGTGCACTGTGGAAGGACAAAAGTTTTTCTCACTCAGCTGATGGTGAGGCTTTGATTTATTCACACATTTTTTACCATTTGCATCATTTGAACCGTAGTCTAAGTGTATGCATACCTCAAACTGGGGGCAAAGTTTGTTAATTTTGCACATGATGCCAAGAGTTCACACTCTCTCAAGTGTTTGTGGGAGAATGAACAGCCTCTTTATGTCTTGCAGCTTGATTTGTTGGAGAATCAGAGGAAGAAGATCATGTCCCGGTGTGCCTTCTCTATCCAGTGCTGCTGGTGGCGGTACCAGTGCCGCAAAAGGCGTGCACGTCAACGCTCTACTATTCTGATCCAAGCAGGTAAACCCTTAATGCACTGGTAATGTCCGGATGAATGAAAGCAATAGACATCAGTGACCTAAGTGTGTGTCTGCTTATTGAGATCCGATTGTCCAGCCAACAAGAGCTCGCTAGTACAGTCAGTACCAAGCGCTGGAGGACTGGCAGTGTTTATCCATTCATTGGCAGCACAAGGCTCCTCCCATAGAAGCTCATCATCTAATTAAATGTTAATGACAGATTACCTTTGAATGGGATTCGCAGATTAAACCTGCAGAGTGAATGGTCTGGCAAAGTGTTTGAAGGTTGAATGTGTTGTCCCTCCTGCAGCGGTGCGGTCCTGGCTGGTCAGGAAACAGGTCAAGAGGTGGAACAGAGCAGCGACGGTCATCCAGAGGGCCTGGAGGAAGAGGAGGGTGAGTTTAAGACAGACATACAGTCAAGTGTGTCTTTTTTGTCCTTCCTACTGCAAATACAGGAACCCCAGGTAGTGCACGTTAAAGCTCCTGTGAGGAATTATCAGCTAGTTGTGAAACTGACTAAAATGAAGAGTGAGCATTTTTGTGTAGTTGTTTTTAATGTCTGAAACCACTAGTGGGGGGGACAAAGATTTCTGTGAAATGTTTCATTAAGCTGTTTAAAACCAAAAGCAGGAGATTTTTTTTGTCTACAAACACAAATTTCACATGTGCAGGATAAAATCAGCAAAGACTGCTTTGACTACAGGGGGTGCCGAAATGGGCAAAAAAATGAAAGTTCCTCACAGGAGCTTTACAGGAAACTCCATTATTATTCAGAAGTCATTTAAAAAATAATTACATGCAGTCATTTAAGCTTCTTACGTCCATGCAACATAAGCTTTACCTCTGCATGCAGTTAGCGTCTGACAATGCAGCTAAGTGGTTACAGGACCTACCGCTGCAAATTTGTGTGAAATGTAGTCACCATTTTACCCCCTAGAGGGGGCTATCTTATTGGACAAATTGACGCAAGTGAGACAGGAAGTTTGGGATGATGTTACATCAGCAGTGAAACAAGCTGAGGACATGTGGAGTTAGTTACGGAGGACAGTTTGTAGCGGAGTCCTGTAGCATAGTCTTGATTTCTTCTTAAGGTTACCAGCTGAAAGCTAAATAAGCTGCTCGTAGCTACAGGATACAAGCCTTTGACTGTACTCCTGGCAGTCATGGTTGATATTGACTCAGTTTTGACATTATAAGGACAGTAATTAAAGTCTTGGCTGTATCACTCTCTGGACTTTTTTTGAAAATTGTCTAACATATTTCCTGAGTGTGATGCCAAATATTCCCAGAAACAAGAGATGGAAAATAAACTTTGGCCTGACTCCTGATGCTCAGTGAGTCCAATAGTTATATTCTCCTGATAAGTGACATAGCCTATCATATGGCCTTAAATGTCCCCCAAAACATAAAGATAGATAAGGATAAACAGTCTGAAAAATACAGTACATCATTGAGGTTATTGAGTGGACACCTCCCTTCACTGCTGTTTCAACAAGTAAAGCCCACAGCTCCACAAAAACACTCAACTCCAGCATCCTACAACTGCTACACCCCTCCAATCTAGCCCTTACACTCACAGTGGCACAAAAAGTCTGTTAGAGGTGGAGTTCAGCCCTGATGGGTGAGGCTCTATGTTTTATCTCCCCCACCCTTCATTCTCATGAAGAAAAAGAGAACAGGGATGACAGAGCCAGGATGTGCTTATCCCAGACCTCTTTCTCTTGACAAAGCTTGTTTGAGCCAGAGCTCCCCCCTACCTGTTGGGCTGTACACTCTGCGTCTGCCCACCCCTCATTTGTAATGAAAAAAAGAGAAGGGAGCTGAGAGAGTGAATAATAATTTCATATTGGTTGCAGGCTCTTTTGAAGTCCCTGGCTGATGCAGAGCTTGATGATGCTGAGGATCTTGCAGAAGAAGAGGAGCAAATGCTGGACCCTGTTGCCATGGAGAAAGGATCCGTGCAGCTCTCCAAATCCACCAAGCCTGTCACAGTGCGAGGGTGGCCCTTGGGTCTTGCCCTGGCCTCTGCCCCCTCTGTCACTGTGTCCATGACAGCCAGAGGCTTCCAGAAGATAATGTATGTGATGGCCTGCCTCAACCTGAGCTCCAGGAGAGGGGAGTACAAAGTGGAGACCAACCAGTACACACAGGAGCTGGCCTCCATACGCGCTCAGCCGCGGGTGAGACGCCACATATATGACTTCCTTTATAATTCTCTGAATGTTTGTGGTATCTTGGTGGATTTATGTGTAGCTATTTGAGTTTCTATATTTCTGTATTTTCTCAGGGATCTATAAAGCTGCACTGTAAGAGATCTCCACTCCTCTATGCTGATAGGCAGCCAGACTTGAAGAGTTATGTGACGGGGTTCAACGAGATCCTACTGGAGAAGTCTTTGTAAGAGGTCCTCCTCTGCAGAACACGAAATGCTGATTTCCTGGACACAGATGAGGGAAGTCTGAGGTGCTTTTGCAGTCAACCAGCTGCTGTCGTCTTTGACCCAACACAGAGGGAACAAACCTGGAATTTAGGCCAAACCTATTTTTGTTTAAAGAGATCATTTACACCTTTAACTTTAAAACAGAAATGTTCAATGGTGCAAAGCTTTGTACCCTTGCATGATCATTTATTAGTTTAACAGGTCAAGTTAGAAAAATGCAGTTTCCTGTTATACCAAAAATAATCCGCTGTGGCCTACATGCCAGAGATACTCAGGAAAATCCTCTCTAATTAAATATTAGTCAGGAGACTTTCCAGATAAACTGACCTGCCAGTTCTGAGATTAGGCGGATTAGATTTCGTCAACCATTTGTAGGATGTGTGCCATGTCATCCAACTATAGCAAAAGTAAACAAGGCCTAAGGTGTGAGATCTATGGTGGCAGTTCAGGACAAGACAAACACAGGATATTCTAGGCTTTGTCTGCAAAACTTGAATTACATGGCACAACCTTGTTTTCAGGTTTTATTTCACTTCTGACTATCTGAATCCTATTGATCCAAGTATTGAGCCTTCAACACAGTGCCTTTAAATCTACACTCAAATCACAACTAGGCTGAGAGTATATGTATTTATTTTAGGGTGATTATTTAAGTGGGATTTCATATGGGATTTCATACCTTTATAGATTCATTTTCTGTGTAAAAACAAGATATCAGACATGCATGTGATTTAACGTGTAACCCAAAGATCATGCCAGCATATTTTTGTCGACATTTGTTGTGAGGAAAAAGTAAGTAAGCAAGTATTGCACATGTAAAGCACATATTGCACATTAAAACCAAATACCTGCTCAAACACAGGCACCTTTCTCTAACCAGACCCTCCTCAATCACACTCCATATTGAAGTTGTTAAAAACAGGGATGCTAATGATAAAAAAAAGTAAACATAATTATATTTAAGTAATTCCATAGCATTTTTATTGATGGATGAATGAAACACCAGACTGCACAAGCTCAGTCAGTCAGCTTTGATGCAGACCTGCTCGTCACATTTTCTGTGGTTTCTATTGGCCTCTCGGGGAGAATGGAAAACTTGTGTGAGTCAGTAGAGGGTGTAGGGCTGGTTAAGAAAGGCCTAAAAAGTCATCAACAAATACACACATCACATAAGTTAACCAGTAGAGAGGATGAACACGGGTGTATTTGCTGCTCTTTGTTTGTTGAAAAGGGTCTGTGTAGTGTCTTAAAAGTTTGACTGAACCACTGTGTGGATTTAAATCTGCTGCAGTCCAAAGCACCAATGCAAGTACAGCACAAACCAAGTTTTAAACTCAATTCAAGAAAAGTGGAGATGCTGTATGAGATGTTGATTAAAACAGATTTGGATGATTTGCAAATCATTAAGACTATTTTTATCGATCATAGTGCAAGTATCAAATGATGAAACTAAAACTGTTATTGTTTTATGGAAAGTGTAAGCTCATTTAAAATGTGATGACAGCAGCATGTTTCAAAGAGATTAGACAGGGGCATGTTTTTTTAGTTGTAGTCTGTTCAGTAACTATGGAGACCAGTTTCTGAAGTTTTGAAAATCAAATATTTTCACGTTCTTGTCTGACTTAGGATTCCAGCCGCCCAACAGTTTGGGTATTTTCTGTGGCAGTTTTCCTTTGACACGGGACAATCAGAATTGGAGTGAGGCCAGTAAAGCACGTGGACTCTATCACAGAGCCATGCAGTTTTATACGTCTTGCATTGTCTTGCTGAATTATACAAGGTCTTCCCTGAAAAGGCGTTGTATAGATGCTCCAAAACCTGTACATATTGTCCAGTATTAGTGATGCCTTCCCAGATATGTCAGCTGCTCATGCTTTGGGCACCTATGTATCCTCATACCATCAGAGATGCTGGCTTTTGAACTTTGCTCTGATAACAAGCTAAATGATCCATCTCCTCTTCAGAGTGGAAGGTAAAATGTCCATGATTTTCAAAATGAATGTTACATTTTGATTGGACAGACCCCAGGACAGTTTTTCTCTTTGCCCCAGTCCATCTAAAACGGGCTTAGGCTGAGAACTTTCTAGCACTTCTGGATAATGTTCATATAGTTTCCTCTTTGCATGGTAGTGTTTAAACCTGCAGATGCACTGATGAACTGTGAACACAGACAACAGTGCTCGGAAGTGACTTGAGGAGTGTCATGACTGCTTTTGTGCAGCGCCACCAGAGGGCCTTAAGACTGCAGCCATCCAGGGTTAGTTGTCCCTTTAGTATAGAAATTTCTCTGGATCATTCAATGATATTATGCACCTTAAAATACAGAAATTCTTTGAACGTCGAGAAGAGGAAAATGATTCGGAAACTGTTGGACTATTTGCTTGTCAGTCTTTCACCATGTGGGGAACCTCTTCCCTTCTTAACTCCTGAGATACTCAGCCTGTCTGGGTCGCTCCTTTAATACCATTATTACTGACCTACTGCAAATTAACCTCATTAGTGTTCCTTTCCAATGTTAGGTAACATTTTCCAGTCATGCTCCAACTTGCCCCAACTTTAATAAAAACCTAAGCTTGCATCAAGATCGACATGAGTACTTTTTGTACTATTTTCAATTAAATTTATGGTTTGAATGATTTGCAAGACATCTAAACCTATTTTATCAGGATTTGAGTGTCCCAACTTGTCTGGAGTTAGGTTTGTATTACAAACCAAAGTCTGTAAGTGTGTCAGAGGACAAGTATTCTATTATAGACATACTGTAATATGTTTTTTTTAATTACATCCTTGAACATTTAAAAGCTATTTTTGTTATCCTAGAACAGATTAACCATACGTCTAAACCCATCAGTTTAACTTCCAGCTTTTGTACCAGTGCAATACTTGAAAGTTGTTATTGATGATTCCCAGATTGCTTTTATCAGCTCATTAAGAAAATATTTTACATTTAACCGTCTACCAAAATAGTTTGACTAAAATGTGTCATAATGGAAGTTCATCATTTAAAATCTGTACACTTTTGTCAATGATACCGAGGGATCAAAGTACAGCAAGTTGAATAATGTTGATATTTAATTTACTGTTTTGTTAAAATAAATATGTTTCTACTGTAGCGGTTTTGTTTCTTTGTGTTGATGTGTAATCAGCCATTCCACAAGTTAACTCCTCTTCTAAAGACTGAGCTAAAAATGTTCACTGAGGAATTTTTTATCATGAAAAAACAGAATATCTCATACAAAGAGCATTTGTCAAAACACTGAGCACATAGTGTGGCATCAGATACTCAACAAGATCAGCAAAATTAGAAATATAAAAAATGTACAAAATATACAGCAGTTGGCTTAATACAAAAAACATGACTGTGACAATATGATCATCTAATATTCATGATATTACAGGTCACAGGTCTCACTGGATGGTGATGATTTTGCTTCACTGTCTATAATTTTCAAACACTGGTCTGAAAATTCAACAAACAGAGGCTCTTGCATGGCAGCCTTCATGGCATCAGACTTGCTGTCTGCGCCGTCAATGGAGCGCAGTAGCTGTCTCAGATGGGGGTTGCATAGCAGATCTTTTAGTTCTTTAGACTGGCCTGTGGAGCAATGGAAAAAAACTGAATTTCAAACATTTTGAAAAAAAAAAACGTCATTTAATTAAATTGTTGGTTGATGGTTTCATTTTACATTTTGTTCTTTATTACATTTGGCATAAAAGGTGCAAAAGGTTAGAAAAAGAAAGATAATTTATTGATACCTAGCAGCTGGAGTCTCTGCAGAGGCACTTTGTCAACAACTTCATCTTCAAGCAAAAGATCATCCACAGCCGATGCCTCTGCAAAACAGAAAAGAAGGGCTTTTCAAAGAAGGCTGTTAAAAGTAAGGTTGGTTTCACTTAATTCATGTTACATGAATTGGTGATATGAATACTGGTGTGGACAGTTTTATGTTTTATTAAACTAATTCCATAAAATTATAATTTAACAACAAACATACCACTGTTTAAGGCTTCCTTCACTTCTAGAACAGGCGGTGCAGACTGCTCAACAGGAAGGCAGGTATCTTTAACAAGAACAACAAAAATGTATAACAAACGGCTTTCTTTACCCCACAGCAGAGAAATTGACAGTCTTAACAGCAGCAAATGCTCCAAACAGCAGACTGAAGACACTAAAAAACAATCAAAAACAAAAAACTAATACTAATCAATATTATAAAATATGATCATACTTATTTACCTTTGTGCCTTTTGTAACAGCCAAGGGAGCAACTGTAGGGAAAAATCGACCAAAAATCCAAAACTTATTCAACTGACATGTCATTAATGGAGATATAGTATGTTAAAGCAGAACACACACGAGTAAACAAAACATGATGAAAAAAGATTAATTGATTAAATAATACACAATCATCCATTACATGTCCTTGTGTGATTTGTTTTTTCGTTCGACTGTGAAACTTGTTCCTACGTGAAATCGCTTTCCGTTTTGACCCTCACGACTTTCCGTCCCATGTGGTGTGACGTTTTAATGCGGTATTTTAAAGGCTGTGGGCTAAGGCTAAGATAACAGCATGACTTGTAAACATATTCATAATTCACCCAATTAAGCTTGTTTTCAGGAAAACAATTAGAGAAAACTAAACTCTGACGTCAACAACTTCAATGCTACGTTACTGTACTAAATGGTACCAGTTATTTAGTGTTGATGAGCAAGATTTAGCTGTATTTTTAATCATCACTTCGGTAAACAAACTCAGCGCACATTTCATTATGTTTTTAATTACCTACTTAATTTTGTTTTTCCTTTTTTTAATTACATTAACTAGTTGGTGAGAACTTTTCATAATAAACGTCTCGACAGCTAACCAGACTGGGCTAGCTTCTCTAGTTTAAATAAAGTTACATGCAGGTACTTACTATCTTATTTTACAGGCCGGACATCTGTATTTTGGTGTTTGTTCACTGCAAACACTGCAAATCTGCATCTTTGCGGGGAAAGAATTGATCTGACGAAGCGACGAAATGGCAAAGTTTGCTAATAACATACAACCAACATGCCCTCGAGTAATGTGCTGAGAAAGATCTTGCTCTGGTGATCCCTGGCGGTAGAGAAACTAGCTTAAGATGCATTACCGCCACCACCTGGAGTGGAGTGTGGGGCAGGCTATAGGGCAGAAAAAAATAAATAAATATATATTTTTTTAAATTAATTGTGAAAAAAAAAGTGGGAGTGGGAACTGTTTGTACCAAACAGCTCTTTTTCCAACCGTGGCCTCATTGGTAGAGCAAAGCACACTCCAAATTCCGGGATCACAGTGAACCTAGCAAAAGATGTTTTCCACCTCACATTCATGGGAGCTGCTGACTGCTTGACTTTTCTGCAGGATCTTCTTATGCAAATACTCAAACATATATATATATTATGTGTTTTCTTAACAAAGCAGTATCACTCATGTTGTAAAAATTTTTTGAATCTTTATGAATCTGTATGTTTTTCCCTCTGTGGTTTTCCCCACAACACCTTCACAAAAAGATTTTGATTTTATTTGTCCTGTGGGGAAATTTGTCTTCACTGACAATACATCACACATTACAGAAGTTGCGTTTTGATTTTTTTGGTGGCCAAAAAAAGATGGTCCCTCATATTTTTTAAGTGACACTGACATGATTCACCATTTGTGGCTAGCTATAATATAAGCATATACCAGCTGGGCGCTCTCCTATTTACACAGGTCTCAGTTAAGGTAAATTAGTTTTCATCCAACCATCCTTCTGCCACTAGTACATTGTATGTTCTATAATTTCAGTTTCAATATTTATCTGTTTTCATAAATCTGATGGCACCACAATTTCATCAAATTACAAGCATCAAGTGATTGAACACTGCAATAACAAACCTGTAACGCAGCCTATATAACGACCCAAAGCAAATACATGAAATTGTTTAGACTGTGTGTTTGTAGTCAGCTCCAAGTATTGGGTATAAGACAATCCTTCAGTTAACATAAGACTTTATTGAATTAAAATACAATACAATATATTGCACCAACAGAAATAACTATATTCGTCTTTCTATTTTCAAGCACACACCACTGACCTATATAGCTCAATACAAACTATTTCTGCACAGCTGTAATTTAAGATTTGCAGGTCTTGTTACAGGGTGGAGTACGGAATGAAGAGCCATCTCGTGACAGATTAATGGACACGTTCCTGCTGTCACAGCACTCTATTCACTGGGTCAGGGAAGGCAGAGACACATGGCCATGGTCAACAACACAAATCCAACTTTAGTCCTGGTCTGTGGAGAAATGAGGACAAAAAAAGTTAATCATAAATCAAACACTGTTTCTTTCAGTATCTATTCAGACCCTTTTCAAAATGCCAGTGCTTAATTTAGTCAAGAAGAATAAGAAACATGTTGGTAACTTTGTCTGAAAACAGATGCTTACATATTTAACTTGCTTATTTGGTGAGACCAAAAGATTAAAAGCAACAAATACTGAAGTTAGGATGAGTCAAACCAAAGGAAAAAGAGTAAATGCTCATATTTAACAAAAATGGAACCACAAGAAATGTCTTAAAACATGAGCTTACTGTCTAAAATGATACTTATTACTGTCTTCCTGGAAAAATATTCCTTATTTACCCTGTTTTATTTTTGAGAGGGTTTTTACAACACTTGCCTAGGTTGATAAAATCTACAGTATTGATGTTCCTACATATGTCAAATCATTTTTCTTCAAGTGCAAATGATTAAAACTGTGGTATTTATGTATTTATTTCACAAACAGGCTTGGGTAGATGGTACACGTTGAGTGGGAACTGTTTGTACCAAACAGCTCTTTCCAACCGTGGCCTCATTGGTAGAGCAAAGCACACTCCAAATTCCGGGATCACAGTGAACCTAGCAAAAGATGTTTTCCACCTCACGTTCATGGGAGCTGCTGACTGCTTGACTTTTCTGCAGGATCTTCTTATGCAAATACTCAAACAGGAGGTTGTTGTTTTCATATCCCCAAGGCCACTTCTTGAACAAACAAGAGGTTTTCAACGCAGACAAAACACCGTTCAGAGTGAAAATGCACGCAGTTACCTGTAAACATCAAGGAAAGCCTTCACGACGACGAGCTCTTGGTTCTCCTGCGTTTCATTTCGCTGTTGTGAAATTTCTCTGCTATCTTCCTCTCGTGTCCGGCGGGGCAATGGCGGTTTGTGTTCAGCTCGATCTCTTTCTTGCTCCTGCCTTTCCCGCACGCATGACACGAGTATTCCAGCAGGTTGTAATAGTCATATTGATCGTAATATGCTTCCTCGAAGGAGAAAAATCTTTCCATATCTGTCGCCATTTGGAAAGAGAGACAGGGAATGCCGTAGGTACTTTCTATCAGATGAGTGTCGGAGGAGCTAGTAAACAGATGATGTCACCTTGTGTTTATATACGGGGAGTCACGTGACGGCACTCGACAGCTCTAAATGGGGAGATGTCAGAGCTGTACTGTTTTTTCTAAATTATAATGCATTTTATGATAAAACTTTGCTGCTAATTCTGCTTATGATTTGATGTTTTATTATCTTTGTATGTCCACCTCTCTTCGGCCTGAATTTCTTTCATTTTTTTGGTTTCTTTTCTTTATAAGTTTTAATTTATAGATATGAATGACAAAAAAAGCCGTGTCCAATCAAAATTGGACATTTATTTTAAAAAAGAAACAATGATTTTGTAAAGCTTCTCTTTTACCATTATATTGAGACCAGTGGTGTGCAGGGAGGGGGCAAGGGGGCATTCGCCTTCTACCTTAAAAAACACTGAGGAAAAACCTCAGTATGAAATGTCCTCTCAGTTACCCTTTTGACAAATAAAACTTAAAAAGTGCCCTCTTGACCCTCTTGCAGTGTATACATTAAACACAGACATGCACAATATCATTGGCTTAATTCAATGCAGATAATCGTGGAAAAAATGTTCATTATTGGTATTGGCAGAAATGAGCATTTCAGTAGACATAATTATCCATAAAAAGGTGATTATGTACATTTGATGTCAGCTTATGCTTTCAAATACATCAACTCTGTGGAAGTATTTCAGAAACAGACAGTAAATAGAACTGAATTTCAATAATCAGAAAAAAAACAATTTTATTATTTTTTGAAGATTGAGATGGTCTTTGGTTTTTTTGTTTTATGTTGTTTCTTTAAAAAATAGCCTGTCACAACAAGAGTTACAGTTAAATTCTACTAAAGGAGAAACTTAAAAATGACAAAGAGATCTGAGTATACTTTGGTATTGACAAAAATGCACATGTATGTCAACACAATTCAGACATTATGCATCTCTTTGAAAAAAAAAAGAAAATATTATATTTCTTTATTTTATATTAAGATGTGTTTTCTTAAATTTTAAACTACTGCACAAATATCAACCAGAATGCATGGCGTTAAGTATTAAGTTCTCCACACTTCCAGAGGGAGGACCCCTCCAATTATTTATGTCTCAGTAGCCTACATTTAAATGAACATTGCGGGTATAAGGGGTATGAAAAACTATTTTCGTTCTGTATCTTTCTGCTATTTAAGTTGTTTGCCCAACATTTTATGAGCCCACCCTTATTTGTGACAGGCTAGGACCAGACCTTGATAGCTACTTTAGGATTACAGAGGCCAAAGAGTGCCCAAAAGCATACAGCAGGTGTCCTTTTATTGTTGTTCTTAATTTTTTTTCACCTCTGCCATTAAAACAGATCACGGCACAGGTTATGGAGGCGCAATAAGGACAAATTAATTTCAACAAATTGAATGTGACACATGGATATTGCATATTGTAGTGATTTGAAATGAGCCTCATACGGTCGCACCAAAATATATGTAGCGATTTGAAATGAGCCTCACAAGGCCGCACCAAAATAATACTTGGCGATTGAAATTTATAATAAATGTCTGAAGATTAATAATCTCAAATTATGACATTTATGCACTCGTTGTAAGGGGCACCACCCACCCTTAATGGTGGGAAAATAAAGAAAACAAAAGTTTAATTCAGAAATCAAACATCAAGTCAGTTTTAATTAATCAGTCTTAATTAATCAGTCTTAATTAATCAGTCTCATATCTTAAGTCGAAATTCTAATTTCAGGGACTCCACTTCTGGAAGAACACTAACAGACAGGAACTTAGAAAAATAAGGATCTGTTTATTACAGGATAAATGATGGTACAACACACATGCAATAAATGATGATAAGATAATGAAGATAGATAATAATAGGTGAATAAATAAAGATTCTGAGTCAGGCTAGGAGCACTAAAATTAATGATAGTGAGTGAATATGCGCTAACATATTAACCTACACTAACTTTGGTGTCGAGATAAACTCGGGTGTAGATTTGGAGGAATCTAAGATCACCAGAAATAGGTGGATATCTGAGTTATGAACGCGTGAGACATCATCAGCCCTGTCTGGAGCTCTGGAGGTTTGCATACTTAAGTGAGACTGGTCTTTGGAGAAGATGGAGCAGGTTCCGAAGGTCCGGGGCTACTGGCGGTTCGAGCGGTTCAGCTCAGAAGACGACTGAAGTCAGCCGAAGGATGAGCCAGGAGTTGCAGCACTCGGGCCCGAAGCAAAGCCAGCGCCTGTGGATCCTGTGGATGCTCGTTTGGGTACTTCTTTGGTCTCACTAAAAAACTCTGGCACAGAGGATGACCTGGGCCTGCTGGGTTGCGTTCAGAGGTGACTTTGAATCACGCAGAAAACTCAGAAAAACGAGGCTCAAAGAGCAGAGAAAATTTTCAAAAATGGCTTCGCGAAATTAAAGAAAAATCAATCAAAGGCTTAATCTTGAATTGCTATGTGCACAAAAAGTTGAAGTTTCAAAACTTGAACTAAGACGATGTTAAAGAAAAATCAACGTGAATCAACACGTGGCGTAAAACTTAGAAGACTAAGAAAAAGTTCTAAGAGAAAACAAAGAAACGCACCACAGAAGGGTGTGGACAGAAGAGAAGGGGCATAAGAGCCGGGGACAAGAGAGTCAGCAGAAGAGCAGAAGCATAAGAGAAATAAGAGAGCGTAAGAGCGTGAGCAACCCCACTCCACTGGTTTTATCTTCTCACACTGGGAGTGTCTGAGGAGAAAGAGGAGGGGTCATCGGGTCTCTGATTATTTGATCTAACTTATTCTTTTGGCTGGTAAAAGAGTCAGATCTGATACTCACTCACTATGATTAATATCATTGAATGCTTGGTTTCATGATAAATAATTTGATACTAAACACATATGAATGAAGTGTAGGATCACATCAAACATTCTCATTATGTTTTAAGTATCACATTGAACATGCTAAATTACTCTGAAATGAAACAGATAGTAACACATAGAAACTGTGAACAACAAAAGAGTAAACACATGTGAATGAACGTCATCATGATTAATAATGGATTCTAAATACTCACATTCAGATTATTCAGTGACATTATAACCACCTAATGGTTAAGATACTAAATAAATAACTAAAATATAAACCAAACATTTCTAAACTATTTCTGTTACTTAGAGTAAACTTAGGATTCATAGTCAATAAATTTAACTCTTAAAAGTTCATGAAACAGTCTGAAAAGCTGTTGGTCTAAAGAACAAAAGAATAAGGATTTATTCTGTCAGATAAGATAACTTGGCTTCTGAAGCACATAGAAAAACGGGAAACATCTCATTTTAACACAAATTTCATGATTAAACAGATTAGTACATTGCTGAATGCATAAGATGTCATGATCAGTCATTTGTATTCTTTCACCAAAGGAATGCAGTCTTTATCAGTGTATGGTCGAGCAGGGTTTTACGACCGAGGTCTGGAGGTCAGTGTCCCCCCTTATCCTGGGGTCCGTATGTTCACACACTTTAAGACGCTTAATCTCAAATGGGAGATCTGGGTTAAGGTTAATGTTTATTTAGATGGTCAGCAAATGGAGTCAGTTTGAAAGGTAATAAAAACTCTGTCTCTGTTCGCCGAACTGACCAATCCTGAAGAGTCAGAGGTTTAGTCAACCTCCGGTTGGGTCACTTATTTAACCTGAAAGTGCAAACACGTCTGGAAAGATTTATATCCTGTTTCCTGGGACCAGATAAGGAAACTTTCCTGTAAGGAATGTGTGGGTTTCACATCCAGGGTTGTCTTGATTGCTACAATATATTTAAAATTAATTTCACACATAAGTCCCCCTTGGTGGCAAGTTGTGTGTTGATAAATGACGATTAACAGCCCCAAATCTACATTGTACAGAACTCTTTATTTTCTATCATATGGAGACCAGATTTTTAATTGTAATTTCATACTTCCTTGACTAAATGTTTAGTTGTCTGTATATAAGGAAAGAAATCTATGCAGCTGTGTAGGTAATATGAGGAGTGAAAATCGTTTTCGAGAACATATAAAAAAAATTAGCCCACAGCAACAACCTGTTTAAATTTGTCAACAAAACTGAAAAATTGAGAAGATTCCCAAAGTAGAATTTATTTCATTTTCATATTTTATTTCATTCACTTAATATTTAAAGCATTCAATACAAACAAGAAAAAAAATCTCAAACATGTGAATGAAAAGGAGCAGAAAGAAGAAAAATCTTATGAAGTCTATCCCTCTTTCATAAGACATAAATCAACTAAACACATAATAAAAATAAACAAGAGCTCCAGGCCAACATGCCTTTTTGCAGTTCACGGTTTCTTATTTTTAAAAACAACCCACAAAACAAACAGAAAAGACCATGTTAATTCACATTTTTTCACTCTATATATAGTGAAAAAATTGATTTAACATGGTCTCTTAATATATGCCAAGACTTGGATTAACATGGAAAGATTAACATTGATTAACACTGGAGAGATCTACACTGAGGAAGGTGGAGTCTATTCTAAAGAACCTTGATCACCCACTTCACAACACCTTGATGGATCAAAGGGCCAATGGTGGTGGACAGCTCCTCTCTCCTCACTGCAGGACAGAAGATCTTTTGTACCCACAGCCATGCTTTATAACTCCCGTGTAAATAGTAGATAACTTTTAGAGACATGTTAAGTGAGACAACAGACAATTGAATTTCCCTTCAAGGATTATTAAAGTTCTTCTTATTGTTATTTCCCTGTATTTGCTCAACATACTGGCTTTGACACTTTTTTTGAAGAAAAAAATTGATTCAGCTTCTTTATTTTCTTTGTTCAGATTGTTCCACAGACTTATTCCTCTCACTGTAACACAGCGCTCCTTCAGTTTAGTTCTGAATCTTGGCTTTTTAAACATTTCAAATACTTTTAAAATTATAACAACTTTCTCTTTTTCAAATCGGCTCTGAATGTTGCCTGGTCAAATTTTCTTCATACATAATCTGCACCACACTAAATACTACTAATTCATTGAATTTCAACAACTGAAATTTAACAATTTATGGTGCAGTTTATGTATTCGACTGCATTAGAATAATAAATGCATTATGTGGTCGGTAGATGTAAATGATAATGGATCAATAAAAGGTTTGAATGAGTGAAAATATCCAGCCAGCGGTGTTTTGTTCTGTTTGGTATTGGGTACACAGCGTTCCGCCCCTGAGATACGTGACGTCATGACGCTACATCCACGTCGCAGTTGAGTTTCTCAGGCGAGCTCGCTGCGTGTGAATGCGTGTCTCCAGCTAGGCCAGAGAGTGATGGCGGCGCCCGTCCTGAGAGTGTCCACCCCTCGGTGGGAAAGAATAGCTCGGCTCCTCGTTTGCCTGTTGGGCATATTGTTATCTCTATATGCCTTTCACGTGGAGAGGGAAAAGGCTCGGGACCCGAGTTATAAGGCTATGTGCGACGTCAGCGCATCCATCAGCTGCTCGAGAGTGTTCAGCTCAAGGTAATTTGAATTCAGCAAAGAGCGCTCAATGAAGCCGCTGCCTCTGCCGCTGCCGCTGCTATTGTGGCAGGCTGGCTGGGAAGGGCTGCGCGCTTCAAACTGTCAAATGCACCCTACTAATTTTTTACCCGCTATCCTCTACTGCTAACGCTGACTGATTCCTTTTGGTCAACCTGACTGAAATAAGTTAACTTCTTCTCTTAATAAGCAAAACATTAGCATTATAGCTCCTCTGTGCTAGCTTCGCTAACCGTTAGCTAACGCAGCCCATTTGTTGTCCTTATACTTCTGAGCCTGTTAGCTGTTGAATAAAAGCAGCAGTGTCGTTAAAGTTCATGTCTGCCGCTGTTTGCTGCCTCATAAAAGCTGCGGTGTTGGTAAAGTTCATGTTTGTTAGCTGACAGAACTAATTCTCTGAGTGTGTGGAAGGGCTACACATCTGTTACAGCAACTTAAGCACCACAGTTGAGCATTTGCTTGTCAGTATTACGTTACTGTTGCATGTGTGTAGCTGCTTTCATTCAAACGTATGATTTCCGAAAGAAAACTGGGTTAATGTTGAGGATTTTGAGTATCGCAGTGCTGACGTTAGCTGTCACGCTGCTGTCATTAGCTGTCATGCTAATGTCACCGGGCAGCTATCAGGCAGTCCGAGGGGGTTAGACCCGAAAAGACCGAGTCCACAGCTGCTCCAGAGGTCAGTGTGAGGACCGACACAGTGCAGGCCACCTTAAAGAGTCAGTGCTGCCACAGTCACACTTTGTTAGCAAATAGATAACAGTTATAGCTGTGCGGAGACAGCTGTCACTAGAGTTTGACTCCAGCTGTGAGTAAAGCAGAGTTTGTTTACCCAGAGAGAAGGATAACACTCATTTATGTCCTGCAGATCTGTATAAAACGTTTAAGTTGCCATACCAGCTTGTGAAGGAAATGCATCCATTAAGAAGATAACCCCACCTATTGAATCTCAATGAATAAGAGTCTTTGTAAGCCTTGAGCAAACATCCACAGCATATCTGGAATGTAACCTGTTTTATTGCGGGTTAGTGCATATTTGTGAGATGAGTGAGTGAATTCTCTAGAGTATTACAGACAGCTCAGTGTTCATCTGTAAACACAAACAGAAGTATCTGTTTATGTGTCTGAAAGATTACAAATAGTAACAGCTTAAAGACAACCCAAGCAGTTTCTCTTGTGTAAAGCATATCCAGCCAAGATGTTGCTTTGAAACTGTGGCCAAAATACCTGCTGTAAAGGAGAGAATAATAGAAAGGATGAGTTTGTACAGTGTGAGGAACCACAAACCACAAAACTGTTGCACACAAAGTTCATATGCTAGATTCATTGCAGTTGTAACTTAATTGAATTTTTCTGGATTCTTGTCATCAATCTTTCCAGATGTTTTATAGCATAGTGTCAACAGGTGGACTGTAGTCCCTGCAAGTCCTCAAGAAAGGTCTTCTAGGGTACGACTGATCATGTGGTAACCCAGAAGAAATGAAAGACTTATTGAAAAAGCCTCTTATACATACTGCTGCAGTATGTCGGATAACTTAACCACAAAGTTATCCTTTTTTTTTATAGTCAAATGAACGCACGTTAGCCTTGTCCTTCAGTGTGCTTGATTCTGTGGCTGTCAGAAAGGAAGTCTTACCAGCACATGGAACTTGATAATAAAATTATTCGCTAAAGCAGTGGTTCTCAAGTCCAGTCCTCAAGGCCCACTGTCCTGCATGTTTTGGATGTTTTCCTACTCCAACACACCTGATTCAAATGATTAGCTCGTTATTAAGCCATTACAGAGCTTGATAACGAGCTGATCATTTGAATCAGGTGTGTTAAATCTGTGTAAAAGAATCTGTGTAAAAAAGTGAATTCCAGCCACTGTACAAAGTAAAAATGTCAGCATAGGGACATGTATGGTGCAAAAAGAAATAAGAATTGCTCCACTCTCATTCAGAAGTTGTTCACTTTTTCACAACTGACCCTCAGCAAACCCCAGCTTGGTTCAAGATTTTCCTAAGTCTATCAAAAACTCGACAAATTTAATTCTGGTAACTTCAAAGGGAGCACAGAGCAGACTAGGAGACCCTTGTGATGTGGAGTTTTGCAAATTTGCATTAACCTATGATACCTGCCACATAACATTAGAGATAACAGAGTATAACATTCATGAGTAAAGTATAACATAAGAGATTTTGTTTTTAGTCTACACTACTTCTCAGAGCGTTGCATAGGTTTGTGTGGAAAGACAAGAGGGTACTATTAGGTGGGGATGAGAGAATGGTTGACCAGTGGATGTGCCTCCACTTTGCCGCTCTTGAGACGGCACTTGTGGAAGCCTTAAAACCAGACAAACTCAATAAAGTGGTTGCCTGTCATCTGAAACAAACATTGGGTTACTCAGATTTTGTCAGTGTGATAGTCCAGTCACCACAGGGAGAAATTGTTGAGCTTTGCAGCATCTGTGTTCTCCACCCATGACGTCCAGATTAGCGCAGAGTCAATGAATTGATCAGTTGACCGGCAGAAAAAGAACTCTTATCTGTGATTTTGGACTGCTGATCGCATGTTCTAAAGGCCATTTCATGCACTGGGAAACTAAGGGTCCTTTTGTTTTTAATGTTTTGTAAAATTTTGTAGACAAAACAACAGTTTGAAAAAGTAATCCGAACTTCATCATGAACAAAATAAAGGTCTTTGTGATTCATTGCTGCTGTGGTTCCCCAAACAGTAAAAAAAATGTTGCTGTACATGATCTGCCTTTCCTCGGGCACAGTTCAGCTAAAGAGCAAACTTCAAGTAAGTGATACTTCAGGTTTCAGGCAGGCAGTGCTGGGATGAATTGGGTTTTGCTGAGCTGTAATTGGTCGGCTTCACTGGTTCATGGCCAGCTGTGACCCAGTCTGATTTCTATCTGTACTAATGGACTGAAGTTGTAACTGCCCTCTCTGCTGATGTTTCTGTGCTTTCAGGTGGGGTCGAGGGTTTGGACTCCTTGGCTCCATTTTTGGAAATGACAGCGCACTGAACCAACCCAATAGTGTCTACGGGATTGTCTTCTATGCCTTTCAGCTCCTACTAGGTAAAGAGCCTTTTTTGACCAAAAGCTGTTTATTTGTTTGTATTGCAAATTCAGTTGACAAGTCTCCTTTGACTAGCAACAAGTGCTGACTCAGCACTTTGCTGTCCTCTGCCATCATACCTATAATTAAATAAAGCTGAATCATGTGACACAGATATAGTGGCTGTGCATCAGTATAATTATGTTAAATTGGGACAGGGGATTTTAAAGAGGACTATTGAGAACCACAGACAGTATTTATATTTTTATGGACTTGATCTCAATGACTTCCTGTGTAGACCAATGAGATGAACATATTGGGGTTGTTACAGAAGAAAAATCGTTATCAGTTATGGTTTCTTATCGACAGATAGTGGAATCACATTTGCTAATGGTGTGAAATGTTGCACAAATTGAAAGGTTCAAGATTTTTCCGTTTGTTTGACTTGTTTTAACTTGAAGCCTTTCCCCCCCTTTGGTTACTCGTCACATTCTCCTCCCTCCAGCTCATTGCTAGTGTTGCTGACTCAGTCATGCTGGTTTGACATGTTTTCCTACAGAGTGGCTTGTAGGCTTGCTTGGCCACCTGGCGCTGTCACAGAACAAGAGGTCCTTTTAGGCACAGCAGCTACCACTCATTTGACTAACACAATAGCAGCCCAGTTAAGCCAAACTGTTACAAATGGTCAAGATTTCCATATTATAGCCAACACCACTCAGTTTCAGGACTTCTGTTATTCTCACTGTATCTGGCAGTCTGATATATGGGACTGGGCATGAGTCCAGAATCAGTAAAGCAAAGGTTTTCATCTGTAATTAGTGCAAATGTACAGCTGAGGACTACTGTCAGAAAGTGTAGCATCAGAGTGAGGAACCAAAAGTTTACGTGCTATTTCTGTAAAAAGTCCTGTTTTCAAAATATAGAGTTATATTTTACTGGATCATAATTATAGACACATCATTGTAGTGTCATTTAAATGTTGCCATTTTCCCGTTTGTACATTTTTATGGTCACACAGACAAAATTTAGGCTGGGAATTGCTGGGTGATACGTGACATGATACGATACGATACAATACAATATACAATACTTGGTCCAACAAATAACAATACCTTGATACAGCAATACTGCAAGAATACATCACAATATCTGTTTAGTATAAGAATACAGAAAGAGCGGATGAAGGCAAAATGTACATGATTTTAGTCTGAATTGGGCTAAAGGGATATTCCGGCTTAAAATTAATTTATGGTCAAACACACTGTAACACCGAGTTAGACACCCCCTTGAGAGATTAATGTTGCCGACCGCTTGCTTTTATAGTAATACCAACTTTAGTAACGACAGCAGGATAGCAGTACACAGCGGTCTATGGAACCACACACAAACCTCAACCAGAAAGCCGCTCTATAGCCACAAATAATGCTCAGAACAGCATCTAACTTCATCAACAGTACATATAGGGTCCTAGTCACAGCACTATCCACCAAACGTCTTTTTCACTTTGCCTAATTTCTTTAGCAAAGAGACTAAACACAACCCACCCACTCTCTTCCAGCAGCCGCTTGTTTGTAGCGAGACCTCAGGCCAGTCCATTACGGACTGCTGCGGGGGGGTTACAGCTCAAGGAAGAACATTTATGATAATTTCTTCATCATTTCCTTGAAGTAATAATCACCATATTAATCATTTTGCACTGCAGACACGGTAGTTCTTCTGCCTTAGCGTCTGATTGCATTTTCATAAAGAAATGATCATAAATGTTCTTCCTTGAGCTGCGTCACCCCGCTGCAGTCTGTAATGGACTGGCCTGAGGTCTTGCTACAAACAAGCGGCTGCTGGAAGAGAGTGGGTGAATTGTGTTTAGTCACTTTGCTAAAGAAATCAGGCAAAGCTAAAAAGATGTTTGGAGGCTAGTGCTGTGGCTGGGACCCTATATGTACTGTTGATGAAGTTCGGTGCTGTTCTGGGCATTATTTGTGGCTATAGAGTGGCTTTTTGGTTGAGGTTTGTGTGTGGTTCCATAGACCGCTGTGTGTTGCTATCACGTACACGTACACTTAATCAATTCATTAGTGCCTCAAAATTCACAACCTTGATCATGAATAATATCAGCTATCTGTGAACTCTCCCCCTAAAAAAACACATACTGAAGGTCAGTCTTATGAGGGAAGGAAGTGCCCATAAATTTCATACGTGTGAAAATAAGCAAACTTAGTCTTAAAAGTATGACTATACCTCATGTGACAACAGGATAACATGACCGATCTGATTTAAGCTGAGTGTCATCACAAGGAGGCTGGAGAGACAAATGGAGAACTGTCTGTGCTTAAAAAAGTGTCAACTCATCAGGTCTGTTGTGTGTCAAAGTTATTTGTCGAGTGTTGTATTTATATTTGCCCTAAGTTTTAGTCTTGTTTTTCTTGCTGTAGGGATGACTGTCAGTGCAATGGCTGCCCTTATTCTCATGACGACATCCATCTTGTCGGTGGTGGGCTCGCTTTACCTGGGCTACATCCTCTACTTTGTCCTTAAGGACTTCTGCATCATCTGCATCACCACATATGCGCTGAACTTCATTCTCTTTATTCTCAACTACAAGCGACTGGTTTACTTGAATGAGGCCTGGAAGCAGCAGCTGCAGGCCAAGCAGGACTAAGCTGTTGGGGTAGCGGCAAGAAAAATATGAAAAACAAACAACAACAACAACAAAAAAAAGAAATGTGACCTCTGAACATTTGACTTGCCACCAGGAGACCTTGCTTCCAAAACAATGTTTATTCTGCTGTGTGTTAAAAAAAAATGAAGAAATTTAACTTAAATGTTGGGCCTGACATCTCAATGTTGCAAAACACGGAAGGATTCGTAAGTGAAAGATTTTATTTTAATTTCTTTTTCCTTGTTTAACATTGTATCACTCAAGGAAGGGGCTGGCTGTGTGTGCGTGTGTGTGTGAGTGTGTGCGCAAGTGTGTGAGAGAGTGTGTGGGGAAACACATTGAAACAGGCACGCAGAGGCAGAATCTACGATACAGAGCTCTAGAGGACAGCTCTGTTTTGAACAAAAAGGATCGCAGAATGGATGATAAAACAAGACTTTAAGGGGGTTTACTTGAAATGGTTAGAGAGGTCCTATTACTGCACAGCGGATCTGCACTAAAACTCGGAGCCGAATAAGGGGTCCTTAAAATTGGAAAAACACTCATTAGGTCATTGTACACTTTGCAGATAAGGTCCTTAGGTGAGGGGGGCAGGCGGGCGGGAAGGGAGCAAAAGGAGTAACATTTATACAGAATAGTTTCTTTCATGTTTACACTTTGTAGTTTTTTTTTTAAGAGGACCACTAAAAGTAAACACAGGACAATGTGAGATATTGTGTGTAGATCAGTCCGATTTTTGTTTTGCAATTCTGTAAATAGCTGCTGAGCAATATTCCAGGCTAGATTGTGACTTAGTGTTGACACAAACAAAACCTTTAAAGGAAAAACAAAAAAAACAACAACAACAACAACAAAACCCGCCAACAAAACAGAAGAAAACATGAGGCAAATCTGGAACAAAAAAATATGATCAAGGTCTTGGTTAGGTGGACGAGTCCGATGACATGCTCGTCCTGTAAACCGGGTCAGGCATGCAGTTCAGAGTCGTGTGGATTTCTTTGTCGTACGTGGTTACTGTTTCATCTGAAGCCACCTACACAAGTCAATAGATCCACAAGTTCTCTCCACCAAGTTTGCATCGAGGCACCCTCACTCTCCTTTTTTTTTTCTTTTGTTCTTGTGTGAAAAGCATTCCTGACCACCACTCAAGTGGGATCCATACAGACTTATGTGCCTAAAGGAGTGTGTTATGGTGAATTCCTTTTCTTTCTTTCTTTTTTTATTTTTAAGGTAAGGGCAGGTTGAAGGGGGTTACATCATGTTAACACCAGTTTTTGTTCGTTGTTTTATTGTCACAGGTCTGAGGCTTTATTTTTATGATCACAGTTTTGTAAATTAAGATACCAGTGAAGTGTTTTCTCCCTCCCTTATAGAGTCTCTTGAGGTAGCAAAGGCTGCTACACTGTGATTGTCTGCTCAAGGGTAGAGCGGCCTGGTGGCAGAAGCATCTCTTATCTGGCTGTTTCAGCTGCTCATCATGTTTTTGTTCACTGTGCAGCCTGTATACATTTGATGTCAATTGAACAGTAATGGTGATCTTGTAAAGCTGAGTTGCTGTTCATTTGCGGGACGTGAACAAAACTTGGAGAATGTTTCACTTTGTTGACAGAAGCCTGACAAGGTGTAAGAAGATAAAAACAGTATGCCAAGCCATATGTGGAGTTTTGCCCCCGGGTAGGTGAGGTAAACAGGGTGCTGTGGGCTTTCTAAGATGAAAAGCTGCAGAGGCTGAAGCTTTTCATTGAGTAGTTGATCTAGCATAGCATGGTTGGTAAACCGATAGGTCACAGAATCTGCCACAGCTTGTGGTGGCAGCTTAGAAAACCTGTTTAGTTCAGCACCAAGTGACGGAGTAGACCCATCGTTTCTTTTCCAACCAGAATCCACAAAGTCAAGTATCCTGTTGGATGCACCGTACACTGCTTTTTCCCGGCCTTTAACATATGTCGGCCATCGGACAATCTTACACTGTCAAAGTTGTAGAGCAGTCGTAGTTATAATTGTAATAATGTGATTCATCTGTGGTGTTGAACCAGCTTGTTAATAGTTTCCATCACGGCTAGTCTCCATGCCCCTCCATGAATTCAGCGCCTCCCCCTTTTTTTTTTTTTCTTTTTTGGAAGTATTGATGTTGGCAACTTTCAGGAGAGTTATTTCAGTCAAATACTTCCTGTTACATCAGATGAAGTTATCTGTTCTGAATGAAAACGGATATTAAGGTGATTATTGTTTGTTTTTCCCCAGGATATTGTCACAGAGTTTAAACCATTTACTGCTTATCTAATATATGCTGTTACATCCATGTTACCCATTTCCCAAAGCACAACATATGCGATTTATTTTACTTTGTTATCATAGGGATAAAGTTTTCATTCCTTTAATATCTGAACAGAACTTAAGCACTTATTTCATTGCTGCTAGGATCATGGACACTTTTTACATTGGCCATATCTTTTCTTTAGGTTGAAGTAATGACTTGTAAATGTAACGTAAATTGGCAGTAAGTCAGCCCCCTTGCTTTCATTTTGATCGACAACCCAGAATAACAAGAGTACTTCAGCTGATTGGCACTTTACTCTTAAATTTGTCCAGAATCAATGCAGCAAAACCAGACATGTTGTCTTCATTCAGGTCATTCCCTGTCAAAAACAGCCTCATCTGTTACCAAATACGTGGCTATGCCTAATTATCACAGACTGTTTAAAGTCTCAGTGATGTCACCCATTGATTTCTGAAGAGACCTTTTGAAACCATGAGGTGGCGGCCCAGTTGCCATGTTGGAAATACTGACAAAACCTGACTTTTGATCAACCAAGAAAGCTGCACAGAGCCCTAACCTATCCTGAGAAAGAGTTCAAATGTGGCGACCCGTCAGTCTGATCAAACACACCTCTAATCAGGGCGTAACCTTAAGCCTAAATGTGACCAAAACAGATGAGTTGTGGGGCATATGAATATCGAAATAAGCGTCTTGGACCAAAACTAATCGTACTGTAAACATGTTGAATTTAACTTTAATGAAAAGCATTTGAACAAGGGTGTCAGTGGGCTTCATTTTGGTTGCTGCTTATTTGCAGTGTCCCCTAAATGCCTGTTTTATTCAGACATGTACTTTTTGATGCAACCAACACTAACTGAAGACGCACTGCTCGAGAACAGTTTACCCGGAGAGACAGTCATTCCAGATCAAACGTAGCCATATACTCATTGAAACAGATTCACCCGTATGTGCTGTGTTATGCAGGCGCATTTCCTTTTTCATGCAGCAGGATTCAAACATGTCACGCCTGAACACACCTATTTGACTTCCAAAACGAGTGTAACGCAGAGCAAAACTGAGCACACAAGTAACAGATTGAGGGAACCCTGAACTTCACACAGCACCTGGAAATGATTTCAGATCAGTGGAGTTCTGCGATGTAAAACCTTATAATCTTTGCTAGATGATTCTATTCAGTACAGAAGTTTTCATCAGAAAAAGAGCGTCATTTAAAGACAATGTTTTGCTTTGGAAAATGGTCGACAGTGATGTTGACTTGAATGGTAGTAAGCCGGTTAAACATGCTAGCACTGTAAGGTCCTCTCTATGATAAATATTTTCATGATGTCCTTAGATGCCATCTGTAGGAGCTTCATCATACAGTATTGCCTTGTGTGGCTTACATCAGGTTCTTCATCTCAGCTTTGAATGAGGTTAAAACACTGTCTTTGTGTGTCCTTGATTTCTGTCAAATTCAGTCATTTCGTTTTGTTGAGAGGTCAAACTGACAACCTTCGAGTTACTGTGGCAACAACTGTGTATCCTGTGAAACTGAGAAGTGTACTGTCGGTAGCATGCTATTGCATTTCTTGAGTCCAGTCAAATGCAACCCCATTACACTAGTTGTGTGCACTTACTTTAAAGTCAAAAAGGGTGTAGAGAATTTGAAAAATGGGTCAAAAGTTTGAAATGTTTGGCTGTGAAAAAGGATCATAATGTCATGTGAAATGTCAAAAGAAGGTCAAATTAGTCAATACTGCATTCTCATCAATACTCATTTAGGCCCAGAGGTATAACTGCCATGTTAGTTGCATCACCAACGCCAACAAAAGTGCCTTCTGTTTGATCACTAGGCCTTGAGCCAAAGACGAGCAACAGTATTAGCCTTGTAAAACGAAGAATGATAACTGTAACAGGCACTTCTGCTTGCCTTCCTCAAGATAAAATCTGATCAATTGGTTATCCCCAAAGAACTGATGTCCAGTGTCAGTGCAACAGTCCATTTACAAATTGCCAGACAAATTGGCTTGTCAAATGAAAGGCCGTTTCTCGTTTCCTTCCTGATTTCCACTTTCTAATTCTCATCTTTACTTTGTCTAGCTAGGACATGTTTGTTAGCTAAGAATACACTCTGTCTAAACTTCATGATTGTAATGTTTTTTCATCATTAATTTTGCCCTTTAGCTGTATAGACTGTTAACATTCTGGGTTAATTTTAGTTTATAAAAGTCGAGGGGTTGGAGGGCTGGGAATCCATGTGTCAGCATTAAATGTTTATTAAATTTCTTTGTGGAGGAAAACTCACTGGGTTTGCTTCTGTATTGCCAAATATGTTTTAAAATGCTGTATTTTCTTACATGGAAAAGTGTTACATGAACGGTAGGAGGGTGCAAAAATAATCTGTTCAAATCCAGCTTACTTTAAGGGAAAACTGTGGAAACGGTTGACATGAGAACATTTTTAATTGTGTCATTGTCATGTGGAAATGATCTACCATTAAAACATTCCCTCTGAAACAGCCTCACCTCTTCTTTCCCCTGATATTAAATGCTGTTTGAACAGGTTAAAAGGGCCGCACCGCTGATTCTTTCATGACATTTAAATGTTTCATTGGTCTCTAAAGCACAGTTTATCACTAACTTCAAACATTTTCTGATATTTATATCAGAACCATGTAGACTTTTGAGGACTGTGTTTTATTCACCAACCAAGTTCTGACAAGAACTTTAAAACTGGTATTTCTAATGTAGTAGGTGGGAAGATTACAGCAAGCTAAATAGATTCAGGGTACAAATGGACATGTGGGGATTGATATATGATTAGCTTTAAAGCTCCTGTAAGGGACTAATGGTTTGTGTTGAAGTTGTTGCATCCTTCAGACAAAATAATCTGCCGATTTTGCTCTGAAGGTGACATAGAAATCTCATCCCACTCTCTTAAAAGCCACCTGTATCACTAATCAGGAACCCTTGTGCGCAAATGTGTGTCCAGATTATCAGCAGTATGTATGCAGATAAATAAACTTTTCCCTCACAGTCTCAGATATGAAAGTATTATCCCTCTCCTTTTTGATGGCTGTTTTCTTTTTACTGAGTGATAAAGAAATGTCAGTTTAAAGTTCAAAACCAGCTAAAAACTTCTCCCAGGAGCTTTAAATTTCTGCCCTTAAAGGTTGAAATACTTGCTTCAGCTTGTGTGATCTGATAGCAAGTTGTGAAAAAGAGCCAAGAGTGAGCAAGTTTAGAAGAAATGTCATAAAAACTCGTTCTGGTTTGTTTGAGTGTTTGTCTTTTTTAAGGTAAACTTCACTTCTTTTGGGGGGTTTGCCCTGGTTCATGAAGTTTCCCTGTAGTCATATCTTTTGTTTATCCAGCCATATGAAATGTTTACTCAAAACTCAGCTGAGTCAAAAGAAAACAGCACATCTCCTCCTTTTTCTTTTTTTATCTTCTAGGAATGTCAACCTGACCACCAGAGATAACTGCGTAGACAAAGGCTTTCATTTGTAAGCCATACGATTCCATCCTATATTTTTATTTCATACTTCAAGTTTAACTCTCTAGTCTCAAAATCTCAAAAATATGAGTTTATGCAATTCCCACAAAGCATCAAACATTTGTAATGTTTCTGTTTTAAACTTTGAACAGCATCTCCAAATCACCAGAAATCAATGAAGCTCCTATGATGAATTTTTCACATTTATGCAATTGACTGAAATTCATATTGGTATTTTTTGTGACATATAAAAGCAAAAGAGACCATCAGTAATAAGATTAAAGATAATCATAACTTAATTCTTAATGCCTGAAACCGGCCTGAGGGGGTAGGTGTCAGAAGAGCAGCTGAAGAAACAGCCCTGTGTTTATAATTTCCATTTAAAATATTTACAAAAAAGGACCAATTTCCTTAAGTCAGCAGGATGAGATTTTTTTATTCTCTAAAGACACTTCTGAAGCATGAAGAGGAAAAGATAAGCACAGAGGGTCGCCATGGTGAACACAAACTTTACAGGAGATTTAACTACAGATTTTTATACAGGCTCAGTAGCACTCCATGTAATGAAATATAACAAACTTTAAAATTGCTGAAACTAGTAATTTCATTATCAAACTTTTTTTTTTCCTTTTAAATTTGGTCAAAACAATTTAGAAATCATTTCTGTTGTACTTTTTTTTTTTTTTAAATTTCCCCAAGCCCTGATTTAATTTCACATCTTTAATGTTGAAGTGTTCACGTTTACCAATTTACTGACCGTCAATGTGATGTGTAACTTCTCTCAGTATTATTCCTGCATTTTAATTTTAAATTTTTTTTTATATGACTCATACTTAAAAAAAAAAAACAATCCTGCAGACTAGAGGAGATGTCTTCACACAACATTTTATACTTTCCAGATAGTCCGTTGGTTTACATCTAAACAGTCATTTTAAGTGTGATAAGTGACCAATGTTGCATTTGGAATTCTTATGGAGATAAAGTCATTAAAATTAAGAAAGTTACTGACTTTATCTCTTTTGATGGTTTCAGCTTTGCCTTTTTTTTTATTGAAACCCAGACCTTATGAAATTAACAAAGGGGTTGAATATGAAAAGATTCAGTTCAATAACTGATGCGGCTGCAGATACAATAATAACACTAATCCCATGAGTCCTTTAGGATATTAAAATTTATGAGAACATATTTCCCCTGTAGCTGGAGGAACCACACGTCTTTATCTCACTTTCAGCTGGAGGAAATGTGAACCAGGCTCTGTAGTATCGAATTCACTTCTGTTTAACAGAATTAGTATCAGCCCAGGTTTACCTAACTGGCTCAGCTTCAAGGTATCAGGTACAAATGTCAAGAGCAGAATGTTGAATGACAAATGTATCAGTTTATGCAAACACGATTTAGAAGCTAATGTTGACAGAAGCGATTACAACCGGAACAAATTCAGTATAGCTTTGTGCAAACTGTGGTAAAACTAATCAAAAAGATGTTTTTGATCCATTTCCGCATGTTTGTTTCTTATGACTTTTTTCTTTTTATAGAGTCCACATCAGTGAGCATCCTTCAACTTGGCTTTAATACTCAGTGCTCCTCCTGGTGCACCATGGGTCAACAGGTGATAGTGACCAGTCAGATTAAGTGACAATCCCATTAATCAATATGTTTAACCCCGTAAGCGTCTGCGGTGTTACAGTAACTCAGGTAACACAATGGCTACGGAGTTCATTCAAAGTGCTTTACAAACCTACAAATAGAAAATGGAAGGAAAAACAGTGTTCATGTAGAGTTCTCGTTCTCACTTTAATATACATTGATTTTTATCAAAAGAGCTTCTCTTATGATTTACACATACAAAAATAAAACACTTTCTTGATTAGACTGAGCATAGTAATTCACTTTTAAACTGTGTGTTCAGTACTTTCATCCTTGAAAACAAAAGCTAAAACACAGTTGAATTGATTGAATGAAGCACAGATAGAAGGACAAATAGGAGAAAGTGTAGTGGCTCCTTTCTTCTATAGCGTCTGTGGAAATCAATGTGCTCTCTCACTCTCTCTACCAGGTGTGCTCATACCTCCTCACTAAAGGAAGGTCAGAGCTGAATACAAAGCACTTCATGCCTTTTTTTTCACCCGACCTATTTATCAAACAGTCAGTGTATCCAGTAGCAACTTAACTGAATGTTTCACCTCCACACAGTCCTGTCTTAAGGAAGAAATATAATTATCTTTATCAAATATAAACAGCACCATAAAAACAAAGCAAAGTTTCATGAGCATCAAAACTGCGCTGAAAAACACCGAACAGTTGGAAATCCCCAAATTACAGCAAAAACAAAGTTCATATTTCAGTTAGGGTTTCTTTTGTTTGTCAGTAAACTGCATGTACCATGAGAAATAGAGTTTCTATTTCATCCCTTCTGACCGCCAGAGGCGGTGCTTTAAGCACTGAATGACTCCCTTCGCGCATGCGCAGTTCGAGTGTTTATACCAACAACGTCACTTGTGACCCCGTGGTGACCTGGAAGAGGTTATTTCTTCCATCGGTCAACGAGGGTTCAGTCCCTTATTCTTTCTCGCTCGCGCAGGATGCAAAAGAGCGAGCTACAATATTTCAAAACCTACCTCACTTTTAAATGAGTAAGTTACCAGTAGTTCCGCGGCCGTTTCGGTCAGAGTAGCGAATGCTCGCCCTCCAGGAGCTGTAACTTGTCTAATCCATATTAATTGGGATCTCCTACTGAGCGGAGTTCTCATCTCATCGGACGCCGCGGCGTCCGTCATTCACCGGTGAGGATGGGACTCGTTCCCCTCTCCTTCGGAACAGGTAGGTTATTGATTTAGTGTACATATATATAGATATTTACCTTAACCTGTTGTGAAAGGCTGCGCTCTCGCCGCCTCCCTCCGACATAACGACTGTATACAACGAACGGTAACGCTCGCGTTCCGCGTCGGCATTTTCAGTTAATAAACGACTACGGTAGCCCGTTTTTTGTTAACGCCGCAGCGGCCACGGCCCCCCGACGGCGGCTAAAGCATTCAGCGGCGGCCAAGCGGGCAGAAAAGTTTTAAGGATAGCTCTTTCGTTTTTTGGCTAGTTTCCTAGCGACGTTTGGTTGGGCTTGGCTAACCCGTTTTTGTTGCATAGCCTTGTCTTTAGTTTAGTTAACACTAACAGTAGCATTAACGCTCTGGTTGCCTGAGGGGCTTTATCTCTTTTTATTATATAGTTGGCGATAGCCTACGCTGGTGCAGGCGGTGCTCACGCCCCCTCCCCCCAGCTCGCGCTGCCAGTGACCTGAGTTGCTTCAAGCCTATCATTGTGATTATTATTTGATTTATTCTTTCTATTTCTGATTGCTGGCAAAGGAGCGTTTCCGCTTCCTTCCTCCAGCATAAGCGGCAGTCACTCTTGCTGTCTTAATTTTCGGATAAAGGAGCGTTTCTGCTTCCTCCCTCCAGCAAGAGCGATCAATTCTCCATCTAGTGGCGGGGTCACAATGGATGTCTCTCACTGCTGTACTTCCTGTCAGGCCCCCCTCCAACCTGATGATGGACACGATTTGTGTCCATCATGTCTGGGCCTTGAGCACCTCAAGGAGGCCCTGGTGAACAGCCACTGTATGGACTGCAGCTACATGCCGATGGCAGCTAAGCTGGCCAGGCTAGCGGAGGTGAATCCGCTGCAGGACAACCTTCCCCCATCAGGCCAGGCGCCCACAGTGAAACCTGGTCGCTCGAAGCGGGGCACTGACGCACCTGCCAGTGCAGGCGCCCCACCTGCTAAAAAGAAGCCTAGGGCTAGGCCCAAGACCAACCGCTCTCGACTGTCGTCTAGGGTGGATCAGTTGTCTGCGGAGCTTGGTCGTATGAGGGCTATGCTCCTCGTCCATCAACCTCTGGAGTGTCCTTCAGAGGAAGCTCGGGTGCCTACTCCTGAAATGCCACACTTGACCCAGGAGTCCCAAGAGCCAGAGGAGGATGCGCTGTCTTTAGCTGCATCAGCCTCCCATTTTCATGAGTACGAGGAAGGGGAGGTCTATGAGGGGGCCTCTCAGGCCTCAGATCAAGGCTCCCACTCCTCAGCCCAGACTGAGCTGTCCGAGAGCGGGGATAACTCGATGCAGGCCATCCTGAGAATGGCCCTGGAGAAGTTAAGGGTGGCCTTACCAGACCAAGCAGGGCAGGCCCCAACAAGCAGATTCTTCCGGCGGAAGCCAGCCTCCAATGCATTCTCTGTCCCTCATGCAGAGGACTATTTGAGGGAGCTACAGGTCTGCTGGGCAGACTCGAAGGCCTGCTCCCGTCTAACCAGCGACGGTCGTGCGCTGGCAGCGATGCATGGTTCGGCAGACGTTGGCTTGGACTGCATGCCATCAATTGAGCCAGTCGTCGCATCTCTGGTGGTTCCCCCAGATGAGGCCTTGAGCCGGGACACCAGGTGCCCTCGCCCCCAGTGCAGGCTGACCGACGACCTGCTGATTAGGGGCTATAACACAGGAGCAAAAGCTGGGAGAATTGGCAACTCCCTGTCGCACCTCCTGCTGGCACTTTCATCATCCCTGCAGGAGGACAATGCAATCGCAGATGCTACCACCCTCTGTGACGCGTCACTGGAGGCGTTTGGCCTCATGGCTCGGGAGTTAGGGAGGATGATGTCCATCATAATCCAGGCCCGCCGCCAGGTTTGGCTGTCCCAGTCACGGCTGACGGACAAGGCGAGGAAGACCCTCCAGGGCCTCCCGGTGGTGCCAGGAACGGTCTTTGGTCCAGCTGCCCAGGAGGCACTTGACCAAACCATCCAGGCTGGACAGACTAGACAGCAGCTGATGAGCCTGCACCGCGCTCCTCCCCATAGCAGGGGCAGGGCCAGGGGCAGAGTCCACTCAGCTGCCCCTGGAAGCAACCCCCCACCAGCCCACTTTAGAGACCCACGCTTTGCGCAGGGGCAAGCCCGTGGACGGGGCTTTGGTCGTGCGCAGTCTAGGCCATTACAGCCCCCGGACCCCGTTGGACCCCCCAACAGGGCCCCTAGGGGCAGAGGGGCCAAACACTGAGACAATGGGGCCGGCCGTCGGAACTTTCACACACCAGCAGCTCAGCTACTGGGCTGCTCGAGCTGTGGACCCGTGGGTGCTTACCACACCTTGACCCACGGGTACAAACTCCAGTTCCGACGCCGGCCCCCTGCAACCAGCCGGGTCAAAACTACCATCATTGGCGACCCGGCAAAGGCCTTCGCCCTGGACCAGGAGCTGTCTACCCTCCTGGCCAAGGGTGCCATCGAACCAGTAGACCCTCTGCAGCACCCCAGGGGGTTCTACTCAACCTACTTTCTGGTAGAGAAAAAGACCGGCGGATTCCGCCCCATCTTGGACCTGAGAGGCTTAAACAGGTACTTAAAGACCCTACCCTTCCGTATGTTGACCACGGCAGCTGTACTCCAGTCCGTGGCCCCAAACGAGTGGTTCACGACAGTGGATTTGAGAGATGCCTATTTCCATGTCCCCATTGCCAGGCAACACCGGCAGTTCCTCCGGTTTGCCTACAAGGACCGCCACTGGCAGTTCCGGGTGCTCCCATTTGGGCTCTCCCTGTCCCCGAGGGTCTTCACGAGGTTTGCCGCTGCAGCGCTCCAACCTCTCCAGGCCCAGGGCATGAAGGTGCTTCCCTACCTGGACGATTGGCTGATCTGCGCACCATCCCGGGCACAGTCAGCGGACGACACATCACAGCTTCTAGCCCACGTGGCCCGCCTGGGTATCAAAGTAAATACAGACAAAAGCTGCCTGACGCCATCTCAGAGCATGACATTCATTGGTCTAGCCCTAGACACGGTTTCAATGACGGCCCGTCCTTCCACTCGTCGGGTGGATGGTATTATGAAGCTTCTGTTCGATTTCAGGAGAGGAAGCCTCCTGCCATACATGAGGTTCCTCCGCCTCATGGGCACGCTAACGTCTGTTGCGGCTGTTGTGCCGCTGGGCTTGCTGTCCCTACGCCCCCTGCAGAGGTGGCTAAACGGCCTCCATCTAGATGCCGAGCGACACAGGCACAGGCAGATTGCCGTGTCAAGACAGTGCCTCCTCACCCTAGTCCCGTGGAGGGACAGGACTTACATCCTGAGGGGTGTCCCGATGGGGTGTATTCCATTCGGCAGAGAAACTGTTACCACCGACGCCTCCCTCTCGGGCTGGGGTGCAGTGTGGCAGGGCAGGACAGCTCGCGGGCAGTGGTCTCCAGCAGACCGCGCAAATCATATCAATGTGCTCGAAATAAAAGCGGTGCACATGGCTCTTATCCATTTCATGCCTCACCTGAGAGGCAAGCATGTGTTGGTCAGGTCAGACAATACCTCAACAATCTACCATATAAACCACCAGGGAGGGACCAAGTCAGCACAGCTGCTGCAGGTCTCCGCAAACCTGCTGACATGGGCCGCCCCCGCCTGATGAGCCTGCGGGCAGTATATATACCAGGGGAGAAGAATTACATCGCGGACTTTCTCTCCCGGCGGAAGCCTCCGTCAGGAGAGTGGCGCCTCCACCCAGACGTGGTCACCATGATCTGGAACCGCTTTGGCAGGGCAGAAGTGGATCTGTTCGCTTCGGCAGTGTCGACCCACTGCCCGAAGTGGTTCTCCCTAGCGGAGCCAACCAGCCCCCTAGGCCAGGACGCGCTGTCCCACCCCTGGCCAGGGGTTCTCCTATACGCCTTTCCCCCACTTCCTCTGATTCCCCTGGTGCTCCAGAGAGTGGCTCAGGAGGGTCACACCATTCTCCTCGTGGCCCCTTTCTGGCCAGGCAGGGTGTGGTTCCCACTGCTCCACCAACTATGTCAAGGGACGCCGTGGCGCCTCCCCGACAGGAGGGACCTGCTCTCACAGCTGAGGGGACGAATCTGGCATCCCAACCCACAACGCCTTCAGCTGTGTGTTTGGCTGCTGAAGGGCCCGACCCACTGCTAGGCAGCTGCTCGGACGCAGTACAACATACGATCTTGAACGCAAGGGCGCCGTCCACCAGGCTCCAGTACGCCAACAGGTGGAAGCTGTTTTCCAGCTGGTGCAAAAGCAGAGCTGAGGACCCAGTACACTGCCCAGTGACTGTAGTCCTTGAATTCCTCCAAAGCCTGGTAACTAAAGGCCTGTCCCCTTCTACACTTAAAGTGTATGTGGCAGCTATATCTTGTAACCACGTGAGGGTTGAGAACAGCACGATAGGGAGCCACCGCTTGATCTCCAGCTTTCTGAAGGGGGCCCAGAGGCTGCACCCCCCGAGAGCCCCGAGAGCTCCAGTATGGGACCTAAATCTAGTCTTAGACACCCTATGCAAGGCTCCCTTTGAGCCCCTGGAGCGGGCAGAGCTCAAATGGCTGTCCTATAAGACAGCCCTCCTCCTGGCCATTACATCGGCCAAGCGGGTAGGTGAGCTACACGCCCTCTCAATCAACGAATCCTGCCTACGGTGGAACCCAGACCAGTCAGGCATGACCCTATGGCCCAATATGGACTTCCGTGGGTGCTTACCACACCTTGACCCACGGGTACAAACTCCAGTTCCGACGCCGGCCCCCTGCAACCAGCCGGGTCAAAACTACCATCATTGGCGACCCGGCAAAGGCCTTCGCCCTGGACCAGGAGCTGTCTACCCTCCTGGCCAAGGGTGCCATCGAACCAGTAGACCCTCTGCAGCACCCCAGGGGGTTCTACTCAACCTACTTTCTGGTAGAGAAAAAGACCGGCGGATTCCGCCCCATCTTGGACCTGAGAGGCTTAAACAGGTACTTAAAGACCCTACCCTTCCGTATGTTGACCACGGCAGCTGTACTCCAGTCCGTGGCCCCAAACGAGTGGTTCACGACAGTGGATTTGAGAGATGCCTATTTCCATGTCCCCATTGCCAGGCAACACCGGCAGTTCCTCCGGTTTGCCTACAAGGACCGCCACTGGCAGTTCCGGGTGCTCCCATTTGGGCTCTCCCTGTCCCCGAGGGTCTTCACGAGGTTTGCCGCTGCAGCGCTCCAACCTCTCCAGGCCCAGGGCATGAAGGTGCTTCCCTACCTGGACGATTGGCTGATCTGCGCACCATCCCGGGCACAGTCAGCGGACGACACATCACAGCTTCTAGCCCACGTGGCCCGCCTGGGTATCAAAGTAAATACAGACAAAAGCTGCCTGACGCCATCTCAGAGCATGACATTCATTGGTCTAGCCCTAGACACGGTTTCAATGACGGCCCGTCCTTCCACCCGTCGGGTGGATGGTATTATGAAGCTTCTGTTCGATTTCAGGAGAGGAAGCCTCCTGCCATACATGAGGTTCCTCCGCCTCATGGACACGCTAACGTCTGTTGCGGCTGTTGTGCCGCTGGGCTTGCTGTCCCTACGCCCCCTGCAGAGGTGGCTAAACGGCCTCCATCTAGATGCCGAGCGACACAGGCACAGGCAGATTGCCGTGTCAAGACAGTGCCTCCTCACCCTAGTCCCGTGGAGGGACAGGACTTACATCCTGAGGGGTGTCCCGATGGGGTGTATTCCATTCGGCAGAGAAACTGTTACCACCGACGCCTCCCTCTCGGGCTGGGGTGCAGTGTGGCAGGGCAGGACAGCTCGCGGGCAGTGGTCTCCAGCAGACCGCGCAAATCATATCAATGTGCTCGAAATAAAAGCGGTGCACATGGCTCTTATCCATTTCATGCCTCACCTGAGAGGCAAGCATGTGTTGGTCAGGTCAGACAATACCTCAACAATCTACCATATAAACCACCAGGGAGGGACCAAGTCAGCACAGCTGCTGCAGGTCTCCGCAAACCTGCTGACATGGGCCGCCCCCCGCCTGATGAGCCTGCGGGCAGTATATATACCAGGGGAGAAGAATTACATCGCGGACTTTCTCTCCCGGCGGAAGCCTCCGTCAGGAGAGTGGCGCCTCCACCCAGACGTGGTCACCATGATCTGGAACCGCTTTGGCAGGGCAGAAGTGGATCTGTTCGCTTCGGCAGTGTCGACCCACTGCCCGAAGTGGTTCTCCCTAGCGGAGCCAACCAGCCCCCTAGGCCAGGACGCGCTGTCCCACCCCTGGCCAGGGGTTCTCCTATACGCCTTTCCCCCACTTCCTCTGATTCCCCTGGTGCTCCAGAGAGTGGCTCAGGAGGGTCACACCATTCTCCTCGTGGCCCCTTTCTGGCCAGGCAGGGTGTGGTTCCCACTGCTCCACCAACTATGTCAAGGGACGCCGTGGCGCCTCCCCGACAGGAGGGACCTGCTCTCACAGCTGAGGGGACGAATCTGGCATCCCAACCCACAACGCCTTCAGCTGTGTGTTTGGCTGCTGAAGGGCCCGACCCACTGCTAGGCAGCTGCTCGGACGCAGTACAACATACGATCTTGAACGCAAGGGCGCCGTCCACCAGGCTCCAGTACGCCAACAGGTGGAAGCTGTTTTCCAGCTGGTGCAAAAGCAGAGCTGAGGACCCAGTACACTGCCCAGTGACTGTAGTCCTTGAATTCCTCCAAAGCCTGGTAACTAAAGGCCTGTCCCCTTCTACACTTAAAGTGTATGTGGCAGCTATATCTTGTAACCACGTGAGGGTTGAGAACAGCACGATAGGGAGCCACCGCTTGATCTCCAGCTTTCTGAAGGGGGCCCAGAGGCTGCACCCCCCGAGAGCCCCGAGAGCTCCAGTATGGGACCTAAATCTAGTCTTAGACACCCTATGCAAGGCTCCCTTTGAGCCCCTGGAGCGGGCAGAGCTCAAATGGCTGTCCTATAAGACAGCCCTCCTCCTGGCCATTACATCGGCCAAGCGGGTAGGTGAGCTACACGCCCTCTCAATCAACGAATCCTGCCTACGGTGGAACCCAGACCAGTCAGGCATGACCCTATGGCCCAATATGGACTTCCTGCCAAAAGTGCCATCGGCAGCAAACATCAACCGGCCTATCACACTGGCCCAGTTCGATCCTCCACCAGGAGACAGGGCTGACCAACTGAGGCTGTTGTGCCCGGTGCGGGCCTTGAGAGCCTACATTCGAGCCACCACACGTGTAAGACGAGCTGAACAGCTCTTTGTGTGTCACAGCGGCCCTAGTATAGGCCTTGCCCTGTCAAAGCAGAGGTTGTCCCACTGGGTGGTGGACACAATCAACCACGCCTATAAGGCAAATAACCGCCCCATGCCACCCGGGGTCCAGTGTCACTCGACCAGGAGTGTCTCCACCTCATGGGCAGCCCTAAGAGGAGTACCCCTGGAGGACATCTGATTGGCTGCCTCGTGGGCGTCATCAAGCACGTTCTCCAAGTTCTACAGGGTGAACGTTGCCACTCCCCATCCGTTGGGTGTGGTCCTCTTCCCGGAGTCCCCTTGATTCAAGGTTTGCAATCAGGATTCCTCGTGACTTTGCTGGTATAAGTCATTCAGTGCTTAAAGCACCGCCTCTGGCGGTCAGAAGGGATGAAATAGAACGAAAGTTACGCATGTAACTACGGTTCTATGAATCCCGAATGACCGCCAGAGCACTCTGTCACTCAGAATCCTCGCGTCTTCGCGAGAAAGTTCTGCAGGGACTGAACCCTCGTTGACCGATGGAAGAAATAACCTCTTCCAGGTCACCACGGGGTCACAAGTGATGTTGTTGGTATAAACACTCGAACTGCGCATGCGCGAAGGGAGTTATTCAGTGCTTAAAGCACCGCCTCTGGCGGTCATTCGGGATTCATAGAACCGTAGTTACATGCGTAACTTTCGTTATATGATAGAGAGTCCATCCTGGTGTGGGTGTCAGAGTGAGCAGGGGTACTTGGTCCAAATAGGTAACCTGCCTGTTTCATTGGCCAGTCTCCAGTATCTCTCCTTCAGGATGAATGCTGCTGACTTAGGCTGCCGCTGTCTGCTGAATATACCTTTCTTGTTCCCCACCACTCGGGTTATTCCTGCAGACACAGAGATCAAAGAGTGCCCAGTCAAACTCAGGTTTTTGTCAGCATAAAGTCTGTTAAATGTGCTTTAATTTTGGGGTATTTTTTTTTAATCCCCCTTCCATTAACAACAGCTCAATGTGAAGTTGTTAAAATCTTCTTTAAGTTGTTTTGCTGTATATGCAAGCTTGTTGACTTATCCTTGAGTTAATCATGTTCAGGAGCAGTGAGGCCTGGTCTTCCATATTTCTATGTTATAGTAACACCATCCTCTAGCTGATGTCAAACTCTCTGTGTGGTCGGTTTATAAAGGAGTACTGTAGAGTAGAGATGCAACGATAGCTCGGCAAAAATCGATGACTAAATTAGTGGCTAATGAATTTAGTTGTCCATTATAGGTCAGTCTCAACCCTCAGCTGTTCAACTCTGTTGAACAGCTGAGGGTTGAGACATCTAGCATCCTCACAAGCTCTGCTGAGCGTGGCACATGCAAAACAGAAGAAGTGGGGCATAAATAGGAAGTGACATGTATACAAAACACAGCGACATGGCAGCGGCTGCCCCAAAGCTGTGGTATCCTAGAACTTCTTATGCACAGGAGTGTTTCTCTTTAAACTCTGCAAAGAAAAAGGGGCCTGAGAGATTTGCAAGTTAAATAAGAGCCACTGCAGTTCACCGTACAATTAGTAGATAAACAATCTCAATAATCAATGACTAATCAAATATCAAAACAGGCAGTTTCAGCATTTAGAATAGTAAAATTTTATGTTTCACACTCTTAAAATAACTATGAATCATAAAAACCAACATGCTGGTGTACTTTAATTATCAATTCAACATATCAGAGAGTGATATTGAACAGAATATCAGCACTGCTGTGATTCAGACACCGTGATTCAGTGATGAAGGTGAAAAGCCTGATCACACAACCAATCTAATAAATCTGCAGAGAGGAAGTCCGTCACATCTCACCTCTCCCTTTTGACACTGTATCATGACCTCTTCCTCTTCGCACTGGAGTTCTGCTCACCCTGTCCTGACTCTAATTTGCATAATCACTGTACAGTATCATGCAACACTTCTTCAAAGCTGTGTGAACAGATGATTACTTTTCTTTAGTTTGTCATTCATTTTTCTCTTCTACCTCTATGAGTGTGTCCATTAAAGAAGATCAGATACTTAACATTATGTGCATGTATCTTTGTGTTTGTATTTAATTTAATTTAGTTGCTGTGAAAAAAGGGTCTTTAGTTGTTTTGTTTTAGTGGCCTGATCAATCTGATGCTGGAAGGTTCATCAACTACATTTAAAACACCCGAGGCAGGGATTTGAGTTTCATTAAGTCTTAGTGATTTTATACTGCATATCAGGGATCAGAGAATCTCCCCTTATCTAGTCAGATTACTTGGTAGGAACCGTTTCATTGTGTTTTCCATAGTGTTTAATAGCTCCTTCTGTGATAGCTGAGATCAGATCCCAGAGAGAATCAGTTAAAGAAAAGTCTGCAAAAGGATTTACGCACACTCTCTTCAATCTGGCCTTGTTTTCAGGGTTTAAACGATGGTCAGTGACCTCTGTGATTCCAGGAACCCACAACTGGATTTAGCCCAAACCTAATCACAAAATGCCTGGATTGGTCCAGGTCCAGATCCTGTGGGTTTGTTTGGAACTACAGCAGAGATTAAAACCTTCTTTAGCTTGGCCAGCAGTCCTAACCTCACAGATATTAATTTATCATGAAATACAAAGGAAGAAAACAAGGAAATATTGTTATTACACAATCAAATAATCCTCTTCTCAGTGGTATTCTGCATCGAATAAATTTTTGAGTCAAGAGATTAAGTTCTCCTGCAAAGTCAGTTTAATTGTTTCCTGACCGGCAACTTCTTCTGTAGAACCTACATGAGTCAACCCGATGGCACACCCATTCACTAAAACTCCTCTTAGTTTAGAGGTGTGGATCAGACTCTTATTTTAACTCAGTACAGACTCCATGATTCATTCATAGCTGTGAGTGAAAATTTACTGCAGGGTTTCAGGGTCAGTGAGCATCAGTCACATTAATGTACTTCTGCAGGGTCTTCCTGTGGTCTGCTCTCAGTATCAGGTGTTGAAAGCTGCCCTGCCTACAGCCTTTTTTCACGAGTGATTAATGAGCTGGAGTCGCATAGGGAAATAAAAAGCAGCTTTGACTCTGATGGGAACGTTGTATGAACTGTTTTTCTTTCTTGGAGCTGCAGTACCTTGTGCAGTCATGAAGTCTGCAAAGTTCCAGATGAGTTCACCGATGACGTACTGCTTCCTCTTCTGGTCGAACACGTTGTGGTAGCTCTGCAGGACGGCCTTCTGATACTCCTCTGTAAACATCATGGGCGGGTCCTGGAAGGAGAAAAGACCGCTTTTTACTCTCATGTTCCTCTGAAAATATTTCGTAATCACAATCTCTAAGACACAAGGAGAATAAGGCGTGGCATGGTCTATAATTCTCATCACAACTTTCAGATTCACCAGTAAGATAATAAAGATATTATCGGTGCAAACAACAGTCAGGAATTTGAATCAATGTGTGTGCGTGAATCCTCACACTGTGGATCCCAGGCACTGCATCTGCTCCATACTCGCTCTGGATGATGGGTTTGTGGTACTTTCCATACCAGTTCTCAAACTGTGTGTTGAGCTGGATGGGGATGACCTCCATGTGTCCCGCGTCATGATACCAGGAGAAGTAACTGTTCACACAGATTACGTCCACAAAGGGAGCCTGGAGACAAGATAAAAGATTAAAATACAGCTCCTTGTTGTTGTTTCTGCTGTTAAAAGCTTTGCTGAATTACTCGAACAGATATTACAAATAAAGCTAGAGTTTATAGTAGATTAGAGTAGATCCACTGGTGTTTCAAGAGCAAAAGATTCTGTTATGAGGTTAAAAAAGGGGAAAATGTTAAGTCTCCTTGTTACAGTACTACAATGTCATTTAGCAGATGCTTTTACCCAAAGCAACGTACAGATACGTTCCTCTTTTAATGGTACCAACAATGTAGTGGTGTTGTCTTGCAGCTCCTGAAACTGCTCCTAACTTTAAACTCTTCTTCCCTCAGGTCACTGGTAAATAATCCTTGAAAACGTGTGTTGACCGAGTCAGAAGTTTGAACACATCAGCTGCTGCAGGTAATCGGCACCTGTAAGCCTGTAACTACACCCTTGGACATGTAGCTCACAGCACAGGAATGTGGACTATTCTGCCGCATGTCAACAACTTGGTTTGATGTTGTGTCAACAAAAGCCTGACAGATAAAAAACCTCTGAAGCCCAGAGGGATAATAACCTCACAATCTGACTTTTACTCCCTAATTTTCCAAGTGTGCAAACAGAAACACTAAAGGAATCCTAAGTGTTTGGATCTGGAGAGGAGCATTCTTCATTGGAGTATTCTTTACACAGGGAAACTTGGTAAGTCCATCAATGTAAACAAATACTTGAATAATTCAAAGAATGAATGATGAAACTATCATTGAGCCGCGCAGGTTTTAACTTGACCTAGACTTGATTTCAAAGTGTGTGCTGTAAATCTCACCCCTTTGTCCCTGGCGTAGTTACTGTCTGTGACATACGTGACAGGCCTGGTAGGGTCCAGGGTTTTGGTGTGTTTAATCAATGTCCTGTAGGGAAAAAAAATCAAAATATAAATGTAAATGAAATCTTATGTAACATCTGTGCAAGCATGTGGACTGGCACAGTTCCAGTGTAACAAATCACGTCAGTTAGAAAAACTATGAGGACACTTTGTTCCCCACACACCCGTCAGACTGCTTTACTTCTAAAGTAGTTTAGTAGGTTGAGTTTGTGTCTGCCCTGTTTCTCTCTCAGAGCAGCTTCATGAGGGCTTGTACTGCATTCCACAGATCTCCACAAAAGGGAACGGCTTGGACTAATATGTTAACTCTGAACAAGCCTAGAGGAATTTATAACAACTTCAGCATCTTTTTTGGGTTGTTTCCTTAAAGTTTAAGGCTTTTGGGGTGAATTCTGGTGGTCTCGTTTTTCCTTCATCATAAAATCAGGCCTAAAATCAATGGCAACATATCACATTCAATTAAGGATAGAAAACCTTAAGGTATTTTTAATGGAAGACAAAAATCTACAGTTTAAATCTACATGAGTGAATAAGATGTGAAGCTTATACTAATACGTAACAATACAAATACTGTGTTATGTACGCCTGTGAGTAAATGGGATTAAACTAAGTGGTCTTTGGCTCTCCATTGGGATGTTGTGGTTTTCTTCTGGAAAACTTTTCAGAATTATGTGATATCTTGTTTATTACAAAAAATAGAACATATTTTTCTCAAGTGTAGGCAATATGCTTTTGTAAAATCCACTTGGAAAAGAGCAAATCTTAAAAACTGGGCTTCAAGATGCAGAAAGGTGGCATAGCAAGAGTGGAAAATGCCACTGAGTGACCAAATGAGCTTCGACTTTGACACTCGACTGAATCAAATTAAAGTTCATGATACAGTTTGAATGTGAAAGAAACAAAAAGACTGAAAAATAATAACAGAAACAACACTAGTCAACAGACAGTTATCAAACCACCTCACCCTCTTTGTCAGTGTCCCACAACAGTTAAAATAATATCAAACTAAAGCCAGGAATAAATGACTGGAAATGACAGACAGTTAAAGGAGTGTAACACAGGTAAACACCCATCATGGCTCAAACACATCATGTATGAGTAAATAAACATGTTCTTGTCTCATATTCACTCATGGGTCTGTTTTTGTGTGAATGAATATTTGATGTTATGCTTCAAAGCTAAACATGATGACCAGCACTCACTTGAAATAGTATTCAGCAGGGGGCATCTCAGAGGCCGGCTCATTGGCCACAGACCACATGACCACAGAGGGATGGTTCTTGTCCCGTCGTATGAGCTCATCCATGACAAACAGGTGATGAGTCAGAGAGGTGTTTCCGTAACTGCGACTGTGCAAGAGTCGGGAAGATGAAAAGATGCAATTACATGATTACCCGTATTTAAACCAGCCCATAAGGTAAAGACAAAATGCTATTACTCAAGAGGAATTTGCAGACATTACTTGTCTGTTACCTGGGCTTTATTCACCAATATCTTTTCCCTGTAATGCCAACCTGTTTTTAATAAAATCATACCTGTCTCTACATTTGGACGCTGGTGATTAATCGCAGCTAAATGAATTCTGGCCCTCAGCTGTAATAATCTTTATCATCTTATTAGTCTTCTCTAATCCACTAATAGTTCCCTGTAATTAATTCAACTGGATGTTCCTTCATTTAATTAAGCAGGAAATTGCCTTTGTATCTGTCCTGTTCAGTGAGTACTAATGTTGTATAACTCACTGGTTACACTGACACACTTTATTTTCAATATTTGGTTAAGAGTTTGCAGCTTTCATTCTGTTAAATTGTCGATCACAATTTGGTTTCTCCTTCTTGAACTGTGAAAGCTTCAGATTTCACAGTAAGTGGGTGAGTCTGCTCTTCTCCACTTTAGATCTTTCAAAGTCGTATTGCTGCATCAGGCTTACACAGCAGCAAGTTTCCTGACACAGGTTTTACTGCTTAAGCTAGGTAGAAGGCAGGAGTTGTGAATAAGATGTTTACATTCACTCTCTGTTAATCACTCCTCAATTGCACCCCAGAGTCAGAGATGAAAGGAGTGGAGACACTCACATGTCTTTGATGCCCACCCCTGGGCACTCGTCGATCACCACGATGCCGTGACGGTCACACATCTGCAAGATCTCCTCGGCATACGGGTAGTGGCTGGTGCGGAACGAGTTGGCCCCCAACCACTTCAATAAGTTGAAGTCTTTGACGATCAGCGGCCAGTCAAAGCCTTTCCCTCGAATCTATGGCGCAAAATAAACACAGGAAGGAAGCGTCAGATTATTTTACTAGATCTAGTTTTCCACTAAATTTCCTGTCTGGATCTCTAAACTCTGCAAAGATGGGCTGCACATATCAGATCTGCAGAGGTTGTATGAACATGAAGGCTCTTCACTGCAACAAGCGAGCTTTCAAAAGCAAGAAAAGACAAGCAGTCAAATAAGATCACACTGCTTCTGAGGGACAAAAGTTCATCTCAGCAAGTCAAGAAAACTCTCTTTCACCAGGATTTATTTTAAGTTAAATATCTCATCCCATAAACCAAACACACATGTACAAATCTGACAAATGAGACAGAAACAAATATGTTTGTTTGATTACAAACATTTTTTCAATGTATGTGAAAATATCTTGAATTCAGCAACTGCTCGTTCTCAGTCTACTATCATGCACCATATATAGGAAAAACATTTTTAAAATATAAAATCCAAACCTAAAACAAACTCAAAAGATACACTCAATTTTAGAATTCAAGCTCTTTCAATAAACTAAACATTAAACTATTGATCTTTTTTTTAAATATCTTGCTCAAGGGAAATTGGAATGTTTTGCTTAAATTAATGTAGAAAAGATAGGAGTTCAGATAAATGTACTTGCACTATGCATGAAATTGACCTCTTCCTAAAATATGAATGATTCTGAGGCAGATTTATCAAAATTATGCAGGTCAAATTCAGTTTTTGAAATAATAAAAGGACCAAAAACCTAAAATTGTGAAGTTCTTAAACACCAAACTGGTCTGGTACTAAGACGTACCTTGTAAGACAAAAACTAAGCAAACTTATCTTCATGACTGGTGTGTCTCACTTTCTCTAGTGTAAGCTAAATGCCGCCCTCTAGTGTTACTCACATCTGCATCCTCATGTTTATTGACTCCGTGGAAGTAGAAGGGCTTGTTGTTGATGAGGAACTGGCTGCTGGTGACGCTGACTGTACGGATGCCGACTGGTAAAGAATACACATCCTCTGATGTTGTTCCCATATCAGATGTCAAAACATGAACCTGATATGGAAAATGTCATAGTGTCACATTATATCTTGGAACCTTTTTCAGAGGAAATTTTTAAAGAGAGGAAGTTGTGCTAAATACTTAAGACCTACAGTGTCTTAGACCCTCTGTTGTTACACTAGAGAGTACTTGTTTCAAAGAAGTGCAGAAAATGACTGAAAAATTTACAGTTTTTATTTTAACAATTGATAAAGATGTCAGTTTTGAACTTGTTGATTAGCTCAGTATAAAAATAAACTTTTAATTCCACATTTTAAAATTTGCAGTTTTTACACCAACAGGGCCTGTGACAATCAAGATGCTAAAATATTTATATTTTACTCATCATAAATCCAAAGAACGGAAAAAGGCTCTGATTAAGGGAATGATTTGTAGGTCACACATGCTGTCTTACCTCCAGAGAATACAGATAAGCTGGACTTTCATGCATCAAATACGGCCACCACAGCATGACATCCACGACTTTGAGCACTTCAGATGGCTTGCTCGAGGCGGCCACACAGTGACCGCTTTTGTCCATCAAAGTCACCTTCAGGGTAAAAGAGGAGGATCCTTTCACTGATACTTGGTATTTGACCAAACCTGAAACAGAACAACAGCATGGACAATGCCGATCATAGAAATCCACATTTACACAATGATAGTCCTGTTACACAAGATAAGTCTCCTGGAAGTGCTTTGGTGCTGTCAATGAGTAAAATTACAGATTTGACATTTCTTCTCTGTTAGGGTACACGTCTGACTAAAAACGACGTAATTCAAGAATGCAGAACTTGTGATGCTGATAAAATGTAGCTTAAAATAAAGGATGATTCACAGAACTTGGAGGCCTGTATGCAAGATAAAAAAACCCACTAATTGTTACATGTTGATACTAAAGAATTTAATGTTTTTGGTCAGGTGTTTTTGTACTTGATATACCCAGTCTGAAAAGTGATGCCAGCAACAGCTTTAAAAAGGAGAGTAAAGTTCACCTTGGCTGTAGGCACAAACAGTGTGTCCATTCACTTTGATATTATTCGTTGCTCTATTTGCTGGCTCAGTCCTCCATAAATAGGCGAACCCCTCCTGATATTTACTTTAGCAAGACTCACCCTCCCTGGGATGCTTTTCATATAACTTATAATGCTACTTTTCTGTTCCAAGTATGCCTTGTTAATAAAAATGTTCCACAGAGTGTTTCAGAACTTTTTTTCAGTCTTTTTAAGTGGAACATATGCCACCATCTTCTCCTTCTAAAAACATGTTGCTGGTATCAAAATCAAGACAGACGTATAACTTCCCTGGAACATTTTAACTTCCAGTTTTACTATTCTGTATACATTTCCGACTTCTTTGGAAACAGTGTTCGGATGAATCCATTTACCAGTGTTATCAGTGAAGTCAGTCACTACAGTGATGTCGTCAACATAGGCCTTAGGAGTGGTGTAAAGTAACACAGGACGATGTATGCCAGCGTAGTTGAAGAAATCAAAGTAGACATTTTGCACAAAAAATCCATTTGGGTACCTGTTGAAAAATCACATTTTGTTTTTAACTGAATACACACTCAAATGCTGCTGTGCACATCACAGTACTTCCTAAATACCACATTAAATCAGTGGAAAGATTCAGTGAGAACTGAAAATAGTCCGGACAAATCTCTAAAAAGAGGAAACAGGACTTCTTTTTTGATGGTAGCAGTTCAAGATAAAACTTCCAAGAGTTTACTTTTCTGTTTGAGCAAAAAGGGTTTCTTTAACTTTTAAAAAGTTATTTTGAGTTACTTGAAAATGTGCAGTATCATTTTACAAGTCACTGCTGGTTGTTATCTCCTGGTACACAATACCAGCAGCTGAAGTGTAACCCTGGACTGATCTGATAGTATTGAGAAATACTCAACTCACTGTGACAATGGTTGATCAGCGAGGTTAAGAAACCACCATAACTGTAACCACAATTTCAAAATAATTGTAAAGGTGTTTAAAAAAAAAAAAAGCTTTATGAATGTTTTGTGGTGAAAGTGTTGCAAGTCTTAAATATTACTCTGTCATATTTTCCCATGATTGAAAGTTTTGGTAAGGGTTTTATGTAGGAGATAAAAGCTAAGTTACTTGGTGGGGTCATTCAGGTGCTGAATGGTTCCTGGAGGGAGTGTGTCCAGAGTCAGAGTGTTGTTGACAGCGACGGTGATCCTGCACGACTTAGACGGGTCAGCCCGGAGTAAACTGCCGATCTCGGCCTCAAAAGGGAGATGACCACCTTTGTGCACCGTCACTTGCACCCCGTTCACCCACTACAAAAACGTCAACATAATCCTTTTAATTTAACTCCATCACTTTTTTTACGCTCATGATTGTAAAAAGGTGCGCGACGAGTCTCCAAACTGCAATGTCAGATGCAGATGACTTCTGTTTTTGTAATACTTACCATAACTGAATGATAGTGAGCACTTCCCACTCTCAGAACAATCCTTGTCCCTGCATCCATGATCCAGCGGGAAGGAACCACCACCTCTCGCTCATACCAAACCCAGCCAATGAAATCCCTCAGAGCAGGGTCCTGTGTGACATCATTGTAGCTGGAAGGTACTGGCATGTCAATCACTGGACCAGTCTAAGGAAAACAAAACACATAACCTTGATTTACAGAACAGCTGTACTCAGAAGTGAATTTGCACTTAGTGTAATAATAATAATAATAATGACACTTAAAACCATGTCATAATAAGTATTGATGAATGCAATACAAGACAATCAAAGAAGCAAGAGTAAAACTTCAGCCACAAACCATTATGTTTTTTTGTCTGACATTTCTGTTTATGTCCATGTTATATTATTTAAAGTGTTCTGTGTAAACGACCAAAGTCCACAAGACCAACAATGAAAGATAACAAAGTCGACTTGGCTTTATCTAAATGGGTCAAATGCAATAAATAACAGTTGGGAACAGGCTGGTTATACATAAAGGTTAGGAACATTGTCTTGTTTCGCCGTAAACTTCATGTTTCAATTCAATATATATACTTGAGGGACTAACTGTATCTTCTGTATCATTGCAGTACTACTAACATTCAAACACTGTTAATGTAGCTTATGAAGAGCACTATTGAACAAAGTTTAGATTTTTATAGAGACAATTACTGCCTACTATTAGTTTTTCTCTACAGTCAGCGTACTTTGCTGTCCATATCTTATTCTATATTTATTGTCATGAACCAAAAAAGTATATTCACAGTATATTCCTCACACAATGTATGAACTTACTTTTCAGTGAACTCATTTTCTGGTTCACACAATAAGTCACAAGTTTTATCTACATGCGAATTATTTGGAAAACAATTTGGAGTATTTGTGTTGACAGCTTATTGGTACTAAGCTGCAGGTTTCAATAGATTTAAATGTACTTTGAGGTGTTTTGCAGCTCTGTGGTATGCTAAGCAGTGTACTATAAGGTGATTTTGACGCATAAAAACTCTTATAATGTTGTTATATACTATTAGCTGTCTAATAGTTTAAGCTGTTTACTAAGAAGTCCGTCAGTAACTTTGGGGGAAGTTTATAGGTGCATTTGGATGAAAGCGAGTGAGGTGAGGTGCTTTGTTGTGGTCCGAGCAGCATTAGCCTCCCTCTCTCCTGCTCACCTCTGACAGCCGTCTTTTGTACCATGCCTCATTAAAGCCCTGATTCCTGCTCGGAGATTTGTCCGCCCTGAAGTCCCACAGCCCGCTCAGCTCCTTCACCTCTCTGGAGGAAGACTCTCGGGGATACAGCATTCCGGAGTCCAGCGAAAACACCGCCGCAAATACCGTTAACAGCCATAAAACCCGGAGCAGGCCGGGCCTCCGTGATGCAGCCATTCTGGACTGAAAACTCGGAACTTCACTCGGCGGTTTATGCAGCTTCAGTTACATGACCAACCCGGCCGTCACGTGACCACGGAACTCCTCCAAGAGTACCCAGATGCAGTGCCAAGATGGCGGACCCAAAGATAGAAAACCACGGCTGTGTCCGAAATGGCATACTGCCTACTATCTACTTACCTACTCAAGCAGTAGCTACTGCCTACTGACTACTCAAAGATGATTTGAGTATGCCGCGGCTGCCCGAGCGTTTACATACAGATGCATACTAAATACCCCAGAATGCATTTCGTGCCGGCCGGACGCAGCGCCGGGAAAATTTAAATAGTCCTACCACAAGCTACATAGAACGACTGCATTCTGGACAAATTATATAAATTCATTCAATAATAATATTTTTTCTAGCGAGAAACTAAGTGTTTACATCACGATTATGAGCCCAGTTGTTTGAAATAGTAGCTGTTTGTAAATTTGTCTCGGCGTTTTCGGAGACCGAAGCGTCCGCTTGGTCGGTGTTTGCGTCTATTTACCGTAAACACCGGGCAGCAGCAGCTCCCCCTTTACGTTTCCAAATTATTGCGAAGTGTTTTCATAATCAACATCTACACGACACAAACCGGGCGGCAGTGGATGAAAAAAATCACACAAACATCCGTGTATCCATGGTGATAATGCTATACACCACCTGCTAGGCCTGTGATGAGCAGCAGAGGGCTGCAAAATGACCAACACACAACATAATTATTATGACCTCGTTCGGTTATTCCTTGGCAAATACATCATTTCCCGACTACATTCTTTTCATGTACAATGATTATTTCAGAAACCATCAGATTTTCAATCACAAGTAAGAATTAGTAAAGCTCACATAGATTGTCAACTGGAAACTCCCCCGTTTGTATATTCTGAACCATGTGCTCTCTACCAAAGATACTTTTTATTAATCAGAGGTCTGTGCTTAATATGAGCGACCACTTTGATGATGCATTCAGAGATGAGAAGATGCTCAAACTTGATGTAATACATACATCTTTAATAGACACTTAAATAAAGTCAATTCATACAAATAGTTAAAAACATTACCTATAATCCTAATTTAAAATACAAATAAATCTGGTAAAAAGATCAAAGTATGATAAAATGATGAAAATTGTGTAATGTATACTGACTAAATATTGTTTATCTATTTATATAAATATTATTATTATTGCAATCACATGCCATCTATTTCTCTTCAGCCTCGGGAAGGAGGGCCATATTATCAGCTGAGGTGCGCAATGCATTGTGGGGCAGAAGCAGTACGTGAAGCAAGCTCCGTTGCACACTCAGAAATCGAAGCCGATTGAGTATACATCCGGGCATTTCTCGCATACACAAAATTCGCATACTGTACAGTGTGAACGCACTGCCTACTCAATTCAGAGGCGGGGTTAGTAGGAGTAGTAGGAGTAGTAGGCCATTTCGGACACAGCCCACATTTACAAAACGCAATAAGTTTCCGCATTACCTCCGATTGGCGGACCCAAAACATGAACTTTGAACTTCTGCTTTGCGATGCCAGAACAGTAGGTGGCGGTATGTACCTACACTTTCTGACGGCAAAATTTACAGAAGAAGAAGAACTCTCAGGAAGTTTGAAAAGAAGCAAGCCGTCCGCATTCATTCAATCTCACATCCGACCACTCAAACTAACCCTAACCCTGCATTCCATTGTTTCCATCATGGGAAATCTAAGTGACGCTCTCAAATTAACAGGAACATTGCGCAGAAGATATGTCCTGGGCAATGGACTGAGAAAACGGGCAGAGATTTGGAGGTATTTGTGCATGCTCTATATTACAGTTGAAAAGTGTATAACAGCTTTCCAATGCTGTTACTTGTGGCGAACACCTTTTTGCTTGAGTTGATGCGTGCCCGCATGTGGTATACTGTCACATGTCACACACATTTTCTGTTGTTTTGATTTATTTACTCATTCATCATTTTATGTGCGCACCTCTCCTAATCAACCCACCCATTAAATAGACAGGCACAATAGCACCATCTGCTGGCACAAAAAATACATAACAATAAACTGCAAAACCCCAATCTGGCTCCTACAAAGTGTATGTGACAAGATGATTAACGTTTGCTTTTGTTAAATCAGGGCTTCCCCAGCCAGGACTTCGGCTCAGACTGTGGCATATTCATGTTGATGGTAGGTCATAACGAGCTGTAATGCACAAATATTGTATCTAGAATAACTTTCCAACATGGACTTTTTTAAAGTTATCTCACATGTTGTCTCATAATTTTTTTTTAAAAGTCTGCCATGTACATCGTTATGGAGTCACAGTTTGACTACTCAGTTGTAAGTACTTTTCAACACGCAGTGTCATCCTCAAGATTGTATTTTGTATTGTGCACTAAAATGAAATACAAACAACAATTTCAGCATGACATGCCTGTTTGGCGGCGATGGTGGTGCCTGTTGCTCCTGGAGAACAATTCTTTGAACAGGTAGACAGTTTAAGTAAACTAGATGTCCTAATTAACTGGAAGACAATCAATATATTGTACTTAAAGACATATTGTCATTACAGTTGTGGGAAAATCTTCGCCCACTGGACCAAAGAATGTCAAGAGCTCATTGCTGGAAAGCATACTCCGGTCTTCAGTCTAAAGAGGAAGGCAGAGCAGCAGGACATAGAGGTTAGAAAATTGCCTTGTAAAAACAGTATTATCTCAGTGGGAGTCCTTCAAAATGCACACAGTTGTATGGATCAACATTGTCTCGATGTATTTGGTAATTGATGTTACTTTTCAAATTGCCTTGTCAAGGAAACCATGACGCAGACGGTATCGGATGTCCAAAGAATGTGCATGGCAGATTCAATGCAATTCTGTGTCTACCAGACATCGAACAACACAGGAGAGAGGTGTGTTGCAGACTCAATTTAATAAATGCAATTATCGGGGCCTATTCAGTGATTTTCCATGAAGTGACCACTTTTACATATAGTTTAAATGCACGAATCATGCAGGAAAATTATTTATACATTCAAATGTGCTGCAGAGGTATAATCAATTGGACAGCGTGTTTGTTTGATATTATGTTTGTCTCTCATTTGATCAGATTGCTTTACCCTGAGGTAAACGTCATAAAATGGGTCCAGTGCAAGACGTGCAGGGGCTGGCTGCATCAGGATTGTGCTGGGATTGAAATGGAGCCGTTTGACTGCGGGTGCGAGGACTCCATTGAGCATCCTCGGTATAACATAATTTATCAAGGAAACATAGTATCAGTCAAAAATACGAGGCTCAAAGGATGAAAAAATGAGGGCTTGCTCTTTTCTTATTTCTCTGCAGGATCAAGGATGCTGTTGACAGTTGAGGAATTCATGCTGTCTTTTCTAAGACACAGATCAAGGTTGCTTTTGAATGCACTATCAGTTGTTAAAGCCACCGTTTCTTTTTCAGATGATTACATTTTTGTCTCTTGCTCTTTGGTTTCAGACATTACATGATGATCTACTGTCTGGAAAGATCCGCTCCAACAGAATGTTCCTTTGGAGGAATCCCGCCACCTCACTCCGACTAAAGCAGCATCTTAAGATAAGGACACTAAGTTGGAGTGAGCAGCGCGTAAGTAAAAATGCCATCCATCATGAGTATTTTTACTCTCAGGGGTGTTACATTTGAAAGGTGTTTACTTTCTGTGTTTTTCTTCAATAGATGTTCGAGCTCCTGCGGTTCATTGAGGTGGCAACAAACATTTCTAAAAAAATAAAGAGAGGCGAGATTCATCTGCTTGATTTCGTTTTTGACGTCATGCTCCCAGAGGTGAGTAGATCAAACTATATAGCTTGCTTTGAAAATTGATGATATTGTTAAGAGGTTGTTCTTATTCATTTGGAAAGCTCAAGAACAACAATTAACCCATACTGCATAACTTCAATTGTTCACATTATTTGACTGTTTTTCAGCTTTTGATCAAAGCACTGAAGGAGCATGGCATCAACCGGTTCAGAGCAGAGCTGATGATGGCCTGTGGCAACGTGTTTTAAGCCCCCCACCACACCGACGTGCTGAATTTTGTATATATATATATTTTTTTTTACTGTTCACAATTTTGTTTGGAAAAAATTAAAGAAATCTTCAAAGCAGTTGTATGACAATTTCCCATTTCTTTACACAGTCTGTAATGATATCGCTATTCAATTGTTTTTGCTATATGGCTCTTCTGAACCTTAAAGAGATCATGTGACTTGTCTCTACAACTATTGTATACTTGGATTTTGCACAGTCAAGCAATCCTGAAGAGGTTCACCAGGAAGCACACCATTTCATAAATGATGTCCCTGGTTACACAATGTTACTAAAGGATGGGGGGAGTAAATTTGTGCAGCAACATAAGCACTCTCATAAAACATAATTATGAACAACAGAAAATATGTGAGGGTCAGGGCAACATTGTTGACATTAAACGAGGTCCTAATAGGAGTGGAGAAACAAGGTCACAGAGAAGTTAAGAAACATTGATGTGCTGTGTAATAAAGCTATTGGAGAGAAAAGTTAGAAAACACTGTTATATGATGTGTAACGAGAGGTTAAAACAGTCCATACTTGTAGCAAACTCTTACAAAAGAATTTGAGTAAGATGATAACTTCTACATACATTTACCTATTCTGACAAATTATCAGAATATGAGGACATCAGGCTATATATACATATTACTGTAAACTTCAGAATTAAATCAGAACAAAACAGTAGTCATAGTTAATACATAAACGTTTTATTTTGATTTTTAGCTCAATAATAAATTTAATTCGATTCTTATGGAATGAACGGAGCAAAAGAAAAAGGATCCGGCGACTAAATCCGACTACCTGAAGTATTTCGGCGCCGGAAGTCCGCCAACGAGAAAGCCTTTCCACCGGAAGTAATTGTTTTGGGTCCGCCAATCGGAGGTAATGCGGAAACTTATTGCGTTTTGTAAATGTGGTTTTATATCTTTGGGTCCGCCATCTTGCGCTGCATCTGGTCACCTCTCAACTCCTTTTTTAAACCCCACAGATTTTTACATTTCCTTTTTTAAAAATTACTATAAGATAAAAGAAAAACGTGTCGTTATGAAACATCTCAAAACAACTATAAAATAAAAAAAATGTTCTCTATCATTGTGTTATTTCTTTTATCTTTCACCTTTTTTTCAGGAAGTTCAGCATTAAAGGACAAATCTGGAGAGAAAACCCTGGACGCAATTTGGAAAACACAGTCCATTAAATTTATTGCAATTCTTCTTACAAATATCCTGTTTACATCAACAACAACGACAAAATAACTTTAATAAGTTGAAGGGTCCGTCGCGTCCTCTTTCCCGCCAAAATACCAGCAACATTGTTTGCCGGTCAAGCTGCCAAATGTCTATGCCGTCTGATGAGCAAAGACTAAATAATAGTCCATAACACACAAACACGGCACTTAGTTCTACACTCACATCATCCCATTGCATTTTTTTTTTTACTAATGCAACACATGTAAACGGCGCAAGATGGCGCCAGACACTTGTTTAATAAAGTTAATGACAGACTGCGGGAGAGCAGGATAATTACTGGTTCTAGATCAGTGTTAGCATAAACTAAGGCATCCCCACAGTCCTTAGATGTACTCAATCACATGCCAGTGGGGTAAGAAACTAACTATTGGCCCGTTTGGACCCCTTATGTGTAAAATTTGGTACACTACAATTTTGTTAAACAATGTCATCAAGATGCTTAGAAAATGAATGTGTTCACTCCCAAAGACGCTTATTAGTTCAGCTGATTATGAGTGAGTTTTTTTCACTTAGCCTGTTCTTTAAATAAAATTCCTTCAAACTTACCAGCCCAGTTAAAATGATTTATACAATAATTTAGGATTTGGGGATTGATCAACAGCAAAACTCTCATCAAAACTACCCACCTCAAAAATGTTGTAATAGTTGATATGTGTTGGTATCTACCCTTTTACGGATCATTGCATGGGTGGTGTTTATGTCCACTTCAAAGTCAGTTTCACTGTTGTTGTAGTCAGCTGTAAAATTACACTGGGTCAAATTCCTGAGGTGGCCCATGGAGGTTTACACTGACCATGAACTTAAGGGTCCTTGTGACCTCTGTCCCCTCTCACATCAATCTGTCTGTCCACTTATTTCCTCTAGTGTCCCTGCTGTCTATTTGCTAATAATGACATCAAATGGCTCAAATACTACTGAAAAGACAACAGACATCATGGATTCAGGGAATCACAAACACTTGACGGGTATTTTGAGTAGGACCTGTGGCATAAGAGCTTAAGCCTCTTGCAAGAAATGTTCAAAACTATGCCACATAATTTCTGCAGTTGCAATTCTGAGAATAGGATTCAGACAGAAACAGCTAAGAGGACAGGGGATTGTTACTGAAGAGCATAATTGCCCTGCAACCTTTTGAAATTTGAAGAAAAATGTCTCACAGAAAGTTTTCTTTTGCTTATCTGTCTTTGCAAATAAAGTTAAGGTTAACTGACTTTTTCCTAAATAACTGGAGCAGAATGAATGTGCTCAAAATGTTGTACCAGTTTTGGTTTGAAGTGAGCAAGACCTTGTTTTGTCCTCTGTCCAGTTATATTTGCCTACCCTGATGGACAGAAATGGCCACATAACTTTTTGACTTTAGACAGAGATGAAGACTAAAAGAAAGAGCACTTTCACTAACCTTTGGACTTATGCCTCTATTTTATTTAACCTTTTGACTTTATTCTTCTACTCCAAAGTTTTCCTGAATCATAGTAGGACCATCCTTTCTCAATAAATCAATACATTTCACATGAACCCAGCCATAAGATGATCAAATTAAGTCAAAATATCAGATTTTCTGGGCAAAGAAGTGATGTCTGGCACACAAAAAAGTTAAATTTACTGTTTGTTTAAAGTACAAAGAGACAGGTTTGTAATTAAGAGCCTCACAGAGTGACATACTCATCTTAACAGTCCATTTTGCTGCCATCTGCCTGAAATTAATGTAAGGTTAATGGTGAGTTCAGTGTTAATTTCCTGTGTGAAGCCAGTCTCAGGCCATTTTCCCACCGCGGGATGTTTCAAAATTAAAGTACTTCAGTTTATTTTTAGAGCTGTGCCTTTGGTTCCCATCCCTACGTCAGTGATGTCTTCTTCAACAAACCTTGATTGAGGAAAATATACCTATTGCACACTCCAGTGTGTTTTGGGTAGAGAGTTTGGAAATAGCTGATAGCTGTGGAAATCCTTTTACTTATAAAGCTCCTCTAGAAAAATTACCATCTTACCCCAGACCTGCTTTATTCCTCGGTATTTCCTATTCTTCGACATCATCACTTTCAGTTTTTAAATCAGGTTCCTCAAAACTGTAATCTAGTGCTGTGGGAATGATTCCCAGAAAAAAACATACATCAGGTTAAAGTTAATATGCTTTTACCTTTGAGGACATTTGATAAATCTGGTTTTAGATCTCCCTCCCTCAGTTTGTTTTTGTTTCACAAAAGAATTTTAATTTTCAACTTTTTTTCCCTTTACTACAAAGCTGCATACAATTCTCCCTTTTATCTCCTGAAGGCTGCTATTCTATGTCAGACCACAGAACCACTGTCCTGTGGTCTGAAAAACCAAAATTTGACTCTCTTTTGGGGAATCAGGGACGCCGCATCCTTTACTCTGAGGAGGAGAGGGACCACCCGCCTTGTTGTCAGAGCACAGTTCAAAATCCACCACACATGATCTCAGCATGGCCCTGATACAGGTTTTTAACCAACATGATGCCATCTAGAAAATGCCTGTTATAACAATACATCTATGCCAAGCTACACCACAACAGGATGTCTTCACAGGAGAAGAGTCCACATGCTACACTGGCCACCTTTTTACCTGTTAAAAACATTTGGTGAATAATAACACATAAATTACCACAAAGGAGACTTGAGGTGTTGAAATCGTGTTAGAGGCAACAACAGGAAACGTTTCACTTTCAAAAACAAGAAACTGATAACCTTAGCTTACAAATGTTCACAGTGTTGCAAAAAGAAAAAGGTGATGCAACAAAGTGCTAAACATATCCAACGTCTTGAGATATGTTGCTGCAATCAAATTTAAAATGAGGATATGTTTTTCATAAAACTGTGAAAAGTTCAATTATCCACTTTTGATTTGTTGTTTTTTTACCCTATTTTCAATCAAATAAAAGGTTTGAATGATTTGCAAACCATCAGATTCTGTTTTTAATCAACATTTAAGACAGAGATCCAGCTTACAAACCCACTAAAAAAAAATAAAAGCAAAGCAGTGTTCTGTCATTGACTCCATATCATTTTAAATGAAGGTTGGGAGTTTCTTTATTAACTGGTTGGTATTCCTTTAGCAAAAATCTAAACAATTACAAAGCATTGGAATTTATGTGTTTCACAGTGTGCTGTGTTTGTTGTCACGTCTGTAAAGAGAGGGATTTGGTGATGTATTATTGCTTATTTCATGATTCAGAGCTACAAATGACTCAACTCTAAGCGCTCATTTACAACCTGTTCAGAACACTGTGTAGTTTTGTGAAGCTCAGAAAGCTGTCTCTCTTTCTCTGCCAACAACCATTCAGCACTATTTTACATGTCCACGACTCTCTCTTAACAGATGTTCACCCACTCCATCACACATTTGGACTTTGTTTAGACCCCGAGGTGGAAAACACATCTTCAAGCCTACATCTAACCAAACCTCATCCACTTTTTTAACATTTAGTAAAAGTAAAAAAATAAAGAGTTCTGATTTTTACTCCTGGTTGTTATTTTGTTTATTTTTGTCTACGTGTCAGAGCCATGTTGCTAAATCAGAACTCAAAGGAGCTGTGGGGTCATAACCTCGACCGAGGGAAATATAATGGCCGAGGTCAGTGCCACATCAAACCAGGGTGAGGCAAGGAGGGCTTTGCTTCTGGCAAACATGTCAACAAAACAGACTGTGTTGCTCTCCAGAGCTTCTTTCTGTCCTTCTGAGTTTATATCTGTATTTTCAATCAGGCAGCCTGTGATTACAATTCAAAATGTTAGAATATTGATGTGCATTGTTGGCTGGTGATGTGAATCTTGATTCTTGA